AAAGTGTCAATTTACCGGTACAGCGTCTCTCTGCGTTCCATCTTTGGTTCATGATGCATGCTACAGCTCGCCGGCTTTTCAACAACCCGTCCTCCAACCGAACTAGGACAAGATTTGGGAGGGGGGCATGAGCCAAGTCTTGATTGTTTTTCCCCACGGTATTAAGCGCATGGCCACAAGATGGCGCCTCAAAGCAGATCCAGTAGACGTTGTGTGCTGCCTAGGTTATGGGTGGCGCCGCACTTAGCTGGGGGTATCCTTTTAGCACATGAGGGAAAAGAAATATTCCATCTACCAACGCCATTCATCTTGGGATTATTGCGGCATCTGACGTGCCGGATGGTCTTCCGTGGTGGTGTCCTGAAAATCGGGGCCAGCCGCCTAGATCCTAGTTTTGAGGCCTCACTGCCAACAACCCAAGTTGGCCCATAGACTCTCAGTCCACGCTTTCTATTCCATGAAACCGTCAGCAACAGCGAGAGTGGGGAGGAGTAATTACGAAAAAATGATTTGGAAGACCGGTAAAGAAGCGGTATTGCAAGCCCTGAAGCGACGGCAACAACCGAAGCGATAGACAAGATACCCCACTTACCGATGAAACATCCGCGTGGGATGAGAAAATAGGCGATGCAGGCAAGGGCGTCAAGGTGACACCATTAATATCCATCCACTACTGCAGTTGGAACCAACGAACACCAAGAAGAAAGAAGAGCATCATGCATTTCCGAGCACCTTTGCCCACCGCCCATGACACCGTACAATTCAGCTGGCCAGCCTTTACCCCGGCCCTCTCAGTCCTCTTAAACCTCGCGGGGTGGCGAGCGTGAAGTTGAGCCGCCACCGAGCGTGCGTATTTTTATTGACCCGCAGCATTTGTCGATGCCCGTCAGCAAGGCGATGTCACTATCGAGGATCTCAAACCTGCCTTCTTGGATGGTTTCGTGGCTGCAAAGTAACCCTGATCGGTTGCGTAAACCACGTCGATCCATGGCCGCTTCGGTACCAATGGAGAGACAGAAGCATATCCCTAGGCCCGCGCCAATCAGTACCGAGGGGGCTTGCGCTGGTATCAAGAGCAAGCTGAAATCCGTGTCCAGCTGGAATCGAGGCCTACTTATCCCAGCCGCTCGCGGGGTAGTAAGACACTGGTACATGAAGGGGCTTTCGGAGGCAGTCGAAGGTTTTGGCAGATTTCTAAAGACCCCAAGAAAATTGAAGCTAGGGAGAGGTAGAGAGTACTTCCCTTTAGAAGTGAGCACGCTCTTGGCCACCATGATAGACGAGGTGTGCGGCGTTGAACCGAGCGGCTGAGACCGACGGGCTCTAGAGGAGGGCTGTGATTATGGAGGGAAGAGTGATTACTACTCGCTTATCAAGAATATGGCTATATTAATAGGCCTTCTAGATGTTCTACATGGTTCAGCGGGAAGTCTTGACCGTACATCCAGCAGTCTGCCATGGTTTGAGAAGACAGGACGCGTCGGGAAAATCCGTGCAATGGTTGACATCAACAGATCATCAGACTCATGACAGAGAAACACCATGTACTTTGTTCTGAGGTACTTCTACCGCATGGGGCCCTTTTTGTTCATTCCCTCCCCTGCTGTCCACCGACTGAATATTTTGCCGAGCAGCTCCAACTAGCCAGATCAAGTAGTACGTAACAGCTCGAGGTTTCTTCCACCGCCTGAGCAGATGCGGGCAGCAAAGGCATAAGAGGCTGCTGACGAACAGCCTTGAAATGTCTGAAACTAGTCAAGTCGATGTCGTATCATGCCTTGTATTTTCTGAGGGGGTCTGTATCAGCGGCACTTCTCTTTCGACATGATCATGTAATCACCCTTCACTCCTTTACCACATCTGAGTGACCGAAGCAAAAGGAATCAGGATAGTTGGTGTGGTGGAGACCACGGGACCTGAATGTGACCACCGCAGTTTCAAGGTTACAGCCATTGTACTTTGGTCTAGCTACATATGTAGTATCATTGCTGGGCTGCCTGCCGAATAAAGAATGTTCCTCCATAATCCTTACTATGATGTTACTTGTGCCGGTGTTTCTCGACAGGCTTCATTCCACAATCCATGTTCCGCGTCATTTCCGGCCGGGGCCATTACCTTACCCACGCCTCTATCTGAACCCTCCAAAAAGACCCCTTACACCGGCGTTTAAGTGGAGGTGTTCCTCCGTTCTCCCGCTCTGTGACTGAGACATTGTCGTCGATCCTCGCCAAGGGGCCTGTGTCCCGTCCTCCCCGGGACAAACGGTCTGAGTCTCTTCTCCTCGGCTGAAAGAGGGAGTTTAGTTTCATGGTGCTTTCATTTTCATTCGCTGAAGTATTGGCTTGCCGCGTGTGGGTTATGGCATCTCGTTGCTCGTTGCTGACTCTTCTTATGTGAGAGTCTGGTGATTGGTAAGATGGGTATTGAACTGTGGACGAATCAGAAGCCACAGGCACATAACAAGGCTTTGCTATTCATCACGTCCTGATAACCGACGTGATGTCAGATCTCTTATGTGCAAGTCTGAGTGCTTTCGGCAATCGGTCAGTGATATTTCAACGAATGAACGTGGGCTTGTTGCCGCACAGTGGCCCCGTGGGGTTACACGCAGCCTCTGCGGTCAGCTTTCCACATTAATAACACCACAACCTATGATCTGCCCCAAAATATATGGGCTCAAGCATTGGTCAAAGTGTAGGTGTTATCTTGCACTGGTATACGTGGCCTTCATGGGATGACGATGATTGCTCTCGGGTAAGTTCGCAACCGCTGATACAATATAAACTATTTCTCATGCTACATAGCTTTGAGTGAATGCATGATATGAGTAGTTATAGTCGCATTGCTTTACATAGACGGGAGATCAGATAGTTACAGAAAATGATGCAGTTGAACATAAGAGGACTGAGGAAACGGGAATATCAGCAAGAATCCAGTCCAGGTTTTACAGGAAAGCTCAGCCATCCACAATCCAATCATAAACATATTGAACATCCAGTAAGGATGCTGGAGCATAGCACATGCAGTGAGTGTCATGGTAGTCCTCTCAGTTCAAACCTGCAGACGAAAGAGGATCATGGCTAGCTGGCACCTGACACGCATGCCCAGTTGCTCGCCCGTCTGAGAAAGTATAACGAGCAAACAAGGAGCACAATTTCCCAAACAGGAGGGCGGCAAGAGTATTGGTGACGCTGCCACGCTGCACGGCGGCAGACAGGTGAACATCGCCAACGCGAGACTAGCTTGAAAAAGTGACAAAAAAGAGTACAAATGCATTGAAAGTATATCTGACTATATTCTAGGTGACTTTGCGCACTCAATTTCCCTCTTCAGCTAAGCCTTTGCTAAGATTGTGCTAGAGGTCTCAGTACTTCCATCTGGACACAAAATCAATATCCACAACCATGATGAGATTCCATGCGTCTATATACTTTGCGGGCAAACTCACGAGACACGTCCAAAGACTTGTTTTCCGCCTCGCACGGCGGTCTTGTGGAGCCCTTACATTCTTCATTTCCTTCTTTTTTTCGGCGGAGGTTTTACTCAAATGGCTCTACAAGGCCCAAAATGAGCTGCCTTTTAATATCATTCCTTTTGCTCTCTTGCTCCACAGACCACACATTCGAGTCTTTATGGCCTATAAGCAGGTTGAAAAACCCTCCATGCCACGACAACATCGTAACCAGCCCCAGATATTGTATTTGTCTTCCCAACTACTCGTTAGTATGATTTGGAAACAATTGACTTGTACTGATACTTGCAAGCATCCTGCATCATATGCCTGCCAATGCAACCCAGAGCGGATGTTGCCTTTAGTCAATCGGAGCTATCACATCCAAAAGAAACACATTTCATCATAAAAAAAATAAAAATCGGTGGCATGATCTCCTGCCGCTTTGCAGCCCTGAAGAGGACCCGGACCAGCTGATTCAACCCACCTTTTGACCAAGGCCACTCGACTCGGCTTACACTCTCGCCAACCAGTAGGAGTTCCGACCGACCTTCTATTTCCAAGGACTCAGCCATGACGAATCGGCTCCAAATCCCTGGCCCCCGTGAGAGGGAAAAAGAACAACGAATTCATGCAAAAGGACACCAGGGGCCCCGGCAGGCACCTTACGGCCGCGACTTTGCAGGATAAGTATGGTAAAAAGGGCGGAATGTCAGGCGTTGTCTCACATTTTTCACATGAGTGGCAAGAGCAGGGCTCTCACGATCTCTATCATAATTCTGCTCGAGGCTTGCCCTTCCATGCCCTAAGATCGTACGATCGGTAGTCGTCGTCCTCTCGTACTAAGGCATCAATGCTTACTGTCTCGATCTAGAACGCTCTGAGTGGGGTGTGGAGGGAGGGGGAGGACAACTTTCAAAAGAAAGTTGAATCCTTCGTTGTGAAATGGTTCAGTGTGTGTGTGTGCGTGCGTGGAGCTGTCTGGAAACTGCTGATTGCTGGGTTATGTGTTTCCTCTCTTGGATTAAGCGATGAGCTGTAATTATGCTTCTTAAGCGCCGTCCAAGTTAAGAAAGTATAGGAGGCCTCCCTTGGCTCATCAAAAAGCAAAATAGTGGTTAATCGGTTAATTCGATGTATTAGCACTACACCCGGGGGTCTCGTGAGTGCTCGAGGAGCGCATACTGTACAAGTGGTCGAGAACGGTCAATGAATCCTCACATCAAGTCGGTAGAACATATTCCTGTCAATGCCCACGTTAAGGAAATTTAGCACTTTGATCGAAGCTGTTACAGGCAACGAGCAAATTTCACTCATCATCCTATGAGAGCTCGATCTCCTCTCTGTTTGAACCCTATGGGAATCTTCCACCGTGCGGCACTGGGTACTTGGGAGAGCTGACCAATGCTTGCATGAGACCTTACTGCATGTAGCCCGAGGGTTCAGAGCCTCCAGCAGCAAGCCGCCTCCGTCACAATTGCGATGCACCAGACACCTCGTACGATGCTCTCTGCTGTTGCGATTGGAAGCAGCAACATCAACCCTCCGAGATAGAGGCGGTAAGAGCGGAACATTGCCGGGATCTCATCATCAAGAAGCGACAGCAGCAGCGGACACGAGACCGCCTCGGGCCGTCCATCCCATTTGTGATAGCGATCAGCTTCCCCGCCGTGGTTATCATGCTTTTGCGTCCACACAATATGTACAAACTGCACGAATGAGACCCTTGTCTTATCCCTATATGCGTCAGCGCATATGTATATGTTGTGCAACACCACACTCGAGACCGCCACAAAAGCTCCTACTATGGCAGCTGCTGCGAATGCGAGGGCACGGTACATCTCAGCAAGGCGTTGCCGCAGATCAAAGCCGAATATGAAGCGTGACAACCACTACGGACAGCACTCAACTCGGCGGTGAGAGTGAGAATGCCGCGCTACTGGCCGGTCAACAGGTCATATCTGAGTCAATCGATGGTCGCAGGCGTGCCGTATGTCCCGCGGATCCAGGCCTCAACAGGCTGGGGCGGTGTGTGTGCCTCCCTGCTTGTAGGTCGGCGACGATTATGCGATCTCCGAGGGCTTGCGCTACAGCTGGAATGAAAGGGCTTTTCGGGGGAACCTCCTGGTCGTCGTATGATCAAGGAAACCGAGTGTATGCTGCTCAGCTCTGGGGCTACAGAAAGCTTGAGGAGGGCCATCTCGAAGGCTGGGCTGTCTGAGAAGTTCCCTGGACAGCGGAATTTGATACAGAGTTTGTACAAACCTCAACAGGTCCACGGCGGATCCGACTCCTTGGTGTAAGAGCATCAGGCCATGTGGCTCCTAGCGGCCATGTTGCAATTGTTCGGTCGGGTTGATCAATCTCGTACGGAAGGCTGTGTGCTCTGACATCAGTTTTCGTGAGTTATTAGTTTTGTGGGACCATGAGACCACATTGATAAGCTTGCCAGCATGGTCAATTGTTGGACTTCTTGTCCAGAAAAGGTCCATAGTATCCATCTCGTTGAACAGGTATTCGAGCTCATGAGTACCTTCGCGTGTCTCTGATGGCTGTTTGGCGTCATAACGACTTGTTGTGGCTGCAGTATGTCTTACCGATACAATTCTTCCTGGGCGTGTCAACGCTGTGCGCACTCAGTGTAGAAAATGCAGTGCAGCTCTGCACATATTCTCTCGGTGCTTGTGGTATCTTCCACTTTTTTCAAGAGCAGCTGGGCTGTAACGAACGATACAAACATCGTTGTGCCTGATGCCTCCAGAGAGGTCAAAGTTGATGGCATCCTCATATGCTAGCCCTTCAGAACGTGGGCAGCCAAATGGGTCAACTCATTGCCCGTTCGCCAAACCCAACATTCAGAACTGTCGCTTCGCGGGACCACAAACACTTCCATCAGTATGGCGAGGGTCGTGCCTCAACATATTGCTCGAGGTCAACGTGTGCAGCCTCGAATCGAGTTCAACCTCGTCGTATTGATAATGGGGAAATGAGCTTGAGTAAGTGTAGGAGCATCTTCTCAATCAAGCAATTGGCGGCATGCTGACACGAGGAGGCCTCAGCTTGAGGCACAAATTCTAGATCGAGTCCCCAGACTCAAGCGCTGGAAATTGTCGTATTTGGAGATAATATCTGGAAGATGTCTCGATTTACCTCTTGGTCTCTTCGGTCTGCACGGAGCGGTCTGGCGGAAAGGCTCTGGATCTCATGGGCATCAGCCATTTGTAGCGACTGGACGTGCATGCCTTTAGCTCATATGCTGGTCGTGTAGGTCTGAGTACAGTCCTTTCGAGAGAGATCAAGGGGGATGAGAAGTGATAATGTCGAATCGAGACACGGCGCATGCTGCGTTGTCAGCCACTGGTGTATGATCTCGATGGTTCCGTCAGCATGCAGGCTGGTTTGGATGAGCTGGTGCTCGGTGGAGGCGGACATCAACACAAGGGGGTAACACAACTTTGGACAGGCACGGACCCAATTCGGTGTTGACGTATTGGCAAACGAATCTTGAACATTGGCCTCCCTTTCTCGACGACACAGGCCACGATGTCCAGGCCGATATCGAATGCTACAGGGCATTATCCGTATTCGTGTCGATTTCGAGGGGGCAAACCAAACATATTGGTCGCAAAGTCGGCCAAGACTCGATGTCAAAGAGCGCGAACCTCACCTCACGGCATCGACCAAAGATATGAAGGATCATCAGGGACGACCAAAATAAAAGTGTCATGTCTTGCGAAGTTGCTTGAAATCATGCAGTCTGCCGATCTACCAAGAGAGGATCGACGAAAACTTGATTCGTCTTCCGCATGAAGCATCATTGTATGCGAGACGATGATCTGCAGCGGAATTGACTCGAATGGAGATCAAAATCGCCCAGCAAAATGGAGCCACTGGGGCTTTGCCACGGCTTGGCTCGCTGAACGACATCTTCTCAGAGATGCTAAGTCGGCCACGAGGTGTGTACCATAGCACTGGCATCCAGATTCGGGTGAAGATGACTCCAGACTTCATAGCATGAATAGTCCTTGCTCGAGGAACGAGAAGAAGGAACAGCACACTGTCGTATGCCTGACCAATCCCAGTGAGTGGGTGGCGGGTCGTCCGAAGTTCTTGTCGAGGTCGGGACGATGATCTAACCGATAATTGACAGGGCACCCGCACAGCCAAGTTCAGTGGTCAATGCTTCAATGTGCTAGCTTGGCTGGAAACGCTGCATGATCCGGCCGAATGGTATTTGTTCCCTGTCGAGCCGTTGGGGTCATTAGCCCGAGTCCGATGGTGAGGGATGTCGGGGTCCAAGAGACGTAAACAACCAACGCAGCATCGTGAGGATGGTGTGTCCTTTGGGATACTGTGAAGCACACCACCGCATCGGATCAGCTCTCTTCACATACAGTAGACAGAGACGATGTTGGCGTAAATTTGCTTCTTCGCAGTCGATCAATCCTGATATGTCTCGACTGCAAACAAACATTGCTATCTTAATGAACATCCAATCGTGTTTATCGGATATTTCGGCATAATAGCCCTACACTCTAAGAAAGCGGAGGGGCAAAAGCTTTGATTGACTCGAGAACAGAGAGACTCGAGTATTGAATGCTGGCTGGGCGTGTGGCGCTGATCTTAAGGTCAACTGGCCATTGAGGTCGAACAGAGGTGATGCGGCTAATCGTTGCTGTAACGTTCGCTGTATCTAGTGTCGTTCCAGTGTGGTGCAGTCGACCAGTCTTGAGGCTCAGAGCCACGTTTCGTCCATGCACGCACGATCTAGAACATGAGATTGCAACATCACATCGACGTCTTCTTTCTGGGTGTGTAGGCTTGAGTGTGTGGTACTCTTTTCTTCGTTCTTTTCGATGTGTGTGGATAGCACTTGCTGCCTTGAACCTTGGACAGACCTCTTTCCAAGCGTACCCGACGCTCTTTCCTACTCCCTCCCCCTTCTCTCCAGATTCTCGACGCTTTGAAGCATTGATCCCCCTGCGTCCTGCGCCACGCTCCACGTACGTGGGTGTATCATAGTAGCACTTTCCGTATATTGACAAGGCTCGAATGATACCCCATGTCGGTCTCGGTGGGTACAGACCACGCCCAAGGGCCCACGAGTCCTCTTCAAGGGCTAGTGCCCATCCGTGCTGAGGAAGGATCAGACCAGGGTGGAGCATGAAGCGGGGATAGCCTCGGAAGTCTAGAGGGGACAGAAGCAGGGATGAGGTATCGATGAGATTGCGCACGGCTAGAGTGGTGGAGTAGTATTGAATGCATCGTCTGCCATGCACCCCACAACGTTTCCTGCCCGTTCGTACTCCATCACGACTCGTAGAAGCGACACGGAGCAGTCGACTCTTCTAGGTCTTCTAGGCCTTCTGCATTCCTTAGGCATATAGACAGAGAGAACCACGACCCTCCCTTTGCTCGCTGGACCTGGGTAGCCAGGCACCCTATCCCTATCTCCTCTTATAAACCCCGGGCCCTATCCACCTTGGGATTAGCCCTCTCCCCTTATTCTATCTTGTCCCCTCTCTCACCCTCCTCTTTCCTCCAGCCACTACCAATAATTATCTATTTCTTTTCCACGTCCTACTATTCCTCACCTCCAGTCGTTCTCTCTCTCTCCACACAACCCACTTCACTGAAGTTCAACTTCATTCCGCCATCTTTTAACGCCTGAAATACACGGAGCTCGGGAGCCCACATTGATTCCACTCGTAACTCCACCTCGGTTACGAAATATAACCACCCAGAACAGGAATCCTCCTTCTGAATACGAACTTCCACGATCAACAAACTTCCGTCCACAAACAACGAGAAACAAGGCAGAATAGAACAGATCAAGAGAGACTATAGCGAGCAAGGAGCCCAGCACCGCACGAGACGTTATCTCAGACCTCGACAGGAACCTGGTCGTGCGACATTTATCCATCCCTTCCTCGGCCGCGCCACTCGACAGAGCCTCCAATTCCGTCCTACCCCAAGTTACCTCACCCAAAAGTTGTCATCATGCCTGGGATCTTCGAACGCATCCAGTCCAGGATCGAGTTGTTTCGCCTCGAGCGGCGCTATACCCGTCACCGCGACAGACGATCCACCTTCGTCTCCAACGCGATCTACGTTGACGGCGAGTACATCTACCAGACCCCCAACACCACAGGTTCCTCGAACAACAGCAGTGGTTCGTCCTCCGACTTCCAGAGCCCTACCATCGAGAGCCCACCATCTCCATCCGCCATGACTCCCTCTCCGTCGGCAGCCATGTCCAGCAAGGAACGCAAGAAGATGCACAGGTTCAGCTCCATGCCCGGGTTTGGCTCCTCTGCCAACAGGGCAACGGCGACTCCTTCTGCCGACTGGAGGGCACAGAGGGCGAGCTTCGATGGCGCAAGGTAGTCGGCTGAACTGGCCACTGTCTTGGACATTCTATACACACACACGCACACACGCATATACCTGCGGCATTTTCATCCATCGTCACGAGAAAGAACAGCATCTTGATCCAACAACTTCAATTTGTCTTTGCATTGCTGTGGAGTTATGGGCGACCGGGCTCACAGATGATGAACGCTGATCCCCACGCGGGCTAGACATGCCTTAGCCATGCCGGGAATGGATCGACAGGGACGAGAGCTTCCCACGAGAGCAGTCCGCATCCTATGATCACATGCCTTTGCATCTTTCACGACCTTGCATTACGGGTGCAAAAGAACGGTTGTCAGGTGTCGCCTGACGGCGATATCAGAGGAGGAGGAGAAATGCGAATAGAGAGCATTAGAGAAGGAAAAGAGGCGGCTAAAGGTGGTCGAGTTCTCCTGAGTCTTGGCGTTCTGTACTATTGTGTTTGTAATTTGGCTAGCCTGCACGACTGGTTTCGATGGCCAGCAGTTTTAGATGATCCTGCATGACCTACTGTATATAGTTTCGTTCTTGTCTTCTTTTGTTCCCACGAGAGCATCCGCTTACACGGTGTCACCAGACATTTTTTTTTCTCGGAATCAACAAAGATTATTTCTACCTAGCCCTCAATCATCTCCCGCGTGTCCCGTGCGTCCCGTTTTGTCTCCTGAGGAGACTGGCTCCACCCTTTGATTTACTCGAGACGGAGAGGAAGAAGCTGCCCCAGGCGGGCCCACCACGAGTGCCGGGCCACCCGTAGGCTTGGTGCAGTCTGGTCCAGGCCCAACCACGTGCTACGGGTTCCTTCTATTTATCTCTTCTTTTCTTCCTTTGTTCTTGGTACCATTTTCTCTCTCTTTCGATTCACGATTCCTGTTGCTAGTCAGGAATTAAGACAAGGTGAGCCTAAAGGCAAGAAGCCATGTCCAGGTGAAAAGAGAGTACCCCCATCTGCCCCGAGTGACGACAGTATCAAGCGTAAAACAGGCATGGTGAAGACGACAACCAGCCATTCGAGATTGTCTGAGACGAGCAAAGTGGCGAAGAACCCGAAGATTTCTATCTCGGGCTCGGGGAGGCGTTGGCCGGAGCTAAAGAGACGGGCCGGCAGCGCCACGAGTTGTGGACGGCATGTGGAAAGGAAACAGGGTTATTTCACGGTTGGGGCTCTTCCGACGAGGACACCAACTTGCTGCCAATAGACAGAGGGTGCAAGGCACAGGGCCGCGTGTCCCAGATTCAGAGTCCCTTCAAGATAAAGTCCAACAGACGATAGCGTCTTGTCCGGCGAAGAAAGAGACAGGCAGAGCGCGTATCGCGGCTTGTATGATCTATCTTGAGTCCGAGATCTATGCTGTAATAGCCAACCTGCCCGTTGAAATTTTCTTTGCACTGATTCAGTTCGTCGATGTCGTAAAGACCATCACGCAAAACTTGTCTGTTGCGCCCATGTACCTCCTTGCAATAAAGGTCAACACCGAGCTATCCCACTTGTACTCTATGCTGGAGGGAAATCATCATCTGGCTTCAGGCAGAGATCTCCCAAGCCAATGTTGTAGATGTAGTATCCCTCCTTCTGTTAAGAAAAGCTTTGCTTCACTTGGCCTGAATGTCCCAGTTATCCAGTATGAAATCACGCCTGCCTACGGCCACGATGCCTAGAAGTATTTCTGCGTCCTCATAAACTCCATCCCAGCCGCAAAGTGAAACAGCTTCGCAGCAACGATGAACCTGTCCTTCTTGGAATATTCCTCCAGCGTCGCGTACAGCTCGGCCAGCGGGATAACGACGCGCTGAATGTGCTCCCCATCATCGAGCCTCTGGGCAGGCATGTCGCCCCCGCCCGCAGTAGGCACCTCGGCCTCGACCATGACAAGCTGCATGTTGGCATTGGTCATGCCCGGGTCGGCAGCCTGCGGCGGGCTCACGCTCAGCACACGCGACACCTCGTAGCCCGTCTCCTCCTTGAACTCGCGGCGCGCAGCCTGCTCGGCCGTCTCGCCGGCGTCGACGAGGCCCGCGGGCCACTCGACCGTCCAGCTGTCGAGCGGGGGCCGGTACTGGATGACGAGCATGGTGGAGGCGGGTTGGCCTTCGGTGCGCGGCTTGGGGAGCAGGATGTTGCCCATGGCGACGGCGTCGACGCCCGCTGCGGCGGAGCGGGTCTTGCGCACGGCGGACTCCCAGGTGCGGGCCTTGCCGGTCTGGTCGGTGAAGTTGATGCGCTTGAGGGTGACCCATTTCGACTCGGTGATGGGAAGGTCCTCGATGGAGGTGATTACGGGCTCTTGGGACTTGGTCGTCATCGTGAAGGAGCGGCGGCTGTGGCGGTCGTGGGCGGAGGGAGGTAGCGAGGGATGGGAAGAGGAACGGGCGCTGGTCTGTAGTAGTAGTAGTAGTGGTGGTGGTGGTGAAGATGATGCGTGCTGGTGGCTAGCGAGGGGTCTGAGGCGCCTGGTAGCGGTGGTGATTGATCGAAGAGTGAGGGGAGAGGGCATGAATAGAGAGGGAGGGAAACAACTCTGTGTTGTTGGTGTTACAAGAAGTTTAGAGCAAACACATTGAAGAAGTTGACACACAGTAACCAGAGGGTAGGGGTGACGTCTAGCAAACAGTGAATGGGTGGCTGCCCCACCAAGATAACCCCGCCATGGTGGGGGAGGGGAGGGGTCATCGGGGGGCTACCTCGCTGAAAATTACTGCTGCCATGGCACCTGTAATAGCGGATTCCTAGAGTACCGCCCCCGCCAGATTTGACATCACCGGTGCATTTGGGGGCCTTTTCGAGCGTTCCTCCATCCCCCTCCCTCGGATCACCACCCCAACAGAAGGAGGTGAGGCTGAAAGGATGGAATTGGGTAACAATCGGAAGGATCGATGTGGAGTATTGTGTTTAACTTCATGTCTTTGTCTTCATAATCTTTCATTGTATTTTCCTTGGTATAACTTTATAAATCTTTCCTCCCGGTTATCCTGACGTGATCCGCCGGCCGTTCCGGGCACCCAAGAAAACCCAGATCCCAAACTCTCTACATTATGATTGAAGGCTCGTAATATTCGTGTTGACATGTGTGAATGTCTTTTGTCTCTTTTCTCGCTTTTATCTCTTTTTCGTACACCCCAGCTGTAAATCCCCTTACCGGCAGGTGTAGCCACCGTCAATGACGAGGTCAGCACCGGTAGTGTAGGTGCTGGCGTCGCTGACGAGGTAGACATAGGCGCCCTTGAGCTCCTTGGCAAGGCCATCGCGGCCCATGGGGATCATGCTGTGCCACAGTGCCTGGGTCTCGGCGTCGATGAAGTCGCTCAGGCCGGTGTCGATGTAACCAGGCGAGATGGAGTTGACACGGGCAAAGTCGCGCCACTCGTTTGCCAGGGAGCGGGCCATGTGAATGCAGCCTGCCTTGGCGACGTTGTACGAGGTCTGCTCCTGAGGGAAGTTGGCAATGTGGCCGGACATGGAGGCGGTGATGACCAGGGAGCCGTGGCCCTGCTTCTTGAAGACGGCGCCCACGGCCTTGGCGCAGTAGGCAGTGCCGTTCAGGTCGGTGTTGATGACGCGATCCCACTCCTCGGCGGAGCCATCGATGACACCGGCGTTGGCAGTAGCACCGGCACTGTGGGACACATCTTGTTAGTATATTGTACGCTTGTTTGGGAAAGAGGCACGAGGAAATTGTAGCGACTTCGAAGCGGAAGTGATGAACATACTTGGCGATGAAAGCGTCAATCTTGCCAAAGTCCTTGAGCACGGTCTGCACCAGCTCCTCGCACTGCGCGTACTCGCCCACGTTGCACTTGTAGGCCTTGACCTTGACGCCGTACTCCTTGGTCAGCTCCTCGACGTTCTTCTCGGCGCCCTCCTTGCGGCTGGCGTAGGTGATGGCCACATCGGCGCCCATCTCGGCGCAGCCACGGGCGGCCTCGATACCCATGCCCTTAGGGCCGGAAGCGCCGGTGACCACCACGACCTTGCCCTTAAGGCTGAAGAGGTCCTTGAGGGAGGACGCGGAAGGAGCTTTTTGAGGCATCTTGGGAGAGAGTGTGAAATAGGATGGAAGGGATTGTGTTGAGAAGTCGAGAGAGGAACGGAATGAGAACGAAGTCGGTTTGGTAGTAAAGAATGTAAAACGGGGAAAGGCGAAAGGCACAGGAAGAGCAGCAGACCTCGGCCTCTCTCTCTATATATATTCCTAACAAGCTCTATCTCCTCTTCTTTCTAAACCCACTCGCGGTAATGCTGTTTCGATAAGCTCCGACGCGGAACTGCGGGAATTGTTTGCAACCCAGTCAAGCCCGCCTCTTCCATCTTCTCTCATCTGCCGTACAAGCCTGACAGGTGGCCCCCCTTCGTCACCTTGCTGCGATGACAGGCTCGATCCCCCCCTCTTTTTTTTCTTTCCAGCCACAGTGAACCTTGAGGGGAGAGTCCACACTTGTGCCGAGAATAAAGCTAGTTGGCCCTCGATACATGGCGCCTTGGTGTCTACTAGACTAGGATGACATCATTGATGCATGGTTCTGGGCGCGACTAACAACGCGACAGCAGACTCATTTTAGTCGGGAAAAAAAAACCTCGGGCCAAATATCGAATTGTTTTGATAGGGATGCGGGAGAGCATAAAGCAGATAGTTCTCTCGAGAATTACAGGTATCGTAATCTCCTCTACAGTCAAGTTCGACACCTATGGCCTGAACAACCTTTGGGGGTTGCCGTACTATGGTATAACACTGGAAAGGGAAGTGAGGGGTAGGGCGGGGTCATGGGCAAATCTTGCGCCCCCTGATCTGACTGGACAGATCATTTCTTGTTCCTGGCTTTGGCTGCATTGTTACCATTACAGTATGGCAATCCACACCTTGAACCTCGTGTGAAATCTAAGCCCAGCCCAAAGTTCCTGCAGCTCTGTAGTTCGTTGGCAGGAACAACAACAAACACAACAACAAACACAACAACAAACAAAGGAAGACGAAAGACACCGATAGAAGCGCCACTCGGCCCGGCCATGTAGCCCTGGACCTCTCGGCGCCGGCCCTTGCTGCTACTTGTAACAAGACGGAGGCTCTTCTCGTTCTCCTTCATCGTGAGCCATTTGCTGTAAATTCCCAAGACTGATTCAATGACTATACAAGCAGCACCTCTCACAGACTTGTGTCAGTCTACTACATTCAACAACCTATACTACAGCAATGAAAAGAGAGAAAACTTCATCCTTCATGTCATCAGCTCCCAAGGCATCACAGTCCCATCCCACCTTTGCACGTGTCATATACCTTCGGCGGCAGTGGAGACCAAGGACATCGTCCGTTTATGGGGCTGATGACGTCGGAACTCGGCCCGCCTCTACTGTGAAATAATAAAAAATTGGAATGATATCACAGCCCCTCCGTCCTGCGTCTAGACCACGGGGGGAACAGAATTTGAGCGCAAAAGATCGCGTCGCGTTCAAAACGGGATCGGACTGCTTTGGCGGTGTGCTCCCCGCATCGTCATCGTTGGAGCATGAATTATTTGAACAGCAGCCCGCCCAGCTCGCGCATGTTTTTGGTTCTCGCATTTCTTTTCACTTTCTTGCTCGTGACGACGATTATGAGACGACTGCAAATCTGGATGTTTGTGGAAAGAGGATCGGCCCTATTACGTCCTTTTCCCCGCGACCTCCTCAGCATCCAGGCTTGCCGGAATAACTCAGACATGGTATCACTGTGAGGACCTGTAGATTTTGAAGCTCACTTGCAAAGAGTTGTAGAATTTGTCTAGCTGTCGCACAACAAGCATTGTTTTCATAGTCCAACATCAGCTTGGGGAGAATCTAGGTTGGCTGAGTACTTAAGTACGTACACGCTTACTTCTAAGTACTTAGGCAGCCCACGAGATGGTCGCGAATGTCTCTCCTACATCTCTCCGTCGAGGCGATCATGCAAGGAGTAAATAAAGAGCGTGAGGATTGAACGTTACCTTTCGTAGCTAAAAATGAAAATGTAAAGTATATATTTGCAGTGGTGTTTGAGGTCGATGAAGGGGACAGACAAGGGCGATTACCGACGCCGCTTTCAACCACCCTCCATACTGCTTTTCTTTATGTGACTTGAAAACTGTCATTTGACCTTTTGATAAACGATCTCAGTTCTGACCTTGTTCAAAATGAATTTGGATATCAGTTGAATGCGGCAATAGTCCTCAAGTACGGTACTGAGTACTAGCCTGCGTAAAGGCTCAACGTCTGGTGAGCATACGTAGTGCAATTCTGGATATTTGGCTCCTGCATGAAGTGTCGAAACAAGCAGCTCAATTTATTGTCATCAGCTGCCCGGCCTCTTAGTCTGTGTAATCATCTAGCCTGCACGATTATCCCACCTGCGTGAAACTGATCGATATGGCATTGATGAACCTTCAATATTCACCCGGCTGGGTCCAAGTCAACATCGGCGCCGTCAGCGCCGTCGACAACAAGGTAACCCCACCCATGCAGCCTCTGTCAAAAGCTCAGATATACAAATGCAACTCACAACTTGAAAGGACCTCGTGGGTGTGATAGATTGCATTCCAGGAGACTTTTGGATTGAAGGTCAAGATGATTAGCTAATGCTTCAAAACTGAATGATTGTTAGGACAATGATCCTTCATTTTGGCGGTCTTCTCTCAAATGCACGTAGTAAGAACATGAAAGATACGATGCTGTGCCCCTTATAACGCGTTTTACGCTCAGTGTCTTACGATATTAGTATGATTCGACTCGGTGAGCTGCACGTGTATTATGAGAGCATCCAGTGAGTTACTGGTTACTGGGACCTTCTTAGACAACATGATGGAACTGGCTTGTGCTACAGCTCTCTTACATCACACACTTTACACTTCGTTGTCGAATAACTTTCTTCTTATGCCATGTACCCAGATCCTAGCCTCTCCTGTTTCTCAGACTCTTTCTTTTTCTTTCATCCATTCTAATACATTATTTTTAAATGAAATAGGCGACCATATTCTACGTTCTCGGACAACATCATAAAATTCTAGTAATGAGAATAAGTTCTTGAAGGGAAGATCTAACATGTACAGTAGAGATGGCCAAGACTTCAGGTTGCGAGGCACTGATGAAGCATCTACTGTATGTACCCAGCCAATAGTCATTTCGTCTTGGCCAGACATCAATCCAAGTCTTCAATTTCACAACACGAAAGATAACCACCTGGCTCTGGCAGCAAGTTAAGCCAACTTGCTCACACCATACTATCGAAAAGTAGGCCGCATTCGTCCTAAGCGCAAAGTGTGACTGGGGGCATACACAATGACGTTCTGGACGGCCGCGCGTGATTTCTAACGGAGGCGAATTGCGGTAGCGTCCTGATGCAGTGAACAGATAGCGTTGGTGTTTGTTAGCGTGTGCATGCTCTCGGTTTAGGAACGGCGACTTCAATCGTAGACATTGATTGTATGAAGAAGAATGAAGAATTTAAATCATCTCAGACATGCGGCAATGATCTTGTAAGCGTGGTTTGATCATTAACATAGGCATTTTAAAAAATAAAATAAAAAGGTGAGGTACCAACGAAGGAGTTGCCAGAAATATTAGCGTTGGGGAGCCTAAACAGATCAGCCAGCATGGGAAAGTGTGTGTGCTGCATCCCTACTTAAACCTTCTGTAAGGATGCGAGCGCGCACAACCCCCAAGGGGGTTTCACATTGTCGTCATGAATCGGCACCAGCCGCAGCAAGACTTGCACATTTGATTATAAGATAAACCTTGTGTCTGGTCTTTGCTTGTCCATAAACTCAAGGTTAAGGTTCCCTCAAGTTTCATCATACTCATTATTACCACCAGCTTGTTTACGTCCTATCGAAGCCAACCTCATGAAAATCCCACGAGGCACAGACGGCAATTTACATGTCATCATGGGTTAGGCAGAATTCCGCTTTTCCAAGATCTGAGCTGAGCACGGAACCCCTGACAGACGGGAAGCTGCGCCTCATTCCAATTAATTAGTGAATGAAGGAGGACGGGCCTACCTCTTCTGCTGTGTGCGTGTGTTTTTCTACCAAAGCGCCAGCACAGAGGGCAGCTGAACCCGTTCGGAACTTGTTTGGGTCTGGCCCAGGCCACGCGTTGGGCTGTTCGTTCAGACCTTTCCCACCCAGAGCTGCCAGTACGTACTGGACTGTGCTGTGCTGTAAATTGCCCCATCCACTTTCCAAAAAATAAAGAAAGAAAAAAGAGAGAGGGGGGGGGGAAACACCCACAACATACGAGCCTAGGTCCTGTCACCTCGGAACCCTCTCTGAGTGTACTTTCCCAAGTTTCAAAACCAAACCCCAGGATCTGACCGCCACCGACCAAACAAACCTTGGTCAGCATTCTCCTCTCCCTCTCTCTCATCTTGTATCCTTGGTGAGACGTTACCTTTAACTCCCAACGTCTCGCACGCCAGTCACGTCCCCCACATTACAACTTGTCTCTGTGTCTGGACTCTTGTTTCTGCTCTCTCTTCTTCTGTGGATTCTTTCTGTATTTCTCCCCAGGATTCTACAGCCCTGTAACCTTGGACCCCTACCAACTCTACGACATACGGCACACAACATAACCCTTCTTACTCACCCGACCCCTTCCTCTGTCGCCACCTGCCAACCTCTTTTGTCAACACTCATCATCGTTACTCCAGTCCGGGTGAGCTATGAGCTACCAGGGCGAGACAATCTTTCCCATCATCCCCCAGCCCATGGCGCTGGCGGCTGATGCCCTGTCGGGTTCCCCGAGGAGATCTCCCGTCCCCTCGAACCTGGTCGACATCAACAACAATACCAACCAGCAGCAGCAGCAACAGCAACATCAGCAGCCGAGGAAGATAAAGCGAAGCGCCCTCTTCAATGAGGACGTCTTCTCCCGCCTCCTCAGCGGGCCCCTCCTCATAGTACATTTCGCCCTGTACTGCGCTGTGCCCGTTTATTATCTCGTCCACTTCTCGCCCTTCAGCCACTTCGGGCCGGGTCTCTTCAACCAGGCCGTCAGATGGACACTGCTCTGCCTCACCCAGTACCTAACGGCGATCCTCATGGTCTCGTGGGATGGTCACTACAAGGTACGCCGGGAGTTGCTGGCGCTCCTGGTCCTGGTCGCGAGCGCCTCCGTGATGGGGTTGCTGAAAGGGCTGGTCCAAACGATCACCATGGCGCGGGCGGCGCAGAGGGGTCCGGAACAGGGGTGACAGGCTGTTGGGGCACGGGTTGGGTGGTAAACGAAACGAATGGCATGTGATAGAGAAGATGGAGAGGGCTGCGAATCCACCTATCTTGCGATTTGACGAGGCATTGATTGCTCTTGCTTGGGTCTGGGTCGACTTTCTCCAGTGCAAAGTGGAACACACGGCACAAAAAGTAGCCACCATTGCTGGCATGTTGCATGGGTCTGGGTCTGGGACGCTGATAGGGGACCTGGTTCTTGGAACTAGCCGTTCTGGTGGAGGCATCAGAAGGTCGAAAAAAAAATTTTTGAGAGAGAAAGAAGAAAAAAAGAGGAGGGGCGACCCTGGGTAGAGGAGTTGACGGCTAAGTGGGAATTTGTACAATAATTCTTAACATTGTCGTTTTTGGACCCTCCTTCTTCTCTGTCTTTCCCTTCTTTTCTCTTCTTTCAATTCGACACCAGGGTCTCAACATCCGTATCCGACGTCCGGTAGAACCCCAGAGAGGTCAGCATGGGCTTGTCGTCGAATCGATACAAGTACACCGGGTCATCCCCCTCTTGACCTCCAGCAAAGTGTTGGAAGGGATACCACGAGGGAATGCAGAAAGTGTCGCCCTTTTCCCATCGATACTCCACATCTCCAATGGTCGTGTATCCTGATCCCTCTATCACATGGTAGACTGATGATGCCGTCTCCTGCACGCGAGGCGATGTCTTGCCCGCATTGATACGGGCCGCTGAGCCTCCGAGGATTCTGCTCACTGTAGCATTTTGTCCCCCACATTTCGTCAGCTTTCGACTAGATTCTCTCTTTCAATCCGAGGGCAATAAGTAAGAGAGACCACTACCTACCTTGTCTCCCGTCCTCGTGAAGATACCGCAGCTCAGCCGAGTCCCCCTCCACCTCGTCCAGCGCCGCCTTCATCCGGCTCCAGGGAAACACCAGCGGCGAGGCCGACGTGTCGACGTCCTCGGCCGGATAGCGAGGCGACGAGAACTGCTCAACAAAATGCACGGGGAAATGCTGGAAATTGGGCAGATCCAGCCCGTCGAGCCAGATCATGGGGCCCGAGCCGTCCTTGCCGTGGTCGTGCCAGTTCATGGTCGGCGTCAGGATCACGTCGCCCCTCTGCATGCGGATGCGCCGGCCGTGCACCGCCGTGAAGCCGCCCTGGCCCTCGATGATGAACCGCATGGCGAAGGCTACGTGCCTGTGCGCCTTGGCTGTCTCGTTGGGCATTACCAGCTGTAGGCCCGCGTACAGGGTGTCTGTCGTGAAGGGGGCATCTTGAATAGGTTCCAAGCTTTTATGTCAGAATGTTTGCTGTCATTGGTCTTTGTTTCTCTCTCCTTTCTTTCTCTGATCTTCTTTTTTTTCCCCTCTTCCCTCCTTTTCTCTCCTCTTCTTTCCTATGGATCATACCTCTTGCTGGATTAATCAGCATCAGCACCCTCCTCTCAGCTTGGTGCTCCGGAACAAGCTTGCCAGCCTCGAGAAGGCTGGGCCGGATGTCGGCGTATTTCCACAGGTGGGGCGTACACTTGGGATTGGGCAGAGGCGGGTTCAGCCTTGCCATCTGTAGCCAGAGAGGCTTTGTGTGTGCTTTCTCTGCCTGCCGCAGCATGACCTCGGTCGCATCTTCGACCTTGATCTCCTCCGTCTGTGTGGTTGTCGCCATACCGTGGGTTGAAGGCGTCACGCGTCTGGTCAGGTCAGATGGTACTCCACTGCTACTCCAGATCCTGAAAAGAAGCGAAAAGAAATGGTGAGAAAGACGGTCGCAGCTCGATTTGCAACGCCGTGATGAGCCTATACCTAATATGTAGGCCTGAACCTATTCACAAATGAATAGATGTTTATTACTTATTATGTCGTAACCAAGCCCCCTCCTCGTCTTTCTTCTTCCCTATCCCCAAGAAGTGATCATGCACGAACTTACTACGACATCACATAATATGTATCAACCCTTTTCGGAAATAGGGTAGTAATCCCGGCGGTTCGGCCCCTACAGCAACCGACCACCAGCAGACAACACGCAAAGCAGAATGACGTGCGGGGAGATAGTCCGTCGAGGCTTCAACACACTTGAAGGCCGCCATGAGCAGCATGAATTTTTCTTCTCCCCCCACCTAGTTCTCCTAATTACCTGCCTAACTCAATCGTTCAAAGCAACTCTGCAGGCAGACCCTTCCTTATCGACTTCCTAGATCCGCGAAGATCAGCCTAGCTAACCAGGCTTTCCCAGTCCATTCCCCTTCCTATCCTCTGCAGCTTTATTTTTGGGGGAAAGAAATACACACACAGAGAGAGAGGGAGAGAGAGAGAGAGAGAGAGAGCTCTCAATGGCCGATTCCATTCGGGTGTCGCTCCCTACGAGCGGCGAGGACGAAACGGATACGGGCGGCGGCCCGCTGGATCTCGACTCCATGCCTACGCCGGCCGGTGCCTCTGTTGCTGCTAATGATACAGCTGAGGACACTCCGCGTAGGCCGCAGAAGCGTCGCAGGATACCCGTCGCTTGTGGTGCGTGCAGGAGCAAGAAGTCGCGCGTAAGGCTCAGCCCACAGAGCAAATTTTGAATTATTACACCCACACATTTTTTATTTATTTATTTTTAATTTTTTCTTTTTTGGCTACTAGCCTGTGGAAAAGAAAAGAGGTAGAAAATGGAGGGAGAAGATACAGAAGAGGAAGGAAAAGGGGGCGATCTAACTTTTTCTTCTTTTCCTCTTTTGTCTCTATCCCTCCTTTTTCTCATCTCCCTCTGTTGTTGTCGTTGTCATCAACACAGTTTCATGAACTCTGGGGAGCTGACGGATTGTTATGAGAACAGTGTGATGGCTACCGGCCGAAATGCTCTAGTTGTCAGGCACAGAATATTGAATGCGTCTACTTATCTCCTCCCATCTCGGCGACAACTCCAGTTCCAAGGGCGTAAGTGATGATACCTGCGGTAAAGGGGGAGGAGAAGGAGAATGTGGTCACCAGGTGATGGTTGTGGGTGTGCTTTTGCAACGGCGTCGGACTGTCTGGACTAACTCATTCCCTTTGGCTTGGACGTCTACCAGGTTTCTTCAGCTCGTAGAGACCCGCCTGTCTCAGCTCGAGAGCGACGTGCGCATGCTGAAGGACACACAGAGCCGGACCGGAAGTGTGACTAGCGACTCCATCATGAACGACCGGAGGGCCAGCATGTCAACGTATCAGTCGGCTCTCACCGTGCCTGAAGTGGATTCCGAGGACTTTGGAGAATTTCCTGATGCTACCGATGGTATGGGATCCATGGAATTCGCAAAGGAAGAGGACTCTGGTTACTATGGTACGTGTCAGCTCATGGTGGCCGATCTTGGGAAAGAGGAGGGTGGGGGGAAAAACTCGGGAAGAGACTATCAATGGCTGAGCACTTCTTCTTTCACCGCAGGCCCATCATCGAACATCGCATTCACTCGCAATATCCGCCGAGCCATGTACGCCCTCTTATCGCGGCCAGCATCTCGTCACCTCGGCCCCGACGCGAGGTCGCACCGGCAGATCCCCCACAGGCCCTCTCTCGATGTATCTCGGCCCTCCACGCCCCACGTGCGGACGACACGGCTGATCAACGGCGAGGCGGGCAGTGTGGATGGGGCCGTCGACTATCTCGCCCTACCTCCTGACGAGGAGATGGACGCCCTCGTCAGTCGCTTCTTCGTGGACACGGGAGCTCTGTTCCCTTTTGTGCACGGCCCGAGCTTTTTGGATGAGTATGAGCGGGTGAAGAGGAATAACTTCAGAAAGTTCAGGCGGTCCTGGCTGGGGCTGCTAAATGCCATTCTTACCATGGCCACGGTGACTTCTGCCAGCATGAACATCACTGCCTCTGACAGGGCGGCCCGGGCGGAAGTCTTCTATATGCGTGCCAAGGCACTATGTCTGGATCGCATGTTGCATAGTGCAAGCTTGGAGACTGGTAAGTGACCTCATGACAATAAGGAAAAGGCCTCGTCGACTGATTATTTATTATGGTCAACAACAGTCCAGGCAATGCTGCTCTTGAGCCAATACTTGCAAGGCACACATCGATCGACGACCACCTGGAACGTGCATGGTCTTGCTGTGAAGGCGGCTTTCCAGCTGGGGCTGCACTCGACTTCTTTCTGCAAAGACAATTCCCCGTTGGATAAAGAGATGCGTCTTAGGACCTGGTATGGCTGCATTCTTCTCGACAGGTAATTTCCCACACAATTTCTGTCCCTTCAAGTGGCAACCGAATTGACACAGAAATTACCAGAACACTCAGCATGACCTTTGGCCGCCCTCCAGCCATTCCCGAATCTTATGTTCGAACCCCATTGCCAAAAGCCTGCGACAAGACTCTTGCCCCTATGAAGGTCAACGATGTCATGCTCAGTACTGATTTCTTCGTGTATACTATGTCAGTTTCGCCCGTGAGAATAACGAAGAATGAGATTATTAGACACTGGCAGCTGACATTGCAGCTAGAACTCTTTACAAAATAATGTGGACGATAATCGACATTCTCTACAAATGCAATATTGGCGATCCGGACGGCGGTGTCCTCCCTGTCGCCGCCAGCATTCTCCAGATCGAACATCAGCTGCTCGAATGGCAGGCCGCGCTGGGTCCACTCTCGAGTCTTGTCACACCAGCAGAGCTAAGGAATGACGACAGCTTCAGCGCGGAGAAGAGGTTCCGAGTCGTTCTCACCTTGCGGTATCACAACGTCCGCATCCTTGCGCACCGCCGGATGTTGGATCTATACCTCTCCAGCATCGAACGGGGCCAGAGCTACGATGCAGAGGACTCGATGTTGAGACAAGTTGGGCAGCGCAGCAAGAGCATCTGCTTCCAGTCGGCGTCCGAGTTGATCGGGATTGTCAATGTGCTCACGCACTCTCCCGAGCCAAAGAGGGGCTTACTTGGGGCGTGGTGGTTTACCCTTTACTATAGTGAGTATCAACACATGATCAAACAAGAGGTTGACAGCAAAAATTCCTGATACTAACACCTGAGCAGCATTCAATGCGACACTGACGATCGTCGCATTGATGCTTTGTAACCATGTCAGCGGCCCAGAAGCGCCCACTTCTTACGAAGCCACAGGCATCTCAGACCAGGCCCTGAATGAGATACTAGCAGCAGCACTTGCATGTTTGCCGTTGATTGACAATGGAAACAAGATGGTGGAAAAGTGTGCAAAGTTTGCGACAACGTTGAACCAGTGTCTGCATCTCCTGGGTAAGTAATTTTGACCCATACATACCTGTGCTTCGAGAGTTCAAATGTGTAAATGAGGCTGACACTTATTTAACTCCAAAGGTGAACAAGCAGACGGCTCGTTCAGGAGTAATGGTGAAGGGGGCACGCCTACGGTGGAAACTCCGAGGCCCGCCAACCAATACGGGGTGCCTCACTCGTATGCTCCCATACCAATCGATGTCAGCCACTTTGATCTCGGTGCTCTAGGTTGGGAGAACGACTTCTTGGCGTCCCTATGGAGTGGTATGACCGAGGGAAATCAAGAGTCTGATCTCTTCTGCTAATTGTTAACAATCAACACATCGTGAAGTTGTGCTCCGCATCACTGGACAAGTACTGCATAGGCAAGCCATATTTCAATAATTAGCAGAAATCAAATTATAGTTTCCAAAACCACTATGTTATCTTTGCGTCTGGTCTTTGGCCCGTATCATACTGTCAATGGCTCATCCCGTTTCTAATTCTGCGTTTTCAGTATCAGATCATGAATCGCCTTGTCCCAAGCCTCCTCCATCACCTTCTCTGCGTCATACCCATACGCCCAGTTCTGCGTGACTGGGTCACTCCACTGATTCGGACTGCTGAGGAAATGCCTCCCGTCCACCTCAGGCCGCATGGCCGCATCCCGCGCCTGCTGGAGCGGCCCGTCCTTGAAGTGCCAGATCATCGAGTTTACCATGCTCGCCTCCTGCATCATGCTGCTCCGCTTGATCCGCTCCTGCTCGAAGACATTCAAGGCGAATTTGACCTCCTTGGGTGACGTGATCTTGCTCAGGGCCACAGCGAGGGCGGCGCCGTCTTCGACTGCCATCGCTGCGCCTTGGGACATATACGGGACCATGGCGTGGGCTGCGTCACCTAGGATAATGAGCTTGGAGGAGTTGGATACCCATTTGTCCAGTGCAGAGCCGGTCATTAGGGGTGTCTTCAGTGCCTTGTCTATCAGGCTAATGATTCTGGTGAGTCTGATAAAAGCAAGCTTAGCATTTTGTTTGGGTCTTGCAGGTATGAATAATCAAGAGCGACTGGCTGGCTTACTGTGGATCCCATCCTTCAAACTCCCTCCTCATATTACCCAGGATATCCTCCTCCAGACCGAAGGTGGCAGGATCTCCTTTGTCGCGGTGGGACAAGACCATGTTGAATGACTTTCCGCCAGCTATGGAGTAGGTCATCACGTGGCGGTCCTCGCCAACCCTAAAAATCATTAGGATGATTGTGGACGTAATAAGATAGCTGAGTTCATAGCTCACCAGAGATTCAGGTTGTGCTTCTCCAGAATCCAAGCAAGCTCTGGAAAAGGTCTCATCTTGTCAACATCAACTGTTGCGCGATATACTGCAAAACCCGTGAGCTTCGGCACCCCTCTTCCTCCAGGAGATACCAATGCTCGTGCGAGCGATTTCACCCCTGCAGCATCATGAGTGTCAGTATGAGAGATCACCACGGTAATAACTCTGCCATAGGTGTACAAAATATCAACAAAGACACCAGCAAGTCGACGTACCATCTGCAGCAACGACCAGATCGCCCTGGAAGACACTCCCATCTGACAGAATAATGGTGGCCGTCTCTGGATTGTACTCGTCCACCTTGCTGTTCAGCATCGTCTTAACTCCCAGCGCACTGGCCTGCTGATACAGAGCATTGTGGAGATGAGCTCTGTGCACAACATAGTAAGGCGACCCATACTTTGCACTGAACTCGGGCGAGGTGTCTGTGACGCCAATCAAAGCTCCGTTTTGCCAGCGCCGGAAATTCATCTTAGCTGGCTGGACGACGTATTTCGCAAAGCGCTGGGCAACTCCCCATCGTTTTAGGAGTATTCCTGAATTTGGTGGAACTTGAATACCAGCGCCGACCTATTGTAATGTCAGATACTCTGATTGGAAGATTATGTGCCATAAAATTTTCAAGAGTTTTATATTGTGATTTTGACGAAACTCACCTCCATGAGTTCCGGAGCCTGCTCAAAAACCGTCACATCGTGACCTCTCCTGCGCAAGGCTACAGCCGTAGCCAGTCCACCAAGGCCAGCACCGACAATGAGGATATCCAGCTTCACTTTGGCCTGTTTCACCTCACGATGCTGACGCGTGTGCAATTCAGGAACATTTTGCAAGAATTGCAGACAATTCGACGGATACGAGGTGGACGTGTACTTGGGCTGTTCCTCAGCCTCGCTGTCAGATTCGTCCTCGCTCGTGACGAGGCTGCCGTTGGTTGCCTTCACCGCCTTTGCATCCCCATTGGAGAGCAAGGTTAGCACCGAGAGAGGTGTTGCCATCGGCATATTGGGCTGTTGCTGGGCTGGTGCTGCGTGCTTTGAGACAAGGCTGCCGGCGCTGTATGACTTGGAAAGACGCAATTGCAGGATCGGCACTCGCAATCACCGAGACGCTGGAAGGGGGTGAGATGTTGGAGGGAACAGGGTGGGAACTGATGACGAGGTGTGTGAATATTTCATTCTTTTAGGTAAAGCCAGTGATCATGGGTTCCTCGTCTGAGATCGACCAGAACTGTGATGCTATCTCGTGCTTCCCTAAGTCCCCGGCCTAGCGGCGGCAGCAACATCGCGTTTGAATGATAAGGTATTCGTAATTCATAGGAACAAGATAGCGTCCCGTGAGAGTTGAAAGCATTTCGAGTGGCTTGTTATGGACGATATTTCGGTCAAAATGTGACGGAACGTAACAAAGGAGCCCGAGGTCTTAGACCGGTTAGTAAGTCCTGCATATACAGTGAACAACTCTATAGGCTGTTTGAAAGCCGATTCATACCTAATTACTGCAGTATGACAATCGTGGGCTAAAGCAACCGGGGAGCAAGGGAGCATGTGACAATCTGACATTTGCTACATTTGGAATTCCTAGTCTCCTTGGTATAACTTTGTGAGTTTTTAACACTTTGAGCACTATCATGCGCCTACATCCATTAATCATGCATATTCCACACCGTTTCGAAGAGTGCCAATCTTGCTGATCTTCACATCAACCTGGTCACCAGGCTTAAGCCACTGAGATGGTGTCTGGCCCATGCCAACTCCTGTACCGAGAAATAACAAGATTAGCGCTTTCTCAACTAGATTGTTGTATGCAAGATCCTCGGGGTGGTGACTTTACCTCCTGGGGTTCCCGTCATAACTACAGAGCCCGCTTGAAGGGTTGTCCCACTCGATAAATACGAAATCAAGTAGGCACAGTCAAACAACAAGTCACTAACAGACTCTTGCTGCCTGATTTCACCATTCACAATCGTAGAGAGGTCCAACTTGCTCGGGTCTCCTACCAGGTCCGCCCTGACGAGACAAGGGCCAAGCGGGGCAAAAGTATCAAAGCCCTTTGAGAACCCCCACTGAGGTACAACGCCAGCAAACGCAGGATCTCGCTGCAGCTTTCGGGAAGACACATCGTTCCCGGCGGTGTAAGCCGCAATGTACGACAGGGCATCCTCCTTGGAGACATCTTTGGCGTCCTTGCCGAGAACAAAGCACAGCTCCCCCTCGTAGTCTGCCTGGTCGTCCTGGGCGATCTTGGGGACCACGATGTTGGCGCCGTGGTCGTGCACGCACGTGTTGGGCTTGAAGAAGATGAAAGGGAAAGGAGGGGGCTTCCTGCCGGCCTCGCGGATGTGTTTGGCGTAGTTGAGGCCCACGCAGCGGAGGATAGGCACGTCTGCCTGCGCCAGGGGGCCGAGGAGCTTCTTGACCGTGACTACCTCATCAGTGACCACCGTCTTACCGGTGGTGTCGTAAATATCGTGCCCTTTGATGATCTTGGCTTGTAATTTCGTCTCCTCTGTTGTCGTCCCCAGGTCGAAATCAGGACTAGGGAGGATAGGCTCACCGCGCAGCACGCGGCCGTCCTCGGCAGTGAAACGGATGAGTCTCTCCCACGGGACCGACATAATTGCTGGTGGTGGTGTTGATGATGATAATTGACTGAAGCCTATGTGTACCTAATAGAGGTTGAATATGAGGACAATGGCAACATAACCAGAATTATTCAGGCAATCTAAAGGTGCAGAAGTACCCCTCGGCTTATTTTTATGGTAGAGTACTTCGGGGAGCAGGGCCCGGAGTTAGGGAAGACTGCCGGCGTCTAGCACCTCTCACACGCTCGACCTGCGCGGTGGCAAGATATTGATTTCCACCTTCCACTCACGGCTGCACGTGATATGATTTACTGACCACCTTTTTCTACGATTTCGTACCAAGAAGTGGCTTGCAGGCTTCGTTGCATGTTGCTCAACGCTTGGTGAGGGAGGAGGGGTAGAAGCTCACGCCCCTCTTGCAACGGACGATGTTGTGCCACATATTGATGGACACCCATGTCTCGACCTCTGAATGACCAAGCAATGACTTTATTGTGTGTATAGTGCAGGCTTCTTCCACAGCTATGACTTTCTATTGAGCTTACCACTGTGCTTTCTACCGCTGCTGCTTGCCTATTGCCCGCAATCCAGCACCGTATCTCCACGATAGGAATGGTGCAGGTAGCCCCAAGCCGAGCCATACAAAAGTCAGAAGACTGTTACCCCATCCATATCCAAGACTAGAATACATCCTGGACGCAAATAGCGGGAAGGCGAACGCCGTGATGTTCCGGAGCAGTTGGCTCGCCGCCGTGGCGCTAGCTACATGCTCCGGGTTAGCGTCCACGAGATAGGCCTGCATAGACTGCGTCGAGATGATGATGCCGTATGCAAAGACGGACAAGCCAAAATCGGGCACGAGCCAGACCACCCGCTCCTCGGTAGCCCAGCCGTACCAGAACAGGCCGATTGGGATGAGAACCACCCCGAGCATCATGAAGGGCGCACGGAACTCGGGTTGAGCCTCGCCGTTGTTGTGACTCTTAAGATGTCGCTACAGCCGGTCCATGAAGCGTGCTCCGCCCTGCGATGCTGCCATGCAGCCGAGGCAGATGGCAATATAGTGTAGCCCGGATATAGTTTTGGACTGGTCATAACGATTGATAAACATGGTCGCCAGAGTACTTTGCACTATGTAAAGAATTCCATATTTGTAGGTGAGGAAGACGGACATGAGTTGGACAAAGGGCTGTGTTATGAGCAGTCTTCTAGGCCGCGCCAAGCTGGGGGCAAGGGTATGCTCAACAGACTCGTATTCCTGCTCGTATGCCGTGTAGTATGGCTGGCTTGTCTGTTTGCGAAGATTCTTGGCTTTTCGATGGAGGATCGAAGCGGCGTGTGTCTCTGGAAATATGAAACTGCTGAGGACATGAGAACGGCATCTGCGATTGACGAAAACTAGAAACTCCAGCGCCATCCAACAATACCAGTCTAGTCCATATTACCCCATTAGCACACTCCAACATTGGCTCACTTAGTAGTTGTGTTTGTTTCAGGGCATCCCCATGTTCTGAGATTTTACTTGTGGCATAGGAGACGTACAAGCACACCGCCGAGAATAGAACCCACAGCTCGGCCAAAGAGCGTCCACGCTGTTTCTTCGTCCAACAGTCGGCGAGTACAGGGTTTGAACCCCATTTCATGCACTTATGAGCCTCTCCATATGTTGTTGAAGAAGAATTACCTCAAAAGCACAGCATGTATAGCACTAGCTCCGAACCCTGCAAGGAAACAGTTCGCAATCACTACACCGTTACTCTGGGCAAAGCCAGCAACAGTATTCCAGATGACATAGAAGCAACCTGAAAGGATCCAGATTGACTTTCTCCCGAACATCTCAGTCAATGGAGCGAGCGGCGGGGGCCAAACACGTAGCCAAGCACGAATATAGACAAGGTCATTTGTGTTGTTGCCTCGTTGGTGTCGAGATCCCGAGACATGGTCGTCAGGGCTGGAGCGATTACCGTCGAGGACATCATAGTGAGCGTGCTTCCGAGAGAAGTGAGGGGTGTGACTGCCCATTTTTTCCATTGTGGCCAGTTGAACGGATTGAGAGTGTCATCTGGTCCATCCCAAGTGACCTTACAGGAGGGTCAGTGAATTAATACATCACTTTTCAGGAGTCATTCTTATTGAGAAGTGCTAGCAAAGCCAAAAGAAAATTGCAGTGAATTGTCCTAGCAAACATAGATCTTGGGGTTCACTCGTGTCTTGATCTATTCCGATGTGCCATGGGAAAGCTTGTTGGGGCGAGCGCGTCTCGGGATCCGCTGACACGGGGCCAATTTCAGCTTCTCCTTGGGTCATAGTAGACACCGCTCTGTGAATATGACTATGATAGGAGCTTGTGGCTTTGACACTCAGAAAGCGATCTGTCAGCCCTTAAACATTTTCGTGTGTGCAGACGAAGGCGTAATTGCTTGTTAGTTTAAACAGTGGTCGTCGCAGTATCAATACTTCATCAGTTTGCAATACTGCTCCCGAATCGGATTTTCAGGTCTCTTCCGTCCATTTTCTTTCCAACAACGAGTCCCCGACGAGTTTCAACGCTTCTCATAGTTCTTTACAGTGGTGCGGCGCAGCGGCTCGTGGCTCGGAGCTTGGAGCCTGCAAACCGGCGCCGTGCTGCTCTCCGTGTCGACTGCCGTCCCCAGGATGACCAACACCTAAAGCCGAGAATCTCGTAGATTTCACTAGACGAATATCTGTGTTGTGACTATGCTTATCCTCAAGTCTAATAACGGCACCGATCCCAGTCTGACCTGTCTATGTCACGCCTCTGTCGTGCTTTGTCAATCGCCCGAAGCTAGCTACAAATACGATGTGTGGTGAGCAATTCGCCAGCCTGACGGAATTTTCAGAATTACCTTGAGAGGGAATAGAGAAATTGCCAACCAGGTAGACGGGTCACTCGAACAAAACTGACGTGCTGCCTCGGGCTATCACAAAGTTGACACGAATACTAACAAGCAGAGCAGCTATTACCAGAAGACAACAGGGTGATGAGTATCCAAGTAAGATGTCACAAATCATATGCAACACTGGCCAGTATGATCACTCACCACAGACGTCACTAGAGATCATCTGGCTAGGAGAGCTGCAAGCTGTGGCCTTGAATATAAATTGGACGGAATAGTCGATCACTACTATGCTGATTTAATCAAGACAAAGCGCCTTATATCACCTTGCCTGCCACAATCGCGACACATTGCTGAGGCATATTAATTATATCTGTGTCCAGAAGCACAACAATAGTGCATCTACGGACTATAAGAGAGGTTGTTCGTGAAATCACAAATGCATCATATTATATGATCAAAGATATACAAAATCCAGCAATGGTCTCAACTCACTATCTATCTCTCCTTGAGATTTGTGTGTTTTAATTACCTTGGCTTGCAATCGGGGCCAATGTCGGCCGAACTCGAGCGATCAGTAAGGGACACCATAAACCGTTAATTTGTTACAAGAAAAATCTTAGCAGTTTCATAATTTCCTCAAACACGCAAATTAACTTTGTGACTTCCTCGACATACTCTACAGCACGGAGTTTAGAACAAGCAGAGAGGCTCCATCCGGGTTCCGAAGAGTAACAAGACCACTAGGATAGTCCTGCGGAATCAGGGCTTTCCAACTGTGGAGGCCAAGCTCGGTGGCCGGCGGCGGAACAAGGTTGAGAAAAGCACAAGGACGATATAACCGTCGGAACCACATACCCTGGATGTGAGCGAAATGGACTCTGTATTTACTCGTCAAGAAAGATTGTCTTTATCCGGTCCGCAGACCCGTCTGCCAAGCTATGATGCCTGCCTTTGGGGCTGTCGTCATCCTCTGATATTACGAGTGATGATAACGAGAAGCATAGATCGAGTACACTTCAAGAGCCCGAATAGCAAAGCAATCCAGTATTAAAGTCACAGTCTTTGAACAAAGATCACATTCGGCAGGAGTCCGACTTGCATGTGTGTCATCTATGTTGTTATTGCCAAATCCAGAGAATGGCCTGTAGGCTCAGGGCGGTGATTGTTGCACTCGTATTGTGAAGATCAGTATTGTTTTGATGATTCCCGTGGCTCAATGATCAGTCCATCGGCAAAGCCATGACTGCAAACGATCGCTATAATTTGATCCAAATGCAAACAAGGCTGTAAAAAGAAGTTCGTGCTACTGCAGAGAAAAATTGGACCCTTCCCGCCCCTCCCAGTTCGGGGATCAACAAACTATCTGCCAACAATCCACGCACAACTCACCTTACCCTCACATTTCCTCTGCTGCGCCCGCACCCTTCTCTGCCCTATGTACGCCCCAACATTTCCCGGGAAAAAGGTTATGTCGTGCCTGCTGCCCGCATTTGAGCGCCCGCAGTAAGAATGCCCAGTTTCTGCCAGTTCAGCACAAGATCTCGAGAGTGAGGGTTGCAGACGGGCTGCAACACCTTCCCAAAGAGGCAATTCGGGAAACACGTCACTACACGCCAAGAGTGGACTTTGTGCAGTGAGCGCTTTTGCTCATTCGCAGCGACCCCTCCTTCGATCGCAGTCTCTTTGCATCGGCTCACACACCTGCCGAGATCGCTCACCCCGCCTTTTGGACGATAGTCCGAGGTAGGGGAGAAGACGAATCAACGGATTTTGCATGGGCATGGCGTCATCCGCGATGCACTCATATGAAAACGCCCTCTGCCCGCCTGCTAGGAAGAGGTTGTGAGTTCCTGGCTATCCATTTCGTTTTCTTCGGAAAGGGATCGATCTGGAGAAGAAAGTGTGTGTTGGGAGCCACCAAAGGTCAAAAGCCCCTCTCAGAGATTACCGATATGTTTGGATCAAGGTTTCTGAGTGAGTTCATCTGAATTATATACCTTGTTTCCCACTGATTCTTCTTTGCAAGTCTGAGCGCTGACCAAGCCTCATAGCCATCGGGCCTAATCCTGCCTTTTTCCAAAGGCTGCGATCATGGTTCCGACAGACCTGGATTCTGGACATGGGAGTCTCAGAGATCCTTGGTCCGGTCCCAGTGATAGCAAAGGAAGCAGAGGCCAAGCTCATCACCACACCGACGCCCTTCAGCGTGTCAGCCAGCCGCGCGCCGGCTCTCTCCACCATCTCGCCGTCTTCACCGGCTTGGATGGAACTCAGACCTATTCAAGGGCTACGGCGGCAGCTGCGCAGGAGGAAGGGCTGGAGCGACCTCAGGAAAACACATCAACTTCAGGCACGAGAGGAGAGCGTGGGACTTCTGACCGCCGCATAACTTTCATAATATCTAGGGGATGAGGAATCAGGTGCTGATTATAGGGGGCTATTGGATTGCATATGGAGGGCCACCTGGTTGCAGGTTGGCCTCACGAAGTCTCATCTTGCATTTGTTTTTGTGTTTTTCTTTCATTTTCTATGTCATTTGGATGCTATGGCGTTACGGGCTTCGGCGGAGGGTGCGGGTCTGCACACACTGGAGGGGCATCGACAAGATCCCAGCAAATGCTCGTGACTCGGAAGGAGATTTTGAGGCAATTGTCTCACCAGCCAGGGAATTTTGAACTGGCCGTTCAACAAGATACCACATACCAACACACTCATTAGAAGACCATTATACCATCCTAATGGGAATGATGAATTCAGAGCATCTGACTTAATGTAAGCGGAGATAGGGTAGTTCGTCTTCATCAGGCAACCTGCTTAGGGCTGCATGACCTGCTCGATCGGGACAAGCATTGGTGGCACATTTCAAGCCGTAGCCGGGTTTTCTGCAGGTGTAGTGTCTGCTACGTAGTAACAAGACGCATACCTGTTCTTGAATCCCGCATGACAACCTTCTCCACCGAAATGCTCCTGTGTATTCGTCAGCGTCCACGTTGACTACTCACCTGATTTGACCGGATTTGTAGGTTGATCAGCATCGTAGCATTATTCTTTTCGATCGGACCGAGGAGCCTAGAATGTAGGTCTCGAGAGAGCGGAAGCAGCTCTTTGCTTGATGTCAAGAGAATGAGCCGGACTTGGTACACGGGCACTGATGCTCGTCTCAATGAGTCCTGTCTCGACACATCGATCAATTGAGTGTCTGAAGAAATCAATTGAGGCTTGGCTGTTGCATATGTAACTTCCTCGCTTGAGGGCAGGAGATACATTTAGGAATGCAGGCTATGCAATGATTCATTGCTCAGATAATTCGGCTTGCAATCTTCCTTGGCCACACAGGCAAGTGGAAAGGGTTCAATATCGATTGAAAGCAGTCCAAAAATTAGCCAAAGAGTCATGTCACGAAGAGAGTCAACATCGGCAAAAGCAGTGAGAGAAATTGTGATCGTAAAGTCATGAAATACACGTACAGGACTAAAGCGCTCAAATCAGCCTGGATTGCGATCACAGCTCACCATCAAGGTCCATCATGCCCTTCTCATCACCGTTGGAAATAAGTCCCTCCATCAAAAGAATACCTTCGCCCTCGTTGAAGATCTCATGAGGGCTCACCGTATTTTCATGACTTGTTACCAACACTTTCACGGTGGCCAAGAGATTAGGATCCCTCGCAAGCCTCAGTAAGGATTGCATAACCGTCCGCAGATCATCTTCGTACTCGCCCGTCTCATAAGTCTCTACTGCATCGACTACGCAGACCACTGTCTTCTGCTGAGGAAGCTGTCTGACCAACCACTCGAAAAAAGGACACAGCACGCCAACATCCCCCCCGCGCAGCCCTTCCATGTCAACGTTCTTCTGGCAAAAGGTGAAGTTCGCAAAGTCCTGTCGGAGAAGCTGAGCGGTCAAGCTTCGGATCAAGGCACTCGGGCCGGCGAACAGATCATCGGACTCGGGATGCTGTCGACAGAAGAATACCACAGAGGCGAAGCTGGGCCTGGTGCGAAGTCCTTGCATCAGCATTGCAGACACAAGTGACAACGCAGAACCGGCTTGGATTGCATCGTGCCGTGTATCGCCCTGGATAAGCAACTCGCAAGAGGTGGAAGACGTCGCCCAAGCGCGGAACTCGTTTGCTATGATGATACTCTTGGCATGGCTGCGGTATCGCAGAGCAATGGAGTCCTCAGAATCTAGGATGCTTGTGATGTCGCTCGAATCCAAGCTCGATATCTTGAGGAGTTCCAGTAAGACACTGGAATATACTGTTGGCTCTGGTGATGATTGGTACGGATAATATTGTATAGGTAGTTGAGCTATTAAAGGGCCCGGCGGTTGATGAATCCCTGGGGAGGTATCCACGACTGCTGCAGCGGGTTCCATGGTACCTATTGCTGAGGGGGATACCAAGAAAGTTGTTGCGGCGGCTGGGTCGGGGACGGAGTGACAGCTTTCATGGCTTTAGATCTCTCGTCTTCCGCGAGATGGTTCTTGAATTCCTCTTTGAATCTTTCGAAGTGAACTAGCATTCCCATTAGCCTGACAAAAGTACATTGACCGTGATATTTGGTGGATAAGACAAGTCAACTTATAACTCATCTCTTGAGACCTTTCCCGCTCCATGTCACGGTTCTTTTCTCCCTGTGAAAGTAGATCAAATATTTCATTGATTAGATCAATCATATTTGTAATTGATTCACCCAGTTTATCCACTTTCAAAGCAAGCTCGGTCCCTTGTCGTATAATGAGGTGGGACTTCTGCACGACAACTTCTACTCTATTGCCCATAGAAATCTCGAGAAGCTCGAGCCGGCCAAATTCTGAGTCGGAGATAAATCAGTGATAATCCATGTCCTCAACTTGCGGTGTAAAATACTCATCCTGCAGTATTAGTTCCATTGCCCTCTTCGTTCCCTCTATGTGCGAGCCAAGACCTTGCTCTACTAATTCCTGGCATTTTATCGGGATCTGGACAATACTATTAAGTAGCTCCTCTTCATATTTTTTGCCATCATCCACAACCGGCAAAGTCTGACGGAACCTCTTTACTGAAGAAAGTAACGTCAGTATGGGGATCAAGGGTTCACGGAGTTGAGAGCAAGTAGGCTCACAGGTGGTTGACAAAAAGTACACAATCGCACCCTTCAAAGCCTTGAGCGTGCATGCAACCAGACTAATAGATGCCAGTATGATATTTTCATCTTCTGGGAATGTGGCAAGAAACATCTCGATCTTTGAAAAAGTCTTCTCAAGGCCATGTTCGTCGAAGCTCGATTTGACCGTCCTGCGGACATCTGATGCGACCTTCGCAGCCTGCTAAAGTTAGGCCTCTGGATGAACGAGGGCGTCAAGACGTTGGAAAAGACTCACATCCAGGAGCACTCCCACTGCAGCTTTTACTGGTGGTGTGTATTCAATGTCTGGGACGAATTCAAGTGCCTGTCGCGCAACATCACTTCTGTCATTGAGATATCGCTAGACCTTCCTAACGCCGCTCACGAACTGCGACTTGTCGCCATCGAATTGTTCCTTGGCTTTTTCGAGCCTACTATAAATATCATCCCAGTTCCGTAGGCCTCGAATGCCGTACTCCGGCTTTTCTGCCAGCTGTTTGGGTAGTTCCGAGTTGCCATCAGTGAACTTCATTTGAAGTTGTCTTCTACACCTATCATTTGTGCGCATTCCCATGTTGTGGTGCGGCAACTTCTGGATAATACTCGAGGAGTAACCCTGTATTGTCAGAATAGCAATCCACTTCTTGACAGACAATAGAGCATCGGGACATTTTTCAATGTACTATTTAATAGAAGACGATGATTATAGGTCTCTCCAGCATGGGATAAGAGATTTGATAGTCTTGGGTCTCTAAATATTGCTTGTGAGGGCTACTGTCTTTCTCGAGGAGCCAAATAGCTGGTGATGGACGCAATGGACTCCGCATTCTCAACAGCCCACAACGTCTTACTCGCAACACCAGCCTGGGCTTCGCCCAAGACTCTCTGACACTGGTCCATGAACTTCTCTTGCAGCCTCTTCTCGTCTAACGGCACCTCCATACTGCCAACTGCATGGACGACGTGCTTCTCGAGGGTGCGCCCTCCGTTCATTGTGACCACGACCTTTGTCTCATCGGCTCCCAAGCTGTCGTCGATCTCGGCATGGATACGGTCACGAACACCAATGACCTCGGCATTGCGGACAACAGAATCCTCGTACTGGCTCGGCGTGGCCTTTCCAAAGAGCAGGCCGCAGGCACCTCCATGATAGACGCTGAACTTGCCCTGCAAGCCGTCCTTGGGCTCTTTCTTGCCTGTCAGCTCCAGCACGAGGTAGTGGACCTTGGCATGCACGCTCTCGATATCTTCCGGTTTCAGGCCTTCCTTTTGCATGTCCTCATGTATCTGCGCACATGCATCGATGACAGGGTGTATGACGATGCCACACGGGAACGGCTTAAAGCTGTTGCGCAGGATCTCCCACCGGCCTTCCGTCGCGGGCAGACCAACGTCGCCGCTCCCAAGCCACTTGCTAAGGTCCGCCTGTATCTCTACCTCCCCCTTGGTCGCGCCCACGACGTTGGCCCACCCTCTCTTGGCCTCCAGCGACGTGTCACTACTCGTGTAGCCCTCCTTGGCCAGCAGCGCCGCCATCAAGCCCGCCTGCGCCGCCCGCCCAGGATGGAAACTCTTGGTGTGGCTGCCAAACATCTCGCGCAGCCCCACGACCTGTGTGGCCGCCACGCCGACCGCATGCGCAATCTTGTCGCGCGACAAGCCCAGCAACTTGGCCACCGCCACCGCGGCGCCGACAGAGCCAGTGGTCGAGGTGATGTGCCAGCCCACGTCGTAGTGCTGCGGCCAGACGGCCAGGCCGAGCTTGCACTCGACCTCGATCCCCGCGACGAGAGCTAGGAGGAAATTCTTTCCAGAGATGGTCTCGGTTCCTTCGCGGGAGCGCCATTCAGCGGCGGCAAGAAGTGCGCTGGCGACGGGGCCCGTGGGGTGGATGATGGTGTCAAGGTGTGTATCATCGTAGTCGTGCACATGGGAGGCGATGCCGTTGAGGAGGGCGGCGTGCTGCGGGTCTGTGCGGTTGTCACCTTCGCGTCCGAGGAGGGTGGCACTCGGACGGCCAAAGAATGGTTTTAGAGCATTGTGCTGTGGTCCAGGGTGTGCGATTTACTGCGTCAGTTTTCCCTGGCGCTGGAAACAGAGTTGAAGCTAACAGTCTCTCGCACTTACGGCAATCTTGACGGCTTCATGATCACTGCCTCCTATGGCACATCCAGCCCAGTTGTAGAAGCTTTGCACGGCTGCCCGGACCACATCTGGTGGTAGCTGGGTGTATTTCAGGTCGTGGACCCATGAAGCGACGTTTCTGGTCGCCATGACTCTATTCCTCTGCTAATTATGGCCAGGGGCTGTTTCGGTGATGAGAAGCCAGAAGAACCAGACGCGAGTGTAGAGGTGCCTTTCTTATGACGTTATATATCGTCTCGTCAGTGAAGTTCTTCGCCGACCTCGGAGTATGAATTACAGGCGAGAAGATCTCGGCCTGCTCGCTTTTGTTCTTTCCCTTCTAATAACACTAGAACATCGTTGTGTTTTTGCAATGACAGGTGCATCTTCACAAAATCTACCCAACTACGACCGTCCACCCCCTCGCCACTCGGATTAAACACAACCCGGTATTCTTCTATCATCACAGGTATGCAGTATTAGTGCCCGTTGAGGATGCGGGGAAGATGTCATCATGAATCAAATCAGTCTGCATGACCTTTCAACATTGGCCTTGCTAGGTCTAGGGTGAAAATTACAGCTTACTACGTTGGGCTGCTGCATCATCTTAATCACTGGATATACTTAATGCAAACCTCGTGCTCTATCTGCCAGGTCATGCTCCTTGGAATACGATCAAGCTTTCTCTTGGCCCCGCTTAGCAGGAAAATGAAGCTTTCGCTAACGAACGCTACGTTGAACGCCACCGGCGGGAATAGAGTGGAGATATTCTGCTGTGGCATTATTAGTTGTGCCAGAGTGGGGTATTATAAAATGTGAGCAGCAGTTCTGTTGCTCTTGGGTTTGACAGGCAGATGGGCGGTGTTGGATACTTTGAAGACAGGTAAAGATTGGCCTATCAGTACTATCTGTTACTATTCTCAAAGGTAGAACAGCCAATATGAGTCCGAAGTGGGAAAAGTATTGCTGGCTGCAACATTTCGACCAAGTCCGAGACGATTTGCTCCTCTCCCTGACCAGCACTAAATTGTATTGCCGATACTATCAGAAGTGAACGGCCACGGCCTCAAGGATACCCGCTCGTTATGTCGTATTTCAAGCGGGTTGCCACAATACTTGGTGATAACTCACGGAGGAGCAGAATCACAAACGATGCTCAATGTTTCATTTTCTATTCCAAATGGGGGAGAGGGGAGAAGCCACTGCTTGGGAACGAAGAGTCGTATTGATGGATACCTTGTACAAGGCTACATTTCCCTGGAACAAGGGATGCGCAGATTTCGAGTCAGGTAACCCAAATAAAGGCCGGACATCCGTCCAGCACAGAGGTCATCATGCTTGTCCCGTGGGGTCACCACTGGCTCTCAAACGGGACTCGGGACGAGCGGCACAGTTTGGTGTGGGGCGTCTGGGGAAGGTTGCCTGTGGGGTTGTTCTGATCAAGTGTCCAGTCTATGAGGTAACAGCTTGTTTTTAGAGAGGACGAATGTCTGCGATTTCTCGATTAGATGTTCATGATGTGCGTCACTTAGGAATTTAATGTGGTGCTGACAATACTCAAGGCTTGTGGCCTATACTATGTACAGTAGAGTCTTCGAGTTAGAACCCTTGCAGGCAATGTCCTATGTACAGCAGATCCTGGGGTACAGATGTAAGTATAGTCAGGGGTTATACTCACTTACTGGTACATGTTGGAGAAAGCAGGGGAGGGAGGAGTGAAAGATGATCCCCATCAGATTTGGGGATCCCTGGAGGGGGTAGAAACCGATGATTCCTCATACGCACCTAGCGTTGTCCCCCGAGTGGTTGTGTTGTGAACTATAGAAGACCGTTGAGGGGGACAAGGTGGCGTTTCTGGGTGATGACCACGCGACGCCGTCGATCATGCCTTTGTTCTTGCCTACGCCCTTAAGTAGCAGCGTGTTTCGAAAAGTTCGACACGTCTTTGGTCCAAGTCTCGTCATCTTAAATTACCTCTTTGATTCTCTAAGACGAGTTGCTCCGATTTCCGTCTCGAAAACAGCAGCAACTTGCGCACGTATCCAGAGTACCGTCTACAGAACCAGTCACGAGTATACACAACGGGTGGCAGGATGCCTTCGTACTTTGGTCTGAGGGGTAGCTCCCTACAAGCAGCGACGATATGGGCAGTCATTATGCCATCGTATCTTTTGTAAGACTTGCTTCTTGACGCAGGCCATAACATTTTTCTCTTGCTAACAAGAGCGTCATATTAATTATTTCACAGATTTGGATACAACAACGCAGTCGCTGGCGGTCTCCTCAGCCTTCCCTCCTGGATAAGCACATTCCCAGAGATCGACACAGTGAATACCACTGGCGCTGAGCAAGCTGCAAGTTCGCGACTCCAGGGAACAGTCGTTGCACTCTACACGCTGGGTTGTTTTTTTGGTGCCCTCGACTGCATATGGCTTGGCGATAAGCTCGGCAGGAAGAAGACGATCATGTTCGGAGCGGCGGTAAATTTCATCGGGGCCCTGCTGCAGTCGTCGTCCTTCTCGCTCGGACAACTCATCGTCGGGCGGCTGGTCTCGGGTTTCGGCTTCGGACACCTGACGGCCACTGCGCCCAACTGGCAGGCCGAGTGCTCAGCAGCTGATCACCGAGGAGCCGTTGTGCTTCTGGAGAGCGTCTTCATCAGCGGTGGGCTGGCGATCGCCGCGTGGATCTCGTTTGGGATCTCGCACTCGACTGGCTCTGTCACTTGGAGATTTCCACTGGCACTGTCGGGGTTTTGGTCGCTCATCATACTTTTTACTACGCCTCACATGCCTGAGTCTCCTAGGTGGCTGGTTAGAAAGGGGAAGGTTCAGGAGGCCAGACAGACACTGGCTGCCTTGAACGGTGTCGAGCCTGATGCTGCTGATGTTGCCGACAATGTTGCGGAGATTGAAGAGTCGCTGGCATTTTCGGGCCAGGCCAAGTTTACAGACATTTTTCGAAACGGCGAGTCGAGATTGCTTCACAGGACCTGCCTTGCTGCCGCAGGACAGATGTTCCAACAGGTAGGCAGCTGGAAATTGAAACTCACAATGGATCCTGGACGTGGCTAAAATGTACTAAAACCTTCTTGACAGATGAGCGGCATCAACGCCCTAGCCTTCTACCAAGAAACGATTTTTGAGACCGACCTCGGCCTGCCTGCAAAGACGGCGAGAATTATTGCTGCCTCCGTCTTTACCTGGCAGACCCTGTGCTCTCCTATCGGCGTTTTGACAGTCGACCGGTTCGGCCGGCGAAAGCTAATGCTGTTTGCCGCGGCGGGCATGGGTATTTGCATGGCCATCATCGCAGGCGGCTCCTCGCAACCAAATAATAATTCTGCGATTGCTGCGGCGGCTGCCTTCATTTTTATGTTCAGCTTCTTCTTCCCTACAGGCTTCTTAGGATTGACGTTCCTCTACGCTGCTGAGATCGCACCTCTCAGCCATCGCTCGAGTATCACTGCTATCTCGACGGGTTCGGCGTGGCTATTCAACTTTGTATGCAGACTTTGTGTTCCCTGTTATGCGCTATCCGATCGTCTGCTAATCTCGTATACTGCATGTCACAGGTTGTGGCAGAAATCACGCCAGTAGGCTTCTCCACCATTGGATATCGGTACCCTATCGTTTACGCGTGCATCAATCTTTTTCTCACATTGCCTTGTAAGGAGTCTCGCTACCCACATGCATTCCAGATGAATTGTATGAATCTGACGCTCGAGAAATAGCTGTCTACTTCCTCTTTCCCGAGACCAGTGGTCGCCACCTCGAAGAAGTCGACCTGATTTTCACTCACAGTCGCAACATCTTCGATACGGTCTCCATGTCCAATAAGCTTCCCAGAGGCGCAGCGGGCCGAGAGCTGGAGAGAGAGGATGCAGAAAAGAGGATTAGAGGCTTAGAGGCTGAGAAGGATGGAGGACTAGAGCCAATGGTTTTGCACGAAAGCAACGTAGCAATTTGAGTGTGAGGCAGATATATGCACGGACCAGCTGAGGAGGAACATCTCTTGTCGAAGATTGGAGAGGTATTGTCTTATGTTCTTGGGGATGTAGAAGTTGAAAGATAGCGAAAGAAAGGGAAATCTACTGTCTGACCCCCCCTCGCCGGACACCCGTACCCGCCGGACACCTAATTTTCGACAGCGCCATACAAATATCAATATCCTCACACACATACACTTCCCTCAATATTGAAGCTATTTAAATAGTATTTTGATAGATAGATAGTCCTCTAGATGACGAATCTATTGATATAATTATATTTGTAGTCAGACGCCTTATGACGCAATTGTAGTGATATCGGAAGCTAAGGTCTGTTCCTTCCTGTCTTGATAACTGTGATCTTTTTCCTTCAACACTCTTCTACCTCAAGCCAGCCACGATGCCTTCTCACGCCTGGAATGAGGAGAATATGGCTGATGCCCTCTTCGATATCATAGATAACCATTTATCTTTGCGGAAATCAGCCAAGAAACACGGAATCCCCCCCCAAACGCTGTCAGATCGGCTGCGTGGAGGGTCTTCAGTCCAAGAGGTAAAACAACCTCAACAACGCCTTTCTACGACCGAGGAAGAGAATATATCGAGATGGATCATCAAGCAGGAAAGCCTAGGATATGCTCCATCAGCTTCTGCTGTTCGTGGCGTTGTAGCAGCCCTCCTCAAGCAGAAGGGAGATCTGAAGGCTCTCGGCCGCAAATGGATAGAGGGCTTCAAGAAGAGAAATCCTCAAATTCGCCATAAAATAGGCACTCGCCAGGAAGCCACCAGATACGATGCCTTCACCCCGAAAGCCGTCAACTAGTATTTCGACATTCGCGAGAAGGAATATGGGTGGATCGAGCCACAGCTTACAGTGAATGTGGATGAGGGTGGCATTATGACTGGATATGGTGAATTTCTATGGAATCCTCATCTCAGAGCCTCTAAACTGATGCTTTTGCTAGGCCTGAACTCGCTGGTCCTTGGTTCTTCTGAAAAAAAGAAGGCATTCCTCAAAAGTAGCCAGGACAGAAGCTGGGTTACCCTTATTGAAAGCTGTACAGCTACAGGCCAGCTTCTGGACCCAGGAATCATCTTCAAGGGCAAAGATCTTCAAAAACAGTGGTTTTCTGAAGATATGGAGCAGTCTGTGCCAACCTGGCGTGTGATCACAAGTCAAAACGGCTGGACAAGCAATGAAATCGCGGTGGCGTGGCTTGAGGATGTTTTTCTTCCTCAGATGAACATCCTCCGTGAGAATGATATATCTCGGGCTATTCTCCTCATCCTAGATGGCCATAATAGCCATACTTCAGTAAGTTAAGCCTTGTGAAGCTCAAGGTAGTGAACCTCGAGGATAACGTGCTGATATAAAACAGCCAGAGTTTATGGCTTCTTGCTACTTGAATAACGTTTTCCTTTGCTTTCTCCCTGCACATACCTCCCACGGCCTCCAGCCACTAGATAACGGCATATTTGCTGTATTGAAAGCAGCCTATCGGAAAGAACTTCAAAAGTTGCAAGATCTTACAGACTCAGCCCCTGTTAACAAGATCAACTTTCTACAGTGTCTCATTACAGCCAGAGCAGCAATTACTCCTAGAGTAGTAAAAGGAGGATGGAGACATAGTGGCAACTATCCAATTAATCGCCATAAAGCCTTATCTCATGAGGAAATCCAGGAGGACAAGCAGAAACGAGGAGCAGACGAGTTAGAGGAGGATGAGGAGTATGAGCCTATTTCCCATGGGTTTATCACTGCTATAGGCCGAGATCGAAGCTATAACGAACGCAGCAAGCTGAGGAGGGTTGCAAATCACCTTGAAGACCTTCAGGCTGAGGTTATCTTGCTCCGACAGCAAAATGCTTCCCTCAAGGCCCAGAACGAGGCCATCTCGAAGACCCGGAAGCGCAAGAAGATCCCCAATCCCAACAAGCGCTTTATGACTATCTCAGAGGCACTTGCGGCTGGAGAAGAGGCCAATCTAGCCCAGGAAGAGGAGGATTTGCCTGTTGAGGATGTTGTGGAGGTTCAAGACGAGGTTGACGAGGAGGACTCTGAGGACGATAATGCAGACATTCTACGTGAGGATTCACCACCAATTCGCACATCTTCTGGACGGGCTAGCCGTATGCCAAATAGATATTTGGAATGAGGAAGTTTAGATCATTTCGATGATATATTTATTATTATTATACAATTTGAATTGAATTACTTCTGTGTGTTTGAGTATATAGCTTTTGTGTGGGGCATTTCGCATTTTAGTGTCCGGCGGGTACGGGTGTCCGGCGAGGGGGGGTCAGACAGTAGATGGTCCTGGCACACATTGAACTGCTTCTAGGCAGCAGTCTAATCAATATGCACAATTTCTAGGCTCAACCAGAACAGACTATCTAAGAAAGAAGGCAACTTGACAGTTGTGAGAACTATTTCAGAACGGGATCAGGTAATAACAATAAACCAGACTTGTGGAGAATCAGCCAGAAGACAGAGTAGTTTAAGCATTCTTTAGAAGCCATTATCATGACAGTCATTGTCTAAGCTACTTGGTGCAATCGATCCTCAGTTACGTTTCCTGCCTTTCTTATCCATTTTCTTGCTACTATGGTTCAATGCTCCTCACTGTGGAATTTACTTCTGTTATTCATGGAAACCATAGTTCATCTTCTCGGGGGTTCCACCCCGAATTATAGAACTATCCCAGTGTTCTATTCTGGCCATTCCAATCATGGTCGAACACACCAGAAGGGACCACACCAAAGGTACACATAGTGAAGGCACCCTCCAATGTGGTTATTGATATTCACCGATAGACATTACTATATAATAGCAAGCTGCTTTTTGCCAACTCTCAAGAAGTCTGAACAAACTCAACCCACAACACAGCTTACTTCTAGATCCAAACCACAACCCAGTTCAGATCACACCCAGATTTAAACCAAACTTCCCCATACCACACCTCGTTCAGACGTCCATCTTCTCGCATACCTCATCACAGTTCAACCATAGCACACGTCCATCCATCCCACTCTTCCACCCATACCGTGCTTCCACCGCCCATATCACCGCCCCTTCCATACCACCAACCAGACAAATCCACTATTTACCAGCAGCAAGCTCTTGCAAGATGAATGCCAACGGCATCAGGTAAGCCATTATGTCTCCATCATGGTCATCGTTGCTTGTTTCCATCCCTCTGACTATCTTAACAAATGATAGCACCATTGTCGACAATGTCCGAACCGACCTCGGCCTCTTCCTCGACGGCCGCTGGGCTGAGATCGCCGCTCAGGATGAGTATGTCCTTTTCAGTAGCCTGTTCCATATTTCCAAACATGACTGACCCACTCCACAGCGGCACTTTCCCTCGCGAATCCATTGTTCGCTCCGCTGTGAACCTGGCCGAGACCATCGTCCGCCGCAGCCTGCAATACAACGCCCGTATACGCGCCAGCGGCCACCATGAGCTCCAGCTGGAACTGGTAGAGATCGTCGAGACAGCCGTCAATACGGCTATCAATAGGGCCAACAGGTCCAATGCCGTCGCCGCCCGTCCTCTGTAAATAAACCAATTCTTCGCCCTCGGCGTCCTCGTGGACCAGCTCTCATAGGCTTCTTGCTGACGCACAAAATAGGTACTCGGTTCCCAGAGAAGACGTGACCGGAGTTCTGCTCCCCTTCGTGCGCAATAGCCTCTCCATTCTCGATTTTGACGTGAGGCACAGGCGTGTGGTCACTCCGGCCGAGGTCATCGCTGCTCACGCAGCCTTGGTTGTCGACCCAATCGTCAGCGCTGCAGACCATGTGGAGAACGACGACGACGAGGCCGAGGACGACGATGGAGACGAACAGGACGCTGGCAACCAGGCCGCGCCTCCCAACCCCAACGCCGGCAGACTCTCCTGCCCCTACCCTCGCTGCCAGACGACCTTCGCCGCCAACCGCCTGGACGCACGCCGCGACCACCTGGCCAGCTTCCACGACCACTACGAGCCAGGCGACCCCAAGGTGTTCTCCGTGTCCGAGGCCCACCTCAAGCGAGCACAAAAGCACATCACCATTGCTCGTTTGGTCCGCGACCGCACCCGCCTCAACCGGCTCAAGAGCCAGCTGTCCGCGGCCGAGGACAGGATGCGCGCTCTCAACCCGAACTACAGGGCCACGCATACCCTGGGTGCGGATCGGGCTCCTCAGAACGTCGACGAGGTGGCGCTGGCGACGCTCACAAAGATGGAGCTTGTCCGTCTTCTTATCTCTGCTCGTCTCGAGCTTCAGAGGGGCTGGGAGGTTGAGATCACCAGGCTTCAGGCCGAGGTTGCCAGGCTCCAGGCACTCCGCCGTCCGTAGTGCCCTTTGAGAGAAGCAGGGAGGAGGTGCGCCATAAATCTTTCTTCTTTTTTTTTTTTCCTTCTTGCTCCTGGTGGTTGAACAGGAGCAAAAGTTTGTGATGAGCCTAGGAATAGACATCTCATAGTGGAATACATCGGTCTCCGGGCAAGCATATGCTCCAACATGCGACAGCAACTTTCTTGTTACGGTCTCGTGTGGTTGTAGAGATTGACGACTCATCTGTTGAATGTCGTCTGCAGGCCATAGGTATCTCAAGCCTTCTTGATGGGTATTGTAGTGTTGGCTATCATTCTCGGACTCGCATACGCTCGTCGTCGTCGTCGTCGCTCTTGATCCGGTAGGTTCTCGCTCCCAACCCTCTAGAGTTTAACTTTCCACAGAGGGTAGGCATCCACGCTTTAATGCAGCTGCGAAAGATTGACAAGTTAGTCCAAGAAGGAAGCCATTCGTTCAATGCAATGATGCATGCATACTCTCACTTGGCGACATCCTGCCATCCCTTCATTCCGTAGCGGACGGTTTCGTATGAGCTATGGCAAGCCTGGACCTTAACAACCTCCCTAGTTGCTATCCACGGCACCTAGGTTACAAGGCGTTCTCCACCAGCCAGCTTCCTAAGCGGGTTTGCCGACTGCGGTAGCGAAAGTGACACTGCTGTAGCTGTGGCCAGCCCCAGTGTTGATTGATGCTGTTGCTGGTTTCTAGGCTACTCCATGCCGGTGCGACGACATGTGGCCAAACAAAGGCAGTGAGAGAACGGAAAGTGATGAGAGTGCTGGAGGAAAGATTTTCGAAAAGAGGGAGCTTAGGGCCTTGGGGGAAAGGGGTCTTATATACCGAGAGGAAGTGGGGATGTCGACTGCAGTACATGTCGTAAGGGCCTCTCATGGAAGACCCCGGTATGATCTCTTCCTGAGGATTGCGACAATTCTTTTATCTGAGACATGGAGATCCGTTCTAATTGTCGACAAGTTATTTACTTACTTGGTCTTCTGGCTAGCTGCCGGAAGTTTCTGCCAACTCCATTTATATGCAGAATCGGTAAGGAATAAACTAGAACCTGTTCCATGTGTGACTTTAAACCCTCCATTGTACACACCAAGTGGTATCCACATAAGTTTGTCTTGTCTATGGCCTTTGACTTAGTGTTGTGCGTTTGCACTGTGCAATGTGCCTGCAGGGTTTGAAGACATGTGATCCATCACGTCTGTCTGGCACAAGGATCATGTTGATGCTTTACTGGAGTTGTGCTTTGAGGAATGTTTCTATGTAAGATATTCTTTCATTTGTGCGCAACCTCTTGACATCCCTTGTTCCATCTACCGTAAAAATGTAACAAATGTTGGCTTGCAAAGTCATGCGTCACTCCAGATCTATATCATTTGTGTTTCATGATGACCACTTGCTCCCCAGGTATTGATGTTCTCTAGCTTACAGGAAGACTCTCGCCTGGCTGCGAAGAAGCCTGTGGTAAAAGCGTTAGCCATTCAAACGTCTGCTGCCTTACGCTTAACGTTAATTGTCAGCTTCAATATGATGGTGCAGTCCCTCTCCTAGACAGTACAGACTAGACACACTGACAGTACTTAGAAAAAACCAAAAGGGCTTGGACGTTGATTAGCGGGAAAAGGGTACAGGCTGCTTTTGTTCCTGATGCTTAGACAACATCACCTCAGCACTAATCATCCCACAATAAATCCAGGCATGATCAGAAGGTAGTCATCCTCGTGAAAACAAAACTATCCTGTCTAAAGTATGTATGGGTTTTCGGTGGCGCTCATCAAATTCAACACGTAAAGGAATAACGTAGATGTGAAATAACAGGCAAATGCGGAGATGTTACACAGATAGTTATAACATGAGCATAGAAATTTTCATATTAATCAACAGCGCATCGGACAGGTGTTTTGACTTTGCCTCAGAATATGACCCTCTTTCACTGGAGCTTTTGTTTCTCCGGCATGAACAACTTCGCAATGAGTCCAAACACCGTCACGAACTGTACATACCAAAAGTCAGCACGTCGAACCAAGCAAACGGTCAAGAGAAACAATACTCACCGCGACATCAAAGCCCTTCCAGCCCAGCCCCAACGAGGGATAAATATCGCCATCGTAAAAGACCCTCATCGAGTACAGGAACGGCGTGGGCCATCCTCGTGCTAGAAGATCGTTGAAGAACCTGGAATTTGACGTACCAGCAAGGTCATTGTCAGCCCACACCTCTAGGGTAAAAATTGATTGCCAGAGACCAATAACAATTTCAAAGAACAAGAAGCAAATGAAAATGAAAGAGAAAGGAAGAAAAAGAAAACAGCTGAAAGTTGGAAAGAAAATCGATCAAGCTCACGCAGCCTTGTAATCCCCAGAGGGATCCGCCCGCTCTCTGCACACAAGCCTCTCCCCCTTGAAACCCGCAATCGAATGCACTGTATACGCCGGAATAGTAATACGCTCCCCCGGACCCACGATCTTTTCTTTCCCGTCGATGGTGACCTTGATGCGACCCTCAATCACAGTCATCTTTTCCGAGTGTTTCTTGTGCCAGTGCGGTGGCACAGAGAAGGTACCCACGCCGGGCTTGGAGCCCTCGCAGACGACTTCGGCTTGCCAGCGGTCCAGGGAGTCGGAGGGTAGAGAGGGGTCGAAGAGGATATTCATGTACATGCCCTGTTGGGATGGGTTTTGATTAGAGCGGGTTTTATTAGGTGTGGAAGGCAACATCCACGGCTTATCAAGAGAGAAGAGAGGAAGTTGACATGGGAGGACGTTACCTCGGCCATGTGCAGGGTCTTGAAGATCTCTGGTCGGCCCATCTTTACTCGCTTCTGGTGTTGAACACGATGATGCGCGAGGAACTTAGTACGGCGATGATTACTTCGGAGGGAAGAGGCGGCGTAGACAATCTCAAGAGAGACAAGCAAGCGAAAAGACCCTTTCTATAGATATATACATACATACATACATACATACATACATACATACATACATACATACATACATACATACATACATACATACATACATACATACATACACACACACACACACACACACTCGCTAGGCAATCTGTTTATATCCACAGCTGAATTAAAACCAATTATCTAAAATTGGAAAGCCTATCAGAAAGTCAAAAGGCCCCCAAAAAGAAACCGACAGACAGAAGAAAATTAATAGTTTCGAAATCCTCCAGAGCGACCTTAGCGCTGACAGGTTACAATGCATTGCATGAAAGCTTAGTTGTTGGTGCCACGTGCACGCAACCCTGTGGCACTGGACCAACGGCTTGCATAGGACACGGTGGGTAAATAGGCAGATTGGGAAGAGATTGACGTAGAAGGACCGGGAAATTAGGTGTAAGTAATTCTTGGTTGCTCGGCCTGGTCAACCTAATGGGTATGCTGCTGATCAAGTGTCCATGTCCATCTTCTGGTATGTAATTACAGATGGAGCCTCTCCGGCTACGTTTGGAATTCTGTTTTACCTCCAAGCATTGTCCCAACCACCCTGTTCGACAGCAAAGGCAATAGCTAACTCCGAAAACCTCGCCATGTGCTGTTTCAGACAACATATCAGTTATGCTGTATTATAGGACGGGAGGGTTGTCCAAAGGAAACAGGAGGAGGAGGCGCGTTGCAACTTACGTCGACAGAGAAGTACCCAGTCTCATCGTCGACCGTCATCTTGTCGTTGGCGGTATGGACATATGGGTCAAATTCACCAGGGAAGCCGCCAGCAACTGGGTTCCCTTCAGCTGCAAATGTCGACGGGAAACCCAGCTTGGTGTAAGACATGTAATCAGAGCCGGCACCGCTGCGAAAAGTATACTTTGTCAGCCCTAGTAAAGCCTGGAGGATGGATAACAATGTTTAGTGATGAGGATATGGTGCAGGAAAAGACTTACGGCATGAGCTCGTAGACGCTTGTCGGGATGGAGATGTAGGCCTCACTCAGCTCCACGGCCCACTTGGTCAGAGGGGCATCCGCGTCTGTCTTGATGAACCCAATGCTCTCCGTCGCGTTACGGGCGATGAAGGCAGTCATGTCCTGTTTTGTGTTGGTTCAAGGCTTGTCAGTTTTTCTCTTCCAATTCGAAAGAGCCAGCCGGTAAAAGGGGAATGTGGCAACCGTACAAATTCCATCATGGCTCCAATGTTGGCACCCTCCTTTTTCTTATATGCGGCAATGTCCTGGCTGCCCAGCAGGCCGCCCTCCTCCGCCGCATACCAATGGAACTCCACAGGTCCATCCTTGGGCACATAACCGCTCAGAGCCAACACCCGGAAGGCCTCTAATATGCTCACAGTACCCGAGCAGTCATCGTCCGCACCTGGCGCCGGCAGCAGCGGGAACAGGTAGTTGGCAGAGTCCTGGTGGGCGCCGATGATGGTCAAGGGCTTGTCAAAGTCGCGGACCTTGGGCTCGAAGCGGGCAATGATGGAGGACTGGGGGAAGCGGTGGGTGAAGTATTCGAGGGAGATGTGGGTGTGGAAGGGCGACTCGGCGATGATGGACTGGATGTGGTCGTGCAGCCATTGCGAGCTCTCCTCGCCGGTAGGCCCGCCGTAGTAGCGGTTGTAGTAGGAGGTCATGTGCTCCAGGACGTCGTGCATCCGCTTGGTCGAGATCTTGGGGAAGAGCGGCTTGACAAGTCTCTGATGGGTCAAGTTGGGGAGGTCTGAGCCCACAACCGCGTCAGTAACCTTGTAGGAGAAGGAGGAAGAAGGCCTTGCTGACTAGCTTTCCCTGCCCGAGTATTGACAGAGTCCTTGTATAGATCTTGATGATCCGTGATATCCATAAACTTCTTGCCCTCCCTCCTGAGGTGCAACTTGTCTCCCTCGGTCATCCATTCCGGCTCGGTCTGTCCTTGAACGTGGATCAGACGCCGTTCAGACAGTTGTGCCGCCAGTTCGGGCTGGAGAGAAATGAGGGCATCGACTGGGTCGGAGTGGGCACTGAGGGCAGCCAGGATGCTATCGTCAACGACATGTTGGCCGTGGACATCGGTAAAGAGCCCTGATGCGGCGGCGTCATCATTGTGGCGGTCGTGGTCATGGCTCAAGGAGGGTGGCGCGAGGACGACCTGACCGGCCTGACGGGGAGATGGAGAGCTCACTACACGCTGCGAGAGACTCAGCAGGATGAGCAAGTGGGCGGGGGTAATGGGGCGCATCTTGGAAGAAAGAAGATATGGTGGCTATGGAAGGAGGTTGGTGTTCCGTCTATCCACCATAATAGTCGTGTTATATGGTGTTTTCTTGTGGGTTAATCAGTTCCCGCCAACCAATGTATCTCAGAGGACCTGGCGCTGTCACCGAGGCAGCTGCACGGATGACGAACGGATGGATTGGAGGTCCCGCGACAGGGGTCCCGCCCGTAAACACTCCCGCTGATAAGACAAGATAAGCACAGGACCCTGGCCCCTGTCAGTCCGTACACACCGGCGCGGACAGCTTCCCCAAACACGGGAAATTTGGTAGATGGAGGAAGGGAGGTTGGTATCCAGCCTCACCTTCCATTGTTTGCTGCCAGTCTTGACGTTTTCTTCGTTCCGCAGTGTAACATTTTTTGGCTTTCACATTATGACTAGTCTTATAGCTATCGTGCCACAACGAAAAATACAGATTTTACGTTTACTTGGACTTGAAAAAGTGGCTGGGAAATTGGGGGACAAGCTTGTGGATCATCAAGCGAGGGCATCCTCAGACTCGATTCCAGATGCATGGGTGTTCAGCTTCTTGCACTACATCTGTTTTGGAAGCTCTTGTACAGAGTAGACATATCTGTCAGGCGTATCGATCAGGGGTTGAGATGAACGGCTACAAAACGTCTAGAAAAGTTAAGCCAGTCCAGATCGAACGGGTGGCTGACACCAACCTCATGATCTTGAAAGGTGAGACATCTAAGCATTGAACTGCCGTGCCTTGAGGGCATGCTTACTATGTGCTATAGTAGCTTAAAATGTCTGGCTCGGCTGCTTCATAACTAGTAGCGCCTAGAATGCTCGAAATGCTACTTAGGATGCCCAGTAGAGGCTCACAGCACACTTGAATACTACAAGTATGACGTCTCCAAAATATTATTGACAACGTCAACCCCTAATAACTCTTTAGAGCACTGCATTCCGAGGTCCGCAATAAGGTTGTAGGGGGATTTGGACGTCCAAAGTCCCTGTTTTCCAGCCAAGACGACTTTTACCGTCGAAATGACTTACAAAGCAGAGTTTCGCACCCAATCAACATTGACACCGCCAAATAAGCTTAAATAAAAAGCAGAAGGTCTTGTGAGGATAGTTCTGAAGTTGCATGCTCTCGCAAGCCGCTGTGGTGAGAATCTGAATGCGCTGTTGCGAAATACCCGCCACAACGAGTCATCCAACCCGACCACCTGGGCAGGGTGCAACCCCAACCTCTTCGTCAAGAAGCAACATTCAGCATTGATTCTCCTTGACTCAGATTCCCGCACTCACTCTTCTCTCTCTGAAGACAAAGCGACCCAAAACTTGCTCCGCGCGCCAATTGCACCAGTCGCAACCAGTCTCGTGAACAAGCGCTCCCTCCTCCCCCCGGCACGTGCCCGGGTTGTTCGACAACCGTGCCGTGATCCGGGGACGGAGCGGGACGGTTTGTCGTCACACTACCTATCAGCCAACCCTTGCTCTTCCCCCTCACTAGACTCGGATTGGGTTAGAGCCAGCCACAGGTCTTGCCAGTTTTCGTCTGAGCGATGCAGGAGTGGCTGAGCAGCAGCAGGCGCGTCAAATTGAGCAGGATGGCGAAACGCACAGAGTCTCGACCAGCGTTTTTGCCTTGCGACTTTGGTCTCTACGTCCATACTCGTTTTATGCGCTGGTGCTTCCTCAAGTTAGGGCCGAGATAGGAGAGCGAAGCGCGAGAGCGAGGTCAGAAGATGCCCTGGGGGCCCAAACGAGAAAGAAAAGAGGAGCATAGGTGTGTGCCAAGGGGAAAAGATAGCAGGCGTGATCGTCTTTGCCCCTCTTCACAGCCACAAGGAGGCAGCTGGATGGCCATCAAGGTAGCCTCGTGAGGGGCCATGCCTTTGGGGCACTACACAGTACAAGTTCCAGAACACCGCGCGTGGCGAGTGAGGCGGTGCTCTCCGCTGCATCCTCTCAGCGTGACGTCGGTGAGTGAAGAGAACAAGGAACGACTCACGGGACTGCACTATGTACAGTACAGCTGCAAGTGATAACTTTGAGAGCTGCAAGAGCCATCCAATCACTGGCACGGCAGCACTCAAGGTTGAGAGTGGAGCTCAGGATGGTAGCACCCATGAAACATACCAGGGCCCCCCATTCATCAGATGAAGTCATACCTAAGGAGGGCCACACAGCAGGCCATGCAAGTGGCAGACAAGGCAGATACCAAGTAGATACTATGCGAGCATAGCCGTGGTATTGGGGGTTGGGGGGTGGTTGGATGGGTGGTAGTGCAAGAATTCCTGAGGCGGGTTTGGGATGCGTGGGTGGGTCGGCATGCAACTTGCGTCCCGTCCCTGATTTGCAGCCATCATCACCATCCATGCCGCACCATGCCCGTCCATCGTCCCCAGTATTGCAAAGTTAAAAAAAGGAAAACAAAAAAAGCATTTTTCTTCCTGGGTCCCAGGTGATCGTCGGAGCATCTCCACTACCTTGCTAACAAGGTTATAACAAACGGCCGGCACCCTATGTCATTTTGAATATCGAGCATCCGTGAGAAGAAGCCGCCCGTGCCTTGATCAATGGTGCAAGATTACACCACCACTTTCATATATCTCAAACACATAATACCGGGCTTCTTGCAGGAAAAAGAGTTTCATAACACCAGTCCTTTTTTTCCCTCACATAACCCACCCACTCACCCACACACTCACACTTACATTCACACATACCCAAATTTTTTTTGTCTTTCCTCCTTCCTGCACGTCTGACGACTTCAAAGCTAGCCTCATCCCAACATTTGAACCCCTACTTGTCCTATCCACTACATTCAGATCGCCAAGCACACAACCTACACCAGTCCGTGGCGTCGGGAGCCGCCGGACAGGGAGGAAAGAAGGGCAAAAAGGAAGAGAAAGAAAAGAAAAGGAAAAAGAACAGGCAAAATGACGATCAATATTGCGGCCGTGACCACAGGCGCCTTTCTAGGCCTGCTGGCCCTTGTCGCCCTCGTCGCCTGCGTGCCACCCATCACGAGGTTTCTGGGTGACCTCTTCTGCTGTCCCTGGAGGATTCCCTTCACCAAGAGAAAACGCCTCAACGACGACGAGGACGTCGACAAGAGCGATCTTCCGTACTCGACGGGGGAGCCTCGGCCTGGCACACCGGTGGATAATGCTGGGTATCAGCGAACATCGCAGGCCATGATGTCGGTACGTTTTTCATGTTTTCTTTTTTTCTTCTGTTGGCACCATTTCAAAACAACCTTTGGGAATAAGAGTAATAACTAACACCCCATACACAGGCCATCAGCGTCGTCGACCCAGAGACAGCAAAGGAGCACATGCGCCGCAGTGCAGATTACCGTCGCTCACACAGCCCAAACGGCAGCGACTGGCGCCGTTACGACCCCTACAACGCCCAGTACGGCCGTGACAACAGCCCACCCGCCGGAGAATATCACCAGGCCAGCGACGCCGCCTCTTCTGGCCATCTTCAACCTTATCATCATCAACACCAACAACAACAACAACAACAACAACACCTCCAAGTCCCACCGCACGGAGGGAGCAGCAGCAGCAACAACGGCTGGAGGCCAGCCCCCTCGCCTGAGAGGACGACCAACTATCCTCCCAGCACAGACTTGTCGTCGTCATCGCCCTTGTACCGCGGTGGCGGTGCAGACACGTACCATAACGATGCGTACAACTCGCCCGAGTACAACGCGAGCGATGCGTTTGCCGAGAGCTATGTCGATGTGCAGCGGCCTGCGCCTTCGCATGTGTATACGCCACCTGAGATGAGCATGCACGGGCAGGGCCAGGGGTACTTCCCGCAGAAAGCCTATCATAGCCAGCAGGATGGTGCAAGTCAACAACAGCAGTGGACTAATGTATGACCGAGATGCATGAACTAGAAGTGGGCCAGCGACACACAGATGATGTCTGATCTGGAGTGACAACGAAGGGACGGAAATAATAAGGCCGTCACGACGATATACATGTGCATAGAATCATACGATGATGGATGGTATTGATGGGGAAAGGGGTACTGATTTTAGAAGCCCGAGGGGCCCCCGTTCCGAGCTGAGCCGCGTCTGGATACGCCGAGCAATCATGGCCGGAGGTAAAGTTATTGGTTTTGGGAGGAGTTCTTTGTTCATTTAGGGTACAATGTGCCTTTGCATGCGGGCATGGAAGCATGAATGGAGTTTACTAGTTATATGATACCAGATAATACTAGAAACGATATTCAAGACCATGATTTGTGCAAATCTCAACACTTCTCCGCGTAATAGTGTCCTCTAAGTAGTGATAAAGAAGGGAAGCGGCTCGCCACTTGCCTGAGGTAAAATTTAGTCTCTTAACATGAAGTGTTATTCAAGCATTAGTGAATGTGCAGAAGCTTCCGAGGATGGCTGTTTTCTTGAGGCTAATGTTAAAATGACCTCACAGCACTGACACCAGAGTCTGTTTATGCCGCCCTTGGTCTCTACCAGCCAGACAATCTCATGGGCTTATCAACACCAGCCATGATGCACTACACAGGGTGACTTTCGAAAACAAGGTAGGGAGCCATGTGCATGAAGCAACAATCAGCTCCTTGTTGCGACCTTGACCAGGGGATGGACAGAGATGACCTGTTGCTCCAAGATGCAAATACCAAGAAGCCAAGATACTACTTTGCTCTCCTGGATACTACCAAAACCATTGAAAGTGACATTCGTCTATGGAGACCGTAAATAAGCGGTGTTTAATGATATGTTCTGGTTGTCAACCTTCAACCCCCTGGACAGCTCCAAACGCTAGTGCTATTCTGTGTGAGCCGCTGAAGTTATTGCTCCTCCATGTACCAGTTCTGATTCTAACCCCAAGCTTGTGATATGCCCCAATCCTTCAGTCTTCAGCCAAGTGACACCCCATTCGCTGTGATTGATCTTTCACCTAGATGCAGGGATCTCTCAGGTTGTATCCTATCTTAGGGTTTGGTGTCGAGGGTATAGGGAATCAAAATTCCTACCTTAGACTGGTCACGCTGCTCTTGAGGAGTGCGGAACTCCTCATCGCCTGTAGTGCCCTTGTAGATGTCCCAAGCCTTGATGAGGCAGTCACGTGCACTACCAGGACCGTAAAAAGGACTCCGTGTGCGAACGAGGGGCATGAGTTTCGGTGGTGCTTGTTGGATGTACTCGTACTTTGTGTCGAAGAACTGAGAGAGCTTGAAAGGCCCGACAGTCTTCCCGTGGCCAGAGATCCTTGTCCTTGGGATGCAAAGACCAGCATGGTCCACATTCTCTGCATCACAAAGTCAATTTCTATGCGGAGAAGGTAAACTTAAAAAAAAAAGAGGACGCTTACTCTTGTACTCAGCGGCGAACCTGATCTCCTCTTGGCGTCTGGGTTGGACAATCAAATAGAACTCTTTCAGATTTCTGAAGCAGTCCAGAAAGCAAGCCAGCTCAAGGGGACAGGCCTTGTAACGGTGGCATCGCATGGGTACTGGCGGCTGGCAGTAGCACTGGAATGGGCCTGGCAGATCGGCATTAACGTGACTGTCCCGGTAGTGAAGGGCTACTCTCGTGAAGTGCCTGAAGCGGCTCCGAATCAGCCTTATATTCATGGTGCTTCGTACGCCAGTATGCTCAAACCACGAGAACAGTGTCTGCCTGGAGCCCCTCTCAAAGTCAAAGATGACCAGGTCATTTGAAGAATCGATGGCGGCACGTGGGGCGTATGTCGGCTGTCTCGAGCCTGGCAGATGCAGAGCAAGGGGCTGGATGTTGGTAGCCAAGAAGCGAAAGGCTGCCTCGAAGCTGATATTGTGAAGCTGGTGTAGTTTCTTCCACAGGCGGTAGGCAGAGGGGTCATGACGGGGCTCTTTCGCCATGATGCGGAGTGCCCAGGGATTAGCAGCAGAGCCCGCGGATACCTGGTCGTCCTTCACAATTTTGAAAGTATGGCAGGCTGGCATCTTGATGACCTCGCTCCAGATCATTGTCTGGATCTCTGCAGGAACCCGATTGAGCGGGAATGATGTAGCGGGAACAGGCTGCTGAATTTTCTTGTTCGATTCGCTGTACTTGTTGTCCCCAGACTTCTTGACATTGGACGTTGAGCCTCGAGAGGCCCTGAGCTTCTTGGGCGCGAGAACTATGCGAATCCTGGATGGAGCCATGTTGAGTGCCTTAGCAAAGGACGGCGAGCCAGATTGGTAGGCTTTGCGAACAGTGGCAGCCCAAGTGACACAGGGTTCGTCGCGGCAGACCAATAGAAGAATAGAAGAGAATGGAAAGCAATAGAACCTTGAGAGTAACGGCGCAGGACTACTGTGGAAACAGCATGTAGCACCGAAGAGCCACGATCAGAAGACCAATGTGCCGTACCGTTTACTTCGAGGTGGTAGATTGTACAACCTTCGCTGTTCCAATTACTGTGAAGATCGAGATGCGAGGCTTATTGTTGGACCTGTAGACGTTGTGATACGCCTCGTTGAAATAATGGAAGGATTCCGAGAAGAGAATGTTCTGTTGCGTGGTAGAAGTTGCACAAGTGCGAGGGATAGTCCGCTCAAGAGTGTTAGAGGTAGCAACAACTCAACGGTAGAATTCATTGGCGCATTCGAGAACCCTGGAATGGATTCCACAGTAATGGGAAACAACCAGGGCAGGGCAAATATGAGATGGAAGGCCGCAGAACTATGCGCATGTTTAGTGACTCGGTGCTTTCCAGCGACGGAGTTTACAACCTCGTTGTTGTGAAGCAGCCTCTTTGTAACCACTTGGCATACTGACAGTGTCTCCGATGGTTGGTGGGGTCAGTCTTACTCACCGAACTATTCTAATCATTGAGACCAATCGAATGCCCGAGAGGATGGTGTATTGGCCTGAGATATTCCCAAATGAAGGAATGGGTGACAGGCTGTGAATGACCTGGTCATATATGGCTAATGGGCGGGATACACCGCTTCACCATCTGCAGGGAAGGGTGGGTGACCGGTGACGACCAACGCGAATGGTGTTGCAACGAGACTTGACGCACAAAGCCAGTTTATTTACAAGGAATGGTCCGCGAAGCTCGCAGTCGATGTCACAGAGACTTCCTTGGCTGCTCTGCATCCTTTCTCCTCCTTTGGATCTCTCCTGCACGTTGTTCTGGAAGTCCAAGTCAATTTTTGAAGTCAGAGCCACTAATTTATAATGAAATTAGTGAGTGGCCTTGGTCTTTTATCTGAGATTTGAGGCCTAGGTGACAGAGTTCTGATAGAGTCCAGGCGTTGACTTCGGAGAAGGTGGCAAGAGCAGGAGCAACTTCTGCTCCCACGCCAGACATACTGGCTATGAGAAGCTCGATACTCGCAGCGCGCGATATGTCATCCCGTAAAATAAAAAACGAGTATTGACTACAGAATCGTAGTTGAGGACATCGTCCATCCGGGTAGTGCCGGGTGGTGACGCAGCATTTGAGTTTTGTCCATGCTCAGGTAGAATTTAAGGTCATCTCGATGGCGAATGCCTATGCTAAAGTACTGTTCAGAGGTAAGGATCATGTTGCGAGTCCGTGGGACAGCTTCCTGAAGTTCATTTTATCAAGAAATGAAGTTTAGATAAGTATTTAGGCAATGCCTCCTGCCAAGATGTCCAATTGATGAACGGGCATCGTACCGTACTGCTGAGTCAGGAATTCATCGAGAATGCCAGGCGCGAAAGAAATTGGGCTGAGACTATCTTCTCTTTCTTCTCCCCTCCACACACGATCGGGGCCTCAAAGAAGGGGACGCATGATTGACGGGCACTAGGACCTTGGACTCTCTGGGTACAGCAGAAGATGAAGTTATATGTTCAGCTGAAGCAATTGCGAAATGTTCGCCCTGTAAGCTCCGCCTTCCTCCAGCGAGGTCGGACCTCAAATCACAACTGCGCAATAGTGACACTCACTGATATGAGGAGCAAGGTAAGTAAACAGATGAGCTCTTCCCCTCGACCCGGAAACCAACTGGGACTTTCGACGTTTTCCTCATCGCGAGCCCATGTCCTCTGAGATTTAGTTGCTTCCTACCATTCTTGGGTGCGCCTGGGGATTCTTGGTGCAGACATATTGTCCTCCCAATTCATCTTCTCCCAGTAATAATACGGTCGTGGGTCTATCGACCGTATTATGACCAATCCTTTGGCGAATGACTTTCATTCCCGACTTCATGTCCCCAGCCCTCCCTCTGTCGCAGGAAGTTTTCGACACGATCCTCCCTCGTCAAATAGGCCTTTTCTCTCCGCCTTCTCCACATGTCCTCACTAATGTTGTTGCTCGAATTCTCCCTCATCTCAATCAGGTGGACCGAGTGTTGCCCCGCCCTTGTTGCCTGACCCCAACTGCCGATCACCACGAACACGGCGAGCGAAGCAACGAACAGCCCATTGCTCATGTACAATGGCTGCTGCTTCTCTTTGCTGCGTCCCGCGCCGCCATCACGCTGCTCGTACCACCTCTCCCAGTCCTCCCACGTGGCATTGTGTGCTGCGCTGCCAGGACCCCTCCTCCAGGCCCGGTCCATTTCACGCCAGCCTTCGTTACACATATCGCTCTTGGAGCCCCAGCCGGCACCGTATAGGTCGTACGCGCGCTTCTTTGTGGGATCGCTGAGGATGGTGTTGGCTGCGATGACGAGACGATAGCGCTCGAGCTTTGTGCCACGGGAGAGTTTGTCGCTGGAGGAGGAGCCATGCCCGTGGCGATCTGGATGATAGAGCTTCACGAGCTGGTAGAACATCTTCTTACTATAGGGTGCGTGCCGGGACTGGGCGAAGATGTCGTAGGGGGTGGGGTTGTTGCTGGCGGGCCACGCGGGAGGGACATATTGGGACGGCTCGGAGGGAGGCTGGTCACCTCGGCTATGGTCTTTGACAGTTGCGTAGGTTCGTGAGCCTTGCCATTGTGCCCGGATGGCCAACTTACTCCTGCGCAGGCGGTTAGAGGATGGTGATGGTGGTGGTGGTGTTGGGTTGAGTGGTGACAATGTCGTGGAGGGGCCGCGGTTGGTCGATGACGTTATGATTGCGGGAGGCGATATAGTCGAAGTGAGGCTGCCGCTGGAACACAGGGCAATCGTTGACTTCTTCAGGAGCATAGCTGGGCGAGTTGGAGGGTCACAACAATAGTATCTGTGAAGAGAAAGCGACAGAGATCATTGCGTCAACCGCCAGCAGGACGTCGTTTGGTCATAGAGGACGTTGTACAAGTGCACCAGAGGATTAAACGTGCACAGTGCAAGCGTAGTGACGGAACAAAAGATCCCCGCCGTCGCACCTTCCAAGCATGGCACTAGTCTAGGGTTAGGGGTAACGGTCAATGACTGGGGTGGTACCAGAGGTAGGTGTGAGAGGGGAAGACCCCTCCGTAGCAGGCCTGCAAGCGTAAGGTAGGGTATCTTTGTGCTCAGGTGGAGCCAAGGCTACTGGGCAGCTCGTCAGATTCTCAACCTCGCCTCTCGGGAGGCCATAGATTTGTTCCACCTTGACAACCAAACACCATCCTTCACAACCACTTCGCAAGGGCACGTTTGTCAATCAACTCCACCATCTCGTACTCTCTACTCCTTCAACGCACTATCAAGCCGCTCTGAACATCCACAAAACACCCAGGAAAGGCCATTTACAAAGACCTTGTGCCGGCCAAATTACGCCAGCCACTGCAAATCTCTTCCCTCACCCTGTCGGACGACCTCTCGATCCTTTGAAATACAGGTCCTACGCCTCAAAATACTCTTCAGGGACCTCGAACAGACATTTCCACCACTGAGGCGACTTTGATACCGCTGTCTTGTTCCTCTCCCGTCGAGCAGCGCCCAGACTTCACTACCCACGACCAGCCCATCCTTCGACCGAGCCCCTGTCTGCACATCTCGATCACCAGCACCAAAGTTTCTCTACCTCCTCGTTCGACACTCATCGAAATCAATCAAGCCCTCTACCCCCCGTACTCCAAGATAAATCCTACATCTCGGTCTCCGCAGCACGCGAATTTGACACTGTGCCAAAGCCGAAGTTGCGCCATATTCTCGATAGGAGCACTCCCCCCTCCTTGTTTACACAACATCAGATCGCCTCAGTCGCGACACCGAAGACGGGCAGCACTTGTCGCCCCCAGATTTCATCCTACCAACCTCACCTGAGCACGTCGTCTAATCCAGGACAGCCATGACGACGCCGCAATTTTCGAACCAGACTGCCTTTGATCAGCTCGCGGAGCAGATGAAACAGACTTCTATCGCAACCCCGAGTGCTAGCAGCAGTTCCGCCCCGCCCCCGTAGGTAGCATACTTGTTGTATAGCAGAGACATTTCCAGCTGACACTTGCACAGAGAAGCTGATCCTAACTGGCGACAAAACCTCAAGCTGCCCCCCAAGGACAGCCGCCAACAAACAGAGGTCTGTCTTGATCCCTCTCTCTACAGGTATTGAATGCTGTCCAGGGTCTGCGTCAGCTAACGGGTATATTGTCTCACAGGATGTCACAAATACTAAAGGCCTAGAGTTCGAGGATTTCAACCTTCAGCGGTCCATGCTGATGGGTATTTTCGAGGCTGGCTTCGAGAGACCTTCTCCCATCCAAGAAGAGAGCATCCCCGTTGCCCTGCAGGGAAGAAACATATTGGCTCGCGCGAAGAATGGCACAGGAAAGACGGCCGCCTTTCTCATACCTTGTCTCGAAAAGGTTGTCCCCAAGGAGCCCAAGATTCAATGCGTCATCCTAGTACCCACACGAGAGCTGGCCATGCAAACGTCACAGGTTGCCAAAACCCTAGGTAAACATCTCGGTATCAACGTGATGGTCACCACGGGAGGAACTGGTCTGAGGGACGATATCATCCGTCTGGCAGACCCTGTGCATGTTCTCGTCGGCACACCTGGCAGGATTGCAGACTTGGCGCGACAAAACATTGCAGACCTGAGCGAATGTCGTATGGTCGTCATGGATGAGGCCGACAAGCTTCTTTCCCAGGAATTCACCACCACCATTGAAGAGGTCCTCGGCAGACACCCCGCCGACCGTCAGCTCATGCTCTTCTCCGCTACCTTTCCAATTTCGGTCAAGGAGTTCTCTGACAAACACATGACCAACCCTTACGAGATCAATCTCATGGACGAGCTGACCCTCCGTGGTATCACTCAGTTCTACGCCTTTGTCGAAGAGAAGCAGAAGGTCCACTGCCTCAACACGCTCTTCTCTAAGCTCCAGATTAACCAGTCTATCATCTTTTGTAACTCGACCAACCGTGTCGAGCTGCTTGCTAAGAAAATCACCGAGCTTGGATACTCTTGCTTCTACAGTCACGCGAAGATGCCTCAGCACGCCCGTAACCGAGTTTTCCATGACTTCCGCAATGGAGCTTGCCGCAATCTCGTCTGCTCCGACCTTCTCACCCGTGGCATTGACATCCAAGCGGTCAATGTTGTCATCAACTTCGACTTCCCCAAGAACGCCGAGACATACCTCCACCGTATCGGCCGTTCTGGTCGCTATGGTCATCTTGGCTTGGCAATCAACTTGATCAGCTGGGACGACCGATTCAACCTCTACAACATTGAACAGGACCTGGGCATCGAGATCCAGCCCATCCCTGCGAGCATTGACAAGAGCCTCTACGTCTACGAGAACCCCGAGTCCATTCCCCGTCCGATGAAGACGGCTACACAGCAGAGTGCTGCTCCTCTATTACCTCAAGCTCAACAACCACAGGCCTCTGCGGCCGGCCAGCTTGACTGGCAGAACGGTCGCCAGAATGGTCAGCAGCGGCAGTATCAGACCAATCGGCACAACGGCCGTGGCGGTTCTGTTGGACGTGGTCGTGGCAACTACCGAGGCAACTACAACCCACGCGGTGGTCGAGGGCAAGGCCCACCGGCAGGTGGTCCTCAGTAATAAAACAAAAAATCATTTTCATGGAGACATGGTGGTTTTGTGTTTTATTATTTGTATTTGGCTGGGTTTTGACTATTATCTTTTCTTTGACGCTTTCCATTCCACATTGCAAGTCGGTAGGACTCGATTTTCACCTAACCGATAATACTCCACTACTCCTACAACTGCTACTCAGACCTTCAAATCCCTATGGAGCACATCGACTACAGCGTCCGCACCAGGACCTCCCTTAACAATATACTCACACGACTACATCCTCATCGTCACCTTTGATGACGGCAACGGCATAGGAGACTTGATGGGATAGAAAGGCCATTTGCGTCTTGACGACATTTTCGTTATTCTCGATATTTGGCCATCATACCCCTGAATCAAATTGTGGTTCAATACGGATAGGAGCATGGCGAAGGGTTTACAAAAGCAGCCGAGGATTCTTACTCGGTTTTTCTTGTTCGAAATGCTTTGATTTCGCTTTTCGTGTTTTTGATCGGCGTCTTTGGCGTGTCACTGGCGCGCAGTCGTATATACGGTTGGCGTAAGGGCGTCCGTTCTTTTTTCTCGTTTTGAAAGGCGGTTTCGGTCATGGAGTTGGGCAGGTGGTCACTTCCAGACAGGTGTCTCGGGGTGTCACGGGAGCCACATCGGTTTAAGGAGTCGGTCGGCCTTTATTACCTTTTGTTGTTTGACTGAGGCGTGGCCAGAGGTAAGTTGTGGCCGCGGTGAGCATGCCATACACTGACGGTATCATGTCTGCCGAAGAATGGTGCAGGATATCCCCTGAAATGGGTACGGGCGGTTGTGGTGTGTTATACTACGACGTGTCTCTTTGAGAGATGATATGGGAGGCGAGGCGCCGAGGAGGCGAACGGGAGGCGGCGAATGGGGACAATTAATGGGCCGCACTGGGGTGAAAGTGCGTGTCCAGGCAGGGTTCAACAACCTTCTACTGACGACAATTTTCGCTCGTCTGGCTATGGCTTTTCACTGTCGATGGAACCCTGGTGCTAGACGGCGTGTGCTTCCACTCATGCACGAACAATTTTGGCACTCTTGGCAACGTCTTGCTGTCTTGAGCACGATCAGCATCTTCACGCGCGGAACGCGAGCTCTTCCTTCACATCATCGATGGCTCTCCAACGGGTCCGTCTCGACCGCAATCCAGTTCGAGCCCACATTCATGGCCTATTGAATCCCATCGCCATGAAGGTACCGATTTGGAAAAATCAGGCGATGAGGATGGAGCAAGAAGTCTCCCTTATAACACAATCCAAAAGAGAAAAAGAAGAAAAAAAGAAGGAAAAAAAAAAAAAGGAAAAGTGAAGAAAACACAACTCCAGAAAATAACGGAAGAGCAAACGTTCGACGGGAGCCACGGATGGCTTGAAGCTTACGCATAGCTACTGTGTCAAGCTTGGCTACGGAGTGGGATCGATCATGACCTTGGTTTCTTGATTCGAATCTGTACACATGTACTAAAGACTCTCGGAATGGGGCTTGGGATCTCGGGTCGTAGTCGATTAGGCTTTCCCCCGTCGAACGGTCAAGGAGTCCAAGGCTAGTGCAATCTTTGCATATTAATCAAGGGCTTGTTCTTCCAAACTCTTACTGTCTATTGCAAGGTGAAACTTGTTATGAAGTGCGTCGTCCATGTACCGATATGTACCTTGTAGTCGGATATGCCCAGGACGTACAGCTGGTACAATCGGATATTGTGTCCTAACGCTGGACATGATGTTCGCCATAATCGAGTCTTACAATTTTAACTTTTTTCCCCACAGCTTGGGCATGTCCGTATAGGAACGACTCTATTGCATTCCTGTCGATACTTAGCTACAAGTCCACTAGGTTTAATGTGATAATCAGTTCATGAGACCCATCCCTTCCCTGGAAACAATGTACATCAAAACACAAAAACCGACCGAGTTGCATTCCGTAGCCGAGGTGTTCCAAGCGAAACGACCCAAGAGCCTGGAAGTGCAACGTTCCTGCAGATCACCAACTATTGCATACTTCTAGCCAAGGCACCACCCATCAATCGATAAGGCTTTTACCCGGTCCGGGAGTTTTCAATCTTCAGTGTGCTTGGTGCAAGCGGCAGCAGGCCAGAGCCTGCCTGGCAGGAACCTTTGACTCGGTAATCCTGCTGCGGCAGCCAGATTATTCGATCGACACGTGAGCTGAGGCTCCACGGAAGTAGCATAATCTTGCATCGCTAGTCTCTGCAAGTGATGATGGTGCACCTGTGGGACGGTTCTGGGCCCTGAAATTTATGGTCTGGCCACACCCACACGCTGATGATCGTCTCACTCCTAATGTTGAGAACACTGGACTTTTGGTAGGAAATTCTGGGCGCTTAACCTTTCAGTGAGAATCCCCAAGACTTTATAATTGATTCCCTGATATTTGAAGCAGAGATTCAGAAGATATTTATCATTTGTCTCCATGTTTATATTGGGAGAAGCCATCTCTGGGCAGTACACCCCCTCCCGTGCGGGACTCACGCCCCTGCGGATTACTACCACATCTTTCTTGGCAGCGGCGACGTCGGCGTCCCAATGGTGGTCAGACACCCATTCTATCGGTGGGAAAATGTGCCCACCTGCTCGTACACTGAGTGGTAGGCGTAGGATCCTGCACAAAAAAAGGCTAGGTTGCGGGCCTTTGTTGGCAAGGAGTCTCTTTAGGCTAAACTGAAGAACTTCCCTAGACCAGACCTGACCCAGACCTTTCCCCATGGCACGCTGACTTTTCCTGGGGTAAGCTGGGGGGAATTCTCCACTTTTAACTGGCGGTCCGGGGAAACATTTGGGCAGTTGGGCCTTGTATTTATCCAGGAGGATGAGGGAGAATATAGGCAAATGAGATTGTTAGAAAGGTTGACCCTGATGGCCAATTCCTTCCTGACTATGCTTGATTATTACTCATGGCTTTGACGACCCTGTCCTCAGCGTTTTCCGATCGTTCTTCTTCTTCTGAAAGCCTATGTAAGACCTATAGGGAGTTGGCTTGTAGATGGTGGCTGACTATGGGGGATGTCGGGACGATGAAGCATGGTCTTCTCTTCCTTCCATCACACTGTGACTCGCAGGAAATACGGCCGAGCAGGTCGTCAGACGCTTGGACGGACCGTTTACCGAGCGGGTCTCCGAATCCTTCTTTGGTATGGAGAACGTGCTGTGTCCCCGGTTAACCAAGCGGTTAATACTCTCTGCCGTACCACACCCCCTCCCCCTTTACTGCATTCGTGGCGCCACACCGACAAGGGGGGGCCATGGCTCTGGGATGGACTAAATCTACCTCTCGCATAGTTATGCACATATAGATGGCACATGATTCCAGATACATAAATACTAGGGGAAATGTCGTCTCTGCTCCTTTTTTCTGTTTGTCCTTCGCCGTTCTCGTCTCCTTCACGCTGGTGGACCGTGTGTCAGTCAGCCTTTCCTTCTTGATTCAGTTCCTGGCGAGGAGACACTGTCTTCCCAACGTTCCAAGATGGGCAAAAACACATTTCAGTTGGGAGGCCGGGACTGGCCCAAGGTCACATGGTGGAGGATGAAGCATATGCGAGGGCTTTATCTCTACCTCTGGGCTGCCATGCTGACTTCGGCCACCAACGGTAAGCTAAGCGCAATGAATCAAGAAACAATGTAGGAAGTTGTTGCTTGGATGAATAGACCTTCTAATGAATTCTGTCCTGTGCAGGTTACGACGGATCTCTGATCAACAGCTTGCAGAGCATGGACCAGTGGAAAGACTATTTCCACGACCCCTCGCCCTCTATCCTTGGACTGATCACGGCATCCTTCTCCATGGGATCCATGCTGGCCATCCCCTTCGTGCCCTACTGTGCTGATCTCCTGGGACGTCGAGCCGGCGTCGTGATCGGCTGCTCTATCATGATCTGCGGAATTGTGCTGCTCTCCCTGGGCATCCACGTCGCGCTCTTCATCGTGGGCCGTCTGCTGCTGGGCTTCGGCATCGCCATCGCACACGGCTCTGCGCCCCTCCTCATCACGGAGCTCGTGCACCCGCAGCACCGCGCCGTCTACACGACCATCTACAACACCCTTTGGTACCTGGGCTCCCTCATCGGCGCATGGGTGTCCTTTGGCACCGACAGCATCAACGGGAACTGGGCCTGGCGGGCCCCCTGCCTCCTGCAGGCCATCCCCTCGCTCTTCCAGATCGTCTTCATCTGGTTTGTGCCCGAGTCGCCTCGCTGGCTCATCGCCCACGGGAAGCAGGAGCGCGCCAAGCAGATCATGTTCAAGTACCACGCACAGGGCGACCAGAATGATGAGCTCGTCAACGTCGAGTTCAACGAGATCCAGCAGACAATCGCCCTCGAGCAAGAGTACGAGAAGTCGTCCTGGAGCGAGCTCTGGTCCACGCCAGGAAACCGCCACCGTCTTCTCATCCTCATCAGCTTTGGTCTCTTCTCCCAGTGGTCCGGCAACGGTCTTGTCTCGTATTATCTCACTGGCGTGCTCAAGACCATCGGCATCACCGACTCCAAGACCCAGCTGGAGATAAACGGGTACCTGTCCATCGTCCAGCTCGTCTCCGCCGTGGGAATCTGCTTCTTTGTGGACAAGATTGGGCGTCGCCCTTTGTTCCTCACGTCCTGCGTCGGCATGCTCATCTCGTTTATCGTCGAGACTATTGGGTCGGCTGAGTATGCTAAGCACAATTCTGATGGTGCTGGCAAGGCCGTCATTGTCTTCATCTTCGTCTTCTACGTCTTCTACAATCTCGGGTTCTGCGGTCTGCTCGTGTCTTACTCTGCCGAGATTCTGCCGTACCGCATCCGTGCCAAGGTAAGCATATTCCTCCCTGCTCATATATTCAGAAGAAACAAAGACAATCGCTCACACAACCTCTCTCAAAACAGGGTCTCACCGTCATGATGTTCTTCGTCGACGTCGCATTGTGGTTCAACCAATACGTCAACCCCGTCGCCCTCGGCAACATCGGCTGGAGGTACTACATTGTCTACTGCTGCTGGATCGCCTTTGAGCTGGTCTTTATCTGGAAGTACTTCATCGAGACCAAGAACACCCCTCTCGAGGAGATTGCCAAGTACTTCGATGGCGACAATGCCATTGTGGGTGGTGACGATGCCACTGCCAAGGCGCGCCATCTTGCTGGTGAGGACGACGTTGTTGATGTTGTCTCGGAGAAAGGGGCAACGGGTGTCCATACTACTGGCGTGTAGAGGAAAGCAAAGAAGCAGAAGAAAACAGAGAAAGAGCTTTATACCCGCAAGGAGACAGTACTACAGGATGTATAGGAAATGGCTCCAAGTGAGCTTTTGATGTTCTTATCATGTATCGCATCGAAGTGGCTTGTCTGATGCTCAATCCTGTGACGTCTGTTCAAACAAGTTTCCCCGTGCATTATGATCTGTGTAGTAGCGATTTGAGCCCATATGATCCATACAGACGTCGCAAAGCCGAGGTGCCGTGGTATGTCATGCAGTTTAGAGCATTTCTAGAACGCTGTTGCGCGACTGAGGACCGGAACCCAGGAGACCCCTGCTAGGCTTGGCAATCAAACTTCAGTACTGTGCACAATGTTAATGACGACAACGACAGCCTTGAGAGCACCTTTGAGACGATGGTATGATTACACGACCAACTGTCATATCATCTTCAAAACCCCTATGGACATGAAAGTCTTCTGTTGCAGAACATCTCAACCCCTCTGCCTCCTCCGCTCGTTGCCATTATCACTCATTACATTTACTCGGCGTCACTCGATCTTCCAAACCTCAGCCGCCCAAGCCATGTCCTCCCCTCGAGATCACCTCCAGGACAAGTGGAATCATCTATACCGCAAAGAGCTCCCTGCGCTCGCCAAGGCCAAAGATCCAGCGCAACCGAAATGGCCCGTCTCTCTTGACCACTGCTTCGCTCGCATCATCCTAGACAACGCAGTAGGGAGGGATAGGCCGTGGCACCAGGTGTTGAAGAGCCCAGCGTACAAGCACATGAGCCAGCAGCAGCTACAGGATGCGATTGGGCTTGGGGAACAGCTGGTAAGTGGTCAAGCGGACTTGGTGGCGTTGGATGAGAAGAGCCTCGAGCTCAGGGGCAAGAGGAGTAAGCAGCAGCAGAGGACTACCAAGACGCCGAAGAAGAGGAAGGCTGTGGACCAGGACGATGGAGCGGTACAAGGGAAGACCGAGAAATTGTGAAAATTGGCACATACTACTTCTAGGTCTCGAACTCGGTCTAGAAAACAGGAGACCTCATAGACAATGTAGAAATGAGGGAGCAGGATTAAAATTAGACATTTGGGCGCGAAAGACCGAGTGTTCAAGACCTATCGCTGGGATGAAAATGGCTGATTGCCCTTGCCGAACGATTTTGTCACCCTGCTTTGCTTTGAATATGCTGGAGAGAAAAGAAAATGGAAAAAAAATTGGGATGCTTCATTGCTCATGCACCGAGCACCTCCACGTCCTTCAACTCGGTCACACTACCCTGGATTCCGATGATTTCCTCGTCCGTCAAGGATATACCGAAATGCTTTTTCAGAGCCTCGACTCTTTCAGGCTCTGTGGAACAGACCTGGACCACCTCTGTCTTCCCGCCCATGTTTCTCTTGATCGTGTCATTGACCAGCATAATCTTGCCAACAACACCAGAGTCCCCATCAGGACCGGCAGGACCAAGCAGGAATTTGACAATGATCATCGTCGTCTTTTGAAAAGTCGGTCCCTGGCTCGTCCAGTAGTTAATCGGTTCAAAGTCCCGCGCCAGGGCCTCCGTGTCGTTAAAGGCATAGAAAGAGTTCCACTCCTTGTCTGGACCGTTCCGGTATTGATAAACCCAGTATTTTCCAAGCGACTTTGGAAGCTCCTCATGGACGAATCGAATCTCCTGGGTCCCGATATTACGGGTCACCACGCCTTCTTTGAATGGCATGGGGACCACGGGTCCATCGCCACCAAAGGCTACATCGCAGACATACTTCTCTGTCTCGCCGTGGGCCGTGGGGACTTCGATTATGATGACTAGGTGGACGATGCCTATGTAGTCTCCCTTTGGCACGCCGTTCTCTCGGAGACGAATGCGGACCATGGCAGGATAGGCTCGGAATCCGATGCTGCGGAGTATCTCCAGGAAGAAAAGGGAGCCTTCCATGCAGTAGCCTCCGCGGTTTCGTCCGTTGGTCACAAACTTGGCGAACAGGAAGGTCGGGTCGAGGCTGATGGTCTTGTGTGAGGAGTAATGAAGCGAGAGGTTCTCATATGGGATCGCCGCGATGTGGTATCGGTGCAGGGCCGTGAGGAAGGCTTCATCTCGACGACAGCCTGCTGAGTAGTACTTCTCTGGCAGTTTGATGTGCTTGAAGTACTCTCTCAACTGGTCCTCGCTGAAGCTCGGTGGAGGAATTGCTCTCTCAGGCGCCATGATGGATGATAGTGATGGATTATCGACTCGAGACGACGGCTGGGCAAGAAAATCAAGCTGTTTCCTCGCTTTCAGGTCAATAATCTGCGGATCATATTAATATAGTGTTGTTGAATTGAAAAAGAACATTGAAGATACCGCTTATAAATGCTTCAATCGTACCCTGTCTTATTTCTGACTCATTGTAATGCAGGCCGGGACCGCACTCCGACTTGCAGAGTCACCAAATTCATTGATGCCGCAATTGACAGACCGGAAATAAATCTAATCATGAATAGTGTTGTCTAATCTGCTTTGAAATAATCAGACTCCACTTTCGGCCGTCTTTAGACTCACGGTGCTATTCAGACGACTCTGGGCGGCAAGACATTCCCGGTAGCTTGTAGGTTGTTTGGCATGACGGTGGGTGCATTTTGTGATTGACACCTCTACCGTTCTATTTTGCAATCCATGTGATGACCATCATTAGTATACTATTATCTCCCATCGAAACTGTTTGCATTGAGTCGTTTCTATGTACAGTTCTCGAGCTTGCGAGCACTCTCTGCAATTGAAAGCGAAATAATTTACGGCTGAATATTCTCCTGATGGAGTTTCCCAAAGTCGTATCAGTTTATCATTTTCTCATATAAAGCCGGCCAGCCAGTATCTTGTTCTTTTCGTGCTTTGACATCAAATGTTCTCTACCAACTTGGCATCTTTCAATGAAGGCCGCTGCTGCATATTGCAGAATGTATTGGTGCATCAGCCAGTTGACTCTCATACGACGATTCATCGTAACGTAGCTCGGATGTGCTTGTGGGAAAGCTTTCCCTCCGGATGCTTTCAAATTGACTCTGAATTGTTACATCTATGTTGCTTGACTGACCGCCAATGTTCTGGACCACCCCCGCAATGACGCAGGGCACATACAGGCTCTCGAATCCTTCGGTCTCCAGAGGCGGATGTAGCTTCTTTATGACTTCAACCGACCCCTTGTGAGATTAACATAGACTTCTTCCCTGCAGCCATGCTCGTCCGTCAGATCCCGGTGAGGCGCTTCAGAAGTCGCGTCGAGCCTTCGTTACTAGGCCGGAGGGAGGCCAAACTCATGAGATTCAAGGCTAATATTGACTGTTTGTCGAGATACTAGAGGAAATTCTGCTTGTTCAGTATCACAGCCTCGACGGTGCAGCCAAAGTCACCTTATAGCTTCAAGACATATTCTCGGTCAATTCGCAGCGGGCCATGAAGACGACATGACTGCTTATGGGCAGCAACCCAATAAAAGTTGGTGCCTGTAATCATTCGATTCACGCATTAGCCTCAACATGCGTGGACTGCTAATACCAAAACGATGTGAGAGCCTGGAGGGAGAACGAATCAGATCCCGAGCGTCCGAGCTGAACTGCTGCTGAGATGATATTTTGTTGGATAGCCGGACAAGTCACTGGCATAGCAGCGTTGCTAAGTTATATGTGCGTTGTAAGCCCTTAGCCTCTCACGTACCTTTGTCTTTAATGCATGTACTATAGTATGCGATAGTTTGATGTCAAGTAGTCTGGCGGTGAAGGCTTCAGCGCAGGTTTTCAGCTTACTGGCAGGCCCAAGTAGTGTCATGCTATTCCCAGCTGAGAGTCCATGACCAAGAATCAAAGAAAGAAAAAAATCGTAAAAAAAATTATACAGGACCCTTGCAATAGCTTCTCAGCCCTTGGACATGACTATGTGGAAGCCGAGGTGCCGACGCTTTGTCCTTAGACCACCGTAGGCTCGACCAATGTTCTTCAGGCGCTGTCTGTTCTGTTCCTGGGAATACGAGGCCCCTGCATGAAAAACAGGACAAGCTTACTTTTTAAGGTTACCAGCTGGGCGATCCTCTAGCTCCGAGGGGGCGTCAGGTTGGAGCATCAGGGCTGGGTAATGAGACAAGTGCACGCTACGTTTGCTAATAGATTCTCGCTTTTGACCGATTGAGGTCGGAGCGAAGTTGCTGTTCTTTGCCCGAATGCATGATTTCTCGCTGCTCAGCAGGGTGAGCACTATTGAGATCCACAGCGATACTACTCGATACGAGAAGGGAGCTGGCTGCCTAGAGGTCCAAGACAATGGGACATGGTGCGAGCGTGAAGAAATGTCTGACTGACTCGGGTGCCACTCTCAAGCACTATTACATACATACACCGGGGGGGGGGGGGATGGAGCAGGAAAGGAATCTCTCAAAAGTATTTGATAAAAGGTATTTAATGTTCAACACTGTCCGCGCTTCTTTGCATCTCATATCATATCCCACCATCAACGACTAAATCAACCTGATTGTCCCATTCACATCAGTCAAGCAGACCATCATGCATATCAGACTCCTAGAGACCTCTCTTCTCCTGCTCGTAGCCGGGGTGTCGCTGGCCCACTCGCCCCCGAAGCACAGCACCACAACAACAGCGAAAACGTCGACATCCACAACCGCCACGACACACAGCAGCACAACAGCAGCGCCAGCCTCGACGTCCACAGCCTCCACGAGCACCGTCAGCATACCAGCAAGCTGCACATCCGACGTCCCCCCGGCTCTCACAATGACAGCCTTCACCTGGTTCAACTCGACCCACAACCTCGACTGCGTCAACCCGAACTACCCAGCGGGCTCCACCGTCTGCTGGAACAGCACGTCCTTGTGTTCGGAAGGCGACGCCAACTGCGTCTGCACGCCGTTCTGCTACACCGGCCTGTCATCGGCAGCATATCAGCCTCTCGGCTACGGCCCGCCCGACTCCATCGACATCACCATCGACGGAGGCACGTGCTACCAGGTGGAGCCGAAGGGCTACCGCGATTACGAGCTCGGCGAGGGTCACTTTGACTGTGGCAGCGCGGCGGACCAGATCGGCTTCTATGGGAACTCTAACAGCAATACAGGCAACGTGGGCAGCGTGTACTACAATGCGTACTATGCCACTGGCGTGGGTTCCTGCAACGATCAGATCCCGAGCTATGGGGCAAGTTTTCCGCTCGAGTGCACGCGTGATCAGGGCGGCAATGCTACTTGTACTGCGCCGGTGCCGATAGTTTTGCCGTTGACTGGGTGGGTCTGAGTTTGGTGTGATTTCTTGCTATACCAGTAGGAGCCTCGATAGGAAATCAGGAGGCTTTGCCAATTCATGACCTTGGTCAATCCAGTCTGACCGAAAAGTGTTTATCAAGTACAGCTCCAGGCGGTATAGTAATGAATTATGTATCATATGAATAATAATAAAAGCGTATTTGAGTGACAATATGTGTGTGAAGGTACCATAAGGAGGATCGAATGCATGTGTTCAAACAAGTAACCTTTACGGAAATGAACTCGTATAATTCAGATCTGGAATAGCTGTTTCGTAATATCCCTGAGCTTTGAAGTAGACGCTATCAAGTCTCTGGGTCTCTCTCTGATGCCCGACAAAGCGACGTAGAGATCTTAGTATGTCGCGTTGATCCAGCTGTACCCATCTGGCCATAACTGGGCCATAGTCACTGCAGCAGTGGCCACCGTCTCGTTCACGCGCTCCGAGGTGTCCGATCCAGCACCCGTGTTTTCGTACTCCTCAAAAGTTGGAATGGCCGTGAGGTCCAACGTCGTCCACCCTTTCGGGTTGATAATGTCGCTGAGGCTCGAATACTGGAAGATGACGCGCGCGTAATCTCGCCACGGACGGCCGAGGTAAACCTCTTGGTACAGGTCGTCGCCTGACACGGCCGTGATCTAAGTGATTTTTGGTTTTTCTGTGAGTAAGGATGGTCTAATCTCGGAAACTCGATTCATAAAGGAAAAATTGTATTACTTACCGTCGAGTTGTTGATGACGTACCACGCAGTATCGGTCGTCTCCTCTCGAGAGTTCGCAGTAATGGCGCCGGGCCCATCCGATGCCAGAATGCAGCTCTCAAACCACGCTGCAGCATCGCCGAATATGTAGTCCACCGCGCCCTGTCGTTTCTCTCAGCTGCTGTGCTGTTTCACAATGGAAACGGAAGTCGGTTTGTGTGCACAGGCACTCACCTCGATGTAGCAGTTCTTGTAATATTGATCTCCCGCGTAAGCGTAGAGGCTATGATATCAAATTTGGTCAGCTAGAGCTTTTGATAGCCATGTCCATGGGGGATCCTTTGGGAGATACGCCGTAATATCTAGTGTACTCACGTATCTTGGTAGCCGTAAAAGCCACATCCATAATACCCATGCTGGTTACCATGAGCAGTAAATGCGATAGCCTGGGTGCCTGCTCCGTAAGTATTCTTGACGTTGATATTGTACATGGAGAAGTTGTCACTAGTGACTTGAATCGCGGCGCTGAGAGAGTCTGATCCGGCTTCGGTTGATGTCATTGACCATTGCACTGTTACAGTGTTCTCCGCGTACGTCCCGACGCTACACATGTTAATTATGACACTGAATTCAGCGTTTATTCCTAGGGATGCTTACTCGGTTGTAGAACCGTACAGGGTGAGCGCTCCCTCATAATCGATGAGAATCTGCTCGGTCAATGTGTATGTTCCTGGGTAGACGAAAATGCAAGCGTCTGCTGAGCCAGAGAGCGAATCTATCGCGTCTTCAATTGTTGTGTAATATCCAGATGTGCTTGTGCCTGCCATTGAAAAGCACGTTAGTGAGAATCATCTCCAGAGAGAAAAGATGGCATGCGTCTTACCCTGCTCAACGACGAGACATCCTGCGGGAGGAGTGGTTCGAGAACCTCCGGCGCGCCTGTCAAGTATCGGAACGGCGGCGACAAACGGCAAGAAGAGGGCTGTGATGGGAAATGCATACAACATCATGATCTTCTCCAATAATTTGTACGGTTGCAGTCAAACTGATGTTTTGATGTTGCGCTTCCAGAGGGGACGGGGGTTTGAGCCATCTCGGCCGACTGAGCATAAGCTCTGGTCTATATAGTATTTTATATAGGTCAACCTGGTACACTTCATCTTACTGCAGGGCAGAGTCGGCAATCCCGTTGTCGAAAGTCTGTGCTTAGCTTCCAGAAACTATCCACAACTTGCTTTGCCTTGCCCAAGATACTCCACGAGTGTTTCACTGTGAATGTTGTTAGGTTTGCTCGGAAGCTAACGACCCGCTATTATGGAGCACTCCGCTGCCCCGTTCTGGTAAGTACATCATATGCCGCGGCGACGTTCATTTGTGGATTTAATACAGACTATAGCACCGTCTTGATGTTTTCATGCCGCGGTGATTTTCCTGTGCCATTGGAACCGCTAATTATACTTTTCCACTTATATGCGTACCTCCTTTTGTTATAAATTGCCCGTCACGAATTGAGATGCTGCAAAGCCCTTATAATTCCAAGCACTTGACGAGAATAACTGATTATGCACTCGGAAATACTCGAGAGATCACAGCCCATCACTTAACAAGCGCGAATAAATATATTTTTCTTCGTTCAAGATGCAATTGTTCAAAGTAAGTTAAGTGCAAAAAGTGTTTGGATGGCTGTTTTACTGGGGTCATTCGAGGCCATTTTCCTCTTTCCCTCACAAATTTGGTAACTCCATTACACTCAACGTGACCCAATTATCACTGTCGAGATACCCGGCACTCATGATGAGAAGGTAATCCGGATCATCCATGACACGCAGATGCCGTGAGTAGGCCCCAGACTGAGGCGTGTCATACTCAACCCAAGAGTCGGGGTCTCCCAGGGCAGTGCTGATGAAGATTTGTGTGTTGCTGTCTGCGCTCACAACAATCGTGCCGTTGGTCCCGCCCGACGAGCTCCAGACGACGTACGGAGAGCTCACGGGTGTGACTCCATTCGCTGTGAGCTTATTATCGGTCGCAGAATCGAACGTCAGCGGGCTGTCGCTGATGCGATAATACACATCGCAGGCTTCGGTCCCACAGTACTCGTACGTCATGATGTACTCGCCGTTACCCATCTCCGCGACTGTGGCCATGCCTGGACGGGCGGAATAGGTAGGCTGGGCGACGTCATTGACCTCAGTGCCCCATGTCACGCCGTCTGTGGAGGTCTTGTGGGCGAGTTTCTGGGCATAGGTTGTGTCGCTCTGGTCTGAGTAATATGCCACCAGCTGGTCGTCATATACCATCAGGAAAGGCTCCCACACTGGTGTGTCCCCGTTAACAGGCTCTGCCACGCCGCCAGACGCAATGCTCGAGACGTAGGACCAAGATGCACCGTCGTCTGTGGATGCGTACAGGTCGATTTGAGTCTGGCTCAAGTCTGACGGGATGGAGTTTCCTGCGCATAGTATAGTTCCTGCCGCGAGGTCGCCAATAGCTTGTGGGAGCAAGTAGAGGAAGGGCTGATAGCGCAAACCCCAGTCGTTGACTTGGTCTGTGACGTTGGAAAAGGCAGCCCAGGTTTGGCCATAGTCGGTACTCCGGAAAATCGGAAAATAGACATTGGGTGGTTCTGGGGAATAGTTCTCCCTGTAGTTGTTGACTTTCGATCAGACTTGTAACCAAATCTACAGAGGAACTGCATTGTAATCAAGAGGAAAAGTCACTCACCAGGTCGCGAGGAGTGTGCCATCTGCTAGCTGCACGGTGCGTCCATACAGCGTCTTTGGGACAATATAATCCGACGGAGGAACAAAAATATCGTTGAAGGTGACAATGACATCTCTTTTGTCGTTTTCAGCAGCAACACAGCCGGTCCAATAAAGGAGTATCAGGACTGTGGTGAGCCCCAGAGAAGCCATCAATCCTCGCTTATACATCATGTTGAGTTCTGAACCTGAGGCTGCTCTATGATCGATCGTAGCACTTTGATGCCATCTGGGAGATCTATACAAGAATTTGCCGGTAAAGAACGGAATCTACGGCTCATATGAACCTCTAATCTTACTTGGTAGCATTGATATCGTTTACCAGGGGACATGACCTGCTGATCACAAAATACGACACTTCTCGGTATATTCATGGCCGAGAAAAGACACAGCTTCTAAAATTACGGAAGTCCAAGCTTAGACTGATCAAAGCATATTGACACATCGTTCCCTGGTAATAACCGTTACGTTCCAAAGTCTCTTGCACATGCCGAGTTTGGGCTTGCTGTGTTGACGGATTGGAACTGCTTGCGTAGATGGGTTTTTGGTTACGTGGCGGCCAAAGTTTAATTGTGTTTAGCCGCACGAACAGGATGCCTTCAGGCAATGTAAACCCCGCTTTGTATGTGACAGCAGCACGCATGAATCTCCGGATGTTTCCTCTCCTCTCTTTCATTAACAATTATGTCGAACATTTGGCTTGGGCACAGCAACGCGGTTGGAACACGTGACAGATGGGTACACTTATGGACAACTTAAGAAGGAGAATCGTGCTCTTAAACTAAGATCTAAAACCACCTTCTTGATCTCTTTCCGAACATACTGTGTGATTACTTAAGTATCTGTCTCCTTAGACGCGTGCGGTACTATTATATCCATCAAGCGGGCTCAGTCCTTCTTGACTCGAAGCTCCATGAGTCTAACGATATAGTGTTCAGTCCCTCCAACCTTTGTAGCGTCTTGGTCAAACGTCTCTAATACATCGAAGCCGGCGTTTGTGTAGACCTTGAAGCCACTAGCAAAGGCCAGAACGAATACGTCGATACCCAATTCTCGCGCCTTCTGTATACCGTGCTTGACGAGAGCCGACCCGATACCCTTGCCTTGATTGTCTGGATGGACTGCTAGATAGTCCAGGACTAATTGAATCATGAGAGTCAGACCCGCTAGTCTGTCCACGAGATTGGGTTCGACGAAGACCTAGGTATTTGTATATGAATCAAGAACGTACTGATGTATTCCCTCTCAGCCACAAGCACATCCCTTCTCCGGGCAAAAACGTCATCGAAATGGTCGTCATCACCAAAATCTTGCGGCTTCCACTCCGCCGCCGCGGCCTTCTTGTTAAACGCCTCTCTGTCCTCGGGGCTGACATCTGGGACCTGACCCTCTGGCCACACAGGGTGGCCGTCCTCATTCTTGCAGCGGTTCGCGGGCAGCTGCCAGCGGATATAGCCGATGAGCTTCCCAGTCTCGGGGTCGACAGCTTTGAAGTGGCGCAGGGTATCGCGGTTTTTGAGGAGTTGGTTGCGAGGGTACCGGTCGACGGTGGCCTTGATGAGATTCTCCAGTCCGAAATTCACCCAGGGATATCGCCAGTTCTGGTCCTGCCAGAATGCTGGTATGTTGTTATGAGCCATCTCAGTTGCGTCCTCGACGGTGCAGTTCGTGATCAACAGTTTCGGCATGTTGAAGTTGGCCAAGTGGCTCGAAGGTGATAGCACGGAGCTTGTTTAATTGATTCTAGACAACACCGTAGGAGAATTCCGAGAAGATTAGATTGACTCTCGTACTCTATCTTTCATTAAATTGAAGGGCGTCCGGCACATTTATGTTGTCCTGAAACCTGATCAATGCTCTCATACCTCGTTTGCCAAAGATAACGTAAAGAGGACCTATTGCGGGTGCTGTGCCTCGGCGGCTTGATCCGGCCACACAGCCGGAGGTATGGATGGCGCCTTATGCATGCCTGACGGGCCAACCCCCGTCAATATCTTGCGCCGCGGGCCGAAGTTGAGGACAGGTGTCGACTTTATATATCAAGACCTACCAGCCCAGCCAAACAAATGCCTTTGTTTCTTATCGTGACTCTCACCGTCAATGACTCACTTCTTCAGCCTTCAATGGGTTTTCCGAGGTTAGAGGCTGCTGCTGCCTGAAATGAGGCATATTTCAATACAATTATGGCGTATTGCAGCTCACTAATAGATGCAGGTGGTGGCATCGGCAGAAGGGGCAGAGGCAGGCGTACAGCAAGATAATCGAGGAACACATGTTTTTGCCAGTGTGATCAGGAAATGGGGCTACTGGAAAATGTAAGCATCAATCGAGCGAAGACTACAGTGGCAAGTGTTCATACTGCCGGGGAAGAAAAGGCGTGTCAAATACTGCACGATCATTTCTCATTCTTGCGTTCTGTAACGACTCAAGCAGGAACACGCCACCATCTTAAAGGTAGCCACTCACCCCTCATTCTATGACCACGTTCAAGATTCGATGTAAGGCTTGTTCTAGGTCTCAACATGAAATGCACTAGTGCCGCCATTATGCTGTTGTGTTGTTGTTACTGCGAAATTGCTTGGACTGTTGGCTGTGGTAGCTTCATCGAGGTTGTTCTCACTCGGAAACTTCTGTATTGATCACCACAAAAGCATCTGTCTATTAGTACTGAGTACAATGCATGATAAAAAAGTGATTAGACGATTAGACGACCAGATAGGCAATGAGATGTGACAGGAGTCCTGCTCTGAAGGTACCTCGCTCCATTTCACGTATTGTCTGCATCTTTGCAGTGATATTACTAACTAGCTGAATCTTCGAATCTTGTTTGTTGTTGCTCCACGAGTATCGATCATGTTCTGACTTGATGAGTTTGGTGACCTTCCGAGGTGATGCAGCTTGGGACGCATCGTCAGTGCAGCGCAGCTGTGGACTATAAATACCGGCTACGTTTTCGCCAAAACCTGAGCTCTTTGTAGAACCACATCCTTCTTTCCTGACACCCAATGAGCTGGTATCGGGACAACCGCATTTCCATTCCACAAAACCTGCGCTGTCTGGCTAAGAAGACTAAGTCGATATAGATGGCCTGAATTCTCAAACCGTATTCTTGGTTGCAACAATGATGTGCTCACTTTATGCCGTTATGGCGCACATTACGATATATTTCGAGCTTCCTTGTGGCTTAAAATTTTGCTGCAGCAGAGTCGTGCGTCCCTGGCGGGCAATATCATGCTCACCGTCCCTCACGCCTTCTCCTCGTTGGGTTTGGTTCATGACTGGACGATAGAGACACACCATGTCGCCCATCCACCTTGGTCAGGCACTCGGCGCCCAAAAGAGAGGTTGCCGTCGGGCCTGGGAGAAGTAATATGTGTACATCGATGCGAGCAGTCACAGAGTTTCATCAATATTGGACAAGGAGAAGATCAGCCTATTATTGCGAAGAAGATGCACTTAATCTCCTGGGACTCAGACCACTTGCACATCCTTCACCAGCATCGGTCCGGCGTCTGTCGATATTAGACATCTTGATCTATAAGATGGAAGTGAGCAGGGTGCATTATTTCCCGAGAAACCCGGGTCTGAGCTCATATGGGTGGATCTTGGATCAGATCATCGTTTATGTGGTCTTGTATTCTGTCACCACTGAGGCCACACGAGTGGCACAAAGACTGGACGGAGATCGTTGCACCCTGGTTTCACCTGCCGGCTGGGCGGTAATCTGTATTATTCACGGTGCCGGCTGGTCGTATCATTGATAGTACTGGCCGTTCGAAATGTCCATATCGTCGTCATGGACTGCTGTCGACAATGCGGTGTCTGATTCTACATCCGGTGACGAAGGTGGTCTACATGGGCTTTCCTGGAGACCATGAATCCCGTGGTGAGGCCGCTGAGTACCCTAACTCTCATATCAACCGCCACTGGCAGCGCTTCCTGGACAAGGGCAGACTAGCGTCGAGGAGGTACATCGACGCCCTGGTCGCAAATATGGGTGACTCTGAGACTTCTCTCAACGTGTACGGCCGTCATTATAACCATATCGACAGCTTATGGACCTCGCCTTTCTATGGGGGTGTGAGCTCCGGTATCCAATATCGATAGGGAAACCGGGAAGTTCTTTCGTATGGCCCTCCGACACCATGGTATGAGCGGCTTCACCGTTTCCGCGGTCGCCTAGGCAATACAGACCGCGGAAGACACTTATCAGTCAGGGACAGATGTCATATTCTCGACTCAAATTTTTGAACTCCCATTTATCACTTATGAAAGGGTTCCTATCTGTTCAACCCTGGCTATCAAATTCTCCTGCTTCTGCTGCTCCACCACCACCCGCAGCTTCGTGCTTCTGTCGTCAAAAGAGATGTCAATGTCTCTTTCCCTCATCCTGGATTCATTACAACTGGTCCTCCTATTTCGGATTCTGATAAGCATCTGGCACGATCCGTCACGAAATCATGACGGATCATTATCACCAGAGACTTATTTGGATCCGAGACAACGCAGATTAGTTTTTGGGGGGGGGGGGGGCTGACATCAGAAGCTATGTTGGCACGGGTTTGAGAAGTCTAATGACACGGAGAAATCCCATCGCTTCAATGTTCAGTCACCACAAGCGATGATTTCGACGTCACCACGGTCAACAAGGAGAAGAATTTGGAATTGGCCGTGAATTTCTTCTACCATGCTCTCTGTATCATCCTGAAAAGGACTACCCCGAGTGCAACTTCTCTATATTCGCCGCTCCGCTGTCGACGACCAGAGGAGGATATTATCAGGTCCTGCTGTTGCAACCGCTCTAAGAGCGTGCGTTTTGTCGTTGGCGGAAGCCCATTTCCATCTCTTCATCTCAGTGGCTAGGTACATTGCAGAGAACGATTCTATGGCCCTTATGATCATGAAGGCTGCTTTCGGAGTTATAAACGTTGGGCTTGGGAAACGATATTGATCACGGCGCTCTCGGTGGGTGAGGGGAAGTGGGAAAAGAAAGAATATCCGAACAATGCAAATAAGTTCGGAGACAACACCAATGATATTGATAACAACCCATAATTGAACATTCTCTCACCAGATATGACAACATAAGAGTGTTATTTGCAAAGGTAAATTTATTGTATGGAATTGGTTTATCAGTAGCTGCATCATTTACGAGAGCAATGCGAGAAAAAAATTGAGGAGCTAGGCTAGCTGGAGTGATTTGATTGCATAGAAGCTCAACAGTCTGTGGACGAGCAGATTATTTTCTCGTCAAATTCTCATATACTTGCTGACATAGGGATATTGCAAGTCAAAGTCGATATCAAGAACCCTTCAAATACGCCCAACTACTAATCAATATGAAGAACGAGAATCTTTTATGCAAGGGAAAACCCAGGCTTTTGAAAAGAGACGTAACGTGCTCATACCGAAAACCCTAGACTATCCTTACCGATCCTTTAACTCCGCACCCAAACCGGCCATTCAAGCTCTTTCGGACTTTTTTGGACCCTATATTGATCCATAGCCCGATTGCGTCCATTCAAGACTTTCCATCAGCGTGTTGCCCGGATCCTCAGCAGGATTCGCAAAAGCCTCTTCCCAAAAGTCCTGGTTGTTATTGCCGACGCCACTCATGTCTACATCGTAGAACATGCCTTCGCCTAGGCTCGGGTTGGTCAGGAATGTGAAGTCTGGCATCTGCGATAAGGCTTGCTGCGGATAGCCGCTGGTGACTTGTAGACCGGGGTGCACGTTCATTCTCCTGGCGCCTCCAGCTGGGACAGGGACGGCTGGATCGTGGCCTGGGACCGCGTTCGCCTGCTGCAGTGACAAGCGTCGAGAGACGTCCATGCTGTTGCCAGGAGATAATGCCGGCAAAGGCTGCTGACGAGTGGCGGAAGGGGATGTGACTGGAGACATCTGGAAGATCTGCGCGGACACCGATGGCTGATCGTCTGAAGTGGTGGTGATGGGTACGGCATCGGGGATGAAGGTGGTCCTCAGTCTGTCCAAGAGATCGTAGCGGGTCGCCATGTGGCTGTTTCCCTTCTGCGACATGGCTCGAAGGAGCTCAAGGGCCGCGTTCATGGAATTGGTGTTCTGCCGATCGGTAGGGAACGCCACGCAGACCATGACGAGGACGATAGCGGCGGAAAAGGCATGTTCGGAATCCATGTAGCCATAGGTGGCTACGAGGTTCTTCTGCGCAGCGATGGTCATCATGTTAATCGTGTCCTGGGACGCAGCCACACACATCTCGATAACCCTGACTGTGGTCTGCGTGAGACCCTCCCTCCAGTCTCGTTCCTTGTCGGCCAGGCCTGCCTTGAGACGCTTCTGCACTACGTGGAACAGTAGCGGCCGCGCTGTCATGTTGATGCACTGTGAGTAGTGAAGAAGTGTCGACACGGACTCTCGGCTGATGCTCAGGCGTGCTGGGTCGAAACGCAGCTCCTCGGGAAGCTCCTGGTGCCACTTGGACAAGGCCATGATGATCTTCTTGACGGCGGCCATCAAGGTCAACCCAGACTTGGGTGTGCGGCGGTAGATGCTGACGGTGATCTCGCCACAGATCTGAGAGAGCTTGGTGTAATTTCCCAGGGCGTCTGCAGCCGAATAGTCGGGCTCGCACGGGAGCTTGGAAGGGAAAGAAACGCCAATGTCTTCATCATAGATGGTGATTGGATTGCCAGACTTGACACTCTGAATGCGGTCAAGGCTGTAAACACTCCACCAGACACGTCTCCTGCGCTCTCTTGTGAGATCGTCCAGCTCACTGTTGGTTGACTCCTGGTGCAGGCCAAGTGTGATAGCCATCCTGAGGGCCATGCCGACATACAAGAAGGCGGCGTCTCTCCTGTTCAGATTTTGCATGAAGTAGCCAACGAGAGCAAGAGTTTCGACAAATAGAATAGACCCTTCCTCGTGCACATCGGGGAGAAGCTCCAGCGCGCGAGTGAAGTAGTCAAAGCCAGGAGGACCCTGCCAGTCTATCCACTGGTTGACAGAATACATCTTTCCAAACGCCAGAATGACGAGCAATTTTGAGTGGACCAGGCAAGAGTTGAGGTCGCCGAGATCTGGAGGGCCCTGGTACGCCTCCTGCATGAGACACTCAAAAGCAGTTGGGTCTGTCCAGGCGAAGATGGTGCCAATGTATGTGTACTGCGCGGCGTAGAGCTGTCGGGCAATGTCCATCGGAGGTAGCCGGATATGACTGTTCTGCGAGAAGCGCCGAGAGGGGAGAGCCTCTCTGTCGTAGAATTCTTCATGCTGATCTAGACTTCCATCGTCCTGCAGCAGCGAGACCTTGCCGAAACTCTTGAGGAAGTGGTCCGAATGCGCTGGGCCTTTGAAGCCTGGAGAGAATAATCAGCGAAAGAGCCCTACGGAAATTTATTTGGGAATAGTAACGACTGTTCTCTGCATAAATGCCTACCTGTGGATGTACTTCTGGGTGACTCTACACTCAGCTGCGTGAACTCCTCTGGAAGCAACAAGTCATCTTCGATCTCGTCATCCTCCTCATGAAAGGATGAGGATCGAACGGATGCAGTCCTTCTAGCGTCCATTTGAAGATGGGGGTATGTCTCTAGGTCAAGGTCAGTAAAACGAAGGAGGTGGATGGAATCGGCCACGAATGCAAGGTTAATAATGATATTGTTTTTGAAGTCAGACGTACCTTCGTAGAATTTGACCTTGGCTTCGAGGCGTCTCAGGTATCTAATTACCGTGAGCTTGATTATTATTATTTTTTTTTAAAAAAAAACAGTACGTCTCTGATAGAGCTAATTAATTACTGTAAAGGACCACTCACGCTTCGCTGACAGTGATCTTTCTGGCGGTCTCATAGACACATTTGAAGCGGCCTGCCTGACATCTTGTGCATTTTGGTCGGTCTTTTGAACAGTAAGACCGACGATCGCGACAACGGTTACATCTGATGTGTATTTTGTCAGAAATGCCCATCCATCTGTTGAATTTCCTCGGCGGTGGAACTTACGCCACAGGCCTCAACAGATTCTCACTGGCCCTGGTGGGTGAGCCAGCGGAACCATGTGATGCCACGCGAGGCATGGCAGAGTGGAGCCAACAAGGTATCAATTTGGAGAAGGGGAAGGGCTAAAAAGAGGGGGGGGGGGGGGGGAAAGAAGAAGAAAAGCAATGTAACTCTCTTGTTCAGCTCAGCCTGGCCAAAGCGCAAAGGTCTCGATCGTCGGCACAATGTCCCGACTCCATGGGGCAAAAGGAAAAGGATCCACCAAGATGGAATTCTATGACAAGTGGACGAGTCAATGAATGATATAAGGTGTCAGGTCTTGGGTCTTGGGCTCTGAAGGCATTGAGGCTCTGTGAGGAGAGTCACATGGGGTCCGGTCATTGAGGCGAAGCAATGGTCGAGGCTGACGGCGGGGTGCAAGAGTAGGAGAGACATGCACGTCGTTGGTTTCGGCTGCCGCCAAACGGGGTGATAGCTGAGCGTGGGGCGGCGGGCTTCGTGCATATCTGAGGGCTTAGCACCAACAAACTAGGGTATAAATGCATATACTGAAGCACTTTAACGCCGGGGTAAACACTTCGTATGCAGTGCTCGCTGATTGTGCATGTCACCTTTCCCAGCTTTGGTATGGTCAACACTTCCATGAGAGCTAAAAAAGCCACACCGAAGCGGTTTCACGTAGCAACTGAAAAGACCACCAGACCAGCCTCGTCGGGGAGTGACACCGAGGTCAGCCTATTGAAGTTGGGTGAAGCCGATTAGGCGTCTTCTGGAACTTGGCAGTGGTACCATCCCACCGAAGAAGTAAATTCTCGAGGACTGACATTCCAGAGTTGACCAACTAACATCAGTTAATGCAGGTCGTGTTCTACGGGCCGTATTGTATGACCTGATGAGGCGCCGTTGTGTGATAAATATGGGTCAATTCCTAGTCAACACTGTTCACTTGTATAAGTACTTAGACTCAATGGGCAGATAATTATAGTCGTGTTTACTAAGTACTCTTATTATCGCTTGCGATCTACATTCGAGAGAAGTCTATGACTGAGAAAAATGCTGTTGATAACCTGCGTTTGAGGCAAAGTACAAGGGATGCATGGCATTGTAATTATTCCGGTTGCAGGAAGGGATGTAGGTCACAGTGCACAGTTGGTTCTAATCATCATATCGCTTATGACACTCAGCCGAGGATCTTGACAGAAACTTACTCCTGAAGGCTTTCATGATAACTACCGGTGGTGATTATCGGGTAAATGTGCCAGCACAAGCGAACACGGCTAGGAATAAAAATATGCATCTCCTGGGTGTTCACCTCTGCTTTGCTTCAGCTCAATAATTTATACATACAACATATAGCACTACATCTTGGGGCGATTGGAAATACTTCGGTCGCCAATAGCTACCTGATCCTTATTCCAATCGCTTTGATACTTGACACTGATTCTGCCCTTCGCGACCAATTGCGCTAAATTGTGATAAGTGCATATGCGATTTACTTAATGGAGTTTCATAGGGCTTATAAGCATTTCATTTCTGCCCCACACGTCGGGAAACCTCTCCGATCGCCTGTCTGCCTCCCCCAACGACCACTGCTAATGAACCACCAGGCGGCATGGCCCACCGATGATGTCTTAGCGGCGAGGTAATCCTTGGGGGAGGGGATCGGAGTCGGCACGAGACCGCGAGAGACGTTGAGCAGCAGTGAGCGTCATGAGCTGATAATGTCAACGTTCGCCAGTGTGGAGACGCTTTGTTTCCCCTCCGATCGGGCGATGCTACTATCTTATACCCCTATTATACCTAATTGATTGATAGCGCGACCATCCCACGGATGCCCCCCTTCGGCTTATCTCAAACTGTTTCTCCTCTGCTCCATCGGGTAGCTTCTCCATATGCCGGAACCACCAATACTATGTACAATCACTATCATTTATATTCTTATTATTGATGAGGCTATGAGCACTTTGATAAAAGGGTTTCAAAACCAAAATTAAAGCGATTGTCATGTCTTGAGAGCTTAAGAAAGGCAAAGACAAGGACCTCTTCTTCCTCCTTTCTCTTTTTCTTCTTTTGCCGATCAGAGCATCTAGCTTGAAGCAAGCCAGCATCCCCACAAAGCATGTCAGCACAGCCATCCCTGGACAACCTGTCCACCAAGGGCGACATGATGGAGAAGCGGCCCATGTCAGCCGACCAAGGCGCGGCGGCGTCGTCGACGGTCATCGAGACCATCGAGCCGGCCGAGGAGCGCAAGCTGCTCGCGAAGCTGGACCTCTTCTTCGTGCCGGTCATTATGCTCGTCTACCTCTCATGCTTTCTCGACCGCTCCAACATCGGAAACGTCAAGGTGGCCGGCATGCCCGAGGACATCCACGCCAGCACCGAGGAGATCTCCACGGCCGTCTCCATCTTCTACGCCACCTACGTCCTCGTCGAGGCGCCCTGGGCCATCGCGCTGAAGAAAATCACGCCGCGCATCCTGATGACGGGCCTCTGCATCATCTGGTCGCTGACCACCATATTTTCCGGCTTCATCACCAGCATCGGCGGCATGTACGCTGCGCGGCTGGTCCTGGGTGCATGCGAGGGCGGCTTGTTCCCGGGGTTGAACCTGTACTTGACCATGGTGTACAAGCGAGAGGAACAAGCGAGGCGTGTCTCATACCTCTTCGTGTGTACGGCCCTGTCGGGTGCCTTTGGTGGCCTGCTCGCGTACCTCATCCTGAAGATGGATGGTGTCGGCGGATATGCAGGCTGGCGGTGGGTTTACATTATCGAGGGCATCTTCAGCATGGTGGTCGCCCTGATCGTCTGGTTTGGTCTACCCAACGACCCAAGCAACGCATATTTCCTGAATGACCGCGAGAAAGCGCTCATGGGTATTCGCGCCCAGCAGCGTGCTCGGTATATGGGCACCGAGGAGTTTAGCTGGCAGGAGATCTTTATCACGCTTCGTGACCCCAAGCTATGGTTGAGGTAAGCAACTATTCAATCTCCCTCTCTGTTCTCACAGTAGAGCATAATATTATCAGAAGGGATTCCTCGCTAACATATTCCTTTTTCTTCTCTTCTCACCAGCGGCGCCATTCAGTTCTGTCAAGACATCCTCCTCTACGGCTTCTCCACGTTTCTCCCTTCCATCATCGAATCCATGGGCTACAATTCCCTGCAGGCCCAGTATCTCACCATTCCCGTCTACATTGTCGGAGGCGGTAGCTTCCTCGCCCTCTCCTTCGCCTCGGACCGCTTCACCCTGCGCTCGCCCTTCCTCGTCTTTGCCAACTTCATCGGCGTGATCGGCTACGCCCTCATTCTCAGCCCCGTGTCCAACGGCGTCAAGTTCTTTGGCACTTTTCTCTGCGCCATCGCCGCCTACAACGGCCCCGGCATCAACCTGACCTGGCTAAACGTCAACGTCGCGCCACACTATAGGAGGGCGGCGGCCATCGGGTTCCAGCAGACCCTGGGCAACTGTGCAGGGATTGTGGCGGGTCAGATCTACCGGAAAGCCCCTTATACGCTGGGCAATGCGTTCAGCTTGGGGTCTATTGGTGTTGCGCAGCTGGTCATTGCGTGTAAGGCACTGTATATCTCTCGCCAGACGAGGAACAAGGAAAAGATTGCCAGGGGAGAGATTCAAGACACAAGAAAAGTCAAGACTGGAGACCGTGAGCTGGACTTCAAATATCATCTCTAAACTGCTAAAGGAGGTGAACTCTTGCTGTACGGGGAATTTATCTATATATTTTGACGATGGTGTTAAGCCAGTAACAGAACAAGACATGACCACTGATATTGATTTGACAGGATTCTTTCCGTTCTTCTTTCCCCCGACAATACCTCACGTCCTCATAGAATGCGTCAAAAGAGAAAGAAGAAGAGAGAGAGGACGGACCACCAAGAGTCAATCAAAATGCAATTCCGTAAACCGGCCTACGTTCCATGGAATCATGTCTCCCAACAAAACCTGTAAGATGGCAGCTACAAAAAGTAAATTGACAAGAGTGAGATTCGAACTCACGCCTCTTGCGAGACCACGAAGAGATATTCAAGTTTGAAGAACCTGAACGTGGCGCCTTAGACCGCTCGGCCATCTTGCCAATGTGGATGAAAAATTGAAGAGGTAAAGGTGCTTCATGAGTCAAGGGCGGTGAAAGTGGATTGGCCATCTTGGATATTGACAAATCGGAAATTGGCAGGCCTCGTGTTTCTGGCGTGCTGAGTTTGTGGCACCTTGCTGGTTGTTGTTTAAATTGATGGGCTTGCAAAAGCTCATGATACTGATCGTGGCTATACGAGTTGTCCCAAGGGACAATTTGTGGTTCTATCCGTATTCCACAGGGAAATATCGTCTCTGTACGAGAGAGAACGAACTGATTCTTCGAAGCTTAGCAATCGGACGGCCAAATCTGATGTTTTATAATTCAAAAAGTATATTTAATATGTCCACTAGAATGTAAATGAATATCTCAAGTCTCTCAGCTATTCATCAGTTGCTCATGGTGACACGCCCTTGATGATATCAGAAGCCTATAGAAAAGTCAAAAGTTAGCACTGTTCACGCAAGAACGTAAAGATGAGGTTACCGAGATGGGGGAACCATACCTTCTCTGCAATACCATAGACAACTGTCATGAGATGTGTCGCCGGCATCAACGGAATCACACTGGCATCCACAAGCCGCAGGTTGCTCGTCCCATACACCTTCAAGGAAGTGTCCACGACGCCTCCCTCCTCCCGTGGTCCCATCTTGCAGCTCCCAGACGGGTGGTACAGCGTAGCCGAGTTCGCCCGGACAAAGTTCTCAAGATCCGCATCGCTCGTCACGTTCAGCCCTGGCGAAGTCTCGACGGGCAGCAGGGCCTGGATGGCAGCGGTGTCCCTGATGGTCCTGGTATACTTGACCGCTTCGATCAGGACCTGCACGTCAATTGGGTTGGACAGGTAGCCGGGCGTGGCAATGGGTGCATCGAAGGTGCTGTTCGAGCCTGCGCGGACGGTACCGCGGGAGTAAGGGTGCTCGAGTCCGAGAACCAGAGAGCCTGTGTCCCAGATATACTCCATGATGGCTGAGTCTGTGCTGTTCAGGCGGCTGTTCATGACGGCCTGCTGTTTCTCGTAGCCGGCGACCACCTCGGCGGGCGTGTCAGCTGGGAGGTACTGCGTTCCATTCTGCGTGGTGGCCTGAGCAGCGATGGAGGTATCGTTGGTGATTGTAGTCAGAGGCAAGAACAGTAAGAAGTCACCGGTGGGGGTAGAGTAGGGCCCTGTCTTGTCTAGTTCGTATTCTGCCAGTGCTTCGGCCGCGAATGTAGCATTGCTAGTGAGATCACCGCTCGTGATTTCGTCGGTGGCCACTTAGAGTTGAGGATTTTGTCAAACAGGTGCTCTCTGAGTGGTGTAACAAGAGGAAATATTGAATAGACTCACCTGTAGCAGCCGTGTACAGGAGAACATGATCCTGGAAATTTTGCCCAACAGCTGGCAGATCCACGGCTGTTGAGACACCAATCTCCTCAAGGAGACTGCTTGACCCAATCCCGGAAACTTGGAGGATCTGGGGCGTGAAAATTGACCCAGCAGCCAAGATGGCTTCTTTGCCCACGGAGATTGTCGACCTCTCCGCATCTACGGATGCTGCGTACTGATTTGGAGTTAGTCTGGATGGTTTCTTGAACAAGTAGTTGTTGAGTATGTTGTTGAGTTATCTTACCTCCACACCAGTGACCTTGGCCGTGCCATTGGATGAGTCGATGAGCAGCCGCGTTACTTGCTGCCCGGTAATGAGATGGAGGTTTGTACGATTCTTCACACCATCGTATTCAGCCTCTTCTGCAGAAGACCGTGTGATGGTGACTGGATCGATATCATGAGGGCAGAAATAGCCTCCAATCGGTTCTCCAGAGGCCTGGTCCTTCGGAATAGTAATTCCCAATTCCTCCGTTGCATTGACAATGTTGTCTTGAAGATGATATTAGACATACGTGGAGAGAGGCGCATTCATACGCAAACTTAAGAAAGGAAAAGAAATGAAGAAGAAAAAGAAGGACAGGACTTACGCGTCAATGGCCAGAAAAACGGCGAATAGCTGACCTGGATATTACCAGAATAGCCGTGCGAGCTTGGGTCGATCTCAACACCGTACTCGGCGACAATATCCGCATCGGGTGCCGTAAATTTCTCTTGCTGTTGAGAAAAGTTAGCCTTCCTTGGTCTTTTTTCTTCTTCTTTTTCTCTTTCTAAACACCCTGATCAAAGTATGCAAACCTTTTTGAAATACGGATACAGGCCATCATAGTCCCAGCCGGCATTACCCAGCTCAGCCCAAGCATCAAAGTCTGCTTTCGAGCCTCGGTCGAAGACCATGCGGTTCAGCTTTGTCGAACCCCCGACAATCTTGCCCTGGGGGATCGACACTTCTCGACCCTGCAATTCGGGATTCGCTGCGTAGCTGATGTTCCAGTCGTATTTGGTGCCGATCGCTCCGCCAGCCAGTCCCGGGATGGTGATGTAGTCTTCGTCCTGGTCGCTATAAAATCGCTAGTCAGTCTTCATTCTAGAGATTCATGTATGTGATTCGACTCTGTCCAAGGGGGCTTTCAAACTCACAAGTCTCCAGCCTCGATCACAAGAACGGTGACGCCTGCATCATCATGAAAGTTTGTCATTTAGTCTTGCCATACAAAGGTTGGTTTGAAGGTTAGGATGCCAACACGCATGTAGGGTATACGACTTACTGCTGTCCTCAGAAAGCCTATTGGCCACGGTCAAGCCGGCTGCACCTGCACCGACAATCACGTAGTCATAGCTGCTGGCGAGACGCTTTTCGCAGACATGTGTGCCAGAGAAGGGGGCAGCATTGGTCACTGTTGCAAGTGCCAGAGCCGCAAGCTGGTATTTCACCAACATGGCGTGAGGGAAATCGTCAAGGTTAATGGGCAAAATTCAAGGACAGAAGCTTGCAGATACAAGAGATCAAGAAACGACGAGAGGCAGTCATCAATGAGTGACAGTGATCAAGATGTCTGGAAAGGGTGGCATCAGTGAGGTAAGATGAGCACACATTCTCTTAATAAGGGATTCTCTAATGTACGCATGTACACGAATAAGGGACCGATAGTTCGGGAGCATTCCATTCTTGGATGAGCAGCCGGCCCGTCGAGATCCACGCGTTATGGTTGTTGGTTCCGGGTGCCATCCCGATGTCGTCAACATCCGGTGGCTGTGGTCGGCCCGCAAATACATACCGTGGTCAGAAGTAAAGTGCTTGTAGAAAGTCCAGAAAGGGGGGGGTGTTTTTTGACTAGTGAATTCCTCCCCCACATCGCAAACATGTTTCTGGTGCCAGCTGAACCTCCACGATTCTTCCATTGGTTGTTTGGGCCAGGAGCCAATGGCCCCTCCAAGAAATAGTTCTCGGCGCGCGCGCGCGCGCGCTATACGTCTATGTACTTCAAACGAGGCCCACTCTTGTGTAGAGAAGTAGACCCGAGATGTTTCTTGGTTTTGTCGAGAATCAGGGTATGCATTATGGTACCTGATGAAGTATGCTAATCATCTCTGCTGCTTTTCGGGTGGCTCGCTCGAAGGGGGATTTATTCTCCGCCTCATCCTGGACTTGGATCTTACGATGGCTCTCACGGCTATCGTTGGCAATGCAACATGGTAAATTAGACCAGTGGAGACAACGCTCCTGCATGTACCACAGTACCTGCAGGCTGAATTTAGAGTTTGAATCATATTCGGTCCTCTAGCCCGGAACAGGCATACAACAGCCCACCCCAGGTCCTACTCTACATATCGCTATGCTACAGGTAGGACGGAAATCCGCACCGCTGGGTCTTGTTGGCCTCTAGGCGAAGACTATTGACGCGTGAGGGACGCCCGTCTCTGAATCGGACGCTACTCCCTACCGCAACATTGCTAGGCAAGGACCGAGGAACTTGTATCTTAGTTGAAACATCTTGGGATTCGTAAACTTCCTTCTAGAAGCAATAGATTCGATCTTGCAGGCACTCGTGCCGATAGTTCAATACTAGGTAATTTCGATGCAACAGCTGTTCCTCGGCGTTTTAGAATTGACTTCCGAGCGTCAATTCTAATCGGCATGCTGTCATAAAAAATGACGATCAGTGTTCCCTTTCGCGCAATGAACATGCAAAAACAAAGACCTCCTGAGTGACAGCGAGACTGATCATCTCAGATTACCGTAACCGGTAAATGTACGGCAGCTGCGGTGCATTGATGTTGCCAACGTTGTCTGCTGCCGAAGTCGCGCTACATCAACTATATCTGATCACCACTGGGATTCTTCACGAAATGATCATTCTTCAGGTTAAAGGCATTTCGACACATAGGCTTGTCATTGTTATAAACTGGCGTCTCGTACGACATTGCCCATCCCGCCCTTCAGATAATCCAAAAGAATTCCTACTCATCAGACCCATACTGAGGACAAATATCAAACATTGTGTCGGCTTTCGTTTTCGAGAACTCGTCATCGTCATAAAAGTTGGCCCTAACTTCTATCCTGCCCTTAGACTGCCCCAAGAAGAACTCCTCCTGCGAGAGAGGAAGATGGAGACGCTGTTTAAAGTTTGGATGAAACGGGCTCTAAAGATGGCGTCAGTCAGCCTGAATGCCCCTTTCTCTTGGAGTTCATCATGATTGATGATTATCTCTGGTGCTCACCTGATACCCCAGTCCTAGCATAATCCGGTGCTTGTCAGAATTATTAGGCATACCAGCGTGCCATGTTCGCAGATCCCGGATCATAATATCCCCGCGGTGAGCCTCCGGCTGAAGTGGCGGACGAACAGCCCTCCGGGCCTCCTTGGGCCCTTCTGCGATCCAGGGTATGCGGGCACCTGCTTTATAAGCCTTGTTCGAGACTGTGCAGTCCTGTTCCACGGTCTGCTGGTCCTCCATTGTTGTGTAGACGGAGGACCCCAGCCAGAATTCCGTCGCGCCGTTCTCGACGGAAAAGTCGCAGAGGGGGATGTTGGCGATGAAGTAGTATGGACAGAGGGGGTGATCAAAGTTTGAGTCCTTGTGCTCGGGCTGACGCATACCGGCGGTGTTTGCCAGGGCCGTGTTGGATGTGAGCCAGTTCCAGATGGGCTTCGATCCCAAATAGCTGTAGGCCAGGTCAACAACAGCACGATCCAACATCTCTGCAGGCGCTGCTAAAGTACTCACGCGTTGGCGATTTGCAGGAGGAAAGAATTGAAGTATATGTCTTCGTGAAGATGGGCCGCATCCGTCACCGGTGGTCTTTGCAAGAAATTTGCTTCAGGATAGCACAGTCAGTCCAGCCCACCTCGCATGTCGAAGAGATAAGTAGTCAAGCAGCCGGGTGCGCATCTTACACTTTACGTTCTGATTATACGCCTGGTTCGGGTCGGACATCATCCTCTCGGCCTCCTTGCACATGTTATCGTTCAGCGCATCGATATGATCTTTGTCAATGACATCCCTCAAAACCACCAGGCCATCTCGGTGCAGCGCCCCAAGCACCTTCTGCAAGTTGCGCGGCGAGTAGACCCCCGCCTGGCGTTCCTTTTCGGTGGGCGCGATGGCCTGCGGAGCATCTATCTGGCCGTTCATGTCTGCGTGCGCCAGGCAAGACTCGATTTCAGACGTTGTCGTCGTCGTCTATTTGGTTTTCGCGCCCGTCAATGAACAGATCAGGCTATCGTCAAGACCACTTTTGTGATGAGAAATGATAACGCCGGCGGATTACCGGCAGTAAGACGGGAGCGGGATTTCAAAGGATGCCACCAGCTCAGCACTCTCCGCATTGCTATTCGCAACCCACATGCTGTGGAGGCCTACAATACCTAAGAACGGCTAGTGGGGAGTCCGAAAGTCGGGGGGCATGGGACGAAGCATCCATAATGTCTTTCTCTAACGTTGTGTAATTGGCCTATCTCAGCAGGACTGCTTTTGCACAGATATTTTGTATTCCACTTCTATCAGATTACTTGCACCATTTGAGTGTGATAGTTGAACAACAATGTGTTTCTCAAATTGAGTCATTGTTTACTTGAGCATAATGCAGGACACCAAGTTCATACGAAATTGACGAGTGCTTAGCGCAATGACTTTTTGACCTTCTAAACCGAGATAAATATCTTCAATTGGCATATCTACTCTTTCAGATTGCGCTTCATTGGCTGAATGCTCGCCTAGATGTTAAATATAATCCAAGCTTTATCCTTCCTCACTTTGCTCCCTGTTGCAGCATCGATATCAGCATCCCGAGGTTCATTGAGGCGCTACGGAGTTTGAAGATTCCACGGCAGAGTTGCCGACCACTTCAAATCATTTCATCACACGGGTAATGTATTGCTACTCTGGAACATTGGCAACACATACGCCTTGGCCATTCCAATGATGAGGTTTATCTGGTAATTACTAGACAATAAGACGCTTGTTGAAGATCTGAAACCCTTAGTTTTCAGCTTTGCATGCACAAAAGGGTACAAGGGCCCGATAACATGCCCTTCGGGGAACACCCCTTCAGGCTTGGGGGCTGACGAGCTAGAGTCACGTCAGAATCGAGTCTCTTTTTGGACAAGAGCCTTGCTGCGCCGCACCTGATGCAGCTAACTGTGCAGTATATATTCGAGCCAAACGTCAAGTTTCCTTGCTAGGACCCGCTTCACAAAAATCCCCCTTCCTTCTCGACTGCTGCTGTTAAAAACAACAGCAATTGGCTTGCGAACCTACGCGACTGGCAACCCCAGTAAAGCAAACTGTGTAAACATGCCTGTCGTACGACAAGAGACGGGATTGAGTATAAGTCGTCGCTTGTCCAAGTCAAGCCCACAACAGCACGCAGATGGAGATAGTCGTCCCGGCGATCTGACCTCGTACAAGGGCAACTGCCACTGTGGTAGGAACAGGTTCGAGGTCACGGTGCCCGCGATCACTCGAGCGACGGGGTGCAATTGCAGCCTATGCCACAAGTCGGGCTATCTATGGGCGTTTCCAGGCGAGGGTCACGTGCAGTACACGAAAGGCGGTGCTGATACGTTGGGGGAATTTGAGACGGAGGCTTTGAGGCACGAGGTTTGTTGATTTGAGCAGGGTGGAGTTTAGTTGAATTATGGTTGGTGTTCATGCTCTAACTTGGGCTTAACAGTTCTGTACTTCTTGTGGAACGGGTCTCTATGGAACTCATAAAACAGGACCGCTGGAGGGCAAATTAGGAGTCAATGTAAGTTCTTCGAAAACACAATGGACGGCTTGCGGTGATGATAAGCTGAAGTATTGTCCGACGGCAGATCCGAACATTCATTGGTGTGAACCCTTTCAAGACCGAAGTTGAGACAATAGAGTGAGTTTGCGCTCGACCCCTAGGCTTCGGCAGATAATGATCATGATGTGCTCACTTAACATTGGTTCTCTAGCACCTCTGCGAGCATCAAAGAGACACCCGTTCCGCTCCCCGATTCTCTGGCACAGAACGTATCCTCCGATGATGAGACCAAGAAGAGGGTCTATACTGGGTCCTGCCAGTGCGGGACAGTGGCGTTCACCGTGGTGACACCTGCTCTCAAGGATGTTCAGATCAAGGAGGACAACTGTAGCATATGTGTGAGGGTATGTTGACTCCCTTCAAAACTAATCCATCCAGGCCCACTAATATCATGGTGTGACCTCTTTACAGCGGGCAGCTGCTAGCATTTACCCCGACAAAGACCAAGTCACTCTTGTGGGAGAAGACAACACCACGGCCTACGCATTCGGCCGGAAGTTCAACCTCGCTCCTTTCTGCAAGACCTGCGGCGTGGCATGCTATGGTGTGCCGCTGGGACCTCCACAAGAGCTGGTTGGTAAACTGCCAGAGGCGAAGCAGAAATTCGTGGAGCAGCAGAGGCGGATCCGCCCCCTGTATATCAGGGCGATGAATGGTGTCGAGTGGGAGGAGATCAATGTGGAGAGAAGCGATGAAGGCACGGACGGATATGTGCTTCCAGAGGATGGCGAGTAAAAGCGGCCATTTTTGTACCGATTTTGAAGAGTAGTACGACGTAGGTTTTTGGACCAGCTTCTGAAGCAACTTGGCTGGTATGCATGCAGTTATGCACAAGGAAATGCAGTCTACACTATCGTCTAAATACCCAGAGATTCTAGAAAACCCCCTGACGCACGTATGCAACCCCCCCGTATACGCCAAGTAATGAAGCCCAGTAAAATTCGATGCTTGTTCCCATGTTCACCTCTTGAGCTCATTCACCAACTGTTCGCCGTTGAAGAACCGCTCCACATTCACAGCGAGGATGTCCAAAACCCGTTTGAACTGTCCCGTCGACTGCCAGCTGACATGAGGCGTGACCAAACAATTCTTAGCCTTCCACAGCGCATGGTCCCGAGGCAGCGGCTCCGGGTCCGTAACATCCACGGCCGCGCCGCGGATCTTGTCCTGTTCCAGAGCATCGATGAGGGCTTCCGTGTCGACGATCGGGCCGCGTGCAATGTTCACGACAAACGTCTTCTTGGCGCTCAGGATGTCGAACTGCTCCGTCGAGATGAACTTCTCGGTGGCCTTGGTCAGCGGGAGCGAGAGGACGAGCATGTCGAGGTCCTGTGCCAGGAACTTGTTCAGGTCGTCCTTGGTCGTGCCGTGGAACCACTCGCTGGGGAGGGTTCCCTCTGGGTCGCCGAGCCCGGGCACGCAATAGGCACGGTCGCGGCGAGATTCGGGTGTGAGCCGAGGAGTGGAGGTGAAAGCCAGGATTTCCATGCCCATTGCTTTACATACGCGAGCAACTTGGCGACCGATGGCGCCATAGCCGAGAATACCACTAGGAATGAAATCAGTCAGTGAGAAGTGAGTGTTTGAAACGCAACGTACGGCCAGGAAATGGATGATCAAGTGACTTACACTCGTGCATTGATGGAGTCTGCTGCCCAGGCTGTGGTGGGCGCCACTGCCCAAGTGCACTGTTTCTGCTGCGCTTCATACCTGGGGAAATCATTGCGGAACCTGAGCCAACTTCCAAGAACCCATTCGGCGATTTGAGGCCTGCCAATAGTGTCTTTCATCAGCAGGGCTCAAATCTTACCCCAGTAACCAAGCTGTATTCTGTAGAACTCACGCAGAAGAACCACTGGTCGTACAAAAAGTCACGCTCTTATCCAGATACTTGGGGTGATTAGCCCAAAGGTCCGTCCCTGCCGAGGTCACCTGGACGAATCGAAGTTTTGGTACGTGTTCTGTGCGTCCACCATCAGTGAGCTGAACAACCCCAGAATTGCCAGATCAAAAAGGAAGGGCGAAGGAAGATTAATCCTGATTGGGCCGTCAACGCACCTGCAGGCGCTGGCATGTATGAGAAGAGCATCGTCACGCCCTCAAACACAGCGGGATCTTGCTCTGAGGGCTTGATGGGTGTGCCGTCTGGCCTCGTGGTGCTTGCGAAGCGGATGTCTAGCTTCCCAGGGCATTTTTGCAGCAGGCTTTCCTCCCACGCCGCGCGCCGCGGTGCAGGGTACATGGTTAGTAGGATATCCTTTGGTGCATCCTCTGCAAGCCCATTTGGTTGTGCCATGTTGAAATGCTGACACGATCTCTCGATGTTTCAGTTGTGGACAACGCGTCGAGGAATTGCGGACGCGGTTGGAGAGACTTTGATAAGGCCTGGCGGCGATTTGAAATCCTAAGAGGCGCTTTAGACCGGGATTCTATAAAAAGTAGTGAGCCGAGATCCGCTTTATGGTTTTGGTTTCCTTTCCTTCTTCGCTGCCGGCCTTATGAGTCCAAGCGAATTCACTTGATTGTATGCGTCCGTAAGGTCAAAATAGTATATAAAGTCACAGCGAGAGTCCGATTGATTTGTCGCTACGGTCGAGGCCAGCACCTTGTCTTTAAAACTCCGTTTGCTCCGATTTTCAGGCCCTTCTCAGTAGGAGGAAAACAAGGTAAGCGAAAGCGGAACACTGCCGATTGATTACTTCCAGCAGGCCCGGCGTTAGATATTCTTCAACCCGATAAGGTTCACGGGCCGGTGGCTTTACTGTTGCCGGGCGCAGGCTTAGAGACATCCTTTATTCTATTATATAAACATGGCTCATTTAGTAGTGTCCTTAATCTACGAATCTTTCTGTCTCTTCCCGCTCGCGATTTTGGCGGATGTTCGAGACATTAACGAATCGGCTGTTTCCAACGCGATTAATTTATCATAGTCTGATTATAAGTGGTTTCTCAATTTGCCTTCGCTATTCTTCAACGGTCATTGCCCTCTGAAAAGAAACTGGTCTTGGAAAAACGCAGAACTTTATCTCTCATCAAAATCATGTTTCGCTTGTGCAAGTCTCCACGCACGCTTTCGTAATAAGAGGTCATAATGATCATGAAATCCCACCTTTTGAAGATCAATGTCTAGCATGCAAGCTCTTCTTTCCCTGTAGCCAAACCTCCAATCACCTCGTCGTAGGCAACACAGACACCTTCTCTGATGCGTCCAGCTTGACGTACTCAACCAACCTGTTGGTCAACCTCTCGCAGACCGGATCGACGTGGTTCATCCACAGGCTCGCAATGCCATATAACATCGGCAGCCACACGATCTGCCAGGCCACAAGAGTCAGGTTTCCGGGATACTTCAGCCTCGTAATGACCATCTCGCCCTTATCGTTCTCGTGGTCAGGGAGCGTCTGCACGCCATACAGCATCCACACAAGCACCGTCTTCAGCAGCGGGCCGTGCAGGAGGTACACGGCAAAGCTCATCCTGCCCAGGAACAGCAGGTACCTGCTGCTCAGCGCCTTCTGCAGGAATGGACTGAATACGATGCCGATGGAGATGAACTCGAGACCAATGCCGCTTGCGAACCGTGGGAAGTCCGGGTTGTTCGGGAGGATCGGCCTCATGATGCTGAGCAGGGTTCTCGACCAACCCATCCACTCGGCGTGTCCTTCTGGGTACGACGCGAATGTGAGACCTATGAACAACAGAAAGCCAGAGATGATGGCGCTCGCTCGTGGGCGGCTGGCAATGAGAGCCGTGAAGGGCTCATGATTCTGCAGGTCGGCGATGAGTGTGCCCCAGAAGAATTGCATTCCGAAAGCCGCTAGAAAATCAAAGACAAACATTTCAGCCGGGGTTTTATCGAGAATCCTTTCTTAACCTTTGGTGACGGAGGGGTAAAGGGGAAAAAGGTATAGAACCACTTACAGTCCGAAGCACAGTAAAAGTACACCCACAGCCCAAAACTCGCCCACATGCGGTACCTGGGCTTGACATACGCCGTCGCCACCATAAAGGCATAAACCCACATGCTACCCTTGAGAAGCGGCAACAGGGTCCACTGGCTATTATCATAGTCATTCACACCCCGTGTCCACGTGGTGACAATATTGTAGACCAGATTCACCACCGCCTCCCCCAGATACGCGAACCTCTTGGGCGACTGCACATCCACCCACCAGCTGTCCTGGTGCTTGGCCACCGCGTACAGGCCCAGCTCGGCCAGGAGAAAGCTCACACAGGTCGCCGCGGCGGCAGGTAAGAACAGCCGCGGGAAGCGCCGCAGGGCCGACTTGCTGATGGAGACGAACGCGGCCTCCTGGTTGCCCTGCTTGTACAGCTTGATGGGCTTGAGGGCGCAGACATAGCCGGTGACGAAGGCGAAGATGGTCACGCCGATGCGCCCCTGGATGAGGATGCGCAGGTAGGGGAGCTGGAAGAATCGTGGCGCCGCGCCTTCTTTCGAGGTGGCACCGAAGAGCTCGCCGTCCCAGGCCCGTGCTAGGTGGGTGAGCACGACCAAGGCCGATGCGATGCCGCGAAGGCCCTTTTGGAAGAGAATGGTTGTGTTAGTAAAGGAATGTGGGGATTGCAGGGTTTGTAATGGGGAAAACCTAGGAGTGGCGTTCAAAGCAAAGGGAAGGTAGGCCAGTGCGTTGTGTAATAAAGAGTATTTCGCACGGCAGGCGAATCCAACCGTCGACCGTCTCATGGAATTATGCAGAAAGAGTGGCACGAGACCAGAGTTTTCACTCACATCTACCCACTTCACGTTGCCTTCTTTCCCAATTGCCATTGCACTTGGAAAGTCCAACCACTAATGAGTGGCTGTCTCAACCGTTCAAAAGATACTCTCAGACCGGTGAATGGTCGACACGAAGAGAATTGTCTTAGTTGTGGACTTTGTTGGTAAAACGCGTCTCGGGAGCGTCGGTTTTTGTTGGTACCACGAGTTGCGTCCTACGGTTGTTGTTTTTTTTTTGAATGTGCTACACACTCTCCCGTGTACGGTGTCTGGAGATCCAGGTCATCAAGTTGCAGTGGTAAGTCCCTTGACTCTTATGCAAACAACATGGTAAGATCAGGAGTCAAGGCAAAGTTGAGTTCCATCAAGGAGGCGAAAAGAAGAGGCAATGAAGACTGGAGGTTCAGCAGAAGGCACCATGAAGGAGATATCGGACTTTTTGACAGCAGCCATGGCTGTTCCCCAAGTCGCGTTGCTGATGGCATAGATTACATTTGCCAAGCACTTATTCGTATCCACTTATTGTCATGCTGACGGGTGATGGGCTAGCTGCAGCTGCAGCTTGGAAAGGGTGGTTGGCGAGGGGTTGGAATGAATATCTGTGGTGAGGAGTGTGACATGTGCTGTGGTTGTTTATCAAGTGATGAGTCCGGCCAACTAAATGTCTTTTGCGGGCCGCACGCCATGTTATAATATGCCAATTCGAATTCTATATAATCACGGGCTACAAGGTCTTCAAGTTATTATCTCCCAAGTCTCAAACATTTTCTCAGTCCGGGAGACCCTCCTCTATACACAGCCAAATCCTTCAGTACTCTCTCAATCCGAACTTCATCATCCGAGCCAAAAGAGCAGCGGGGGTTCCTCGAGTGCGTTGTGTAAGCTTAGGCACCTATACCCTGCCTACCTTAATCTTCCTGCGAGAATCTTACCCAGGCCCCCACGCACATGTTACCATTAATCGGTCCCAGAGAAAAGCAGCTGGGGCCATGCTTCCCTCCAACGTTCATTCGAGAGAGCCCGCATCTCTTGCTGACAAGTCGCATATTCGCTTGAGAGGAGTGTGGTTCGTATCGAGAGCTGGCTTCCGCTCCGGGAATAGGGCCCGTTGATCAGGGTGTGTGGGCGCCTTGATTTATTGGATTGCAACTGCAGGGTCCCATGGGGCCTGGCAGCTTGGAGGCCAATGAAGAGACCGAGGGCATTTGGGATGCAAAGGGAATAAGAAAGCATGGAGCTGTCGCGCATCATCTTAATGAGTAATCTGATTCCAATCGAATGTTGAGACTCATGTATGCTGCGTCAACGGGTATAACACATGCTTGTCATCGGAACACTCCTCGTCTTCTGCTTGGAAGAGAGAGGACGGGAGGAGGATGGGTAAAATGACCAGCACATTGCACAACAGACGGACATTTCCTGAAGAGGACGAAGCAGGACCCACAAACAAAGGCACTGTGAAGCAGCCAGCTAACTCAGCAACATGAGAACCCCCAAGGAAAAGGGAAGGATTGTACCGACACCCCTACCACCCAACCCCAACACGCCCACCTCCCCCAGCCTGAAAAATCGCGCCAGAGGGAAACAGGAGTCCGTAAGGTCGGGAGAGCAAATGGTCAATTCACTATTTTGTGGTTTTCAAGAGAAAAAAGGTGTCGCAAAGAGTCTGGGTGCAGTATGCCTTGGAAGGCAACGGCCAGAGGCTCTTGTTTGTTTGATCTACCGCTCGGAATACAGAGCTGGGTCAAGGATGAATCTCGCCTTGTGCTCCACCTTGCCGTGCGGAAAAGAAAAAGGATATGTGCAGGAAGCGGAAGAGGGGGGAGAGATAAGGAAATGAAAGGCTAAAGGCCAAAAGCAGACTCCACAGATGTGCGAGGCCTACAGAGATGGTTTCGCCAAAGGGTTCAAGCCCTTGCATTCAACAAATTTTGCATTGTGGTGACCGCCTTAAGTTGGTGGCGGGGGTATCGTAACGTACAAACCTCCATTGCACAGATCATATTCTTTGATTCCCTTATCGCGCCATCCGATTGATGATGTGATGATTATCACCCTGAGTTCACTGAAGGAGAAATTCGAATGTGTCATCGTCCGGTTCTCCGAGCTCCTCTTCTTCATCGAGTGACATCCCGTCGTCCTCTTCGTCCTCGTCATCATCGCTGCTGAGAACGATAGGCTCTTCTTTAATGCCGCCCGCGCCGCCGTGCATCTCCTCGCTTGGGCCAGTGTCTCCAGGTACTTTCTCTGGCGATGTGGCCTCGTCGTCTATATTCATGACTTGACTGAGAGGGTGTGAGGGCCCACGGCTGTGGTGATGTTTGCGCTCCTCAGGAAGCACCTCCTTCTCCATGTACACGACCGGGTTTTCGACATGAGCGAATTCGGGCGAATCGGTATATCCCTCGAGAAAGACTTTCTTCTCAGCCATCGGTGTCTGTTGGACGTCGAACGCAGAAGGCTCGGCACTCGTGTCCTCACTCGTATCGATAAGATGGCCCTCGAAACGGACGCGCTTGACCTTAGCCGCCTCGTTCCAGGACTCCGCCTTCAGGCCGTCTTTGTGCTGCTGCTGGTTTCCACGGGCAGGCGTCGTAGAAGATTCCTAACTCTCCTCGAAGAATACCCGCTTTGTTCCCCGCATGCGCTCCTCTTCCATCTGCTCCAGGTGAGAGTCAAGCTCCATAAGGTCCATGATTTCGTTCTCGACGTCGCGATCCTCGGCATCTAACTCGTAGCCGGCGTCCGCTGCGGCATCCAGGTCATCCATGAACTCGAGGCCCATATTACGTGGCCGGGACGGGAGGCTCATGGGTGCAGGCTGGTGATCCATGGCCTCGTCATCCATGTTGTCATGCGGCTGGCTGAAGCTCTCACTAAACAACCTCGTGGACTGTGCTTGCACACTCCCACGTGTACTAGGGCGTATGCTGAGGTTCTCGAACGTGTGGGGCAGTTTCGGCGCATCGGGTCGCTGGTGGACAATGATGGCATTGACAGGATCCACGGGCTTGTTGGCGAGCACAAGTCTCTTCTTCTGGGTGGGGTGTCGCAATGGTGCCGTATCGATGTCTTGGTAGTCCTGCACCACCACGAGCCTGCTCTCGCCGCGGACAAGGACCTCAACAGGCAGGCCCGTGCTTCCATTTGCCGGGGCTTCATACAGACCGTCTGACGCAGCGGGCTGGCGACGTTGGGACTTGGGCACTGCATCTACGCCGCATAGCCGCTCGCCAAGAAGGCCCGCATTGAGCTCTGTAAGACGCACCATGCGTGATGGCTGCGCACCGCTGAAGAGATTGACACCACCGCCAGCACTGCGCCGGATCTGCGTGTCCCAGAACTTGGCAACGACAGGAACGACGCAGACAAGAGCGTCAGAACCACTGATCCAGAGCACCACGCTCTCCTCACCAGAAACTAGGTCTCGCGAGCTGGGCAGTCGTGCGACCTCCACGCCACCCTTGACAGAGGCAAGTCGCTCTGGCCCAGTGGCGAACACAGACAACAGGGAGCTCCGACGACCGCTCGCACTGAAGTCATTGTTGGACTCAAAACTGTCACCGTGCGAGCCTGCTGTTCGAAGCGGACTCGAGCCTTCCAGTTGTCCCGATGCGTTGAAGGCTGTGAGGGCGGCCCCACGCAAGGCAGTACTTTGTTTCCCAAACAGAGATGTCGAGTCGCTATTTGCATTGCCCAAGGGCCCTGCGCCCTCGACATCCCATATTCCCCATTGCCCGTCTGCCATCAAGGCCATGATTGCTCTTCCATGCGAGATCCAGTTGGCACCGACGATCGGCTTTCTTGCGCACGAGACACTGCCACGTATGAACGGGGCGTAGAGAGAGATCAGCCATGAGCCGTGCGCAGGCCAAGGCCCTTCGGAAAGGTCGTCTTGCGGGGTAGGTGATGTCGAATAGTCGTAGATACGAACAGCGTGTGGAGACGCCACGGCAAGGAGCTGGGTCGGGTGCGATGGACTCGGATTGAAGGCAATGCCGGTCAGCGGGCTCGGGAGAAACTCGGTCTGGAAAGGCTCGAGGGGTGTGTTGTCGGTTTGCTGCTGCTCGAGGGGAACATCCCATAGGCGCAGTGCGCCCGACGCGTCTTTGGATTGGATGGCGATGATGAGATGCGTGGAGGATCGGCCGCTCGAGGCAGAGCTGTTCGGCCTGTCGCGTGCCAGAGTGATGGCAATGCCATCGGGGTGTCTGAATTGGCCCGTGAGCTGGGTCAAGGTCTCCCCCCACTTGCCCTTGCCCGCGGCGCCGGCCAGAAGATCTGTACGCAGCTCCTCGCGGGCTTTGCTATCGTGTGAAGGCGGGGTGAGCGGCAATGTGATCACGTAGGCGGGGCCGGCTGCGCATGTTATAGCGAAGACCATTCTGTCAGACAGTATCGCGGTATCTCCTGAGCTCTCTCCTCCAGGACGGGGTGTTAACGACAAGACTGCGATGTGCAACACATCGGTGCCAAGGGCAAGGTCCAACGTCTGAATGATCTCGGAATACCCAAGCACATCTTCGACTGCTTCTTTTTCAAACTCGGGCCTGTCAACGAAAGTGGCTGGTGCAGCAGGCGCCGGCTCCTCGTCATCAGAGTCCAAGATCATGACGGCATCATCCGCGCCTACTGTAGATCCGTTTGGCTTGCTGCCTGGTGTCGTTTTTGGGGGTTGGGTCTTGGCAGGTTTCAGTCGACGGCCACCTCGCCAGACGACGGTGACACCATTTTCGTGACCGTAGAGGACGATGGAGGAGCCTTGTGGGGAGAGAGCAGGGTAGGTCTTGATATCGTGAATGCGGCGGTTGAGATTGTATCTGTACAGATATGGTCAGCCACAGAATGCTTCTCTCTATTGGAACACCGCTGCACTGCGCTGCACAGCACTTCAAGGAGCAGCTGTACATACGTGTATTGCGTGTTTTGAATGGTGTGCCGCACCCGCGGCTTCAAGTGATCTGCCATACTAGCTGTCTTGGAGGTCATGAGGGTTGGTAGGATCTGGGAGAGGGGCCCTCCAGGAGAGGTAGGGGCTGAGGGAGTGGCAGAGGAGGCCGAGGCAGAAGGAGAGGATATGCCGACTGTGAATCAAGGGCCTCAGATGTCTGCGCAGCGTGTTGAGGTAGGTCACAGAAACATGTCGTGTCGAACTTGAGAGGCGATTCGCAGAATGCCAGGAGGGATGCTTTTCAGTTGTTCGTTGTTGTTTGGTGTAGCCCCAATGCGCGATGAAGCTGTTTTGTTTTCTTTGTCTGTTTTGGTGCATTCACGCAAAATTTGGGAACGAACGCGCTGGTGAGGTCCAACTGAAGCTGGCAGGCTGAACAGCTCTGGTAGTGGAGTGCTTGACGTGTGGGGCCCCTGCCTTCCCCTGCTATTACCATTCATCCCTGTTCCTCTGTGCTTACATAACACAGCGTTGATGTTTCCTCGTTAACATGATCCCACTTTATTGCTGCCCATATATCGCTAAGGCCTGTACTGTGCACAATGCGCTGGCCTTCAGCCATCGCAGCCATCACGACACCCATCGTTTAATAAATCCTGCCCTCGATTTGATTTCTGGTCAAAGATTAACGGCGAAACAGGACTTGCATTATAGTAGAGATATCTTATAGATGCAGTACAGCACTGAAACTTTTATTTATCAGATATTATCTCAAGTACTTCGTGATAATGATACTTGGATTACCTCAAGATTCCAAATAATACTCTTTAATCAATAATGGATCATAATTTCAACAGCCATTATCTGCCTTCTTTCATTCTTCAAAAGGTCATCTCATCATCATATCTTGGTATGAGGGAACGTTCCCTGCTAGCATACATGATGGATGAGATGCCTATAATTAACATCTCACCAAGGCCGCTCCAGACGGTTGTCAATTAAAGCCTGATAAGCGATTATCGGCAATCTCGCTAGGAACTGAAGTCAAATTCTAGGACCTGGAGCGTGAGGGGTGTAATACTGTGCCACTGGATCAGACCAAATTCGATTAGCTTTGAGTGCGCAGGTTGGCGTTCCTATTTTTCTAACATGTACCAGAACGTTGTTGCTCCTCCTTCTCACGAAGCTCGACAGGCAAGCTAACGCATTACAGCCATTCAGTAGCACAGAGTCTGACTCCGCTTAGTTCCCTTCCGAAAGGACATTCCGTGTTGCAACGAGCATAGCAATGGACATGATCCCCGTCTGACATGGCGCCGCTTCTGCTGAACAAGCCTCAAACCATTACGTGTCACCGCTTCCAAGTGTTGTTTCGTCTAGACTTCCCTCAGCTCAAGTTCATGGGGGATTTCCCCAAGGCACATCATACTCAAAGAAAGCATTAGATGCAATCATGGATGCCACCACGAAAAGGCTTGTTGTCGTAGACAACAGTAATCATCGCACTAATTATGAGAGAGGTAGGGCATCAGGGATAATACTGATTACACTTGTGGATACACAGATTATTGAGGCTAGAAGCACTTGGGAAAGAAGTTGGTGAGACAGATACCAGACCAGAATACAAATGCTCTTGCTGTCCAATGCTGGCTTTGATCAAGATTCCAATCCAAGCCTATCCTGGGTATTATAACAAAAAAAAAATATTCTCTACAGGTAGAGTCCACCAACTGTCTATGTGCCTTTCCAACGCCGTGATTTCATACCAAGTCCCAGGTCGAATCTTGCCTCAAAAAACCTCGACAAAAACACGCTGCTGCCTTCTATAACCACCAGGACAAACCTTTATTACCACTTTATTGATACAACCATCGCATTCTCCTGCGTACTGTCTGCCAACCTGTTAGGTCTACATGGCCCTCACACCACGCAGCCGCTCCATAGAGATGGGCGCCTCCGAATCCGAAGTGTCAGGGGAGCGCTTCGACCCGAGGATGCCGTCATACGCTTCCGTCCTACGCAGGGCAGGGTCGACAGCGACAAAGACACCAACAGCAATCACCATGATAGACGCATCCAGCCCGATGAAGTACCCCTCGTGCGTAATCAGATAGCCCGTCCAGCCCTGCGCGAGCTCGATAGTCCTGTAGATGCTCCGGATGTAGATCATGATGAAGCTGATGACCAGGGCGACCAGGACGCGCTGCACAGGCGCCGTGACGAAGCCGCGGAACTCGCTGCCCCTGGAGAACACGCGGCGGAAGAAGTCGATGAGCAACAGCCCGAACAGCGTCATGGTGAAGAGCTGGAACGCGATACCCGCCACCATAATGTGCGTGCCCAACTCCTTGCCGGCCTGGTCGGTGGAGCTAGCCGTGCTTGTCTGGGCGCCGCCGACGGCCTGGACGACCAGGGAGACGACGTCACACGTGCAGAAGACGATGGTATACATCTTGGGGGAGAGCATCGAGGACGAGCGGCCGAGGCCGATGATGAGGCGGCCCAGGAGGACGTAGAGGGCGGCCGAGAAGAAGACGGGGGCGATTATCAGGGTCACCTCCTGAGCGAGGAAGGCGTTGCCGTTATAGGAGCATCGAGATGAGTAGAGACGTGCCGCCCATCCTACCAACTCAGCTATAATGCAAGTCAGTACATTTTTTCATCTTTCTTTCCTTTTCCTTTTTCTTTTCCTTTTTCCATTCAGATATCGATTGACGTTGGAATGGAGACTCTAGAGGGGCAGGTTTGGAAGTGGGTGGGATCACAGATCTCGAAATTTTTATGCAGCTGAACTTACTCAAAGCACCCAAGGCAAGTAATATGGATGTCGACACACGGAGCCGGAGCGACTGGAAGGTGTGATAGAAAAACGGGATGGCGAAGAGGACGACGAAAATGATGCCTGCTGCCTCTGAAGGATAATATCCGTATGCGGGCACCAGCCCTCGCGTATAAGGGTAGCAGTTGGCTTGCGATATCGCCTTCAGCTGGGCTTCGGTGGCTGTGTCGTTGCTCATTTTTGCGATTATGCGGTTGTCGCTTTCCTTCTCTTCTAATCGGTGGTGGCTTTCAGTTCACGGACTCTGGGTATGTGTGTGTGAGAGAGAGGGCTCCTGTTGCGCTCTGGAAACCGTTCGATCGCACGGCTGAGAAGATTTCTAGTTGAAGTTGCTTCTTGTGTATCAAATGATTACGACCCCAGGATTCTCAGATCTACAATGGACATCCTTAGTGTCTTATATTTCTTCTCTGTCGGATCAACCAGCCAGATAAAAATGGTTCAAAGTTGCACACCAAGCCTCTGCCCCCCTTGTTGAGCGCATCCAGCCGCGCCGCCATAGCAGCAGGATTTCAGGCAGTGCGTTCGGACAGGACCCACACCAAGGGATGCTTATTCTCGTCAGCAGTGTACTAGTAAGTATGTGCGACAAAGATGGACAATACGGGCACATCGGCACTCCAATGAAAAAGTGCAGCTAATTGTGGCTGTGTCTGAAGCGAAAACGACAGTCAGCGCTTATCACAAAATGAAATCAAACGATAACGGAGGGATTAGGGACAGCAGAAAAGGGTGGAGGCAGGCGAGTTTAGGGTGATTTGCAGCCTCGCTCTGGGCCCACAAGCATTCATACGCTGGCGTCCGCAACACAGCGCTGTGATAGGTCTCGGAGTGTCGGTCTGGTGGTCCAGGGATCAAGTCGAGCGAATCTCTCCCAAGCAAATTGCGCTTCAGCTTTGATTCCTCCGCCACGTGGGAACAGGGGAGAGAAGGGCGCGATTGTGCTTTCGTAGGTGGTTTCCCAAAAGGGCCAGCCAGGCTACCATTGCGACAAAAAATACGACTTATCATGGCAAACAAACAAATACGAAGCAGCCAGCAGTGCTGTTGCTCTCCATAGTACTACTGCCCCATGCTGCCACGTACATCTTCGTATCAACCTTGCAAGTGCCAGCGAGTTGAGACGCCTGCCAATCTCTAAGACGACCTCAGCCACATTCTTGGCGATTCCTACCCAGTCTTCAATGCATGCTGCCGCGTTGAATCGATCGGAATGTGGCACGTCTTCAAAGGGAATTCGTGATAGGACAAGCTTCAAGTGTACACGCCGGTCCCGAAAGCCGTTTCAAAACGTTGAACTGCACATTACCTCCGGCGGGTTGATATCTCGCCGACGGCCACATCGGTGCGTCGCATTCAGCGCTACTTACAAAGAGGTCTACACCGGTGATAGGCTTACGCGCCACAGGATCAACTGGAGAAGGCTGCCCGAATGCGAAGCATAATCAGTTTCGGTATCGAATCTTACAGTGGAAGCCACGTAACCTATAAATTCCATGAGCTTTGCTCTCGTCGGGATGATTATATGGCCGGTCTGACGTGACCTGCCAGGTAATTAATTAGTGAAGTTTCACAAATATGTCGACGGATCCTGCCGGCGTAGTTCAAACTTTGAATTGGTGCGTACATGTTCTGCTTGATGGGCGAATAGGAAATCACGAAAGCCTCGAGTGGCTTTACTTCGCCTCGATGTTTGCCGTCAGCTTCCTTCCATGTCCTCTAGAGCAGGCTCACTACAGAAGTCCTCGTCCACGATCCCGTTTTCTCAAGGTTGACAGACGGGAAAAGAATCAAGTAGCTTCGATTGGTTAATTCACCTCGATCTTTTAGCTGCCGTGTTAGCAAAGTGGACGGGCGGCATCTGCAAGGTATGCGATGAATATCGTGACACTTCACGCATGGGGAGATCATTGATGCAAATCTATATCCTGGTCATCATTTGGCAGTTTGATTCTGGTGGATCGCTCGTAACTGCAACTTTCGGTGGCTTTTCGATCTCATAATGAATAGTGATACTATACGAATATTGCGCTGATATAGGGTGGCGCAGCAGTGTTGGATTTCGTGACGCGCAGCCTATCCAAAGGTTAGACAAGTTGGATGTTGACAAAGACTTGTAGGAAGCACTGCTGGACGTGTCTCTTGGGAATGCTCAGTCATGGCATGTCGAAGATCCTGTCCAGTGATACATTGTATAGCATTTTCTCATCACTTGGGTCCGCAAACATATATGTTGCACGTCGCGAGAACAAGGTAACATGGAAAGCTATTGATTGTGGTCAACCTTTTACCTGTCAAAACCGAACACCTGAACGATGCAATGCCTGTCGTACAAATCATCGTAGTAAAAAACGCCCCGTGGAGGTAGTTACGCCATCCCTGCGCCCGTAATCAATGGAGCTTCAATCAGCTCTCGTTCCTCCCTCCTGTTCTTCATCTGCTTACAGCTCATTGACCTTCTCCTTGGCCTTGCCCTTCAGCTCGCTAGCCTTGCCCTTTGCCTCTCCCTTGAGCTCCTGCGCCTTGCCCTCGGCCTCACCACGCAGCTTAGCGGCATCGCCACTCGCTTTACCAGAGCTAAGGTCAGAAGCAGCCTCCTTCACCTTGTCCTTGACGTGGGCTGTAGAAAAGAGAAACATGTCAGTCAGCGGCTTGCCCTCCTCCTTTATTCATACAATATGCAGTTGGTGTTGGGGTGTACGTACTGCCCACGTTGATGCCGTCCACGAGCTTGTCGCTCACAGCGCGATCGACAGTCTTCAGCCCATCCTTGGCCACATCCACAGGGTTCTTCCGCAGCTGCACGGTGGTGCTGAAGGACGCACGAGGAAGGGTGGTGAAGGTTGTGTTTGCCGCAGTGCGGGTGAGGGTCGCCATGCGGCGGGTGGTGATCTCGGTGAGGAAAGACATGGTGGCGAGAGTTGTGTTTGGTCAGTCGAGATGCTAGGTTCTGCGCGAAGACGTTTTGTGTTCGATTCTTGGGGAATCGGCTGTGTTGCGAGTTGGTGGGAGTGAAGAATGTAGAAAAGGTATGAAGGTACGATAAAGCTCGTACGCAGACAAAGGTGAAGGGCGAATTAATAAGGCCTGGCTGGTCGTTGTTTTGCAGGCGAGGGGGTAAAGGGGATGATGTCATGAATGCTCTAGATCACTATGACGATGGTGCTTGGAGAAGCAAGGGCAAGCTGCAGCAGGACGCTGTTTGGTTGCAGGCACGCTAGGCAATACACGCCAAAAATGACGTTTTACTCAGGAGCTCACGGAGGAATCTCTACGTAAAAAACAGTAAGCGATCTTCGACTGTTTGGTGATCTGTTCCTAACAGGATCTGTGTACTATGCTGTAATGTATAGTGAGTGGCATCCGTCTTTCGACATTGCCCTTGCACTGTTCCCCATTCCAGCGAGGGCCATGACGCAATGCAAATCGGATCACACACAGGTGAAACCAAGTACAGTAAGTAAATCCTCTGTTTACTACTGTCGTACGAGCTACAGTGCCTTGAGTGGGTAGTAATCACAAGCGGAGGCCCAACCCTTTGCATTCCTCGGGGTCACTACATGAAGGCGCAGCATCTCGAACTACTACACACCACTGGTAGATGAACCACCGACCAGACAAATTGTGTGGCTCCATCCTAGGTCAACCAATTGAGATTGCCTTCTTCACTAACGTAAGGTGTACCATTGCAATTGTGAATATGAAGAAGAACTGGGTTGTTTTGTGATGGGCTGCGTGGTCTCGCCTTCATAGTATGACTCTTCTGTACTGCACAGGCGATGACAGTTGAACCAGAACGGCAGAACAGAAGAGTTCTCAGCAGGTAGTGGTGAAAAAGTCATAGTATAATATCGATGATGCAGAACGCAATAAACTCCTTCAATCAGCATGAATTTCTTGTTTGTAACCCTCCTACAGCCCATCCCTTCCCCCCCCCCCCCTGGCCTCTGCCGACATAGACCTCTGTGGCCGTCCGCACTGCCGCACCAAACATCTCAAATGCGAAAAGAGATTGCCAAGGTACTCAAACAGCGCTTCAGCCTGTCCAACGGAATTTAACAGGTTAACCAAGCGTTCGTCCATACCATACTAATAGACAACTGGAGTTCTGGGTCCTTGAGCCACGCAGATCCAGACCCACGATTCTCTTGGTTGACCTCGACCGGACTCGACTGGGACTCCAGTTTCACTGCATCTTTGCCGACTGTGCTAGACAACGACTTGGATTGCAGTGGCGTCTTGTTGGTTGGGGAGTCCTCATCTGGACTTTGCCCTCTGCTGGACCGTCGCCTGTTGCTCAGAGCAAGTGTCAGCCAGAGAGGGCAGATGATGCAGGCTGGAAAGACGAATGCGATTCCAAATACCCACCAGTCCAGCATAGTCCCCTTCAGAACAGCAATGAGAATCCCAAAGGCGAATGCCAGTGTCGCCAAACCCAGAAGCTTGCCCGCCATTCGGATCTCCCTTCTCGACATTCCTGGATCTTCGTCGGAGAAGACGCACATGCACTGGGGTAAGTGTAAGGCCCTCTGCGTTTGGCGGCCTCGTTGTATAATTGTGTCAGATTGGGCGACGACGAGCCTGTCGATGACAACGACCCCGATGGTGAGGAATACCCTGCATGTGACGTTCATGCAACACTCCCCCATACATTGTCCCGCGCACTCGTCCATGGTTATGGATGCTCTGCGCTGTTCCTGTGATAGAAAAGGAAAGTAAGGAAGTCTCGAGATCCCTATCTATATTGAAATAAATCCAGAGGAAAATTCTTGATTCAGGCTGTTATAAGCGAAGGATGAACGTATGGCGTTGTTTTTTTTTTATAGGATATCAGGCTTCATCTTGGGTTGCTCAGAAAATTCCGGGTACTTAGCAGCAAGATCCTTAAAGATGTACATAGGTGGCCTTTTTATTCTTGGTATAGTGTTGATGCCACTAAATTGCAAAGGCCTGGGCTATCTGTGCCCTAAGCTGTGGTGACTTGTTCCTGAAATGACTTCTAGGACGACGGGCTGTTCTTTGTAGATGATGCACAGACTGGAACTATACCCATAAGGTACTGAGACAAGCTTCCAATGTATGTGAGTACAGTAAGTAATTACTGAGCTGACATGCTCTAATAGAGTGGTCTGACTAGAAGATCCTCCGGTACTTGCAAAATAGTTATCTGGAGTATTCAAGGTCCCCGGCCTTGTGACTGTCCCACAAGTAGTGATGGGGGTTTCCTTAAGTAAGTAAGATGTGTTTGAAATTTTTCAAGGTGCTCTATCTTGGAATAAACTTTATGAGATCAAAGGTTTCCTCTTGCTAGGAAGTTCTTTGTTTCTTCCGAGGAATTTGTGCGAGGGCCAGTGAGTTGGCACCTGCCCGACCTTTTTGTAGATCGCTTCAGTTAGGGTCAGTTTGGCTGGCTTTTTTTGTCTTCTTTTCTTTTCTTCCTTCCCCCTTTCCTTCCTCGGCGAATATCTAATATAGCTTTTTGCCGTACGGTTTTGTAGTTGTACTTTCCTAAGGGGAAGCTCCCTGGCTGCAAAATGGTTCACACCTCGTCATGATATTGGATGAAAACTTGTGAGAAACATTAAGAGAAGGCAATATAAACCTTTCTGAATAAACTCAGAAATTGGTGGTTCATTAGGACCGTAAAAGAATTTAAGAGGTCGGGCCCTCGTGCAGAGAACCTCCTGTCTTTCATCTCTAGTCTTCCCATAAGATCCTTCCTGTCATAAGAGGCGTCCACGGAGGAAGACTGTGCCACCCTGCTGTCCCATTTAAGCCTCCTCACCGTCCCGTAAACACAGGTTTTCTCTTCTCCCCAAACGCCCGCAGCGCCTCATTACGGTCCTCGGTCTTGACAACCCTCTCATACATGGCATTCTCTACACTCTCATGTGGTCTCTGCACAGCCTGCAGAGCTGCCCGCACAGCAACAGGGCCGCCCTCACAGATCTCTGTGGCGAGCCGCACCCCCTCGCTCAGCACATCCCGCCTCGCCCGCGCCAGAATCCCAGCCGCAACAGCCTCCGTCTTGTCACCTTCTCCCTCCTCCGGCAGGACCTCGACCAGCCTGTCCGCGATGCCGAGGAAGTATGCTTCGGGCGCTGACACGCGGCGCCCCGTGAGGATAAGGTCGCGAGCGCGGCCAATGCCGATCAGGGCGGGGAGGCGGTGGGTGCCGCCGGCGCCGGGGAGGATGCCCAGGCGGGTCTCGGGCAAGCCAATGACGGCGTTGGAGGAGAGGACGCGGAAGTGGGTGGCCAGTGCGAGCTCGAGGCCGCCGCCCAGGGCGAGGGAGCTGATGGCGGAGATGGTGGGGACGGGAAGGGCGGCGAGGGTGGCGAAGGTTGCACGAAGGGTGATGAGGAAAGCGTCGGTTCTGGAGAGAATAGATAGAAATCGATGTCAGCAAGGTTGTCTTGGGGCGTTCTGCAGAAGTCTCTTGTATCCAGAGAGAGAGAGAAAGTAAGAGAGAGAACAGAAAACTCACTCTTCCTGCGTGAACCCTCTCCTCTCCTTCAAATCCGCCCCGGCACAAAAACAGCTCTCCACCGCACTCGCAATAATCACCGCCCGCGTAGGCCCTTTTGAGCTCTCCCCAGCGGCCCCGCCAAACCGCTGGTTCCAGCTCTGCACTGGAATCTCGTCCCCCGTTTCCGCGTCGTACTGGGCATGCACGTCGTCGATCTCCCTGCGCAGGCCCTGCAGGAGGGCACGCGAGATGGCGTTCCGTGCAGAGGGGCGGTTGAGCTCGAGGATACGGATGTGGCCTGTGTTGGGGGCAGGAAGGTCGGTGACGCGGATCAGTGGTTCTTGGTCTGATGATGCGGCGGCTGGTTTTGCCGAGTAGCAGCGCCGGCGGGCAGTGGGAAGTAGGACTTGGGGGGATTGCCTTGGGAAGCGAAGGAGGAGGGTGCGGGAGGGCATGGTGGGCTTTGGTTACCCTGGAGATCGATGGGCGGTGGTGGTTAAGGTGGGATCACAACGACATGAGAGGACAAGGACGAGGTGGAAGCTTGTTTACAACATGAAGCTATACTACTGCACAACAGCCAAGCCGAGGGTCAGTTTTGGTGGTGGTGGTGACGTCGAGTCCGCCAACCGGGAACCATCGGTTAGCAGCGGCGTGTCGGCTGCGGTACGTACTGTCTGTCAGGACCCTAACCCTGAACTCCTCTTCAGGGGCTGTTTCACTTCAAGTATTTTTATCTTATTTTTATGTTTCTCCCTCTTTTTTCTTCTTTAAGACATAAGAGGAGAGTGGGGGACAGAAGAGGGGCCACAACAAACGAGCACTGCCGTGATGAGGGTCCCCTCTGCAAAAGCCTTGGCCACAACTTCGCTTGAGAAGTCCGTTCATTACCCCCGCGATCGACGAAGAGATTAAACGAGGAAACAAGCATATCTCGTTTACCTTCCATCACGAACGCAGAAGCCAACCTGTCATTGCACGTCTCCCATGGACCAAAACAAGCAGTGCGTGTGTGTGTCTGTGTCTCTGCAGCAAGCAACAAAGGCAGCGGCGGCCTCCAGAGGGTGTAGATCGCGAGAGAGAGAGAAAGAGAGAGTGCATATCCTCTCAATCGCTTCCCCACAAGCTGTGTTTCATGTTGATGGGCACCGATCCCCGAACTGTTGGTCGACGATGAACGATTGGATGACTGACTGGCATTAATCCAGACTGACAGACGGTCACGCGGATGGTCCAGCGAGGGTGAGATCATCGCCTTTCGAAACGCCTCCATCCGGTCTCGACTACCTGTCTTAGTGATTATGTACTGCTTCTACGGGGATTCAGGCTGCTCTGCGCAGGCTGCAGACGAGTCGTGATCACATATCATGCACACATACTTAGCACAGTCAATGGAGTATGGGGACCCTGGCCAAAAATTTGGAGGAGGGGAAAAGACGAGAGAAAAGACAAAAGAAGGAAGAGAAGCAAAAAAACGAGACACTCATTAGCGACTGCCGCACCTCGAGGACCGCCCAACGTGCCTAGAGAGAGGTTCCTGGTGATTTGGGTGGGCCAGACACGAAGACCAAATTTCCGGGTCCCCCGCGAAGAGATGCCACTTCCGGGGAACCCGTTCTGCCAACCTCGCCCAGGACAGGAGGAGAAGAAGAAGGTTGTCTACCGTGTATGGTAGGTACTTTGGTATAGAACAAAACTAGTGGCCAACGGACCAACCTGTCGTGTCAGATCCGTGGCCGGGAGACGGCATCTCGGCCGGCCATCCCCCCCCCAGACAAGAAGGAATACGTAGCAATAGTCGCTCTCCAAGGCCGGGCGAAGGATGGCCACCCAGGAAACATGTCTGAAATTTGTTTACTGCTGACACAGCACTTACGCGGTGTAGACCCATAATGTTCTTGAAATGTGCTGTGCTGGCGCTCATTGTGCGATCCCTCTCGTCGTCGTCGTCGTCGTCGTCGTCTTTGTTTTTCTGTTGCTCGGGATGGCGAGACAGGACAAAGATCGATTGTGGACGTCTTTCTTCTCTTGTAGCTCTTTCTTCGTCTCTTCCGTGTTATGTTTTGCGCGTGCTTGTGCTGAGCGACCGTGCTCGTCTGAAGGTGGATCAGGATATAAAAAGCGCTCGCTTAGCAAGACCCAGGTCATTCCTCCGCATGTCGACTGGGCGGCCACGGCGGGACTTGTTAAGGAAATAACGGCACGCATACTGTAAACACAACACCGTGCCGTGTAGGGCTGCAAGATGGCGAGATACGGCGCGGGATACGGGCTCGTGTATCCACTGGACTCGAGACTATTGACGGGTAAATCGCTGTGCGGCGGCAAGGAATCGATGAACCGATCAAATCGATGGACAAATACGCGTCTATTGTCTCGAGGGTCTCACCACAGACATCGATATTATCACGAGCCAGGTCTAGACCGAGCAGGCCCTGCTGGCTAACCTGTCCGGATTGGGGCGTGGGATTTTGCAATCAAGATTCAGTATCCCTGCGACATATCCGTTGACAAGCACCATACTGTCGGTTGGTTGTGGCTCCAGAGATCTGACCACCAGGGGATCTTTCTCTTTCGCCGGGTCGGCCCAACCGGCCGGCCGGATGCACCCTGTGGTTTTGAATGCACCTACACGTGTCGTGAATGCTGACGAGAACTAGTTGTTTTGATGACAAGTCAGAGATCATCTGGTTTAGGTACATCGTGAGCTACCGGAAGAGGGTGCTGGGAACCACGATCCGTAGCAGCGCTGCAGCGGCTGCCGTGTCTGTTGCTCACCAGCCAGGCAAGACGCATCTTTCCTGCTGGTGTCCCGGGGACGAGAGAGACGTGTCGCGGTGGCTGCATCCATATGCGCTTACCGGCATTTTGGATGCCGTGTATGTAGTAGAAAACTTTTTGGCATGACGTGGGCCACCGAAACAATTTTCCTAGTCCGTGAGGCTGTGCAGGCGAGAAGCGATATTGCGTTCATGCCCGTCGCGCAACAGCATGGATGAGTGTCCTCCCACAACATGGACAAACCAGCCTCCGTTGTAAACGAATCAGACACAAGAGGGTCACATTCCCATACATGAAGAACTTCAGAGCTCTTGCTGACCGCTTCTGGTCGAAAGCTTCCGATGGACGGCCCAGGTCGTACGAGAAGATGGTCAAGCTCGTATTGTCGAGCAGGTGCCGCTTGGCCTCTTGCTGCAGGTGTACATGGCCGCCAACCGAACTAAACGGCCATGGCTGCGTGGCTGGAAACCTACTGCACGCCGTGACAAGGTAGAGCCTGCAGCAGTGCACCAATTGTTTAGGCCAGTGTGGTGTTCTGGATACACCAAGAAAAACCAAGAGGTCTTGTGTGCCTCGTATCGGTGGCATTTGGGGTGACTGACCTTTGTAGGATGCTTGTGCTGCTCAAGTTCGTCCGCAACAAGTTACAGCCAAGAAAGTTAACCTTGGGTAGAGAACGGATTTGTTCCAAAACGTGGTACATCTCTCAAAATCGCTCGATAGCCAGGGGGAGAGGACAATGCAAGCTTCAAGGTTAATGATGCGGAGTAAGGACTTGGTCTTTTTCTCTTTCTTCTTCTGTTTTCTTTTTTCTTTTTTCTTTTTTTTGAGTTCAAGGCATGTGGTTGAGTAGTGATCTCTGGAACCGGTGGGCCATCAAGTCGATCACAAGAGGGGCCGCAGCGACAATTGAAACGTGATAATGGTCACGCAGCCGGCAGTGAGAAGGAGCCCTGCCCTGCCTGGCGCCCTGCTGGACAAATCGCACCCGACGAGACACAGACACAAGAGCCGTGAACCCTGTCGCACCCTCTAGAATACGTCCCAAGCTGTCCACCGACGACGAATGAGTTGGCTTGTATCGTATATACGAGCGTGATCGTCGAGAAGCTCCTCCAAACTTGCGTCTGGCACACACGTCGCCCGCCGTCCAAGACGTCGGTCCGTCTTCGGTAGGCCGTGTGCCACAATTGCAGCCGTTTTAGAGCCAGCGCCTTTTGAAAACGATACTGGGCTGGCGTCTGGTCTAAGCTAGCTTGTTCCAGCATGCCGGCTGCACCACAGCACCTTGGGTGCTTGGTTGGAGGCCATCTGGGGATCTTCAGGGCAAGGTGCCTTTGCGCGTTAGTGACTTCCCAAGCTCGTAAAGTAGACCAACGTAGTGCGGCATAAGCTGGTTGCTGTCGAGAAATCTTCAAGATCAAAAAAAAGACGCAGTAATAAGGAACATGTAGTAGCTATCTCGCAGTGAGGCTTTGCTGTCCAACCTGCAAGCGGAATGGTGGGCGTTGGCAGTCTAGGCTTAGGCCGCGTGTCGTTATCACCGACATGAGGATGGATGGTACCACGATTCATCTCATGGCATAAGCTGTAATAGTGCATAGGCGGTCGAGGCGCGCGTCTGCTATCAGGGCCCCTCATAAGGATAGGCTCAGGGGAACATCCGTCGCGACATTTCCTGTTAGATTAGGCCAAATGCAGGTGAAATGGCAAGGGGCATTTCGTCATCGCATTTCTTTTTGAGGAGGGAAGTTGCCTTTAAGGGGGGGTTGGTTGGCATGTTTCGCCGTTTCACAAGCTGGACGGTCCTGAGGACGAGGTGCTCCAAAGGCTGGGTTGCTGAATGATGATTGGGGGTCGAGAGCGAGAAGTGGAGTACCAAATCAATGATCCAAACTCAGATTTTTGATGGCAAACGTTTTTTGGAAGCAGTTGTGCAGAGAGTTATTAGTGCAGAGAAATCGATCACACTGTGTAAGCGGGTAATTAGGTGGGGCAGCACACCCATGCCAAGTCAGGAACCGATCTCAGTTCCATCCACTCAGAGGCGCCTAAACGAGGGTACGTACTGTCGATCGCAGAAAGGGGGTTCCGTCAGTAATTTCCCCATCCGCCATGTGAGTGGTGCGTGTGGATGTGCTTGTGGCATTTTCTTGTGTAATAAACAAGCGCAAGGGGAAAAACAAAAACAAAGGCGAAAAAGAAAAAGGGAAAGCAAGAGAGAAAAAAACACTAATAACTATGCTACAATGACAATTCTGTTCAGGGGGCGAAAACAAGACATCTGAGGAAGGGATAGTTTTGATGTTGATTAAAAATGAGCCTGCACTACCACTACTACTACCACGTCGACTTGTGACTGGGACTGTGACTTGTGATTGAAATAACGTGAGGTGATGATCTAACTGAGGACCCATCATCTCATGCCCCAGCCAGCGTTGGGCACCTGGCGCTTGGTGGGTTGACGGCCGTGCTCAGTACTGTGCAAAGTTCCTCCCTGCCAGACGGGTGGGTGGGTGGGTGGGTACCTGCTCTCTCCCAACTCCTGCTGAGGGAAGAGAGCAGGTGTGCCCTGTCTGGTGCATGAGTTGGCGTGGCAGGAAGAGAGGAGCAGGCCCCAGCGGGGATCAGCAGGGAGCACTCAAGGGACTGATGACTGAGACAGGAAGCCACTCCCCGGTGTCCCCAGTTCTCTCCCTCTCTTGCCCTTCTCTGTTTTTGTTCCCTCTTCCCTCACAACACGCACCCCCTCCCCCCCTTCTCCCGTCCCCTACCAACCACACACCCCCTCCAAAAAAGGGCCCTGGTCTGACCTGAGCTGGCCTGATTTGACCTGACCTGAACGAGACCCCAAGCCCGACCAGACCACTCTTTTCAAAACCTGCACACTGCAACACTGCACTGACCTGCCTCTCGTTTCTCCAGTCAGACCCAACAACAAAGTGTCCACCGTTCATTCCCTCTTTCTCAATTTCATTTTTTGTCACATTTGGCAACACCACAGTCATTTCGTATTCTCCGATCGTTTTTCGTCTCACCACCTCTTCTTCTTCTCTCTCTCACACACACACACACGAACACGCATGTCGAGCTTGTTCTAAATCCGTCGAGACGAGGAAGAACTTTGGTAGAGAGGCTCTGAGACACCCCGAAACAACGCACTCGTACCCAGTCGTTCGTTTCGTTTCCATCTCCAAGCTGTCCAATCCGGTACAGCCCAACTCAGTCCCGTTACCAGTCTGCATCGAACAGCCAGCTGGCCCCCCCTTTGCTCGCCGTCTCGTCTTGTTGACCTGGACCTGGACGTGTGTGGCTGGAGGTAGACACAAGACCGATCCCACGGCCACCCCCTATTCATAGACGAACCGCCCGCCGACCACGTTTCGAGACCGCAACTCCCAATCCGGGCTGACATCCCTTGGCTTGTTGGTTTTTTTCCCCTCCTCTTGCGTCCTCCCCTTACTTGGACCTTGGACAATCTAGTCAATCCCCCCAAATTCCACGGCTGCCCTTCCCCAGACCGAAGGACAAGCCACTATTATCTGTCTGTCCACCCCCTCGACCGGGTCTATCAAGCAACAACCTCTTCTCACTCTTACCAACTACCGGCGGGAGAGAAAGAAGAAAAAGAATCGAGCCTCCAGTCAGGCACAGGCCGATGCTATCTCAGCCGTGAGGACTAGAAGGGAAGAAACACGGGACCATCGCGGCCCAAGGCAGGAAAGCGGGATAGGGTGGAAACGCTCACGACAAAGAGGTCGTTCTTCATTCAACAATCGACCACGCGAGCTCTTTGTGTAATACACTCAGGCCTTGTCTATTCTTGCTCTCACTAGGCCGCCGACGAACATCTGTGACTACCCTCGTGGCGTCTTGACACATTCGAGAGACAAAAGGAAATCACACCGACAACGCACGACCTGGACGCCGACGGTTCTCACGATCATCCAGAGACTGTCGTCGACTCTCTATCCACGTCGACAATACCCTTGTAATACTCGCTTGCTAAGCGACGACATCTTTCTTCTCAAGTCAAGAGACCGAATCGTTGATCCGATTCCGCCTCTCCGACTCGACACTCGTTACACACCTATACTTTACAACCCTTTCTTCGGTCGACCGACCAAGACTCACATATACACAAAATGAGATTATCAACAATCTTCGCGGCTGTGGTTGCCGCTGCCTACCCGGCATACGCAGTCACCACCACCAGCGAGACGACTTCTACTGCAGCTTCAACTGCGACCGGTGTCGCGTCGCCATCGGCTCAACCTACCCTCGGCGTAGCCATCTCGCAGGGCTGCTTCTCATCCTGGGGCGATCTGATCTTGACAAACACCTCGGTGTTCAATTCTCGAGGCTCCTGTGCGACCGTGAACTGCACGGACGCCGGCTATCTGGTGGCCGCGATGACGGACGGTGATGAGTGCTGGTGCGGCAATGAGTACCCACCGGAGGACACGAGGGCAGCCGACTCCAAATGCAGCATTGGCTGCTCTGGCTATCCTCAGGAGGCCTGTGAGTCTCCCTCCCCCCCGGTCCCTTCAGCCAGGTGATTTCTTTCTTACTGATGTGATCCAGGTGGTGGCTTCTCGGGTAATACGAAATACTTTTCGGTATTCAACACCGGCATCTCGCTGGACGTATCCTATGCCAAGGACAATGCTAGTTCAACAAGCAGCACAGGCAACGTAGTTGCTTCGTCTACAGTCGTATCCGGTGGCCAAAGTAAGCTCATAAGTGGTGCTGTGCAGCATGGTAAATGACAATTCCCGCTAACTTCAGTCACAGCCAGCGTTGTATACGTCACCTCGAGTGCCACGGCAGTACCTAAAGACACCTCGAGTAATAAGGGAGGTATTGTGGCTGGCGTTGTTGTGGGCGTCGTCGCGCTGCTTGCTATAGCTGGCGGTATATTCTTCTTTATGCGACGGAGAAAGAACCGCGAGATTGAGGAGGAGCACCGCCGTAACGCCGCAGTCAACGCCTTCATGAAGCCTCCCGGAAGCAGCGGTGGCTACTCAATCGATACCGACGCCCGGATGGACCCTGTCATGGCCCAGAGAAGGTTGAGCAGCGGTAGTATCGCCGACAACCAGGATTACTCACGCCGGATACTTCGCGTACGTTTCATCACTGCAACGGGTCACTTTTTTTTTTCTCTTCCCCTTTTGCTGACTAACTCTATCTAGGTGACCAACGCGTGAGGAAGATCGCCCAGATCGGACACTGCTACGAACGAACGACTCCTTGCCTGTACTCTATTCCTTTCATCATCGGCATCTTCGGCGTTTCGGAATTCTGCTTAGTTGACCGGTGTATCGGTCCTCGCGACGAATTCCCGGCGGCGTGTTATTTTCGTGTGGAGAGAGGTCACTTGCACGTTGTGCGTGTGTGCTGCTGTGTAGGCCCGCTATAGCCTGACTTGTCCTCCCACACCGTCCTCTCCTTTTTCTTGTTCACGGTACGCCTGCGCGAGACACCAGCCTCGAGTTGCTCAGCGACACGATGATCCTGTCAAAACAGCGTACCGGTCATCTCATCACGACGAATGGTTTTGCGATACCACATTTTCCTAGAAGGACGGGAGTTGCACACATATGGCGTATCGATTATCACACCCGATCGGACTGCCACAATATGGGGACGCCCGGCGACAAGACATCATTTGTACATCATCTCGTCTTGTCTAGGCCGGGCAGGATTTATTTTGAATATCAAGGGGCTTAGAAGCGGTAGAGGGATGACTTGGGGCTCAGCAGGCTCACGGTCTGCCATTTGAACAGGGAGTACGACGATCAAAAGGAAAAGTTAGATGGCGACTGGGCAGAGAAAATTGTCCCAGTTGTCAATCTGTTGACTTCCGCCATAAAGAAAAAAAGCCAAAAAAAGAGAACAACATTCACCATCTGGACCAATCTATAGCAGAGGGCGGGCGGGTTGGATATTGGATATCTTTCCACGCTATCCTATGTATCTTGGGTCAGTCTCACTTATTACCCGGATCGAATGTACTATCTTCTGCGATGTTCGACATATATTTTGAGGATAGACATACTTCTATTTTTTTTTAAACAATCCATTCTTCTTCATCACTTGACTTGACGATTGACTGACTGACTACCTGTTTCGCCTTGCCCTGGGATGCTGGTGACTGATTAGCGACGACTCGCTTGCTTTTCTTTCTTGGGGGCATGGTGTACTTGTGCGTTGCTATTCCCCAGAACATTATCAACTCAGCCTGTGTGTGTGCATTTGTGCTGCGACAGGCCTAATCGAGCTCATGTGCCTACCTGGAGGTTGACATATCCTACTCTGCCCCAATCATCCAGTCCAGTCGGGAAGCAATGTTGATGTGTGTCTCAGGGCCATCTCGCAGCGGGACAGTCGTTACACGATCTGATCTCTGCCAGCCTGTCCGACCAAGCTTGTGATACGTGAGTGATGTCTTTGTCTCTCCTCGCCATTTTCTCCTCTCTCGTCCATCTTGATGCCTGCCCCCCCCCCCCCTCTCCTCCCCGTCTTCGGTCTGTCTGCGCCTCTGTGACCCATTTGAAGATCACTTGAGAGTTTTTCTTTCTTTCTTTGTTTTCTTCTTTTTTATTTATTTATTATTACCGCGGCGGTGGAGGTCGTAAAGCAATGTCCTCCCTGATCTAAAAGGGAGCCCGTCAGTTTGTACCATCTCAGAGGAGGACTGGCCGGGTGAAGGCTGGATGTTCCTATTTCTCAACTCCCACCTGCGTGCCTGCTTTTCAACAGAGGAAAAGTCGATCGACCGGCCAGCATTCATCTCCCATCCGCATTCACCCCTTCTCCCGGTCGCCTATGTACTGAGACAACAACCACGACGGAAGTTGCCCTATTGGGCTCGCTAGGTAATCATCTCGCTCGCTCACGCAGCCGGGCGGGCGGACGGACGGGAGAGGGCCTCGCTCGGCAACCCGAGCCCGCCTTGTGAACCCCTTTCTTTCGCGACGGCGAGGGGGAAAAGAGACTCGATCTCGCCTCGAGATTCCCAGATCGGTGGGTGGTGATTCTGGGGAGGGGTGGCAATCTAACACGGTCTCCGAAGGTGATCGGCATCTGGATCTATTATTTTCCTACACCTGTCTCTACAGCGAGTACCTCTTCTTCTTCTTTCGGATGTGGTAGACGAGAAGTCCATGGGGGAAGGGAAACAATACGCGAGGAAGGAGAGGAAGAAAGAGAGAGAAAGGAGGACAGCGGTGCTCGTGGCTCTTGAAGTGAGCACGATTCATTGGTAGAATTAAACCACTTGAATGCCCAGGTGTGTCTCAGAGGGGTGGAAGAGAGTCCCTAGGTCAAACAACCACCACTAAGCGATAGCATGTATCACGTACTCGAAGAGGAAACCTCTTTAGGCAAGCCGGCAGCCCAAAGAGTAAGGTAATGGTCTCGGGGAGGCAAGGACCCTCGGAACCTCGATCCTGCTGCTGGTGTTAGCATTCTTGTGCTGCTTGCTGTTGTATTCACAGACAGCCTGGCCCGGCTGCCGATCTGCCTTGTGGAATGGTCGCACTGACTCTTTGACAGCTGCAGGGTCCCGGGTCTGGCAGGCGAGGTCTGAGGTATTCACAGGGCGTTGCCCGTGATCGTGGCCTTTTGATCATCGTCTGTTGGCCAGAACATATCCAGGTCTCTTACTATAGAGCCTTCTGAAACTATGGAGAGCTAATCGTGATGTGGTCCATCTTTGGATTAGGGCAGGTCTTTGATAAATGGGGAGTGCCTCGGGTCTGCATGTGTTTGAACGCTTGCGCAGCCTCTGCCATAGCACGTATATACCTACACGCATCTCGCACTATTATAGCTAATAATCAACCAATGCTCTGGAAGGATTCAGTAATCTTGTCAAGAGGCCGGACACACTGAGACTGGTTGAAGCTGTTCGTGAATGTATCGCATATCCTCAAACATTCACCAAGACCGTGTTCCAGGATAATTCTCTCAGATGATCCCTTTCTCCTCGTAGAATCCAGTACAACACAGACAAGTTACGTTGCAAAGAAAAAGAAAGAAAGTAAGGCATGATTATACCATACGGCTGTATTAGCCGGCGGGTGACGGAATGACGAGGCGAGACAAACGAAAGGCGTACCCAAGAGAGAAACACGACCGCAACGGAGGGGGGAAACGTAGGGCACCAAGGCCACCAACCGATTGGACACATGCGGCTCTGACAGGACAAAGAAACACCGGTCTGGCGGTCTCGGGAGGCTGCATATGCTTTCGCCAAACGTCTCGCTTGGTCCATGATTTTCCTCTGGCAATAAGGTTGCTTGCCTTCGCGGCAGTTGTGGCCAAGGTGTGCCTGCCTGGGGCAAAGAGTACTCAGGGAGAGGTGGGCTCCGATGAGCAGGGTGAAAGATGTGATGGTGTCTTGTTCCTGGTGTACTTAGCCGAGAGTCTGGGCTCCTTGAGATGATTGTCCCCCAGGTATAAAGACTCTGCTCATGCCTTCCACATGTTTGTCTTGACTGGCGAAGCAGATCAACCTCACCATTCTCATCGAAGCTGATTGCCACCTGGTTTCCCACCACAAACATAAATTCAAATCCTCACCTCCCGCAATCAGACTGCAAAAAAAAAAAAAAAAAAAAAAAAAAAGCAAAGCTTTTGACCAACACAGCACTCTACTATTCGCTCACCCTTCTCTTGCAAACATGCAACCCATCTCCACCATCGTCCTGGCCCTCGCTGCCATCATCAGCAGCGCCCTCCTCCCCACTGGTATGGCTGCCCCTGCGCCCTACATCGGTGGGCTTATACTCGGCCATGAGGAAGCTCCTGCCTCCATGCAGGCTAGACAGTGCCTTCCTGTTGGCTCAGGGGGAGGAATGGAAGACGACGAGGGAGAGGGATATCGGGAGCGAGGGCTCGAGGCGGAGGACTGCATGATGGTGGTGTCCAGACAGTCCCTTCACGGGGCTGCGAACGAAGGGTTTGATGCCGAGAGTCGACAAGTTAGCGGGCTAGATGTGGTGGTGCCAATGGATGAGTAGGGGGTGTAGGTGGTCGAGGAGGAGAAAGTGTTCTCTTCTTCTTTGCCTGGTTAGTTCATGATCACTATTCTCTTATGGTGACGATTTCTAGAGGAATTTCCTCGCTGAACTGTGAACCTTTTTCTTTTTGCACTTGACTGATAGATCTCAATCTAGGAGAAGAAGCCCTGCACCTGTGTGGGCCGGCACTGAACGAACGATCTCGGGACAGATGGTTTGGTGTATGACAGTGTAGGTGCTGTGATGGAGGATGAATACTCGGAATCCGCTTGGATAGGTTGTAAGATTGTACGAATTACGTTTCGATGCCAGCCTTGGGTACTGTTCCAGGTAGACATTGAGATTTACAAGTGTCGTTTGTGTGCAGACTATGAGCTTTCTTGAAATGTATTACTACGAATTTCCAGGCAATCATTGGCTGATGACCTTGCTACATCCACAGCTGTGTACTGCAGTAGACATTTTGACGAGTGTAGACAAGTCTTTTCTAATTTATTTTCCCCATTTGCTACAATTCTTTGAGTTTCATATAAAGGTCCTCCTTCATTACATCACTGTTCAACTAGAGAGATGCATTTAAGCACGTTCCACAGTCCTCAACCTGACCTGACATTGTAAGATCTGGCGATTACGTGAAGTGACATTTTCTGGATCCACGGAAACCACCTAGGATTTTCCACATTACTGTGGCAGCAGGTAGGATTTGCGTAGGCTTTTTTTATTATTATTGTCAAGTGTGATCAAAGATCACAACTCCTCTCCCCCGTCCTCACTAGCAACCCTTTGAATCCAACCACTCACGAGTCACTTGACTTTGACATGATTGTAATCAATGAATGAAGGAACTTGGCAGATTGCGCGGCATCGGTTTCTTTACTGATGTGACATCCTATTGGGGGGAAATGTCAAAATGAGACAGAAATACTATGGAGCCTTCATTCAATCTATAAGATGTCATCCTCTTGTGAATATGAGAGAATACATGTTGAATGCAACGGCGCAATGACCAGTGCGCTCAGTCAGTGCAGTGCATAAAAAGCTCTCTTTCTGCAGGTCGGGGGTTACTATTTATGCAGGTAGGAGGGCCCTCCAGCTCCCGCCTCGGACACCGGACACCTTGGAACAACTCCACTACGGGCTTGGTCGAGATCCACTGAGATTACATTAACTTCGGTTTTCTTGCTACCTGCTTCAATTCTAATGATCTCCCTTCTCTTTCCCATATTCTCATTTTAGTCTTTTCTATTCCTCCCCCCCCCCCCCCCTCCGTGTGGAAGCTTCTTCGACGAGGTGGAAGAAACAACAAAGAAGGGGATGGCCTAGAAAACCGCGGCAAAGCTTGTCCCAGCGCTTCTGCAGGGCCATCAGTCCTCCACACGTGGCAAAGGTTGGAGAGATCAGCGTAGGTCCCCAGCGTAAATGGACCACTAAAGACGGGAGCCGAGGAGGCCCGTGACGTGCGAACATACGGAAGTCGGAAAAGAGAGAGGTAGTGTGTACTATGGTACGTGACACAGAGAAAGAAAGATGTGCGGTCTTTTTTTTCTCTTCGAGCTGAACGCAGCTAAGCACATGCAACCGAGTCGATAGCTGCATGCTGATCACGACGGCTGCAAGTGAGGGGTCGTTGCATTGCAGGGGCAGAAAGAGAGAGAGAGAGAGAGAGGGCCGGGCTGAGGCCGAAATGGGTGTGGGTGCCACAGAGTCGGATTCGGGGTTCGGGTAGCATCGATTTCCCCCTCTTTTCTCCTCAGTCAGAATTTGCTGGCAGCAGTGCTTTCTTTCCCCTCCCTTGCGTCTTTCTCGTCCTGGTGGAAAGAGTTGCCAGTCAGGGTCTACCATACATAGTAGGTAGAAAGTTGGAGAATGAAGAGACGGCCAAGGTGTTGCAGATCGGTCAGCCCGGCCGGAGTAGATGAACGGATCCGGCTTGACCTACCGAATCGAGGTCAGGGTTGGGTAATATACTTGCCCTGAATGGTCGACTGCCGCGGAGAGAAACGTCAATGACTGCCAAGTAGGGAAGTCGTGTGGTGAGATGAGTGCTACAAAGGTGTAAACCAAGGCAGACGAAGGAGGGGGAGGAAGAGGGGGGTGTGGTCGAGGATATGTTCCGACTAGATCTGGTTGTATTTTACTTTTCTTGGGGTTGCATTGCGCTTGAAGAGGAGGGCGGTGAGATCATACCGAGCTTTTCAAGCCAACATGTGAAAGTCTTCTACATCAGATTTTGGATGATCTCTTTGGAATGTCTCTCCCTTGGCCCGCCAGGATGGTCACTGAACCAGCAACAACACAACAAGCGTCTACCCCAGGCAGAGCTTTGCCAAGGATCTTGGTCACTTGGGCAAGTAAGGTTTGCGGGGTAAACAGGGGTGGACTACCTCTTATGTACCATAGTAGTCATACTATGAGTTGTGCCGTAGAACCGTTGTCGTAGTAATTCTTCGTATCCGTTCTGTGTGGTGTAATTTCAACCACATCGTCGGTGACTCGCCCGTGCGGAGCCCGGAGGCACGTTCCTGGAAGGTGAGCTACATACTATAGTACGCGATTTTTCTTTTCCGCCTTCCTACTCACTTATTCGGATTTTTGCCCACTGTAACCAAGTGGCCAAGGCTTACATCAGTCTCTCCTCCTCCACCCAGCTTCCTGATTTCCCTCCCAGCGAGGGGGAACCCATGGCCCCATGGCCTCTCCACATCATCCAGTCGCAACCCGAAGAAGCTCGTGATACCCACTTCTATAGTGTAGTAGTAGTAGTCTTCGACTTTCCTCTGCCTCCTCCTCGGCTCTCCCCCCCCCCCCCCCCCATTCGATCTGACTGGCCCTCCCCCCTCCCGCCACATGTGATTATCCCATCCTATCCTATTCTACTCTCTCTACCACCCACCTCAGAGATCGTGAAACGATTTCCCCTTTCCCCTGCGTCAACAGATAGGATCTAAGGATATTCAACCCTTTATATCATATCCTAGACCACAAAAGAAAGAAAAAAAAGAAAGCATGAAGCTACCATCTTCATTATTATCGACGTCTCTCGTCGCCGTCCTCTTCCATGACCACTTCGCCCTCGCCCAGAACTGCGTGGCCACCGCGCTGTCCGTGATCCCCAGCTGCGCCCAGAACTGCATCCTCAACGGCGCCACCTCAGTCGGCTGCGGCGGCACCGACTTCGACTGCCAGTGCCAAAAGACGGCCGCCCTGTTCGCTGCTGTGGACGGGTGTGTGGCTTCAGCATGTCCTTCTGCCAGTTTCCAGGCCGTCATTGACGGTGCCTCCACCGGTATGCCTTTCTTTTCTCATCTTCTTTCCCTCTGTTTCTTGCTTCCTTCGTCCTCATTTCTTTTTCTCGCCTGACCAACAGAGAGGCTGACGTTCTTCTTCCCAGTGTGTGACTGTGCATCACCTGCCGTGCTAGCAGGCGCCGCAGGAACAGTCTCCGTGTCAGGCAGCTTCATACCCGGCACCGTGCCCGCAAGCAACAGCGCCACCGTTACCGGGGCATCGGCGACGGCGACGCCGACGCCGACGACGTTGACATCCGCCTCTTCCACGTCCGGGACTGTGCTCACGAGCGGGTCGGGAACGACGGCCACGACGGGTAGCAGCGCTGGCCAGGGCAGCAGCCCAACCTGGACTGGGTACAGCAGCGTGGGCACCGTGGTGACAGCGTCTGTTGTCGGCGGTGCGGCGCGGCCTACGGCGCCGGCGGCCTTGGATGTTGTTCGCTATGTGGTGCCGGTTATGATCGCTGGTGCTGCTGTGCTATGAGACGGCGTGTGGGAAGGGAAAGTCTCTTTGTGATGGGGGGCTTTCTGGGATTACTATTATTCTTCATGACCTGGCAACGAAATTATGTGTGGATGGTGAAAAAGGGAGGAGAAAAAGGAATTTTGGGGAGGAGGAGCCATCACGATCATTATCTTCAAGAAGGAAAGAAGAACGAGGGCGAGAAAAAGCCCCATATTGCGCCGTGGAGGCGAGGAGGACCACCTTAACAGACAGGGGAGAGGCTCCGAGAAACAATGGCATGCCGGAGGAGATACCAAGATAGAGAAGAAGGGATTGGAAAGGGGAGGTGCATTTTTTTTTAGACGAGTTCGAACGTGGTCCCCGAAGGACTGCGCGGCTCCCACATATCCGACTACCCTGCCGACACCACGCGCATCACTGGTCCCTATCGACGCCTCGATCACACGACAATCCTCGACGAAACGAGACTAAAGAGCGGTTGCTGCACCCGAGAAGAAGGAGGGGCAAAAAAAAGAACGGGGGCAAAGGCAGCCTGCTCATGTCTCGTTGGACGAAGAAACCTTCTGGAACAGACCTCAGCTTTTCCAGAAGTGTCAGCACCGAGAAGGATGAAGAGGCCACAGATGATGTGTGGTGTTGCGCAAGATCTCTCCTTACATGGGAGGTTTATATACAAGCTTTTGAAGCTCGAATATTAGCATTGCTATAATAATTATAATCACTTCAAACAACACCAACAAAGAACCTGTCTACTTAATCCTTTTATTAGCTGTTGATTGATCCACTCATTGGTACACAGTTTACCAAACCAGCTGCTTTTTGAGCTTTTGCCCAGTCGTTTGTCCAGAGACCTGGGACTAAGTTGAGTTGACTTGAAGTTCACTGATTAGATCGCAACCTTCTGAAGGGCTTGTCCAGGTAGAATCTGAGAAAGCACAGGTATAAAGTAAGTATTGCGGTGGTAATGTTCTGTGAGTGGCCCAACAACAAAGAGGTGTATTGGGTGGCTCCAGCTCACTGCGTATTCCATTTGAAACTTCAAACTCGAAATGGACTTGGGATCATTCTCTTTGAATCTGTTGTACTGTATCGTTGTAGTTCTCGTTCGTCATTATGCTGCAGTGGTTGTGATAATGCTGCTCGTCATGCTACTCATTGTTGTTCCTTTCGGGTTTCATCAGACTCTGGACTTTACAAACCATGAAGGAATCACTTTGAAATTTGCAAAAGTACAATGATAAGACCTCACAGTCGGCCTGAACCATGATACAGAGCAGGCCAGTGGTTAACGGTTGTGGATTTACGGTCAGACTTGCCTGTCAGCGCACTTCAAGTTGTAATGCAAGCGTGTCAACTGTCGATAGTCCATGAAGTGATGGTGCACTGGTATGCGTTGAAAGAACGGGTTGTCTTTTACGTGGTCAAGACAGCGATAGATGCCGAATCATCGGGTATGATTGTGCATCATCATCATTTACGCGCCTCTTCATAATATATACTGGAATCATTGAACAAATGCGAGTCCTCCGTTTGTATTCCGAGTCATTCCACAGCCATTTAGATTGTTAGTTCCTTATCGCTTGTAGAATAGACTCGAAATCTCCAAGCACAGTACTCTACCCACAGGGACTGTCGTTGGATTTGGACCTCAAAGATAGTGCTTACCCTGCGAGGTCCCTCCCAGGTCCCACCACAAGCACTTGATAGCAATATTGATTTGATGCAGATGACTATAAAAGAGAATCTTCCACATCTGCTGTCGTGAGAGGAAAAGGTCACTCACCCTATTCAACAAACCGACAGATCTCGTCTTGCGAAGGTACAAGGTCTGCCTTGCCATACCGGAGATAAGACCCTTACCTTGTGGGAAATCAAGCTCGGCGCGATTCAGTGCCAGGTGGGAATGCGTCTGTGTTATACGGTGTGCAGATAGATAAGTAGCCTGGGCGAATGATCTTGGAACAAGTCGGGCTTAATCTCCCCAAGAGGCGTCTTGCGGTCAAATTCGGACGACAACCACTAGACGATTTGGAGATTGAGAATGTGATCGTCGCTTAAGAGACAAGTAGACTCAGAGAGATATGGTCTAGCGCTTGACAAGGCCTGAATACTATATCCTTGGGTGATGATCAAGATACGCAAGAGAAGAATTGCCGTTCCGCTTCGTTGTTATCGTATCGAGATAAAGTATCAGAACAAGACAAGACAACCGCTAGATGCCAAAAGTGGGTAGCGAGGAAAGATGGTGCATTTAGATAATCAGAAGATCGTCACTGCGGTTATCTTGCACTTCTGAAGCTTCTCTATAGGATGAGTGTGATTGGTGGATACGTTGAAACCAAGATTTCGATTGCAATCTGTGGGAGAAGATACTTTGTGAATTACAGACCGCCAAACCATCCAAGGCGAGACCTCAAAACAATCCTAGCAACGCTTCAAAACAAAACAGACTTGCTCAATCTGGTCCATGAAGAAATAAAAACAACAAAATTTGGTCGTGTAGATCGTAAAAATCTCAACCTCCTCTTTCTCTTTTCACCCACAGCACTTATCGGCTCAAAGTGATGATATCTCGATAGTCCTGGTCTTCCTCGTGTGAAAATGTCCATCTTCAGTGTCTTCCCCCTTGCCGCGCAGCAGCCATCTTCATCTGTTGTCTCTTGCCTAAAGAGAGGCTTGGATACGTTATGTGTATATCCATCCCGTAGGATTAAACAATCCCAACAGCGACTTTATCCTCGTCCACCATCTCGCAGTTCATGTGTTCAAGGAAGCGCTGCTGCTCCTCCAGGAACGCCTTGAGCTTCCGTGTCGACACGCCACGGCCTGCGGCGCGGGACTCACGGATCTCCTTGAGCTCGGCGCGGATGCGCTCCTCTAGGATCTCGAGGCGGTACTCACTGAACTGGGAGTAGAGCTCCTTGAGGTCTGAGATGCCGCGGACGGTGGTGAGGCAGGTGTCGTCTTTGATGAGCGGGTTCTTGGGGCGGAAGGATGTGACCACTAGAAAGGGGGGAAAGTGATGTTGTTAGCAACGGGGCTTGCTTTTGACGTCCCTTGTATGTGTTTAGTTTTCAGGTTTATCACTCACTGCTAATACGCTCGAGGCCACCGAGGGCGCGAAGGGCTTGGTGTTCGATGTATCTGCCTTGGAGGACAACGGCGCAACCCTGTGCGAACGAAGAAAAAAGAGGCTTGCCGTCAGCATATTGCCGCGCCTTACGGACGCAAGTGTTGTGTGTGTATGTGGATGTGTGTGTGTGTAGTATCATCGAGACTGTTTGTAGTTTCAGATGATATACAAGTGGGACATGATGTTGTTGCATGTTGGTGTTGATGTTGCCATGAAGAAGATTTCACGTATGAATCCAATCATACCATCTGAGGTCCTCGGACCTTCATGATCTCGCCGGTGCCCGTGCGGAGTGCGGTCTCGCCGCCGATCATCTGGGTGCAGTCCGAGAGCATGGTGACGCAGACAAAAGGGTAGCTGTCGGTGTGCCAGCCGACGATGGGGTCCTTGTCGTCGTCGTTCTTTTCCGACTCCTCCTGGTAGGCCCGGAGCTCCTCGTCCATCTGCTCGGGCGACTGCACCGAGAGGTTGACGTGGGCGATCTCGAAGTCCATGGCCGGGGTCAGCTCGACGCCCGCTATGTTCGAAACAATGCGCAGGACCTCGGGGTTCTTCCATGCGTCATAGACGAATGGCGCATATCTGTTTCGTGTGAAAGGTTGACATGGTCAGCTTTTCTGAATGCTTACAGCCCTTTCGATGATGAAGGTCTTCATATATATCGGGAGAAAGGTAGCGAGAAATATTGTTATAACTGTATCGAGGCGTGGTGGAAGGGATGGTTACGGTGACTTACTTGCTGGCATAGCCCCGAAGCTGGCAGTGTGAGATGTTGCTAGAGACGCTGCAGTTGTCTATAACCTCCTTCTTCAGAATCTCCTCACGAAACCTCATAACAGCTTCTTGTGTGAATAGAGGGAAGGGCTCAGAGACGGCAACGGGCGACACGCCGTGGTTGTCAGCAAAGCCGAGCTCCTCCATGGAGTGAATCTTGGAAGGAGGGGAGTACTGGAGGTGCTTCTCAGGGTTGAAGCTCTCCTTGGCCAGCACGGGCTGGGTAGGCTGGACCATGGGCTCGACGATAAGAGGCGTCGCGGTCCAGCCCATACTAGGCTTCCTGCCGAAGTTGGGAGCAAACACCTCTGCGGCAGCCATGATAATATGATGATGATATAAGGAGGAGGGGGAGGATGATGATGTAGATGATGAGATATAGATAGATGTTGTTGTTAAGATGACTTGTGAGAGTCAAAGTGTGATGTTTCCAAAAAAAAGAGGTATATTATAGTAGTAATGCGTTTCTATCTGTGTTCCAAGAGGAAGGGGGGATGGATAATGGGATGAATGTGTAGATTGATCTCGAGAAGAAGGAAAAAGAATCAAGAGACCTGATGTGCCCAGGATTGTCGAGGCGTCGTGGGAAGGGAAAGTGCAGCCATCTTTATACCTATAATGGACCATGACGGAGGGACCTTATCATCGTCGGTATACAGTGCACTGAACCGTTCCCCATGAAGCCCATAGGTACGTATCGTGCATGTATCAGAGGGTGAGGCAAGACCTCATTGGGTGGCGCAGTGATAAGCGGGCGCCATCACCATCGCGATCCGGACCCCAGACGCCCTTTTGCTGTGAAGCATAGTAGCTCATACCCGCGTCTGCCTGCCCTTCCCTTGCCTGCCCTTGGAGTGAAAGAGGAGGGAGGAGGAGGGGAAACATGAGGAGAGACCAAAAGATAGCCAAGTGGTCCACAATCGGGTGGACAAACAGCCCCGTGAGTAGTATCCAGCCCGCCCTGGGGGGGCGTCGTTGGTTCCAGATAAGTGAGTACTACAGAGCTGGTTTTTTTTTTTTTTTTTTTTTTTTTTTTTGCTGGGTAGACCTCCTTGGCCACAGACGGGACGAGTCTAGTCTGAAACCATCCTCAACGATACCAATTTTCCATGGTCTAAGAAGTACCTGAGAGGTGTTAGCCTGATGGGAGAGAAGAAGAAGGAGGAGGAGGTTGAGTAGATTGGATTGGCTTCAGATGCAGACCTCATCATGAATCTGATTTCAAAAAAGAATCATAGCAGTTCCAAGATGTCGTCACAATGCAAACGATCTATCCAGGCCAGCGTCTCGTCATAGTTCGTGCACACGAAACACCCTAATCAACCACCTCTAACAACCCCAGAGTAGGAGAAAGAGAAGTGGGAATAGCTTGGCGCCCCGGGCGGCTGAATCGAGATAGTACAAACTTAAGAAACTCTCCATTCCCCCCCAAAAAAGAGAGGCGAAGCACAGGGACCCCGGATCGTTGTTGATAGCTAGACAATCAATCAATCAAGCAAGCAAATTCCAAGTTGTCGAGTGGACGATAGGTAAAGAGAGGGTAGCGGGCGAGTGAGTGGTTGGGCTCGAATGAACCAACGATAAGCACTGTTCCCGTCCCTTCTTGCGCGAGCCCAATACTGTATAGGCCATGTGGGGAGAGAGCTAGTATCACCGAGAACGGACGCACCAAGATTTGGAGTGATCGGCTCCCATGACGACGATCCAGAGCCGAATGGACACCTAGACTTTGCCCTCCTCCTCCTTCTCCTCTTCTTCCTACTCTTTTCAAAATTTTATTTTGTTGGAATGGGAAGTCATACGAATAGCCGGCAAATTCATGTACGTAGGTGGGGGAAAGAAACGAAGAAAACAATAGGACAGAGGAAGGGAGAAATTGTGTGGGTAGTCTAATATATAATTCAAGAATGATGTTGTATCAAGACTGAAATAAGAAATTCAAAAAATACAAAGGATGACGATGTGTGTCTGTTTGAACAATCTCGGCGATGACTCGGGAGTTGTGCTTGTGTGTGTGCATGCGTGCAGTGTATAAGGAAAAAAAAAGGGTGGGCCAACCGGCAACTAGAGAGCAAGACTTGAGACGGGACGGTGATAAAAAGTCTAGCGTTGTGTGCAAGCCAGCTTGTCTGAGCCTCGTGGCAAAGGCGACGTTGGAATCGTGCACGTGATAAGGGATAGAACAGCGACCAAGTATAGGAGAGGGCGAGAAAGGGATGAGAGCCTTCTCTGTCGGCCGACGTTGTTGGAGGGAGATCTCCTCAGCGGATCGGTCCAGAACGCCCTCCTCCTTCTTCGCATCAATCCTCGGTCCCTGGCTTCTCACCTCTTCTCTGCTTCTTCGCCCTCCGCATGCATGCATCCCTAGTGTGTGTCTGCTCTCCTTTCTACTCTCCTTGGTCCCTCTTTGGTCACTCAGCAAGATGTCAGTGCATTAGCTGCATGCACTACCACGTCGTGACAACTCATGATAAGCCAGCACGGATAAGTATATCTCCGTTAACGGAGGGTAGCCCGAAGGTTCCTGTGGCACTCCTTTCGGTAGATCCCCCTGGACTACTCTCTGCTTTATTAGTTTCTCCTCGGATCAGTTGTTGTGCCCGGAAACCAGCACCTGATTCGTGACTGGTCTCTTGCATGTGGTGGTGGCAGTACCATAGTTATGTTGTCACCATCACATCCCATCCGACCATCCACCGTTCCGTTCCCCTTCCCCACAGATCCATTGCCCAGAGAAGACAAACCTTATCCTCATCTATTGTAGTCAGCAGCCCTCCTCCTCCTGATGAGGAGTAGTAAGGGGCAAAAAAAGAAAGGAAGAAAGGAAGAATAGGAAACCAATGTTCGTCTCTGCCGCGCGCGGTGTGTCTGTCTGTGTGTGGCCACTATCAGCCTGTCGCTTCAGCTTTCCCTCCCCGGACGACGCCTCTTTTCTCTTGGGGATCCACTTCAAGGGTATCTCAACCCAGCTCTCCAGCCCAACCATGCTTGAACACGACATCCCCTCACACCCTGTTTGCTGCCGTGCATGCCGGTGAGGGCGCTTCTTCCCTTCATCATATGTGGAGACCGTTCTGGATGCAGATCCCCTTTTCTCTCTTCCCTTTCCTTTTTCCCTTTTCTTTTCACATCAGCGGCAACTATGCGTGCCATGCACGGAAGCGAGCCGGATCCCGTCCTCAACACCCACCACATCTTTTAACAACCATAAACCCATGCAAGCAAGCCAGCCAGCCAACTAGCCAGCGCCCCAAAGTACTTACCCATTACACATCACAAGCTTGGTCCCTTGTTTCTTTTTTCTGTTTTCGTCTGGAGGCTCCAGGTTCGTTGGCATGCAGAAGGTCCCGGAGCCGCCTTAACCCTGGCTGTGGTAGCATCATGCTGGCGGCTCAGACTCTTTTTTCCCCTTTTATCTCTTCCTTCTCTTTCCTTTTGTGACCTATCTCCTCTCGAGTCACGCGCAGCACTGTCTCCTCCATCCTTCGCTTCTTACATGACACTGTCGTTTCTATTACTCTCCTGTGATGAGACGAAGAACCACACCTCCATTTGTTATGTCACACCTGCCATCTTCACATTATAATCACGATCCCCGTATCCTGAGGTTACAGTAGGACCCCTGACGTCCCGGGACCCCTTTCTTTGTCCAGACCAGTCCAAAAGGCCGAAGCACAAGGACTGTGAGCCTAAGTAACTTTGCGTTCCTGTAGAGTGAACCGTAACACAAGCTCCAACCAACCCGCCCAGTTTTCTTGACGTAATATGTGTGCCCTGTATTGGGGGACCTCCGACCGACTTGTGAAGGGGAGAGGGGAAGACAGAGAGCAACAAAAACCCAACCTTACCTGCATGAAGCCGGAATAATTAGACGGTGTAACAAACACACAAGAAGAGTGGAGGGGGGCGAAAAAGAAGGACCAGGTCGTCCGGCGTAGTATAAGTGCTATGCCAACTGCAGTCTGGCCCTTCCACCAAGTGCTAACTGGACATTCTCACCACTGTATACTCAAGCTGGGGAAAAGAAAAGAAGTGGGCCCACATGCAAGACCAAACTAAGAGAGGCCGGTGCGCCTCCAGCCAATGATGACACTGGGGTATCAACTCTTCGTGGTTGGACCACGCGCACAGCCCCAAGAACGGGGGGAGACTCTCCGGTCCGGGTGGTGCACGATAAGTATCGTGAGTTCGGTTGAGAAGGAATGAAGGAAGGAAGGAGGAGGAAGAGGAGGAGGAGAAGAAGGAGGGGAGAGCCCAGCCCAGCCCATCCCAAGCCCATACGGGCGTCTGTCCACCGACTGTCACTTTTTTTTTTTGCGGAAGGGCCCGACCCTCGACGGGGTCCCTATTCCATTTCCATCCTGTGCAGGTGACGAGACAAGACTAGATCAAGTGTTTGTGGAACTTTGCAGCAGACATTAGCCTGGAATTGTCACGCGCCCCAAGGGGAAGAAGGATTGGTTTCCACTGATGCCCTGGCCGGGACATCTCTTGCAACCCAGGATGAGGAGATATACAGAGTTGTGTATCTTGGCAGCTTGTTTCATAATCGGTATTGTCTCTATGCTTGCATAATTTTCCACTACGATGTGAACACCAGCCTTCGAGAACTGGATTTCCTATTATCAGCAGGCTTGTTCGCCCAATCATCTCGTTCATAATCATCCTATGCACTAATCACTGTCCTGCGCAAGATCCGGAAACATCTCCCGATACTCACCGCATGAAGCTATCGTGAGTCGTAGACGGCAGGGTCTTGACCCCGTCCCCGTTCCCCGCAAGCGAGTGTCATTGCTCGCGGTGCCCCCACCCCGTAGCAAATAGTGTTTGAGATAAACCGCAAAGGGCGGCACAGGGTTCTCAGGTGACCGCAGTTGCCGCCTCGCCTGGTCGGTCAAACATGTGGCTGCTGATACTGAAGCTAGAGAGAAAATGGGGTCCATGCTTCGAAGCGAAAACTTACAACGGGGTTGTCAAGGTAGGTCAGTAGGCTGAGAGACCCTGGGTGAACAGGGAGCAGTGTGAGTGGAAGAACACGTCCTCGTGGTGTCTCGATGTAGCTAAAGGATTGGACAACATCGGTCACATTGACTGACTTCTTCTTTCAGACACGGCCGTTATCATACACGTGCGTACTTGTCAGTGATGGCCTGCGTGGTAAAGCCTCTGCCACAACATATTTTATGCTAGATAAATAAAAGTTGATCACCTGGCCAGGTGGAGAGATGCTGGGAGTGACCGGCGTGACACATCAGCAGTTCGTTCTTGTGACTGGCAACGATGTTGGAAGCAATCAACTGAACGAGGTGCCTTTAAAGACGACTGCATTTTGATTCTGTGGAAGACTGACGATGGCTAAGGGACTGGTCGAGATGGAAACATGGCATTCAGAACAGAAACACCATGGCTTGAGAGCGCGCTGGTGTTTGAGATGTCGCCAGATCATGTGAACGTTTTGTTTCTCCCTTTCTCTCACTGTGTACTTTCGTTCTTACCTTCTTTTCTCCTTTACTCTATAGTAATATCCTCATTTCTCTTCTATCATGATTTTTCCTTTAATCCCATCACTGATTTTATCCTTAGGACTCACAGGTCCGCCAAACTGCCAGCAAGACTACCAGCCAAGCAGTCTCATTATCCACAGCAAGTAAGTGATGACGAATTAATCTCCTCTGATTATATACCTAGACAATCACACCAGGTACTATCACTGAGACTCCACATACATATTGCTTGAACTTCCCTGCTCCAACATGTTCATTCTGGCTTCGACTGTATGAGTTCTCGGCCGGCTTAATAGATCATGATTCCCATTCTTTTTGGTCCAGATTGGATGGAATAATATTATGCATGTTGTTTTCTTTATTGAACTATACTTTATGTCCACGTACACGTCTAAGACAGCATCCGGCTTGGACATGAGCCCGGCAGCGAGGAAACGGCTTTGACTCCATCTTGAGGCGACGTCTTACTATATGCCTCTACAAGATGGAGGAAGCTAAAAGAAGATGTGAAAGGAGGATGGTTGAGAGTGGTTGTAGCCTTACAGAGGCAAGATACCATAGAAACACGCAAATCAGAACTCACAGCAAATCATCGAGAACAAGAAGCCTCAGCAATGAGACGGTTCACCAGTAAAGCCGTCTGCTTGCCACGAAAGAGATTGCCAAGCGACATAATTACGCAAAAGTCTTTGATGAAACCATGACAGTCACCGAGCACCAGCAGTCGAGTTTCTCATTTTATTTTGGCTATTCCCCGCCACTGGTGCTTCAAGTTTGGCTTTCTCCCTCATCAAGAGGGCCCGCCCTTGCTCTCATAAGTCTAGCTGTATGTCTGAATCTGAACATGTAATGAAGAAGCGCGATGAATAGAGTAGCATCTCAGATGTCTTTATCATGACGAGGAGAACAGAGACGCGGTGTACAATGTCCACCTCTCTCTCTCTCTCTCTCTCTCTCTCACACACACACACTCACACATACACACACCACCACCACCATGTTCATCATCCTCATAGACTCAAGTAGATTTGCACTTCAAAAGGAAAACAGGGCGTTGTTCTTCCTACCCAGCGGATACACCACCAGCGCAGACATAAAGATGCCCACGGCTAGACCGATGGCCACCGTGATCATCTGGGCGCCTACGCTGAAACTCTGGTATATGTTCTTCTCGTAGATTGACTCGGCACTCGTGGTCGAGTTGTCGAACAAGGGCGTCTCGAGGCCCGTGATCAAGCCGCCTTGCGCGGAGAGGCCCGAGGGTACAAGCACCATTCTATAGCGTTCAGTTGTGAGTCAGTGGCTTCCCAGGACCTGATCGAGGGGAGAAGAAAAAAAAGAAGTACATACATGCCAGCAACCACGGCCGCAAATGCAAAAGCTCGCTGCGACCTTGCCCAAAGATGGCCCAGCACTCCCAACGTGAGCGCCGAAGCTGTGTCTGCCACCTGGGCCGTGGCGTACTGCGACACAAAGTAGTTGACAGTGTACGCCGCCGAGCCGATAATAACCTGCACGGGGACCTGACGCGGGCGGGAGCGAATAAGGACAGCCTGGACGACCAGGTAGCTCGGGACGAGCAGGATCTTCCAGCGCGGATCCACAGACCGCGGACATGTCGCGGTGGCGGGTGCGTCGGGGTAGATGGCGCCCCACAGCTGCGAGCCGACGGCCATGCCATAACCCAGAAGCAGCGAGTAAATGATGGCGTAGAAGAGACGGGTAGATCCTGCGGTGATGGACTTGGACTGCAGCTCGAGACTACCGCACAGCACAATATATCCCGGCAGGATCGTGGTGATGGAGGACTCGGCCACGGAGCCGAAGCAGAAGTATTCCTGAGCGGAACCAATGGAAGCGAAGGCGCGCGCGCCAAACGAGGTGATGAGAGCCGCAGTGACCTCAAGAACATTGGCGTATAGGGGGTTCTTGGCGGCGAGGATGACCTGGAGCGTGCCTACGATGCAGCCGAGCAGGAAGGCAATGGGCATATCCAACCAATATCCGCTGTAGGCCCAGATACAAGCCAGCGCTGACGCACAACCATAGAAGGGCACTATCCACCACGGCTTGTAGTACGGTGGGGAGGCGATGAGGGTGGCAAGGGACTGCGTCGCGTCCTCGATGGAGACCTCTCCGTGTACGACGTCCTTGTAGAGGTGGAAGACAACCTCGCAGGCACCGATATCGAGCCCCTGGGCCTTGACGATGGTGGTGTAGGCGGATCTTGTGAAGGGGTCGGCGGGGTCGATAGGGTTAATAAAGGAAATCTCCGTACAGCCCACGGTGTAGTTGACCCGGCCTTCCATCTCCAGGGCCTTGAACATTTGGAGGGTGTACTCCTCGATACGGTGTGTGGGAGCGCCATATGCCATGAATGCATAAACCTGGAGAGTTGTGAGAAGTGTCAGTGCGTCCGTCCCACATCGACACAAGGTTCATGCGCAGACGTACCATCAAGAGCACCAGGTTCCTCCTGTGTGCCAGCTCGGCCTTTGCCGCGACATACTTGGCCTGCTTGCTGTTACCCTTGGCAGCCTTGACCTTCAACTTCTTGAGCGCACTAGACAGCTCATGAGCGTCGACACCGGGCCCAAAGATCTTCCTCAAGGTACCAGGGGTGGTAGTCCCAGAGCCCACGGCTGTGCTGCCGCCGGATTGGGATGCCTGGGCGGATGCGGTAGACTCGCTCCTGGTGCCCAGGCCTGGACGGGCCAGCATCACAGACGGGGCGATGAGGCTGGAGACGTGGGTTTGAGACGTCTTCCTCCCCTTCTTGGGCCGCCCAGTGACCTTGCGGATCGTCTGCAGATCAATGCCTATATCACCGATGAGGTCCTGAATATCCTGGTCCCTGTCTGGGATGCCAAAGTCGTCCCTCACCGCCTTCATCCAGTTCCTGAGCGAGTCCCACCAGCCGCGCCTGTGACGGAAGGGCTCCTGGTCCTTCTCGCCATCGTATATCGGGCCTGCAGCTGCATCTGCATCTGCAGAGGTCATGTCGGTTCTCGCCCGACGAGGGGCCGAGTAAGACCTTGCGAGCTGCGCTGGCTCCGAGGGGAAGCGGGCTCGGCGAGTTGTGTCGGTGGTACCAGGCGTGACAAGAGGCGCATCGTGGGGTGGGATGGGCGTTGCTGGGGGTTGTGGTGAGAGCACAGGAGAGGCTGCCAAGTGGGAGTGGGAGTCTAACGAGTCCGTCTCGTCGCCCGTGTCATCGTGACTATGGTGGCGCGCATGCCACTGACTGTTGCTTCTACTGCGCCGCCGGAGCTCCTCTGGGGCCTGCACTGGGGAGCCTGAGCTCGTCTGGTCGATCGTATCTGACTGGGAGCCGAAGTTGACGCCCTGGACCGGAGGAGGCTGGTGGGTGAAGAAGGAGGTGTTCTCATCGGTGCCAGAAATCTGGGGGGCACCTGGAATGGCCCCTTCCGCCATGTTGACAAGGACGATCCTATCGTGAAGGTAGATAGATGGTGGAGGAGATGGCAGCGTTTTGATTAAGGTTGTTCGAAGTGGATGGATGGAATGTTTGAGGTGGAGAGAGGCTCAAGTTGACGAGGATGGTGGTGAGTGAGCGAGAGTGCCAGTCGAGGTTGTGTCTGATATTGTTGTCTGATGTGGGAACAAGTGAAAGATGATGGCGCTGCCCTGCTTGTGGAGCTCCGTGATGGTCTCGTTGAGTGCAAAATGATTGGTGGTTCCCTGTCGTCGACCAGGCTGGCAACACAACGCCATGTCATCCACTGTGGGCGATCACCTAGATGGAGAAGGAGGAGAAGGAGGAAGACGACAAAGAAGAAAGTGTGCCCACTTTGAGAAGAGCAGAGGGGCTGATGATTTCATCATGTGTGGTCCATGCACGACCTCGCTTAGATTTGTCGGAAGTGAGAGAAAGATTGAGTTGGTGAGAGGGTAGCTGCAGGTGTGGAGGAGAGGCAATCATGAGACAAGAGACAGAGACCTTCAAAAAAAAAAAAAAAAAAAAAAAATTGGAGTCCCATTCCACAGTTTCTTTTAAACCCGTCTGCTCCGTACAAAGTACTGACTTGCCTCTCGAGACTGGACTGTTCTTCCACATTGGTTGGCGAACGTTTTCTCGTCTGAAAATATCCATGCTGTTCATGCTCCGATCGATTCAAGGAAGGTCCCTGAAAGGTGTCGTCATAAAATCGGGCCGTTGAATGCGCAAGGGTCCTCACATTGTTCCCTCAAATGAGTGCCTTCTGCCACGCTCCTGGCCCTCGGATCGCACGGCAGCCCAGATGGAACCCCCACTATATAACACATCATCTCGACTTTGTTTGTGGAAATATGGATCGCCATGATGGTGTGGGGAAATCAAACAAAACAGACGCCAGTGACTGCATAGTTTCCTGAAGTGATCGTTTTTGATGTGGGCGTGTCGGAGCACGACGTGCAAGGCTTGACAGGGGTCAGATTTTATGGGAGACGGTTTGGACAGTGGTACATTTGTGCCTGTCAGGCCTGCCTACAGTACCTTTTAAACGCCTGGCGTATCGTAGAAGCTAACGTTGCTGGGCCTGGTGTGGCAAGCGTGGTTGCGTGGCTAGCCACGATTGCGTGCTGAACAAAGCGCCAAGCGTGCCAAGGTGCGGGAGTACCTGTTTGCTACCAAGACGAGTTTAGTGCATCCTGTCAATTGGCATTGACGGCTTGCTTAATACAGCACCAGCTGGAATACCATTACAGGAGAAACCTCAATGTTCTAGGCCCCTTTTTCTTTGCTGTTTGCTCTTCTTTCATGTTGTGATATTTGAGTTGCTTGAGGGATTCAACCACTCAGATGGAATGAGACAGCTATGTAGTAGGTTCTAGTGTGCAGGTCCAGAGCAAGATGTACATGATACGATTACCGTCCAGATGTCTCTGGGGAAGGTCATTAAGAACTTGCTTGAGACCTCGATCTACAGTAGGTCCCCTAACCCACCTACTATACCACGCAACATACTAAAAATTGCAATGTTATCAATCTGCTAATTGAATATTGTCTCTGCAGAATAGAAGCATGATTAATTCTCCAACACATCGGAAACTGGAATTCTCAGAGGCCTAATGAGAAAAAAGAAGAAGAAAAGGGAGGTAGTTGATCGCCGGGCATCTATTAATTTGTAGCGAGTTTCCTTTCTCTTATAACCTGCATATCCTCCTATTTGACTCTTAATAGAGACTGCTCCTGATGAACTATTCAAAGTGCCACTCGGCACACGTGTCATGTTTCCAACATTCTTAGTAGATTTGGCGAAAATTCGACCATCCGCCGCTTGCAGTAGCTTTCTCAACTGAATCTCTACATAGGACAGCTTTATTACTTCTCGTTATTTGTGTGTGTGTGTGTGTGTGTGTGTTTGTGTGTGTTTGCCTATACATACGATTTCAATAAACACCTAGAACTTCTAGATGATTTTTCAATAATGCCAGTCATCATGAGTCTGTTTACTCATCTTTCAGTCCCCCAGACGCTCGTCATTTGAAGCATAAGAATCACTTCAAACTAAGGCTGAAATGCTGCCTAAGCTTGATGATACCTTTGCTAAGAGGTAATAACCTACAAAACTTTGGATAATGACGTATTATGATTTGCACCCAAGATGATCCCAGCCAACCTTGGGCCGGGAGGAGCCGGGCCGGCTGTCAGATTGTTATGAGGTCGGAAGGATGGCCTTACTCGGGTGCAGCAGATGTATTTTTAGAATATGCTGAGTAGTTGGATCCCACTACACATAAACAATTGCCAAAACGGCGGCGGAATGATGCATTGGTGATCGCCATGCAAAAATTTCTCTCAGCGGGCAAGTGTTTTAGATGGCAGCCATATCGTAGGCCAGTAGCTCCCTAATCTCAACATGAGAGTCGCTTTCACAATGGCAGTCCAGAATGGACCCTGTCTAATGATATTGACCCAGCATACAACAATTCTCAGCCATCTATACATTCAGACTGTGGCGGCCGACCTCTACACGTAGGCTGGGGCGCCTGGTGGAGCACCTTGAACATCGTGTCGTATACCTCTCATGATGATCCAACGTAATGCCAGGTCTCTAAGCTGTTGGCCAGTCCAAGGTGACATTGAAATCTGGGCACGATTGTCGGGCCAGGTCAGGCATTCAAGGTCGCAGTCCTGTACGTTCAAGATCATATTGAGAAACCTTTTTGCGTTCGGGTTGATGCATTTGAAGCACTGTCGAAAGCGTGTGATGTGATATGTCGTCCTTGAATCCAGCACCTCCAACACATCGAGCATTGCGCAAGATTCACTTCGTTCAGAGCAACAGAGTGGAGGACTCGGAGTGGAGTGTTTGAAATTCTGTCCCAGAGCAAATAATCATTGGAGAGAATTGGGTAATTGCCATGTATCAAAGCACTTGCATGGGTTCCCTGCGCTCCTTCTTTTTGAAAGAGGCGAAAAGATTGAGGATGAGGAAGGCGTGCTGTCATGCCTTCCCAATGAGTGAATGTTAGCAAGCTTCAGCGAGAAAGAGCTATTCTTGGCTCTGTCTTCCTTTTCGTTGATCCTTTCAACCCCTCGGATTTTCATCTTGTCCTTTTGAAGAGACCTTCGAGGCGAAAACAAAGTGACCTGTTTACCAAAACTCTCGCTGTGTCTGTTCAATGACAAGGGCACTGTCTGCATCTGTATGGCGATTAAGCTAATTCAGGGTCCGTTTTAACCATCATACTGTCAGTGGGTTCGTGGTCAGCATCGAAAGAAGAAGTGGAGACGAAGAAGGAGTGGAGAACAAGAAGAACCTCTCCCTGTCTACAATACAGAATCTGTGTCGGCGACGCTTGCTCTGGACCACGACACAAAGATGATGACCTTGCTCCTAAGAATAGACACCCTTTTCAACGTCGTCATTTCCACCGGTAGTGGAGGAGTTTCGAGCCGTTTGGGGGGGGGGGGGGGCCAAGCCCGGGTCCACGGGTCTGCTTATGGTCGGCACCGCCAAGGTGTTCCCCGCTAACAGCTCTACACTCAGATACCCTACAAACGTGTTAGTGCGGGTGCTGGCCATCACAGTCAGCCCCAGCTGAAGTCAGCTGCTGTTCGAAACTTTTGTCCTTTCTCTACACGCCTTGACCCTCGACGACCACGACTTTAGCCGGGCAGTATGGCCGCGTCGAAACAAAACCGCAGCCAGACGACCTCAGCCAATCGTCTCCGACTCCTGGGCCTTCTCCTCTGCGGACATGACGGCCTCTTCTTCCGGGCTTAGAGCCGGAGCCGACCCCGGCGCATGATGGTTACTCTGGCCTGACTTTTGGCTCTCTGGCAACAGCGGCAGACAGGAGAGCCATGATTTTGCAGTCTCCATCTTGTACAGTCAGCATGGCCAGTCCCGCGGCTCTTGAGTTCCAGCATGACAATACACCGTTGCCTTGCTGGGCTGCGGCCGTAGACGCGGTCCCAGGTCGTGTCCTGAGCCCGCCCTCCGCCTGCTTCACCAAGGTATTGCTGTTGCTCTGCCGTGTCAAACACGCAGCGTCGATCGTCTCAGCGATGCTTAGTGGCCGTGTCTGTTGGTCTCTCTCACCAGGTCTTTCTGGAACACAACAAAACAATGCCCCAGCATCTCACCTGTTTCATCTGGCTTGTGCAGTCGAGAGGTCAGCCTCTCTCTCTCTCTCTTTTGCAGATGACTATAACATCCCGAGGAGGGTAACAATCTTTTTGAGGACTTCTCAATGCCAATCGCTAAGATCACTGCGTCGGCCCCCTAAAGACCTCGCTTCGTGAAGACGGCCCCACGACCTGCAGCAGCCACAGCACATTCACCAGCTGTTTACTCTACCATTGGCCCTGGGACGCCAACTTCCCTTTCGCCTAATTCTTTTGGCCTCTTGCCCTTTGGCTTCTTGACGACGACGGCGTACTGCGAAGACTGAGGAACAAACATCAACAACATCAGCATCTACAACACAGGAAGAAGGAGATGTGTAAATTCACCTACCTCGGGTATGCAGGCTGTGAGGAGCCCGAGAGGCATTACTTCATCCGGCGGGAGAAGTGTGTTGGCAAGGCTCACCTCAAGCACTGGTGTGACCCCCATGAACAGGACGAGGTGGCCCTGGATGAGGACGAGTTCATCTCTGACCTGACCTGTCCCATGTGTGCCGACATTCCTGTCATCTACGACCAGCCTCTGCTTGAGATCGCGCACTCTCGACGGTCTGTCCTGCCTGCGCCTCACTACGATGGCGTGACGGGCCAGTACTCTAGGTTTCCTCGACACCATGGGCACAATAACAATAGGATGAACCGCCCTGCGATCCCGGCCAAGAACTCGTCCGAGGCACTCGTCCCGAGGCCCTTGAACATGGCTCGCAAGCAGATGCACCAGAGGTCAGCGAGCGAGACGGCCGTCAACCGCATCAGGCAGAAGGAGGTCGGCCCGGACTACCACTTACCCTCTGCCAAGTACGACGAGGACCAGGAACAGGAAGTGTTGATGCTCCCCTCGGCCACCTACATGCCAGGGGAAGAGCAGATCCCGATGCTGCCGGCGACAGCCTACATGCCTCCACCTGAAGGCGCAAAGCCGCTGCCCAAGCCCCTCCCCATGCCACAGCCGATGGAGCCCACCCCGCCCTCGAGCAGGGATGCGAGCATGTCGCCACCACAGAACCGCATGGGTATGATGATGATGCGGACTATTCCTCCCGGCGAGAGCAGCAGACGAGAGCTCGAGTCCATCCGCGAGAGGGCCAAGATTGCTGCCGCCAAAGATTCAAGGCCAGCCACACCGCAGAGCCGCCCTGGCACTGACCGCTCGCGATCAGGTTCCGAGTCGTCTACATCATCGTTTGGCAACCCCAACCCGCCGCCACCACCACCTCCTCCTCGTCGCAAGGCCTCTGTCGCCTCCTCGGAAGGCTCCTCCTCGTCGTCATCATCGTCCGCCGGTTCATCATCCAAGAGCGGTAGCGTGACCTCCAGGACAGTCCGACGCCCAGAGCACCACAGGAAAGAATCCTCGGCGTCCTCGACATCCGCATCGAGCACCTCCCGCACCCCACCGCAAGAAGAAAACAAATTCACCAACGCCGCCCTCCGCACCATCGGGATCGGCATCGACCGCACGGCCTCGCCTGACCGCGGCCGTGGGCGCCAGCGTCGGGAGCGGGGTGGCTCAAGCAGCGAGAGGTCGGACTCGCCCTCGGTCTGGCGGCCGACCATCAGCCCACCGCAGCTGCAGCAGGACAGTCTGGGAATGGGCTCCAACACCAACATCGTCGAGCCGCTGAAGCAGCGCCTGGTGCAATTCCGGCCGACCAGGAGCGGGGCGGCGACGCCCAACTCGGTGGCCTCGACACCTCGGCGCGAGGCATCAGTAGAGGACAGGCAGCGGCCCAAGCCGCCGCACCCCAGCGCTGCAAATAACAACAACAACAACAACAACAACAACAACAACAACAACAACAACAACAACAACAACAACAACAACAACAACAACAACAACAACAACAACAACAACAACAACAACAACAACAACAACAATAACAAGCAGCCCGCGGGCGCTCTGCGGCTGTACCCCAACAAGAAGGATGACGAGAAGATCGCCACGGCGGCCTTCAATGCAATGCTGCACGAGGAGCAGAAGGCGCTGTACGCGGCACAGAAGGGCGGGCAGAAGCAGGTCAAATTCCAAGGCCAGTCTGGCCAGGGTCGCAGCGATGAGGACGACGTCGAGACCGCCATCGAGATGCACCATGTGCCCACCGTGTCCATGCAGTTCACCAGCGGCGGCGACCCCTACGGCACTGCTGGTGTCGGCAGGAACAAGAACCTCCCTGCGGCGGCGAGGACGGGCCTGCGACGCATCCAGACGGGCCAGGTCAAGACCGTCACCATTGCCTCGCCGCGGCCTCTGAGGAGGGTGAACACGTCCGACGACGTCACGCCGTCGTCTGCTACCATGAAGATCAAGGGCGGTCCTTTATTTAGTATTGCTGGTGTTGGCGGCAAGACACAGGAGTTTGAAATTGTCTCCAAGAATGGAGATGCTTCTCTTGGACAGGCGTTCTAGGTCTGCTTTTTGTTTTGTTTTGTTTTGTTTTCAACTTCCTCACTGGATGAGGGATGTCTTCACTCACCAATCATTTTAACAATATTTTTTCTTTTGTATCACTGTTTTTAGCTGTTTTGTGTCCAGGGGTCGGGGTCTAGGCCTGTTTTTACTTTATTGTTTTGGATCATCTGGTTTTGGGAGTAGTCGGTTTGATGCAAAGGTTCGGGGGGGGTGGGGGGGGTTCGTCTTTCTGTGTCAAAGGGAGCTCGAGATACCAAGTGTTTGAATGAATGTCTTTCTTTTTTTTTTGAATTTTATCCGCTACTCATTCCTTTTGCCATGTTTCCTGTGCTGCTCATGATCTTTTACTGTTCTATGGCTTTGGAAGAATGCTATGCTGCTCACACTGCTGCCTTCTTAGATACGTTCCCTTTTATATCGTCTATGATAAACTGTCATGGCAGATTTCATTATAAGGACGAGACGGTGATTGGTCCACAAACCCAAAAGACGACGACACTATCTGTGCCCGAGATCCATTTTCCGATCCGCAACCAACGGGGGCCAAGGAATGAGTGAGCTATTGCGGGCCAACATTCCCACCAAAGAGGCGCTTCCACCGGCTATATGGAATATCATAGCCAAGATGCAGGGAGCGGTCTGGGGGGAAATGCGTTGGTCTTTTGTGCGGGGAAATGCTGGCCCGTCTCGACTCCTCCCAAACGAAAAGATGGCCAACAAAGCCTACATTAGTATTGAGTTCTCTTGTGCCCAATTGCCGAGCATGCCCCAAGTTCCCTCTGAGCTGTGTCGGAATAATGATTCTTCTTAGTGGAAAGCGAGCCGTTGTCTAGTAATACTGAGCCGTGCTGCATCTTATTGGGGTTTAAATTCAACCCTGCTTCGCCCTCTCGTCTTCACATTACTTTTCTGAAGGATCATCAAGTAACGACAAGCAGGACCAAGTCGAAACGCGAGGGGTAAAGTAATGGTGGTGAATAAATCTGGTCTCACATAATACTTCTGTAACAACATACACAAACCTTACAGGAGCAAGCCGAAAGAGAGAGTGAAGAAGAATCATGGCAGACCTCTCTCTTCTTCTTCACCCATCTACATGGCCCCTCTACATCTGGCTCTCTCTCGTCATCGCCCTCCCAGCAGCCACAGCCCTTTACGATGCAGTCACATGGCTGCGCATGCCCCCCGGCCCTCCGCCCCTCCCCTTCATCGGCAACAAGCTCCAGCTCCCCAAGTCCAAGCCATGGGTCCAGTTCCAGGCCTGGTCGCAGCGCTACGGCCCCATCTTCACCATCTGGATCGGCCGGCGCCCGACGGTCATCATCTCGGACCCGATCGTGGCCTCGGAGCTCATGGAGAGCCGCAGCAGCAAGTACTCGTCGCGGCCCCGCATGGTGGCCATGGGCGAGCTGCTCTGGGACGGGGCGAGCATCCTGGTGCAGCCGTACGGGAAAGAATGGAGCGTGCGGAGGCGACTGCTGCACATGGCCATGACGCCCAAGGCGCTGCGGCTGTACAAGCCCGCGCAGGAGGCCGAGGCGAGCCGGCTGGTGTTCCGCCTGCTGGACCGGCCTGAGGAATACGTCGGCCTGGTCGAGACCTTCACCTCGAGCGTGGTGTTCTGCGTCGCGTACGGGCACCGCATCGACTCGCTGGGCGCCCAGGTCATCGCCCAGCGCTTCGAGTTCATGCAGTACTCGGCCTCGCTCAACGTGCCGGGGCGGTACCTCGTCGAGACCCTTCCCGCGCTCAAGTACATTCCTGACTGGCTCGCGCCGTGGAAGGCCGAGATCAAGGCGCACGGGCGACGCGAGGCCGTCGCCAACATGGCGCTCATGGACATTGTGCGAGGCGACATGGCGCGCGCCCGGGCCGAGGGCGCAGAGGCCAAGGTCCCGGACTCGCTGTGCAAGATCCTGCTGGAGATGCGCGAGAGGGCGGCCACGGGCGGAGAAGAGCCCATCCCGCTGTCGGACCGCGACCTGGCCTTTGTCCCGGCGTCGCTGTTCGGTGCTGGGTCCGACACCACTGCGTCGACGCTGTGCTCGGCATTCCTGGCTCTGGTCACGCACCAGGAGACCCTGCAGGCTGCGCACGAGGAGCTGGACCGCGTCGTGGGCGGGGGCCGCAGCCCTACGTTTGAGGACGAGGCGGCGCTGCCGTATATCCGGGCCTTTTGTAAGGAGGTGCTGCGGTGGCGGCCTGTTGCTGTGCTGGGCGGCACGCCTCACGCGTCGACGGAGGATGATGTCTATGAGGGCTATTACATTCCTGCCGGCACGACTGTGCTGGGCAACTCTTGGGCCATCAACCTGAACGAGGCGTATTATCCCAACCCGCACCACTTTAATCCTCTGCGTTTCTTGGACGAGAACATTGCCGCCAGGGCCAAGGGCGCAACCATCGCAGGAGGAGTGCAAGAGAAGCAAGATGTCGAGGTCGGCGGGAGGGCACACCCTTCCAAGAGCGGGCACTCGTCCTTTGGCTGGGGCCGCAGAATCTGTCCCGGCGCGAACCTGGCCGCCAACTCGCTCTTCATCGCGCTGGCCAAGCTGCTGTGGGCATATGATATCGGGCCTGTGCCTGGGACAAAGTATGATACCTTTGACTATACCGAGGGCTTCAACATCCGGCCGAAACCGTTTTCGTGTGTTGTTCGGGTGAGGAGTGAGCAGCATCGGAGGGTTTTGGAGAGGGAGAATGAGGATGCCACGGCGTTTTTGGACAAGTTTACGCCGTTTGGAGAGTGATCAATGTGAGGCTTTGGTTTGGATATTGCCGTGGTCAATAAATAGCTGCTTGTGGTGCTCTGTATACTCGTGCTCATGCCATAGTCACAGAAAACAATAGACCTACATCGTCGTGCTCATCATTGCCATGCCTCCTCCCTCACGCCCAAGACCAACAAACATGTAAAGCAGCTGCAGGAGATACTTCCTTATTCCATATGTAAAATAATTGCGCGCTCCACAGGTAATTGTACGATGTCATTTCGAGTCGTATGTCTGCTATGATTATTGTTCAGCTGGTGCTGAGCTCACTAATACGGCCGAGGTTGTGGGGGTTTTATGATCTAGAACCCCCTCCTTTTCTAGGGAGCGGGGTTATGTCCAAGGCGATGCCGACGTCTTTTAGCGCTATTAAAGCCGTCTGAAGAGCAGGGCAAGCCAAGCTGAAGACTCATCCCACAATAAGCGGCTATACATGCTGGAAGAGGAGATGGTGGCGGGGGTTGGCATGGATCAAGCCTTGTGGAACAGGGGAGCAAGTACGGAGGATAAAAAAGCATGTTGGAAATGATCTTTGCTTTCATCCTTCTCTGTTTTTTGATAGAAAGCAAAGATAATCGACATCTTTGCGTGCGAAAGATGATGAAAGCTGCAATCATACTGACTTTTATATGCCATACAGTACAGTTTACATTGAATCATAGTGTACAGCATGAACAATCAATCATCGATCAGGATCTACCGCTATGAACCTTGGAATGTAACGTTCTACAGTAGTAAAACAAGCGTCGAGATCCTGATCGACTTACCATTCCTCTTCAACCCCCACAACCAGAGCCTCTAATTCTCCCAAAGGCTACAATCCATGCATATAGATTTTCAATAACACACCCCAGTGACCACTCCACCCTGTCCAAACTGATGCCGTCTCTAGCGGCAGCACGCTATCGACTGGCCTTGTCGGCCTGTCAACAGGATGTTGTTCCTCCCCACGTGCTCCCCTACAGCTGCATGCTTAGCATACTATGGTCCCCCGTACGCTCATTGGTAGGCAAATGATGTGCAGTCCAACGGAATTTGCCCCCTTCCTTATCTCTCGAGCGCCTCTGGTTTCTCACTCAGCTGGTCCAGGCCCGTTAATAAAAACCAGGGCTCACAACCCTTGTAGATAAAGAGGGAACTCACTACTGTGCATGAACGTACACCTGCATTCTTCTTTTTGGGCCATCGCATGTTTATATAGTGTGTATGCGCGCTTGGCATTCTATATATGATGATCAGCAGTCATCTTTCAGAACACACAACCTACACCTCATAGTGACTTGTGCCTCTCTGCCTCAGGTTGATAACGGCCAAACAGCGGACAAAACGTCATCATGGCCAGCCTGAAGGAGCTGGACGACGGGGCCAACGCCACAGCGAACCACGAAAAGGGGCGGCCCAGCAGCTATGACGAGACAGAGGGCAGCATCGAGGTCAGAGGCAATGCAGACGCCCTCCAGCGGCATCTCGGCAACCGGCAGATCCAGATGATCGCCATCGGAGGTTCCATCGGCACCGCCCTCTTCGTCAGTATCGGCAATGGTCTGCTCGACGGCGGGCCAGGGTCGCTGCTGATCGCCTATGCCCTCTACTGTGGCCTGTTGGCCCTGGTGAACAACTGCATGGCAGAGATGGCCGTGTTCATGCCCATCTCTGGTAAACAATTCTCTTATCTCTCTGTCTTGTGTGTGTAATGTTCTCGGCTTGCTGATTTCACGGTCATGTGCAATTTTTGTTTTGACTATCAGGCTCCTTCATCCGCTTCGCTGGCAAGTGGGTGGACGAGGCCTTTGGCTTCATGAGCGGCTGGAACTTCTACCTCTACGAGGCAGCCATGATCCCCTTTGAGATCTCTGCCATCAACCTGATCCTGACCTTCTGGCGCGATGACATTCCTGTTGCCGCCGTCTGTGCAGCCTGTGTCGTGCTCTACGCTGCCATTAACGTCTTTGCCGTCAAGTACTATGGAGAGGCCGAGTTCTGGCTGTCGACAGGGAAATTCCTCCTCATTGTCATTGTTTTTTGTAAGTTCAACCATGGCTGCATACTCAAGGAGCGATCCTTCTCTTGCTTACCAAGTACTGTCTCTTAGGCTTCACCTTCATCACCATGGTGGGAGGCAACCCGCACCACGACGCATATGGCTTCACCTACTGGCAGAACCCAGGCTCCTTTGCCGAGTACATCCACACCGGAACCCTGGGCCGGTTCCAAGGCTTCCTGGGCGCCCTCTGGTCGGCAGCCTTCACCATCGTCGGGCCCGAGTACCTCGCCATAGTAGCCGGCGAGGCAGAGCGGCCCCGGACCTATCTCAAGCAGGCCTTCAAGACGGTCTACTGGCGCTTCGGCTTCTTCTTCATCGGCGGCGCCCTGTGCGTGGGCATCGTCCTCCCCTACAACAACCCGACCCTCATCGCCAACAACAGCTCGGGCACCGCGGCCGGCAGCCCCTACGTGATCGCCATGCAGAACCTGGGCATCGGCGTCCTCCCGCACATCACCAACGCCCTCATGGTCACCAGCATCTTCTCGGCCGGCAACGCCTACACGTACTGCGCCACGCGCTCGCTGTACGGCCTCGCCCTCGAGGGCCAGGCCCCCAAGATCTTTGCAAAGTGCACCCGCTCCGGCATCCCCGTCTACGCCTTCGCCGTCACCATGCTGTTTCCCCTGCTGTCCTTCCTCGACGTCTCGAGCGGCACCAGCCAGGCCCTCACCTGGTTCGCCAACCTGACCGAGGCCGCGCAGCTGATTGACTACATGATCATGTGTCTGACGTACATCTTCTTCTACCGCGCCTTGAAGGCACAGGGCATCGACCGCGACACCCTGCCGTACAAGGGCTGGTTCCAGCCCTACAGCGCCTGGATCGGCCTCGTCGGCGAGACGGTGGTCTTGGGCTGTTATGGCTACGAGACGTTCCTCCCTGGAGAGTGGGACCTGGGCACCTTCTTCAGCTACTACACCATGGTCTTTGTGGCGGTTGTGACGTATACCGTGTGGAAGATTCTGAAGCGGACCAAGGTGGTTAAACCGGAGGAGGCGGATCTGGTGTGGGATAGGCCTGTTATTGATGCGTATGAGGAGAGTCTGGCGACGAAGCCGGTTGGGTTCTGGACGGATGTGGCCATGATGTTTAGGTGGAGGAAGTGGAAGAGGCATGAGGATGAGGATTGACATTGGACTGAGGGGCTGTTTTTAGAAGATAGTAAGTAAATTGATGAAATTACTGGTTACAGTTGTATTAGATGGGCAAAAGATCCCAGGAAACCCTGTTTGTCACTTACTTGGGGTGTTAACGAAAGAAAGAAATACCGACGAAGATCCAAAGTACAAAAGCCTGACGGAACCTTTCTTGCTGTTTCAAAGCATCTATACACCTCCCTACTTTTCTTCCTCCTCCTCCTCCTCCTCCTCATCCCTTGCAGGTGCCCTTATATTGGCATTCAGCTCAGGCAAAGCAATCGTCCCAAGCGGAACAAGCAACAATTCCCGCCAGGTCTTCCTCTTGCTCCCCTCCAAACGAGCCGAATAAACCAAATGTCCCACCCAGAACACAGCAACAACAACAAACCCCAATATACCCCTCAGGAGAAAGATGAAGTAGAGCGTGCCGTCGTGGTTCAGGACAGGAGGCAGGGCGGCGCTGGCGACCTGTGCGATCATGATGCAGACAATCATGACGGCAGCGAGGTAACTGCCCCAGACACCACAGCAGGCCTGCCATGCTACCTCCAGATCAGGGTTACGGCCTTGAAATCTGAGGGCCTTGCGGAGGCGGATGTGGCATATGTTGATGCTCATCCACTTTGAGAAATTCATTAGTATCCCCTGAACAGTACGATGACGAACGAAGAGGAGAGAGAACAAGAAGAATACGAACCGTGAAAAGATTGCTCACGCTGGCCAACGCAAGGAGCCACTCAAAAATCTCCGTCCCGTTCCGCACCGCAGCAAGCCACGCCAACATAGCAACGCTAAAGACAACAAGCAGCGCCGCCCAGGGCACCCCGCGCTCAGAGAACCGAGATAAGACCCGCGGGCCCATGCCACGCTCACAGATCGCCGCCAGCGCCCGCGAGGACGCAAACACGGCGGAATTTCCCATGCTGAACACGCTGGCGATGAGCAGGCCGTTGATGATGTCCGGCAGGCGGGGGATATCTGCGACGCGCACAGCGATTACAAAAGGAGAAGCCGTCAAGTTGGCGATTTCGGGGCTGTCAAGGGCCGAGGGGCGCAGAACCAGGCCCAGAGCGAAGAGGGCGGTGCAGTAGCAGAGGAGGATGCGGCCTGCGACGAGCTTGGCGCCGAGGGGCATTACTTTGCGTGGCTGGGCGCAGGCGGCGGCGGTGAGGCCGAGCATTTCGGTGCCTCCATAGGCCAGTCCTGCGGCGGCGAGGACGGAGATGGAGCCTTGAAAACCGTTGCGGAATGCTTGGCCGCTATGGGAAGAGAGACACAAAAAAGTCTACATGTCAGTGATGCGAGATACTTTCCATGCAAAAGGACAAGGAAAAAAAATGGGTTGAGGAAAGGAAAGAGACAGGAACGAGGAAATCATACTGGAGGTAATTCTCAAACCCTCTTCCACCAGCCTCTGGCGTCCCTCCTGCTGCAATCACAACAGCCGTGCCAATAAACGTCGTCAATATAAACACCTTTAGAATCCCAAAAAAGTGCTCTGCCTCTCCATACCACTTGGGCCCAAAACACTGGAGCACAGCCAGCACAACATGACAAGCCGGCACAGCGGCAATGACCCCTGAAGACAGCACAGACGCATCCGCGCCGACCCAGTACCTCGCCAGCCGAACAATCACCGTGATCTCGAACCCCACGATGAGCATGAAGTTGACCACGTAGTTCCACCCCATCGCAAAGCCCCACGACTCGGACACAAACCGCACCGAGTAGTCGTAGAAGGACCCGCGCGCTGGGATCGTCGAGGCTAGCTCGCCCAGCGCGCACATGGTCAGCCAGACGGCGAGCCCCACGATGAGAAAGGCGAGGACGAGGGAGCCAGGACCGCCTTTTTGCAGGGCCTCTCCCGAGGCGATGAAGAGGCCTGCGCCGATGCTGCCGCTTATTGCCATTAGGATGAACTGGCGGGTCGTGATTGGGTTGTTGGGCTTGTCTTTGGAGGAGGCGACATTGAGGACGAGAGAAGTGTTCCGTGAGAGGCCACTTGTGTCCTGCTCTTTAGTGGCCGTTTCGGCAGAGGTGAAAGGGGTTATGTGCTGAGAATCAGACATCTTGACGAATTAGTTGTAGGGAATAAACAAGTATGTAAATAGACTTATGTAGTAACTTGGCGTCTGGTACTGAACCAAGACCAAGAACGGAGGAATAAGTTTCTAGATGAGAGTATATTTGATACCAGATGAATCTGAGGGAGGGATGGTAGTATGTGCCTATGGTGGGTGTTGCTAGAACATGAATAATGATCATCCAGCGAGAGGGGGCTGTTCTGGTAGGTAAGGAAGTGGACAGAGAACCTCCTCTAGAACGGAGCTATGAGCTAAAGTGAAGCTTGATGTCACATTACTGCTTCGATACAAACCCAGCTGCTAAGGAGAAGCTGTCTATATTGACTAGCCACCTACTAGGCGTGCATCTATTCTTCTGGTTGGTAATACCTGCCGTGTAAATGACACTTTTCCTAGGATTTCATGCACCAACAGTCCTCTTCATACCCAGCAGATGTTGATAATAACAGCAAGAGGAGATGCACCTCAGCAATCTGGTCTTATAGATGCATCCAGGAGTTCTTTGTAGACTTGAAGACATAAAACTTCGATGCCCCAGCCATCCAAGCTGTCAAAACATTCTAGCACAGGCGCCATCCTGCACAAGTGCTCAACTAGTGAACTAATAGGGCAAAGCATGGTGGAAACATGGCCAGCTTGATATGCCCTTGATCTTTTATGGACTAGGTTATAATTTCAAAGTACTGTCAGCTCAACAGGCGTCGAAACCGTGGACGGTGTCCTGGCTGGTCCAGCTAGCTATAGGTGATTAGACAGAGAGAAAATACCAGACAACCCGCCGCCGGTGCCCCAAGCAGTCATTTAATATTCAGGAAAAGTTGTGTGCCCGGGGCTCACGGCACTGCATACAAGATGGACCAGCTGACTTAGGTCTTAAGGGCAACCAGAAGGTTCAAGCCAGTCTCGGACGCTGAAATTGTTTGTTGTAGATACGAGAGGCGCGCTGCATTGCAAGGCTTGACCATCTTAATAGAGTATCAGATAAACCAAAAATGGCGCAGAGAGACAGGCACTTCCGCCACAGAATTGACTATCTAAGAGGACAAACAGACTCCTGATAACGCCTCGCCATGCATGATAGGAAAGGACCAACAAGATGCTAGATGATGTCTTCGCGGGCGTACGTAGTACGTACGGTCGTGAGGTATCGTCGTCGTGATGTCTCATGCCAGACAATCAAGCTCAACGTGAGACCCTCGCTCGCCTCCGCCCGCCCACCGTTGACTTACCGTTCATTCCTCCAAAAGATTCAGCACTTGATTCCTTCCCATGCTCTCTCCAATGTCTTACCCCCAAACCCAGGCACACTCCTCAGCTGCTCGACTGACACGATCATGCCTCCCTCGTAGGCCTCGAGCCGTTCTACAACGTCCCTCGCCTTCTTGGGCCCAAACCCATGCAGGCCCTTAATCAGGTCAGCGTCATGTGAGTTGACGATGTCGAGCAGTCTTTGTGTTCGTGGGGAGGGCGGGTTTGCTGCACTAGGCCTGTTCTCGAAGCTACTTTCTGGCGTCGGGAGGTAAGGCCGGGATCCTGCAGTGCGAGCCTTGGAGGCCTTGGAGCCGCTGGATTTCATCTTGGTATCCACGTAGCTCTCGTCTGCGTCGGCTTCCGAGGCGTTGTAGTCGGAATCATTGGCGTCCTCGTCGCTCTCTGTCTTGTAGTGCTTTCTTATCTTCTTGCTGGGGACTGGTTCTGGCTTCACATAATCACCAGTGTCCTCCGCAACACCAGCCGCTGCGTTCTTGCCCGCCATCTTTGCCCTCAGTCTTTCAATCTTGCCCAACAGTTTCGCTTGTCCAGGGAAATACGCCAGGGCAGACTCGTAGCACCTGAGAGCTCCGTCGTCGTCACCCTTCTCCTTGAGCTTGCGCGCCTGTAAGAGAAGCCGCATGCCTTCGGATCTGCCCATGTTTCCACCGTCATTGTCCTCGATACGTCGCTCAAGAGCCTCCAGACGCCGTTGTACGGCCTCGCTGATATCAGCCGATGCAGGCTGTGGGGGAGGAGGAGCCTGCTCTTCCTTCTTCAGTTGTGAGTCTTTCGCTGCTCGGGATGCGAGTATCTCCTGAACCTTGCGCTCGACCATCTCCTCAATCTGAACAGCTGACATTGTTATAGAGGGCTGTGCGACAGCAGCCAGTGGGGGACGAGAAGTGACGGAATTCGGCCGCAGGATTTTAGTGGGTCGACTCTGTGCATCGTTGGTATCGGACTTGCGCTTGCTGATGTTGGACACACGTGCTTGCAATGAGATATTGGTCGTGGACGGACGTGCTGGTGCAGTCTTCGATTTGTCCGAATAGACGCTGAACAACTTTGCTGGCTTGTCCTTGTCCTTTTCAGCAGCCTTCTCCTTGTTTGCAGCAGTTGTCCCCGTATGAACATTGTGTGCGTTATTGAGAGGCCGCAGGGGCTGTCTCTGAATACTCGTTCCACTCAGGGTCATGGCACGTGGGGCCTGCTTGAAGACAATCTCGTTCTCGATCTCGCGAACCTCGATCCTCTTGGCGCGAGAGCTGACATTCAGGCTGCTTAATGTGTCGAGGTGGTAGCTGCGCATAGGCGCAAGATTCAAGATCATGACCGTGATACCATTGTTCTGTCCCAAGGAAAGGATACGGGTCATTTTGGACTCTCGGTAGGGGATGCGCTTGTCACCTCGGGAGATGGCCTCAACACATTGTGATAGGACAAACAGGGACTTGTTGATCGCAGCGGATTCCACGAGCCGCTCACGGTTGTTCTCTGTTCTTCGATTGTCTTCTGATCCGGCCAGGTCGATGGCGGATGCGGTGCTCTCCAGGACCCGGTCGCCGGTCGTCTGTGTCACCTTGACACGCAGGATGGCATGGCTGCGACTGCTGTGAGCATTGAGCTTGGTGGCGGCCGTCACGCGGTTGGTGTTTGCCTCGATATAAAGAGCCTCGAAATCTTTCAAATCGCGGCATGCTCGCTCCGAGAGTCCCACGACGTTCGTCTTCCCGTTCGCCTCTCGCAAGGGAAGGCCGGATGGGGTTCGCTTCTCGGCGGGTTCCATGAGGTCGAACACCTTGTCATTGTAGATCTCGTAGTATGACAGAGCAACATCTACGGTTGTCTCCCCGTCTGAGTCTTTTGTGATCTTCTTGCCTCGTCGGAACACGTTGCTCAGCAGGCGTGGAATGACGCCTCGGTCAGCCAGCTTGAGTCCCCCGCGCATCGTATGAGTTTTGCCCGTTCCGGTGACGCCGTATGCGAAGATAGTTACGTCGAGACCTTGGAAGAGGGCTTTGAGGTGCGGCGAGACTGTGACGTAGGGGGTTAGCATGGTCGGTTGCTTGGGCTGCAAAGCTGTTGTCTCTGCTCATTATCCATTGCAAGGTAACACACACCCTCTGCAGTGAACAGGTCCTCTTGCGTGGTCTCCTGGTCATACACGCCATTGAAGGCGAAGGAGAACTCCTCGGCTTCGTTCTTTGGGTTGGGAATTTTGACGATATTTGCCTTCTGGCTGCCCTCCTTGCGGTCTGCGTGGACGATTACATCTCGTTCGAGCTCTTCATTTAACAGAGGCCGTATCCTCGCAACGACCCGGACAGACATGTTGATTAGAAAAGAACAACAACTAATTCAAACATGAAAACAGAGAAAGAGAACTGGAAAGAAATAATACAAGGATGAGAAAAGGACTATAGGGTGGGCAGCCACAGCTTACCACCAGAAGCAAGGGAAGAGGCAGAGAAGTTGAGATTGCGTCCGTTGGATGAGCCTCTCAACTCTAAGTTGCAGATGTGGGTGTAGGCGTCGGTTGGAACTCACCCTGGTCAATATTTCCAGTGGGGTTTGGTTGCGAGGGCAACGAAGCTACACCCTTGCCCATCCAAGGCCGTCCAGGCGTGGCGTCAAGTGGTGTTCAGTGGCTTGTGCGCTGGAAGAAGCCCCGGCCGGTGTGTAAGTGGGGCTTGCTATGCTCTCTCTGCCACTGCGTGTCTCGATTCCCCAATAAGTGGTCTGTGCACTGTGGACCAGGGATGCAGGTCTTCCGTCATATTCTTGATTTCCGAATTTTGGCGATGCAAGCTCGAGAGTCTTCAAACTCCACCACCACTCTCCCCTCTTTCACCACCCTCGCTCAGCATCATGCGAGGCCAATTGCCACTATCACGAGTGGCACAACGTCCTCTCAGCAGGATAAGACCGTCTTACGTCTGCCTGCAATGTCGTGCGATCCAGATCAGCGCCGCGCCGACGACGGAGTCGCCCAAGGTGGGAGGTGATGCCTTCGGCGCGCCTTCGCAAGGCTTCAGGGACACAGCAGGTACTCACTCCTTGGAACAAGGAGGCGTGGTTTGGCCCCGTGAAGTCGATACTAACTTTCGATGTGCTACTAGACGCTCGGTTTGAAGTGCTTGGCTCGCCGTACTCGCTCCTATCCGTCACCCTCTCCGCCTCACAAAAGCTGTACACGAGACGAGGGACGCTCGTGACAGTCGCAGGAAAGGCACAAAATGTGAGAACTATACATGGGGTATGGGCCTATTCGTATGAATTCTCTGGCTGACTTACCGTGCGCTTCCAGGCCCAATCCACACTCAGCCTCCTCAGCCCCTTTCGCCACGCCCTCCTCGGCATGCCCTTCCTCTATCAGCGCATCTCCTCTACCTCTCCAATAACAGCCCTGATTGCGACCAAGTCCCCTAATACCACGTTCTCGATCTTACACCTCGACGGGACTACCGACTGGCAAGTCGCGCAGCGGAATGCCCTCCTCGCATGGACCGGCCACACCCTGTCCATCACACCCAGGGTCCAGCGCGGGCTGGCGCCAGCACACTGGGGCAACCATCACCTGACGGGCCGTGGCATGGCTGCTCTTGCAGCACCAGGCCAGATATACGAGGTCACGCTGTCGGAAGGCGAGGAGTTGGTTGTACATCCCAGTCATGTTGTGGCATACAGCGTGGACAGGAACCCTCCGGTGCCATTCCGCTTCAGAAGTGCTGGGATCAGATTGACGGTCCCCAGCCTCCCAGCCAGCCTGGTGCCACAGGGCCTGGCCAGGTTCTGGAAGGAGATGAAGGAGACGGCAGTCTACAAATTTCTGGCAAAGGTACTGTTCAGCCTGCGAACACAGACGAGGAGATCTATTTTTGGGGACAGGTTGTTCTTGCAGTTCAAGGGCCCCACGGCAATATTGATGTCCAGTCGCGGCGTCAGAATCAGTGACGTGTTGACAAAGGACGACGTGAATGAGATTGCGGATGCCGAGGCCGGCATTGTGCCCAAGGCCGTGGAGCAGGCTGCGAAGCCCAAGAAGGAAGGCGATGCGACCACACCAGGTTCTGGCGCATCAGCACCGGCGAGTGCTGCTGAACAGCCAGTTGCCATACATGTGGCCAGTGTGGGAAAGGACGGAAAGGTCCAGTTTGAAGACACCAAAGATCTGAAGGATTTTGTCGGGCGGTGATACGAATTCCGAAATCGGTCTCATTCTTGACAGAGACCCAAACTGCAGATCATAGTAGGGGGAATCTTGTTGTACATAGTGAATAGCACGTTGAGCAATGATATTTGCCCGATCAAATCCGTACACACCGCTCGGCTTCGGCATTCTGGGCCATGTCTAGCACAGCAAGACTAGCTTCTTCTTCTCTGATGAACTGATCGTTAGGGACCCAAGCTCTCTCCTGCAGATTCACCTCGGTATTATATTAAAGAAATAGAGAGAGAGGCAGACATAGTATTCCGAGCCGCTCGGGCTCAATCAGTAAACCCACTGTAGGTGGACGAGCCACTGCATCGAACAGACCGCCGTACCGGATCATCCGCGGACCTTGGGCTCACCTACCCTCCAATCAAACCATTCACCTCGAGCCCAATTTTCGACTAGACCAACCTAGCCCAGCCAGGTCCTCTGTTACTAATGGACTATTTCTCCGTCTCCCTTCTGGGCCTGGGCTCGCGTCTTTCGCGCTCTGCATATCCCCGGAGCTTAGGTAGATGTGCAGCCACTAACCATGCCAGTCGAATCCCTCCGACCCAAAGCACGCAAGAAACGAGGCTGGCTGACACACTCCTTGCAGGAGATGCTATGCAACCTGCTATATAGCTGGAAGATGGGTGCTGATGACAATCATGTGACAAAGATTGCATGCTCTCCGTTTTCGAGCGAGTGAGAAATTCATACCATAAACAGTATCTCTCATCTCCGTTTGCCATATACACTTGACTCATCCGGCCCGCAAAAACGTTGGCCAATTGAGCAGTACTGTCCTGTCCTCCATATCCAGCAGACGAGACGGTCTTTACTCGTGATCCTCGGCCTTTTGAACGGGGTATCAATCATTCTCTGTAAGTCGCATTCTCTGTTGGCGAACCGCCTCTCTGAGAGCCAAAGGCTGGTCTGGAAGTGGCGCCAGCTTTATTTCTTGTCCCCCGGTCCTGGTTCGTCATGTCCTCTTCAGGATACTCGAGCTGTTTATGTGAATCTATGCGCAGCTAAAATGAGTTGCCACTCCCAGCTGACTGAGTATGACTATAGCCTATATAGCTGCGGACTTCTACGGTCAGACTCACACAGGATTAATCCGTCTCGAATCTCCGAAGATCATTCTCAACGTCCTACTGCTTTTTTTTTTTAAATTATTTTTATACCCGCTTATACTAGACTTTTTTTATTTTTTTTTATGACCATCCAATTCACTACTACACCGTTTCTCTTCTCTCCGCGGATGCATAATCAACCCGTCTCAGGACGGTCACTGTTTCCTTCTTTTATCCCCCCCCCCCCCCACAAACCAAGGCTTCGACTACATATTTTGCCCTTACTGTGTTCAAGGTGAAATTGTGCGAGTTGTCTTTTTGATAGAACAGATCAGAAGTCATCATATCGCCAACAAGGACACTGGCATACGAACTTGTCTCCTCTCTCCCCATTCTCTCTCCTGTGGGAAAGCATTTTCAACAATCGCCTTCTCACCAGTAGCTCTACTATATTAAGACTACTTCTGTATAATACAGCCTACGCCAGCCCTCACTACGACCTTCGCCCTGGCTCATAGTTTCAAAATGCCAAACTCACCCAGCGCATATCACAACAGTGATGCTACTTCTACTACCACAACAACAACAACAACAACACCAGCAGCAATGGCGGCAACGGCAGGATATGACCTTGAAAAGGCTGACCAGACATCCTGGGAGTCCACCCGACCCTCGCTCGAGCGCATCCAATCACAAAATACAGAGACGCTAGCAAATATCATTGCGGAACCAGAAGAGGTCGCTGAGGCTGACATAGCCGAGGAGAAAGCCCACGGAGGGGAGAACGATGGCGCTGCTGGCGAGGGTGGTGCGGCACAAGCAACAGGAGGCCCTCTGCCGGGCTCAGGCCACCACCCTTCCGACTTCCCCGACGGCGGCATGCAGGCCTGGTCCGTGGTGCTCGGTGGATTCTGCGGGCTGTTCTGCACATTTGGGTTTGTCAGCTGCATCGGTGTGTTCCAGGAGCACTACGAGACGGGCCCGCTGGCTTCCTACTCGTCGTCGTCCGTGTCCTGGATCACCTCGACCGAGGTCTGGGCCATGATCTTCTTCGGGATCGTGTTTGGACGCGTGTTTGACGTCTACGGGCCGCGGTGGATGCTTGTGGTCGGCTCGCTGGTCTACATCTTCGGCCTGATGATGACCTCCCTGGCGACCCAGTACTACCAGTTCTTCCTCGCCCAGTCTATCTGCGCCGCCGTCGCCTCCTCGGCCGTCTTCAACGCCTGCATGACCAGCGTCGTCTCCTGGTTCTTCAAGAAGCGCGCCGTCGCCTTCGGCATCGTCGTCTCGGGCTCCTCGCTCAGCGGCTTCGTCATGCCCATCATGATCGAGAAGCTCATCCCCCAGGTCGGCTTTCCCTGGACCATGCGCGCCGTCGCCTTCATCTTCCTGGGCCTGCTGAGCGTCACCTGTGTCACCGTCAAGTCCAGGCTGCCGCCCCAGCCCAAGCCCTTGAGGCTGAAGGACTACACTGGGGGCTTTACGGAGCCGGCGTTTGCTCTGACGCTGGCGGCCAACTTCTTGTTCTACTGGGGCATGTTTATCCCGTACAATTATATCCTGCTGCAGGCCAGGGCGGCCGGAATGAGTGAGAATTTGATTGACTATCTCATTCCCATCTTGAACGCTGTGAGGTAAGCTTCTGCTGTTGTGCTTGTGCTTGCCCTCTTCCTTCCCCTCCTATTTTTCTCGCCAAGAAGAATAAAAGAAAGAAAAGAAACCAAAAAGGCCAAAGAAACTTAGGGCTAACCACTTTGTGCAAACAGCATCTTCGGCCGTATCCTCCCAGGTCTCGCTGCCGACAAATTCGGCCGCTTCAACGTCATGATCGCCATCACCTCCCTCTCCGCTATCATGACCCTCGCCGTCTGGATCCCCGCCGCCAATTCCTCCGCCGCCATCGTCGTCTTCATCGCCCTCTTTGGCTTCGCCTCTGGTGGCTTCGTCTCCCTCATGCCCACCTTGATTGCCCAGCTCAGCGATATCCGCCAGATCGGCGTCCGCACGGGCACGGGCATGGCCGTCATGAGCTTTGGCGCGCTCACGGGGAGCCCTATCGCCGGGGCGATCGTGCAGGCGCAGGGGGGTGGGTATCTTGGACTGCAGTTGTTTTGTGGGCTTTGCATGGCGGTTAGTGTGCTTGTTTATTTGCTGGCCAGGGGCAAGCAGGTTGGGTTTACCAAGTTGGCTGTCAAGATCTAGACAGGGTGAAAGAGAACGGGGTTGATGATGGTTGTGCCTCAGTGCCCCTCTTGTGTGGATGAGTTGGTTGTTAATTACAGGAAGGTCGAAAAAGCATACATGATACCCTCTTCTTAGAGCTATAGACTGTACACAAGAACATCTCCTATCTTGGTCGGAATCTCATGATTATCCTCTTTCGAGACAGTACATCAGGTTGAAGAGAAAAGTTCTCCACCTTGGCCTCGTTGCCAAAGCGTACGAAGAATCTCTTATGGCGAGGTTCTAAATCGTGCGTCCTCCTACGCCTCCTATTTCCAAGAGCTGCGAGAGAGAGAGAGAGAGAGAGAGAGGAAAAAAAAAAAAAGGAGGGGGAGGGTTGACGCTCCTATGCTCCTGATAGACTGCACGTCATCTATGTTGTAATCTTTTTGTTTCTGGCTGAAATTCTGCACCACATTCTGTCTCAGTCTGGGCGTGAAGATTGCACTGTTTCTCCTTGAACACTTGACCATGATATAACAGTTTTGATATTGCTGGTTGTGGCGATTCATGTTTGAGACTGTGTATCAATAGTCCAATCTGTAGGCAAAAGTCTCATCACCGTGCATGGTGTCAAAGTTACTGTAACATGGAGAAAATGGGAACAACCGTTCGAAACCAGTAGTACCGAGGCATCCATGATTAGTGGAGGGTGTCCGTCCAACGCGGAATCTGAGCGCAATTAACACGAGCACAGCCCTGTAAAAGTGAGCATTATTACAGTTCTATTCCATCCCCTCCCCCACAGAGCTACGTTGAGATGTAACGACGCAACTTACCACAAGAGCACAGCATGTGCATACCTAAGCCTGTTCCAGTCCAGTCCACCATGCAAATCAGCCAACGAGCAGCTCCCGCAGGCCTGCGACATGTCGAACCGGGCCCTTGTGTTTGTGTAAGCATATATCGTGCGTATCTAGTCTCCTCACGGCACTTGTGTGCATGTATGTTCCAAGTACGTAGTGCTTTGTCCCGAGAGGAAGGGGGGGGGGGGGGGCGGCGGCGGACGGTAAGCCGCAGCTTTGCGTGTGTCTTTGTTGGCCCGCCGCCCCTGAGGCCTGCTGCTTTGGCCTTTTCGGCCGGGGCGCGGCTGACTTCGCTGCGTCTTGCCAGGACATTGCTTGCACAGCTGCGCTGTGGCAGCCCGCCCCCGAATTTTCTCATTGGAGTCGTGTCATAATCCCATGATGCAAGACTGCCGTGTGAGTGCGCGCATGGCGTATGGGGGCTAATAATGCATCCTTAGAACTGCATTTGTTGCAAAATATTTGCTGCATTACTCTGAGCCCAGCGGCTCTGCTTCTGGATGGGGGAAGGAAGGAAATCTATAATTAATATCGATTGCCGTATTCAATCTTTCTTTTCTTTCTTTCTTCCACGGCTGTTCGGACTGCACTTACACCTTCGATGGCTTGAATCGCTTTGGACCAGCACATTCAGATCCAGATTGGCCTTTCTTGTTAATGGTCGTTCCCACGCAAATGGGATGATATGCACATCACATCCCGAATCATGGAAGGGCCTACAAAAGAAGCTGCTTACGTCCCCATCAACTCAGCCACTCTGAGGGAGCCACCCGCCGTCGCCATGTTTCCACTGCCATTTTCAAGTGCAAAACATGCTCCAGGCCAACTAGAAGCGGAGCACGCATTAAAGCCCACTACCACACATTCTTCGTGGTTCCGGAAACCTGCCCCAGGACCTGTAGGCCGTCCACAAACTCGACTCGACAATCAGCCAGTCCCCAGCACACTCGATGACGTCGAGCTGGGAGAGGGCGCAGAAGGCTCGAGGAAGCAAAAGATCATCTATGGTTGTTCTCAGCCGACATTTATTATATTCTTGTTCTTTGCCATTGTCGTTATTGCTGCTGCGATTGGGGGCGGCGTTGGGGGTAGCGTTTTTGCCTCCAGCAAGTGAGTATTTTCTGTTTGCCTCTAAGCCAAAATGTCATGCTGCTGCGCAAATCACTTACTTCCTTAGTAATGGACATGTTTCTGCCCAAGATGCGAGTTGAATATTAGCAAAAGGCTCCATTGTCGATGAGGGTTGAAGATGTTAACGAACGATTCTTAAAGATAAGGAGTTACCTGAGTCTCATACAGCGTATGTTATGGCGCTTTCAAACTTTACCAACGAACCTACTTGACTGAACATGTTGTCTATGCGTTACTAAGGAAAGGTATGAGGATTTACATTGTGATTAGGACACAGTGCATGACACTAGCATTTTATATTTCTGTGTGTTACTTGTTTGTCGCCTTTCAGTTTCTTCCTGGTGAGAAATCTGACGGGCCTGAAGAGGGAGTCTGCTATTCCATCCATAGTGCATTCAAAGCAGGTAGTCCCCACTTCAGGAAAAAGATTTTGGAATCATACTTGTTGAGAATAACCTTACTGTATTGTACAATGAATGAGTGAAACATTACTACAGGTTATGTAGTCCTAAAGTATGCCTATATATTGCCTGCCTAGATAGCCTTCCTTTGTTCACAGTCACTGCATTCTTCTTCCCTGAAAACAAAATAACTCCTTGGTTGTCCTCTCATCTGAACGTTGTGCGCCGTTGGCCTATTGTTGGTTTAGGTTGTGCCCCTCCTCGAAACATGTAGATCACATACTCCAAGTCGTATTATACCACTCGGAATAAGTCAAGTTGGGGTTCAAACGAAGCGGCAAGTCAAAAGCCGTCTCTGTATCCGTTTTTCCATCCTCTTCAGTCCCGTCCCAGCAGAATCGCGTCCAACACTGGCTGCAAACCTCGGGCAACTCCAAACCAACTCTTGCAACACTCTTCTTGACTGCAGCGCAGGCTAGACAGGTCGACCAGCCCTCGCCCGCGGGGATGTTTCCATTGCCGTAGGTTGCCAGGTTGAAGGCATTTTCAAGTGTTACGTTCAGCTGGGTGTCGGTGAACGCCGCCATTGTATAGGAGTAGTTGGAGTAGGACGACCAGGGTGAATTGGGCAGCCACAGCAACAATGGCGTCTCGGCACTGTCGTTGCACCCGAAGAAGGTGGGTTGCCGAGTATAGTTACGAAGGACAAGAGTGTCCACGGTAGGAACCTTAGGGAAAGGGATACCTCCTTGTTCAGCGGCCTGAGCTGAGTTGATGAGATTGGTGCCGTTGCTCCCTTGGTGTATTCTGTCAGTTATGATTCCCACGAGTGAAGTAGAAAGAAAAGCCCACGGGGTACTCACAATTATAAGCAGCATCAAGTGTAGCTTCATACACAATGATGAAATCCAACCCCCTCTGCGGGATGATCAGTGGCCGCAAGGGATCCGTCTCACCCGCCTCACTCCCGTCGACCAGAAGCAGATCAGTAACATTGGCCATTGCATCATTATAGTCCTGAAATGGGTTTGGCACCCAGGCCCAGAGGGTATCGTTGAAATCCTGGCCAAAGGTTTCAGCTGTCTGGTTCACCAAGCCCACCAGCAGATTACTGTCCCATTCTGACGGTATGTCCACGTCGTCTGGCGCACCAACATCTTGTCGGGCTACGAGGTTTTGAATGCTGGATAGGGCGCGCTTGGCGAATAGTGGGATGTTGAAGAAATCAGAGATAAAATAGAAGTTGTACGCGTCCGCAGTGGCGCCCTGGAAGAAGGTGAATCTGTCGAATCCAGTAACACAGGTGACGCCTGACGGCTCTCCAGCTGACATGGCAGAACCAAGGTACTGCGTCGGCATGAAGCCCTGCACACGCCCGCCCAGCCAGCTTCCAAACTCGAACGGGGTGACTTCGTACTCGGTCAGGTTGAATCCGTTTGTGGAGTTGCGGCCTGGGTACAGGATGTTTCCCATGCTCGGTGATTGGCCTGGGATCACTTCTGCCAGGCCGAGGATCGGCATTGGACCTGTTCCGTTGGAAAAGGAGGTGTTTTGTGTGGCGAGGTCTGAAAACAAGCTGTTTTGCCACGACTCCGGGAGGTACATCTGCCAGAACTGGCCAAAGATATCCGCGATGGAGACTGGGAAGCCGGCTTCTTGTTTTGCAAGACTGTTTTCGTAGAGGTCGGTGAAATACTCCGAAACATTGTCATTCGGGCCTGTCACGTAGTTTTCAGAGAAATTGACGGCTTGTCTGATGTTGTCCACTGTGGTGTACTGATTGCTGGCTCTGGAATCATCATGAAAAGTAATGAGTATGGGCGAAACGACCATTACAATGCGACTTGACACACACATAAACGTACAGAGTTGAGACGGCAATACAACCACCGCCACTGAGTCCAGTGAGATAGGTGAGACACTGGGTTATACCACCGGTGCCAGCCTTGACAGCAGGCTCGTAACGCTCATCGAATGCCTGCCAGATGCCCAGACCGCCCATTCCAGAGGTGCTTCCACCCCCAGAGATAGCAAGACCGAGAATGGGAGCATTCGTGGTGTTAAGCTTACTGAGATACGATTCGGTGTCGAAACCTGAGATATTGGCTGTTGTCAGGTAAGACTTCATAGAGCTTATGACCTCGGTCAATCTCGTCTCTCTCCACGTTTCCTCTTCTGAGGACAGATTCTGCAGTCCTGGTCAACACAATGTCGTGTCCTTAGACAGTCCTTGGTATTACTAGGCTGTAAAGACTTACCCCAGCTGGGCGGACCTGGACATCCTCTGGGCATGCCATCCGCTGCGGAATGAACGAGTCAATATCAGCAGATGATTGACATTTGACACCCGGTGGAAGTGCCAGCCCTGCGACAAAGAGCACAACCGCAACTCGTTGCATCTTGCTAGCTGTATGATAATCTAATATACTACTTAGGATGGGTGAATAATACAAAGCTGGTCATATAGATCGTCGGTGCTAGAAGTCATTGCCCATGCCTCGAGCTTGGTCAAAATCAGAATACAACGGGCTGAATGGCCTTTAAACAATGTGGTATAGGACATGCTTCATGGAAGAAGAAGGAAAAATAATAGGCGCCTCCGTAGCTCCCGCGTGGCCCGGATAGCGTTAGGGAGGACGCGAGCAAGCCATTCATGCTTCTATGCTAATGTTTGCCGCAACCAGCGACTTACTGCTGCAGAATTTGCTGTAAACACGGGAGACTGTATTTTATCTTGGGCTGCCCTCATGAGCATCGCCGATGAGTGTAGTCCATACTGGCACTGGATTAGTTACCTACTTTAGTCACTGAGGCTGAACCTATGCGAGCTAAATCGCTACCAACAACCCTTCCAAAGCTGAATTCGCTCAGTCTTTGTTTGGTATGATCTCCGCACTGACGGTAGATGACCTATTCATACCAGTCTAGATGCTGCCATTGAGTACAACGTCATTATGACGGGACTGAGCCCTGGAGTGAATCCACTAATATATCCTTTGCGGGGATCAGTCCTGATGAAGTACTCAAGTATGTAATATGATCATAATTCAGCTATTACCGTGATGTAGGTAATAATTACGGACTCAAGCTATCCATGAGCCTGTGATATGTCCTTCCAGAGCGTCGAAGGCGTTATTCATGTGAAACTTTATGATCATGATTTCGTAGTATTCGATAACCTAAGTAGTCCATGTAAGTCAAAGGGGGGGGTTTTGGGCCGGGGTAGTTTTGGGCCACCCTGGCCACCCTCGTCAAATACACACACCCATATATATATATACTGTTTATCTATTCTATTCACCCACCACGATGCAATCCTCCTCATCAGTAGGTAATTCGACATCGCTCTCTTCATTCAGACTATCCTCGTGGCGATTGGCCGCGTTTTGAGCTCTCTATATATCCTCAATCCCTGCAAACTTCGAATTCGGATCCATATCAACCTTTCTTCTTTTACTAGGCCTCAGAGCCTCAATCTGCCTTTTCAACGCTTTATTTTCCTCCAATGCCTTGGCAAACTCGAGGTCCCTCTCCCTATAAGCCTTTTTTATCTTCTTGAATAGCATACGGCAGCCTGATTCCGTTCGAAGTTGTTGTCGATTCTCTAGCAGCTGATAGTACAGCTGTTTAGCCTTTCGAGGAGTTGAAAAGAGGACTGGCTGGCTTGAGGAGGCTTTTGGGGAAAGACGAGGTGCTGTTGATTGTGCTGAGCCTGAATTGGACTGGGTCTGACGGCTTGGTTGACTGTTCTCGAGGAGAAGAGGGCTTAAGAGGGCTTTTGAGGGTCTGAGAGGCCACAGACCAGTTGCTTTCCATCCAGATCTAATATTCTGGCTTGAAAGGCCTTCCAGTCGAGCCAGACGATAGTTGCTGAGGAATAAACGCTTGCCTGCAATAGTTGAATCGTCCCATTAGCCCATATTGCTGACTTTCTTTCTGTATGCCCGTTTGAGAGATGAAAAGATCCCTAGATCGAGGGGTTGAAGAACGTGAGAGGTATAAGAAGGCAAGTAAATAAGCAGGATATTGTTTTGGAAGCAAAGCTACATAAACTCGTCCGTTTTATGGCTGCTATGGCCATCCAGGACTAACAGCCTGGCTTCTGAGGGGTCTGCTGGCTGGCTATGAGGAATGAAGATCTCTTTCAGCCATTCAACTGCTATTTTATTGTTTGTCTATCCGTTTTGCGTAGCTGTGAACTTCCAACCATCAAAAGGCTCCAAATCAAGAGGAAACCACTGTTGTTGTACCGTTTAGCCCTTGAAAATCACCAGAGGGAAGAGGTAGGCACCTGTAGCTGAGATACACTCGAGGAAAGAAGTCCAGGCTTTTGATCCAGGGTCTTTCCTTTGAATTGAACGCGAAGAGGAGCCTCCGAGGACTAATCCATTTGTTCCTTGGCCCTCCATCAGGCCAGCTTCATCCATATTCCATCTATTAGCTGGCTTAATAGCTTGGATATGAGGAAGATTGAAAAGACGAAACCAAAGCCGTATTACCTCTGTTGTAGCCCCATTCGTTCGTTCAGAGGCAATGCGGCGAGTCTTCCTGACCTTTATCTCTGGATTTCTCTTCAAAAAAGCCTGAGTCCATTGCACCCCGAGGGCCTGAGGGTCTCCCTGGACCTCGAGGATCTGCTGAGCAAAGTATTTGAGTTCTGAATGGCTTGGTGGAACGCCTAGGCTTTCTTGAATCAGGATCCATTCGGCCAGTCTTCTTTCCTGATCAATAGAGAGCCTTTGCTGGTTTTCGTGGGCTGTTTTATGCGATTCCCCTCCTTCTAGACGAGCCTGAAGAGTACTCCTTGGAATACCCCATTCCCTCGAGGCTTGCCGCTGAGACTTGCCTTTTCTGACAGCCTCAACGGCCTGGGCTAGCTCAAACTCGGAATAGGGCTTCATAACAGTCAGATAAAGGTTTGCTGGAAAGATGAAGTTGTTTGGATCAAAATTGGTTGAGTAATAGCTATCAAACTAAAGGGGGTTGAAGAGGCGGTGAGGGTGGCCAGGGTGGCCCAAAACTACCCCGGCCCAAAACCCCCCCCTTTGACTTATTCGTCGTTATTCAAGACGCCCAAGATGTACTAAGACCAACAAGTCTCTCTTCTTCACTTTTGTCCCCAGGCGACGAGTATTCACTCAAACCCAGACTCGCCATAGGATTCTCAGAAAATACAGCTGTGTACGTCCTCTCCGACAGCCGAACACAATATGGATCCTCGTTCTTAAACCTCTCGTAATCCCATTGAACGGGAATAACATCACTAACAACGGTCCACTGCAAGTCCTGGCCGCTATAACAGCCCGACTTGAGCCCACCCACACCTGGCCCATCGAACCAGATCCGGCCGCTTCGCATGCAAGCTGGGTAGGTACCGGCATGAACGACATCGTAATACTTGGAGCCTGTCGGCCGTAACCATGCCCAGGGCTCATGACGCCGTCTTTTTAATTCAGCCAGTTTCACCACGCTGTCCCCGTACAACTCGGCCGCATGCTTGAACAGATGGTTTTCGCTGCGCCAGCGCGCGAAGTTGACCAGCGCTGCACTGATATCGAGTGTCCCGTGTCCTGGCTTCATTGCCTGGGACATCTCCAGAGGTGTCTTCTCCGAGTAGCGGGCGCACCGCCGGTCCCACGTCAAATCTCTTTCGAGCTGATCCTGGACTTCCATCGTCTCGGGGGAGATAAAATTAAGGCCAATGATATCTGTGCGTTTCCTTGAGGCGATGTCGAAAGTATGCGGCTCATACGTTGTGGACGCATTGGTGACGAGCATGTATGTGGCCTTGCCGCAAGACGGGCTAAGGGTGTCCATGTTGGCAATGACCCAGTCGGTTACGTCGTCAGATGTGTTTGTGTGTTTGTTATGGCGCAGGTCTTCTGGTATGTCAGAGTATACAATCCTCGGGTCGTAGGTGTCCAGCACCTGCGTCTCGATGCCTGGCATGCCCACCTCCGCGCCCACCGGGACAACAACAGCCCGCCATCTGGCATTGTGTTGCGCTTGCAGCGACCACAGCGTGTGAGACAGCTGCCAAGCCTCGGTCCATGGAAGAGAGCCGGAGAAGTCTCGAATGATGACGCAGACGTCAACTTTGCTGTTTGTGTCCAGAACTGCATGCTCCAGCTCTTCACCCTGCCGGATCCGATCCTCCATCCAGGGTAGAGAAACTTCAGCGTAGTCCCTGGCGGAGCGGAAGGCCTTTGAAAAGGCAGAGCCCCATTGCGCAGATGGCTCGAGAACATTGCCTTCTCCCCATTCATTCAGCGCGTTGATGAAGAGAAAGTTTTCTTGGCCGCGGGGATTTGGGTCCAGCTTGATACGACGCATCATGCTGACGAGACTCTCTGCCGCGATCTTGTTAGTGAACCAGTGTACTTGGACCATGAGGGGCAGTGTTCAAATCATCCAGTAATGAACTATCACTCACCTCTCCAGAGTGTGGGATGCACCCAGATTGTACTCACTGACAGACCATCCTTGAGGTGTCTCGGTGTGTTGTCCCAGCTCACCATCACACCGCGATGATGCACCGTGCTTATCCGCGGGTTCCTATCCCAGGATGTCATATCAAACGTGCCTCCTGAGTGAGGAGCAAATTCGCTGGTCGCATCAGTCTGACCACGCTCTGGCGGATAATCCCACTCCCAAACCGTCTCGATGATATCCAACCCCCCGATCGACGGATCCTCCGCCGCCCACCGGCGCCATCTGGCAAACATGCGCTTCCCCACGTCACCCATCAGGCTGGGAGAGTATACAACGAGTTGCACCTTGCCGGCTGAGCGGATATACTTGGGGTGCCTAAAGAAGGTGGCCATCCAGTCGAAGTGGCGGCGCCACTCTGTACTGTTGCCGTAGACCTGTGATAGCAGCGTGCCGTCCTCGTTGCTGAGTTCGTCCATGCCGTCCCACCGGACGGTCCAGGGTTCGTTGGCCCAGGATAGCATGAAGGGGACGTCGGGTTGGCCGTCTTGGAGCATGGCTTGGAGGGGCTTGTCCATCACGGGATATCCGAACCAGTAGTGGTGATAAGCGATGCCATGAATTCTGAGAAGACAAAGAGTACCAGATGAGCAATCTGAAGTGAGATAACATAAAACAAATCATTCGTTTTGGAGGACTAACTTACCCTGAGTCTCTGACGAGGGTCGCATAGCGCTTGCGAACATCGTAGTCCAGGAGGTTGTAGTACCCTACCTCCTTCGAGGGCTGTAATGTCTCGAGCCCAAACCGATTCAACTTGGCCTTCTTCACATTCACCCACTCTGTAAAGTTTGTACCCCAAAACCTGTCGTTCTCAGGGATGGGATGGAACTGCGGGAAGACGTAGGCTATAGGTTTGATCGAGTAGCCTGCCCACCTAGATGTGTGCGTATGGTCATGCTGGGACTGTTGGGAGGTCGAGCATAGCCAGTAATATGTCGATGAAGAGTAACCAAACTCTCCTACCAAGTCGATGACTTGAGTAAAGGCCAAGATGAGTAGAACGCCAAATACCAAGCTGGGACTGCGCCGGCGCATCAGCGCACGGCGTGTATAAACAGACTTCATAGTGATTGTGCCAGACCAGCCTCCATGGTTGGGGCCAAGTTAGGGCGAAGTCTGTTGAGATGAAAGAAAGATAATCCTGTCATACCTACAGAACGAAAAGAAAAGGAAGGAAGTCTAGTAGAATGTCATTTAATAGCTGCTGAAAGTCATTATACAGTGAAAGGGGGTCTTAAGTCTTAGGTTAACACGCCTTCGGTCAAGCATCCATTTCCTACCTGAGACAGTCACCGAATTCTGGAATGCGCAGGGGAAAAGTAGGTACACGCGACGAGACTGCACTGAGAATGCCATCTCATGTGGTAATTAAGCATTCCCGTCTCCACATCCCTTGAAAGTATAAAGCAGCGTGTTCATGCCCGATTACATCCTCCCTAGCACCGAGTACCAACATTGGACACCAGTCTTGGGTTTAAGTAATTACTTCAAAAACGTTATTATACCACCAAAGCGAACAAGAAACACATAAGTAAATTTTTGGCAACACTCACATGCTGCTGAAAAAGTACATCTTCTGCACAGTGAAGAGCCTAGCCAGAAACGGTGGTTTTGAGCGCTGAAAAGGCGTCGTATCACAGAATAAACCTTTGTCCAGTTGCTATAAAGAACTACAGGAACGTCGACGATTTCTTTCACTATTGATAAAGTCAGCTCCGAGAGCAATACGAGCATTGTAGATAGACTGTAGTCTGATGAAACACATCCTCGTCCACGACAAATACATTTACAATAGACAGCCGCAGAATTTGAAGATTCAACGTGCGATTATCGTCGAAATAATAGCAAGACAACTGCAAATTATCAAAACTTCGTTTTGAATGCGCACTAGCATTCGCCGCAATCCATGAGCTCCCTGCTTGGAGGTTCAGTCCCTCCTCCTTCATCGTCACTCACTCCTTTGCCTCCTCCTTCTTCTTCTTCCTCCTCCTCTCTCAGCCCTCTTCCTCCTCGTTCCCCTTCTGCTTCCTCGTCTCTTACTCCTCTACCTTCTTTCACTCCTCCTCCCCCTTCTACTTCTCCTCCTCCTCCTCCTCCTCCTCCTCCTCTTTCTTCCTCGCTCAGCCCTCCTCCTTCCTCCTTGTTGAGCTCCTATCCTCCTTCTCTTCCGCCTCCTCCTCTTGCTCATCCGCGTCGAGAAGATGGCACCGATGAGCCCAATGATCAAGCTCCCAATTCGAGGACAGAGAAAGTCTCAGAGGTACTCGAAAACCGCCCAGTAGGAGGAGACAGTGCCTCAGGAGCGCGGGCTTCAGCTCCTCAGAATGCCACCGAGGTGCCACCGCCAGTACCAGCACCAGCAGCAGATTCCAGGCCAGGAACCTTTGCCTCCCTTTCGGAGCGCGACAAGAATCAGATACGGGTAACATTTGATATCTTCGATCACTATTGGCAAGGCTTCGACAGTTACCTTGTATGGAAGAGGGCCTTTGCCCAGGGCCTGCGACGAGCAATCTATCAAAGAATCAAAGTCCCGAGATTACGGCAGGCACCGACGGGAGTCCTTGGAGAACGGCCTGAGGGCCCAGATCTGACTGCGCATCGAGCCGTCAAGATGAGAAGATGGGCACCTCCAAATCAGTTTCACGAGATTGAAGCCGCAATCCAAGGGGGCAAGTTCGGTATCATGCCGGCGTTTAGCATGATTGGCTTTCGGCTCAAGAAGGTGCTTGGACAAGGCGGGTATGGCTGTGCTGCACTCTTGCAGATGGAAGATATCAATGGCCAGTCTCACAAGGTGGTGGTGAAGGCTGCTCTTGGACCTACGTCTTTGGGTCCTGAGATTGACAATATGCGGGTGAGTTGACGGCTATCAAGAATATATGGCTGACCGCGGCCGGCCCGTGCTGGGAGTGGAAGAGAGTATGGTGCTGAACCTCTTGACGTTGCAGCGACTTGCAGGAGCAAGGCATATCTTACAACGTCACTACTTGAGAAATCTCCCCCAGCCAGTCATGGGGAAACGTCTGAAGAAATTCCCGCTTACCAAAAGGGATGTACTCATCAACAAGTTCAATACACTTGCAACTCATCTTGCAATGGAGGTCAGTGGATGACGTATCATAATGTCCCGACAACATCTACTGACCAGAAAGTCACTGCCACTCTAGTACGCACCATATGGCGATCTGAAAAGCGTAATATATGAAGCAAGGGAACGAAGGACGCGTCTGAGAAGCCAGGATCTATGGATGATATTCCATTGTTGTAAGTTGGATATTCGTCCTTGCAAGAGCGTTGAAGGGCAAGGAAATACTGAACTCATGCTGTCTGGTAGTATTCAAAGGATGCGTAGCCATGGCCTACCCTGACAACTGGACAGGAGGGCGCGATCCTGAAAAAGAAAATATCCCGGTGCAGGACGAGACGATACCGCGAGGGAAAGATGGGAGCGAAATTTCACCTGAAGACGCGATGGTTCATTTTGACCTTGACCTTTCAAACGGCAAGTTTGTTCTGTCTGCGGATGGCAATCAACCTCCACAAGAAGTGCTGACTGGACGAAAGTGATGATTGGAAGTTTCGACCTTCGCACTTCTCCAGATGTCCTTCATCCTCATACGACCGTTCCTGTGATCAAGGTGAGGGACCGGTGAATGAAGAGGATATTGAAGGTCGTAATACCAAGTACATACTTTCTGACTGGGGTGTAGATTGGAGATCTTGGCCTCTCAAAGACCTTCACAGTAGCGGACCGCATGGACTGGTAAGCATAGATCATCAATGCTCTCAGACGCAATATTGAAATAGTTAACACATTCATTGATTCATGAACAGGGTGGGTTTTTCTAAAGACCGGACACGAGGCAAAGTCACACATTTCTCCCCAGTCAGTAGCTCACCCCGTCCACATGCAGCTCTCAGCAGCAGAATGACCGAATTCAAATGACTCATACATAAAAACAGGAACAATTCACCAAAGACTGGAACTACCTAGACCGTTCACCTTACCCTCTCGAGCCCGTTGCCGGGAACTACGACTGGTGGTCCAACGTCTACGCCGTGGGCCTCGTGAGTTCAACACAAGAGCAACCCACAACTGTAACCACTATAGTCAGCTAAGCGAGACTAATTGCTGTAAATAGTGCATGTGGCAACTTGTAACCTCGGAGAGTCCATCGGTACCACCCGAATGCTCAAAAGAGACCTTCTCTCGACCGGATGGTACAGACTTTGAAGCATGGACGTACGGGGGCTACTTGTTGACCAATGAATTCGATTACCAAGACCTCGAACTTCGAAGGACGATTGCACAGTGCATGGGTAAGACCTTCTGATTTGAGGCGCAGTGTTTCTTTTCCTTGATGAATTTCTGAGTCTGCCGATGTGATGATTATAAATTGCAATTTGTAATCAAGGCTAATCATAACATTCACACATGCACAGCAAACCAGCCATCTGACAGACCGACGCTGACGGAACTCGAGAAAGTAATCTTGCGGAGTCTTGCTCTTGATTGGGACCAAAGAGAGATTGCTCCATGGTCCAAGACCGACCTCAAGACTATACTAGTCAATCCACCAGAACCGTGAGTCACTTGTCTGTTGCATAACTTTTTCATTCGTTCCACCTCACCTCTTTTCCCATCCTCTTTTTTTGTTATTTTATAAAAACTTATTTATCTACTTCTTCCTCTTTTTCTTGGATTTATAATTACTAGCTAAGCTCATCTGCTAGACTTTCTCGTAGATTTCATCGACACCCAGTGCCGACATTACCGCCAGGACTAGCAGCACACCCTGCCCTTAACATTGGTCCAAATCCATTGAACCCGCAACCTTACCACGCAGGTCAGGCTGCTGGACCTGTCCCCAGTCGGAGTCCTGTTGGTGATGGTGCCCAGCGTGCGGGATCCTATGCCAGTCGGTTCGCAGCAGGTGGTATATTCGTGCCCGGCGTGAATTATGGAAAGCAACCCGCAGCAGGTGGTACAGTTCTACATGGACAAGCCCGTGTGAACCCAGCAGGCGCAGCTGGTACGGTGCGACCTCTAAACGTCCATGCCCAGCGATTTGGAGCAGGTGGTTCAACCGTACCAGGCCAAAGCCATGGCCACCCAGTCGGTGTAGGAAGAGACAATCCTGTCATGCCGAGGCCCGTTCACCATGCTCAGCCGGTGGCTGGGTCTGGTGTGGGCGGTAGGGGTCTACGACCAGTTCCTGCAGGGCAGATGCCGCTTCCTGCTGCTCCTGCTGCTCGTCAAGGAGGACCTCGTGGCAATGGGATCCGAGGCGGCTTCATACGAGGACAGGGCGGACGAGGAGGGGATCATGAATATCGAGGTCGTGGAAGAGGGGCCGCAGGTAGTGGATATCGAGGGGTGGGACGAGGAGTCGCGGGTTCTGGGATGCCAAGCCGTGCACGACCAGGGGCACGTGGTCATCAACGAGGTGGCCGAGGAGGTGATGTTGGAAGCCAGAATCGAGGACGAGGTGTAAGACCTGGACATCAACGCGGGGGACGAGGACGTGGCCAAAGAGTCCTTGGCCGTGGCAGAGGTTTGCATCCACCTAGAGGGGCTTAGGCCTGCTTCAGCCATACACCACACATTCGTATTAAGTAGGCGGGCGGCTATTGTCTCGTCTTTGTTCGGTCGGTTTGTATCAAGAAATTCATTGTCGGAGTAACAGAGGTTGGTTGAATTGATGTGATTTAAGTACATTGATAGAAGCACTACGGTACAAAATGAAGTCTTAACATAGTAAATGCGGAATTAGCAGGATCAATCTTAGGAGCGAGATGCCTTACTCCTTTAGACTCTCAACCGCTTCATCAAAATCCTTCAAGATCTTCTCCAGATGATCCATCCTGACCTGAGCGTCCAACAACCGCGGGAAGCGCTCGGCATCGGGCAGCTCTTTCTCAGCAGACCGACCGCCGTCCCACCATGCAGCATAGCGGTCATAGACCCCTCCTACGTTTCGACCCCGGATAAAGAGGTCCTTCTGCCAGTCCAGCCAGTCCCACTCGACGTTGACCACTTCGTCCGTCTCGAGATCATGAATCTCAATCCGGGGCTGGATGTCGTACGAGTCGCCAGAGAAGATATAAGGTCCTGCTGGACTCGTGAAGAGTATGTCACCTTTCTCACCGTGAATGGTCCACTCGAACGCAGGCTGGCCTTTGAATGGCTTGCCGGCCCGCATTATCACGGCCAGCGGCGCCCCTGGAACCACTCTGCCTGTGCCCCTGACATCCTGCAGGTGCCCACTGACCGCCACGTAATCTGGGACGTCCGACTTGACCGTCCTGACCACCGCTCCGTCCCGTCCCAAGATCTTGACCTCGGGGAACAGCACAGCTGACGTGGTTTTGACCGTCGAGGCTTGCAGATCACCGAGCACATCCTGGATGAAGTCGATCGTATGCCCGTAGGTGATCGTAAGTGAGCTCCCGCCAACTTTGCGTTCGGTGAGATAGGCCAGAGGCTCAGGTTGCGAGTCTCGACCGAGCAGGTTTGCGTACAACTTGGCCTCGCTGTTGACAACCTTCCCAATGCGCCCAGAGTCGAGAACCTCCCTCAACTTGGTGAGGATGGGCGCCGCCTGCCCCTGCAGCCCAACAATACTCCTCTGCAGTGCGGCCTTGTGCTTCTCGTTCGTGCCTGGATCGAGCAGCGCGCGGGAGGCTGCTGCTGACGATGCCACAGGCCACTCCACGAAGACTGGCTTCCCTGCCTCGAGCTGGGGTCGAGCAAGAGCCGCGTGGGTGTCGACGCGCGTGCTGACGACGACAAGATCGACGTCTGGATCTGCAGCGAGCGCAGCCGGATCGCCATAGGTCTTTACTGAGCTAGACAATTTAAAGTGTTCCCTTGCGGCTTCGGCTGCTTTGGTGGACGAGTTGAGCAGGGCTACGACTTCATAATGAGTCTTGCCTCGTAGAGAGAGCAGATAGGGAAGATGGCCCTGGGCTGCCCAGGAGGTCGTTGCGTTGGCAGAGAGGCCCACGAGGGCGACACGGATCGGGGCCATATTGAGCAGAAGGATTCTGTGAAGATAGGGAGCAAAGTGTCTTCCGACTTAATCTTGTCTCCCTCCAAAACAATGGTATGAAGAGAGACAGGTTATCCCAATTTATATCACCATAAAAAGAAAAAGGCTGGCGTGGGCTTCGAGTGAAGAGATGACAAATTCAAGCCATTCATTAATCAGCAAGGCCGTGAGGGGATGTGATTCCATGCCACCCTACTTTGGCACCTTGACTGCCTGCGTAGGCGGGGCTGTTCTCATGATTGGAAATCAACCACTGTGAAGCGAATCGAAATAGAGATGGTGCAATACTGCTCGTATGTGGGATGGATGGACAACAGCAGGAAGTGCTGCGCTTCGACTGTGCCACTGGCAGAGGGCATGCCTTGTACGGAGCAAGGGTGCTCAATTCTGGCAAGCACCGAGGTATTCGACCTGTCATATGACATCAAAGATCGACAGTACTCCCTTTGGTACAACGACGCATGCATAGAACTCCATGTGTTGGTTGCGATGTCATACTGGGGAGGATGAATCAATCGGGAGTTGGACGCACAGGCGAGACTCTCAATTCAGTGCCGCTACTCTGCCGAGACCTCCACTCTTTCCTGAATGACCCTCCGCAGGACAAGCTGCGCAGTTTTGGGGTCAATCCTCTCCGCGGGTCCCTCCCTCATCATCTTGCCGACAAGGCGCTGTAGCTGACCTTCTGGGTATTTCTTCACTTTGCCCGAAAAATAAGGCTCGAACTTGTTTACAAGCGCCGTTTCCTCGCCCTCCAGAACCTGGTTGGCCAACTCATCGTACTCCTGCGGCGTGAGCCTGCTGAACCAGAGGCCCTCTCTGTCGACTGCCTCCTCAATGCTGGCATAGCTCTCGGGTGATGCACTGTCGAGGGCACCACGGAACACAGCGAAGAGAAGGTCCTTCGCCACGCCTGCGGAAATCCGACCTTCATGAAGGAAATATAGGATATCTGCGAGATGTACGGCCGGAATACGTGAGCACTCCCCCTTAGGCGTCATGCCTAAAGATTCGACCATGCCTTCAGCGGTGACGTTACGGTCAGAAGTGAGGCGACCGAGCTCATGGAGGACCCAATTGCATGCTAGAGCCGCACAATTTTCGGTCCAATTGTCCTCCAGACGGTTCTGCAGGTGTTGAACAACGTTGTAAAAGTACTCGAGCCTGCCACCATCGTCCAGAAGCATCAGAGCCATGGCGTCCTTGGCCTTGATGCCCCACTGGCTGCTCAACTCGTCCACCTCAGAGTCAGGCAGCATACCCATATTGTCTCGAAGATGTGAGACCAGAGTATTCCCAATGTACAGTGGTGCTAGATCTGGGTCTGGCATGTATCGATAGTCCACCTCGCCCTCCTTTCCGCGCAGCCGTGTCGTCTCCGTGCCGCCGATGGACCAGCCACGGGTCTCGCCGAGAATGACGCCGCCCTGTTCGAGGACTTGGATCTGCCTGTCCCTCTCGGCAATGATAGCGTCCTCCACAGCCTTGAAAGAGCTCAGGTTCTTGATCTCCGTCCTCTGGCCCAACGGAAGGGTCTGCCACGACGGCTGGCCTTTCCTCCTTACACTGACATTGACATCGGCTCGCAGACCACCGGCTTCCATCCCGCTGACACAGGCGTCCACGGAATTGAGGTAATGCTGGATCTTCCGCACCAGCGCGGCAGCTGTCCTTGGGTGATGGATCTCGGGCCTGGTAATGATCTCAATCAACGGCACGCCGACCCGGTTGAAATCCACCCACTGCACACCATCGGGTCTCGCAACGGTCTTGGCGGTATCTTGCTCCATCTGCACTTGTTGTATGCCAATCGTGATGGCATCGCCATCCTCGTCGGCGATCCCATCCCTTTGGTATAGCCTGATGTGACCATCCCTCGCAAAGGGTTCGTGGAACTGTGTAATCTGATACCCGCCTGGCTGGTCCCACCAGAAGTAGTGTTTGCGATCCCATCTGCTCGTCGCCTGTATGTTACAGCTCAAGGCCAAGGCGGCACGCACAGCGGGGATGAGAGCGTCCTGCTGGAAGAGAGGCTGGGAGCCCGGGGTGGCGAGGTCGAAGAGCGCAACGCGCGTGTTGGGAGCGTCGGCTGGCAGAGGGGTTGAGGCATGGGAGAATAGCTTATATGGGGTGTTAAGCTGGGCGTGGATCTCGATGCCGACGGTGAGCTCCCACCCGTCGACAGTCTGCCTGCGGGTGGTGGGTGCCTTCTTCTGGGCCTTGAGAGAGGCCTTGAGAAGCTTTCGCAGGGGCACCTGGCCAGATGGTGGGGAGAGAGGTGATCCCTCCTGGCTCAGTGGAGTGGACTCAGCCTTTGTCGATGATGTGTGGTGATATCTGGAGGAGGAGGAGAGAGAAAGGCGACGAGTGCTAGACTGTCTGGAAGAGAAGGTTGAGGTGCATATCTTGTTTTGAGCAAGATGAAGGCAGCCCCGCTGAGAGAACTGTCCAGTGAAGAGGTATCTGCTCAGCTCTTGAACAGGTATAGGAGGCATCATGACAGAGAGTGTAAGGTTGTATGTATTGCAAGCCCGTTCACCTCTTCAAAGTCCAGCAAGCTGTGCAATTTACCTTGTGACAATTAAACAGTTGGGATTAAGTAAGCTCTAAGCTTGAAGCTCCGAGTTCATTTTGCACCCACTAGGGAAGGTAGCATGGGTACTGATGAATTTAGGTAATCAAGCACCAAAGTCTCTGGAAAGGCCCATGAGACTGGCAAGGTAGTCCCTGTTCAGCGCTCATGGGGGATGACGTAGACCCACCAATCCCGCCTGACCCACCAGCCCCCCAGATGCTATCATGTTAGTAATCCCATGTATGGATTCGAGTGTCCTGAAAATCAGGCCATTTCGGAATCAACAGTCACTTCTGACTTATCGCCACTGCAGATCAGGGTCCAGGGACTTTTTGGCCAAAGGTATGGGATTTTTGCAAATCTGATCAGAATCCTCTAGGAACAAGATCTATCTTGGCAGTCAGTGGCTGCCTGTGGTTCTGTTCAGGCTCACACTACTCATTGACATTAGACACACTTTCGCTCTCGTCTCTCTTTGTCTTTCCCTTGCACACCGGAGAGTCTTCCTGTACAGCTCAACTCGGCCAAGACGACAGGTCATCTACGTCAACAACTTCAACCACGGAACCACGCACACGCAGGACAGGCAAACACAGCCGCGATGAGCAAGAGCACCAAATCCAAAGCGTCAGGGTCGGACCAGATCCCAGCGAACTGGACCGCCCAGCGTCCTCACAAGTACTGTGGCAAGATGGATGCCGCCAGCCCGCGCAAGAAGAAGGCCAACAAGACACACCACTGCGAGGCCTGCGCTGCTATCAAGGCCCACTCACAAATCCTCGACTCCAAGGCCACAGCCAACCGCCGTGGGGAAAAGATGGGCTGGTTAGCTGGTGACGGGGATGGTGGCTGGGACTGAGCGTGAACTAACGCCACGAGCAACGCAAGAAAAAAATGAGAGCAGCACCGATATATCGATCTATGGTTCTTTCCACGGCGCACCTATAAACTCATCGCCCGGTGGATGGGCGTCTTTGGAGTTTCCGAGACCCCATTCTCAGCCTCCTGGTCGTCCTAGGATGGTGCCTGCGGCAGCAGCTTCCCCCTTCCCCAATCATGCGCTCGCAGAGCGACCGAGTCGCCTCCGAGCAGATGACAACACTGGGGCTGTGCTCATCTCCTCCTGATCTGCGAGATGAGCATATTTCAAAGCAACAACTCGTGCTGTTTGATATTGAACTATGTCGCAATGCACGCGTCCGCTCGCCGCTTCGATGTGGGATCGTTTATGACAGCCACCGAGACCTCTTTTCCCGATCGATCACCACTCGAACGATTCGACGACCTTTGTATTATACACCTCCGTGGAAAGTATCTCGGAGACGGCTGCCATGAAGCACACAGGCAGTGTACAGGATGGTGGGAGGAGGTTCGTGTGGTCGGAGCTATTTTGTTGGATACATTGTCGAGCTGTCCCAGCGGTCTGAAGACGTTGGAGTCACGAAGAGTATGGGTCAGCGCGTCCTTCAAGTCGGGAAGTTCTGTTTCCTAGAAGAATTCATCAGTTAGACGCGTCTCTAGAATCATCAAAGACACAAGAGTTATCAAGAAGCAGGAAATAGAATCTTATTGACATTGACACACCTATTGTTGAAGCCAGCGGTTGTCATGATGCTTGAAGAGAACCTCTATGACACATGACGGAAGGCAGGTCTGCGTAGATTGAGAGCGATGTTGGGAGAAGCTCTTTGGGAGGTGGGCGGGTTAGAGCAATACTAGAGGTGGATGATGCCACATGTCGGTGGCAGGCTTAGGCACCTGGGTATAGTTACGCGTGGGGTCTGTGATGTAGGTGATGCAGGTAGCGTGTGCATTTTAGGGACAGAGGGGGGGAGGGGAGGGTTTCCGCATAAAACGTTGAAAATGTATGATTCGTGAGCATCAAAGATATTTTCAAGTTGACAACAAGAACATCAAACAGCACAGACCACTTGTGTACACGAAACGTGTAAACAAGGTGGATAAAAAATCATCCCAAGTGGGGAAAAAGAAAGAACAAAAAGAGTACCAAGCTGACACCAGGATCGTGCACTGGGTCGAGAAGGGGTAAAGACCAGAAGCAAGTTCTTCAGCCACGTAAATCTGCAGAGCGGGATCTCCTTCCGATGGAACGTGACATTTGACGAGCTTGAGACGGGAAATTGATGATAATGCTAACATCCTTTGTAATGCCTGACTGTCACAAGGCGAAGATCCAGTTATTTAAAGAGCTTTACGTTGCAAGTTGTTTGATCTTTCGAGGGTTCTGCTCGCCCTGAGATCTAGGGCATATTGCCGCCGCAGGTTCAGCCGTACGTGAAAAAGAACATCTGCACGACGTTTTCCACCTACAATGCAGTGTTCACCACAAAAGTCGCTGCTAGTACTATAGTACAAGCTGTTGCGTACTTTAGTGACCAGGTGTACTGGTCACTGCGTCACGCTTTTCCAACGTACATTGACATCCACCTGATTGAAGTCCAGCGATTTCTTTTCTCACCGGATCATGTAGCACAATGGACTACATTCTTGAGCTGGACGGGATACTTATGTATAGAGGAGCTAGTTGTGGTGTACTAGCCCCGCCCCCTTCTGAAGAGCAGTGATCGTTGTCACAGCCTGGCGTCTCTAACACCGGGGTTCTCGAAGGGAGAAGGAAACTCGATGACTCCCAAGTTAAGAATCGCTCCATGCACAAAAAATACCAATATCCATATGGAAAAGTATTCAGGTTCTTGCCAAAAGCCCTCTTCTTTTCGATATATAGAGATATAAAATTACCAACATGATTGCTCTTTGCTTCGTCACCCCAGTAGCGTTTTGTTGAAGACCACGCCCCTGGACAAAAGTGGAGGGACTACGAATGGGTGCAAGCAGCAGACCCTGGAGAGGCCGACGGTGGTATTGAGGTACCTGTCTGCCGTGGACTTTGTGCCATACTCACTGGAAGATGTCTGGAGTTCCGGCTGGTAAGCAACAACCTGCATGATACTTCTGAACGAGGCTACAGGCCAGTGCCACACTCGCCACCACCGCTTTCGCTTCCGCTTCAGTGGAAACTAATCGCATCAAATAAATGTCTTCTAGGCCGCTAGTCAAGGTTCATCAAGGAAATGTTACGCAAAATCTTTCTGATTCTATTAAGACCAGGGGCGTGTGTATACAGACGTCTCCTGCAGATGGGGGTGACGGGGGTGGAGAGGGGAAAGCGCTTCACGAAAAAGCAACCCTCCCTTCGTGTCGGCAAGCATGGAACACACCACTGTGGGCTGGAAATGGTGGCCGTAGTAAGGTATCCGCCTGGACGCCAGTGCTCTGGCACAGACAGGCGCCAGAAGAAAACAAGAACATGACAATCGCAATAACATCAGAAATCTAGTCTTTCTGAGAATGAACATCAATATGTATTTATACGACTTAGTCTACCAGCACAGGCTCCTTGAAAGTCTTATGCGCAGAGGAGCAGACGGTCGTTTAAGCTTTGATTCTACCGCGCGCTCACACTTCCAAAATCATCTCTCGACGGAGCTCGAGAGTCAGGGACATCTATCAAACACATTGGTAAATCCCACTGGGACTCACGTGCGTTATGGACTTGCGACCCACCACAACTCCCACATGGGAAGTCATCGTCAAAGGATGCCCACGTTTTTGCCTGCCGCCATGTACATGCCACAGCAAGGTGAAGTGTCAGTGAAACCTCTAGAATTTAGTGCCATTGCGAGTGGGGTTCTGCAATTAGATCAGTTTCTCAGAACTTGCATGAAGAGCAGTGATCATCCCGTTGGGCGATTTCCTACTCTGTGCGAGCGGGGGAATAGAAGGCGGAAATCTGACTGATGTGACCTTTGTTGTTTAGGCTGTTTTACCCCTCCTGGGCTGTCGTGCTGGGGTGGATTTGTTGTCGTGGTTTGCCTGGCCACTCCAGTCTGTTTACTGGTTTGTTTTCCCTATCTTCCGTCCCCATCCCTTCTTTCCCTCTTGTGTCTCCTCCACCACACTCCTTTCCTATCTTCTTTCTCTCTCTTTAAACGACTGGCCCTTCCTCTGAATTATCATCTGGTGTGCTCTATTGTATCTTGCAACCAGGCAGAACAAAGGGAGAGGGCTGAAAGAGAGGCAAAAGAGAGAGGAAAAAAAGAACGCAACCTGATCTCCGCGATCACGATCCTGCCAACGCCCCCCTGGCCAATCAGAACAATGTTGCTGGTGGAGAGGCTTTGGTGACAGGTGATTGGTAGGCTTGTTCTCCATAAGTATAGAGTACATGGTTGGTGTAGAAGAATAAACAGTGGGATCAGGAAAATGTCCCTGTGAAGTGTCGCATCCGCGTCTGAAAATTAATGCGGGTATGTTTACACAGCCGTGGTCAACAAGTTTCTGCTACTCCCATCTTTCCTTCCCCTCCCTTCTTTTGAACGGGGCTTCTTCTCTCGAAGGTGTTGCCCTGCTTCAGCGTACGCGTGAAAATGCTGTTACAGGGCGAGATAATACTGGATTTTGTACGATGATTTGAAACCTCCTTCCCAGTTCATCATTTCAGTATGACAGGTCATATATCCAACAGCATGACGAGATGGCCAAATGACTAGCAGACGCCTGACTTCCGAAGTTTTTTCATCGCCAGACCTCCACTCTTGCTCAAACCGTTAGATCCACCGAGGCTACTGGAGTGATACTCTGTGTGCGTATGTGTAGGTGTGTGTGTAAAATGGTGGTGTGTAGGTGTGCTGTGTAACCTAGTGGTGTGGTGAGCCTACAGCTTGGGTGTGTGCGTCCCCCTCGTTTGCCATGGACCCCTTCAAAGATCGCCTTCTAGAAGGCGTACCTGACGACACCCTCTCTTTGATCAGCACAGAGAGATCTTGGCGTTCTGAAGCAAGATGCCCCATCGACGCTGATGTCGAATGCCCCGATTGCTCTTTAACCTCCTCATGTCTTTTTATTGCATTGTTTTTTTGCCTACTTTCTCATGTCCTTTTTCCTCCTTAATCCCCTTCTCTTGAAGTCCTCGTGTAGCTACCTTTCTGTATTTTCCCCGCTGTCTCTCGGCCTATGAGGTTGTTGATTGCCTGCTCAAGTTTGGGCTTGATCCAACAATAGAAGTAAATGTTAGGTTCTCGACGAAGAGCAACGAGACCTCGATAACATCTTGTGTTCAGGCATCACTTAACAGCCTCCTGTGTTGCCCAGGGAGCTAACGCACTGACGTGCTGGCCTCGACGAGGCCCTCTGTTTCGGACAGGCAGCAAAGCACTCACGGAGCTTCCCATACCCCCATTTTCCCCCTCTTCCCAACCAATAGGACCCTGGCCTTCCTGCTCACGGCACCGGCGCAGAAGGCTTTGTCCTTGCTTGTGCTGCACTTGAAAACACGACAGACACCCCCGGTGTGTGTAAGCTACCTCACTGCTCCCTTCGAGCGTTCCTCAGGTCTTCGTTCTGAAGAACGTGGGGTTTCGTTTGCCAGTCTAGCGAGGGCTTGTTGGTGTGTCTGAAACCCAGAAGTGAAAAGAAAACGGAAAACCACCCTATGCACTTGCGAATCCCGAGTCACCCCTTGCTCTGCCAACCTCCCCTTGGACATCGACCACCTATCGTGAAGACGCGTTGAATTTTTTCCAACCGTCTCGTTGATCCTTTCTTACATTCTCGTTCATGTGTCTGCCAGGGCAAACCACAACATCAGCTCACGGGAAGAGAAGACATTGAGCGTACTGTAGAGCAAGCCTTTTCTCTGTTGGGTAACAGATACGAAAGAAAACCCAGGAAAAACAAACGAGTACAATGGGCGACACTCACGCCGGCCAGGGCACTGCGTCCTTTCCAGTGTCCCTACGACCATCGCCTCCACGCCAAGACATTCTGTCTAGCCAAGTGTCTGTCGAGCTGGCTGAGTTCCAGGCACGCCGTGGCAGGTACATAGACGGTCACTTTGTGCAGCTCACCTCCCCTGACGACCTCGATATTCTCGTGGGACCGACAAATGAATCCTTCGTTGCCGAAACGGCCTCCCAGTACCAATTCGCCTCAGACGACGACAGCATCCGTTCAAACTGCCCTCCCACCGAACATGTCGACTTCGCACCAATGAGCCAGCACATGTCTCCATGCTCGATGCCAGACTTTCCTCTCAGCAATGATCGTTCTTATGACACTGGTTTGTTCGAAGCTGGTTCTAACTTCGCCTCCTTTGCAGCACCACCTGCCACCCACACCAACGATCAAACTTGTCGTGTCCAAGCCACGACAGCTTGTGGGGATAGGTTGACTGGTGCTGTGCCACATCCTGCGAACGTCGACATGGGATCCAACATTCTCAACTTCCACCCAGGGCCCTTCACATATCGGCAGAACAGGGATTGCTCTGTTCAGCCAATGCAGTCGATCTCAGACCAGCGACCCTTCGAGATTGGCATGATCACGACTCCCTATAGTCCCGAATTCTCTGAGAACCGCGATGCGACCTTAGCCAAAACGTCGCCATCGAACCCGAGCGTCGACCCAGCACAGCTGAACCTCCGATCCGCAGAAGAAGCAGCGCCAACATCGGCACGTAGCACCAGAAAGAAGAGTAAGACCTCAAAACCTGCGGAGGAACAGGTTACGCGGCCTCAGGACAAGAAGAAGAAGACGAAGAAGAAGACTGTTGAGACTCAAATCGCTCCCCATGATCTCCCCAAGCCCAGTCCTGAAGATCGTGAGGGCGAGCATTCCCTCGCACCAGCCTCCTCGGGCAATCAGCAGGTCGCAGGCAGCAGATCACCGCAGCAGCGACCTACACCGCGTCGAAGCCGTACAGCTCCTAGTGCTATGCCACCTATAGGGCAAGATCGAATAGCACAGGATCGAGAGTCGAAACTCCTCCGCCGGCGCAAGACTGCGAACAACATCCGGGCTCGGTCCAAGGCCGCAAAAGAGGAGCTCGAGGCCAAGTTCGAGGTCGCGAAGGGCGAACACCAAAATCTTGAGGCCATGGCCACGGAGCTCAAAGAGGAGGTCTTGCAGCTGAAGAACGAGATACTACGGCACGGACGGTGCGGCCACAAAGAGATTCAGCAATACCTGGAACATACGGCCAAACAAATTGTTTCAAACGCCAGCGCCCGACCGTATTCGTACTTGACGACCTCGTCATCGATGATGGCGCATGCTGGACACGACTCAGTTGACAATGTACACAAATAACAAGGGTCGCGGTGACGTCGGCTTCAGAAGGGAAGAGGAAGAGCTCAGGCGTTGTCGTTTGGTAAAAGAAGATGACTCGCCTTGAGGACAACATGATACCTTGCCATGGTTGCAGAAGGTGTGAATGAGACGGGGGGGAAGCGGTATGGGGAGGTTGAATCATATGATACCCTCGATACCCCTTGACGGGGAGGAAAAGAGAAACGCTATCACGATGGAGCATGAGCAAGGAACAAGTCAAGGAACATCAACAGGTCTTGAAAGCGATGGGCAATGTGCCAGACAAACAAAGAGTCGGTGTAGAACGGATCTGCACTGAAAAGAATGGCAAGAAGACATGGAGACTGGCTAAGGTCCTGGAGAGAAGATATGTATTCATATCTTTGGACAAGAGGAATAGGAGTGTGCATTGTGCTTCAATGGAGAAATCGCATAGGAACCATCGATTACAATCAACATCAGCAGGCTAGTTGGAACTCTGAAGTCGAAATCATGCGATGCACTCGACTAACATTTGTTGCTCTTTGAGAAATACTCAGCAGATTCCTCTCAGGTTTTATTCAAGTGTTCATGGTTATAGTCGTGATCGTGATGCTCGTACGATCATTAAATGGCTGTCCACCTATGCCACGTGCCTGGAACGTCTCTGACGACGCATAATGACAAGCTTTTACTATTTGTGCCATTTTACTTCTTGTTTCGTTGGCACATGACAATGACGATGCTGCAAGGGGCGAGATGCATTATGGGCGTACTGTAGGATTGCGGTGCCATGTGGACATCGCTGACCTTGTCTCAAGGCGTAGGGGCGAAGAGATCGTGTGTTCGGTCGATGCCGCTCATAGTACAATGACGTAAGAAGTTAACGGATAGGGGAGGCGAGAAGGGAGAAAAAGGGGAGGCGGAACCGAAACAGGATTGTGTACAGAATTTAAATAAAACCCCCATGTTGCATGTCTGTTGCCTTTTTTCTTGTTTTTTTTTTTTTGTTTTTTTGCCCCCTAGCATCTGTTACTTACTGTCCCCACCAGCCAGACCCTGCCCCCTTCCACCCTCCCGAAAGACAACCAAGTCTCTTCATGTTCATACTTTCGTTAGTACACAGTGTTTACCCGCCTATCGAATCTTCTGAACTAGGAACAGCAATCCAAAACGAATGAATCCGAGGATGAATCCTCTTGGAAGCGGTAGCCACAAAGGCTTTGTGCCTATTCTACCTGCCCGTGGAGACAACAACTCCATCGAGACCGGCAACGATGACCAGGCGCCCAAGGGGACGGCCTCTGACGCCGCCTCGAAAAAAAAGAGGAAAGCTGGAGGAGGGCATTTTGCCTGTGATGCTTGCCGTATCAGGAAAACAGCAGTACGCCTTCCCGTTTCGTTCTTTCGTCTCACTCCCGGAAGTCTCATATCTAGTTCCGGTTCGTGGACTCGATCTTCTTGTTTGATACCCCATCCTTGGCATGTTTCTATAAGTCAGCCCTATGACCCACTCTACTGCATTGACCACACCGCGGAGGATGCAACACACAGATATCTAGTGATTTAGCGGTTAAGACTTCTAAGCTTTAGGGTACCATCACTCCTTACATCCTCAGCAGGGTCGAAAGTAAGGCTCAGTCTGGTTGATCTATTCTCTCGCCCAGGCATACTAAAAGGAGCACTCAAGAAAGAAGAGGTTCAAGGAACAAGCACCAGTACCTCTCATGTTCTGGGTTGTATACAAAAACCATCCTTTCTTCACCAATATCCGTCGACGTGGGCTCCAGAATGCTATCATCACTCTTTACGGAGCCGTCGTTGCGCCAGATTTAACACACTTGCACTCACAGGGCTGATCTCTACTGGGTAAGTACCTATCTATATCTGCACGAATGGCTTTGCACATAAAGTTTACACGCACCAGAACTTAGGCCTTCACATCTTGCTCTTCTCATTGGATCATACACTTAGCCTCATGATCTGTCAGTTTTGTCCAGCAAAAGAACCTTCTAGCAGCAGTATCTACAAACACATCTCCTCCTCTCATGTTGCCTTCTTATTGGTGGGCTTCAGAAAAAGCCAGGGCCAGTGCTGGTGGCACAAGCTTATGGCCAACCCCTCTCATCCTCTCTCGCCTGACAGTGGGTTTGGGAGAACATGATGAACCTTAACCCAGGGGATTGGAAACTTTGTCTATTGGCCGTTGGCATGCTACATTCCACGTCTGCTTCTGGTTTGCTAATCAATGGAGATTTCACAGTGCAATGGCGAACCACCATGTCCGTCCTGTGTAAGACGCAAAACAGAATGTGTTTTTACTCAACGAGAAACTGGTATTGTGGAGAAGCAGAGAGCCGATCTCGATCGTCTGCGCAAGGAGAACAATGACTTGCGCATGCAACTCGCAAGCGGGAACTTGAAGACTGTCGACGGCCTCGAGTCATCTTCAAATGAACAAGCCCTCGTCCCCTTCCATCAGATCGAAGCAGCGAAGCCTAGCGAGGCTGCAGTAAGTGCTCCATAACTTGCATCCCCAGAGAAATGACAATTTCCAGCCAAATAATTACTGACCATTCAAAGATGGCTCCGCTACAGATGGTAATCACTACGGAAGACATCGATGTGCCGTCAAGCCAAAGTTTGGAGTTTGAGCTCATGGCTCGGTACTCCTTTGGGTACTTGACACCATTGATTTACAACAAGATGTCTGTGACGACTTTTCGTCCAGCAAGTGACTCTCCGATGTACACGCCCAGTCGCGACAGCCGAACCGGCTCAATGTGAGTATCATTCACCATGGGCGGATAGCCAGCCTACACTATGATATGGAGAAGTCTCTCGACTCCTGCAAACCATATTCAGTGTCTTGACTTCTCTAGATTATCTAATTCCTCATTCCAGAGCTGGTACCAAAGAGATGAAGAACAAATGCTAAACATCGTTAGACTGAGCAACGACCAGTCTTCAATCTCCCCAACCGAACGTCACGGACCTCACACAGCGCTTTCGCCCAACGACTCCATTGGAGATCTCTACACGGTCTGCGACGAACGATTGAGGCACTTCGAGGTGCATCAATGGCTTCAGACCGAAGTTTCCACTGTACTCGCGTCTCGGGCCATATCGCATTATCTCGTTACAGATCATCCGACACTGGGCCTGTTCGATGCTGACCTCTTCCTCGGAGATCTCGTATCTCGCAAGACCGAGTTTTGCTCACCTCTACTCCTCAGTGCTCTTCTCTCCTTGGCATGTGTATGTTTCCCTTTCCCTGTGTATAGAATATGCTAGCTCTGATCCGTCTCCTTCAATGGCTGGAGTACTTGGATTGACTTTTCTCAGCAAGGATATACCGCATTCGAGCCCCAGGCTGCCGGGTTAAGTCACGAGTTCTTCGCCGAGGCAGAGCAATTGTATAACGAAGAGAAGACAGTCGCGCCACAGTATGGTACTGCCATCATGACAGTGGCCGCTCTTCAACTCATGAGTGTGGCTGCGACGTGTCACGGCCGCCAGGCAATCGCACATCAATATCTACATTATGGGATCCAGCTTGCAGGTGACAATGGGTTGTTGGCCGTAAACGAGGGGCAATCTGCCAGAAGTTGGTTGGACGACCATGTCCTCTGTGTTCGAGCTGCCTCGCACACAGCTTGGGGAACGTTTTGCATGGCAACGTGAGTTGAATCAATGTGAACTGATCTTTCTCTTCCTTGATTGCCTCCCCAGCCTCTGAATACCCTGTTTATGGTCGGGCGTTGCCATTCAATGTCTTCTGCCCCGTACTAGCACTGAGAATCCTTGGACTGACATTGATGGGGGTCTTGCATGGCAGACTTCGTGGGATGAATTACCACCGATCTTATATCGACATACAGCCATGGCTCCCAATTCCAGGCACTGTCATTGAGCGTACGAACGCTGAGTCTATTGCGTTCCATCTGCCAGACTATATGGGTCAAAGTTTCACCCAACTATGCAGACTTACGCCTATAATCCGCGAGATACTGGGACAATACTACGACAGCGGAGATCGCATCGCGCCTACACTCCGCAGCTCTCCAGAATTTGCCGAGAAAATATACAGCAGGCTGCTGGCATGGTCAGACACACTGCCTCTGAGCATGTCCCGGGCTCAGAACATGCCTCACCATGCTGCAGTCCTCCAGTACTAAATCACATATCCCTTTCTGATCCACATTGCTAGGGACAAGCTAACGCCATATTCTTGTAGCATTTGTCTGCATACGGCCATCGCTGACCTCTTCCGACCACTGCTCTACCGCACTATACCCCGCCCGCTGAATGTAGGCCGATGTACCGCAGACAAACGGACGTCAGAAGACGTATACATGGCCTCGATCAACCAACTCAAGCACCTCGTCCTAATTTTCCGAACACAATACGACTGCTCCCCCAGATCGCACACATGGCAAAACGCGCTGTTGTACGTCGCGAATGCCTGCGTTCCCCTGCACTCCAGCCTATCCCACACGGCACAACTCCAAGATCCGAGCGTGGACGTGGAGGCGAGCAGGAAGATCGAGGGCATAGCTCGCCGGAAGTGGTTCCTGGCTTGTGTCGACGGCTACAAAAATCTGGCCTCGAACTTCGTCTTCGTCCAGGAAATATTGACGGGCCTGCTCAGCATGGCCGTTATGAGGGGCATAGTCACCACCTCTGAGGTGGACACTATCTTGGAGGTGGTGAGGGTCGACGCGCCACACTTTCCTCAGGTTCACCTCCAGCAACAACGACCACACGCTGGTCAGGCTTCTTCAGCAGGCGGCGTGGAAAGCCCACTGTTTGAGAGGTTTGGGGAAGGAAATTCGTTCATTGTTGACCTCAATCTGGCAGTGATGCATCCAGATGGCGCGTCTGTCACGGCTACGACGCAGAGTCTTAGCAATATGAATCTGAGTATGACGCATGGATCGGTAGAGCAATAACGACAGCTTTTGTCTGCTGGCAGAAGCAGAGGGTCAGAATAGTATACATTGGTCGACCAAACAGGGTCTGGACTTTCTTTCAGGAGAATGCAAACAAGTTATTTTGTTGGATTTCAATTTGCGAAGGTATGCCAAGTTACAACAACAAAACAGGGCATGACAAGCAAAGCGGGCCCTGAGAGACTGCGACATTATGCAGAGATAGACTGATATTCCGATTATTTCTTGTAACACGATGGCCTCAGCAATACTCAGGCTAAGAAGGGGAGTCATTAGAAGGTACGGTCATGATGTTTAATCAATAGACAACGCAGCTTGTTTAACTGGGTCCAATTGTATCAAGGGCATAGGAATCGTGACATGGGTTGAGTTGGTAGTATTGTGATACGAGTTAACATCGGACCTTCAGCATCGAACTCTGTGCATACAGTTGGAAGAGGTGAAGATACGAGGATGCGAACTTGCTATTGGTTTCAAAGGAAATAATACCAAAACCTGTCTGATGAGTTTTTCAAATAGACCTTCTCGACATAAAAGTCTATGACTCGCAAGAGCAGGAAATAATCCATTCACAGCGCCAGGGTATGCTTGACAGGTTAGATAATTTCCGAAGGCAAGTGTGCTGGCCATCATAACGTGCTTCAAAGAAGTCGAGTCTCGTATATCTCGTGCGCCTGTAGCACTGGACCGAAGAACCTCCTCTGTGGCACGTTTCGAGCCCAATCAATACGAAAATCAGGCAGGATTCAGATTGATGAGGGCGGGCGCTACGGTAATTTCAGAATCACACGCTGAAAGAAGAAAGAATATCCGCCCTTGTCCTAAGGGCCACACGACCCTGTAACGCTGTCCTACTCGGGAGCCCACAGAAGTCTTCCTCAATTTTCTAGAAGGATTTCTGGGGACAAACCGTCAAGGCCAAATCGTTCCAGAAACACAACCATGCTTCTTTTCGGTACCTGCGTGACACGAAGGAGCACTGGTGGGACGTTGCACTATTATACCATGCATGACGAATAATAAAGGTACGCATCCGGGATGGATGAAGAATGTCAGCCTCTCAGCAGATAATGGTACAGAGTAAGTATGTGACAAACGAGCACTACGAACCAGCCCTTTAGCAAAAGGCGTGCACTTATCACTCATATGCTCGTGGAGAACTCCCGAGATGAAGTCACAATCTGAGGTCAAGCTACTTTTGCTAGAGAACTGCTCTTGATTTGTTACCCTCGTCAGCTAGCCAAAGCGACACTGAATGGTGCTCTATTCGGTGAAAAGAGTGCAATGGTAGCATCTTAACGTCAGCTGATGAACGCCACATGCAAGTCCCTGATTCTGTTATCTCAGCGGTCCATTAAGATCTTCAAGCAAGCGCCCGTTTCAGCCCCAGAATGTGCACAAGAACAGCGGCCGAATACGAGACCTGAGTTGCTGCATCCAATAGCGACTGCGAAGCATGCCGGGGCAGGAGGTATAGAAGAACAACTATATCACTTGTTCGAAAACGTGGCGTCGGGAAGGGCGCCGTCAAGAAAGCAGCCAAAGGCAGGGCATAATCATGTTAATCTGTCTGTACATTCACACATATACACCCATGTTTCCTGCGCTTGATGTTGTACAAGGGGTGTCCTGTGATGCTCGGTAGGGTTGCGCTTCGACCCGAGGGCGTTCAGAAGGCCGCACGTGTATACAGTATTTGTCGAGAGGAGCTCTTCCAACCGCTCCCCAAGCCACACCGGCGAAGATAAATTGACTAAGTACACATGAACCTTTTGGCCTGTGCTGGGGTCGGCGATCACCGCCGTCCTGGTCTGCTGAACATCTTGTTATTCATTTCTGCATATATCTCGCTTTCTAAAAATCAACGCTGATTTAGAATGTGTCTTGTAACATAACTATTGCCATTTCAAGGTTGTTGTCCATTTTCTCAATCATTAGGCAACTTCGTTTTCACAAATTGCGTAGCTCAAGATGCAACAAGACGCCGCCCTGCCCGAAACTAGAAAAATAGCCACGGACGACCATCATGCTGAAAACGGCAACAGCGTGAGCATCTCAGACCACTCAACGACAACAGACGTCGAAGCTGGCTCGCATCCAGCCGACTCACTGACACACAGCGACCCACTGCAATGGCCCAACCACAAGAAGATCTCCATCGTCCTCAACATCGCCCTCCTCTCCGCCGCCGGCCAGATGGCCTCGTCGATGGTAGCGCCCTCTGTAGGCCAGATCACCACCGAGTTCAAAACCGACAGCCTCATCCTCGCCGTGCTCGTCGTCTCTGTGTTTCTGATCGGCATGGCGGCAGGACTTTTGCTCACGTCCGGGATCTCAGAGGTCTACGGACGTCTTGTCGTCATCCACAGCACAAATGTCTTGTTCGTGGCATGTGCCTGCGCGGTCGCGGCGTCGCGGTCACTCGGACAGGTGATTGGGTTTCGTTTTCTCCAAGGAGTGGCCGCAGCTGCTCCGCCGGCTGTTGGGGGTGGTGTCATCGGCGACATGTTCCTCCCCAAGGACAGAGGCAGGGCAACAAGTATATACGGGCTCGGTCTGCTGCTCGGGCCTATGATTGGGCCTGTGGCGGGTGCCTATATCACACAGGAAGCCGGGTGGAGACGGAACTGCTGGATCATTGCGATTGTGGGTGCTGTTATGTCACTGCTGACTACGCTGGTCCTAAGAGAAACATATGGGCCTCTTGTGAGGCAGCGCAACGAAAAGCGCTTGCAGGTCAAGCCTGGAAAATCTGATCAAGTCGCAGCAATACCTCATAGCAGAAGAAGAGGGATGGGATTCGGAACACTGGCAGGTTCCGTGGTCCGACCCATCAAGTTACTGATGACATCTCCGCTTGTTTTCCTTCCCGCGCTGGGACTCTCAGTAATTTTTGGAATTGTGTTCTTGGTTCTTTCAACGATGGCGACGGTATATCAGCAGGTCTACGGGTGGTCGACGGGCGACTCTGGACTACCATACTTGGGCTTGGGCGTCGGACTTCTCCTAGGGCTTGGAATCTACTCTGTGACAGCCGACAGAGGCTACAGAAAGTTGACAAAGACTATCATGACCCCAGCACCCGAGCTCAGGCTGGCTCCCATCACCCTAGGCTCACCCTTGGCAGCCTTCGGTCTCATCATCTACGGCTGGGCACTGGAGAAGCAACTGCATTGGATCGTGCCCATCGTTGGCTGTCTTCTCCTTTGTCAAGGGCTGGTATTCTTTATCATGCCCGTCACAACATACCTTATCGACGTCTTTCATGCAGAGGCTGCGGGTCCGGTTGGGGCTGCTTCGGTCCTGAGGTGTCTAGCGGGTGGTTTGCTGCCTCTGTGCGCCGATAAATTGTATATGAGCTTGGGTTACGGGTGGGGGAACACCACTTTGGCTTTTATTGCCCTATTGTTCACGCCATTTCCATATCTGTTCTATAAGAATGGGAAGAGGCTTAGGGAGGGGCTGGCCGTTGTACAGTGATAAGTGGCAGACAATTGTTTAGGGGGGTTGAGTGGACTTTGTCATAGACCCGTCCTCAATTTTATTCAGGTGTAAATATGACACAAATCCTGGTCGTTCTCAGCAAATGGCCTGGTAATTCGGCATTGTTCAATAAACACAGCCTCACCCTTCATGTTGCTTTTGCTTTGCATTGGCTTGCAGTGCTCAGCCAGGCGCCAGTCCTGATATCTAGATGCGAAAGGACGAGTCCTTGTCAGAGAACGTGACTTGGAATGATGCAAGAGGCACGGAGGAAATACCTAAGTAGGTATTGCCTAACGAGTAAATGTGATCTACAGGTTCTTATGGTCCACCCTACATATCAACATGTTCCCAACCTCTACCTATGACCTTTCCATATTCTGAGTAACTAGCAATTTAGCACTGCAGTTAAGTAGCCTCCAAGTATAATTGCCGAGATCATTCCCATCTTTGGGATAATTTGGCCCATTCCCTGACCAACAACCCACTACAAGCTTGCCCACGATGCTGATCGTCAGCCTTTTCTTCACACTCGGCTCCAGACCCGTAGCCGACGTGTTAAGAGGAGCCTCCATCCCAGATGACCTCGATAATCGCCAAAGCTGATCCTTTAGGCTGAGTCACCCCTTTCATTACGAACCTTGGATCTGCATTCACTAGCAGCAACTTCCACTCGTCTGCTGTCCTCTCGCGCGCATTGAACAATGAGACCATACTCAGATCGTCTGATCTGTCAATTTTAAGTTATTTTGTTAGAAAGAATTCCCATCTTGATTCCTGGTTGACAAGCATACCTTAAATATTTCTCCTTCCAATGCGCTACAGCGCCAGGTTCAGGTAGGCATCCGTCCTGGATGATGATCCTCGCATTTGGCTTCAGAACAGGAACCTGTGCGCGTAGGATGCGGATACAATACTTATCCGACCAATTATGCAAAACCCAGCGGAAGAAGAACACGTCAGCCTGGACAGTCTGTGGTGCAAACAGATCATGCGCCACGAAGCGCACTCTGTTCTTCAATTGCTCTGGCAAACCAGTCCCAGCGTTTTCTATCATCTTGTCCATGTCCTGTACAATGAACTCGAGGTTCTTGAAGGTACTGGCGAGTTCTATAGCGACATGGCCCTGGCCGCCGCCAACGTCGACCACCTTTGCTGGACCTAGGGCGGCCCAGTCAAAATTGTCTATGATGTGGATGGGGTCGAAGTTGGGGCTTTTGGCGAAGACCGTCATTGAATTTGCAAAGCGAATTGCCCGCTCCGGGTCGCTTCCAAGTACGTCGTAGATTGATTCCGTCGTGTTGTTTGCGAGGGAGAATCCCTAGTATAATCATTGGTGAGTATACTGCCATGTTTGTTGAAGAGTCAGAGCCGGGGCGCGAGGTGGAAGGGGGGGGGGGGCGGCAATACTGTCTCGTTCGGCTCGGATGATTGTGGCCATTTCTGCAGGGCATCAACCATCTACAACAACAGACAGTCAGTGTATATTTCCTGTGATGATGCAAGGATACTACAACCGTCCCCATTACCTTGACAGCGGCAGGCCACAATTCCTCTGTTCCAATCCTGAGCCAGTCGTTCATGAGTGGGTCACTAAATATCCTGGATGCAGCAGTATGGGATACCATGCCCGGCTCTGGCTCGCGAAATACACGCATGGTCATTGCATGGCGAAGCAGCCGGCGGATCATGTCTTCGGAGGACCCCGTCTGCTTGGCGATATTGGCGAAGGACATTCGACCTGCTGTGGGGATCATGCTTGCAATACCGAAACGTGCTATGGCCTGCAAGCATGTTGAGTTGTTGTGCTAAAGTACACAAGTCAGCGCTCGAAAGGCGTCGACCGTGACAAGGGGGTCTTTTACTCCTCCGTGTTCTCTGATCAGGACCAAGGGGTCGAGCAACAGGTCATGAAGCTCTGCCGTAGCGTCGAGAATAGCATCCTGGACGTCCCACGCCTCTTGGGGCAACGAGAATTGCGCGTACTCGTCAAAAGAAGGTGATTGGAGTCCTCTGGTTGACAGTACTTCCTGTAGCCTCGCCACGGATTCACTGATTGTTGCTGCCAGCTGCGAGATTCGGGACGACTGGGTAGTAGCCATGATGTCGAGGGTTCAAGAAGCAAAGGTAGAGTTCAGGGGTGAAGACCCAAGATCTTACAGTTGGTATCTGCCTTCGGAGAAGGGGGAACGAAAGTTTCTGTGTACAACTGAGTCTGTCAGTTACCAGTCCCACCTTGCGGTGGCTATACATCCAGGAAAACGGGTGTTACATGAGCACTGCCCAAGCCATATGGAATCTGTGTTCATCGCTCCAATAAGCACGGAAACGTTCAGCATCCTTACGCTGGAAGAGGCGGGAGTTGCAGAGAGTCTCGGGCCCGATAGCAAGCCGCATTGGCAACATGATCCGCAAGACTCTCGCTCCGATTGAATGTAAGGATTGTGAACGGGCCGATAATGACGGGTTAATTGAAGCCATGTCGCGTTGAGCAACCCATAGTTTTTGGGGTCTGCGAATCACCCACTAAGCAATATATCGGAAATCTAGGTATCATGCTTAAAGTGAATACTCAAGTAGATGTTTACATTCAGAGTACACGATATGGGTTCTTTTGTGTAGTACATCAACTTTCATGCCGACCTCATCCATCCCCAACAGTTACCGTAGTACACCCACCGCATGAGTTTCATGCACTTAGGCAACCGCGCACACATTCATCGGTTTTATTGGTGTACAGTAAGCCCTAGCCGTGCTCCGAATAGGGTTGCATTAACTTAACCCATTCTTCGTTGATCTACTACCTTCCAATTCAACTCGCAAACGAAGCTCGGAGGGTAATACTTTTTTCTTCACACCCCTTCCGCCACAAAATTCTTAGGATCAGCTGGCTGCATCCTTGAGGTGTGTCTCAACTGCATGTGTGTTACTCACGCTCGGCCCCAATCCCCGCTGCTTTGGATTTACACAATCCTCTAGCTGCAAATGTGAAAAATTGCATTCCCAGTTGCAGGGCACGAGTTTTCCGGGGAAGCTTATGAATGTTATGTTCTGAATAGTGTTAGTACGCCTAGATGCAAGAGGGATTTTGGCTGCCTTGAGAGTAAAACTTTTTCGGAGTAAAGCAGCATCATAACTAATTAACTGCTATCTGTCTGAGCTCGATACGAATTCAAATTTCTTATTGTTATCGTGTGCTCTCCTCCTCGATAATACATTCAAACTTGGCTCACATCGCTTAACGTACTACCAGCTTCGCAAGACAACATGTATTACACTCTGTCCGGTCTGCGGTCTTCTTGCGCGGGAATCTGGAATCGATGGATGGAGAAGCCACGGCCAGCAAATGCAACGACATGGTCCACTGGGCGATCCTGTCTCCAAGATCTCCTCAAGGCTCAATCAGAATCAAAACCAGATCGGTTGCTCAGCTTTTATCCCCTTGGAGATGTGTCAACGCCGAAGGAAGTTTCATACAGTAGCTTGTACACGCGTGCCAAGACGAACAGCGTCCTGATACGGTCTCTGGAGAAATTTCGAAACGGCCAGCCTATTCTGCTGCATCTAGGGGACCATTGGGATACTATCCTGTGGTTCTGGTCCATTCTTCTTGCAAACGGGTTACCGGTTCTCTCATCGCCCTTGAGCAATCTTGATAAACAACGACAAAACTACCTGCAGAATTTGTCGTCACTCCTCAAATCTCCTATCTGCATCACAAATGCCGAGTATCTTCCTTTATTCGATGGAGGTCACTCTTTCGAGGTGCATACAATCGAGACGCTGCTGGCGAAGAAGGGAACAAATGGACCCAGCGACCTATATATACTTGGTGATCACGGAACAAGACCAGGAAATCATGAGGCAGACCATGTGTACGCTGGTGAACGGACGCCAGCCTTTCTCATGTTGACGTCCGGCAGTACTGGAAATGCGAAAGCTGTATGCTTGACACACCACCAAGTGCTCGCTGCGGTTGAAGGGAAGGCTTCTGTTCGACTGCTCCCAGACGGTCGGCCTTTCTTAAACTGGATTGGCCTCGATCATGTCGCCGGCCTCGTCGAAATTCATCTCCAGGCTCTCTGGCTTGGCGTCGGTCAAATCCACATTCACGCCGCAGATATTTTGTCATCGCCTACGACTTTTCTCGACCTCCTCAGCACCCACCGTGTATCCCGCTCCTTCGCTCCCAACTTCTTTCTTGCCAAGCTCATCTCAGCCGTTGAGTCCTCGACCAGCCAGGGTCCCTGGGACTTATCCGATTTCATGTTTCTCGCTTCTGGGGGCGAGGCCAACGATGTCAGTACATGTGTTGCAGTATCAGCCCTTCTCGAGAGGCATGGCGCGCCCAGTAATGCCATCGTCACAGGGTTTGGCATGACAGAAACCTGCGCTGGGGCGATATACAACCTCGAATGCCCGGAATACGATGTGAAGAATAGAAACTCCGTATCGTCTCTCGGCCGGTGTATGAAAGGAATAAATATGCGCATTACTGTGACCACTCCCGAAGGCAACACGAGAGCGGCTTTGCCCAACGAGCTGGGCGATCTTGAGGTACGCGGAGATGTTGTTTTCGACCAGTACTATCGCAATCCAAAGGCAACATCCGAAGCTTTTACCGCTGATGGCTGCTGGTTTCGCACCGGCGACCAGGCAAGAATCGATTCTGCTGGCAATCTCAGTTTGGGTGGCCGGGCAAAGGACGTTATTAATATCAATGGCGTCAAAGTCTCTTCGGCTGAGCTTCAGTGGGCTCTCGAGCAGGCCTTGGGAGCGCACGTTGCTCGCGTTATCAGTTTCCCATCCAGGGCGGCCAATACCGAGCAAATCACCGTCGCATACCTTCCAAAGCAATGGCCCTTGCAGGCTGAGGAGCTGCTCAGGATCCACGGGATGGCAGCGCACGCATGTTTCATGTGTTCTGGGCACCGTCCACTTGTTTTTTGTCTAAGAAAAGAATCGCTGCCATTACTCCCTACAACTACTTTGGGCAAGATATCTCGAGCTCAAATGCGATCGCTCTTCGAAGGGGGTGCCTTTAGCCGGGATGTTGATCTCCACTCCGAGGCTTTGGATGCTGCTGAAGGACAGAGACAACGGACAGGGCTTCCAGCAAATGAAGGAGAAGCAAGTCTTCTCCAAGACTTTGCGCAGACGTTGAGGATATCTGCTGATACAGTTAGTCTGGACACTCCTCTGTTTGAGCTTGGCTGCACTTCGATGGACCTCGTCCGAATTAAGCGTCGCATCGACAGGCGAATAGGCATTCCAATTCCTCTAGTGATGCTCATGAAACATCCTACTGTTAGGTCATTGGCTGCTGCCCTCAGCCCTGATCTCATCCGCGATTCTGCAAATCCCGCCTTGCCAGCAGCGGTAGACTATGACCCAGTGGTCATATTGCGATCACATGGTACCAAAGCGCCTTTGTGGCTCGTACATCCCGGCGTGGGAGAGGTCCTGGTATTTGTTGGACTAGCTCAACACATGAGTGATGACGACAGGCCGGTGTATGCACTCAGAGCTCGAGGCTTTGAGCCGAACCAAAAGCGTTTTTCATCCATCATCGAGACAGTACAGACCTATGTGGGAGCCATGCGGCAGAAACAACCGAAAGGCCCGTACGCACTTGCTGGCTACAGTTATGGGACTATGCTAGCATTCGAAATGGCTAAACTGCTTAACTCTGAAGACGGTGGGAGCTCGGTGCGCTTCCTGGGTAGCTTCAACCTACCACCGCACATCAAAATGCGGATGCGCTATCTGAACTGGAACATGTGCTTGTTACATCTAGCTTACTTCTTGGGTCTCACTACAGAAGAATATGCTGATATTTGTGAAGAGAAGGGCTTCCGGGCTGTGCCCCGTACCGAGGCACTAAAACAGGTTCTCCAGGTAGCAGATGGGCCTCGGATGGACGAGCTCGGGCTAGGCGAGATAGAACTTGCCAGGTGGGCTGATGTAGCCTTTGGTCTACAAGTAAGTGCTCGAAATGCATCTGAAGCTGTCATGCTCCTGATTACTGACGAAGAATGTGCAAGAGTATGGCTAGCGAATATGACCCCGATGGCATGGTAGATGTTCTTGATGTATTCCACGCCATACCTCTGAAAATAGCATCTGCAACGCGTGAGGAATGGGTCACAAAACATCTCAGTAAATGGAAAGACTTTAGTCGGACGGAGCCAAGATTCCATACTGTTGGAGGGGAGCATTATACTATGCTTGGGCCTGACCATGTCGCTCGGTTTGCTATAACACTGCAGGCCGCTCTGAAGGCTAGGGGACTTTGAATTCATGGAAAAGATTTCTCTCATTCTTCTGCTTTACTCCACAATTACATAGGTCCATAGGAGTTCCCTAGGTAAGCATGAGTTCTGATATCAAAGCGTAACATTTGAATGCTTAGGGTGTCGGCTCAGTAATCACCTCGAGCTTTCTTTTGTGCGTATTCCTCTTCTGGATAACGGGCCGAAGAGCTGACGCTGTCTCACCCAAGTGAAAGCATCCCTTCTTAACCAGAATTGAAAGGAAAGAGGGCAGGGTATGGAGAATATGCAGAATCCTGATCAGCACCAATTTGCCGGAAAGGAAATGTCACTATTCACATTGCACACGACATGTACAGCTTCCTAGTTCAAATTGCGACGGCATTAATGTGATAAGTCAATAACTCACACGTTTGTACTGAGTCCAGGGCTGGATTACAGCTATTGTTTTGTCGAGGTGGCGGCTTCGGATCCTTGCGGGCTGTAGTACATTCAGCTCGGATTTCACGATGCAGACCTTCCACATACATATGCCGTACGACGTGACACATTCCGCATAGACACCTATACGATGTTGCAATAGGATGCACGTAATTCCCCAAGTGAATGCACCAAGTTTGCTGTTGGCCCCCACTCCTACCTTACCGTGCTACGGAAGGCTTCAAGTCTGGCTGCTGATGGTGATGCGAGTTTGCCGAGCGAAGAAAATACTGTACCATAGTACCGTATGTCACAGATGAGCCATGTTTGACCGAACTCTTGAGACCCCAAGTTCCTTTCACGTTTACACCATCTACGGATCGCTTCTGCCGGCGTCAATGCACCGAGGTACGGAATTATTATTCTTGATCTAGTGATTCGAGGTGGCCTACTCGGGCCCCGAACTGCATGGGGCACGTATCACTCAGTGAATTCTGTCTTGGCCGTCTCACTTGACTAGATATCAGCAACTTGAAAGGACTGCCGTCATGTTCTTGTCATCTATGCATTGTCAGGCCTTGTGATTGTGCGTTTAAGTCCTGTCTTAGGTTCCTCTGCTCTCTTCCCTGTGGTTGATGCCGATCACTTGTCTGAAAGCAACCACAGATCAAATTGCTGACTATTCTGCACCATCTACACTCGCCTTCTTATATCAGAGACCTTGTCGAGCTGTTCTTCGGCCTCCATATCTCGTGTTTCAAAGGCGGTGGTTGATAGCACTTACTTCGTTGCGTGTTTATCAAGATCACTGCTATCCATCTTACCTTCCGCGGTCTTGACTACCCCCTAGCACGATATGGATGAAGTTTTACAGAAGATCAGGGAGTTGGCGGCAGTGACCAACGAAGTAGGTCGTCAGCACCTCATGTCTGCCCTGCATAAGCTGGCATATTCAATGGAGACGTCTGACGATACACTACACCGATACGGCGCCATGGTAGGTCTCCCTCCTCCTCTCAATGTTTTCCAGGTCATTAATGGTTATCAATATCAGAACCTTCAGACGGCTGTCATAAAAATCGGCTTTGATTTGGGACTTTTCAGGCTCTTGACCGAACGTCATGAGCCCGTGACCGTGACTGACATATCTCAGCACACTAATGCAGAGGCACTGTTATTGAGTTCGACGCCCTCTGCATGCAATTCCACGATATGCATGTTGACTTGAATATAGATCGGTTCCTTCGGTACCTCGCCGCTATAGGCGCCGTTGAAGAGGTCGCTAGCGACCAGTATGCCGCGAACCACCTGACCAGAAACCTGGCAGAGAGGGTCACTGAGGCAGGAGTGAGCCATTAGTAGGTTGAATATTCTTTCTTCTTCCCGAGACAACACCAGCTTAGGCGATGAGACCGCTCACACAGATTGTAGTTTCGAAACCGTCTCACCACAGTACCAGGTGCTGCCCGGCTTCCTGAAGAAAATCGGATATAAAAATCCCACTGATGAGCTTCACACGGTTTTTCAAGAAGCCTGGAATACGGATATTCACCAGTTTGCCTGGTTTGTGGACCATCCACAGAATCTGGCCTACTTCAACGACTTCATGGCTTTCCGACGCCAACCAGAGCTCTCTTGGCTTATCGTATACCCTGTGAAAGAACATATACAAGACTGCAGGGCTGACAGAGCCCTCTACGTCAACATCGGCGGTGGGATCGGTCATCAGTGTGCTCAATTCAAAGAGAAGTATCCTGACGTGCCCGGTCGAGTGATACTCCAAGACTTGCCGCACTCAATTGCCAAGGCACTGCAAACACCTGGAGTGGAGAATATGGCCCATGATTTCTTTGATCGTCAACCGATTCAAGGTAAGACGATTCCAACAGGAGATCAACATGAACAACCGCTCTGACTCACCTCCCATATACTAGGAGCCAAATTCTACTTCATGCGAGGAGTTCTCCACAACCACCCGCCTCATAAAGTTCGCAAGCTTCTCGAAAATACCAAGTCGGCCATGTCCTCAGACTCTATTCTTCTGATTGATGAGATGATCCTACCTGAAGTTGGAGCACATGTTGATGCAGCCTCTATGGATATAACGATGATGGGTGCGTTTGCGGGAATGGAACGCTCAGAGAAACAGTGGCGCAGTGTGATCGACGAGGCTGGACTGAAGCTGATCAAGACATACGTGTACAACCCTGTGAGTCACGAGAGCTTGATGGAAGTGCGTCTGCCATAGTGCCACCAGCATTGTCTCTGATATCAGTGAGCATATCAGAGTAGTAGTAGGTTTCGAGGGTAGTCATTTCCAGCAGCTAGCAATCGTTCAACATCCGAATCAAGTTTAATATTGCAATTGGTTTTATTAGGTAGATCCGGTTGCAAAGTCTTCATGGAACATTTGACCCCGGCTTTGGTACCGTATTGCATTGAAATACACTACAGTAAGAATACCAGTGCTGGCTCTTTTCAGCACATATTGGGAGGCAATGGTCGTAACAGAATACCCCATGGCTCAGATACAGTGTGCCGTTCAACTCCAGGCATGTATCCCTGATTACATTGCAGCGAATCCAATGCGCCGCCAACCTACCACAGCAAGGTTGATTGGCGGGGTAATCTGGGGGCAAATAAGACAAGATGACATCATCTGTAAGAACGTAATGCGATCATTTCCTAGGGAAACCGAATCTCACGTAAGTGAAATCCCTGAAGTGGCCAGTTGGGTTTGTGGGCGGCCGACAGGCGCTGGTTTGGGGTGGGTGTTGGCTTCTGCCTGGCCGCGTCGTACTGATGGAACTCTAGGTCGAACTCTCAGTCCGATGTTCCATCATTGTCAACATCCAAAAAGAAAAGGGTAAAAAGGAGGATGAGACAAGGTCTACAATCTGTGAATGTGGTTACACGCGAATGGATCCACATGAATTGATATTCCATCCCCAAAGGTGGACGTATCATCTAGATGTCATAGCTGATATGCAGAAAAAGCTTGTCCGAGATGCTTACGCGAGATGCTTGGCCAGTCAATGAATTGGTGCGTTGCATTTACACCCTTTCATTCTCACTGCAGCATTACCACCACTTTTGGGCTACACGGGATAGTTTGTGCTTTGCCTCCGCCACCAACAACGGGCTGGCATTGCTAAATCTGCTCGTAAAGTAGCATTATGTCATATCGCAGTAAAAGGATGCCCCGGTAATCAGATAGAGTCCATGAAAGAAGCACATAACCAAGAGTGACTTGAGGATTCGGATTAGCTTGAAGCGAGATGAAGCGAGATAAACTGAATGGGAAAGAACTTTATGCCGGCCGAAAACATCCTTCAGTAACCAAGCGCCATGTGTCCCAAACCCCTCCAACGTCTGATCCAACAATCGTCAACATGATCTCACCCTGTCAATTATTGTGTTTAGCCCTACTCTTCATTGGCATTCTGATAGCAAGACGGTTCCTAACATCACACGTACAGGATAAGAAAAAGGCACAACTATGGGCAAAGCTTGACATGGTCGGTGTCTCTTCCGGTGGCATATTCCCATGGACACGAGCTTTGCTGCGGTCCTTGACGTCGACGCAGCATAATGTGCATACTGGCTATGAAAAATTCTCCAGAACGCAGAAATTACCGTTTGCTCTGCCCACAGTCTGGACAGGCGATGCGGTGGTAGTTTTGCCACCTTCAATGCTGGATTTGCTTCATAAACCCGACAGCGAATTAAGGTCCTTTGAGGCCCAAATCGAGACTCTTGGACTTCCTTACATGATCTCTGACCGCGACGTGTACATGAATGTCATTCACTTCGACGTCGTGCGGAAACACATGGGGGAAAATAAGGATCTCGACTCCCTAGCTGCTGCAACAGCCGAGGAACTTGATATTGCCTTCCGAGAATGTTGGGGCACATCTAAAGATTGGACGACTCTGAATATGTGGGACACTTGTGGGCGCATTCTCACTCGCGCAGCAGCAAGAATTCTTATAGGACTTCCCATGTGCCGGGATGAGACCTTCTTCGAGCGGTCCAGACAATTCGCCGACTCTGTTGTTATGGGCTCGGCCATGATCAATTGCTTCCCACCTCGCATGAGGGGTCTGATAGGACCATTGGTGGCACTGCGAGCCAAATATTATCACGCTCGCTGCCTCGAGATCCTAGTGCCTATTGTCGAAGAGAGACTGAGGGTTTGGAGAACAAGTCAAGCAGTGGACAGTTTTCCGGTAAGTTTGAGACTCCATCCACCCTCTACAATGAGACTGCCACTGACGTGGAACTAATAGAACGATTTTCTCCAATGGATTATTCCTCTTTGCGCCAAACAAGGCCCGGACGAACTAAATCCAGTCCGAATCGCGACTCGGCTTCTTACGGCCAACATTATGTTTGTTGTTGGAATGGTCTATGTCTTCGCTCACTGTGTGCTCGATATCTACGACAGTCCATCCAAAGAGGACTTTATCAGCGGCTTGGAGGCGGAGTGCAGACTAATTCACGCAAGATACAACGGCCTTTCAACGAGACAAGCTGTCGATCGTCTCTATAGGCACGACTCAGCCATTCGCGAATCTATGCGTCTTTCTGACTTCAACGTGGCCGGGCTTGCTCGGGACGTAGTCTCGAACGAATTAGATTTGGGCAATGGAATTCGCATTCCCCGAGGAGTCCGGATGGTCTTTCCTACACAGTCAATACACCAGGATACCAATTTTTACGATGATCCACTGATTTTCGACGCTTTTCGTTTCTCACGCAAGTTCGAAGGTCTGGCGGGAACGGCCGCGCACGCGTCTCAACGCGAGTCTCTTACATTCATCACCCCCTCCTTCCTCGTTTTCGGGTATGGGAAGCACACGTGCCCTGGCCGGTGGTTCGCCGCGCAGACTATGAAGCAGGCTCTTGCTCATATTATTATGCACTACGATGTGGAAATAGTAAAGAAACCAGGCAAGAGAAGAAGTCTGTTAAGCATAATGTTGCCTCCGACGAGTGCTCAAATCAGGATCAGACGGCGAACATGAGTGAGGCCAAACAAGGGTTCCACTGCTTCTACAGATTCAAACGATGCCAAGCAATAACCACATTGAGTTTGCCTAGCCCAGATGCTCGACACGTGTCGGATGAACTTGAAAGGTGTATTGGAAGTTGATGGGTAGCGTGGCGGGGTCAACATGAGACCGTTAACCATGTAGCAATTACTTCAAGGTCTGTTGAATTTATGTCCGGGGCGGCTTGTTTGATTCCCTAGATGAAAAGCTCTCTATTTTCTGCAATATTCTCCTGGTATATTCCTCCAAACCTCTTCATATATCAAATTCTAAATGGTCTTATTGTCCCGCATGTCTTTCTGCGTCCCCTGCCGATTCGTACGTGATAGAAAACTGGTCTGTTCGCCTAACCTCAGTTTCTCCTACCAACTCATCTTGGCTCCTATTATTCGGGTGGAAAACAGCAGTAGAGACTTGGACATTCTCACTTTGACCGATAGCAGCTAGTTTCCTAGTGCTGAGCTCCAAGTCGTGGTATGGTCCAGAACTATTGTAGCTCTTGTCCATTGTCGAGGGCTTCGATTTGGACCTGGCGAAAAAGTTTGAGAATGACAAGCCGACTTGTGACAGGTTCAGCTTCATGAGACTCCGCAACGTCGGGATGCAGCCCATGATAATGACCATGTCTCCCTCCAGGAGAGCCAGCGTTAGGATTGAAGTCTCGTCATAAGTTTCTAGAGCCGAGCTGCCACTGTACGACACAACAATCCAAACAGTCCTCATTATTGACATGACCATGGTAAGCAAAGACATCGCCATGAGAATAATAAGGCCTATCTTCTGACGAAGTGGCATATTCCTAAAAGCGGGGAAGTGAGCGTGAAATTCTGACCCCGTTCTGGAAAGGGACTTCGGTGTTTCTGTGCGTCATCTATTATGTTCCTTATAAGAGTACTTACAGTCTCCAGATAATCATGACGGGCAGCATGACAAACGCTAGATCCGAGAAGGTATAGATAGCTGTCCCAATGAATCAGTAATGCTTCGAACGTTCAACAGCCCCAAGATAGCGAAGGCGTGGATCATACGAACATTGGATAACACACGCTAAGTATAGCCAGATATTTGGATTCCACCTGTTCGTGACGACCAGCAAGTAGTCCCAGAGCGCCTGGGCTGGAGTCACTTGGCAGAAGGTTATTGGAATGAAAATAATGCTGAGTACAGACAAGATAGTGAATAGAATGATCAAGAACCGCTTGAACCACTTGTGAACAGAGAACAAACGGATCAATAAAAGCATAATGGAGAGTCGCGCCAATACGGATACCGTCACTTGAAACGGTAGAGCGAGATAGTTGTACTTCAGTGCCAGCACCGCGTCTTCAGTCGTCGGAGGAACTCGGAGATCATATATTGTCGATAGCGTGGTCAAGGATCGGTTGACGATCTCAATCACCTAAGACGTAACTATCAGTAGATTTCTAACGCCTAGTTTCGCATTTCTTACCACAGCCAGAAGCATAACCCAGTCATCCCAACCCAGGACATTTTGGTTTCTGGTGCGAACATAGAAGCGAAGACCGACAGCAAGTGCACCGAGAATGGTGAATGCCAATGGCACGCCCAAAAGCACATTTCCCTCCATTGCAAACCGAATGTTGAAGGCGAGACTCAGATATTACTGCCGAAGACGAATACTTGATGCCTAGGTAACCACGATAATTCGTGGCCAAAGTCTGGATGACAGGGACGTTATCGAAGTTAAGCTTGTGGGTTCACCAGCCTCAGTGCCTAGGAGATTGAGAGAAACGGAAGTCACCCCACCCTACGGTCTCGGCCTTATAATCTTTTTTATTTAGGCGTCGCGGTCGGACTCGTCGAAGGCACCCAAACATACAAGGGTCGATCGAGCTACACAGATCAGAGAACTGCCATCCGGCCCCGAAAGAATTTTTCCCTCGCGGGCGCGCAGCCCTCCCTTCCTCCAGGTGAAAATGGTGGACAACCCCTGTTGAGACCAGAGTACCACATCTATTATGTAGCTGAGTACCTCGCAAGTTCTTGCCACGTTAGATCGGCACGGTCGTGCTCAAGTTGTCAGCGAGGCTGCACTTCTAAGGGTGGTGTCAGGAAACGGGATGTACTGTCACTTAAACGCATATCTGTACAAGTAGTAAATGCTAGTAAATCGGATGAATTATGTCGACATGAATCTAGTCTGGGTCGGTGGTATGGCTACCTGCACCTTGGATATTGGCGTTACAACGCAGGAGCCCCCAACTCATGCGTGCCCCCAACTTTACCCTCCTTCATGATCGACAGGTGGTATCGAGTCTCTTGGATGGTGCTCGGTTCGCACGGCATGGCTCGGAGTCGCATCGTGATTTCTTACTCAAGTAAATTATGTAGCAATGTGGTTAGCTGCACGATTGAAAATACTTCAGTACTTACTCACTCACACAACATAAATGTAAGTACCCGTAACAACTGGCTCAAGCGCCAACTTGCATATGCTGACGCTGATCAAATGCTCTCCCGCTCCAAAACAGTGTGACTTCATTGGAGGGACAAAAACGTGAGTAAGACCTAAAGGCGCCTCCGGACCAAAGTCCCGTCCCCGGTGAGAAGCAAATTGCCTAACTACTATCGGCGGGGTGAAAGACAGCTCTTGTTGCACAAAAAAACTGAGACACAGCAAGCCGGGGTCAGTCAGCTCTCGCTTTGTCCAGCAATGACAACTAGTGGCTGTCACGGCATCTCAGTTCTCGACGTGGCAGCTGAAGCATTCACCCCAATCTCTGTCTCTTTGGCCAGATCATTTGTTTTCTTCGCAAGAAGTTGTTCCCAACCACGGCTTCTTTTTCTCAGAGGTGATCTGCTCCTACGCTTTCGTACTGTCTTCAAATTGATACATGCTTGTTATGTTCAAACGCTCCATCCCTTGACCCAGTTCGATTCTCAAGACGTTGAACACGAGATCCGAAGCCTGTCATGGCATCTTTGAACATGTTACTATCATGGCAGAATGTCGTCACAGCAATTTTTGTGTACCTTGCCAGTCTTACCATCTATCGCCTGTTTCTCCATCCTCTTGCTCGGTTTCCAGGTCCAAAGTTAGCAGCCATAACGCGGTGGTACGAAGGCTACTATGATGTTGTTCAGAATGGCCAGTACACATTCAAGATCAAGGAACTGCACAAACAATATGGTAAGGACTCCTGCCTCTCAATGTCAGTCTTCTGGAAGCTTTGTTTGCTTCTCCCTGTCTGATACGCGTTGTTTGCGCCACTCTAGGCCCGATCATACGGATCAGTCCTTACGAGCTCCATGTCAGCGACTCAACCTTTTTCAACACTCTATATCGTCAAGAGGGGCGCTGGGACAGGTATGCCTTTGCGTGGGATGCTTGGGGAGCTGAAGGTCCAACGATCCACACAGTAGACCACGAACGACACAGGGCCCGCCGCCAGCCCTTGGCCACCTTCTTTGCTAAGGCCAAAGTAGCTGATCGGAAAGACATGATCCGAGGACATGTGAACAATTTCTGTGATCGTCTGTCCAAGATTGCCGAGTCAGGGAAAACAGTCAATCTAGGGGCTGCTGCTACCGCGCTGGCACGCGATGTAGCCTTCGACTTCATTCTGGCTAAGAGCTATAACAGCCTCGATCGTGATGACTTTGATGTCGCCGTTCTCCACGCCGCGCAAGGGGCCGGGCCCCTTTGGCGGATCACCAAGCACGTGGGATATGTTCTGCCTCTGTTGAATTCAATGCCCTTGGATTGGGCTATCAAAATTTCAGATGATGAGATGAAGACTTTCTTTGCGCATCTAAAGGTACGCTCAATCTTCTACAAAGTCTGAGCTCACATTTTGCCGTGTGCTTACTCTCGAGGCTGTAGAATGCCATGGCAGATACGAAACGTCTTATGGCTGCCGCTGTATCGCCTTCGCCAGAAGACAGAGGCCAGCGGACCATAGTCCACGAGATACTCGACTCCAAGCTCCCTCCCCACGACAAGTCTTTCCAGCGCGTCTTTGAGGACGTATCCTCTGTCAGCGGCGCGGGATTTGAGACTATTGGCGGTGCACTTCGCCTGATTTTCTTCCACGTTTTCAGTGATCCTGAAATTCTTCAACGACTACGAGCTGAACTCGATTCTGCCAAGGAGAAGCACCCTGATGTGATGGAACTGAAAGTGCTTGAGCAGCTCCCTTACCTCACCTCGACGATAATGGAAGGCCTACGCCTGAGTCCCGGCATAGCCACGCGCATGGCACGTATTGCCCCGGATCGGGATCTGTTCTACAAGGACTGGCGCATACCCGCGGGCACGCCTGTCGGAATGACCACAATCTTAATGCATACAGACGAGAACTTATACCCAGACCCTCAATCCTTCAAACCAGAACGTTGGGTGGACGGGAACGGTGGCAAGAATGCTGAGAAGGCGTATGCGCCGTTTTCCAAAGGGACGAGAATGTGCATCGGAATGCAGTACGTCTTTGCCCATTACTTGATCACCTTGTCTGCCCTTACTCACACGGCTATGTACACAGCCTCGCATGGGCCGAACTATACATGACCCTCGCCGCCCTTGTGCAACGCTTCAACTTCCAGTTTATAGGAACAACAGCAGAAGACTTTGAATGTGACAGTGACCAGTTTGTCATTGGTACCAAAGGAAAGGGCTTTTTGGAGGCCCACGTTAGCATTCGTGAGGACTAGAAGCTAGCTGGTCTACTCCGAGTTTTGGACTCTTTTCAATAACGTCCTTGTGGGTCCTGAAGACTCATGCTTCCTTGGTTCAGAGAAGAGACTGTTGTCGGCATCCTCGTGCTTGTTATTACTGAGTCCTGATCTGAAGAGAAAAAAATACACTCATCTCAGCAGACAATAAGGGGCCTTGATAATCGCCAGGCTGCGTGGTACAACCTTCTGGCATGGGAAGTCGATCTCCACTGTAAACCTACTGGCCATTATTAAGTGTCATGGGGACGATATTTGCAATGCCACAGAACCACTGTCCGATGAACCCCCTCTCTGTTGACTTTGTGTTTCATCATGTTTCTTAACAAGTCTATGGAGCGAGCCAGATTGCCACCTCTAACGGCTCATATGTCGCTGAAATATGTATAATTTGGGTAGCTTATCAGAAGATTAGTACTAGGGATAGGCACAACGGCATGAATCATCTTTCAGGTTTGCTTCCTTTTTGATCTTTTTCTTTTTTTAAAGAAAAGAAAACCGTAGAATCCACCTTATTGAAAAATGCTGGTCGGTCAAACACGTGATTTCCCATTTATGAATAGCAGTATTGAAACAAAATTAATGTATGGCACAGGGAAAGGGAACAAAAGTGCAATGTGGACACTCAAGTAGTATGACATATGCTACATGACAGAGGTTCAGCTGAAAGTAGAGATACAGGTACCATTGTCCATCTTATGAACTATATTTTTCCGCCTCTCTCTTTTCAGAAAATGGAGACCGTGTCTGACAACCAGACTTTGAACCTTTGGTGGAAAGATTAATAAGCCAGCTTGGGGGGTATATAGAGGGGTTCCTCTGATGGCCCCCATACTTGTCCAGTTTTTCTCTCCTTCCTCTTCATTTCAGCATAAGAAATCAGCCATCGACGGTCTGCTTAGCTTCGTTACACCTTCTTCGGATTATTCCTCGTGCACTCGTAAGCTTTCAACGACGTTGTACATTGTCCAATATGGCTACACAGTCTCTATCCGTCTTCGTCTGTGGCGTTACGGGCAATCAAGGCGGCGCCGTAGCCAAGCGTCTTTTGGAATTGAACTGGAATGTCCACGCAACTGTTCGAGACCTCGAGTCGCCTAAAGCAGTTGCCTTGGAAGCAGCCGGTGTGAAGCTTACCCAAGGCGACTGGGAAGATGAAGAGGCACTCAAGACGAGCATCGCCGGCTGCAGCAAGATGTTTATCAATCTCGTTTCGACCTGGGATGATTTCGATCGTGAACGTCGACAGGCTGCGAAAATAGTTGATATCGCTAAAGAGTCCGGGGTGAAGCAAGTGATTTTATCCACGAGCCTTGGCGTATCCCGTACGTTCACTTACATTTACCTCCAAGTCTGCCTACATAAATCCAGACACTTACGAGGCTTTCTTTGCTTCAAGTATACGGCATAGAGGGGCCCCTCAAGGGCATAGTCAAGCCTGGTACGATGCTGCATACCTTTCTTAAGGTCAAGAAGGATGTGGAAGAGACTATGAAAGAAGGGAGATTTGACTTATGTACCATTGTACGGCCCGGGTACTTCATGGCTAATTTCTTGGAGCCGGTAATCGAGGGCTACTCGGAGATCTTGGAAAAAGGAACATGGTCCACCGTTCTCAAGGCTGATACCCGCCTCGGGCTGATTGACCACGACGACGTCGCCAAATTCACCGTCGCAGCCTTTCAAAATCCAGATCGATTTGACGGTCGGGCTATCGGGCTTGCCAGCGAGTTCCTCACCCCACAAGAGACACTGGATTGTCTCGGCCAAGCGATGGGACGGCCGGGCTTGAACGCAGTCTTCCTGACTGAAGAAGACGTCGCCAAGCTGCCTGCTGGGTCTTTCGACAACCCTTATATTAAGGGCGACAAATGCTTAGAGCACATGGAAGAACTTGTCGACATACAGGAACTGGCCACTGTGATCCCACTAACCAGCTTCAAAGATTTCCTTGAGAGGGAAAAGGCACATGTCAAAAAGCTGTAAAGGCAGTTGTAGAAGGCACTCTAGGGGCTGTACAAATGGTAGAAGGGAAGATGATTCTTCAATTAATCTATCTCAAGGCACGCTTGCCAATTGCCTTCTATATAGAAGGCAATTAGCACTAGTCCCAACTGAGCTAGCGTACCTGGCGACTCACTGCCTTTCCATTGAATGGCCCAGGCCAGTGAGTCAGGGTGGCCACCCAGGCCTCATTCACCTAAGGCCCCTATGGCCACTGCCACAGCAGTACACTTTTTACGAGCGTTTTAGTATGATGTATGCTACAGCCAGGAGACTTGGCAGAAACATAAGTGCAGAATTCAAGGTTTCCTACTCATGTACATGCTTCATAGTGACCTGCACGCTAAAGTTGGCCTCCTGGCTACTCCGGATGAGATCATTTGATTATTACTGACGCTGGAAGCATAGATCGAGCCTCTCCTGCAATTCACTCCTGAGCCAACTCACCAGCTCAATATTTTGGGACCACCCCAATTCAGGACAATGTTGTACTGGGCCAGAAAATAGCATGGGAAAATGTGATATTAAATGTCCTGAGCTTGTCTACATCACTGGCTGAATACAAGGCTTCCTCATCATGATAGCGCAAAGGCTGTCTCCTTTCTCGGTGCATGTATCTCCAAACCAAAATATGGTTCTTACTTGCTTTCTGCTCCATACGGCCGCTCTTCGAGAAGTTATTCACTTACGTTCCCTCCAAACATTTTACCGACAACCAAGATAATCATATGCTGATCTTCACCACGGCTCAGCCTGGACTTGACCACCGAGCCAAAACGCCAGCGACTGCGGTCACGGCGGCTGCGGACTCTTGGTAATGCCGTGGAATAAAAAGGAAGCGGGGATTGGTTTTGGCACTGGGCGCATTGCTGATCAATGATAAAGTCAATAATCCCTTGCCATTGATTTCATGAATTTGTCTGGGGAGAAAGAGGAAAGAATGAAAGCAAGTAGTTTTTGAATTGTGTTGTACTCTTCCAAGGTTATTGTTAGTGATGAATTGAAACAGGTTTCTTTCGTGCCTCGCGGGCGCGCACGTTGACATCGACCATCGACGTCACCATCGCCGCACCTCGCGCTTATGCACCGAATGCACGAACCTAACCCTTGTTCAACCAAGGAAACAATAAAAACCTCGAGAATTCACCAAACCCCAAACCGAAACCACTAGATCGGCGTTCAGACTTTGTTTATTTAGACTTTTCTTCTTCTTTCTTCCCCCTTATCGCTGGCCAAGACATCAGCAGCTACAATCTACGCCGCAATCATTACACCTTATTCTTTACCATCATTACCTTTTCCATCATGGCCCCCAACAGTCGTAGTCCCGATCCTGTCTCGTACGAAAATGCCGTTTTCCAGGCAGGTCTGCACTCAGCCAAGCCCCCCTTCAGCTTCCACTACTCGGACTGGGAGGACCAGGCCCAGAGCATCCTCTCGGCCAACTCCTGGGGCTACATCCACGGCAACGCAGGCGAGGGATCAACCTACCGCAAGAACCGCGCCGCCTTCGAGAGGTGGTCCATCCTGCCGCGGCGCCTGTGCCCCTCGCGCAAGGACGAAAACGGCAACGAGGTCTTTGCCGACACGCACAGCACGGTGCTGGGGTCCACGGCCCAGCTCCCCTTCCCCGTGGCCATCGCCCCGATCGGCGTGCAGCGCATCTTCCACCCAGAAGGCGAGCTGGCCGCTGCCCGGGCCGCTGCTGCGCTGGGTGTGCCGTACACGCTGAGCACGGCGTCGAGCACGAGCATCGAGGACGTGGCCGAGGCGATGGACAGCGTCGAGGGCCTGCAGGAACAAGACCAGAAGCCGGTGCGGTGGTTCCAGCTGTACTGGCCGTCGCGAGAGCACAACGACATCACGGCGTCGCTGCTCAGTCGTGCGAAGAAGGCGGGCTACAGTGCGCTGTTTGTGACGCTGGACACGTACGTTCTAGGCTGGCGGCCTGCGGATATGAACCATGGTTACAACCCCTTTATCCATGCAGACCGCATCGGCGTCGAGATTGGCCTCACAGATCCGGTGTTTCGGTCGCATTTCGAGGAGGAGCATGGGCATGGCGTCGAAGGAGGTGGTGGTGGTGATGGTCGCAGGCATGACAGCGAGTTGACAGGGCATCGCCTCGGCGAGGCGGCGGCGGAGTGGGCCAAGATTGCCTTTCCAGGCCACTCGCACGCCTGGGAGGATGTGGCGTTCCTGAAGCAGCACTGGGACGGGCCGATCGTGCTGAAGGGGATCCAGACAGTGGAGGATGCGAAGAGGGCGGTGGAGGTGGGCGTGCAGGGGATTGTGGTGTCGAACCACGGCGGGAGGCAGCAGGACGGCGGGGTGAGCAGCCTGGGGGTGCTGCCGCGGATCGTGGACGCTGTGGGGGATCAGATCGAAGTGTTCTTTGACAGCGGTGTGCGGTGTGGTGCCGACATTATCAAAGCATATGCTCTTGGGGCCAAGTGTGTCTTTATTGGAAGGCCGTATGCGTATGGTCTGGCGATTGGAGGCGAGGAGGGGGTGAAGCATGTCCTGCGGTCCATTTGTGGTGACCTGCTGATGAACATGCATCTTGCTGGGCTACGCGGTCTCGACGAGGTTACGAAGGATATACTTGTCAAGGAGGACGAGCTGTTCTAAGGGCACTTTCAGGAGTGAGTTGGCAATCACCAAGAGTTTCGAGCTCGAGACGACTTTCATGTCTGCCGGCTTCCATTAGTGATCGTGAGCAGGTTGGAGTGTGAGTGGACCATTAACTTCCCTACAGATCTCAGTAGAGTCAATGAAATAGAATAGACGGAATAATGGAAGACACGTTTACATCATGATCTCTATAGCAGCGATCGAAAGTAGCTCCCACCTCCTTCCAGAGCCATTGTCAGTAAAGCTTTAGCGCAGCGAGGAATAATTACTGCAGGTGCAAGCCAGTGTCTACCGCACCGGCGTGGTTAGTGGGTCCGGCCTCGCGGGTGTTTGGATGCTGATTGGCGAGAAGGGTGATCAGCGCACGGACCATCCTCACCACACTGGTGTGGTAAGTGGGTCGCCTCAATGCATGACACAATGCTCTGATAGGTCAAATATCAAGGCAGGCCGAGCGAGCAGCTCTTTCATCTTCCATCCATTCATTCATTCTGCTATTAATTGCCACAGACAAGAGCCGTGTGATCTCAAGCAGGCTCCTATACGCGATTGAATCTGCACCGTCTGCAGACCATGATGTTGCATCGACGGCAGACGTTCAGCCAGATGGGCATCTTGTCACCGCACTCTTCGCACTCGCGCGGCCCGTCGATCCTCCTCCAAGAGTTGTGCGCGCACTCGTGGTCATTGATGAGCTGCTGTCGAACCTGAGCGACCATATCACTCCTTGCAGCCGCAGGCAAAGTCCGGTTCCGAACCTCCCGATCCGCCACAACATTCGCCCTGTCAAATAATCTGTCCTCGTCCCACTGTGCGCAAGTGCATTTTTTCCAGCGGGCAGCACAGACGTAGCAGAACTGAGCTCCGCAACGACAAGCTGTAGGGCTCAGGTCTTGGTCAGATCGCTAATGAATCACAAGCAAGGGAGGGGAGAGCACTTGAGGGTTAGCAGATGCAATGTATAGCTTACTGATATGGTTGCATCCATGGCGTAGTTCGACGAGCCGGTGACAAGAGTAGCAAGACTGCCATCCGTTCTCCTTGGCCATCCGCAGAATCTCTTGTGTGGCAGGGTCCTCGGGGCACTCACCTACATGTGGGGCCTTCTTGCACGACGCACATGTAGTTGTCTTGCACTTGACGCATGTTCCAACACCGCTGGACACGGACCGAGGCGGGATGAAAGCGCCACAGGAAGGGCGATGGCAGTACGTTGCGTCAATCGTCTCTTGTTCCAATTTCTTCGCTTCGTAGCTTTCAATCAGCTGCGAGGAGAGAAACCTGCGGTTGCTCTGAGGCGGAATCGGCTGGCCACAGCATCGGGGAGGAAAGAGGGACTCATCCTTCAGGCTCCGCGTGAAGTGTTCCACGAGACAGCCCCGGCAGTAGTGATGGGAACAGGGTGCCCTGGTAATGTCGGAGATTGGGAACCGGTCCAGGCAGGTGTTGCAAGGCAGTAGCTCTGGCTTGGCTGTGGAGACCTTCCGCGAGGCTGCCCATGAAGACAATTCAGCCTGCTGGTGGTCGTTGTCTAAAACGGCCTGAGGTCCAGAGACGTACATCTCGTCGAGCTTCTTGAGGAGCTCGTCATCAACGGTATCTGGCTGTTTTTTCAGGCGTGCTGCTTTGTCAGGTCCTGGGCCTTGCATAAGCGCCGTCTTCTTGTTTGCTAGTTTGCAGGCCAATCGCCAGTCTCGAGCGATTTGGACATCCTGAGCTGTCAAATTGCTGATGAGTCCGCCATCCTCGCGGTTAGCTCTGGCCAAGCTCAAGGTCATCTGGCGGTCGGAAAGAAAGGTGATGCGGGACTGGATCTCGGCCTTGTGAAGCTCCAGAGCGACGCCCAAGTCGTCGATGTGGTCATGACGTTCTTTGCCTTTGGCATTGGCAGCCCGATGACGAGAGAACTCCTCGAGGTCTTCTGCCTGCAGGCGCAGGATAATAATGGCTGTCTTGTCGTCGATGTCCATTTTGCTGGTGACTGTGAGGAGTTGACTACCCAGCAGTCTCGCGTGTTATTGGTTAAATCTGCCACAAGCTCAGACTGGCAGGGCCAAGTTGGACAGATGTTGTATGATTCGTTTGTGGGCTCCGATGGGTGTGGGCTGAGGTCCTCGCTCGGATAGCTGCAGGTACTTGCTGAGATGATCGAATGAAGCTTGTTGAGGAAGGAGGTGGTGATCAAAAGCCCTGTTTCGAAACTTGGCGTATACCTTGCCTTGGCTTGCCGTCGAGTGTCTGCGCGAAATGAAGGATTTTGCTGAAGGCAGACCAAGCGGGAAGACCGTGAATAAAGAATACGGGCACAAGGTAGGAAATGTCTTGTTGTGGGAGAATTGGGTTGTTGGGGCGCGTTGCAGAAGGAGAGGAGAGGGGAAACAAAGGAAACCAGCCAGGCTCAGGCTGGAGTGAGGCTATCTAGAGAAACGGCGGTCAGGGCTGGTGGTTGCCAGGCATGCACGTGCCAGTGAGCCAAATGCACCTTCTTTGCACGCGTAGACAACCTCCCTTTCGCGTTTGCTTGTTTTCCCTTGGAACCCGAAACGTGCACACTACGCGTCATTACCTGTCGCATACATTTGCCTTCACAGTGAATCCGCCTCTAGAGTCGCAGTCAATGTCATATATGTAGCAATGGCATAGGTTTCAATTACTGTGACTACTAACAGAACTTGCAGAGGAATTCTCGGAGGGCTGAGGTAAGAAAGCAACTCGGAACGACAGCAATTTGCAATTCCAGCAACAGACCGCAAGATTTCATTGATCCATCCAGGATGGCTACCTTCGACAATCTGATGGTTACAACTTCAAGGTACCGGTCTGTCATGGCGCTCTCTCTCTCTCTCTCTCTCTCTCTCTCTATGTATACATATGAGAACAGTCTAGGTCTTTTGGCTTTACATCATGATCTCTGATTCGCCGCCGTGAGGTGGCGCAAAGCTGTAAACGTTGAAAATTGTCGGGGCTCTCCCTTAAGATGAACGTCTATGAAGCAATTTGTAGTCTGTCAACAAGTTTAAGAGGCAATAAGGTGTCAGTCAGTCGAGAGGGCGTCGTAACAAATGACTCCTGGGACTGGAGTAGGTTTGCTCATATAAGCTCTACGGTATCTCCTGATGGACAGAAGCGTCTGAAATAATCTTCATAGTACGTTTTCAGTGTTATTTCTCCGATTACTGCTGTCCCAGCTTCATATCTCATGTCTACTCAAGTATTAGTGTACTTGCTGCGCGGTTTCGAAATGCCGATTTGCAACTCCAAGCTCACCGCCTCCAACGTCATCCTGAAAATGATCAACAAATTAATCACCGCCTCATATTGATCAAGGATATTGCTTTGTAGCAATTATTCTCTTCTCATGTCAATTACTCAGCGTCGAGACAATTAGTCAACCAACAATGTTGGCAGCCTAGCATGCACGGACAGTGAGAGCGGAGCTCAGGTCACAAGGACCCGGAAAATCAAACCGTCTCTCATGTCCTTTTCGTCAACAGTCGTGGAGAGCATATACTTTATGATGAGACGGAATATAAATACAGCCTTCTAGATTTTGAATTTGAATTACTCTGTCTCTATGAACAGGTCTACATGTAGTGTAACACCAGCATGGTAGTTCGACCTACTGATTAGCGCGCCTTGGTGGACAAACTCCTTATCAGTATCGTCCTATCTGGGCAAATAACGAGAGATCTACGGCTACAACTTTATCTGTCATTTATCGTGCCCATCTCCTCATTAGTAATTCATCACGTATCTCACTCATTTGTGCCACCTTGGTCGTGTTCCACCACCCGGCAATTATACAGACTGGCGAAATCTTCGATCTGCTTCTTTCAAGGTTGCTGGGAGTGTTTATTTCTACTCAATCATATCAAGCCGGGTATCATTGTTGACAAATATCTCGAGGTACGCTCTCAGACTCAGGGTTCACTCAACAATAGTACCACTCACTCAAATTACAGCGAGGACTTCTCTTTGGACCACTCTTCTTCTACAAACAACATGCCACCCAGAGTCTTCCCCATCGTCCAGACGGTGCCGGTGGCCAAAGGCACACCCGAGTATGAATCCCTCGTCGACAACATCGTCCTTGAGCAGTTCGCCAACAAGGTGCCCAAGAACCTCCTCCTCCCCTCTGCCATCATCGACAACCCGCCCAAGGACGTGACCTCGATCCCGCGCGACTGCGGCCTCCTCACCGCCGACGAGCTCGCCATCACAGAAACCCACGACGCCACCTCGCTCGCCCAGGCAATCCGCACGGGCCAGCTCACCTCCGTCGCCGTGACCACCGCCTTCGCCAAGCGCGCCATCATCGCGCACCAGCTGACATGTTGCCTGACGGAGTGGTTCCTAGACGAAGCCTTGGCCCAGGCGCGCGCCCTGGACGAGCACCTCGCGCGCACGGGAACCGTGGTGGGCCCCCTGCACGGCGTGCCGGTGAGCATCAAGGAGCACCTGCAGATGGCAGGCCACTGGTCTGCCGACGGCTACCTGGGCTCGCGCAGGCTCGACACAGAAGACAGCCACATCGTCTCCATCCTGCGCAGGCTCGGTGCCGTCTTCTACTGCAAGACGAACCAGCCGCAGGCCATCATGCACCTCGAGACCGTCAGCCCGTACGGCCGCACCCTGAACCCGCACAACGTGCACCTGTCGGCGGGAGGGTCTTCAGGAGGAGAGGCGGCGCTGCTTGCGCTGCGTGGCTCGGTGCTGGGCGTGGGTACGGATATTGGAGGCAGCATTCGGGGCCCTGCTGGGTTCTGTGGGGTGTATGGGTTCAAGCCTACGACCAGGCTGCTGCCGATGCGCGGGTTGAATCATTCTGGCGGCGTCCCTGCGGAGCTGACAATTCTGGCGACGTGTGGGCCCATGGCGGTGTCGGCGAGGGACTTGGACTTGTGGATGGGCGCTGTGCTCGGTGAGAAGCCCTTTCTTAAGGACCCGAGCCTTGTGCCGTTGCCCTGGAGAGGGCTGAGTGCAGATGGAGGAGCTGGAGCATCAAGTCGACAAAAACCTCTAAAGATTGGGTTCATGATGAACGACGGTGTGATTCAGCCCCAGCCGCCCGTGGTGCGGGCCCTCGAGTGGGCGAGGTCTAAACTCTCTGGCTCCTCCGACGGGTTCGAGCTGAAGCCTTTTGTCCCTTATCGCGTCGCAGATGCTATTAAGAACATTCGTCGCGCATACTGGCCTGACGGCGGAGAGGGCATAAAGGCCGCCGTGGCCAAGACGGGAGAACCCATGGAGAAACTGAGTAAGTCCAGTCCCTTATTACGATATTGATCATTGGTTTTTCCTCTCAGGAGAGATGGAGAAAACAATACATGCTGATGAAGTAATGCATTAAAATCATAAAAGCCCAGTGGATCATCCAGGACGCCGAGGGCCCAGCCTATTCATGGGAAGACATGTTCAAGATGCGCCTCGAGCGCGACGATCTTCGTACCCAGTTCGCAGAGCACTGGACCGAGCAGGACGTCGACGTGGTGGTGTGTCCTGTGTTCGTCGGCCCGGCCTCTGCGCACGACACGGCGCTCTACTGGAACTACACCGCCTTCTGGAACTATGTTGACTGTCCTGGGTTTGTGTTTCCAACGCCAATCAAGGCACTAGCCAAGAGCGAAGAGGAGGCGCAACACGGGTCTTCCTCTTCTGGCACAGTGCTCGGCGACGAGGACGCACATGTGCGGAAGCTCTGGGAGGAGGGCGACTTTGAGGGGGCTCCTGTGTGTCTGCAGATTGTGGCGCGGAAGTATCATGACAATGAGCTATTTTCTGCCATTGCAGCCATGAAAGATACTCTGGGTATCTCGTAAGTGTTATCAATTGATAGTCACAATCTGTTTTCTCGGCGAATAACGGGTTTGACAGGGGCTAGGTGAGTTCTGGGCCGCTTGAGACAGGATATTATGAAGAGTATCATGAATCAAATATAGATCTCAGTTGGATCCCTGCCTATTGACTCAACCTTTGGGCCATTGCGTATGACTATTGCTTGTAGAATCGGTATCCTTCTCATAATCCATGAAGTCATTCCTTGATATTCATCACATAGTTACAAGATTTCAGCGTTTCACGACAATTGGTAGGGTTAGGGTTGAGGGATATCCGCAACGAACAAGTCGTCTAGAAACAAAGCTTTGAACAAAATTCGTGTAAATAGTCGCAAACATCTCATCTCATATACACAGCAAAAGCCCACAGACAACACCACAAGATTCTGCCTTTCCCATCATAGCTTCCTCCTTCAACACACCATCCTCAATCCATCATGCCAGAAAACCCTACCCCAAAAGTCCACGGCCTCAACGTCACCGACCGCACCCAGTGCGCCCACTGGAATTCCGACCTCGACATCATCGCCATCAGACACAAGTGCTGCGGCGAGTACTACGCCTGTATCAGCTGCCACGAGGCGGTGGCCGGCCACAGCGCCCAGGTGTGGGCCCGAGACGAGCGCGACACGCCTGCGGTGCTCTGCGGGAACTGCAGGCGCGAGCTGACGGTGGCGGAGTACCTTGGCTGTGGGAACACTTGCCCCGGCTGCGGAGCGGGGTTTAATCCAGGGTGTGCTAGGCATTATGATTTATACTTTGAGACATGACAAAACATGTGATGGAAAAGGAAAAGGAAAGGGAAGATCTGTAAGCGGAGGTGGACACAGAGAGAGAGGGAGGGAGAGAGGGAGAGAGGGGGACGTGCATGAGAAGGAAGAGCGGAGGCGACCAGCCAAGACCTCGAATCCTGGTCATGATTTGTGAGCTCTCGCTTGTTATTATGCTTAATTAACGACTTTGGACAGAACATGCTGACAGCAGGTATTTACCCTCCACCACCAGGCATCAAATGAAAAGGTGGAGGCCAAGGCATAATTGATGAAGGCCACATTCCCTACCACATTCCACATACAGCAAGGTCAGCAGTGAATAAGCTTCCTGGGGAATCTTTGGGAGCATCGGACTCTCCTTCTGATCCTGTCTGTCTGCAGATCCTCTCCTCGTGTCACTATCGGGTACTGTCCACCACTCCGTCACGGAAGCTACTTTCTGGGGGAAAGGCACACATAGACACCATGTGTTGCTCTATTGGTGAGCACGCCGCTGGTACTCAGCGAGCAGTCTCTCCTGCGCCACAATCTCCGCATCAGTGACGTCGACTGGAAGAGGCGGCAGGGACGCAGCCACTTCCTGTCCGTGCTCAGTCCGATGAGAGCTGCCTCGATCTGCGTGCCCAGAAGTCCTGTGCTGGCTGGCATTGATCGGCACTGGGTCCTCCTCCCTGCAGTATTCACGTGTGATCGTCTCGTGGATGACCAGGTTGCCTTCTTCAGGCATGTCGGTCGTCTCGCCCAAGGTAGTCGACGCAGGAAGTGGCTCTGCTGTGGTGCGGTATGTACCTGCTGAGTCTAGGGCAGCGTTGTTGTTGTCGTGTTGAGAAGGCACGGGCGAGGCTGCATATTGTGGCTGAGTTGGACGGTGGTATACGCATCTCGAGTTGTGGCAGTGATATCGATCACGATGTCCAGCGAGGCAGGTTTCGTTGCAAACGATTCTGTGGCAGTGTCCGCACTCGAAGGTCAGGCTGGTGCCTGTGGTCGGTACGACAACGGCTTGAGAGAACCAAGAGTTCATTGTCAAGGAAAGAGAACAATAAAGCTGAGGGGAGAGATTCTTGGTGCTGATAAAGTTGGTGCAAGGACCCAAGGAGATGCCACTTGATCCATTGGAGTTGGTTAAAAGAGTGGTATGCAATATTTATCCATTGATTAAAGGAATGAATGATTGACAAGAAACAGTGACTCAACACCAACATTTGCTTGTCTTTGAAGGGAAATTGAAAAATTGAAGATGGTCTGTAGAAGATTCTGATGGCTTTTCTTCTTGTGGACAGATGACGACGTCTTTTCCTTGGGTCAATGAACTCATCTCATTTAGTGACTAGTAGCAATTGTAGTGATTGTATATGCTGAAACAGGTTACTTTGGAATCTTTGTTTGGCATTCATGTTTTCGACTATATATATATACATCTAATTAGATGATCAGTTGCCGCTGTTCAACACATTCACAGTATTCGTAGAATCGTGCCTAGATCTTCCTCACTCTTCCTAGTCCTTGTAGGCAAGAGGGGTCTTCATATCCAATTGTTCAACCCTCGAGCGATTGAGTAATCTATGTCTCGATGTTGTAGCAGGTCGGTTACTCAACTTCCAGGGACTCACTTGGAACCCCTCTCAATCAAATACCCAAGTATCTTAGTCAGATTATTGCTCAGAGGAATGTGTGCCATTGAAGCATCTTCCGCCTAGCTGACAATCAACAATGCTTTCCTCCTCTACAATCAAGCCGCTCCACAAATCTTCATCTAAGCCACTCTGCTCAGCTCAACATGGAAGAAATTGTTGCTGACCACTGCCAAGAAGAGAGGAGGACCTCAGGAGTATTATCTCCATAGCGTACTGCAGTACAATGGCACTTCATGCCTTGTACTATGGCACACTGCCGTTTCCCAAGCCATGAACCTTCTTGGAGTCAATAATACATTAACGTTACCACATAATAATTGGTACGTGACGGGAAGCAATGCAACTGAATGCAATGTCACCTTCCAGCTGCACCCCACTAGTGTTATCTAGAAACAACGCCACCACTGCACGGCGACCCGGCGCAATAACCCCTAGAGCTGTTGATCAAGTTCCTTGGTTATCAGACGGGACCCACGCATTGGCCCTCTTCATCCATCCAAAGAACATATTATCCCCACATAGTCTAGACGGGCAAGCCAAGTCTTGGCCCCCTTTCGAAAAAGGACCCACGTGACTACCCGCGGGGAGAACCTTAAAAATGGTCTCACGATCAAGCCTCTGTCATTGCTCTTCACATCTAAGCCCCTTCATTTTAGAACATCCTGGCCAGGTACCAGGGAGGACGAACCTATCAAGAGTAAGAGTCGCCGTGCAACCTTCAATTTCCAAAGATCTTCTGTGCTACGTGAGATGCACGCCTCGATAAGCAATTTTCCCTGCTCCGGAACCTTCTGGGATGTCCGTCGATCATTTCGTCGTATTCTTGCGGTGGGACCAGCAAGGCTCATTTAGGAAGGTGGTTGACCATCCTAGCCGAACGTCTCCGGAACACCTCCGCCAAACAAGGAATTGAGCGCGACATTTCTACTTCACCACCAGATTGATATCTCTGTTGTGCCGCCTATCGCCCGTGCAAATTAATTATGGGTTCTGCGCGGAAGAAAAGAAGACAAGAAATAACACTGACAAGCATCTATGAAGGCGTTGTAACATTCTCCATGCACATCTTCGGAATGCTTTCCCGTCTCCTGCAGCGATAACTTAAAAGACAATAGATATATGCAATAGTAGCGCTGTCGTGCTAGCTGGTACGCAAGCCCTCAACGGCCCGGCACATGCACATGCATTCTCTCGCTCGAGAATTGTGGGCCATGCAGATGAATCGTCCATGCCGTAGTCCGAGCACCCGGAGGAGGGGAGGGGAGGGGGCTCAGCTCAGAGGGGTCAGACAAAAGACGACGGTCCGCTGCAGAGACGATCATCTACCTGCAGTATGCGGGAGAAGCGTGCTAGAAGGCCTCCTTTCTTTGGCTCTGGTTCTTCGTTTCCACACTTCGAGGCAAACGAGCCACGGCTTGCACCGCCAACACACACCACCATGGAAGATTCGCCTGCTGTTATGGGTCCTCTTAGCGTGTGGACTGCATTCTTGACCCACACCTGAATGGGAAGGCAATGCAAGTATATCCTAAAGAGATGTTTCCGTCTAAGGTAGTATCAGAATTACCATAGTGCTGTTGGTAAGGTTCATATTCGTACAAGTGGGGGGGCCTCGAGGTCAAGGAGCTTGGGTAATGAAGATGAAGACGCGACTGTATTGTTTATAAGTCCACCCTCGGCCCTCTGGGTCTTGCTCTCTCTTGTTCTCCTTTCTCTTCCTCTTGTGTTGTCGTTCCCTCGTCAAACTCCTCCCTTTCACCGACGTTGACGACAGCAGCACGACGAGAGGTCTTGTCAAGATGAAGTCCGTCCTCCTCAGCCCGCTGCTCCTGGCCGGCAGCACTCTGGCTGCCCTGAACAGAGCCCCAGGACCACCCAAGCCTCTGCCACCCAAGCGGGTCGACGAGCGATTCAGCACGGGCAGTCTCAAGAAGCGGGACAACACCACCACCGTCGGCCAGGGCACCTTTGAGCAGCTGCTCGACCACAATGACCCCAGCAAGGGCACCTTCAGCCAGCGTTTCTGGTGGAGCTCTGAGTACTGGACGGGTCCCGGCGCGCCTGTCGTCTTCTTCACGCCTGGCGAGATCGAGGCCGACGAGTACACGGGTTATCTCACCAACGAGACCATCACAGGCGTGTTCGCCCAGGAGCTTGGAGGCGCCGTCGTCATGATGGAGCACCGCTACTGGGGCGAGTCGAGCCCGTACACCTGGCTCACGACCGAGAACTTCACCTACCTGACGCTGGAGCAGGCCATCAAGGACACCACGTACCTAGCCAACAACATTGATCTGCCCTTTGACCCCACCGGCTCCAGTCTGGCTTCGAATGCTCCTTGGGTCATGGCTGGTGGAAGTTACTCGGGTGCTCTGACTGGCTGGGTCGAGGCTGTCGATCCGGGCACGTACTGGGCATACTATGCGACCAGTGCCGTCGTCGAGACCATCTGGGACTTTGTAAGTCTTTCAAAAAACTGGTGATTCTTGAGGGGGTTTGAACCATGTCGCTAACACTTCAACAGTATCAATACTTCAAGCCTGTGCAGGCTGGCATGCCCGCCAACTGCAGCGCAGACGTGCAGAGCGTCATTGCCTACGTTGACTCGGTTCTTACGAGCAACGACACGGCTGCCATCCAGAGCCTGAAGGCCAAGTTCGCCCTTGAGGATCTCGAGCACAACGACGACTTTGCTGCCGTCCTCGAGTACGGCCCTTGGGAGTGGCAGGAGATTCAGTTCTACTCGGGCTACAGCCCCTTCTACCTTTTCTGCGACTCTGTCGAGAACGTTGGGTACTATTTCCCTGACTCCACTACTGTTCCCGGTGCCGAGGGCGTTGGTCTTGAGAAGGCGCTTGACGGCTATGCTGCGTTCATCAAGAACTACATTGTGGACGGTGGTAAGTTATATCTTCCCGCCCGGAGACTCATGATTTTGTTTCAAAGGTTGGCCCAAGCTCACAAGACAACAAAATAACAGCCTGTGCCTCTTACGGCTATGATGTTTGGACTGACGAGTGGGATGTTGGCTGCTTCGACACGTACAACGCCAGCAGCCCGTTCTTCACTGACAGGAGCGTGGACAACATCTACAACCTTCAGTGGAACTGGTTCCTTTGCAACCAGCCGTAAGTCGAACCCTATACATATTTGTGTTCCATGTTTTCAGACTTTTGTGTGCATGATTCTGACAGATACACTTTCTTTAGCTTTGCCTACTGGCAAGATGGTGCCCCAGGGAACGTCTCCACCATCGTCTCCCGCCTTGTCTCTGGAGAATACTGGCAGCGCCAATGCTCGCTCCTGTTCCCCCCTCCAGGAACCTTTGACCCTGACAACAAGACCGTTGCCGATACCAACGCGTACACCGGCGGCTGGGACACGGCTGGCAACACCACCAGGCTTATCTGGACCAATGGCCAGTACGATCCTTGGAAGGACTCGACCGTCTCCAGCGACTACAAGCCCGGTGGTCCGTTCCAGGGCACTGCCACAGCGCCTATCCAGGTTATTCCCTCTGGCATCCACTGCAGCGACATGCTGATTGACAACGGCCTGGTCAATGCTGGTGTGCAGGAAGTGATCGACAATGAGGTGGCACAGATTGTGACCTGGGTCGACGAGTATTACACGGAGAAGAAGAAGCCTAGAGTCGTGAGGCGACACTAGATTCTTAGCAATGTGCTATAATTTGATCGTGTGATGATATAAATTGAGAATATGAATGTAATATTGGATGCATTGCCAAGAACCAACGCTTGTCCCTGCTACTAAGTTGTGAGAAGAAAACAAAAGAAAAGAAGCTTCCTCTCAGGCCATGATCTGATTCTAATCATCTAATCATATCTCGTTTCCTATCTATGCGTCTGACTCTGTCTTGTAGTACTTGCTAGCGATGGGCTGCTGAACCTGCGCCGAGCCCTCGGGCAACAACCTCCGTGACTTGGCCTTGAAGTCCTCCAGTGCTTCATACCAATCCTCATCGACCCCTCTCATCCTATCCAAGCCCCTCTCCTCCACGCCTTGGTTCACCCACTCCAAGACCTCATTCATATACGGTACCTGATTCTGCAGCAGGCTGTGGAAGGCTTTACCCTTTACTCCTTTTGCCTTCCTGGCCGCGTGCTCTTCTTTCATCTCCTCTCTGCTCGGTAGCTCTGCCATACCAGCGTACACTCGCGCCACCACCTCGGCCTGGAAGTCGAACATGGAGAAGGTTGAGGTGTAGTAAGGCACACCCACGAAGGACAGGGTCGGGTCCGGGATATAGAAGATGTCCTTGTGCAGGTTGTGCGTGACACACTTATCCGCCGTGATCAGGATTGTCTCGTCAGCCTCCTCGACAGGAATCGTGTCCGACTCAAGGCCCTTTAGAAAGGGGTATGTGGTCTGGTACCCCGACGCGATGATGACCTGGTGGATGTCGCTAAGGATTCGCCCGTCTGTCAGGCGTACTGTGCCTGGTATCGGCACACCAGGCTCGTCCTCGAGGCTTTTCCCCTCGTCCAGCTCGAAGGACTGGAGGCCTGCTACTCTTTCCGAGTTGGACGGGAGGAGAGAGGCGTCGAGGTCGAATATACCGCCACGCGCTGATTGGTAGGTCTTGTTTGCCACCTTCTCCAGCTCCTTTGCGATGTCAAGCGACGACACGCCAGCACCGACAAGGAGGAGGTTCTGGTCCTTGAACTCGGCCGGATAGCGGTAGCTCTTGGAATGCATGACCCTGTCTGGAAACTTCTGCTTCCATTCAGCCAATCCTGGGACGCTTGGGATCAGAGGGACATGGTAGTGCCCTGATGCCACAACCACAGCATCAAATACCCAGTCTTTGTCCTCAAATGAAATTGAACCGTCCTCATTCCTGAGGAGGGTTCTGCTCCGTAGATCCCATCCGCCGGTCTTGGGGTTCTTGACAGCTTCCTCGACGCGCGTGTTGTACAGCGTCACACCTTGCACACCCGTCTCAAGGGCAAGCGTCTGCACGTACGTCTCAATCTCATGGTGTGTGACATGTTCGGGTGTTCCTTCTGGCCACTTGAGGAGAGTGCTCTTCATCATGGTGGTGGGGACATTGTTCATGAGTCCCTCGTAACACGGTCCCGGCGGTGCATGAGCAATAGCGATGTCTTCTGGTGTTTTGCGATCCTCCTCGCCGTTCGTCTCGTTGCCTGTACTTGCAGGACTACTACTGCCACCTATTTCTGACTTTATGCGCGGATATTCAGGGTCCTTGTCTCTTCGGGGGTCAAAATGCCAGACGCCGCCGGCAACGTCGGACCGCTCAAACACGGTCACCTTGAAATCATGTCGAAGGAGATGGGCAGCAGCTGACACGCCGCTGATGCCAGCTCCTACGACGGCGACAGACTTGATAGAGGACGGCATGACTCGAGACTTGCTGAAGAAAGTAGACAGGCACGCCTGAAGCGTGTGAGATATTTGCTGGGCAAGAGAAGGCCCGTAATTAGTGATGAATCGAAGACTATCAAGTCGGGGCGTGGGTCTGTTAATGATATTATTATTTCCTAGGGCAAAATGAGAAACTAGGCGTCATAAATGGGTACAAATAGCCTAGTGTAAATTTTCCTCGTTGGTTTATACTCTCATTCAAAGTCTCTTACGAATGTATTACAAACCGCGGCCCCGTCTTCGGTGCTTTTGGGGTCGTGGCTGAGATGGCGCAATACTCACCCACGAATTACGCTATGGGAGGGGAAAGCAAAAGGCAACATATCAATCCCTTATCGTTTGACTCGCTTCAATAACCGTGGGTCCTTTTGTCGTACGACTCCATCAGCCTGGAGCAGGAATATCGTGGGCAAGTCTGTAGCCCGAGGGATTGTGCGACTTTGCAGGCGGAGGCTGCCGAAGGAGTGGGAAATCTACGGAGCAAATGAGATGCAGACTGACATCAACAACATTAATCTATACAGTCTTGCGGACAAATAGCCTCTCATCATGTTTACTACAGCTTCCCTGGTCTCGTATTTTCAGAGTTGTGTGTACTCAAGTATATTTAACATTTGCAGAGAAATATATGTAATAGTTTCACATCTCTCACACAGACCTGTCTAGTACACATCTGCAGCCCTAAGCTTCATGGCCCTCTCCCTGTGGTGTAAATGTCGCACCACAAAAGCCGTAAATACCAATCCTACAGCAAAGAAAATCATGGTCATGAAGCCCTTGTGGAATTCTGGCGCACTCGTCTCCAGCCAGATTATATTTGGCAGCCAGGCCTGGAAGACATATGCCATCTCGTTCATGGTGCCCACCACCAGAGCCCGCTCCTCATTGTCGTCGCTGCAGATCTCGTGCGCCCAGGCCATGATCAACCCACTGATACCGCCACCAAAACCTTGCAGGATGAAGCAGGCCCACTTCCAACCTACAGGAATATTCCAAACGGCCATGGATATATTGATGACAAAGTTGTTGACGCCCGAGTACACAATCGGCGGCCATCTTGCGCCTCCGCACAGCGTGTCAGAGGTCCAGGCGTAGATGAAAGTCGTGATGACCTGGACGGCCTGTGTGATTGTCGGGTACGTGTTGACCTGGACGGTGCTGTATCCTTGTAGCTTGAGCCAGTCGGCAAACACAGGCTGGCTTCCATAGCCGTTTCCGTTGTTAAAGAGCACATACAGCAGCGTCAGGAGGTAGATGTGCCAGCTGGAGAATATCTTCTTGACCTTGGCCTTGGTATACTTGCCACGGTTTGCACGCCCTTCCAGCTCCATGCGCTTCTGCGCCAGAGCGATCTCCTCTTTGGAGAGGTAGAAGGCACGGCAGATCTCGGGAACGTCAGGGAACAGGAAGAAACCTGCGAGGGCGATGGGCAGCGAGATGACCGTGTTGACGATGAAGAGCCACTGCCACCCTTTGAAGCCATCCACGCCGCCCAGATGGTACACGGCAGCCATGAGATAACCTGAGAACATGGCTCCAATGGCGGACGAGGCGTGGAAGATGCACGATCGACGGGCGAGCTCGTCTTTCCGGTACCAGGACCCGATAATGTACTGCATGCCCGGGTAAAAGCCAGACTCGGCCAGGCCGATGAAGAAGCGCAGCACGTACATCTGCTGGGCGTTGGTACATTTCGTCATGAGGATGGTCAAGACGGCCCAGATGGTCTCGCAGGCGGGAATCACATAGGACGGGCGGACCTTGGTGAGGAGCAGGTTGCTTGGTGAATTGGTCAGCATGGATGGTGCGATTTCGATTTGTAATTACAATATTCGAGAGGTCCTGGGCAACTTACATTGGCACTTCACCTATCACGTATCCGACCGTCCATGTGGTCGTCATGATATTGAGCTGGTTGCCATAGAGGTGCATGTCCTCTTCCATACCACTGACATAGGCATTGCTGATGTTCACCTGCAATAAAAAGAGGTTAATTACAAATGTCCTGACCAATTGCCTTCGAAAGAATTTTTTAGGGTGTCCCACCTGGTCAAGGTACTTGATAAAGTAACCAAGAGAAGCAAATGTCAGGATGACTGCATCCAGCTTGAAGAGAAACCGTCGCTCCTCCGGCGACTTGTCGAATGTATCCCACAAGTACGATCGCCATGTCCTCTTGGGAACAGTCTGCACTGTAATCGATGAGTGCGAGTCCGCATCGTCCGACTCGGGAACATTGTGGCCATGCTTCTCATCCGACTGAGAGATTGAGACGCGTGCGGTCTTCTCGGCCTCGCTGTCGGCCGGCCCGGTGACTGAGACTGCCATCGTATTTAGAACCGATTAGTGCTGATGTCCGGTCGAATTATTTCCTCTTCAACGGGCTGGCTACAGCTTGGCGAGTAAAAGATACGAAGACAACAGTGACAGTATCTTTTCGTCGTACTCGAGTCAGCCAATCTGATTGCCCAAAAAGTCCAACGAAACGCAGCACGCCATACAGCTGCATTATATGGTATTCGACCAGAACGAGCTGCGTGACAAGCCAGCTTATAGATGGAGCGAACGTTGAACGACTAGTGAGAGGTACCAAAGTTATCAACACACGCCCTGCACGCCCCACGTTGCGGGTTCTCGCCATCGTGGATATCGGGATGGCGTGCTGACAGCCATGGCGGTGCGTCATCCGCCCAACACCTTTTTTGCAGTACCAATTATACCATAGCAATGCATATTTTTACTAGTAAAGTCAGTGACTAGAATATAGGATAACCAAACCAGAACCCCAACAATGGCCACCGCCCGAGCGCACGATAATTAACTTGCATCCGTTTGGGCGCAATTGTGGATAATTATGTAAAACAAATGAGCCCGAGGATCTCCCGTAGCCTCGTGAAGGATGAACATCTTCCCTAAATTTGACAGACTAATGACTACTTGGTTCTAGTGAAGATTCTCTGCCAACTGCAGCTGCATCATTCGTATCTTGTTGTTCGGATCCGATGGGCCGCTCTAGAAAAGAAGAATAGAGAGAACCCCGCCTGTGTACCATAATGATATTCGCCTTTCTTTACCCGAGCTCCAAGGTGCGCGTAGTGTATCTGCACAATCCGTCATGACACCAGACGCGATCACGAGCACGCAATATGCTTCCCCCCCACCACTGCCATCCTCAGAACCTAGTACGAGGTACGTGTTGCGCGAGAGAGAAGAGACCCCGCAGATAGCAAGCCCTGGATCTACATACTCTGGGTGGTATTTCCAATCCCGGTCTTTGGGGAATTAGACGGCGAGTAAGCGCACTAGTTTTCCATTTGATGATCGCAAGCCCCGCGATGGCGATGGCGTGCCAATGCATGCTCTACTGTAAAACTGTAATTATGGGGTTGCTGCTCGTGTCGCGCATCGTGGAGGGCCGACAGCTCTTCTGATTTGTACGAAAGGTGGCTTGCACTATCAGTCACTGCATGCAGGGTAGACTGCGAATGACCTCAGACACACACTGGTTTTGGTGATGCATCTTCTCCGCATCTGGTTAATAATTGCAAGCTGCTGGTTTGGAGATTTGGGGGGAGAGGGGCAGGCCTAGGATACACATGATGCTTAGAAATACGTGCTTGCCTTCGTGGCATTTGTGGGCCGTGTGTGTGTCTGATCGGGGTAATTGATGCAATAGTAGATTAGAAAGTCGATGAGGATGCCCGGGGATATATAATCTTCATGTGGACGGGACATGGACAGCAGTGTTATTTGGAGAAAACATACAGAGAGTAGAAACGAGATCAGAGTTTGCAGAATAAGATCACTTTCGTGGCGATCTTGCTATCACCACCAAAAGACTATTACTTCGTATTTACTTGATACTATCTCGCGTGTCTACTTGGAGTAAACAGCGATACATATACATCATGGCTCCAGCTCCCATTGTTCCCGACATTGTTGATTATGTCGAGCCCAAGAAGGACAACCTGGGCCTTCCAGAGCCAACAGCCATCCGTCTCAAGAAGGCAGGCATTGACCTGAGCAACGGCTACCCATACAGACCCTCGAGGCCTCTCTTCCTCGACGATGTCTACAAGATCCGCAATGTCGAACGGCCCTACGTCGACCCGGGTTCGAGGGCCGACAAGGAGAAGAAGGCCCTGCTCTCGGCAGCCACCAAAGTGACTGACCTCACGACGCACATCGGCACCGAGATCGAGGGCCTGCAGCTCAAGGACCTCACGGACCAGCAAAAGGACGAGCTGGCCCTGCTTGTTGCTGAGCGCAGTGTTGTTTTCTTCCGCGACCAAGATCTGTCTCCTCAGCAGCAGAAGTCGGCAAGTCATTACAAGAGAATAACAAGTCTTTCTAGGAGTTTATTTTTGAGCTAACCTTTTTGGCAGCTGGGAGAATGGTTTGGCGAGGTCGAGGTTCATGTGCGTTTTTCCTTGATTATTCCCAAGGCCTTTCCTATGTTCATTTTGCATCTACAGCACGGACAAAGACATGATGAAGTAGTTTCTGACATCTCGTTTTCGTCTCTATCTAGCCCCAAGTGCCTCAAGTACCAGGACTTCCCGGCGTCAGCATTATCTGGCCCGACCTGATGGCAACCGAGCGTCAGACAGGCTTCCGCAAGCCTGGCGGCGCGTCTCGCTGGCACAGCGACCTTGTCCATGAGCTGCACCCGGCCGGATACACCCACCTACACAACGACACGATTCCCCCCACGGGCGGTGATACTCTCTGGGCGAGCGGCTACTCTGCTTACGAGAAGCTGTCTCCAGACTTCCGCAAGATCATTGACGGCAAGCTGGGTGTATTCCGTTCAGGTCAGTGATTCATTAATTCTTGCGTCTCTCCTCTCTTCTACTGATATTTCATGTTCTAATTTTCTTGTTATCTAATGTAGCTCACCCCTACCTCGACCGTGATCACCCTGAGGAGGGACCAAAGTATATCGAGAGGATCCACCCCATCGTCCGCACCCATCCCGCCACGGGCTGGAAGTCCCTCTTTGTCAACCGGGCCATGTGCCACCGGATCGTAGGCCTCGACAAGCCAGAGAGCGATGTCATCCTGAACTACCTGTGTGATGTGTACGAGTCGAACCCCGACATCCAGGTCCGCTTCAAGTGGACGCAGGGCACGAGCGCCATCTGGGACAACAGGTCAGTAATCAAGTACTCCGAAGAAGGTGTCAGAATGTGCATCAGACTCGAGCAGAGGCTAATTTTGGGATCACTCTCTTTACAGAATTACCAACCACAACGCCAGCTGGGACTATGGTGGCCGACACCCTCGTCATGGCACTCGGGTCACTTCCCTGTGTGAGAAGCCCTACTTTGACCCGAGCTCGCCCACTCGGCGTCAGGCCTTGGGGCTGCTGGGTGAGGATGAGAAGGAGGTCGATGGTCCTGCTTAGATGGCTGGGGATAAATTCGTGTCTACTCAGAAACCCAAGATTCTGGAAAGATGAATTTCCTGTTTCTGTCATTGACTGTTTCATATCCACCAGATCGATCCATGTTATTGGAATGAACAGCATTCAACCATTACGCATGTGCATGCCTTTGTCATTGTGTCACGTTGATGAATTGATATTTACAGTTGTGATGCATACATTATCTCGTTGGACGTCGGCATGTAATTTTCTTTGCAAACAGAAGTGAAGAAAACAACAGAAGAAAGAAAAGGAGATGAACCAAAGAAGAGACCCTATATGTAAGCACAGTAACAACTGCATCGTCTTGGAATGGGCATCAACGTTTGGAGTTGGGAGCAGCATTTTGGAACTTGGCCGTCGTACAGCGCATGTTGATTATCAGTCCTGTGCATGACTGCCTTTCCTCTTCTCTTCTGATTTTTTCCCCCAATATTGTCTGTTTTAATCTTCTAATCCTTAAGTACCTAATTATCTCAATTCTTGTCTTTGCTCGAGGACCTTTGTTCAGCCTTTCCTCTTGTCCTTTGATTATACTCGATCCAATACAACTTTCTTTCCCCATATTTACATCTCTTCAACTTTATTCCTGCTTATTGTAAATGAAAATCTATCCTTTATTTATAACCTTTTTTTCTTTCCTGTCCTCGTCTCCTTCCTCTTCTTCCTGAGTGGCTGTTCGTGGCTGACCTTGTGGCGTGGCTTTAAAATTGTGGCTGACATCTGTTTCTGCCAAATGAGGCAAGAGCTCATCCACCCCACCTTCGCTGGCCTGTGTCTGAGGCCCTTACGACATAAACAATAACGACCACACCAAGTCGACGACCATCCCACGACGCATCCCATGCGAGCCCTCCAAGATGCCCACTGGCGCATACGCCCGCCGACATGAAACCCAAGACAATGAAAGTCATCCTCCTCCCCCTTCGAATCGAAATACCTCCACGACAGAAGACGAAGAGCTTCGTCTAGTCCAGCTGCAAAATGCCGTCCTGCAACGAGATGTTACGACCGAAAATAATGCAAACAACACTCATGCTGGACATGCGGGCAATGGGACGAGAGGACATGCGGCGAGCACAACAACAGACGGCGCACGCAATCCCGTCACACCAGGCACTGACTATGCCTCGCTCCGACTCATCACACGCAGGCAACCTCAAGACCCAGACGCCTTGCTGAACGGCATGGACACGAGCAGCGCAGACCTGAGCTGGGCAGCGGGTCTGGACGCGCATGGGGGTCTTGACCCGAAAGGACAACCATGGGTGTATCCCAAGACGAGGGGCAAGCTGGGCTCAAACCTGGACGAGTTCAGGGACGAAATCGAGACGCGCACGAAAAAGGGCGAAGGTTGCCAGACTATCGCTGATGCTCTCATCGCCATGGGCGTCGAGACGAGCAATCGGGCTGTTGCGAGGCAGAGGATGAAATGGGGTCTCCGACAGAGGGTCAGTCAGTCTGTCTGTCTGTGTTCTGCCCATGCTCTTGACGCGCCTGGCTGGTCTAACACAGAAAGAATTCCATGGTTGGAAAGATTAGGCACAGAGACGAATGACCGAGCAAGGTCTCGCCAACATCCGTAAGGCCCACCTCGACCACGCCCAGCGGTTGTCCAACAGTGACCCCGTCCCCGTCAAGCGAGTGCGCATCCGCGTCCTGCGCAAGGCCGAGATCACGCGCATGACAAAAGAGGGCCTGTCGGCAGCACAGATCGCAGAGAATCTCAGCGCCCGTGGTGTCAGGCTCAAGAGGGGCGCTGCCACTGTCGAACGGTTGCGTACCGTCTGGGGCCTGACCGAGGACACGCAGCGCAGCGTCGAGAATATCCGCGGCACAGCTCGGAACCGGGCGGCCAAGGCTCAGAAGGAGCAGTTTGAGAGCATCGCCCAAGAGCTGGGCGTTGTGGACGTGGATGGCTGGGTGAGGAGCAAGATGAGCGAGGAGGTTGCACGGGATGCCAGGCGGGAGTATGGGTATAGGCTCATGGGTGATGCGAGGCCTAAGTCGACGAATGACCCTGCTCTTCTGGGACGCAATGCGCAGCAGCAGCAGCAACAGCAGCAGCACTTGAGAGCCCTCTCGGCAGAAAGAAGAAAGGCTGGAAGCTTTGGTACAAATGTTCTCAACAAGTTACCCGGCGTGGACTTTCTACCTCACACCTTCGACCCAATCTTCACTCCTCCTGCCCAGGACGGCATGGCTCCAACGGGATCAGCACAGGGCCCTTCGGCGATGGCTCTCGCTGGAACAGATGCACTGCAGGAGGTAATGGAGACATCGAGTGACGAAGCCGAGAGCGACCAAGAGGTTCTGGATGATGGTGAAGGGACAGATGCTGACGAGGCTCGCGAGGACGAGCAGGACAGCCAGGTTGCGGTAGAGCGCCAGGTCGCGTCATCCTTGGACTTAAATGTGGATTCCTCTACGTCGCTGCAGCCGCAATTGTCAGCACTGCAAGTCACCACTGGCATGACATCCGACTCTAACTTCAGCGACAACGACTTTGATAAGCCGTGGGAAGATGCCGGTCAAGAAGGCCCTCCTCCACGAGATATAGCAGATGATCTCGATCCAGCAGACGTGACGACACAAGCTCCTCCACCTGGCTTCGCTAGCCGACGTCTCGTCAACATCGCACCGCGCCCTCCTTCTCTGCGGCCGATTGCGCCTCGGCCGCTCGCTCCCCTGCCGAGTCTTGCTCAGCCGCAAAAGCCAGAGGCCGAATACATGGCGCAGTTTGGTCTCTTCCCCTACCCAACCCACGGCAAACCACCCCAGAAGTACTTGACCCCAACGGGTCTCATCACGACAGAAGGATACGAATATCTTGCTTCACCCGCAGGGCTGCCCACTCATCCCCCATCCGACGTGATCAACATCATGCCGCCACCCCATCCCCCTCATCCTCCACCACCACCAATGCCTCCACTGCCTGCCAAGGTCAGCCAGATCCCGGCCCCTCCGCTGATCATGTCACCAGAAGAAGTAGAGAAGCACAAAGAGGACCTAAAATCCATCGAGAGGTGCCACATGCTAATACAGGAGTGTATGGACCTATTGGCTGCGCGAGCTGACAGCAGACCGCCGGAAAACAGCCTGACGGGCATGCCACCTAGTCTGAGACAGATTCAGGATGCCAAGGAGAGGCTTAAGGAGGCCGCGAGTGTTCTGCTTGCAAAGCTGTGACCTTCTTTGTAACTGAATGTATCATTCTACTCTTGATCTGGTGTTCGTCTATGCCATTCCTCTATTTGTGGAATCTACCGACCAGCTTCTAGTTCCTGTACAAGTCAGGTGTGTTCGCCTTGTTGACCGTCTAATCAGTAGAGAGATGCACCCAGGTTCTCCAGTTATACTTATAATCTGCCTGTCTGCTCGCCGGTTGTCAATTACTTCTTGCTCTTGAGGGCGTCGTCCAAAACCTTTGCGGCAGCAAGAACATCCTCGTCTCTGAACCTCTTGCCGACGAGCTGCAGAGCAATGGGGAAGCCGTGGAACAACTCCGGGTCATCTGCAAGTTGCCATGTCAGTTTTTAGCCATCCAAAATCACAAGGAAAGATTCCCGTCCCGCAGATGAGACCGCAGAGCATGGGATAAGATCAGTCAGTCAGTCAACTCACAAGCCTTCTGCTCCTCCTCGTCCTTCTCATTCATCGCCTTGAACCCTTCATCCTTCCCATCCACGACCTTGTCACACGCCAGCCCACTCGGCAAGACAGCCGCCGGAAGATCCAGGATGTTCCAGATACTCGTATACCCCCAATACCGAGGCTGGCCCTGTAGAACACCTGCGCCAGGGTACACAGGACACAAGATGAAGTCCACACCGCGGGTCTTCATGAGCAGGTGGTGCTCGCGCCGGTAAGTCTCGCGGGCGACGTTGAGGTCCCAGTTGTCGGGGATGGTCAGCGGGGTCTTGCCTGTGCTGATGGAGAAGTCCAGGGCATGTTGGGTTAGAGGGAGGATGGGTTCGCCTGTGTTGGACATGGCGGTGAGCCAGCGCTGACCTCCGTCTGGGAAGTATAAAGGAGCCTTTTGGGAAGGAGGATGATTAGCAGGAGTGAAAGTATGGATATGATAAGAGGGGAAGGAAAGAAGAGGAGAAGGCGCACGAGAACATCCCAGCCGCGCTGGTGATCGTAAGGTTCCCAGTCCACCACCTTGACGCCGGCTTCTTTGAGCCTCGAGACTGCATGTTTCAAGGCTCGTAGTATTGGAGGATGAGGCTTGACGATGCTGTTCCAAATGTATGAATCGTCAGTAAATGTTGCATACTTGGAAAGAAGAAGAAAAAAACCAAGTAACGATGGAAAGACACAAGAAAGATTTCAAGAAAGAAAGTGACCAACCCATCATCCCACAAGACACCCACGACAAACTCCCCCTTCCCAAGCTTCACATCCTTCCTCCAAGGCACAGGCATCAAGCTCGTCTCATACTCCCAAGGCTCCTGCTCCAGCACACTCCTCATCCAGATCTCCAGCCCTTCCACACTATGGGCCAGCGGGCCCGCCACGCCACGAATGCTCTCCTGGCCCAGCGAGACGCCCGTCTGCCCGAGCACAGGCACGCGCAGCGCCGTAGGCCGCAGGCCATAACAAGCATTAAACGCAGCGGGGATGCGCACGCTGCCGCCAATATCGGTGCCGATACCCAGGGCAGCACAGCGGGCGCCGATGCTCACGCCCTCGCCGCCCGAGGAGCCACCTGGCGACAGCAGCAGGTGGCGCGGGTTGAGGGTGCGGCCGAGGATGTTGTTCTCGCAGTCCAGGTGCATCAGGCTCTGGGGGATGTTGGTGCGGGTGATGAGGACGGCGCCGGCCTGGCGGAAGAGGCGGGCGAGGTGGGCGTCCTGGGCGGGCGCGGGGTTGGCGATGAGGGCGACGAAGCCGCCGTGGTTGATGTGGTTTGCCAGGGAGAGCTGCTCCTTGACGGAGACGGGGATCCCGTGGAGCGGGCCCGAGAGGCTTCCTTGGGTGGCTAGGTGGGTGTCCAGGTCGTCTGCGCGCTGGAGGGCCTCGTCGGCGAGGAACTCGGTGACGAAGTTGGTCTGGTGAGAGTTAGAGAGAGAGGGAACAGAGGTGTGTTGTTTTGGGGGCTGAAGAGAGAAGGGAAGAGAAGAGAAGATCATGAGTTTAAGTACCAGCTGGTGAATAATGACAGACTTCTTCAGAAAGGCCGTCACAACCTGTCTCACTGTCCACTTCTTGGTGCGATATGCTTCCAGCAGCTGAGGCACGTCCTGCTCCGTGATCTCGACCTCCTCCTCTGTCAAGATCCCTGACGTTCTGGGCACGTCCACGACGTTTTGCTGTGTTTTCGGAGGCAGCTTGTCCTCTGGCAGTAGCCACTGCTTTGGGGTTGACTTTTCCCGGGCCTCGAGGGCAACCTTGACTTGCTCTTGCCACGGCGCCATGTCTGATGATGAATGATTGGTCGATTTCTAGTGGCTTGTATTGGAAACTTGCAGTGCCAGGTCCTTCTTACAGGTGTACGAGTAGTTTTCACACTTGTAGTTTTCACGAATCGTCGTCTACAGAATGAATGTCTGCTGTCTCTTGAAGGTGAACTCGAAGAGATGCGGTGGTGGTTCAAGATAAGCCAAGCGGTACCGCAGTGTTAGTTCTAAAGTGCCGGAGCCGACTGCACTGGGCCGAATGAAACCGCGGCTGTTGATAGTAGCGAGTCCCGCTCAAGAAAGCAAATTCCGGTGCTATCCGTCTTCTGCATTGTTAGGATCCGAGGTCTTGGGTTGATTCATTTGCATCTCTTGTTCTTGTTGTTTACTCTTCCTTTTTCTCATCGTTATTTCTCTGTATAAGTACATTGTCCCTCTTCATCTCATAGTATTGAAATTAAGAGTCATCACACGTTGTCTAGCAAGTCGCTTGGGTCTGTTGATTACCTGTCAAGTCTAATGACTTACTTACGCTCAAGTCCTTATTATCTGCTGTCGGTGTTCGTATAGCTAAATAACTAAGTAATTACTCGAATACTTTATTCTCTCACGTAAGCAACTATCCCATTAGGTTCAGAGACCTTCGTTTTCTTTTTTATACCTTGAAGCGCAGTTCTTTCTATACGAGAGAACTCGCAATCGAAGTCTGAAGATTGGTGTCAGACGCATCTGTTCAGCTTCCGCATGAGACTGTTGTGGAGGGGATGGTAATCACCGCGCTACGGCGAGAAGCTCCACGCCTTTGTCTTGGACAGACATTGTGACAATAAAATCAAAATCATCTCAGGGCCAGCCATGCTACATTATTCTTATGCCTTGGTATTTTGCACTAGCAAGTTGCGAGTTTATTCTTGTTGCTTATTCTGCTGCTTTCTTGTGGAACGTGAGACAATTCATCAGAACGCCTATCGTTGACATAAGCCATGCGAGTCACAGTGCTATCGACGCAAGTCTGGACGCCATTGCGAGACCGCTTATCGTGTCTTCAGCATCGCGCCAGCCGGCCTATCTCCGGGTTCTGCCGTGAGCCTTGCTCTCTTTCCGTGTTTCGGGCGTTGTTTCGTGCGGCGGATCCCTCTCGTATACAGAGGAATAGCCGTACGAGCTGTAGTCCGCCTGGCTGCTTGTTGGATAAGTTGTGCCACCGTATGTGGGATGACTGCTGACCTGGGCTGCCTGAGTTATGGCTCCATATGCTCCTCCACTGCAATATGCTCCTCCACTGGCATACGCAGTAACTCTTGGATCCATGCTGGGAGACAAGGTCGGTGCCCAGCCACTATACCCAGGGGCATTCGATCCAGGGTATGTAGCATTGGCTCCTGAGAGGCTCCTTCTCTCCATCTCCCACCGAGCAGAATCGTTCTTGAGGTCTTGAATCATGCTCTACCGGATCGATGATTTTAGCTTGGGGCAATTAGGTATCGACTGGATTTAGGAATACTTACCGGAGTAAGAGGTCTGTAGGCGGAGACACGGTAGCCTTGCATCATTTGGCCAGTGGTGGGATCCTGCAGGAATTCCCGCATTAGTATGCCATTTGCTGCTACCTTGGTTTCATCACCACAGCGCGCGGTGTATGAGGAGGAGTTGATTTGGTCATACTTGGTATGTTGCAGGTCGAACAAGCGCATCATTTCCAAGATAGCGGCAGATATCAGCAGTGATAACCTCTCGGTTTATCCCGTTACCGGGGACGAAATACTCGTTCTGTCTGGGCGAGCCTTGAGGCGGAATACCCAAGCCTGACCTTGGATCTGTACGGTCGCCTCGGATTCGACAGGCGCAAATCAATCCGGCACAGATCGGACACCCTCCAGCCTTGCTTGAGAAGCCGGACGAAGTTTGCTCGGGCGTGGTCCACGACGTTGAAGCTTGGGGTGGGACTGGGTCTTGGACCACTGGTTTCGTCACAGGTTTCTTCACCCTGCCCCACTCTCTTGGGGCATTTAATATCGGGTATTCAAAGTTGTTGTCAATGCTAGGATCGTACGGCTCCAGGATCTTGGTATCACTTTCGTCACTTTCGTCACTTTCTTCGCCACCAGACGACAGTAATGACGGGCTGCCGTAATCGAGCACATAGGATGGATAAGAAGAAGATTGATTTTCCTGCTGCCTTAAACTTCAATTGACTGATTCTCCAAGGAAATGAACACGCATCACATCAAATATAACTTTCAAGATATGGTAGACACACCTGTTGTGACCCAAACGCATGTGCCGAACTGCGTTCTCGTGGTATTTCTACAGATCAATTCGCCACCTGCTTGAATGCTTCACGTCAAGTGAATTGGTGGTGCTTCCGCTGTCTAGGTGATTATTTGCTCCGTCTCTTCTATCTTGCTGTATATCAATGTTTACGCAGTATACACACAGCACGCGCTCTTCCCCCATTCCCAAGCAGGGGGCCTTGCGGCTTGAAAGGTCAGACAATGCAACATTCCCAATTCTTGCCCAGCGATTTTCTAGATAATCGATGAACCATTTCGAAATAGCTTACACACAGTGATTACAGGTCTCAGCCAGGGTTTTAGCGACAATGTTTGGCCATCCGGCTAAGGAAGAGTCCCAACTCGTATACAGGCCGTGTTGGCAGGGCGGAGTCTCATGGGTTCCATCTATGATCAGGTAGGGTACGGGAGTATTTTCCAGTTGCCAGGGGTGAAGAAAAGCTGCATACTTCTAAGGCCTGCTCTACAAGAAATCAGACGAGGTTCAGCTAGAAGTTTCGAGGGACGTGGATTGAGGGGCTGTGAGAGTTGTCTGTGTTGAGGTGTGGCGAATGAAAGGTAGAGAAAGCAGTTGAGTTTATAACGGAGCTTAGTTGCGTAAAGAGAAAGCCTACTCATTTCCATGTGAATCACTGCTGCTCATTAAGTATTGCTTGTCATTCTAACACATGTTTGTGAGTTACAGCTATTAGTAGGATTACAGCACTCCCATGTTGATGTAAGTAGATAGCTATACAATGGGAACCACTTTCAATTGCTTCCAAATGACTGCCTATTTCTAACATCCGTCATCTCTTGGAGTGGAAACAAGGACATTCTCCACAAGAATGTACTTGTACAGACCCAACAGTAACTCCTAATTCCGGTGGCTGTTTCCATTGCCAAGCCCAAGTCATATCACTCCACACCTAGCAAAGTATCGATCTGCCAGAGACTGCTGAATAATGGTTCATCTAGGCTGAATGACTATTTGTTTCTCAATTTGTCAGGACCTCTTCACTTTGTTTCAGAGACTGGATTAGCATGCTTTATAACTTGACAAGTCTCTAATTCAATTATATTCTTCTTGCCTTTCTCCCTTCATCCCTCCCTTCTTCCCTCCCTTCCCATTCACAACGCTGTCATCATAATTAAAAACGCCTTGCGATTCAGACAAGATTGTCGCAGGTCATGGGCAGACTGGCTATTCATTAATTTAGTTCCTATCCGCCTACGTCTTAACATTCAGACCCACTAATAACTGCACCCACCCCAGCACAACATGTCCACCCCTCTCTCCATCCTCATCGTAGGCGCTGGCGAGCTGGGCGAGGCTATCCTAACCGCCCTAGCCCAGCACCCAGCCCGCCCCTCCGAGACCCCGCTCCACATGCTCCTCCGGTCCGAGTCCATCAACGCCCCGTCACCAGCCAAGCAGGCCTCCAACACCAGGCTCCAGTCCCTAGGCGCACATCTCGTCCCTGGCAACTTTGTTGAGGATGATGTCTCTGTTCTCGCGGCTACTTTTGGGAGATACGATGTTGTGATCCAAGCTGGCGGGTATGGGTTGCCCAAGGGAACGCAGTTGAAGTCGGCGGCGGCGGCTTTGCAGGCTGGTGTGAAGCGATACTTGTAGGCTTGTCTTTTTTTCTCCTTATTTTCTATATCTCTCTTTCTATAACATCCATCATAGTCTTGCTAACAGAGCCCCCTCTGATCACTTTTCAAGCCCATGGCAATTTGGCGTAGACTATGAAGCCATAGGCCACGGCAGTGCCCACGAGCTCTTCGATGAGATGCTCCAGGTCCGTCACTTGCTACGATCCCAGCACAGCACGCACTGGACCATCATCTCGACAGGCCTGTTCATGAGCTACCTTTTCCTGCCAGACTTTGGCGTCGTGGACCTCGAGGCCAGCAGCCCGACGGTGCGGGCCTTGGGCAGCTGGGAAAACAAGGTGACGGTGACGACGCCTGTTGATATTGGGCGTATGACGGCCGAGATGGTGTGGCACCCTGAGAGCACGCTGGACCGGGTGGTTTATATTGCCGGGGAGACGGTGTCGTATGGACAGCTAGCGGATATTCTGGAGGAGACGCTGGAGTTGGGGCTGGCGAGGGAGGAGTGGAGGATGGATTTTCTCAGGGCAAGGCTGAGGGAGAATCCAGATACTTTGTGGTACAAGTATCAGTGCATCTTTGGGGATGGGAAGGGTGTGTCGTGGGATTTGCATGAGACACTAAATGGGCAGAGGGGAATTAAGATGATGACGGTCAAGGAGTATGTTCTAGCTACGTTCAGTATCAGACCATAGGTTCACCATATGATATCCTGTATAATAGCTGACAAGTCCGATCATTGTCTGTTATGTACTTGTACTGAACGTGACTTGGTAATTAGGCATCGGTTCTAGAGAACTCCGACGCTTCCGAACCACCTTGACCTAGTGTGTTATACACATCTGACAAGAGCTCCACCTTGCCAACATTCAAAAGTACCGAGTTCTATCCATCAACTCGATCCTATACTCACATAGATCAACTGTCTGCTGCTTCCTCCCCATCCACCATCGCAATTTACCGTCATGGCTCCCATCCCCAAGACAATGCGCGCCATAGTCTGCGCAACCCCAGGGCCCCCCTCCGTCCTCCAAATCCAACACATCCCCATCCCCGCTCCGCAACCAGGCCAAGTGCTCATCCGCATCCTCGCCTTCGGCATCAACCGTGCCGAAATGTACACCCGCCAAGGCCACTCTCCAGGTCTCCAGTTCCCCTTGATCATGGGCATCGAGTGCGTAGGCGTCGTGGCCTCCCTGAATGCTTCCTCTTCCTCTTCTTCTTCTTCTTCTTCTTCCACCCCTCCCAGGTTCCCCCTCGGCCAGCGTGTTGCAACATGCATGGGCGGGCTGGGGCGGCAGATCCCGGGCAGCTATGCAGAGTACTGTTGCGTGCCTGAGGAGAACCTGCGGCGGGTGCCTGACGAGACGACGACGAAGAAGGTCAGTGTCGCACAGATCGCTGCGCTTCCCGAGATGATGCAGACGGCGTGGGGCTCGTTGGAAGGGGAAGGGTTGGACGTGCAGCCTGGCGAGAGCGTCCTCGTGCGCGGGGCGACGAGCTCGGTGGGGATCTGTGCGCTGCAGCTCCTGCGGGCCAGGTTTGGAACGAGTCGGATAGGTGCGACGACGAGAAAAGCGGAGCGCGAGGACATGCTGAGAGAGGCTGGAGCGGACGAAGTGTTCATCGACGACGGGTCAATAGCTGAGAAAGTCCTGGGGAGTGGTGGAGAAGGAGGAGTAGAGACAAGGTTTGACAAGTGTCTGGAGCTCGTGGGCACGACAACACTCCTGGACAGCGCGGCGTGTCTGAGGCCCAAGGGGACTCTGTGTATGACGGGAATTCAGGGTGGGCAATGGGAGATGGAGAGGTTCAGTCCCATGGCGGTGCCAAACCGGGTGAGGCTCTGTGCGTATGGAGGAGGGCCGGATGATTTCCATCGGATGCCGTGGGAGGAGCTGGTGAGAGATGTTGAAGAAGGACGCATCAAGATCCCTTATAGGGAGTTCAAGATGGAGGATATACAGGAGATTCATGAGATTATGGAGTCTGGTGGAGGCGGTGCCAAGATGGTGGTTGTCATACGCAACGAATGAAGATATTCAAGTATTTCTTTTTTTTCTTCTGTCTTTTTTTTTTTTTAAAAAAAAAAAGGGGAATAACACCATTCTGTCTAGTAAATTAGTATTATTGGTATAAGCCTGCCACCACCACCTTTTCTTTTTCTTGGGTCCATTCATCCTGCTTTACAGTCTGCCTTCCTGAGGATCGTATGCTGGGCTATCGTAACGCGTCTGCACCTGGCTCAGCCTCCCATACTCCTCCGTCGACTCAGGCGCAAGAGGAATCTTGGCTTCATCGGCCGCAGGAATTTCCGAGTCCGCCCCAGGGATGGGCATGGATCTCGCCTTGCTGGCCATCATCCTCCTCCAGATAAACACTCCGCTTCCGAGAATCACCACTCCGGCTGCTGCAGCGCCCACGCCCACGCCAATGCTCACAGATTCCGAGCCAGATGTCTTGGAGGAGGAGGAAGAGGAAGAGGAAGAAGACGAGGAGGACGAGGACGAGGACGAGCTCGAGCTTTTACTCGAAGAACCTTTGAGCGCCGCAGCCGCCGACGCAGTGGCATTTGCCAGACTGACATAAGTCGGCACCTCTGCATGACAATTTCCGACCGTAGGAATGGCATTCGTATCCGTGCCCTTCGAAAAGGCAACTACTTCAGTTCCGCAGTCGGCTGCCTGCCCCAGGAGGATCTGAGGCACCTCCCAGTCGAACACGGCATACGCATCCCGCAGCAGAGGCGCACCTAGGATCCAGGATGTCGGCTCGTCCGACTCGAACGTGTTAAGATAGCAGATATCAGGGATCGACCCGTCGCTCTGGTCAGCACTGATAGCATCGTCGTCCACGTCGTCGAGGCCGTTGAACCTGTTGAGATTCTCCAAGTCCTCGGCCGACAGGATGCCGGTGAGGTTCAAGTCCTTGGCCAGCTCAGCGACGGTCGTGTCGAACATGAGGGCAAAGTCAACAATGTTGGTCTCATAGATGATGTTGCGGTAGTTGTTACGAAGCACAAACCCCGAGGTGCCGTCGAAACCGTACTCGACTGCACCCAGGCTCGCATTCCTCGTGGCGCACGGCACCACACAGAGACCATAGCTGCCGTTGTACTGGGCGCCAAAAGCGTCGCAGATGGGCTCGAGATAACCCGTGGGAATAATGTTGTTGGGCGTGCCCGAGTCCAGCAAGGCGTAAAAGTTGGACGTGTACCCGCTGAGCGTATCGCTCCCCTCCGACGTGGTCACGCCTACGCTGCTGACAGAGATGTTGTACGAGTAGATGGGCCACGTGTAGCCGTCATAGCTCTGGGGGAATGTGAAGATGCGTAGATCACCTAGCATGTCTGAGAATTTTCCCTTGTCGATGCCACCGAAGATGAGGGATCCGGTGGTCTCGTTGTCGTCGCGGAGATCCTGTTGCGCCAGATCCATGTCAGCTTAAGAGTGACAAAGGAGAAGAAGAAGAAAAGTGAGTGATGTTGTAAAAAAGCAGGAAAAAAAACTCACCAGACTGAAGGCTGCGCGGTTGATGAGACCCTGCGAGGCCATGTTGGCCAGCGGCAGTTCGTAGCTGGCATTAGAGAACAATGCGTTGAGGTCGCTGTTGTCCGAGGGCGGCGTGTTGTTGTATCCGTACCAGTTGTTGGGAGCCAGGCCAAGAATTCCAATGGCAACACCAGTCGATTCCGAAGTCACGCCGCTAAAAAGAAGAAGGAAAAAGGGTGATTGTAAGCAATGAACTTTTTCCTCCCCCTCATGGGTGACGGGACGAGTGTGGAAACAATCTAGGAGAACTCACAATTGCTGCTTGTCAATAGCTAGACCAGCCACCTCAACCGTGTCCGTATAATAGTCATACACAGTCTGACTCGAGTCGCCATAAGACAGCGTGTTCATAGTCCCTACTTTCTTGGACGTCTTTGAAGACGCTGGGTCATACTGTCCTACGCTCCGACAAAACTCGTCCGACAGAAAGTCACTGCCCAGCGAAACGGACTCCTGGGCCACGGAACAGTTGGGGTTGACCCAGAGCTCAGAGCTTCCGGTGTCAATCATGAGCATGGTGTCCTGTCCTCCGACTGTGATGTTGATTGAGTATCTCCGCTGCCTGTTTTGGTCGAATCTGTATTAACACTGTTGTTCCACCTGGAACGAGAAAGACGTGCGTAGAGGGAATATGGACGTACAGATTCCCGACGGTTGCAGATCCCGTCTTTGACTTTGAGGATGCTCTGCGTGTGACGGACGATCTTCTCTCGACATTTACAGGGACGTCTGCCCTCTTGAGAGGTGCATGGATGAAGCCTGGTCCAGTAATGGAGGGAGAACTCTGTGCTGCGCGGGTGTCCAAGGCGACAATAGCCCTTGGGAGCGCAAGAAGCGCAGCAAATTGTGTGAGTTGCACCATGGTATGACGATCGTGAGTGTCTTTTCTTACTGTCAGCTCAGAAGACGTTGACAAGTAAGCAAGAATTCAAAGCAGCGATAGCAGCCACTCTCAGGACCAAGACATAAAGCTCAGAGCTGGGAGGGAGAGAGCGAGATCTATATACATCGTTGCCTCAATTACTTATTCATCATTTAGTATATCCAGCTCTCAAACAAAAAAGAGTGTTGGATTCTTTCAAAGAGCCAGGATTCGATTCCGCTGCCCGACCAACTGCAGTGCCACCACACTCAGAAACCCACACGCGCAGGCATCACCGCGCCGCCAGACACGTCAGAAAACGGGGGGTCCAGCGTGGGCATGCATCCATGCATTGACGGAGCGCGAGACAGCAAAGAAAAAGACACATGGAGCTCAGCCGTAGTCCCCCTTCCCTCCAGGAAAGGCCAGACACAACGGCCGGACATTGTCTCTTTCTCTTTCTCTCTTGCAGGCAGCCAAAGTAAACACTGCCGCTGCAGCCTGGTTGTCCGTTCTGGTTGGACGATGCCAATGAATTCACCAATCAACGCGCTGCTGCTGTGTAGGCTTCAGACCCCACTGAAACCCAATGGCCAGAACTAGCCCAGCGGCCTCCTTCCACCCGCGTTCAGCTGCAAAGCCAGGCTGAGGGGCTGAAAGAAATAAGAAAAAAAGAAAGATGACCAACTGCAGCGGCCAGGGGATCCACACAGAGTCACTCTGCCCCCGGCCCTTCCAATCGCTGCTCTGCAGTGGTTGGGGGGCTTTGTTTTGTTGTGCCGGCATGAGGAGATCGATCGTTACAGAGCGGCCGCCCCCGCGCTTTTCTTCGTGGCTCAGGTGGCGCCCGAGTGTGTCCTTCGGATCCTGCGGGAATTCGGTTGCGACGTACAGGGTTTTTTTGTCTCTTTCGTATTTAACTAGACTTGCACGACGTTAGCTTTAAATGCGCTTGTTTTTACAGAGTATAAGAAAGTGCAATGTGAAATCGCCCGGGGCTGCAGACCCGGCCATCTGAAGGAGTGTCGCTACAGAGTTCGGTCCCCGGTGACTGCGTGCCAACAAGTCAACAACTCAATTAGCCAAAATATTGGTGACCAACCAAGCATACCGCCTTTCAATGCTACTTAGAATCCTGCAATAAATATCTTATGTGTGTGTGTCAATTGACTAAGTACTTAGTACGGTTGGCGGAGGCCGCAAACTCACGCAAGATGAGAGATGGCAACAAATTTATTCACTCAGCTTCGTCGTTCATATAATCCATCATATCCAACAACACTCTGCTTTAGGTGCTATGACTACCCAAGTTGCACAGCCGCGTTGCCTTTTCAAAGTTTTTGACCAAGCAGTCGAATCCTAAGAACACGATCGCCAACAAAAGAGACCACGGTACCGTTCAGCCGGCGGACGGATCAGCTGTACGGCACCAACAGCCAACAGCCACTTTCTGTAGGACGACTAATCATTTATCCCTTTCATCAAGTTTCCAGGGTGAGGAACCCGTCGTGCCGCCTCAGCCGCTAAGGTAGGTCATAGCATGCATGTCTGTCTCCTCTATTATTTACCTATAGATATGCATGTGTTATTCTTGTCCAGGTATTGAAGCAAGACCATATAACCCACTCGGCATGGGCAATATCAGATATGAAGTCTGTGAATGGCTAACTTTGGTGGCTGTGCAATGCCAGCTGAACGGCATGACTTTTCTTTGCAATGGCTCGCTGCTCCATCTCGAAACCAAGGCAGCATCAAGAGTGCTTTAATTGACCAGTTGTCAACGCAAGCAATGAAGCCAGACATCTGTGCCTGTGATGAACATGAAAATAAGGAAAATCTCAAAATGTCACTCTCCAAAGTGAGGGTATGCATGTATATATTTACTGCACTTCACAAGAATAAGTTTTGTACGAGACTGTTCTCCTATATTTCCCGCCCTGACGCCGTGAAAATGCCATGTTTATTCCATCCCTTAGTAGATCAGCTGGTCGTCATACGCACGCACGCTCTCCAGGTACGACTTGACCTGATCATAGTCCTTGCACACGTGCGTAGCGTCCCAGCCGTCGCTCCCCGAGTTGTCATCCGGGAAGGTGGTGGCTTTGCCCTCGAGGGCGGTGTCGGCGGCGCACAGCACTGCCTGGCGCATGTAGGCGATGCAGTGGATCATGTGCCAGTGGTGGTCCTCTGGGATAGGGTGGCCTGAGGACAGGCCTGAGTATGTCTGGGCAATGGTGAACTGGAGATGATGTATTGTTGGTTAGCAGGGATAATTATGATGACAATGATATCAAGTAACAAGAGGACGAAACGTACCAGGCAGTGAATTTGATGCGTCACGGACGTTGTGAAGACGGTCATGCCCTCGTACCACTGGATGGGGTGGGGGAGGTTGTTGTACTTGTAGGTGTCATTGACCCATTGGAAGCCCATGCCAACTGACAGACAGGGAAGAGTTTGTTAGTAAGTGATCATATGCTGAAGCAGGAAAAGAGGGCTGTTGGTCGTCCTTACTAGGCATGAGATTGTTCCACTTCTGTAGAACCTCATCGGTGAAGAACTCGGATGTGTTCATCGGCGCATACGATGTGTCGTATTCAAACCGTGTCAGCTTCTGGTTAACTAAACAAGTGAAACAACATTAGCAACCCTTCAAAAGTCCGTATGTGTATGTGTATATATCATGAATGACTAACAGCTTGGTCCGACACCCGTCATATCGCCGACGACCTGCCACTGGTCTATAGGCGGCTCCTTCATCTGGTTCCGGACCAACAAGACGAGAATGATGATGAGCAACGTTGTGTCCAGCATCCACCGCGAAGAGCTGAGGATGCTGCGCAGCGACTGCCTCTTGGACCTCCTCTGCATCTGTTGTGTCTGCCATGACGACTTCTCCTCCTCGCCCATCAGCGACTCGACCTCTGTGCTGGACCTTGAGCTGTGGTCGTGGTCGTGCTCTTCCGTCTTGAGCTGCACGGTCTCATACTTGTGGGACGCCATTATGTCGGTGGAGATAAAATTAAATAGTACGGCAAAAACCAGTTGCTGTATTCAAGAGAGCGAAAGGAGAAGAAAAAAGAATGGAAAAGGGCCGTCCAGCGTGAAAGTTTGTTGCGTTGATTGAGGTGAGCTCCGGAGCTGCCTTCCTGAATCCAAGGAGGAAGAAGAAAAAGAGGAAGAGAAGAAGAGGGTTTTCTTGATTCTTGACCATCCTTCTGGGTGGACTGCGATCATTGGCGCATCTGAGACGACGGGGCCGGGATGAGGCTCAAACAGACTCGAGACGAGACGATGGCGGTTAAAGACCCGAAGGGGAAAGGCGGTTGATCCCAGGCGAGTCGCGCGTTTCAAGGGCGACAAAATGCTTGTTCCCCCCCGGGCAGCACCACACGAACTGGGGGCGTGTGCGTGCAGAGCATGTCGGCCTCTTCAGAGCATCTGGAAGAGAGACTCTAAAACACATTGTGTAAGTCTCTATAATACTCGGGCAGTATTGGAGACTAGTACACAATTCAGCCGTTTTCTGAGGTTCCAGTATGAAGAGTTCCTTGTGGTGATCCACCACCTGGTTCAGATTCCCAGGGAGAAGACAAGGGGGGGGGCTAGGAGCCATTTCTTGTCACCCATTAGGATCAACTAAAGTATCTTGATGACATCTGATGTCTGCAGCTTCGTGCTTGGAGATGTCCTACATTTCTCATCATCGTCATCGTCGTTATCTTTCATCTTCGTCTTCTTGTTACACTGTGCTCGTGAGGTGGTTGAGAGGTCTCAGGTGAAATGGTCTCGACTGTTACCACTCGTGAAACGATGCAAAATGAAAAACACAGCATATTGTCCTTCTTACTTGCTAAGTGCTTCGCAGCATGTACGTGCAGGACGGACAAGACTTATATGACGACAACAACTAAGATTAGACATCTTTCACATGATTCCTCAAGGTATCGTAAAGAAAAATAATTTTAATCAGGACAGACGGCGATTCTGCACGAAACGGCAGCGCCCCGCATGCCGCTGGAGCTCAGTTTCAAGCCTTGAGGGGATGGAGGGCTGCAGAATGCTACCATACGCAGACCAATACATCCCCTTCCCTCTATCAGGGGTCCAGTCCACCTCCCTTTTGCCTTTCCCCACGCTTGAGAGACAAGCTTATTAAGTGCCGCTAGAGACGCAAGACCAGCGTGTTGGCGTTTTCTTGGTGCGGGGGAACTTTGTTAGGCATATGTAAACCATGAATGCTTGTTGTCGACGCTCCAAGCCTGTAGAGCAGCACTTGACTGTTCTGAACACACAGCTACTATATTTACTTTTCCCTGCTGCTCTGCATTCATGCCATGTCTTCTAGACCACGGCTCAGCACGGCACACCTCGCGCGCCTGCTGCCCTCTGATCGAGTGGCAGAGTCTCGCCCTCCTTGGCATGCAGTAGCCTCGACAAGACGGTTCTGGGGGCCGGTGCAAAAGGGCCGGTATGTGCCGGGAGGGGTGGGGATCCTTCAACATTCCCGCCTCCAGCTGCCCGCTCCTTGATGTGATCCCGCCCGAGTGGATGTACTGTCTGTACATCGTAGATCTTTGACGAACTGCCATTTGGTTCGCTGATTATGGCTGCAGTAAACCCCATAAGCCTAATCGACCTTTTCCAATGTTTGAGAAGGAAGATCAGTCACATCGTCCCTCGAAGCGTGCATTTTGCCAAGACCTTCCAGCCTCCTCCGCTGTTGTCTCACGCGCCATTAGACATAGACCAACTAATTTGCATGCCACACCAGCTGCAGGGCTTTCGCTTGTACCGTTGGTAGATAAATCCCCGTGCCGCGTGCGTCTGAGAGGGCGAAGGAGGAGGAGGCAAGAGGAGGGACGTAGCTGTCGACCCGGCTGAACTGGCACGAACGTGATGCTTGGCATCGATCGTGTCGTTCGTGGGTATAAAATCTACTCTGTAATCCCTTTCTTGGTGGTGGCAGAAGGATCGAAGATGGAAGTCCGCTCTCTTCCTCACTGTGTCTCTCTTTCTCTTTCTCACGCACACAGCAACATAGAGCTGCGTATGTTGGATGATCCGCCCTCAGCCCGATGCTACCTGCTCAGCTGCTCAAGTAACGCTCATATATACTCTCCACTGTCTGGTCAGAACCACCACCTCGTACTAGGTCTACATTGAGGCCATCTCGCCAGGCAAGTTTCAAAGACGCGCCATGAAGATCATGACGAGACCATCAAGTCGAGACAAGCTTGTAGGGAAGAGGATAGCCGTCATAGGAGGCACATCCGGGTACATACATGGTTTCCCCTCCTATTTCTTTCGGACACAAACAGAGCTAACTTGACAAAACTCCTCCTTTTCCCACCCAGCATCGGCTTTGGCACAGCCTGCGTCCTCCTTGAACACGGCGCCCACATTACTATCATCTCAAGCCAACAAGACCATGTCAACGACGCCATCCACCGCCTCAACGCTTCCCGCCACTCAACGATCGACCTCTCCACCCCTGCTCCTCTTCTCGTCAGGGGTTACGCGGGCGATGTCCGTGACGAGGCCGCCTTCACGACCCTCCTTCGCGCCGCCGCCCCCTTCGACCACATCATCTTCACATCCGTCGACGGGGCCATCCGCGGCCCTCTCGCGGCAGCAGACCTCACCGATGCGAGACATCTCTTCGGCGTCAAATTCTGGGGCAGCGTCGTGGTGGCCAAAGCCATAGCCGCGCACGACGACATCGTCGTGCCAGGAGGTTCGCTGACGCTCACGGCAGGCGTGGTGGGCCTGCGCGCCAGTAAAGGCACGGCGGTTGGAGGTGCATTAAATGGCGGGCTCCTCTCGCTGACGCAGGGGTTGGCGCTGGAGCTGGTTGGCAGGAGGGTTCGCGTCAACACGGTGGTGCCAGGCCTGTGCCGGACGGAGCTGTGGGACAAGCAGGGCCACTCACGCGAGGTGCAGCAGGAGGTGTGGGCGAAGGGGGCGCGGGAACTCAGTGTTGGGTTTGTGGGGTGGCCGGAGGATGTGGCAGAGGCGTATTTATTCCTTGTGAGGGCAGATTATGCGAATGGGACGACGGTGGTCATTGGTGAGAGACAAGCTTCTATTTCCCCTAGATGGCCCTCGTGCCTACCTCGCCTGAGAGCCTGGTCTTTTGCTAACACTTGCTGTCTCTGTTCTTTAAGACGGCGGTCAGCACATATGAAAGCCTCGATCAGATCGCCTCGTTCACCTGAATGACAGAACAGTGTCTGCCCCTTGGGCTCGCAACGCAATTCTCCTTGAGAGAAGGCGACGATACACAACGCCGCTATCTTTCGTCGGCCAGGCCAAAAATACGGGAGCATCCCCAAGGCTGGTAGCACGAAAAGGGTCTTATTAGACGAACATATGGTCTCGTGGCTGCGGGAAGCTGTCTGACAACCAGTTTGAGGCTAAGGGCCAATAAACCGTGCAGGGCAGCTAGAGATACCGTGAATTGCGACCCCTGCCTGCGAGCATCGGCAGGTAGGTTGCCCAGCATGCCTTGGTATTGACATGAATGCCAGAAGTCAGTAGTAGAGCTATCGCAAGGCGGTGCAACCGTCCAGCCTCAAGGTCCAGCCATCCTCTGGCCTCAGAGGCCACAACAGGCTCTGCAATGATCTGTTCATCTCTCGGTGGCCCCTTCAATCATAGAAGATATCGTGCTCGATGAAAGGAGAAGGAAGGAAGAGCTCGAGGTCTGTCATTGACATTAGGAGAACAATTGCGAGTATGTAATGATCTCTACTAAGTAGAGGGACCAACCTAGTCAGGCTTTTGATTACAGCACTAAAAACCAGTCTCTTTCTTTCCCTCATCGCAGTTTGCTATTTGGGCAGGTGCTACCTAGCGATACACCCAGTCCAATCACAAAGCTGTCTCGGAACCCTCCGTATGGATGTATGACTGGCTGCACATCAAATAAAAGAAAAGAAAAGAAGAAGAAAAAACTTTCAGATGATCAGAATTCAAGGGCCCCAAGAGCACTTCTTTTTTCTGGGTATGGATGCATCGTGGTGGCTGAAAACGACCTATCCGAATGGACGGATGACTGATGAGGGTTGGCTCAATGGGGCTAGGACAGGCACACCTCTGGGAGAGAAAGTTGCTTTTGGCTGTTGGCTGTTGCAGGCGTGGCTTCCCTCCTTGATGCCTTATTACCACAGTAGGGGCCCTTGATTAGGTAAGAGCACGAGGTACGGCACTACGGAAGTACAAGAGTACCTCGAGGCACTTCCTCGACCTGGGCCAAACTCCCTCTTGCACCCCTCCTTTCTCATCTGTTTTCTCTCCTTTCTCATCCTGCACCCGTCTGTTTCGCTCTCATAATCTCACAATTCCTCTTTCTCGCCTTGTTGTCGCTTTGTTGCTGCTCATGCCTTCTCTCAGCTGGTACTCTAGACCTGACGCAACGGCTCCGCACCACTAGGAAAACACGCCTACTTCTAAGATGGGTTGAAGAGAGCGACGCAACTGAGATGGCTTGGAGTAAAGAAGAGCGTGGTTCACCCTGAGCCCACCGCTCAGACAGAAGAGGAATACCAAGAAGAAGATAAAGGAAAGAGAGAAAAGAGGAAAAGAACACGGCACAACAACGTCCCAGGTTTCCCATCACCAGCACACAAGCCCACCCAACCCAGGCAAAAGTGACAGTGACTGGGCTGGAAGGGGTGGGGATGTGACCACCGACCAGGGGCACACCAACCCGCTGCCAATGCCATCTGCCGCCTGCCACACAGCACAACACAGCACAATACAGCACCAGCGGCAGGGTACCACTACTACAGCGGGGGCCCCATCCATCCATCAAAGCATGGTTTGCTGCTACAGCAGCAGCAGCAGCAGCAGCAGCAGCAGCAGCAGGCAGCCTGGCAGCCTCCTAAGTGATCGCCACCACCATTGGAAGTTTCTTATGCACTCAGCGCAGCATCAGAACGGAGCCAGGGAGTAGCTGGCTGGCCTGCCAAGGAGGAAGACTCAAACACAAACCGGCTGATCTGATCTGTTTTTAGTTGGTCTGGTTCTGGTCATCTGGCTCCCGGGAGAGACAGGCCCAAACGCTTGTGGCGTGTCGCCGAATTGGCAGGGCATGAGAGCGGTAGGCTGCCTGGAATTTGTGCGCCATGGTCTTTGAAGCTGAACGAACCACAAGAGTTATTGATCTTGCGTGTGTTCGGCAGACTCCGCTGAACCCTATTACCCAGCTCCTCACTGAGGTATAATGGGGTCAAGCCATCCACCCGTTCAGCACTTTCCTCAGATTCAACACTGGGTTTGAACTCGACGACCATATCTGGGACACCCATTACCTCCTCGAACCAGCTGCGGACGGTGACATCATGTTTCTTCTTCTTCCCCATCACCCTCTTCTTTGGAACTGGGAATGTCGTATATGTCAGGTACCGTTCAGGAACGCCAGTTGGTCGACAAACGCACACTCGGCATCAGGCTCATTGTGCTGTACGCAATACTACGGACTGAAAAATGAAACGAGAAACAGGGTCGAGCGGATCAAAGCTAGGCGGCTGTCGACGGGATTAAGGCGGATGGATTGACTACCTCGGCTCACGCCAGGGGGTGTCAGCCTCTTGTCCTTTTCACGCCTCTCCTGTTCTGGTCTAGCTTGTTTGGACAGGCGGACAAAGACAAAGACCAGGGCGAGCGGTGCGTGTCCGCGGGGAGCAAGTGGGAAGATTCTCCTCTCGTTTTTCCCCCATGGAACTCAAGTCGGTTCGGTCACGAATCAATCGCTGCTCCGGTACGTATGACCCTTTCTTGCTCTGCCACATGCCCCTGTTTCCGCACTTTACCTGCTGTAATCTTGTTCCTGAGCTTTCATTTCGATGCTCTGCCCCTCTGATTTGATGGCCTCTGCCCGGCGCGACTGCTGAACGTCGCTTCAAGTCGTCGACCTCCTGTGGCCTGTTTGGCTGGGTATTTTTTCTTCTTCTTTGATTCACTGCAGCTCTTGTTACAGCGGGCAGCCCCAGCACAGCACACTTACTACTGCACAGCCATACTACATATCACGTATCAGCACCCACCACAACGGAAACCCCCCTCTCCTTCTGCCCAATTTGCGAGTCAGCCTCTCTCTACAAAACTGGCCTCTTTCAACTTTGCCCTCACTATCTACATCGAGCGCACCAAACCATACTGCACACCACCCGCTCTGCTCGTGCACACATGTAATATCTTCTCTCGCTCTCTATCTTCTTCTTTTGATCCTTCTTGTTTTCTGTGCTATACTTGTATTGCAAGTTTTTCTCATTTTTATTTTATTTCATTTGCACTGTGTTTTTGTGTACTTTATTATTGTTCTTTAATTTGTTTTGGACTTGATTTTTAATTTTTTTCTTCCTTCCCTCTTTGATGTCCCCCCTTTACAACTTAACCTTGGAAAAGCCCGCGACTTTTTTTTGATTTCTTGTATTCTGGTTGGTCTATTCCACCGTTGCCCCCCCCCTCCCCCTTGTCGGCCTTAGTTTTGCCCTCTGTGGTCTCTGAACCTTCACAGTTGGTTGTAACCAGAGACCAGATCACTCACAGAAGGGGCTTTTTAGCAGGGCTCCACCCCAACACACAGACCATCTTTCCCCTCTTCCCCTAAGTGAGCCCCCCTTACCTGCACAATCGCTCACTGTCCAGCCACACCCTTCCACTGTGGGCAAGCGCTGCAACAAGTCCCTGGCAGCCTGGACCGGATCAGATCACTGTTCTGTGTCCCATATCCGCGCCGCCCCCCCCCCCCCAACACAGCCCCCAGCGAGGACAACTGAACCTGCCCACTCACTGCAAGCTTGCTGCGGCAATCAGTTCCCATCGCATCGCATCGCATCGCATCGCGACCTGGATTGACGCGACTGAACCTCCTTCCACACCCCGTCGCGTATCACCTGCGGTCACTCTCGCGCTAATTTTCATCTTGATGCCTCGTACCTGTTCTGTTTTGATGATTGGCTGTGTCTAACTCTCGTCTCTATTCTCCCCACAGACCTTAATTGACGACACACCATTCGAGGCCATCTTTTAGCCAGATGGGTTCAGCCACTGTCGACGTCTCTTTCTCAGCCTCGACCACTATCGTCATCTCCACCAGAGTACTAGCTGTCGCGCCCTAACTCCGAGTTCTATTCCCCTCCCACTCTTCTGCCGCCGCCGCCGTCGTTTTCTTCGCATCGCGCGAATAGTCGTCCGCCTCCAACCATGTCAGCCTGGGGCATGAACGAGGCTGCTGTCCCCAACCACAATGGCAACGGCTTCCCCAACATGAACGACCCAAATGCAGCCCAAGCCTCGGGAATGATGGACCCCTCCGCCTTCATGGCGAACTCTAGCGCTGGCCAGTTCAACCAGGCGCAATACCAAGCGCAGATGATGGCCATGCAGAATGGCCAAATGCGTAACGCGTCGCCGTCTTTCCCCAACCAGATGTATCAGACAAATCCCGTCATCCCCTCTAAGCGACCGCGCCCAAGAGAGGACAGCATCGCAAGCTCGCCGCGACAGAACCCTGGCATGCTGCCGACATCACGCGCCGACACGCCCCAACAGGCCAATTTCCCCAGCTATCAACAAGCTGGCGCCATGCAACAACCTGGCTCGGGCCAGCCATCACCATACCCGCACCTGCAGGCCAATGGGTCTGCAAACGCGACACCCTCGCCCATCATGGGCAACAACCCGATGCGACCTGGCAGCGTGCCGCAGCGTGTGTCCACGACGTCGCCTCACCCCTTCTCCCCCGCCGCCCAGCAGCAGCAGTTTGCACCTCAAGCATCACCGGTACCCTCCGAACAGAGCAGCACACCTCAGCCACACTCATACATGCCGCAGGGCATGCAGCAAGGTGGCTACCCGCAGGGTTATAATCCGAGCTTCAGCGCTCCGAGCCCTTCACCCGCTCGACCTCCCTCCACCCCGAACGCGATGGGCGGGCAGATGATGCCGCAACAAATGGGTCAGATGCAGCCGGGCATGATGCAACAACCAGGCCAGATGGGTATGGGCCAGATGGGCCAGATGGCGCAGATGCAACAAATGGGCAAGATGGGCCAGATGGGCCAGATGCCCAACCAGATGTTCGCCCCCGGTATGGCCCAGGCTCGCAATCCTATGGAACAGCAGAAGATGATGTATCAGATGCAGCAGCAGATGCAACGACAAGGACATATGGGAAGTATGCAGATGCCCTCTCAGATGCAGGGTCAGGTACCTGGGCAGAACATGGCGCAGCAGCAGCAGCAGCAGCAACAACAACAGCAACAACAACAGCAGCAGCAACAACAGCAACAGCAACAGCAGCAGCAGCAGCAGCAGCAGAGGAATTACATGGCACGGCAGCAGATGCCCAATGGGCAAATGCCGCCAAACGTCAACCCTGCGATGCGCGCACAACAGCCTGGGATGACGCCACAGCAAGGCATGCGAGCTCAGACTGGGGCAGACAACTTCATGAAGCAGGTCGCCACGTTCATGCAACAGAAGCAGCTGCCATTTGACCCTAATCCTTCGCTCGGCGACCGTCCTATCAACCTCATGAACCTGTTCCAGATTGTCTTCAAGCATGGCGGGTTCAATTCTGTCACCCAGCGCAACGGCTGGGCGCAGATCTCGCTTGCGCTCGGATACCATCCTAATCAGATGCCTATGGCGCCTCAGCAGTTCAAAATGATCTACGAGCGCTCTCTCAGGGCGTTTGAGGATCACTATCGGTCACTTCGGAGCCAGCAGCAGCAACAGCAGCAGCAGCAACAACAACAACAACAACAACAACAACAACAACAACAACAACATCCGCAACAACATCAGCAGCAGCCGCCACAGCAGCAGCACCCGCCGCCGCACCAGCCACAGCACCAACAGCAGCAAAGCGCCGCCAATATACCCGTCGGGCAGAAACCCATGTTACCAGGGCAGATGCAACAGGGCATGATGCAAGCAGGACAGCACATGGGCATGCAGCAGGGGCAGATGCAGTCACCTTCAAAACCGATACCCCCAGGGGCAATGCAAGCGAGCGTCAATGGCTACTCGACACCACAACCACCTGGGGGGCAAGTACAAGTACATCCCCGCAACAGTGTGTCCAAGAGCCAGACGCCTGGCCACGACGACATCGCCTTGCCCTCACCTGCGAGCAAGCACGGGAGCATGTCGTTACCACTGCCTGGCAGCGCACATCCTGAAGCGCAGGGCGTGCCTGCAGACGAGCAGAAGCTGCTGCCGTACACGGCGCCGTTCGCGAGGGACCCGACGGAATACCAGCCCTGCTCTCGATACGTGGCTGATAGCTTCACGCACGGTGGGCTCAATGTGCAGGCTGCCGGCAAGATTGGGCAGGAGTATGAGGCTTGGAAACCCGATATACCACCAGTCGTTGCACTTGGCAACATCGACGTACATGCTCTCGTCATGGGCCTGCAGAGTGGTATCCACGCTGAGGTTCGTCTTGCCCTGGACACGCTAGCCACCCTAACAGGGCCTGCCGGCATGGTTGATCTGGACCTACATAGGTGTGAAGAGCTGGTGGAGACCCTAGTAGAGTGTGCTGAAGATCAGGTTGAGCTACTCGCGGAGCATACCGAGGAGCTGTCAGACGAGATCGTCATCAACCCGTACGAGGACGTGTGCAGAGCCTGTCGCCTGGAGAGACTGGCTATCAAGGAGATTCACGCCATGGGCACCCTGGAATACGAACTTGATCAGGCTACCGACCGACTGCTCTGCATTACCACCATTCTCCGCAACATGTCGTTCAACTTCCCCTGCCAGCAGCTCCTAGCAGACGAGATGCTGATCAAGTTCTTTTGTGTGGTGATTCGGTACCTGGGCACCCGGAACATGCTGCTAAGGACACACGCAGATACGCTGGACTTTATGAAAGACGTTGTCATCTTTTTGTCGAACATCTCCTCATTCATCGAGATACCCGACCGCGAGCAGGCCTACTATCTCCTTCAGTTCATCCTTGCTTTCGCACCGACTCCACACCCCATTCTTTCCGATGGTGGCAAGATGTATCTGGCTCCGTTTGACCCGGCACTGCATCCCTACCTCCCTCATGCTATTGATGCGCTGGCCAAGCTCTTTGCCCGCGATGAACCCAACAGGAGTCATTACAAGAACATCTTTGCTCTTGATGCAGCCACGTCTCCTCCTTCAGAGCTGATTACCCGGACCTTCGCCCTCGCAATGTCGCCGATCCCCGACCAGACGCGCGAGCCCCGTGCCCCTGACATGCCATCCCTGGTCGAGGCTCGCAAGGCCTTCCTCATGCAGGGGTTGCTTGCTGGCGAGATTCTCTCCTCTCTGGTCCCCGATACCGACCCCAGCATCACTTGCACTTGGCTCTCAGCCGGTAACGGCTTCGCGCAGAACCTCTTCCTCCTCGTTCGAGATCTCTATGTGGAATTCGAAAGGCCGACGATCCGTGCTCCCGGCGCCCACCCACGCAGCCATCCCAAGAAGGATCCCGACCTGCTCTACATCGCTGTGACGGCGACTTCGATGCTGCGCAAGCTCTCGGAGAAGGCTCGCAATCCAGCCAACCCGGCGGCCACGATACCAGCCGGTGTCATTCCCAAGAGTGAGAAGGTACTGCGTGCGCTAGAAATGACCAGCCAGGAACTCACAAGGGACGGGCTGTTGAAGGATCTTGTTGCTTTTGGAGCGCTGGAAAGGTGAAGAGTGGCCTGCGTCGAAGAAAGTATGTAAATGGAGTCAAAGCGAGAGTGTGGAGCTTGTGACAAAGTTTTGGCACAAAAGAATGGATCGAGGGCTTTATATGTTGCAGCATTCCCACCGGCGTCCCAAATTGGAACAGATTATGAAGATCGATCTTGACTTAAGACATTCCTAGAGTTTAGCAGGTCGCTGTTTGGGGGGGGGGGGGACAAAAACAAAAAAATTCAAGCAGGTGGGCATATGCGGTGCGTCCTTTTATTAGCAATAGACGTCGGCATGTCGTTGCAGGTGTCTTGATTGGAAACGGAGCGAATCGATTAGACGAATCAATTTTGTGTGTTTGTGCTATACTAAACATGCGAAGGTACTCCAATTTCATGCGTGAAGATGGCAGAACCAATGTCTTGTGTGGTTTTTCTTCAACATGTCGTGGATCATACTGTTGCTGTCTTGGGGGTATCGACATGTTGACAATACATTCCAACCCTCTCTGTAAATACGAGTGAAGGAAGGTATGCATATATGTCCTATAAAAACCGGACATGGCTTATATGACAGCTAGATAATTCCTCTCCCACACCAGCTGGCATAGCTGCTCGTAGCAACGGACTCACCACGAGTCTTCTATCTAAATTTGCCCTCAATTCCCTAACTTGAGCCAGCTGTCGGCTGGAAAGGGCTAACGTCTCTTGGTTCTCCTGACCTCGACGTGGGTATTTCCCCGCGTACGACGCACTTATGCGTATGATATGGTATTTGTGCAGCGCCCCGGTCTTTGCGGCGCTGGATAGATTGGTAGTTCCGAGGTGAAAAAGGGTCGGCGACTACTAGTGCTTCACCTAAGCTCTTCCTCCGCCAACTAGAAACCTCGAGCCTCAAGCCAATTCTTGACCTTCTCATGATGGAAACCCTACATATATATACACGGTTCATCAGTAAATATTTCCATATAGTTATTTCAAATTTTGCTGGGAAGCGTCGTCATGCGATCGACAGACACAGACGATCCTCTCGCCGCGCACCTACCTTTATCACGACCTGTCCCGTCACAGGATTGATCTTGACATCCTCCTTCTTGAATTTCAGCTCCTCTATGATGTCGCTCTTGAGGTCCTGCGTGTTGCCCACAATCTTTTTGATCAGGGTCTGCTTCCTCGTCCCGCCTGATCGGACATCGTCATAGACGGGGAGGTTCTTGGAGGCGGTGCGTTCGACGAGGTAGGTTAGCCGTTTTGGTGTCCCGGAGGGTGAGGCTGTGGCTGTTGAGGGTGTCGGTGAGGGACGTAGTGAGGGAGAACTCGAGGCTTGTGGTGTGAATCTTGCTTCGGTGGTAAGATGTCGCGTCGTGCTGATGGTGGTGGTGGTGGTGGTGGTGGTGAAGCATGGGGAGAACGGGGCGCGGACGGCATGGGTTGAGACCAGTCGGCTGGGCGCCGCCGCGGTGGCTGCCCGAATTGGTATTTGGTATATCATAATGTTCTTGTTCCGACCTTCTTGTACAAGGACGAAATTGAACCGCGATAGGCAGTGCTCGTGGAGGGATTCCTGCGCGCGAGGTGTTGGCCTTTCCAGACACGAGGAGTGCTCACCAAAAAGAAAATCGAAAGCTCGCAGGCGTACATGCATGGACCTTGCCGAGAACGCTGCCGGCAAGACCCTGTACGTACCGGTACGTACACTTGTCCCGCGGCAAGATCGGGGACACGGCTGAACTAAAGTGCGACTGGCGAATGAAAATGAGGCCAGGGTGGGACCACACGAAAACGGCAGGGACAGAAGTTTGAAGCGAGCAGAGGAAGGAGAACAATGCTGGATTTTTGAGCGAGCCCCGCCAAACCCTCCCATTCAACCTTTAGCCCTGCCTCCAGTCCTGTTGTGTCTCACACCCACCAACAAGCCCCAACCTCAACACCGACGACTTGGCGAAACGACCCTACACTAGGTAGTCAGTCAGTCAGTCAGTCAGTCAGTCAGTCAGTCATATCCTCCCTCCTCCTCTCTCTCTCTCTCTTTCACTCTGGGCTTGACCGATCTCGACTTCGACCCGAACCTCGACCTCGAGCCTTCTCCACCATCCCCCATTCTCGACGTCGATTTACCTCTAGGACTGGTACCCACACCTCGTCCATAACCTACCTGCCTATCTTTTGCGATACCACCTATCGATACCCACGATGGCAGACCTCGCAACGTCGGAGTTCGACCTCCTGCCCAAGCTTGTCACCAAGCTGGACCGCCACCTCATCTTTCCCCTCCTCGAGTTCAGCAGCAGCGTGGTGGAGAACGAGGATGGCAACGCCGACAAGACGCGCGAGCTGCTCAAGGCCAAGTACGAGCTGCTCAAGAAGACCAACATGACCGACTACGTCGCCAACCTGTACTGCGACCTCGAGGGCCTCCAGGATCCACCGAAGGAGTTCGCCGACAAGAGGCAAAAGGTCATCGAGACCTTGGAGAACTTTGAGGATAGCACCAACAAGCTCACCGAGCTGCTGCAGACCGAGGAGGTCGTCTCAAACCTGAGGAGCGACAAGGTTGCCAACTTGGAATTCCTGAAGAAGGAGCATGATGTACGTGTATAGCCATGGGAGAGAGGGAGAGAGAGGGATCGATATCCCACCACACCTCTATTGTCTACCGCAGCCGTGTGGGGGCGCGTGGTATGGCGCGGTGGGACAAAGAAGGGGGATCGAAGAGATTCGAGTAACGCAATGCTAATGTCAGTGACGACGTGACAGGTTACGATTGAAATGGTCAACGCTCTTTACGACTTTGGCAACTTCCAGTACAGCTGTGGAAACTACGGTGCGGCAGCCGACCTGCTGTTCCAGTTCCGTCTTCTGTCCACGGACAACGACAAGGTTCAGGCGGCGACGTGGGGCAAGCTCGCGTCCGAGATCCTGAGCACCAGCTGGGAGGCAGCTCTGGACGAGCTGAAGAAGGTGAGGGAGGGCATCGACGAGAGACTCTACAACAACCCCCTCGCACAGCTGCAGCACCGTACCTGGCTCATCCACTGGGCCCTCTTCCCCCTCTTCAACAACGACGCCGCACGCGACCAACTCCTCGAGATGTTCTTCCGGCCCGAATATATCAACACTATTCAGACCTCGTGTCCCTGGATTCTGCGGTACCTCACCGCCGCCGTTATCACCGGCCGCGGCCGTGCGCGGAACTCGGGTGTGCAGCAGAAGCAACTCAAGGACATTGTGCGCATCGTGCGACAGGAGGCGTACGAGTACAACGACCCCCTGACCGACTTCGTGCGCGCCCTGTTCATCGACTTTGACTTTGAGGAGGCACAGCGCCAGCTGAGCCGCGCCGAGGAGGTGATCCGCGGCGACTTCTTCCTGTCGACAGCGGGTGGCGATGTCTTTGTCGACAACGCGAGGCACCTGATCTTTGAGAGCTACTGCAAGATCCACGCACGCATCGACATCAAGGGCCTGAGCGCCAGCCTGGGCCTCAACAACGAGGATGGCGAGAAGTGGATTGTGAACCTGATCCGTGACACGCGTCTGGACGCCAAGATCGATTCCAAGGAGGGCACCGTCATCATGAATCACCCGCCCAGCAGCGTCTACCAGCAGGTCATTGAGCGGACCAAGGGAGGATTCTTCAGGACGCAAGTGCTGAACTCGGCGGTGGCACGGTAAAAGAAAGAAAGAAGGGCAAAGAAACAAAGCTTGTGACGAGATGACCCATCAGGGGGGAAGTATAGGTGGGGGACGTGGAGGGGAGGGGAGTGGCTGCTGCTGGTGCGGACGACACTAGGGTATAATGGGAAAAGCAAAAGGAAGCGGTGGTGGATTTGATGACACTTTCAACAAAGCTTCTTGTGTTTACTACCGGCAGAAATTAGGCGTTTAGAGGGGAGGAAAGGGTCTTCCCGGGTGATTCTGAAAAAGGGGCACCCTTTGATGTCGTCGAATGAATAGACAAAAACTACCCTTTAAAACCGGAGACTTGACTGTCTGTGTCTTGGCTGGGCTGTTATGGATTGCATGTGTGAGTAAGTGTGTGAGTGTGTGGCCTCTTTGGCCTGGCTGGAGTTGATCATGTCTGTCCCGCTTCATCTTGCAGCTGTGCCAACCGATGTTCTCGATTAGCAAATATGAATAGTTTGGTGACAAGGATAGGGTCAACGACAGATGGCAGGATCCAAGATCTGCTTAACCAGAACAGTAAAGTATCTTGGAGTGTAGCGATGATGTTAAAAGCAAGCAAGCAAGCAAACAGCCCAGCCATGTGACTGACAAATGCGCGGGCGGCGGCTGCACCCGGCCAGCCTTACGTTTTGTTTTTGGAAAAGACCCGACAATCTGGTGACAGGCGAACAAAACCCGGGGATACATTTTCTGGGGTTACGAAGAGAGACTAGACATATGATGTCCAGATATCCTTTTCTTGTATTTCTCCTTTCCTATATTTCCCGGCGCAAGAAGGGGCTTTCGGCGCGGGACGAGGCTGGCGGGGGGCGGACGGGGTTGAGAAGGAAAGGAATCACGCCACGGTGGGATGCTTGGCCGGGAATAAGCTGGGCTGGTCACACCACGGCCTGTCCATGAGGAACGGTTTGTCGCATGATGGGTGAGGTAGTCTTTCGGCGGGTGGGAGTATAAAGAGATCATATGGGTTCCTATGTTTCACTGCAGTGGTTATTATGGTTCGTGTGCATTCAATTAATATCGCCATCGAATCATCACTCGGTTTTTTTGACAAGCAAAAAACCTGAGACATACGGCTGATTTCACTTGCCAACCAATCAGTTGATCGAGTTCAAGTCTCTACATTCTACTACCAGAATCAATCACACTTCGCCTTCACCCTATTCGTCAACAGCGTGGACACTTGGACACACACACATACGCACGACATTCAACGACTACTGTCCATTTTACAATTACACAAAATCATCTTTTAATTCACCATGCGTCCCACACCAAGACTCTTCCACCAGGTCGCAAGGGCCCCCAGCATGCTGGCCCGCCTGTCTGCGCACCCCATGAGCCCGCCTGTGGAGGCATATCCACTGTTTGTCCTGATCACTGGCATGGTACGTTGAACCTTCTCATCTTTTTCTACCTCTCTCTTTTGTGTACTCACCTTGCTGACATATGACCTTGTTTCTTTTTCAGTTGTCGTTTGGTGCATACTCGGCGTATCGGGAGTTTAGATATGACCGGAACCTGAGGCTGCAGAGACTCAACGCCGCGAGGTTTCATTAAGGGTCGGCGGGATACTACGTACTGGTTTCCTTCTTTTTATTTTGTTGGAGTTCTTGTGGGATGGTTGGATGGCTCTCATCATTGCCTTTGGACCGTAAATGGTCATCAGGAAGAGTCCCAAAGTGGCTGAAGTTGGTGACGGGTGCACATAAAGTAATGCCTTTGTACATAAAACCAGATTTATATTAATGGCATATGATACCAAAGATGTTCAAGAAGTTCATGATGGGCGCTTGTTTGTGTGGTGACAATAGGATACGAAAGCGCTTGGTCAGGCTATGCTCAATAAAGTGATTATCAACCACCGTCAGTGTTAATACCAAGTAAAGCAAAGTACAAAGTATGAATGATAGTTACCAACCAACAATCCTCTTCTCTTTGAATCTAGATCAAAAGCCAATCTAGATCTACCTTTCATTATTACCATAGCCCTGTGTCTCACTGTAGTAACCCATCTACAGAATTACGCAACATCCCCCATCTGCTTCACTTCCACGAGATGATCCTCGACGCCGATGATGCCGACGAGAATAACCAGAAGAATGCCGCCTACTCGCCGAATCTGCCCGGCTCGCCACACCTGCCCCCCTCCCCTCAGCCACCGAGACATCCCACCCCATCATCTCCAGCACCTCCCTCTCCAGCTGCGAAGACGAAGTCACCCGCGTCCCCCCACCCGAAGCCGACGTCCCCCAGACCCCATGCCGCCCCAGCCCCTCCAAGTGCTCCGCCAGCCTCTCCGGGCCCGGGCTCGGCGCAAACCACACCCGCTCATCCGGCGGCCGCAGCCGGCCCGACGACGAGCTGCTGTCGCCGTGGTACTCGTAGCTGGCCGGTGCCGTCGCCGGCTCGCCCGGGTCGCACTGCTCCGACGGCCCTGCTAACGCGCTCGCCCAGTCCGTGGCCTTTTTCTTGGCTCGGCGGTCCAGCGCTTCTTGGGCCGCCCGGTGTTTGAACTCGAGTTTCTTGGACTCTTTATGGATCTTGGCTTCTACATCGGACTGGGCATCTGTGGCGCGTCGGTTTCCGTGGTCGGCCAAGGCGTCTTGTCGGTTTCTTTTGAAGTTTGTTTGGCGGTTTTAGCATGCTTTGCGTTTTGGAGTCCTATACATGTTTCCTGAGAGAAGAGAGAGAGAGAGAGAGGATAGAAGGTGCTGGAAAGGGGAAGGATGAGAACGAAAATTGTGATTTTTTTTCTTTCTTTTTTCCCTTTTCTTCTTCATGTCTTTCCGGACCTTGGGGAATACTTACATGTTTGGCTCTGAGCCAGGTCTCCCAGGGATTTCGACTGCATGTGGTCGATGACGATGATGGTAGGCAGGTGAGGGTTCCCGTATTGGTAGCGAGTGGGGATTGTCACTGGCATTGCATTTTCGAGCATGTGAGTGTTCCAAATGTTTCCAAAAAGAGCATTCATTGATTACATGTTCAAGCTGACTATAAAGAGCGAGGATAGAGGTAAGAAGTGTGCAAAGGTTTACCTGAGAGCAGAAGGCCACTTGTCGGTCTCAGTCCGGTGCTCCGACATGGTGTTTTTTTTGTGGTTTGTTTTCTTGTTTGAGGGTGAGAGAGGCTCACACAGCCCTATGAAGCTGTTATTCTTGGATGAAGAGAATTGAAGAAGAAACATGAGACAGGAGTTGTCTCTTGGGTGTTCGTGGTAACCCCTCAGAACAGACATTGCGTGGATTCCTAGGCAGTTTTGTATCTCATTATATATACTAGGCCACTGTCTTCGAGTGATTGAACGAGCACAGTGAGGTGAAGGTTCTCTTGAATACTGGGTGTTCTTGGAGCATGCTACTCGACAATTTCTGTGCCACAAGAATGGACGAATCAGACCTGATGACTGGAAGTTGAGAAGATCAGACTGCGTACAGTCTACCATGGGTCCAAACTTTATCAGGAGGGGTAATGTGCAACCAACTAAATCTGATTCAGATTGCACTGTGATTTGTGATCGTGTGTGTCGATCCTGAGAGCTTGCTCAAGACTGTGTTGACTAGATGTCTTCTATAATAGTTTTGTATTGTTAACATTACTTATAGTCTTAGCAAAGTACAGACAGACCACATGATTTCAGATGCAAAGGCTATATTCAAAAGAGGCATCCAGGACTCACGGATATCTCCATAACCTGGGTTTGATTTGTGCTTGTAAGCTGGGGTAGCTGCGTACTCTTATGACCCAGGACTGCCCTCCATCTCTCTCCTCGCAGCAATCCAGACCTTTCCCCTCAACATCTCAACCACACCATCACGCAACCACCATCCCTCGCCCTCATCCTCGCCCTTCGGGCCACCATCTCTCGACGATTCTCTCTTCTCAGCCCACGCAAATAACAGCCTCAACCCCTCCAGATCCTCCTGACTCCAGCCCTCCAACCCGCTCTCCAGCGTCAACCTCGCGTCAACCTCGGTCCCGGCAGCCTCTTCACTTCCCCCCTCCCCGCCGGTACGATCAAGGACCATTACGCGCTCGGCATGTGTGATGCCTTTCAGCGGGATTCGGTTGAAGATCCACTCAAGTGGCTCGTGGGATGATGCCGAGGCGGACGCGCTGCCGGCGTGCCAGCCGCCACTCTTGTTGGCGAGACTGTCGCGGCCGAGCGCGCGGAGCGTGCCGCTGAAAACACTCTCGTGGAGCGTTCGCTGGCGGAGGTTGAGCGTCTGGTTCTCGCGGAACTCGGCGGCGAGGTCTGGGTTGTGCTCGAAGTCGAGCTCGAGGTTCCAGTACCCAAGAGACGTGGCGTCAGTGCGAACAGAGGATATGTCGTCGAGGAGTGGCAGAAGGCAGGGTGTCTGCTTGCGAAGGACAAGGGGCTCCTCTTGTCTCGTGGTCGCGGCATGTCGGGCTTTCGATCGTGACTTGGATGGTGAGGTGTGTTTCAGAGACCTGGACGTCACTGACTTCATTTTGATGAGGACAGGCACACTGACGGGCGCGCCTGTTGCCAAGTCCTTGGACACGAGACAGCGAGGGTCAGCAGCAAACACCCAGAAATGCCTGAAGGCCTGGAGATGGGCTCTGTTGTCCTGGACGTTGGCGGGGAACAGCGGGTAGAACGCGATCAGAAGAGAGGCGATGGCCAGGTTGTTGGTACTGAAAGTCGCGGTTCCACTGCCTAGGAACAAGGCCCCGATGGCCAAATGGGCTGCCAGGTGGCTGCCGTAGGACGTGTCCGGATCATGGCGGCCATGCAGGGACCGCAGCCTCCTCAGCACTTCTAAATCACCTGTACCTGCCATCACCGTGGCGGCGGACAAGGCAGTAATGTCTTGACACATCTGCACGTTGTTGCGTGCCAGCTGCGCATCATAACACTCGGCGGGCTGTCTGACAAGGTCTCTGAACTTGTCGAGATATCTGACCAACAAGTCTCTCACATGCAGATTTCCAGAGCCTGCAAACCGCAGACCAAGCGAGAACAAGAGCCCGGATAATATCGAGTAGAAGGACATATCCTTACTGCGCAAGGACTTCGGTCCCTGGAGTAAATGCCGCCATCTGTACTCAACAGGCAGACTGGACCGAATCCACTCCACGCTCGGCTCGATGCGGCTCCACATGATGAGGTTCTTGGCGAGGGTTCGTAGCAGTAAGACATCCGGCCGAATATATGTGAACTGAAGCACAGAGTCGGGAACGTCGACCTTGCGTGCGACAATGTGGTCTTCAGACTTCATGAACATGAGTGCTATCGCAACGACGGCGCCAGGTGCTGCGCGGTCGAGGACGTTGACCAGTTCAACTTTCTTCGTTGTCGACGCGAACGTCAACAGCTTCTCCTTCAGCCGCATATCGTGCAGTCCTCGGAGGTCCGCGCCCCGTCCCAGGTTGATCAGCCCAAGGGCAAAACCCGCCGCAAGACGGTACCCTTCATTTCTGAGAGGGTCCTCTTCGTTTTCGTCCTGGTCGTGCTCGATCTCTGACATCATGATCTCGCTCATGCGCCGGTGTCGACTCTCACAATAGACAAGCCCTATGCCCATGAGGCCAGCCGTCTGCGTGAGGTGTGACAGGTTGAGTTCCGCGGAGCCTGGTGGCAGCAGGCGCGTGACATGGACGGTGAGGACTCGGGTGATCAAGTTGTCCATAGAGCCCATGAACGACGCCGCGAGTCCAAGCAGCAGGCCTATGGACGTCATTGTATGCTTCGTCGTGAGATACTTGAACGCCACCCATTTCACCACGGATTTCAGGTGTCCATTCAAACCGAGAGCCAGAAGGAACCCAGCATGCCTGTTACTTGGTTCTCCATTGGGTTTATTAAAGATGATCCAGTTGTTGTCGATACCTGTGGCACGAGGCGATATTTGAAGCCCAGCCGCAGCACCTTGGTGGAAGAAGGCCCAGTTGACTTTCTCCTCAATGAACAAAGACTTGTCTGCATTGACTAGGATATTCGTCGGCTTGACGAGACATGTGAGGTTGAAGCCCGTGATGTCAAATCTCTCAGTCGGGAGCGGAAAGCGGAGGCCAAAGTGCATAAGGCCGCGTCCTGCCGGAATGGCGAGGGTTCCAGTGGCAACAACAGTGACCTGCTCCTTTTGTTTTTCCAGAAGCTCTGATTCTGTCCAGTTTGGTTCTGCGTTGCAGTGGATGACCCTGTGGTACCTGGTCGATAGCATGCTCTCTGCCTCAACGAGTCGGCGGTCTTCCTTGAAAAGAGCCTGGATGATTGCCTGGCGCTCAGTGGACTCATTTGCCAAGTGTCCATAGTGGATTGGTTTCTCTACGCTACCACAAATCGCCTTGTAATCTTCGGTGGCGGCATGGGAGGGAGGTGGAGCGTTGATGGCCAACATCTCCTTGGCTTCGTGCTGCTTAAGCATGGTCGCAATGTCGGCCCTGTGAACCAGTGCCAACAGTTCTATCGGCCAGCTCGCTGGTGGGCGTGACTGGCACATTGAGATGGCGTCTTTGATAGGCGTGAGAACAGCTTCCGGCAAGGTCTCAAGAACGTTGGCTGTGAAGCCGCATCGGTGGACAAGCTCAACGACCTCGACATGTGAGGTACCGGGCGTGAGGAAGGAGAAGAGCCTCTTGAACATGAACGTCCTCGGCATGATTGAGGACCACCGACGGAATGCATTGTCCGCGGTAATGCTCCTCTGAGTAATCGTCGCGTAGACGTCTGCAACAGTAGGGAACTCAATAGATTTGTCGCCCGCGAAATGCGATTGGATCCACTCCAAGATGCTGACAAGACGTTGTGGACTTGGTAGACCGGCAGCGGAAATATCTGCCATTGTGTCAGCTCAGCTATTGATATGGGTCTGGGCAAAACAAACTTACCATAGTGGTTCCGAGGGTCGAGATCAGTCGGCATGCCCAGCTCGTGCAGGGCCACAAACTCGTTCCAACCCAGCCAGCGTCCAATCTGACAAAGAAGGGCTCTGACATCAGCCCGTCCTGGCGAAGAGTATTCTGGGTCCATTACGTCCAGCTTTCCTTCTTCGACCAGCAAGTGTAAAGCGCACATGATGCCCCATGCAGCACCGGTGCGGTCCTCAAGGCTTCTTTTCCGGGCTGTGGGCAGATGCCCGTTAGAGGATCCCAGCGCATGTTGGCCCCGGGGTGAGTCCATATATGACTTGGCGAGTCGTGTATGAATCGTCAAAAAGTCGTCTCGGCTGGTTCTGGGTGTGATGGGTGGTATGGCCGGTGTCTCCTCATCCACGAGCCACCTCCATGGACGACTTAATGCCCACGATGGACATGTGGATGCATTGGGGCCTGCAAATGGTAGCATCTTTTCATAGCTTCCTGCAGAGGCATGCATGGCCCTCCGAAGCCGTGGCGTCGCTTGTGTAGGTGGTTGCTGAAGGCTTGAAGCAGGATTTCCAAGGGATAGAAATATAGCAAGAATCTCCACGACGAAACACGACCACTCACGGTCTGCTGCATCGATGCCCTGCTCTTCCATCCAATGCATGATATGCCACCAGCCAGCCAGCATCTTTTCCGACACCTCGATCGGCAAGACGCTGCGACAGACCTGGAGAAGCTTTTGAACTTGAGGACTGGCTGGCTGCAGCTGGATCTGAATGCGGTGAATTTTGCCCTCTCGATCCTCAAGATCCACGGTACCCGACAGGCGCGAATGGCGAATTCTCGTGATATCCGTGGCGGTGAGTTTGGAGCCAATAGAACGTCGACCCTTGACCTCTCTGTTGACGTGAGTGCCGGTATACTCTAGGCTCCCGATGTTGTCTGCGTATAACGTCGGCAAGGCCAGCGGGGTCATTGCACTCCACGGTGCCTGGATGCTTAATTCTCGCTGACCCTCCTTGTTCTCCGACAGTATCAGAATCATGGACTGGTCGCCATCCGAGACCTTGCAGGAGTCAACGACACTGGAGGCTCGGGTCAACATATTGGGAGTGATCTTGTATGCGCTAGAGGCGATTGACGCGGCTGTCCTCCCACTATCGTGGCCCGGTGGGCTGGCATTTCCTCGTCGTTCTATAGTCAAGGGGAGAAGCTGCAGGCGTTTATCTAGAGGATCCTGTATGCCAACAAGCAGGTCCCAACGACCAGATTCGTCCGTTGCGAACTGGGGGCTTTTGACCATAAAGACTTTGTACTGTGTGCGAGCTGGCTGGGTTGAGAGCGAATACCGCACATTCGCATTGTCGATAGACGTGCTGATTATCTTGGTGAGAAGAATCTCTCTGGTCAAACCATCAAAGCTATGATCCTCGAGCCCCATGCTATGAAAACCTTCAAAGTCACCACCAGCTCGCAGCTCGTTCAGGAGGCCTTCAGCTTCTCGCAAATTGCTGAGGTTACCCATGGTGCGAGCATTGCCGAGGTTCAGATTGCTTTGGCCGCCGCTGTGACGAACTCGTTGGCCTGCTGTCATACGACGGCCCTCGGCGTGAGTGGATTGGGCCGATGGCTCAGCGAACGTGGTTCTTTCGTGCGACGCAGACAAGTCGGCTCGAGCCAGCAGGGAGCTCACACGTCGGGACGGCTTCTTTGTCTTGTCTCCTCTGTCTGCTCCTAATGCCGCGGCTATGTCACCTGTATTGGATCTGTCCTGTTTGTCGCCTTTTCGATCTTTCTTGCCAGGTTGTGGACCGGCGCCGAAGCTCTCGCGGAAAGACGCCGCAACTGGTGTTGTGGCGCCGCTGCTGAGCCTCGGTTGCATTGAGCTGCGTCGGCGATTGGCTTTTTGGTCCTGGTCCTTCGGGTGTTTGGTAAAGATGTCCTCGTCCTGAATGTAGCTGAGGTGCCAGACTGTATATTGGTTGGCCTCTCGATTCGCGGTTACTGCCAGAATCAAGCCATCCTCTATCGTCTCAATGTGAAGAATTTCCTCCGACAGGTCTAAAAAGGGCGCGTTTGGCGAGGAACGTGGCCGATCCCCTTTACTTGAGGTTGGCGAGCGGCTCACCACCAGGCCCAGCTCCAGGAATGGATCAGTCAGGCAGACCAGGCGGGGCCATTGTGAATCATTCACCACCAGCGGAGTCTCGAACATATTCTCCATTGTGGTGCTCAGCCTCAGCGGCAATGTTCTTGGCAATGCCAGACCTTCCACAGAGAACGAAGCCGTCGGGTTATGCTGCCTTTGGGGTGCTGAAGACAACTGCGAGGAGACGAACGAGCTCGGTGGTACACGGGGAAACTTCAGGCTGATAGGCGCCATATTGTGCGTTCGAGGTTTCCTTTGAATGATGACACCAACCGGAGCAGCGCAGGCGGCCTCGACCTCGAAGGGCATGTGGACGGTGTGGCTTGTACCAGACAGAAAGAAGATGCGTGCCTGTGTCTTGAGGAAGATGACAAGTGCCTTCTCTAGCTTGTTGACGTCCTTTTTTCCTTGGTCTTTCGCCTTGGAGGAAGCGCCAGACTGATCCATAGTAGTGCCCCTGGTGGCAGTTGCATGGTTGTTCGTGTTGTTGGTGGGGAAATAGGTCAACAGGGCCTGCAGGATGGGCTCGTCCTTTTCGACTTCGGGATTGAAGCTCTTCCTGAACACACCTCCTCGCTTCCAGATGACACTGTTATCGATGATCAGGAGCTCATCCTCGCCGCCGTCATCTATTGTGACATCCCAGGTATAGCTGCCCTGGACCGGCTGCCCTCGCAGGCCTAGGGGCGGATGCATCCCCAAAGACTTGACCGACGCCATCGTGACTGATGCGCTCCATAAGGCTCAGTGAGAGACAGTCTGCCTTTTGTATGTATGTGGAGAAAATCTCTGAAGACTTGTAAGCCACGTGCGGCCCATCGGCCTGTGTTCACAAGGGATTTTCGATCTGTAGTTTGTGGTTGCTGGTCACAGTCGTCGTAAAGAAGTAAATATGCCGTCGACGCGTCGAGGTCGAGCCTTGTCGTGCCTTGTCATGCATGGATCTACAGTGTTGCTAACTCGCGCTTCTATGGCTACACCACCTTTAGCGGTACGTACCCTTGCAATTGACGGCCCAAGCTCCTTCCTAGGTGCCCCATCCCACCTGCCCACGTAGAGCCGCGGTCCACTAGCCTCTCTGACGTCGCGTGTCTCCGAAGTCACTTTCAATTTATTTTGTCGTGCTCTTGCAAGCTGCCTGTCTTGGTTATACGATCAACTCCCCCGCGACGAGACCTGTTCCTTTCCCTCACAGATAGCGACCGCCATGATCAGGTCATTAGGCTTTGAGCAAAGATGACGGAATCTGTGCCTGGTGCAGGCGATGACAAGACCATCGACACGCACGAAGTCGCATCCAGTCCTGTTGACGACGGTCGCAACTCTCCTGAAAGCTCAGCAGAAGCTACTGGCGATGCTAAACCCATAGGCGCTTATGACACGACCACAGAGGCTACAGAGACCGAAACTGAGGAGCAAGACGGAGATGACGACGAGGAAGAGGACGAAGAGGAAGGAGGGGAAGATGACGACGACGACGATGAGGACGACGACGACGACGACGAGCCGCGACTAAAGTATGCCAGGTTAACGCAGCATCTCAGCTCCGTCTACAGAAATGCAGACTCGACGAGTGCATTCCTTGTCGCCGGTGATAAGATGGTAAGGAGGCCAAACGCCGCCCCTTGTCGCCACCGCGCGCTCGGCTGACCCCGTATGCAGATTATTGGCACCCACAACGGCAATATTGTGAGCATCAAACCTCTCCCAGACCTTCAGTCCGTCCCCAACTGATGGTCCCGCAGCATGTGCTACAATTACCGTCCTTCCAGGCCTTGCGAACCTATCATGCCCATTCCGTCTCCGTCACTGCCGTCTCTATATCTCCATTTCCGCCGCCGACAATTGCTGCCAAACCCGAAGCCGCCACGCGTGCGATTGCCCAGGCGACTGGCGGTGTAGCTGGTGGCTCAAATTCTCGGCCGGAATCGCGACAGTCTGCGGCGAGCTCTGCAGCGACAGCGAGAAAGCCTCGGGAGGCGCCACAGATACCGAACCTTCCCTCGAATCAGATCTACATTGCTACGTCTTCGATGGACGGCAACGTTTGTGTTCAGTCATTGGTTGACTTGAAGGATGTGCAGTTGAGGAACTTTGCCAGACCCGTACATGCAGTCGCCCTGTCCCCTGACTTCAAGAACGACCGGACATATCTCTCGGGAGGAACAGCCGGAAATCTTATCTTGACGGTTGGTGGTGGTCCTGGCCGCAGTACGTCTTCGACTGTAGGAACGGCTGCTGCTACTGCATCTGGCTGGCTGGGTAGCATGGGCCTCGGTACGAACACTGGCAAAGATACAGTTCTGCATTCCGGGGAGGGCATCATCAGCACAATCAAATGGTCGCTGTCCGGAAAATATGTCGTATGGCTTAACGAACATGGCATCAAGATCATGCGATCTAATCTGCACCTGGAGGGTGGTGAACCGGACGATGCTTGGAAGCGGATCGGTCATTATGACAGACCGCAGACCGACGAATGGGAGACCATGGCCAGTGTGTGGAAAGGCAGAGTCGAGTGGATCGACGAACAGTCTGTACCAGCGAGCGACGAAGCCAAGGTCGCAGAGGACATTGGCCCTGCCTCTCCGGCTGCAGAGAAACTCAAACTTCACCAAAGCCGCGACAAAAGGCAAACCGAAAGACTTTTGGTTGGGTGGGGTGGCACGATTTGGATTATTCATGTCCACGGCGCGGACAAGAATGCCGCCGAGCGAAGTCTCGATAAGGCGGAAATGGTAAAGATGTGAGTCTCATCCGCCCCGGTCTTGGAACTGTAGCCTGGTGCTGACTTCAAGTTAGTTTGCGCATGGATTGTATCATTTCAGGCATTTCGTTGTATACCCAGAGCCTGTTACTCGTTCTTGCTTACCCTCTGCATGATGAAGACGACGAGGGCGATGAAGGGGAGAGCAAGCCTGTTCACGGCCACAAGGCAGAGCCTTCGACGAGCTCCGCCGGCAGCGGTCCCTCAGGCGGCCTTCGGCGTCGCCAAAACCATCCTCCCCCGGAGCTGCGATTGATTGATCTGATTTCCCAGGCCGAGATCGACAAGGACAGCCTCAGCATCAGTCGACACGATCGCCTGAGCTCAAATGACTACCATTTGGGCGTCCTCCCACAACAGGCGGCTACCGTGGTGGCAGGTTCCAAAGGATACCTCGAAACCATGGCTGGGATTGGTACCGATGTCTGGAATGTGGCCATGTATCCCACCAAGGCCCTCTTCAGCTCTGCCGCCAGCGTTCGAAGTGGACATAGCAATGAGGCAGCTTCTGCTTCCAAGACACCAAGCATTTCTGGGAGCGTCAGGGCGCAGCCTCAGCGGCTGGCCACGCCAAGTGTGCATCCCAGCCTGTCGAAGCCTGGAACCAAGATCTTTGTGCACAGTCCTTATGACTGCATCCTCGCTACGAAGCGCGACTTGAGCGACCATCTCTCCTGGCTTGTAGAGCGGCGAGAATACCAGCGGGCCTGGGAGCTCGTAGATGAGAACCCGGAGATCGTCATCACCGCAGAAAATATCCAAGACATCACATCACCAAGCACGCCAAGTCGGTCGCAGATGCCGGACGATTTCTACGCCGACACTGCGTCGGTGATGGATGAGGTCGGCAGGCAAGCAAATGTCATGGTCGACAAGGAAAAGCGGCGCATCGGCGAGCTTTGGCTCCAGCAGCTGGTTGATACCGGAGACTGGCAACGTGCTGGCCAGGTGGCGGGCAAAGTCCTCACGTCTTCTGATCAATGGGAGAAGTGGGTCTACGCGTTCGCCCACGCCGAAAAGTTCGACGAGATCACAAACTTCATCCCCATCGAGCCGATGCGGCCCCCGCTCCCGTCCATTGTCTACGAAGTCGTGCTCAAGCACTATATCCAGACCGACAAACTACGACTGAAGGACCTCCTGGACAGATGGCATTCGGACTTGTTCGACGTCAACACTGTCACAACCACTCTGGAGAACCAGTTGAAGTATCGTGATGTGCGACCGGATAGTGTTGAGGACGGCGTGAAGGGGCGTGATTGGAGGATCGTCGTGGAAAGCCTAGCGAAGCTGTGTGAGGTCAACGGTCGCCATAGGGAGGCCCTCCGTTACTATATCAGGCTCCAAGATGCCGATTCCGCAATGAGGTTGATCAAAGACAGTCATCTGGCCGATGCTGTGGCAGATGATATCCCGAGCTTCGTGACTCTTCGCGTCCCTGCTGATGGACAGGACCAGATGACCATGAGCAACCTGGAGGAGGCCACCGCAGAGGCAATCACACTTCTGGTCGATGAAGCCCAGCACGGCCTGGTCAGACCTGAGGCCGTGGTGTCCCAGTTGCAGGAGAAAGAACTGAACCTTTACCTGTTTTTCTACCTGCGGGCGCTCTTCAAAGGCGAAGGGGTTCAAGAACATATGGGTGAGAACCGCGAGCGCCTTGTCATGGAGAGCCAGAGCCTGGTCGATGGGTTTGCGGACTTGGCCGTCCATCTTTTCGCCCTGTACGATCAATCCATTCTGATGGACTTTCTGAAGACCTCGACATCGTACACCTTTGAAAAGGTCGGTCTGCACACAATTCTCCCCTTCTCGTGATCCTCGGACCAAACGTAACTGACGATATGCCTAGGCCGTTCATGAATGCGAAGAACACAGCTACATTCCCGAGCTCGTCTACCTGTACTCCAAGACCGGTCAGATGAAGCGGGCTTTATACCTCATCATAGACCGACTGGGCGACGTGAGTCGAGCAATAGCCTTTGCTAAAGATCTTGACGACCCGGACCTGTGGGAAGACCTGTTGAACTATAGCATGGACAAACCGCGCTTCATACGAGGACTGCTTGAAGAAGTCGGCACTGCCATCAACCCCATCACGTTAGTGAGGAGGATTCCTGAAGGCTTGGAGATTGAAGGCCTACGAGAGGGTCTGAAGCATATCATGAAGGAGCACGAGATACAATACAGCATCAGCGAGGGCGTTGCCAGAGTACTGAGAAGCGAAGTCGCCGCTGCGCAAACGACTCTCCGAAATGGGCAGCGCAAGGGGATCAAATACGATGTTGTGGTCAAGGATGCCGACCACGTGGACGTGGAAACCAAGAGCGTGGTATCGGATGCAGCTTCGGTTCACTCCACCGGGACCAACGAACCATCCGCCAAAGCAGCAACAGGCAACTCGAAGGCGACAAAGGACGCCGCCGCCACGCCACACCCGCCTCTCAAGAAGCCCGCAAAGAAGTGGAAGCCTGGCCACTGTGCGGCGGTGCAGTGTCTGGAGCCATTTACCGAATGGGAAGAGGAGACACTGGTGGGCTTCGCGTGTGGACACGTGTACCACCTGACGCATTTGTTGCAGGTGCTGCACCCAGACCAGCTGACAGAGGATCTCGCAGGTTTTGGTCGCTATGCGGCACATGAGGATGATGAAAGACAGGGCGTGAGGAGAACGGTGGGCACCAAGGTTACGCACGCGAGGCTGTTGAGAGATCAGATTAGGGGATGTCCCATCTGTGCGAGGACGGAGGAGGTGAGATGATGGGCCTGAAGCGAGGGCATGACTTTGGATATTTCATCAGATACCACACGACGTACACAATTTCACTAAGCCAAGAGCGATTCAAAACGTAGTTCCTCTACAAGGGTGCGGTGGCCTATGTGAGGCGTCTCGTCCCAGCCGGCCAGAAACGTCACCGGCAGATGGCGTCGGGTTCTGCCCCATGAACCGCGTGTCCTGCGTGTTTAGATTTTACCTCGTCAGACGGGCCGATCCGCCAGGGGATGACACATTCTTGACATTTATCATGAGAAGATACAAACTGAGCAATGGGCGTGCATGCTGGCTGCATACAGAGTCAAGTCGTAAAGTGCACGGCAGATTCCAGTCATACGATACAAGGATTATTGGTCAACATGGGCTGAGAGTTTACTGTTTCGACCACGGCGTAGCATCGAAGGTTGGTTGATGTTGGCAGGGGTTTGAGGAAGAGTTTGGCTGAGCCATAAGAAGTACGTGCTTGTACCGCGGTATAGTTCAGGCCTTACTGTATGAAGGAGGCCCATGGAGGCCCTTGCTCAGGGGGCATCAAGTGGGCGATGATGCTTGTGTTACGTCAGCCGACAACTCACCATAGCACCTGCCGCATCCTAGCTCCAGCCCCACACCCACAGTACGACCCCGTCTCACATATCAACCAACACACACCACGGCCTCCAGTCAACTGCAGTTTCCTTTTCCCTTCAAAAGGTTGGACATCCCTTTTGGAGTCCATCAAAAACAACAAATCATGTCAAACATCAACCCTTCTTCTGATGATGTCCCCGCCAGTGAGAGGACTCCTCTTCTGGGCCGCGATGGGGCCGCAGATGAGGAAGAATCTCACGAGCATTCGAGGACGGAGCGCCTGACGAGCTGGCTCGCAGGTCATATCGCCAACATCATTCTGAGCTTGCTTCTCATCTTTTTCATCGCTCTCTTCCTGGTGACCTTTCTGGCCAGGAAAGAAGAAAGTGACGAGTCGCCCGTGGTGCCAAACCCCGGTGACGAGGCCAAGATCTGCACGACTGCTGGATGCGTTCTCGCCTCGGCTACGCTGCTGCGGAGCATCTCACCTAGGTCAGTCAGAAAGCACCATTCCCCTCAGCACAGCGCCCATTCCTGCTGCTCCTGTACCTATCGTTTACTTACTGTGTGAGAGGAACAGATACAAGGAGCTCGACCCATGCGAGGACTTCCGCGCGTATGCCTGCGAGGGCTTCGATGCCATCCACGAGATCCGTGAGGACCAGACCAGCGTGGGCAGCCTGCAGGTCATGAGCGAGGAAGGCCAGCTTATCCTGAAGCGTATCCTCGAGTCTCCAGCCCCACAGGATACTTCTCTCTTTTGGACTGCCTCGTCTCCAGACCAGGAGATCTTCGCCAAGCTGCAGGATGGGTACAACGCTTGCCTGAACGAGACCCTGCTGCGGTCCATCGGGTCCAAGCCGCTGCTCGACCTGCTCAAACAGGTCGAAAGGCTATACCCCTTACACGGATCTCATGAAGATCAAGCTCTCACCAACACTGTGCAATTTTTGATGAGCATTGGGGTCAGGACCCCGATTTCCCTGGGTGTTGGTGCTGATGACAAGGACCCCAATGCCAATGTCGTATCGCTCAGCCCTCCCTATTCTTTTGGTCTCCCATCAAAGCAGTATTACAACAAAACCGAGATGGTGACTGCGTACAAGGACACAATCGGTGCCGTTCTCCAGGGCTTGATAAATGAAGCCAGGAAGGAAAGGGCCCACGACGTGCTCTCGGTCTTCCAGCACCCAGGAGCACCGGACCACGTGAACAAGAGGGTGGTTGATCAGCTGGTTGATTTCGAGGCGCAAATGGCCGCTGCGGCTCCTGACCCCGAAGATCTGTCGGACATCACCAAAGTCTACAACCCCAAGACCTTGGATGAGGCCGACGCATACAACCCTGCCATCTCGGTGAAGACGCTCATTACGGGCCTTGCCGATGGCTACAAGCCGTCCAAGATCATCGTGGCCTCTCCAGACTACCTCAAGTCTCTTTCCGATATCTTGGCAACCCAGGAACGGGACGTCCTCAAGGCGTACCTGGGCTGGAAGGTGGTGCAGTCCTACGGGACGGTGGTGGAGAGTGATTCTGTGGAGCCTCTTCGCAGGTTCAACAACAAGCTTCAGGGCAAGGAGCCTGATGTCAAGCCCGAGAGGTGGAGGACGTGTGTTAGTGTGGTCGACAGTGATCTTCCCTGGATCCTGAGCCGCTTCTTCGTCGAAACAGCCTTCTCCAAGGAAGCCAAGGATCTCGGCGACCAGATCATCCATGATATCAAGGACGAGTTCATCACCAAGCTCAAACATTCCGAGTGGATGACCAAGACGGTCCGCCAGCTCGCGATTGACAAGGTCAACCTGATTCGTCAAAAGATTGGGTACCCCACCGAGAGTCCGGATGTCACCGACGCAGAAGAACTCCAGAAGTACTACAGCGAGGTTCCCGTTTCCTCCAACACATTCTTTGCCAACAGGCTCGCCTCGACCAAGAATGATATCAAGCGCGAGTGGGCGCAGATTGACAAGCCCGTCGACAAGGCCGAATGGGGCATGTCTGCGCCGACCGTCAATGCCTATTACAACCCGCCTGGCAATGAGATCGTGTTCCCAGCCGGCATCATGCAGGCTCCCGTCTTTTATGACCCCTCCGTGCCCAAGTACCTGTCGTATGGTGCCTTTGGCGCTGTCGCCGGTCATGAGCTGTCGCATGCCTTTGATTCGTCAGGTCGGAATTACGACCAGAACGGGAACTATACTGACTGGTGGGATAATTCGACCATCGACGCCTTCAAGACCAAGACGGACTGCTTCGTCGAGCAGTACTCCAACTATTCCATCCCGACCAAGGATGGACCGCTCCACGTGAACGGGAAGCTCACACTTGGAGAGAACATTGCTGACGCCGGCGGTCTCACGGCCGCGTTCCAATCCTGGCAGCAGCGTGACGATGAGAAGGCTGACCTGCAGCTCCCGGGGCTGCAGCACTTCACCAAGGAGCAGGTCTTCTTCCTCGCCTATGGACTGACGTGGTGTGGGAAGTCGCGAGAGGAGAGGTCGGTACAGCTGATCTACACGGATCCTCACAGTCCTAGCCAGTATAGAATCAAGGTAAGTTGAGTTCTCCTCTCTGTATTTGGCTCGTTCAATGATTGGGCGCTCTGCTGACCTTCACAGGGAACTACATCGAACTCTCGTGAGTTCCGCGAGGCATTCAATTGCCCTGTCAAGGAGCCTACTTGTGAGCTGTGGTAGGCCTGGTCATTATCTCCAACGGCATTGTCGATATTGGTGTAATCATTGCGTTTATTATAATCAAGCATGCCAGAGAATGCAGCGAGGGCTGTGGGATGGGGCTCGGTCGATGAATCTGTTTTGCTTTGAAAAAGCGTGATTTTGTAACGAATTGATCTGTACTTGATAGATGCCAGCTTCTCGGTAATATAACTTAGTCTACAGTAGCTATCTTATCAGGCAATGTCGTTTATCTTGTGGCCCATCTCTCTCTCTCTCTCTCTTTCCATACGTCAAGCAGACGCGCATGGTGATCGACTTATCTCGTGGGTCCGGGATACCGGCAACGGATTCCTCCAATGTAAAAGCGACGCAGATACCCCTGGCCACAAGTATGCAGACTTACCTTAAGTAGGATGGTCCCAGCCACTGACCCGTCCTAGCTGAACGCCATACTCAAGCTGCAGCGCCTGTGGTGTTGCAGCGCTAATGCAGCATGTGTACGCCTCTTACAATGTGCCTGATAGTCAAGTCGGTCCATTTCTTTTTGTGTCTCGCATCAATCAGAGATAAGGCAGCAGACGGCCGTTTGCCACAGCATACGCACTTTGGTTTGTTTGCATATTCTCACCTCAGCTGGAGAGAATATTGTCCAAGTCCTTAGATTGGCTCACAGGCGTTCCCTTTCCTTTCTCCCATCAGCTGCCCTTTGAGGTCTCTTGTACTGTTTGGACGTTTCTCACTTTAATACACTATATCCATGTATGAGTGAATTGGTCGCCTAATTTAAGTCTGATCTCGTCGACTACTCTCCCCAAAAAAAAAAAAAAAAAAAAAAAACAATGTCGGCCAAGAATGTGCTCGCCAAGGTCGCCTCGCCCGATGAGGCGGCGGCGGGGATAGATTCTCTCCTCGTCGACACGGATGCGGCCGACATGGCGAGGCTGGGCAAGGCACAGCAGTTCCAGCGCAACTTCTCGTACTGGTCGACCTTTGGGTTCGTGTCGATCTACATGGCGACGTGGGAGTACGCCATCGTGTCCATGTCGCCGTCGATCCCGGCCGTAGGCTACGGCGGCTTCTTCTGGACGTTCATCGGGTGCATGGTGCTGTACGGGTCGGTGGTGCTGTCGCTGGCCGAGATGACGTCCATGAGCCCGACGGCGGGCGGGCAGTACCACTGGGTGAGCGAGTTCGCCCCGCCGCGATGGCAAAAGGAGGCCAGCTACGCGGCGGGCTGGATGAGCAGCCTGGGCTGGGTCGCCAGCTATGCGGGCGGCGTCTACGTGGCCGCCCAGCTGGTCCAGGTCACGGTCAACCTGACCTGGCCCGACCTCGTCATGACGGACTGGCAGCTGTTCCTGGTCCTGCTGGCGCTCATGCTCGTCACCATCGTCTTCAACACGCTCGGCGCCAGCGTGCTGCCTGCCGTCGAGGTCGGGAGCCTGCTGGGGCACACCATTGGCCTGGTGGCCTATGTCGGGGTGCTCTGGGGCTTGTGTCGGCCTCTGAACAGCGCGCGGGACGTCTTTGCTGGGTTTGAGAATAATAGTGGGTGGGGGAATTATGGGGCTGCGTGTTTGGTTACGCAGGTTTCGATTATTTGGTCGATGTTGGGAAGTGATACTATCGTGCACATCTGTGAGCATTTTGTCTCGTTTTTTTGTTTGTCGTTCTTGTGACTTGCAGTTGATTGCTAATTACTTCTTAATTCTCGGAATTTCCCTTGTAGCCGAGGAGGTGAGGGATGCGTCTCTGACTGTCCCCCTCGCCATGTGGTGGTCCTACGTCTTGAACTCCGTCATGGCCATTTTGCTCGTCATCACCATGTTGTTTTGCATTGGCCCATTGGATTCCATTCTTGACTCCGACCTGCCGTACCTGAACCTGTTTGCCAATACAGGAAGCAGCAGCGCCGCGCTGTTTCTGGCTGTCGTATTGATCCTCCTCATCGCTGCCGGCAACATTACTGCTCTGGCGACCACGTCACGTGAGATATGGGCTTTTTCTAGGGACAAGGGGTTCCCTTTTTCCTCCTGGATCTCTCATGTGAGTCTTGAAGGAAGAGAAAACCATGAAACATGAATCAGATTAAAAGAGAGAAAAAGGAAAATGAAGCAAGAAACCACAAAACATTACCCTTTCTAACTGTGCATACACTCACACAGATGAATCACAAATACGATCAACCCTTCAACGCAGTCTACGCCGCCACAATCATCTCCGTCATCATCTCCCTCGTCTCCCTCGGCTCCAGCCTGGCCTTCAGCATCATCGCCTCCCTCTCCCTCCTGGCCCTCATGTCGACCTACATGCTCTCCATAGGCTGCGTCCTCCTCCGCCGTCTAGGCATCGGCAACGCGCCCCCGCTACCCCCAGCCCGCTGGAGCTTGGGGCGGTGGGGGTTACCCATCAACATCGTCGCCGTCGCCTACTCGGGGTTCATCGTCGTCATGAGCTGTTTCCCGAGCGAGACCTCGCCCGATCCGGCGGATGCGAACTGGGCGCCGCTGATCTGGGGGGCGGTGATTGTCTTGAGCGTGGTGGCTTATTTGTTTCATGGGCGGAAGCATTTTACTCCGCCCGTGATGTTTATCGAGGGGCAGAGGGCGGAGGGCGTGGATTTCCAGAGAGTTGAATGAGGGTGGAGGGGGCAAATAAGGCAGGAAGAATAATGGAGAGTGGTAGAGAGAACGTATGATACTTACGAATTGATCCTAACGGGAATTGGCTCTGCGCGTTGCAGGAGGAAGGGCTCGTCTTCATGCCGTAAAGCAAAAATTTATCATATAAGAAGCCTCATTGAATAGACAATTGCTTTGTCTTGGAGAATGCGTACATTTCACTACATAAGGATATTCTCAGAGGGACGAGGAATTCAATTACCGCTGGGTCTGTTGAGACATGCTGTCAAATATCCTTGATTATTGCCTACTGGTTCGTGTACCTATCTGCCTAGAGTCAATGTTCATCACATAATTATGCAAAGTCCTTGTCTGAAACCTTCTTGTTTACTTATTCAAAGCATCTCTTCACGACCAAGTGCCACGGGTGAGTCATTAGAAGATAATTACAAGGCTAGGCAATCGCATGCTTTGCAATTAATCATTGCTTCCTCCACAATCAAGCCAAACCCTCGAGCTGCGCCTTGATCTGCAACGCCACAACCCTCGAATAGTACCGACAAATCGCCAGATTGCCTCCATGAAACCAAAACCCAGGATGTCCCGAGTTCCTCCACAGCGCCCTAAACTCACCCTCCTCATCAAAGCCCCAAATATCCCCGAGCTTGTCCGCCACCTCATCTCCAAAGATAGCCCGGGCCTGCGTGCGCATATTTTGATAGCCAGTCGCAAACACAATCTCGTCCGCCTCAAGCTCCGTCCCGTCTGCAAAGCGCAAACCATGCGGCAGCACCTCGACAACCTCCTGGCCCTGCTTGACAGCGATGCTCCCGTCCGCAATGAGCTGCGAGGCCCCAACGTCGATGTAGTACCCGCCTCCGCGCTGGAAATACTTGAGATACAACCCACACTCGTCCGGCCCTTTATCCACGGCGAACCCGGCCTTGCGCAGGCCTTGGAGAGTCTCCGCATCGTGGGCCTGCTGTGCAGCGCAGACTTCCCTGTGCACGGCCTTGAGCACCTCTGCGGGCGTGGCCCACCCAGCCAGGTCGGAATCCTCTGTCGGGGGCCCGCCTTCTTCGTAGTCCCCTTTCAGGCTGATGCGGCAGATGGAACTGCTCGAGACCACGCAGGTGGACGAGCGCTGCACCATGGTGACGGCGTAGCCCTTTTCGTGGTAGTCCTGGCAAATGTCGTGGGCAGAGTTGCACGCTCCGATCACGACGGCCTTTCTGCCTGCTCCGTCGGGGCGGGCGCCGGGGAAGGCTGAGCTGTGACCTAGAAAGTCGCCCTGGAACGTCTCGATGCCGGGGATGGCGGGGAGGTTGGGTTTTCCGGAGTGCCCGGTGGACTGGATGATGTGCTTGGGGCGGAGGGTGCGTGTGTGCGTTTCCTCGCCGCCCTGGCCGTCTGTGACTGTGCGCTTGACCGTGATGGTCCAGCGTTTCTCGCGCTCGTCCCACGAGGCCGCCTCGACTGTCGACCGGGTCCACACATTCAGCTCGAGCAGCTTTGCGTACGACTCGAAAAAGTCACCTAGCTTGTCCTTGGGCGTGAAGATGGGCCACGAGTCGGGGAAGGGAATGTATGGCATGTGGTCGTACCATACTGGGTCGTCTGTTGGGAGGGACAAAGAGATTTTTGATTTTCCATATGGTTAGCTGATGGTTTCCGCTGGATGAGAACTAACCGAAGAGACGAGGGTAAGAGATGGAGAGAGGGTTGGTTGTTACATACGGAGAACGAGCTGGTGGTATCGCTGCCGCCAATTATCGCCGACTGAAGCGTTCGCATCCACGATCAGCGTAGGAACGTTGAGCATCTTCAGCCTGGCATGGGCTGTGAGCCCAGCCTGACCAGCACCTAAGTTTAAGATTTCTGTCAGCATGAAGTACTATATAAAGATGGGAAAGAGAAGAGGGGGGAGAGAGAGAGAGAGAGAGAGAGAAAGAAAGAAAGCTTATGACAATAGTAATATAGCAAAATGTAGAACTCACCCAAAATGAGAACATCAGGGTCACCATTGACAAAATCCTCCTCCTCCCGCCTCCTATCAAGCCAGTTCTTCCGCCCACGGTGATATCCATGTGCCACACCAGTAGGCCGCCGCCGCCCAACAGGTTCCTCAAACCCCTTGAGCTCCTCCAGACCCGTAAACAGCGTCCAGATCTTCCAGCCACCACCGCCGTCCTGGGCCAGCTTCGCTAATCCACGTCCCCGTCCCAGCCGCGTAGAGAGAGTGAGATAGACCACGATGCCCTTGACCGTCTGCTCTGGGTTGAAAGCCCCAACTTTAGGCGACCGGAACTCGGTTGAAGTGTCAACAGCAACCTCCTCGAGACTTGCATTGTCCGCCAGGAAGGCAGCGATCTTGTCGCGGTTCTTGAGGGTGCGCAGGTCCCACGACAGGGCGAGGTGGTCGCGCCAGTAGCAGCCCTCGTCCCGAAACAGAGATATGATGTCGCTAGCGGCCTGTTGGGAGGGCAACTTGGCGAGGTTGCTGTTGAAGCTTGAGAAGATGTCCTTGGCCACGGCCAGGGCGTCAATGGGACCGTCGGTGGCGGTCTTGGGCCATTTTGCAATGGGCACGTTGATGGAGCCGGGCTCGCAGCGCTGGCTGGAGGGGACGTGCTTTGGTGTGTCTGTTGTTGTGGATGGGCTCATCTTTGTTGGGCAGAGTGGATGAATGATGTGTGTGTGCGTATATGTTTGTCTTTGCCTTTAGATTTGACTATTCACTTGCATTTATATATCAGCTTCTCTCTTGAGAGAGAGAGGGGGGGGGGGGGAAGAGGGAGAAGGAGGAGGGGAAGGAGGGGAGGAGACTGACACACCAGTCAGCCTGGTAGGCTCGTTCTCGGTCTTGTGCTTCTGTTGAACTATCTTCGTGGAAGCTGAAAATAGGGCGACAGACCCCCGCTAGGGTGGCTGTCAAAGTGATGTTGTTCGACATGTCTTACCACAAGCCGGTCGGGACAATATTGTACACTATTCAAATTATCCACACCTACGACTCTACTCCGCATTTTCCCCAGAAAGCCAAGACAAGGCACAAGTCTGGGGGCGGAGTCATTCTCCGCTGACGGAGGCCACATCGTCACTTAGTTGGATTTTCTGTTTAGCGTGTGTAGATCAATGTACAAAAACGTTTTGGAGGTTGGGGCACATTTGCGGGCGAGGTGGACGTTCCGTGGAGTTCTATCGCCCTGTCTTGTCGGCTTGCCTGATCCGGCATATCCGAGAATGGATTCATGGCCACACGACACATAATGCTGGCCCCATACTTGAGCGAAGAGTGGGACGACTGCCAACAAAGTTCTTGGTAAGACAACCTGCGTTGGAGGTGAGACTTGTCATGTTTATTGTCAAAGGTATTCGGCCATAATTATCACGCGTACTCCAATTTGCATCTCTTCGTTGAGCTACAAATGACTCGGTTGCTTGCCTTCTGGTCGCCTGGGTTGCATAGAGCAATTGGACATTGATACCCAGGTGCTTATGCGTGGGTCAGCCACTATCAGCCCGTGCATTTCATGCCTGGGGGTATCCAGCCCGTAGCTGTCTTTGAAGACGCTGACGCGAAGCAAATGTTCGTCAGTATGTTGATTGTGTAAGTGTCCTGTCTTGTTGACAAGGGCGACTAGCGATGATGTATCAAAATAGTATTAATATACCTAAGCCTCCTAAACAAACAGCTACAATGACGACATCTTGCGCTCCTTTCTCTTCCTCCATCGCATCGTCCTGCTCCATCTGCCGAGGAAGATTATGAGGAGTCCCTCATCTCGGTAATAATCACATCCGGAATGGTCTCGATCACTAGAGCGTTGGTCATGCTCGCGTATTAAATCATCCAATTTGGCCTGATACAGGACAATACCTATCTGCTTGGCTGCAACGCCTCGCCTTCGTTGAGATCAAGTAGATCATCAAACATTATTGAAGCTCCCTTCTTTCATGCAAGCTCACCGAAGAGCTAATCACGAAAGAACTATCATCTTGGCCTACGGGAACGAACCGAGGAGTCTTTCCTTTAGAATGAACTTACGTGAAGTCTCAATGCAATCTGTGACCATCTCAGATCTAGGGCTCTCGTTCCTTCTCTCAGGAAACAGGAAACAAAGTGAATCATGACGTTGTCTATATCTGACCGGTCACTACGCTTCAGAAACAAAGTTTAAGTCACTCCATATCGTTGACCGAATCTCGAGACAATTTTGATCATGTCTCAACTGGGATATTACAACCCGCGCGAGACTATTCTTCGAACCAATGCATAATACCTATGTTTGCTTCTATCTATAAAGGGATCAGTGTTGGCATGTTGATAAAACGAAGTTACGATCTACTACCTGAGAACACAGTATGCTGTAAGCTTTCAGTGCTTGTTGCTATTCACACTCTATTCTCTACTATTTCAATATCTTCATTTCATTTTCAAGCCACAATGTCTGCTATTCTCTGTTGTTCGTCCATCACGCCTTATCGACCTCAGCGCCTTGACCATGACCATAAGTTCAACCAGTTCATGTCCTGGGCTCGTCGGGAGAAGGTGGTCATCAAAAATGACGCCCCACTGGTCAAAGGCGCACCATTCGCGGTCTAGCTCGTAAACCAAGTGAGCTACGGACCCCAGGAGTCGATTCGATACTTTGTCCCATCTGGCTCAGGATCCGAGTTCGCCGAAACTGAGGCGGATGCACTTCTTGAAGCAAACTTTGAGAAGTTGAACGCTTAAGTACAGGGTGGCTATCTCAAGACAGTGATACTTGTATACTGATTCACGGCTCGGAGATCTGCAGGTATAAGAATTTCAAATGTGCAAAGCATGACAAAGGCTTTGAGGTCAACCTCTATCAGATAAACCCTATCAATAACGCATCATTGGCGAGCCAATCTCGCAAGACCGTCCAGAGATATCGACCGAAGATTGAAGCAAAAACCTGCAGCGACGAAGTTGGGCGTGGGCATGGGGACCCCAAAAGAGGATCTGCATTCCCAAGCAGAAACCAAAGCTTCTGTTAAGACTCTGTATTTCCAGGAAAATAAGGTATGCTATGAGAAGTTAGAATTATAAAAGTGATGTAATATCTAATTTTGAATGATGTATTAGGATAAGGCCCTGCCAGAGATCACGGTGAAAGCTGCCTTTCAATCCCTATTGCCATCACTTGGCACAAGCATCTTGTCTTTGTTCTGCCAAGATTGGATGAGCAAGAAATTCAACCTTGATCTCGACTTGGAAGATCAGTGGGATGAAGAACTGAGCAGCTCAAGCATCGCCACTTTCCTCGTCGACTGGTTTACAGTTGACTGACCGCAGCTCGGTCAGTCTTGCGGATATCAAAGACTTGGTCGAGTCAGCCACGCCTCATGTCGAATCACGTGGAACAGGCCAGGGACTCGGCACAGTTCGACTAAATAAGATTGTCAATCGAGTCCTAGTCCCCAGTCGAGCCCTGGATGTGATATCGCAACATAGAAGCGACATTCTCCGTAACATGACCTGCGGACCTGACGAGCAACTGCTTCAATATTGTAGGCAGAAGTATGGCAAGTTGCAGCGAGACGGAGACAAACACAAAGCTTTCGAAAGAGTGGTAACATATTTTCTAGCCTGATGCGGATAAGGCATGAGCTGACCTGAATGCACAGGATAAGCCGTGGGTTGAAGAAGCAGAGGAGAGGGCTTACGATCTCGATGGCCACTACGACAGCTTTGATGCCTGTTACGAGCCCATGAAAGATTTGACAGCATGCGACAAGCAATGTGGTTACTGTGGGGAATGAAAGGTTGGAGGCGGGTATTGGCAGCACATTCTGAGTTTTTGCTTGGCTGGCAGTGATTTCTTGTCATTCTGATCATGGATAGTAATTTCGTAACATGGAATTACATGGGTCGTAGGAATGCTTGCAATGTGGTTGTTTGCCGAGACTTGAAGCTGCAGTATCTCTTGGAACGTCCGAATAATACCGTCTGTTTGAGTGAAGATCGGTCTCCTACGTTTCCCTCATGAACAAGCTGTGTCTACCCCCTCCAAACAATGTATGTATAGAAACGAGTCACTTTAAATTGAGCCTTACGATTCTCCCTTAATGGTACCCTGTTCCCTGTGCCACGGGACGGCCCGCCATGTTGCCGGGGTCGAGAATCTTACGGCCCACAAAAAGATGCCGGCGATAACCTCAAACTCCAAAAGACCTCTCTCGTCCTTCTTTCTCTCATCCTTGACTGTGAAATTACTACATTTGTACTTGCACAGCCACACCTCATCTCAAGGATTATTTATCGATTCCTTGGTGACCTTCATCTCGCATTTGAGGCATCTCTCATTTGAGGCCTCGTAATCATGTCTGCAACATCTGATCCAGCCCAGCTGTGGATAGGTGGCAAGTATTCGCCGGGCCAAGGAGAGTTGTGAGTGAACCATCATCAACCCATCCCATACAGGACCCCAGTACAGGAACGAGGACCCTTCATCTCTAACATATAATCCAGAATCCCCATCGAGGACCCCTCTACAGGGACCATCTTCGCCCACGCCCAGTCCGCCTCGCCCGCCGACGTCGAGCACGCCATCATCATCGCCAACGCGGCCTTCAAATCCGGCACCTGGTCCCGCGCCCCACGCCACCACCGCGCAGACGTCCTCGACCGCACCGCCACCCTCCTCACCGCCCACCTCCCCTCCCTCATCGCCCTCGAGGTCCAGCAGACCGGCCGCCCCATCCGCGAGATGAACGCCCAGGTCCCCTCCCTCGTCCGCTGGTTCAAGTACTACGCCGCCCTGCTGCGCACCGAGGAGCGCGCCGTGCTTCCCACCGTGGGAAAACTGCACAACTGGGTCGACCGCGTGCCGCTGGGCGTCGTCGCGCTCATCACCCCCTTTAACCACCCCCTCCTCATCGCCGTGAAAAAGATTGCGCCTGCCCTGGCTGCGGGAAATAGCGTTGTCGTCAAGCCTAGCGAGCTGACTCCGCTGACGACCCTGAAGCTGGGCGAGATCCTGGCCGAGGCTGGCGTGCCGGACGGGGTGTTCAGCGTGCTGCCTGGGTATGGCGCCACCACGGGCAAGGCGCTGGTGAGCCATGTGTTGGTGAGGAAAGTGGACGTCACCGGCGGCACTGAGGCCGGGAGGGCGATTGGGAGTATTGTGGGAGGCAACCTGGCGAGGTTCACGGCTGAGCTTGGCGGCAAGGCGCCGCTTGTGGTGTTTCAAGACGCGGATATCAATGTTGCTGTGAATGGGATCGCGTTTGGGGCGTTTGTGGCCAGTGGACAGACTTGTGTGGCTGCCACGAGGATCATTGTGGACAATAAGGTGAAGAACCAGGTCGTGGACAGGCTGAAGGCCAAGTGCGAGCTCATCTTTCAGAACATGGGCGCGCCGTCGAATCCAGTGTCGATGATGGGCCCGCTGATCTCCGAAAAGCAGCTAAAGAACGTCGAGACTCTCGTTCAGCAGGCTGTGGAGGGTGGCTTCGGGGTCACTGCCGTTGGAGGGTCCAGGCTAGGAGGGACGAGTTCTCTGGATGGGACCGACTTTTCCAAGGGTTACTATTACGCACCGACGATACTCACATCCACGGACGGCAACAATAGTATCCTCGACGCACGCATCTGGAGGGAAGAGGCATTTGGGCCTGTAGTTGTCGTTGTGGGCTTCGACAACGAGGACGAGGCCGTCCAGCTCGCCAACGACAGCAGCTTTGGCCTCGGGGCAGCCATCTGGACAAAGGACCTCTCGCAGGCGTACCGAGTCTCGGAGCAGATCGAGGCTGGGATTGTCTGGGTCAACACGCACCACCGCAACGATCCGAGCAGTCCTTGGGGTGGCGCAAAGACAGCGAGCGGTGTGGGCAGCGAGAATGGTATTGATGCGTATCGCGAGTATACGACGATGAAGAGCACTATCATCAACTTTGCGTCGGCTGAGGAATCGTTGGCGTCGGATGATTGGTTTAGGGAGGGTGCGGGAACGGTGCGGTATGGATGATGGAGAATTTGTAAGGCTGCATGAAGTGAGGAATATCTGATCATTCCAGTTCTTATCTGGCACGAACCTTAGTTGTTGAATAGCGTGATGGCTGAGCAACACGTCCTAACGACAGCACGTGCATATGTTCAACGAATTGAGATCTGAACAATTTACATGATGTATTAATTTGACATTGGAACTAGTCAACGTTCATCTTGACTTGGCCCAAAAAGCCTCCAACACATAAGACTCCTCGAGTCCACTCTATATTATCCTCATCCTCAACTGCAAACGCTAATATGCTCCAAATAATACGAATGTGCCGTATAGTCTGTGCTGATCAAGCCCGCACTGTTACAGCTCGTATTGTAATACCCCGTGCAGACAACCACGTCGGCAGCCGTGTAGTCCGTCGTAGTGTCCGTGCCGTCCGACAGCCAGTATTCCATGTTGGTGTGGTAATATCCGAAGTCATGGCTTGGAAGACGAGGGACAGGGTCGTCCAGGTGCGTCATGCGGTACTCGTCGCCGCTCTGGGCCGACACGAACTCGGCAAAGGCGAGGTTGCCCACGCGGGGGGAGCCGAATGTGTAGAGTTCACAGGCGCCTCCGTCGATGCGCCAGCTGTAGACGAGGTGATTGGTTAGTAATAGAACAAGGTTGTGTGTATAGCAAGAGTGGTGGGCATGGAGAGCGGTAAGAAGTGTGCAAATAGGTCAAGTGAGGACGTACTATGCGCATCCCAGGGTTGCAAGCGCGGCTCCGAGGGAGTGTCCCGTGAAAGTGACGCTGTACTCGGAGCCGGTCTCCTCCACCAGGTCCTGGACAGTGCTGATGACCGTATCGGACACATCGTCCCAGGCGCCGTGAAAGCCGCTGTGCACCTCGCACCCGTCACACATCCCGATAGATTCGAGGCCAAAGTCGAGACTAAGCAATTGATAATGAATTAGCTCATGACAGCAGTAAAGAGAAAAGATCATCTTGTGCCATCCATCATTCAATAGAGGCCCTGCTCGACTTACTCCAGTACGATGTCGATAATACTATCCGAGTCTGTGCCGGCAAAAGAAACCACAATCGCCTTGTTGACATCGTCCCTCATGATCACACCGCCGGTAGACTCGTATCCAGTGCTGAGGGTCGCCACGATGGTGGCACCATTGGCGACGATGTCGGCGCAGACATCATCCTCGCAGGAGATCACGTCGCCGACAGTGCCGTCTATGTTGCAATACCCTGCAGCTGCGTATTCGGCCATCCACTGAAAGTTGTTAAAGAGCGCGGTGTCGATCGATCTCGATGCAAGGCCAGTATCGACGATTGATCGAGACGCCGCAAAGGCTGCGGTCTGGGCTGTGTGGGCCTCGTTAGTAACTCCTCCATTGATTGAAACGTCTGCTCTTCAGACAAAAGATGCTTTCGGGTGTTGTTTGCCGGTAGATTCTTACCGAGAGAAGCCTTCATTGTTACCGTGGAAGCGAATGTAGGTGAGAAAAGAGTGAGAGAACGGAACGAATTAATTCCTAGAAAGGCGAACCTCGTTGGGCAAGGAAAGGAGGCGGACCAGCTCCAACGGACGATTAGGGAACTACACACGGCGAGCGACGAACAACAACAACAAGCTCAGGAGGAGCAAAGACACGGACAACAAGAGATCGCATCACGACTTATAGAACTGCAAGATCCCAAAGTGGGCCGACGGATTCAATTCATCAGGGGTACATCTGCAAGAGCGTAAGTTTAAAGAAAATTCTATCTACACAGTATCAGCTTTTCTATAATTACACAATTATAGGTAGCATCCGCCCTCGATTACTGCTGAGAACGCATCGGCCGAAAACTCCTTTTCCGAAATTCAAATACAACAAGAAGGCCTCTTGAGTCACTTCCTTTACCACCTTTGCAAGATGTCCGGTCCCCTTCTTGCGGGAGAAGATATCTGAAATTGCCGTCTGCGCCATGGTATCTGACATGGGCAAGTCTCCCCGGCTTGTGCCATGGTTCCCCACCCAGCAAGACCCGTATTCAGTGGCTCATCTCGGGGCGCGTATCCACAAACAGGTCGAGGGATTTCGGGACTGGCCCTTTCAGGACTTGTGCATTGTTTCGAAACAGCCGAGTTAGACTCCTTCCTTGATTTCCTCCACAACATTCTCCCCCTGCGGCAGGTCTTTTTCTTTTTGTCACTGCGCAGCCTCCACCACCTTGTGAGATTGCGTGCGGCATGTTCCGTAGTGGGAAGACGCCACTCGTCCGAGCTAGAACAGCTACCCACGTGGACTTTATGGACGTCTTGAGAGGGTGTTGACTTCGACTGCCGTTGCGCTGTTCCAAGGTTGCTGCGGCCGAGTGCCGCCTCCACGTCGTCTGTGCCGTCGTCTGTGCTTGCAAACACAGGCCATTTCCCAACCTGCCCAACCTTCCCTCCTCCCCCTTGTCTTTCCCTCAAAGCCCGAGGTCATTGCGGAAAAACCATCTTATTGAGGATTGCCTCCAAAGTCAAGACGGCCGAGATGGAGTTTTTATCTGGACTTTGACCCCAAACAGGAATGCAGACCGAGAAACGAAGATACAAGGCCGCAGAATCCTTTACAACTGTTTTTTCCCCGGCAGATAATATGGACTAGATAGAATTGTCAAGACTCTGCATGACGGCGAACCTGGTCTAGTCTTGATGCTGGGCTTCGCCTTCGTTGGCTCATAAGGCTAGAGTCTTGTGAACCAGAACAGAGGGAAGCTTGATGGAGCTCTGAAGACGGAGGATAATTAGAATGACTAAAAGAAGAGACTGCCAATTGGTTTCATGATGCGGATTGATGATGAAGCCTCCCTTAATAGCTAAGCATTCAACAGCTTCCTACGGTTGTCAAAGCGTCTTGTGAAGCGAGCCTCAATGGAGGGGATGCATGGATTTTATTCCATCCCCGCATTCGTGCAGACGACCTTTGTACAGCTTGAAATCTGAGACGAGAATATGAATCGCTCGGCCTCGACTTTTCCCCGTCATACTTTTTATATTGGCGATAGCGCCCTTAGCAGTATATTCATGCTTATTGAGGGCCTGAGGCTAACCAGAGAAGACTCGATTGATAGCTGTACTGCTCCCTAATGATGATGCACGTGGAGTTTTGATATGGAAATGACGGATTGATGCGCTGCTGGAGAAAAGAAGAAGAAGAAACGGAGGGAAATGACCTCTGGCTAGGTGGGGCTATTTACATGTAGGCAGATGGTGCCCAGCGATAGTGAGGGCCAGTGACTCACTGGCCCTCGCACATTTGATTCTTCTACAACTGGACCTGGGGAAAGATGCACTGTGCAACATCGCAAAGCCCGACAAGCTGCCTTCGGCCTCTCGAGTAATCGTGGCTCGTCTTCATGATGAGGATAGGTGATCGACGAGGCCAGTCTGGCAACCTGCCCATTTTCATTGACAAGACAGCGGCGCCCAATTGCAGCAGAAGGATGTGTCTGTGTACGATGTGTAGAAGACCGTCGCGCTGCCTCAGCTGCTTCATATTGATGTGATGGTGAGATCAAGAATATCTGAGCCGGAGGCGAGGTTCTTGCGTCTTTTGTCGGAGTTATGATGAAACAACAGATAACCATGCCGACTGCACGCGTCAACAAATAATGCACGTATATCTTGCCCTTGATCAGATAAGCAGTCACTGTGAAGTCGTTGTCGACGATGATAATTTGTTCACAAAGTTGTCTCAATCCCCTATCCAAGTACGTTAGATCAAATTGGAAAAGTAAAATACAGAAGTGGAATCGCTGCTTACCGTGATTGTTTGACCGTCCAAGAGACACCCTTCTCAGGACGCAAGGCGAACACGTTCGGATAGTCCCATTTTCCCAGCTCTTCTTGCAATAACACTCTTGTTGGTGGGCACAGGCGTGCAGAAGGAAGTTGCTGCCCCTGGGACTGGCCTTGATGTCGGCAACCATGCCGTCAAAGTCCAGGTCGATTGTGTCCTCGTTGTAGTAACGGTGCTTCTTGGCCGTCAGACCCGAGGTCTTGAAAATGGCAACATGGTCGGCCCACGAGGGTATGGTAATGCAGATGGCCATGGAAAAAATCGAGAGGCCCTGTTGATACGGAAGCCTTTGAAAAGGCCTTTGCCCCCCCACCCCCCCCGGGGCGGAACCCATCCCTAGCCTTGCGCTTCTTGCATTACGGCCGGCTTGACCCGGCACGCAGAGTGAGAGTGACCAGCCTCTCAGCACCGCACTGGGTCTTCTTTATGCGACACATGTCGCAAGCCCCGCCCATTCAAGAAGTGCAAGGCTTGAGTTGGGTCTGTAAAGCAGCAGTCCTTGGCGACTATCTGTCAGGTTAGCCTCTATTGCTCTGAAGGGGCGGACTACTTGGGAATCAGTCGCTAATGTTACGAACGTAGAACGGGGGAGAAGGGCAGGTATGCAGGTCTGGCCCCTCAAGAGCTAGGCTAGCCCTCTCTTTCGAAGGTTCGAACTTCTGGGGGCGACGGACTGGGCAGTCGTGATTTCCGTCACCCTCATCAACCCATCGGTGATACAGACCCATGAGCCGTCGCCAAATACTGTCGACGACTGCTCGGCTGGACCAAAATGGGAAGAGTAATAGCACCGAGGTAAAAACGGTGAAAAGGTTGATAGCGCCAAGAACAGCGTCTTGGGAAGATTGAGTGTTGAAATATCATACGTCTTAGACAATAAGCCGAATGACAAATATGAAGGTGAGGAGAACAGAACAGCAGGAGAGACAGCTCAGGGGTAAGATGCTGTGGTATATATAGTAATTCCTAGGTGTGGCATGTGACGCGATGACCAGGATTGCCAAAGAAAAGTGCGGATGAGTCCGGGGACATTCAGGTGCTCTGTGAAGATGGGATCGAAGTCCGGCTTGAAGAGGATGCAGGCGGAAGCTTCCAGCTGGAGTTTCTATAGTAGGTGTACACTGTCAAGGGTTGAGCAAGGCTGGGACCTAGAGCATGGAAATACAATGACTTGCTATGAAACAAAGGTACCCTTTTGGGAACCATCAAGAACATGCCGGTCTATGATGCTTTTGCCCAAGCCAAGATCAGGAGTGGAATGTCCCGGTCTACAGGAGGATGTGGAAATTCGTCATCATGTGCTGAGGGACAGGGAGCTCAGACCTTTTGATTTGTCTCACCAAAGCAAATGCTGAGGTTACTTGTCAAAGGAGAATGTTACTACCATCAATGTGTTTGGGTGTTCGTAATGCGAGGTAAGGTGTGATTAAAAGTAGGCTGAATAGTAATTACAGCGAGAGCAAGCATACCGGAAGACTTTGCTAACTCCCTGTAATAATAATCCTGTGCATGTCATCCTGCAATCTTCATTGTATAGATCTGTGCAAGATCACAACAATTCAGTTCACAGGTGGAAAGGTAAATGCCCCAGAGCTAGCAAGATGCTGTCTACATGTTACATACAAACAGAGAAACCAGCCTTTGCATTGCAGCACGTAAGTGGCTTGCTAGATCGCCCATCTCGAACCCCTTTGGAAGTCCTTGCAAACAATCGATAATGTCACCTTAGAAAGAGCAGAGTCACATGATGCCAATATGCACTTTCAACGTGAGCCTATTCGGGAATCTTTGATGCCTTCCCACGCTTGCCCGTTTCCTTTCTTTCTTTATACAACAAACATTGCCAAAGCCATTCTCGGCGGGCGAACCCGGCGAACTCTCACCTCGCAAACTGCAGTCAACAACTACCAGTACTTCAGTATACTCTTTTGAGCTCGACCATGTATTCAGCGCTTCAGAAAGGCGTCATGTCTCGCAGATGTATTATCACAACTTTGTACAGCCCGTCTTCCTCCTCCTTCCCCATCCCTGCAGTTAGGCTCGACGCGTCTCCTAGCCACGACACCATTTTACCTACAACATTTCGCAAGTGCTGACGTCCTTGATTTCTGATAGGTATCCATCAATTTATCATATCCACTACTTTCAAGACTATCCAAATGAGCTTCGCATCGATACATAAGCCTTTGTTCCCTTGGTCAGTGCTTGAGACGCCCTCCCCGTACTCAAACTCCGTCCTGCTCGTCCTCTTTCACCGCGCCGATGATGACAACAGACTTGCATGTCTGATCAGTGCCTGACAGCCTGACCATGAACCAAGAAAACATAATACGTCTGAGGCACATGATACTTTCCCATTCCCTAAACCGCTTGCCTCTTCCCTCTCAATGCATACGCTAATCTTTATTATCGAGCGGCTTGCTGAATAATCACAACACAGCGTGGTTGGACGCCTATCACCCGCGACGGCTTTGGTTAAAAGATTGGGAAATCTTTGCCTGTATAGTCGACCCATTTACTGCACGAGAAGGGACGATCATCTAGTGGAGGACGTTTTGGCCAACATGATGGAGGCTGTGCCCGCTTTCCCACCTTGTGGCGTATAAATGTAAGCCCACCATCTTTACTCCAGATGCTCTTTGCAGCATGTGAAGGCTTCAAAATAGATCTCGGCTTCTGATTTATGATCCTCGATAATGTCAGAAATTGTCTGAACGTTGCCTTACCACCTCATACTGATCAAGTATGAAGTAATCATTCCTGACAGCAGTATGTGCGTCCATCGTCAGGTTTTTCCCAACCTCGATAGCAATCTGAGGTCAGTTGAAATCGGCCGTATTCCAATACGCGGCACACTAGGCTTTCATCACAAATCAGTAATTGCATTATGTCTTGGAAAAGATGTGTCAAAGATACGTGGCCTCTCGAATGTTCATATTTTGTTCAGGAAGTATGCTCTGGTAGACTTTAATCTTGACCACCATCTTCTTTTCTCCTCCTGTCTCATTCCTTTCGAAGACATGCACCTGGGTGTTGACTGGTTAACATGTCGGGGTGTGACGACTTCCTCTCCTCGGGGATATTAGTCCGGACATTGCAAGCAGCCGTATCAGCCGCATCTCACACCACAAGACATGTATGGGCAGGTGTCTTTGACCCTTTCAAAGCGATTGGATAGTCTCATGGAAAGAGGAGAGGGAGGCCTCACAAACGCACATAATCCTCATCGATGGGAAGATGGATACCGTCCAGACCCTGATGTCTAGGGGTGGCCGTTCCCCAGTGTTGAGACAGGTCGCTTCCGCGAGGATACAAGCACGTTTTGTGCCGAAGTGGCGTAACCATCGTCATGGCTGCATGTGGCGGTACAAGAATTACGCGCAAGTCACATCGCACCAGCGAAAGCAATGAAAAAGCTGCTGATCCCCCACTCATCGTTCTCCCCTATCTTGGAAGCCCAAGCACTCCCTCTTCACAGCAACCTCCGTCGACCCAACATCCAGGGGAGAAGTCTTGGAAAAGAGCCCAGGTATCTCAATCATCGTCAAGCGCTCACGCAGAATTAGTCACTTCATCGTCTTACAGCTCATCATCATGCACGTGTCCAGGTGTCTTGCAAGCCTGCTCGCCTCTGCCGGCTTGCAAAGCCTAGCCACCGCACTCAATCTCAACATCACCGCAGTCGGGGCGCAGAACGGTGCCTCCACGCTCGAGTGCTGGACGATGGACACGCCCTTCTCCATCGCATCCACCCCTGGTATCGCCGGCAGCGCATCGATCGTTCTCGGCGATGTCACCAATTTCACCTACGTCGTGATACCATCGGGGCTAGACGGCGGGCTGCACCACGCACCTTCTAACCAGTAAGAAAGACAGGCGGCGGATTTCGGAACATCACACGTGGCTGACTATGTGATCTGAGAGCAGATGGGTCTGGTTTGTCTCTGGCCTTGCCTACATCACGCTGCCCACAGACGAAACGACTGCAGCTTTTGTCTCTGGGGAGTTTGGCCTCATCTTCGCTGCTGACACGGCGGACGTGAGCCGTCTGGGACACCGGACGCAGTATTCGGGAATCACAGAGACGGTGTCGATCGCCATGCCTACGACAGATGGCATGATACCATCTCATAGTAGGTTGCACTATGGGCCCTGCTCTACTGAGGAGATAGCTGGATATGCCTTTTTAGCTTCTGGCTTGTCTTGAGAAAATCAAAGTTGGCCCTGAAGGTCAATAAGGCAGCAGCTGGCTATGGTCCGGTGGAACGTCTTCAAGTTGGCCGTGGCAGTTGCGCGCAAGTTGGGCCGTTAATGATCTTGTGTTTTTGATAAACTGTTGCTGCTGAGAGTACACAATATTCCAAGGGTGGGCTCTTTGCTTTATCATATGTGCTTGCGCTTTTGGTGAGAATTTTGTGACATGATTTGATTGGAATATTGTTGGTCTGAGCCTCTGAGAGCGATATCAAAGTAGCGCACATTCATTATCAGCGTATACGAAGTGCGAATTTCAATCGAGGCCTGATCTGGAATATTCTTAGTGTGTATAATTAATAGTGACCCAAAGGTGAGTCGTCGAGACGTTGCCCTTACCCACCCTCTGCTCCTCAATTTAGCGTCGCTTAGTCGATCGTGTGCATATTTGTTTCATGATGACGTCTTTAGTCATGACTTCTGCGCAACAAATCTTCTCCTGTGTCAACGATCTGAGCCACCAGAATTCTACATCTCCTTTCAATATATACAATACATCCAGTGCAACATCGAACCCCTCGCACATAATGTCTGCCACACAAGAGTTTTATTCATGGCTTACTCCTCCCAAGATCCCAACGTCCCCCGCCCCAGAGGTGGGACAGCCTGCCCCTTCGACGGCTCGCCTCAAGCTGCCCCAATCTGGTGACAAACTCACCATTCTTACCTTTCTCAGACACTGTGGTTGTCCATGTGAGTTGGGTCATCCTTCAGCCTCAGACGTGAACAATACGTGAGGCCGGCTCGCTACACAGATGACATGCTGACCACGCTGCCCAATTTACAGTCGCAGAAAAGACGTTCCTGCGCCTCCGAGAGACAGCAAAGGGACACTCCGACATCCACTTCATCGCCGTGTCGCACTCCAGCCGAGAGCACACCGACAAGTGGCTGCACGACATCGGCGGTACCAACCCAGACAATCTCGAGGTTGTGGTGGACGATAAGCGGGAGATCTACGCCGCGTGGGGCCTGGGCGTTGCCTCGTTCTGGCATGTGTTGAATCCGATGGGGCTCTATGACGTTTTCAGACTGGCTAGAGATGATGGTATCTCGAACAGACCTACAGAGAGCGGGTTTCGGTTTCAGACCAGTGGGAGCTGGGCTGTTGACGGGCAGGGCAAAGTCGTGTGGGGAGGTGTTGCAGCGAGTGCCAACGAGATCCCTAATTTGGATGAGGCTGTTCAGGCTCTGGAGAGAAAGTAGACTGTGCAGCTAGTTTCGTGTTTAGTCGAGAATGTACATGAGATCTTCTCAAAGGAACATACCGTTGTTTGAGATATGCACCTGTCTTTCATACTTTGCTTGAACTTAACGACGTTCATATCTATGATGGCCTCGTCAGCCACAAAGGCAAACTAAGTAATCTTTAACTGGACATCAAACCTTAAGCAGGATCCACCTAGTACTATTTTTATGTAGGACAACTCAAGGACCGTCATCACCTTCCGAATGAGAGTGAAGCGAGAAGTCATCAAACTTTAATTTTTCTTCTTTGTACTATACGATCAAGAATATATACTAAGCACGTGAACCTTCTTCGTGTTTGCACCCTGGTATCTCATGAAACATCAAGATGAAGCTTTTTCTTTTCACATGGTTGCAAATTTAGCAGCCGTAGGTCGAGACGGTGGTCTCGAAAGCAGCGTCTGAAGTGGCCTGCAGAGTGTCGACCTCAGAAGTGTAGGTAGAGTAGACTGTACCCACTAGTTAGTAGATGTTTTTTTTAATGTGTTAGTCAGTCACTGTGGGTCATTGTTCACTTACTCTCAGTCTCAAGGGCTTCGAAGAACGCATCGGAGTCGGTCTATACAGTATCATTTCCTTAGCGTGATCACTCTTTTCATTTTGTAGGTGTGACTAGGTTGTAAAAGACTTACGTAGAGGCTCGAGAGGGCATCGCAGACATCAGAGGCATATCCAGCCGACTCAACCACAGAGTACTAATACATCGCCCAAGGTTAGCATGCCGGCCTAAGATGACATCGCTCTCACGTAACAATAGGGGCAAGTTATGGACAATCAATAGCTCTCACCTTGGCGACAGCATCACTGAGGGTGGTGGTGATCTGGGTAGTCAGGCTGCTGACATCTGCGTAGATGGTAGCGGAGTCCGACTCATCTAGAGCGCCAGTGGAGGTGATGTCAGAGGTGGCGGAGGTGACGGCCGAGTCGAGGCTGTCGTAAGCCGTGAGTAGGGCGAGGGCCTGGAGGAGGCTGCCGGTGAAAGCGTTGATGTCATTGTCGAAGGTCGTCAGCTCCGTGGAGATGGATGCAATGCTGGACTCGATCTCAGCTGCCGTCCGCTTGTGGTGGGCATGGGGCCTGGCAGCGGCGAGGCTGAAGAGACCAAAGACGGTAATCTGGGACAGCTGCATGGTAACGGTGTAGGGTAGTTATGATAAAAGGTGTTGATAATAGAAATTGAATATATTTTTCTTCGGGAAATTCGCGTCTCAATATGTTCTGTTCAAGAAAAGATGCCCCTTCTTGAACGTGTCTCATCCATGAGGGCTCTCGTCTCTTTATAGGCAATCATATCCCTTCATCATTACTGTGCACGATGTCTACACGGCGTCCGCGGGCACGAAGGTATCCCATGCCTCCACGAAGCCCTCACGCATGCCAAGCTTCATTCCTTTAGACCTTTCCCATCGAGTCAATTTGCCTCAGCTATGGCGTGGGACTTACTGAGCATAGTATTGGTTTCAATCCCGCGATGTCAATGCACGAGACAGCCACGAATAAGCGAGCTTGTCAGGGGCACGATGAGGTAGTATCAGGCGGAGGAGGAACAGAAGCGTGGCAAGATACACTGTAACCGTAGGAATATGCAACATATTATCCACAATCCTAGGTTTCCCGGCAGGATGGGCATGAATGAGGAGTTCCGTCGTGATACTGCACGTACTAGTAGCAATGGGGAATTGTGTTTCTTGGTTGCCGCTGTGGATCGTGGTCGAGGGCACGGCAATTGCGGCAGAACATTGTCGAGGAGACATGATTTTGGAGATAGTTTGAGCCCTATATGGAAGGTAGTAATTCTATCTAGCACTTGTGATAGAAGACCACAAGAAAAAGATCTGTCACGAAAGGGCATGCCAACTTTGCCGTGCTGCACGTGGGTACGTAATGCCACCCCCGTCTTTTGCGTGGGGGAGAGGCCAGAATGTAGAGGAGCGGTGGTATTGATGCTTAGATGTGATAGTCAGCACTCTGATTTGTGATGTGAAGGGTCTCTCAACAGGTTTCCGCAATGAGGGGAGTCGAGCAGGGGTCCAAATTGGTCCGTCGCTGACCGAAGAGGAATGTGGGTGGCACATATAGACAAGGGGGCTCACACCTATGCGCCTCCAGTCCACCAATACGATCATGTTACTTTCTCACGATGGCCTCGTCAGCTCCCTCACTTTGGGCAATTCGTGGTCATCAAGAAGTGACATGGTAGGGTTTCTCCAACTCCCCAAGCAACACACCTCACATTTACTACCTGCTTTGAAAATCTGCCCTCTCAGATGCATGCGAGCCTGAAGACTATAGCGCACAACACCTTCTTTCTTGAGATATTCGCCCCGCTGCTGAGGTTGCATCTGGGCACTATGTTCCTGTTGAGTATAACCTTAACTGGCACTTGTCCTCAGGCCTCGACACCCACACAGAGCTTTAGTCTAGACTCTTCGCTCAGGACATGTTTTGACAAAATCCTGAGGAAGAGAGTAAGCGATTCATATGTACGCCATGTGGCTAACTGCTCTCCCTGTCACACGACAACTTCTTCCAACGGAGCTAAACATCTGTTGTATTCCGAGCTCACCAGCTTTGGCCAACTCTCCGCATCAATTACGCCTCCTTCAAACGTCAAGGCGAGCTGAGGCAGTCCTGAGTATGACATGTACGTCGTCATATACAACTTGCTCAACCCCCAAAATTGGAAGATCCGCCCGTCTTATCCGCGCCGGATGTATAGTGACACCTCTCTCTCGCTCTCTCTCTCTCTCTATGTGTGTGTGTGTGTGTGTGTGTGTGTCTGAAATTAGAAAGCAAGGCGAAGATCGTTCTCTTTTCATAGCACTTCTACAAGACCATTACAAAGTTGGGGTCCCGATCGTCTCCAGATCCCTCAAAGTGAGAGTACTTTCCGTTTCGCTTGTCCTTGTTGATCTTGATACAGTACAACACGTTCGCAAGCACTGCAACCCAAGCATAGCACAATAGGCCGAGGATGATGCTGTGGCCCTTGTGGTAGAGAGGGCCCTCATCGCTGGGATAGACAAATGCTAAAGGAACGTTAACAGGAGCCTTTTCTAAGAGGAACTGCGAGACGAGATGGATGAAGTAGTTAGATGGACAGGACTTACTTGCTACAAACCCGCCGGCATTGGCCACCGCCAGCTGCAAGGCCGACGTGGTGGCGCGCTTATAGTGGCCGGCTGAGTTGTTTGAGTTCCAGACGAGAACGCAAGGCACGCTTGAGTACATGCCAATAGCCATCAGACAGGTCATGCCAAACTTGGCCTCGGATGATGTGATGTTGGCGATGGCTGCGTAGCCTATGATGGCGATAGGGAGGGTGAAGAGCATGATGACACCCCTGATCTTCATGCGATCCGAAATAAATGCAATGAGAACTATTGCGAAGTGAGATTCATCAGTGAAGAGCCCTCGTTACTCTTTCTTCCTCCTTCTCTCCCGTCTGCTTGTCGTTAGAATCTGAGGAGGGATTTCAGACATACCAGTGACTGGTGTAGCGACAGCATAAGGTATGACGCTCCAGAGTTGAGTCTCGTTAGAGTTGGATGTGATGCCCAGCCCATTGATGATCGTCGGGAGCTGTGATACTGGTTAGGATTTCAAGGGTATGATACATCTCTTTCATTATGTCAGAGAAAATGACTTACAAAAAGGCCAAAAGAGTACAAGCCTGCCAGGATAGCAAAGTACGCAGTTGCAGTAAGCCACACCTGGATGTTGAAAACTCCTCTTCTCACCTCTGACCATCGAAACTTTTCTTGTCTCTCACTTTCGGTGCTATCAATTTCTTAGCATCTTCCCTGTCACGTCGGGAGAGAAGGAAAAAAAAGAGACAGAAAAAGAAGACAACAATTAGAAAACTTACTGGAACCTCTCCTCCGGTGACAAATCCCCCGACAATCTCCTCACAGCAAACTCCTGCTCCTCGACCGTAAGGAACGACGCCGTGGCGAGGTTACTGGACAAGAACACCAGCGCAACCAGGCCACAGACCACAGTAAGCAAGCCCTCAATGATAAAAATCCACCGCCAGCCCTCAAGGCCGCCCCGTGGCCCGATGGCCGACAAGCCACGGGCGAGAAGGCCTCCAAAGGCGCCAGACAGCGAGGCAGCCGTGTAGAAGATGCCGATTCGCAGGGCCATCTCGCCTCTCGTGTACAAGCCTGACAGGTACAGGACCATGCCGGGTAGCAGGCCGCCCTCGGTGATGCCCAGTACGGCGCGGACGGCGACGAAACTGCCGTAGCTGCGGACAAATCCGAGGCACATGGTGACGATGCCCCAGGCGCAGGTGAGGAAGGCGAGCCATAGTCGCGGGGTGAGGCGCTTCAGGATGAGGTTGGAGGGGAGTTCACTAGAGGAACAAGGATCTCATTGTTAGCACAGCCCGTTATTATATCGTATATGTGTGGAGACTTGAGGACGATAGTGCATGGGATGGACCTTGGGGCGCATACCTTGCTATGTATGTCGCATAGAACACAGCCAGACCCTGATTGTACTGCAGGTTGGTCATGTCCAGGTCCTCTACGAGACCAATAATCTTTGCGTTGCCGACATTTGTCCTGTCTAAAAAAGAGCACAAGAACAATAGTGCGAGGATAGGCAGGATGCGGGTGTCGGTCTTGAGGAGGATGCGCCTGGTCATTCGCGTTCGGTACTCGTGTTCTGCTTGTGCCTCCTCGACCTCGCCGGCCTCGGGTTTGGCCTCAGGGAAGTCTAAGGACGACTTCATGCTGGCAGTAGTGGCGAATAATGCTCTTGCTTTCGTTTCTTACCAGTGAGATGATTGCAGAGAGACAGAGGCACACGTACACAGAGAGCACAGAGAGAGAGAGACTCAGTAATCACAGCGGTGAAATGTAGGCTGTGTTATTGTCGTTGTCATCCGTGTGCTCTGCTTCACCGACTTGAATGCTTACAGGTTACACTCCAGCCAGCAAATTACCCCGGATTCCCTTATCCTTATTTTTTCCCCGCAAAGAGGAGTGTGCGGCACAATCCGACCCCTGCGGAAGAGGCGCACAAGATCCATTACGCTATTCCCTTTCTTGTCGCCACCTTTATGGTTATGCGTCCCAACGGCGGGCGTTGGTTGTCGAGGAATTGTCAGGCCTGTCTGACTGGCTGAGACTTATTGAGGTCTCAGTTCAGCTATTTGTCTGAGGTCAAATGGTGTTGGTCTCTTTGTGTCTTGCCAACGTGCTTGGCAGTGTTTGTCGAATATGACCTGCAGGCCTGACAGATGTATGCCAAGAAGACTTGGCTAGCGCAACGAGTACCTCAGAAGGTACAGTACTTATAAAAACTTAAACGCAAGGATTCCGTGCCGGCACCGACGGGGTCGCTCATTGAGTGACTCTAGTCGTTCGTCAGGCTGTGAGCCAAGATCCCTTGATAGTACTATTTCGCTCTGCTATTGTTAGTGCAGAAGCCATAGGCTATCCCAAAATAGACTGAGAGAGTAGGATGAAATCGGAAGGCTGCGGATAAGAGTTGTACTGCCAAGGCAGATGTTTCAATCGACAAGACATTTTCGACTTGGCTGTCCGTTGGTTTAAAACGGCCACTTTGCTATTGGGGACCCTTGAAGCTCAGACGGATCCTTTGCGAACGGCACAGCACTCTCATTATATAACTAGCAAATATGTGTCTAACGTTAAATTTGTCTGGGGCCTTCTCATCAATCGAAACGTCACGTCACATTGCATGCAACTGGTTCTCCCAAACCTCTCACCTCCAGATCAACATCTTCTATTACTGACAGGCTGCACAGATCAGGTGATGAGCAGCATGGTCTTGCATAACATATGCACTGGCCAGGATTTCAACATGCTGGCCAGTGCAAGAGAAAAGATCACTGCCTTCAAAACGTGCTTTCTTTCCAGTCGCGAAAACAAGTACCAAACATAACAACCCCTCAACCTTGGATATGTAAGTGTATGGAGACTACTTCAAGTACCGTAATCAGCCAAGAGAGAGACCAAACTCCGACCTCGCTGCCCTCGTGTAGCGAACCCCCAAAAAGTCGCGTCCTTTCCTCTCACCTCGGAATATCCCAATAAGGCTTCCCAGTGATTAAAGTATGTTTTAGAACCCGCGTGCATTTTGGCCCAGGCCCACAACCCGCAACCCCGGCCTTCTGATCTACCCCCCGACCGCCCTCGGCAGCAAACAACCACTGCAAATGCTTAGCTCCGGTGGAGAAAACAACCCCTGCGGGATGATGACGTCGCCGGTCGGCAGAAGTTACCCCCGAGGTTCTTTTTGCGCGGCCGAGGTGCGCGCCCATGATTTGACTTGTAAGGGGACATTTATGCGCATGCGATCTCTGGGTTCCCGTTCCGGATTGCGGAATTACGATCAGATTACGAGGTTACTGCGAGGGGCATTGCGTTGCATGGATTCTTGACTATTTTCTGAATTGTTTGTGAAGGGAAAATAATTTGCTGAATAGCCTCACTTTTTGTTCTGTTTTGTGTCTTGATCAGTTGGCCCCTACAGTACATTCTCGGCTTCAACGCTTTGTTCAAGTTGGTGTGCAAGAAAATACAAAAGGCAGAGAAGAGCAGAAGGGAAGACGCACGTCAAACTATACAGCACAGCAACCATGGCGACGACAGCAAGACATGTGCGGCGGTGCATGCCAAACCTCAACCTCCTCTCTCCAGCCAGGACACGACAGGCCGTGGCAGCAGGAGCAGCATCATCATCAAGAGCAACAGCCTGTCTCACACCCTCCTCCTCAAGGCCATCATCATCATCATCATCATCATCTTCACTATCATCTTCACCACAGAGGATAGCCTCCTCCCGTCACAACCGCCTCTTCTCCACCACCACTCGCATCCTCGCCGCCGCCTCCTCCTCTCCCACCCCCAAACGAGGCGGCTCCAAGCTCTACCCAACCGCCGACGACGCTGTAGCCGACATCCAATCCGGCTCCACCATCCTGTCCTCAGGCTTCGGCCTCTGCGGCGTAGCCGAAACCCTCATCACGGCCCTGCACCGCCGCGGCAAGGACAGCCTGCACTCCCTGACCGCCGTCTCCAACAACGCCGGCGTCGAGGGCAAGGGCGGGCTCAGCGTGCTTACCAAGGAGGGCCAGGTCGACCGCCTCGTGCTGTCGTACCTGGGCAGCAACAAGGTCCTCGAGAAGAAGTACCTGACGGGCCAGATCGCCATCGAGCTCTGCCCCCAGGGCACCCTGGCCGAGCGCCTCCGCGCCGCCGGCTCCGGCATCCCCGCCTTCTTCACCGCCACCGGCGCCCACAGCCTGGTGCAGTCGGGCCAGATCCCCGTGCGCCTGGATGCGTCGGGCCGCGTGCTCGAGTCGGGCAAGCCGCGCGAGACCCGCATCTTTGGCGGCAAGACGTACCTCATGGAGACGGCGCTGCCCGGCGACGTGGCCATCCTGCGCGCCTGGAAGGCCGACACCGCGGGCAACTGTGTGTTTCGCTACACCACGAGGACCTTTGGCCCCATCATGGCGAAGGCTGCTGCGCTGACCATTGTCGAGGCCGAGAATATTGTCGAGGTCGGCGAGATTGGCCCTATGGAGGTGGATCTGCCTGGCATCTTTGTCGACAGGATCGTCCCGGCCACGGCGGAGAAGACGATCGAGCTGATGAAGCTGCGGGAGGAGAACACAGACTCGTCCAAGGCGGAAGCAGAGAAGAGCCCTGCGGTCCTGAGGAGGGAGAGGATTGCGAGGAGGGCGGCCAAGGAGTTGAAGGATGGATACTATGTGAACCTGGGTGTGGGTATTCCCACCCTGGCGCCAAGTTTCCTACCAGAGGGGCAGAAGGTGTGGTTGCAGAGCGAGAATGGTATCTTGGGCATGGGACCATATCCTACAGCGGATGAAGTTGACCCGTAAGTAAACTCCTTACCGGAGCCATAGAGGGAAGTGAGAGAGAGAGGAAGAGAGAGAAACCATCTTTCCAACACAGCCTCTAACAAATCCCAGCGACATCATCAATGCCGGCAAAGAAACAGTCACCCTCCTCCCCGGCGCCGCCACCTTCGACTCCTCCGAGTCCTTCGGCATGATCCGCGGCGGCCACGTCGACGTCTCCATCCTCGGCGCCCTCCAGGTCAGCGCCGCCGGCGACCTGGCCAACTACATGATCCCCGGCAAAGTCTTCAAGGGCATGGGCGGCGCCATGGACCTCGTCTCGAACCCAGACCAGACCAAGATCGTCGTCGCCACCGACCATGTCGCCAAGGACGGGAGCTCCAAGATTGTCGAGCTGTGCACGTTGCCTCTGACGGGCGCGCGGGTCGTGAGCACTATTATTACTGATCTGGTATGTAAAATGATATATATTCCCGTTTCGAGAATGCTTGCGGATATTTATGTATGTATACTGACATTTGGTGAACAGTGTGTCTTCCAGGTCGACAGGGAGGTGGGCGGGCTGACCTTGACCGAGCTGGCACCAGGCGTCGAGGTTGACGAGGTCAAGGCCAAGACGGATGCCAGCTTCAAGGTTGCTGATGACCTGCTGCAGATGGAGTAATCGGTTTTGTTGTGCAAATTTTATATATTTGTGTATGTATATAAATCTAGGATAGAAAGGAGGAGGGGGGTGGGGGGGGGGGTGGGGGGGGGGGGGCGGGGGAAGGATGTGGATAGGGTGTTTGGGCATACATATGTATATATATAAATAAATATGAATAACCATCAATAAAATGTATATTGGCAGTCTTCACACAAAATGAGATACAATCGTACATCTCATTTGCATTCACTGTGATGAACAAGTTTCATGATTGGTCTTATGTAGACATATATTTGTATGTGTCTTTACAATCCAAATGTGGTATCATTTCAATACATCCTACATCCTACAACTTGCTAGCAAAGTTCTGTCCCACCGCTTCCACAATACTATCCACACTCTTCAGCAGCCACTCGCTCCCCTCGTCCCCAGAAAGCCACGCCAGCCCCTGCGCCTCCTCAGGGCTCTCGGCCTCCCTCTCATGATACCCCTGGTCCACCGCCTTGCGCAGGCCAAACACATGGCTCAGCACCTGCGGCCCCACCCCCGTCTGCGCGCGCAGACACGCAATCGCCACCAGGCTCGTCAGCACCCGGCCCACGTCCGCCAGCCCGCCCCTGTTGACGCCCTCCGGGTTGCTCAGCAGCGGCGCGTAGTGGCTGCCCAGGATGTGCACAGGCAGGTCTGGGTGGCTGTCCGCCAGCTTGGCGATCAGCTTCGTCTCGAAGGGGTCGTAGACGGACGTCCACAGTCCCAGGCCCGTCGCCTTGCGCTGGGCCAGGTTGGCCGGCGTCAGCTCGCGGGAGGGCTTGGTCTCGAGGGCGGACTGGACGTCTTGCGGTAGAGAGGCGCGGAAGGCACCGAGGCAGTTGATGGAGCGTGGGATGCCGTTGAAGGAGATGCACTTCAGGCCGACCTCTCGAATCAGCTCGGCCGCCGGGGCGGGCGGGAGGGCACGGTAAGTCTGGGCGGTCGAGGAGGAGGCGACGTTGTGGAGGATGGCAAGGGAGTCGGGGGAGTTGAGCGTGAAGGTTGCCGCGGCCTGTTGTTTTGTTAGGTGTTAGCAGAGGAGAGAAAGTCGCGTACGAGGAGACGGAGTAGGAGAAGGAGGAAGAAGAAGAAGAAGGCATCTAGACATACGGATAAGACGATCCACGGTCTTGGGCCCAGGCTCTGGGCCTGTGCCTCGCCTGCTATCCTCTCGTACAGCTTTCCTATGCCTGCTGGGGCCTTGGCAGGGCCTGGACGGGAGAAAGGAGCATTGACGAGCTCCTTGAGCGCGGGAGCCAGCTTCGACATCGTGTGGGCGGGCGTGGGGTCGTGGGTTCTTCGTCTTCTTCCCCTCTTGTCTGTTCTTTGCGACTCTCTATATGGACAAGAGAACGAAAGCTGTGGTCACTGGACCTACTTCGTCGGCCGATGTTATCGTGAAGGAGGAGATTCCAATTGATCGAGAGACCAGAAAACGAAGATCAGTCGATATGTCGGAGAAAGTAGGAAAATCCCAAGGCGAGAAATAATTCCCAAGAGAAGAGTTCCGAAGTCGCAAGAACAAGAAACGTGATTGTCCTCGCAAGCACCCCCACGTCCTGTACCTGTCTGTCTGTCTGTCTGTCGCCTTGTCGCGGTTGCACTATGCCGAGGGGCGCGCCGAGATGAACCCTGCTGGGCTGTGACGACGATGGGATGGAGATGCATTGGTACAAATTCACTATGGCGACGGCTAGGGGAGTGCGTGGGGCTGAGGCGGCAGGTAGAAAAATGACCGGACCGACTGTGCCGGGCTGGCGGCAGGTACGTACCTTGTTTACGTAGGCCGGTTGATGGTTGATTTATTGGTGGGGCACGGTCACATGCTATCACCACACTAGTTAGCGAATGCCTTCCTGGTGCGGCTGCAGTTCTGCCACCCGACATGAATTAATGGATTCATTAGAAGGGTAATGCATTATGAGATGGGATGGGATATGGGGGGAAAAGGGGGACCATTTTGTCTCTCTCTTTTCTCTCATATTATGTGGTTGACGGAGGATTGACCAACAACGGTTGACAAACAAATATGTCCAAATCACAGAGGGAAAAGCAGAAACAGCCATGGTGGCTTGGGTGAGTACATCTCTAGATTGGAGAATGGAAGACTACTACAGCGAGGGTTTCGGTGGTAATTGGTGGCTCGTTGGTTGGCTTTCAGTGACTCGGGGGCGCTGACTTGTGCTGGATCTTCAGTGGTGCCGCTGCCTCTATGGCGGTATGCTTCAGTGAGTGCAGGCCCTAGAACCTCCCTATCCCCACGCGCCCTCAACCCCTCCACCCCCAACGCCTATAGGTGATATCAATGGCTGGCCAAGTTGGGACTGACGATGGCCTCGCTTTCTAGCACACCCACTGGACCAAACAAAATAGTAAGAAGTCCAAAGAAGTCCAATTTATGAAAGAAAATGAAGAAAAAGGAAACCCCTAAAATTTAACACAATTATCTTTTTCAGTCGGATGCAGGTCATGCACACCAAGGCACCGATGCTAAGGACATTATACAGCTTTGCAGCTCGTGATGGTAAGTCCTCCTCTCTTTAAATCTCCCCTGGTGTTTAATTTGTCTGTATATACACACAGGAAGAATAAGGAGAATCACCATATTTCAAACCTCCAACACAGCAAATTAACAACCATCCAAGGCATCCCCTCCCTCTGGACAGGCCTCAGCGCCTCCATCCTCCGCCAATCCACCTATTCCACCGCCCGCTTCGGCCTCTACACCATCCTCTCCCAGCGCCTCAAAGAACGCAACAACCAACCTCTCTCGTCCTGGGCCACCATCCTCTGCGCCGGTGTCTCAGGCGGTCTCGCCGGCATCATCGGCAACCCGGCCGAGGTCATCCTCGTCCGCATGTGCGCCGACGGCGCAAAACCACCGAGCGAGAGGATGCACTATCCAGATGCCGCGAGGGGCCTTGCTCGGATCGCGCGCGAGGAGGGCCTGGCTACTTTTGGAAGGGGTTTGACGGCTACTGTGGTGAGGAGTGTATTGATGAATGTTGGGCAGATTGCGCCGTAAGTTTCTCTTCTTCCCCTTTGGTACTGGACTCATCCCCCCCCCCCCCAACCCCACCATCACTTATCATCATACCCTCGATCATGCAAACACTAAAACAATAGTTGCCCACCTTGAAGATACACCGCCGCCAAGCAGTTCCTCCTCAAAAATACGAGCCTAAAAGACGACGTCAAGACACACATGCTCTCCTCCCTCATCGCCGGCACCGTCGCCACCACCATCTGTGCCCCTGCCGACGTTCTCAAGAGCCGCATCCAGTCTGCCTCCAGGGCAGGAGGGTCTTCGGTACGCAATTCTTTCTAGACTCCTCGTCCCTTTTCCATTCTCACCCCCCTTTATCCTTCCTTGTTTTTTTTTCCCCCTTCCTTTTTTCGTTGTCTCTAACACAAAGAATCTCGGTTTGATCTTACAGAGCGTTCTGCAAGTCCTCTCCCAAGGTCTCCAGCACGAAGGCCCCATATTCCTGATGAAAGGCTGGACTCCAGCCTGGCTAAGATTGACGTAAGTTTGCCCCTCCATCATCCATCCGTCCGTCCCCTTGGTGCCTACTTTCACACGTTCGCCTGACTGACTCATTCTTTCTTCTCAACCCACCTCCAACAACAACAGACCCCATACCATCCTCACCTTCGTCTTCATAGAGAAACTCCAAGACCTCGTCAACTGGCGGGCGACGACCGCTGTGGCGCCGGTTGAGGCGAAGATGTGAAATTTCCATTTAGATACCCTGCGCCCGGGGAGCCGATAGCAATTCGGTTGGGCTGGATCGTTATGTCTGCTTGTTGTATTTGGCGGCTTCTTTCTATTTCTTATGGTATCCGTTCCGGCGTTTCTGGAGAGGGGACAGCATACATGGGAGCGTATATGATAGCAACCCAAGATCACATGCAGACGTTGATTTTTTCCCCTTTTCCTTCCTAGCAGGCAATGGCCTCTTTACATCATCAGAAATCTTTTGTCTCCTAGATGCGTCTTGTCCTTGTTGAACTTCTAGTAGGCAGCTTGCCCTTCCAATGTGCTCTGCTTTCTCACATAGTCATCTCTATTAGAGCGCATAGCCTGTCCTCGAGTCGGCTCTTTCCATTACGTGTGACCTGCTGAGAAGAGCCTCCAGTATAATACAACCGCCCCTGTTTTTCTTCTTTTTAGAACCCAAAATCTGGCCAGTTGCTCCATGTAGGCAGGAAGTCGAAGCCCGCGCCGTCCTCCCACCCAAAACCCCCTCCCCCAGCGCCGGTCCCGCCTGCAGCATTGCCTCCCCCTCCCAGCCCGGGAGCGTAGCCATTATCAAACTCGCCGCCAGCTCGGTTCAGCGCCTCGATGATCTGGTCACCACTCATTGAGCTGAATGGAAATAAGTCGGCTGGGTTGGATGCTGGCCAGGCTGGCGTGCTCGTGTCGTAGGCATTTATTGGAGCAGTAGGCGGTGGAGGGATGGCGAAGCCGCCGTTGAGTGCACCAGGCAGTGAGTTTCCTGCCTTGCGGGACGTATCTTTGAAGGACGTGGGCTGCCTTGCAGTCTCCCCATATACATGTCCCTGCTGTACGGCCCTCGGCGTGCCCATCCCCTGCCTTGACAGTAAGCCCGTCCCGGCTGCTGCCTTCTTGACTATGCTCCGTAGATACTTGGCGTATAGGCCACATGTGCTGTTTCGATGTCGCGTGACATTCCCAATTTTCTCGAGCACGTCGGCCGTCTCCTCAATCAGCGTCCGAACCGATGGTGCCAGTGCCGCGCTGCTGCTGTTCGTGTTTGCGTTCCCAATGTTCGCAATCTGCGTGCTGAGACGGAGGGCGAAGCAGGCTGCAAATGACACCATGATGGCTGTGTTGTTGGGCATGGAGTAGAGTTGCTTCTCGCCCTGGACGGCGGCTCGCATCACATTGAGGGCAGCGGACAGACTAGCGGTACGGAAGAAGTGCCGCACTTCGAGAGGGGCGGTAGGATGATTTATGACGAGACTGTAAATCGAAAGGCGTGTATGCGTCACCAAGATCTCGACATAGGGCGGGAGGCGATTTTCTAGACACAGTCAGCGTTACGTTATGGCAGAAGATGTAATGGAAAATACACTCACGGGGTCCCTGCCCTATGGTCTGTCCCCACTCGAGGTACCACTGTTCAAAGAACTTGTCCACTGTGGTCTGAATCCTGCGATGGAGTTAGCGACAATCTGCGTATCGATCCGGGTGTGAAGCTACCACTCACGACTGCGCAAGTAGGGATCCATCCGTCATGCCCTCTCTTGAACCGTCACAAAGCGAGCGGATCGTGTCAAAGAGGGGATCTAGATCCCTCCGTAGCACCGCCATCGACACCAGCGCGCCATCCATGCTGTCGGCTATGTCTGATATATGCCACCTGTCACATCTTCTAATCAAAGGCGTTATAGGGACAGTATAGGGCCGGCCACGTGCCAGACACATGCCCCGCTCGAGGACGAACAGGGCAAGCCAGCATCTTTCGCGGCGCCGGACAAGCCTCCTCCCCAGCTCCGAATTTGGGTCGACATCTTTGAACCCACCAGATCTCAGTGCGGTTTCGGGATCTATACAGTCCTGCCTCGTCAGCTGACCGGCTGCCCCATTCCTGAATGCCTCCGCGGGCATGGAGATCTTGGGCATCTCCAGGTCGATGGCGATGGTAGTTGCCATGGAGATATACCAACACGTCTCGTCGTCAGTACTGTGCACTCCAGGGCTCATCCACGGCACATTGACCATGAACGCAAGGACAATTTCCGTCGACCGGTGTCTCAGCTCGGTGACCTTTCTTGCTAGGAACTTGCAGTGCTTCGAGAGCCGCTTTGACAGTGCGGCGGCTGACTCGATGAAGAGTGCTGAGGCGGCCATGACGGAAGTGAAGAGAAATGCAGAGCGGGCGCGTGTCCATGGAACTGTGTATAGAGCTGGATCGAGACCCCAGCGGGTGTGTGCAAGATTCTTGTGGAAGCTAAAGCGCCATGTCATCAGTATTACAGGGCTGTTTGACGTGATAGGGCCGGCCAGCCTTACAAGTCGAACAACATCTCAGCCTCGTCCTCCGTCACCAAACCTAAATCGATGGGGTCATAGTCCTCTCCCTGGTCCACATTGAAATGCGTCGTTCCGAAGAAGGCCTCTACTCGTCTCATCTGGGGGTCCATCTCCTCAGCGCTGTTATTTGCCGGGAGATGGGACGTGGCGGTGGCCGGCGACTGGCCGTGGCTCGACTCGGGGGACAGATGCAGATTTGACGCCCGGGCCAGCAGCTGCAACGGATTCTCGGCATCGTCGACGGCAAGGCGCTCCTCTGGCTGGACATGTCTCTGTGAGATAATGGACTCCCGGCGGCCCATGCTTTCCTTTCTAGACCGTGGGCTCTCCTCCTCGTCAGATGAGGAGTCCATGGGCTCACTCGAGCCAGTAGTCATCAAACGTGGCCTCTTGTTACTCCCGTCTACAGACCCATTGAGCCGGGATTCCTGCCCAGCAGCCAGCATAGACTTGAGCTCGGAGATGGCCTTATTGGCATCAGTGCCCTGGACGCCCGGGCCGGCTCTCTTGAGAGCCTCCTCAACTTGGAAGAGGGCTTTCTCGAGCCCCTTGCGTTTGCTGCTCAGGAGTCAGCGAGATACATCCGGGCAGGTTATGTCGCAGGCTGAGGAAGGAAAGGGGAGTTAGGACCTACTTCTTGACGCCCTTCCGTCTCCCAACGTTGAACGTTGGTCGGATGCAATCCCCACCGGTCTGAGCACATCGTCGACAGCGGACGGGATCAGTGCCCTTCTCACAGCGAACCTTACTCTTCCGACATGCCAGGCATGCAGCCACCTTAGAGGCGCGATGCTCCGCAATGGGGGAAGTGGTGTTGATGCTACCATTCTGGCTGTTCTGAGGGCTGGCAATATCCAGGGTGAGATCAGGGTGCGGACCGGCGCCGTTGATGGACGGGTCCTGCTTGACGGTGACCGAGTCACCTATGTCGTGGGGATCCATCGGGTGTGGAGCTGTGACCAGCTGGCCGAGCCACAGCTCTTGAGAGGGGTTGCTTAGCTTTGACAATAACTGACAAGATAATGACTGTTGAAATGAGATATTGTGGTCCCTAGATGAACGGTTGAGTTTAATGCCTGTGGCAGCGGACTCGTCCGGGCCGCCAGGCTGAGAAGTCGGTGAGCAATGAGGAGGAGTACAGCAGGATCCGGTAACTTAAGGTAAGCGTGTGTGTGTGTGTGTGTGTGTGTGTGTGTTTGTGTATGTGTGTGTGGTGTGGATACCGACACCAGCCTCGGTCCGTAAGGCTAAAGCTTCTCAAGAAGATCTCGCGCGAGATGGGGGTGGGACGTGTCGGGTGCTCACTGCAGTGTAACGAGTGCGCACGCATCTGAGGTCGGCCTGCTGCGACCTGCAGACTGTGAGGAACGGTTCGGCAGTCGTTGCTCGGATTTGCGAAGACACTCCGCACAGGGACTAGTAGGCGGGCATGATTGAGCAACGAAAGGCGGGCGTACAGCAAGTATGTCGCTCACAAACCCTCTTCAAGTCTTGATATCCGAGGGGTGGCGCTCTCGCAGGCCCAGCAGGTCCTCTTGTGGCGCAGAGAGGCAGACAAATACACACAAGTAAGTGAGCTCGTAGAAGGTTGGTCTGTGCAGTGTCGAATAGTCTGTATGTGCGTGTGTTGGTGTACATATGAGTTGTTGTATGTGCGTGTGTGTGTGTATATGTGTCTGACCGGTCCCATGAACCAGATCTTGTTGAGTGCTGTCCTCAGCAGTGTCAGGATCCCAGTCAAGAAGAGTACGTAAATCCCGGAGACGAGCCTCGAAGGGTGGTGTGCGTACCCGGCATGGATGGTGGGGAAAGGCTTTGCAGAGAGCACTCAATCCGTGGTTGAAGGGCTGCAGATGCTGCCAAGCTTTGTCGGCCCTTGAAATTCAGCTTCCAAAGGGGCTTAGATCCAGATCCAGATCCAAGACCATATCCGCCGTGTATTCTCTCTATGTTGGAAAGACGGGGTACAAGCTTGTGGAGCTGGCACACGAGGGAGGAAGAGATAAATGAGAACTTGGCGATGAAGATGGCACGTAGACGACAAAGAGGAATGGATGGTTGGAGACGTGGAGAGGCGGAGACGAAGACGAAGACGACAACCACCACCATCACCACCAGCATGAGGGGGGGTTGCACCTTCCCACTGGGAGACCCCACTCAGGGAAGGGTGGAGGTCCAACCCTAGAGCGGAGACAAGTCCCAATACGGATCCGGCCTAGAAAGTATAACTGCAGCGAATCACGAGGACGGATCTTAACTAAGAATAGTTTAGCATGAGCTCAGTCTTCCACCACCCCGCCGCTACCACTGCTGCATGACTTGCCCCGGATCTGCGCATCACAGGGGGCGTTCGGGGCTATCAGGGCGTTCATGCAGCCCCTGACCAACCCTCCGATATCCTTGGGCCCTTCTGAATTCCCTAGAACATCAGTGGATAATCGCCAAAAACACCACAAGCGAAAAACGCTAGGCGCACGATGCCTTGATGGTCCCTGCCCGCTCTGGTGGGAGACCTCACATTGGAAGGGACTCTTGAATTGGAAAGCTCCAGAGCTTCACATTTAATTGACCGCCACACCTTTTTGACTGACACCTGTCTGACTTGGGCTTACTAAGACCGGTTCTCATTTAGAGACTACTCTTTAGCCATCATGTGATTGGAATGCGTTCAATTGAGTGGCAGTGCATGTCACTGTTGCTGGATGGTGAGGACAATCACTGACCTCACCCACCTTCCCTCCTGTTCCCCCCCTCCCCTCCTCCCTCCTCCGCCGATGTTCGAGAAGTGACAAGATGACTCTGAGCAGAGCAAATCTTGAACAGCTAGCAGGATTCGCTGAAATCAACAAAAGTCTGCAAACGACTTGCTGCATGCACCAACTCTCCTTCGCGAAAGAGACTCGAAGTCCTGTCGTGGACGACATCATGCTCCTCAATACTCGTTACGGCTCCTGTCGGTCAGCCAGCTAGTTAGCTAGCCTGCTCCCAAATATCCGGCTTGTGGCAAATGGCATTGGGTGTTTATATACGCACCGGTTCGCGGCTCCTCGTCTTTACCGCGCAGAAGCCATCCATCCAGCTCGTGCAGCTCTTCGTCAGGGCCAGCGGCGAGAACATAAGTGTCCTCCTCGCACCACTCGTACGCCTCGTCCAGTAGGGCATCGAGCTCGTCCTCCTCCCGTCTCTGCGCAAAGTAAGCCAGCTCCAGGTGGCGGTCCTGTTGCTGTGGCTGCTGTGGCTCCTGCTGCCCGTCGCCCGTGTCGCCCTCTCGTCCTCTGGCTACAACGTCGGACTCGGTCGTGTAATTGTCATTGTCCCTCTTCACATCTCCTTCAGAGTCTGCGGCCTCTGACTTGGTTGCGTACTGACCATCGCCAGTTAGTGCAGGCTGCTTCTCGACAGACCTGCTGCCGGAGGAGAATCTCTCGAGCTCGCAAAATTTGGCCTCCCTTGAGAAGTGGACAAGTTCTGCGTCGTATGCGGGCATATTTTATGTTCTTACGAATCCATCTAGTCCGAGGGGATGAAGATGGAAAGTGGCTTTTAAATTCCCCTCACTGGGGGCTGCATTTGGGGCAAGCCGCAGAGCTTGTGAGACAAAGACCTGGTGAACATTTGGGACAGAGCAGCTCAGGTGGCCCTTGTTACTTTTCAAAGCTACTACTCGACTAGGCGGTAGGTGGTGGTAACTAGGGCGGGCGGGCAGTATGCAGTGTGTGTGGTATGGCCAAGCTACATGCATCTTATACGTATCTTGATCTTGGCCGGAACGCTCCGACATACGACCGTTTGCAACGAGATGCAGTTATGTGTGAAAAACATGACCAGATAACCTCACCGAACATCGACGCTCATGCTACCCTAAATTTGCGGCCCCCATTTCTCGACGTTTCACACGCACACCATCTTGCTACGGTGTGTACCATTGGGGCAGGCAGTATGCATCTGACTGCAGCAGATACGAGCCTTTCGTTGGAAAGCCTCAATTCCAGCCACCCAGCTCTAGCATCAAGGTACCTCGAACGGAGGGGTTGGGCCGCATTGACTTATCATGCAGCTGCGTGGGAGGCAAGGGAGCCAACTCTTCTTTGTCTCTGTCCTGCAGAGTTCCGATTCCTTCATGGGGCCAAATTACTGGTGATCTGAGGCCACTCCTCTTGAACGACGGTTAGCGTGTCGTGCCGCAGAAAGTCGTACAAAAGTTCGCACTGTTCCACTAGGTAAAGCAGAATGTCGGAAAACTTTGTCTCGGCTCTTTGATTCTCTCCTGGGGGCGGCATCTTCTTCTGCATATCTGCAGTGGAATCACTGGATTGATAACCATTTATCACGACAGAAGACACGAGCGTACGAGAAGAGAGGGCCATACTGATCTTGTACAGATTCAGAATAAGCTTGCCGAGATCCTCTTTGCGATAACTGGGTCGTCGGACATCACAGGATCTTCATACACGAGTAATGGCATTACTATAGGAGACATTTGGGGCAATTACAAACGGGCAGTTCTGGCACGTTTATATAAAGTTGCCCGCAGGAATCGGCCCACAGTCCGACACCCCGCCCGCCGCCATAAATTCCTGAGGGATGCGCACGGAGGTGTAAGCAAAGATTAACGATGCCTAAATAGGATTGATGAGGCTCCTCCGCCCCAGTTCTTTCACGTTAGAATGTAGGTGGTTTTGTGGAATGCCGCCCACAGAAGGATTCGACCCCAGCTCTATGAATCTTGATACTCTTTTTGGCAAGCTAGATGACGTTCATTTTCACTGCAGAATATCTATAATACCATATATCTCATTATCTTCTCACCGTATTGCATGTAAAGCTGGGCTTTCTCCACCTCCCTCCCTCCCTTCTTCATTCTCTCTCTCAATCAACTGAAGCTTCTCTTCTAATATCTACATGTTGTTCTCTAGTTCTCGCTCCACAACAATACTCGGACTCACCAGATTTCGCTTAATGGCCGCCCATCTACCCAGCCCTATTCTCGTTCCGTTTCCGCCTTCTTCCATGAAGTGAGAACACAGAAAGATGGCGGCATGTGAGAGACAGGATACGAGAGCAGCCTACCCAACCAGCAACTCAATATACGCCGAGGGTGTCCTCGCTCCAGACGTTCTCGTGCTTACCGGCCAAGTTATCACATCTGAGACGGCATTGGAATTACCTCTGTACATCCTGAGCCATCCCGTCACCACCGCTCCGCCTCTTAAGCCCAGCGGCACGGATTACATTATCCTCACACGGACCTCCGCTCCGCCTCAGCCGCTTTTTCATCTCACGCGCCAGTGCAGACAACCTGTGACTTCTTTCATGCCCTCTCCCACTATTACTACAGCAGAAAGGATGCCTCCGCCGCCTCTTCCAGCTTCACACCCTTCTCTCCCACCACCACCAACATCATACTACCTTACCTCCCTGTCAGCGTCACTGCTGGGCAACATTCACCTAGAAACACCACCACCACAGCAACAACAGACACCTCCACCATCATCCTCCTCGTCCTCCTCCTCCTCCTTCCCCTTATCAACCTCACTATCCCGCCCCCCAGCATGCTTAAGCGCACTCCTCCACCCAGGCCGAACAGCCACAGACGTCAACCCCGAACACTCCGATCCCAACCCCGTCTTCTTCGCCTGGATGCGCATGCGCTGGCTGAGCCGCGACGAGTACAACTATCTAGACGCTACCGGGCGGCAGGTCGCGTGCGAGGAGGTCATCGCGGGCGATGGGCCCGCTACCTGGAGGCTAGTCGTCACGAGGGCGCTCCCCAGGGCGCTGCGGGACTCTTTGGTGGCCATGTGGTGTCTGCGGGTGTGGATGGGAGTTTGTGAAGGTTGGGAAGTAGGAGGAGGAGGTGGTGGTGGTGGTGGTGGTGGGAGTGCAAGTGGCGAGAGGGAACAGCAACAACAACAGAGAATGAAGCCTGGCCTGGTGCCGAGGGCGGATGTGACGCTTGCGTATAGGTATCAGCGTTGAAGTAGCGCCACAAAGTGCTGTTAACAAAACAACCCCTTCAATATAGAACATGTCGGGGTTGTTGAGACCAGGGCGACCCCCTGGGGGGTGGGGGAGGGCGGTCACCAACGACTCTTCTGGTTGAATTCATGGATCGTATGATGATCTCTTTACTTGATATCAGCTCTTGGTTGGTATTGGAATAGGGGTTGAGACCTCACACGGAAAGTCTTGCATAAAGGGGAAGACTTCCATACCTCCTCCAGCCAAGTTCCCAGAGCGTACGAAACTTGCACGTGCTGGTGCACATGAGAGGTCAGAAGAACATCTTGTTGCCAGCACTTCAAGTTGTCATAAAATTACTTGCTATTACCCAGGACTTTAGCCCAAGAGATGTCGAGACGGATGAAGTAATGGGCCTTTGACAGGCATGAAGCAAGGAATTGAGACCTCGTTATTTCCACTACTTATCATCTTTGTCTCATCAGATTATTTCCGATCGAAATATGCAGCATTGAAAAATATGATTTCCCTGCTCAACTCTTCCTTTCTGCTTCTTTCTCAACTAATTTTTCATTTTCTTGTCTTCCTTCTTTCCTTCTTGACATAGCATTCATTCGTATTTGGCAGTTAGTGATCAACTTTATTTCTGCGGCTCGTGTTATTTCTGTGAGTATCACAAGTAACTTCATTCCATTTCCATCTCGACACTTCGTCTGGCTCCCGTTTCAGACATGAGATGTCATATGGGTATCAAAACAAGTGTTAGGTCTGAATGCAGTTCATCGAATTATAAATCCATGATACGTTGATGTTGACGCTGACCATTGCATGTTCTCCTCTCCCCAACGCCGTCCCTTTTTATGATCAGTGCAACTAGTCTGAGGAAGAGCGATGAGAGGGTACACGACTCAGCAAAATGCATACTAACATCTTCCTCAAACTTATAAATAACCCTTGACAAGGCTTGGTGGAGTCGCTCATTTCACATATGCAAAACATGCACCTCATCGCGCCTCTGAATGGTCATGTTCTCTCTAGACGATCAGTAAGAGAAGCCAAGGCTAGGAGGTCCGTCGATTTTTAGCTGAGTATACGCACACATATGCTTGTGTTAAACTATTAGTGCGAAGAAAGTGGACTAAGAGATTAGCATCACATGCCACAAGAAAACAGTCTCCCAAAACCCAAACACAGATGACCAGTGATGAGTGGGAAAACATAAATATCCCCCTCTTCTCTCGACAATCCAAGACATGTTTCCTCTCCTTTTTTCCCTCATCCTTCTCGACCAACCCTTCACTGGAGGGCTGACAATAGCCTCCATCTTCCCAACAGCATCCGAGCATGGGTCTTCCCAGCCTCGCCCAACAGGATGTTCTTCTCGTTCTCCTCTCTGCTATCCCTGCTGGCCTTCTTGGCCGTCGGGGTGTGCGCCCTTGCCGGCCCCATCCCCGAGGATGCCGTGACAAACTGAACCTCGGGCATCCTTCTTTGCGCCGTGGGCAAGACACCCCACGGACACTTTGAGGTGTGCGGGCCTATCATCGCCAACGACAACACGCCTGGGATCCTGTCTGGCGCCGCTTTTCCCACGACCCTGGTAAATGCCAAGTGGGACAAGGCGATGAGGGCCGTGGTGCCAAGTACGGCGAGACGGCCAGCCACTCCTCTGTCTCGCCGTGGTCTTCAGGACTTGGCACATGCGCCACGGGAGGGAAGTTCACGGAGGCCATCACCCAGACGATGCACCTGCGTGACGGTTACAAGACGAGGCCCGGGTGGAGCAGTTCTGATTTTCCTTCTGGGATCACGACGGTCGCCTGCTATACCCTGACTGTCACTGTCTCGGCCTCCAAGGTCGGCAGCGATGGCAGCATCCCTCTCATTGAGGGTATAGTATGCGACGGCCTTTGTTCTTCCGCCTCCTCGTCCTCCCCCTCTAGGTCTTCATCGCCGTCAGTCCTGGTAACGGCCACATCCTCTTCGCTGCGGAACACCGCTACGAAAACTTCATCGAGCTCTCTCTCTCTTCGGCTCGGCCTTCCTCTTCCTCCATCGCGACCCGCAGATCGTCGAGTCCGCCAAAGCCGTCGTCAAAAGGGTCCAAGCCCCCACCTCATAGCACACCCCGGAAGCCCACAAGGAAGCCTTCAGCCTCGCCGCCTCCAAAGAAGAAGCCCACATCTGTCAAGACCGTAAGTTTCTAGAAGTTCATTCGGTGAAGAAGAAAGAAATCAGTCCCTCCTCTGTTTCTTTCTTCTCGCACCTCTCTTCTTCCTCGTCTTCCCTCAATACATGATGATAAATGCTAAGCAGACATAACACAGATCATCCCACCAGGCGCAACCCACCTACCACACTACTCGGAAAAAGTAGGCCTAGCCGTAGGCCTCGGTCTAGGAGGAGGTACTCTCGGCGCTGTAGGGATAGGCTATGTTGTAAACAACAATAAGAACACCCTCGTGCGCAAGTTGGCAGAGCGCATCATCAACTCGGCTCCATCGGGAGGTGGTGGCACGCCTGTCGGGCCCGAGGTAGGGTACGAGGCGGGCATCGGCTCGACGACCAAGGAGATCTGGAAAGGCATCGAGAATCTTCTTCCCGACCCCAAGAGCCACAAGGTTTGGCCCATGAACCCGGCTGAGACGAGCAAGCTGCTCGCCTGGTTCCAGGGCCTCTCGCGCGTGACCAACGCGGCTGCTCGTGCCCAGGGCAAAGTTGGCGCGCCTGTGCCGCCGGCTGTGCCGCCTGACGCGCCGCCTGGGATTCCGGGACTGGACACGACACCGGGGAGCGTGTGGCGTTCTGAAGGGGCAGTGGCAGACTTTGCCTTTGAGGGCCCTCCTGGGGACTCGAGATACCTCAGACTTCGACCTGGCGATAAGCTGACCAGGGTCAAGTACGTGAGAGATGGCTGGCTGGAGGGCGAGGGACATCCCGCGCTCAAGGCCAAAGGCTGGCTGCCCGAGAACTGCGTCTCACCCAGCACAACGGGCGAAAAGGGTGTTCCCAAGGACGTCTCGTCCGGCGAAGACGGGTTATAGGACGACGTGGGGCCCTTGGGGATCAGGGAGTGGGCACTGCGCGACGTGGCTCGCAAGAGATTGGCTGGGCTCACTGGTCCGACGGCGCAGCCTGGTGAGATGTTGAAGAGGGCCATGCGGGACGAGGACAACCGGGCCATGGACCACTAGACTGTCCTCAACCGGCAGGAGTTCTATGAGGAGTTGCTCAGGAACCCTTCCAAGGCACCTGGCAGCGAGTATACGCGGATTGTGGCGTGAAAGCAGGTTCAGATCCTTGAGGAGGTCGCAAAGATCATCAAGGAGTTTGACAACGCCAACAAAGCACCGCCGCCGCCGCCGCCGCCGCCGCCGCATGCTCCTCCTCGGTCAGGCCCGCCTAAAAAGCCCCAGAAGCCGGAGCCCAAACCAAAGAAGAAGAAGAAGTGTCGACCTCGGTGGATAAAGTGTTCGAAAATCTTGCCTGCATGTAGATTGATGCCACCACCATGTCCTAAGTCTTCCAAAGGCGGTCGTGGTAGTGGTGGGGGATAAAGGAGAAGTGGGCAGTTCTATAGCGAAAGGACAGACGCGACGGATAAGAGAATGTGATTCAAGTCAAATAGTAGAGTCTATCTAGGGCTTTTCAAGAAGCTATCCATGTCTTGCGTGGTTGTCACTTGAAGCAATAAACATAACCTTCGGGGGTTTTTAATCAATACTGTACATATGTATTTGAACCGGGGTTGTGGAAAGCGAAAACATTCAAGTGTTAAGCCACTTCTTAAATTATAAACTTACTCAACTAGCAGGCATTCAATATTATAGCAAAGATGTATCCGTTTTTACAAAGAAATGAAACCAGTGTTCATTCCAGCCAAATCAATCCAGCTCACAGCTATCCCCTTTTAACAATGTTCTTATTTCTCAAGCCTACTATCTCCGGCGCACCGAGTCTTGCCTTACTCTACCAGCGAGCCGCGAAGAAACGATCTCGTTACGTTTCTCACCGCAGGAACAGACTTTCTACGATCAAGCCTTGAATCGTGGTCGGGTCCAGATCGACGAGATGGTCAGCACTGGACAGTCCACTCGCTGTACGGAGCTGTTCACAATACTGTTGCGACTGCGCATGATCTGTAACTCCGGCACATTCCAAAGCCGTAGCACAGCATCAAGTGCCGGTCTGATTTGTCCATCACAGTTTGGAGCACTCGATGGCATCATTCACCAGTGCGATCGGTGCGCCAGAAGTGACCAAGACAGCGCCATGCTTCTGTCTCAGCTGGAAGTGTGCCCGGATTGCGGGCGACCACTACAAGACAGGTCTCCAAGCCCTCTGCCCACAGCAGCTTCTGAGCGCGGCGTTCTGTATGCGATTCTGCCCATGACTCCGGGCTGTGCAGAGCGCTCAGCCCAAGACGGGCAGTCCACGAAGCTGGATGCAGTCTTGAGAAACATCGTCTCAACGAAGACCACGAAGGACAAGGCGTACGTATGCCCCAAAACCTTCCCGATGACATGCAAATTTGTTGCTGACCCATCCTCGGACCCTCTGGTATTCAGTATCGTTTTCTCTTATTGGAAGTCAACCCTCAATCTGCTGGCCCACGTGCTCAGCAGCCACTCTGTCTCTTACTGCCAGGTCGACGGGGATACCAGCTACGCAGATCGTTCCACCCGACTGCAAATGTTTAAAGAGAACGATTCGTTACAAGTCCTTCTCTTGACCATGGAGACCGGCGCCGTAGGGTGAATAATACCACCAATACTTGGAAATTTTGAGTCAACGTCTTCGAATGCTTACTAAGATGTGTTATAGATTGAACCTCACAGTGGCGAGCCGCATTCACATTGTTGAGCCGCAATGGAACCCATCAGTCGAAGAACAAGCAATTGCTCGTGCAGTACGCATGGGCCAAAAGAGGGAAGTTGTGATTTTCCGATATGTACTTCAGAACACTGTCGAACAGGTGAGCATCTAGTCATGCTGCATGATTATTGATCTAAAATTCGTGATCTTGCTGATTTTTGCAGAACGTTGTGAAGCTACAGCAAGAAAAGAGGAAACTGGCCAAGTTCACACTTGGTATGGGAGCAGATGCGAACATTTCAGGCACTGTAGAGGTAAGATTCCTCCAACATTCAGGCATTTGCACGCCATTAGAGAAATTTTATTGGATGTCATACTAAGCGGACGTAATAGGAGCTGGAGACTGTTCTGGACATGTACCCTCGAAAGAGAGGAATAGATGAAGTTGCCCGGTAGATCTCGTTCCAGTAATCCTTACTTTTCGCCTTCTAGCTACGCACACTTCTGGTAATTAACCTACGTATCTCTATTCAAATTATTTTCTGTTCAAATCATTGGATCTAGATGTCGGAACTTTACGATATAACCGTGTTTGAACTCGTTAAAAACTCAGAAGCCGGCACGTGCAATAAGCAATGCAATGATTATTCCGATAACGTTCAAATAAAGTGAGAAGTTGATGTCAAGGAAGGCAGTGCCAACCAGAAATCTTTGGAATAAGAAGCTATTCTTACAGTCTAATATAAGTACTTATTGGTAGTACAAACTATTACTAACTTGAAAGGTTAGTTGAAATCAATAGCCGAACATTAACTGAAGTCGACTTTACGTAGCCTTAATTTGACCATGAATAAGTTGGAGTGTGTCGTGAATGGCGGGCTGTGGGAAGTGTTTCATGATGCCATCACCACTCAAGTTTCCATACTTTGGAACCCCACAAGGGCATATTGAGACTTATTAGACAAGTTTTTGTTTAGATTGCACCTTCCAATGACATTGATTGTGGGGCAGGGTTCACTGAATCATCAGCACGCGCCTTTCTTTGTTGCTCAACATTTTTACCACGCGTGCACTTCTCCTTCCGTCTCTCGCAACCACACCCAGCGCCATTCAACCTCAATTCAGCAACGTCATCATCCCTTCCACTTGCCTCTTCCTCACTAGATCCAGCAGGCAGAACGTACCTTGTCCATCATGGACGCCACCAGCACGCGCGAGACTTCACAGTCTCACGTCAACAGCACCGATGCAGACACGCCTGGCAACATCAGCGTCAAGTGTGCTAATTGCTCCTCCGATGCTGTGGCTTCCAGTAACTGTACTTCTCCTACCTTCGTAGTCAATGGAGGCAACGTCACCATCAACATCTATCACAGTCCCAGCGCGACCACAGCCGAGACAGTCGACGGTGACCTGTTGCAGGCTGTAGCAGCAGTAGGGGCCTGCGAGGGCAACGACAGCCGTTTGGAGCATCGTCAACAGTCACATGAGAATATCGAGGATTTCGAGCCCGAGCTGGATGACACTGGTCGTCTTCCTCAGGTCGTCGTCGACAACACCAAGGGACCTGTCCAAGCCCAAACCTCCTCAGACTGTCCCAGAGACTTGGAGGATAACAACATGGAGACACAGAGGCTCAGTTCCCTTTCTGTTATCACCGAGTCTAATTTGAAATTGCGTCTCCGCAGATGTCACCTGTGCAAGTCAGACTTCAACGACAAGAGCAACGTAGCCCGTCCTGACGGCTCCGCCCCTTGTTCCTACCATTCTGGTACGCCACCGCCCCATTCATGCCAAATCAGACCAACTCGTCTGTGATCTGAGACTAATAGTAGTTGTTTGCATTAGGTACTCTCAATCGTGGCATCGGCGGCCTCGAGTGGACCTGCTGTGGTGAGCGCCCGATCACGGTCGACGGCCGCTCTGCCTTGAATATCTGCTCGCCAGGCTGCGTGGGAGTGTATCACCAGGATAAGAACGAAGCTTGGGACCCCAAAACCTTGACCAAGTACGAGCCGAGACGTTTCTGAATAAGTCGCTATGACCTTTCAGGTCGGATACCAGCATCAATACCGCTTCCCCACTCCATACGAGTACAAAAAGCAACCTTTCGAACCGAGATACAGCAGTCAGTCTGGGACTGGAAAGGGGGAGCTTTGCTTGATATTATTTTGAGCGTCGCCAACACAAATTTCTAGGTCGACTGTACAGTATGCTTCATAATACATGGAAAGAAGATCCTCCTTAGAAGTTGTCTGTATGTTTGATAAATGCAAGCTTGTGCCCCCTGGCCTCTCCGCCAATCTCGACCCACCTCCTCAAATGTGTCGACCAACCACCCAGACCAGTCAACGAAAGGAGAAAAGCTAGTTATATACTCTGTCCGATTAGGAGACGGGATGGTGTTAATATGGTGGTTCGTGTAAATAAATTTACGAGGGCACTTGAGCATGTTATAAAGGCCAGCTTTGACCATGCCCCATGCACGGAATACACCACTTACTAAGTGATGGTCAATACTGCCGCGTGCCTGGGTGATACGTATATTTTCCTGTGGGCTTCCATCTGACATTCAAAAGCAAAGCCATACGTTAAATGGAATCTTTCTTTTTCCGTGTCCCCTTTCTCATTCTGCAGCGACGCCAGCCACGCAGGCAACGTGGACAGGTCAACTTTGACTTTGAGAGATCATCTAATCTATGCACCCTAACGCCACACACGAAACCTTACCTTTCTCTTTATTTCTTTTTCCAAATTTTTGCAACCCAGTTTTTTCTCGCACGCGCGCTTCCAGAAAATTGCAGCTCCGACAACCAGCTCCATCAACCATTTTCGTCTCTTTTGCACGACCGTCAGCAAATTTGACAAAACCAGCTCAAACCTGCTAGAACTCAAGCGATACCATCGGGTGGTTCCTACTGTTCCTCGCCACCCCCCTCTTTCGTGTTTTCCTCTTCTCCGAGCTGGTGTTTTGTTCCCAATGGCACCACACTCAACCTGACAAGTCCAAGTCTGACCATAGAGAGCAACGCAGGCCTGTGTTAGGATCCTGTCTCTACACCCTTCTGAAGGTCCAGAGGTGTTTTTTAAAGTCAAGTGCGAGAGTCTCCGTCTTTCCTACTTTCCCCCGTTCCCATTGTCCCCTTCATCTGAACTTGATGTGAGCTTCAAACAAACAAGCATACGGTGCCTCAACCTTCCTTTTCACATACAGTTTGAGATGCCTTCAACACCTCCACGCCCAACCCCAAACGAACACAATAACTAACACCTTCCCATCCCAGGAACTCTCCTGACCATACCCGAGAAAATGGCCTTTTTCACAACGTCAAGCACCCAGGCAGGCTCTTTCCCAGCGGGAATCGCAACCATGCCCATGTCTGCCCTCAGAAAGGTCACCCTAGAGCACGTTCGCAGCCTCAGCGGGGCCAAAGCCAGAGATGTCCTGGCCACGCTGGTTGTCAACATCAACGCGACCAGAACCACCGTCACAAACAGTCTCATGGACGCACTGAAAAACCCGCTGCCAATCGGAAACCTGGACCATACATCTCTGCGCTACGAATCAACGGAGCTTGGCTTCCCAGACGCAATTGAAAAGTTGGGATGGACTCAGCCTGGCGAGGTGTCGATGGATGTCGTTGGGGTGGGAGATGGTGGTGGTCTCGCGGACCAGGGGTCGGATGCTGAGCGCGACAGTGAAAGGGGCAGCTCTGAGGCCGAGTTAGAGAAGAGCGATTCTGGACTTGCCATCAGACAAGAGAAGCGAAAGAAGGCTGTCAAGAAGTCACGATCTGCTCTTGATGGCGGGGAAAGCGAGAGCGACGACGCTATTCTGACAACAAGGACGGCCAAGAAACCAGACAGGAGCGGTCCACGAGAGGTCGACACTCGCAAGCCAAAAAAGTCGAAAGGAAAACATAACGAGGACGACGTCCAGCAGACGAAGAAGAAGAAGAAGGCAAAGAGAGGCAAGAGCAAGAAGGCAAAACAGAAAGCGAAGGTCGACAATGCTACGGCTATCGATGCAGTGAAACTTGGAAATGCTCCAACCAAGACCTACAGCGAACCCAAAGGAAAAGAAACGGCGCCACTAGGCGATCCCTCGTCTAGTTGTGGCCACGAGAAGGGTGTGAGCTCAACAGGTGGAAGATCGGCTAACGAACTGGCTTTCATGAGAGCTGGCGAGTCTAGCCAAGACGCGGCAGCTTACCCTTTTCCGAACGGCTCCTTCAACAACCAGTCAGGAGGATCACGCAAGCATGGCAGAAATGACAGTCAGGACGACACACCAATGAGGCCTGATAAAAAGGGAAGGCTTGCGGACGTCCAACAGACTGGTTGCCTACAACAGGCTCCTCCTGCGAGCTTCCAGAACCCAGAAATGCAACTGCCTTTGCGGTCAAGATCCCATGGCGCCACTCCTAGTTTTCTTCGGCCTATTCCGTCCAGCACGCGGCGTGGGTCGCAACGCATTCTGAAATTGAACCTCAAAAAAGACGCCAGCGCCAAGGAAACTAGTCCAGCGATCAAGATCGAGGAGGAAGACGATGACAATGATGTCCAGATGTTCTTGGAGCCCATCACTCCTTTCAAAGCGACCCAGTCCTGCACCAGCCCAGAGCAGTCTTTCCGTGGTAGACAGAGGGCCGGTCTGGAGAATGACGTGGCATTCGTCAGCCCTGCTCGACTGCCTTACCTCGCCACGCCCTCGAAGAATGCCGGCAGCCTACCGCAGACGCCTATGGCCAATTCTCACACTCCTCGCGCACAGCAGCCAGCCAGCAGGATATCCCATCAGAAGAACAGTTCCATTAAGCAACCTAACGAGATCACGACGGGAGAACGCGAGTTCCGGTGCAAACACTGCTCTGTGTGGTATAGAGAAAGCCAAAACACGGCAGGACTGTGCAGGAGCTGGCACACGGGTACGTTTCCATCATCGAACTGTTATAAAATCACAATGATTCTCAACAACTTGATCACACGCGTACTGACCGTTTCTCTTTCCAGGAGAGGTTTATGAGGATCCAACCTTGCCTAAGGAACCGGGCCGGTGGAAATGCTGTGGGAGGCGGGCCGTCTACAAGAACGGCATTCCGCATCGTCATATGAGAGGGTGCACTTTTCCACGCCATGTGTGGGATTCCACTGCTCCGAGATACTCAACGACCCAGCTGAAATGATTGCCGCTCGTATAGCACACGGGCGAGTCCAGATCATTACCGATATTCAGCTCGATGATGCTCCAAAGTGCAGAGAGGGAGAGTCGACTTTGATTTCTTACACGCGCAAATCTTGCAATACTTGGCTTCAATAGCTAGCGGTGGTCCAATATCGCCCTCTCCATTCGGCCTCTGCATAAACCGCAGGGGCAACCTCTCAGCTTCAAAGGAGAGCTCCAGACGCATACGGCACGGAGCTGGAATAGGGAGGGAGGTGTGTGGAAGTAGTGTGTTTGAAGAAGAAAGGATAACCACAAGTGAATAGATTTCCATTCAGAGGTATTTTCCCACTGCGAACTTTCGAGGGAGCGCGCACTCAATTCCTTGAAGAAACCAGTCACGCCACGGAACGATCGTCTCACCGCTCGGTCCCGAGAAATAAACAATGCCCCGTTGCACTACATTGAATACCACGGCCTTTTCAATGCATATCCCCCGTAACCTTGTAAGGCAGTAGTTGCAAACTTTGCTATCTTTTTCGGTTCTTTTTTTGGTCCTATAAATTAATCACTTAGGGTACTCGGTGAAAGTAGCCCAGGAGTAAGATGGTCCCCATGTCAGCCCGGACCGATCCGGACTTTTCGGTGATGCCGCATCGGACTTCCCCATCCACATACATAAGCTCAGCCCAACACCACCTTGGGTCCGACACTTGGCGACCACAAGCAAGACCATGCTTTTGCTTGAAATCTTCTTCTAGTCCTCGTTACACATTGGTTGGCTACTAATTAAGCCTGCGTGTGTTTGGGTTTGTTTTTTTTTAAACCAAAATAAAACTAAAAGAACTGTCATCCTATATTACCCCGAAATGAACGCCTCCCGCATCTTCACGCGCGTCTCGCGACAGACGACGCCCTTATTCTTCTTCACATCTGCCACAGCACATTTCTCTACCTCATCAAGAACAGCAGCACACAGGATGTCGACCGCCCAGGAACTCCTCCACACCCACGGCCTAAATATCTTCAAGGGCCTCGCCGTCGCCGGCGCAGGGGGCGCGCTCCTCTCGAGACTCCTGGTAGGCTCAGCAGACGCAGAGGCGCCGCCGGGTGGTGCTGCCTCCAAAAAGGTGTTTGGGCGCGCTGGGCCAGCGTTTGTGAGCCTGGCGTTGCAGGAGAGCGAGGATGTGAACCACAATACGAAGAGGTTGCGGTTTGGGTTGCCTGGGGAGGGGGACGTGAGTGGGCTGCCGTTGACTTGTGAGTTCAGCTCGTCATGTGCATGAAGCAAGGTAGAAGAGCCATCTTAGGATGGAACGGCTATTGACAGCTATTGCAGCCGCGCTGCTTACAGTGGCAGTGCCCAAGGGCCACTATCTGCCCGTACTAAGACCCTACACGCCCATCTCGCCCAGCGATCAAGCTGGCGTGGTAGAGTTCATGGTGAAGCGCTATCCAAACGGCAAGCAGTCGACACACCTACACTCGCTGTCCCCAGGCGACAAGGTCCTGTTCGCAGTCGTGATCCCAGGGTACAAGTGGACGCCGAACAAGCACGACTCCATCACGCTGATTGCGGGCGGGGCTGGGATCACGCCGTGCTACCAGCTCATCCAGGGGATCCTGCAGGACCCGGCGGACAAGACCAAGATTCGACTTGTGTTTGGCGTGAATGCCGAGGAGGATGTTCTGCTGAGGAGAGAGTTTGAAGACCTCGAGAGCAGGTTTGGGAAGGACAGGTTTAGGGCTGTGTATGCGGTTTCGAGGGGAGGTGAGAAGCTGGCTGGCGGTGATGAACGGTTCAGAAAGGGATATGTCACCGAGGCGCTGCTGAGGGAGGTTGCTGTGCCAGCGTCGGAGGAGAATACGAAGGTGATGGTGTGCGGGCCGCCGGGAATGGAAGAGGCGTTGCTTGGGAAGAAAGGCTGGGGAGGGCGGCAGGAGGGGATCTTGGCCAAGTTGGGCTATCGGAAAGACCAGATCCATCAGTTCTAGAGATCCATGGCCGATGAACTGCGCTGTATTTGGGGTATCCTTGGACAAAGAAGATGAGGTGCCTGAATCTGTACAAATAGAAGACTACACAATCAAACGAACGCACCTGACAGCGCATTCACGTCTTCCACTCCGCCCTCCTCTTTTCCCTCCAAGCCGTAATGCCCTCCTTAGCATCCTCGCTCCTCGCATGCAACGCCATAGCCCTCCCAGCCCACCTGACAGCATCCTCATACCCATCGGCACCGCCACCTTCGCCATGTCCGCCGCGCATCCCAAGCTGCGTCCAGAACGCCCACTTGCCCAGCGCCTGCGCCTGACCAGACGTCTCCACCAGTCTCCCCACTACAGATGCCACCCTCTCCTCAAACGCCTTCGCCCTGGTATCCGTGCTCTCCGCATGCTCCGGCACAGGCACAACATCCAGCACGCCCGCCCCCAGCTCCGCAGCCGTAACCGACTCAGCAGTGGCAAACATCCGATACGCCAGACCCGGCGATACACGCCTCGACACCGCAACGGCAGGGCTCGTGCAGGGTAGGCCAATGCCCATGCCCGGCAGCTGGAACTTGGTGTCGCCCAGCGCAATGGGGAGGTCGGCAGTCATGGCCAGCTGAAACCCTGCCGCGGTGGCCAGTCCCTGGACCGGGGCTACGACGACCGCGGGCGAGCGTCGGATGAGGGACATGACCTCTGCGCAGAGTGCAAAGGTCTCGTGCACCTCGTCTCGGGAGAGGCTCGACAGCTCGGCCAGGTCGTGGCCCGACGAGAAGACAGGGCCTTCGCTGCGGAGGACGAGGACCCGTGGCTGGTCTGCACGTCTGCGTCGCCATGTTGGGGCGTGGGTGAGCCATGCATGGAGATCGTCTGACTTGCTGCCACCCTCAGCAGCAGCCTCGAGGGTGTCGATGAGATCTGGCTGAAAGGGTGGGAGGAGCACCGGTTCGCCCGTCACAGGGCATTTGAGGTGAAAGTGGAGCTGCCTGCGAAGGTCGCGGAGGACGGCGAGGGAGAGGGCATTCCGCTTGTGAGGATTGGAGAGGTTGATATAGGCTGCCCTGGCAGGAAGTCTTGGGAAGGCCATCGTGTTGTGACTTGAATTCGACCTTATCTTGCCTTTCCAGGCCCGCTGGAATTGATCTTGCCTAGGAGGAAAAAAAAAAGAGGAGGACATGAGTGTGCGAGGGAAGGAATGAGAGGAAACAAAGTGTTAGTAGTAGTAGTATGTTACAGTATGCACTGTGTGGCCCGTGCATTATTTCGGGGTTACAGCACTATGGTACCTTAGCGTCAGGGCTCCTTCCTCACAGGCTTCATCCTCCCATGGAACAATGCTGCTCGCCTCCTGCCTCAAGTAAATAGAGCAGTTCCTAGGAAGCAGCAATTACGCATTACGCATAAATTCCAATGATCACAGGATTTGACTGCTCATACACTCTCGAACCAATGGATACGATTCCTCATCTCTATTCCTTCCCAAAAATATGCTCAAGAGCACATGTGTGCTCTGCGTAAGGTGCAACACGACGAGGCCACACTAAAAAGCAAGAGAAGGTCTAAAATGAGCCTCATGACACAAGGTAGCTTCGAGGACAGCAGCCACAGGTGACCGGTCTGGGAAGTAGATTTTCCAGATCACTTGAGTTTTTATCATGTTGAAAACCAACTTATATTGATGGTGTAGATCGATCCTCCACAGAGATAATTACCACAAGGACCTTGCAAGTCCAACCCCAGCCATACATCACTATTCATCTCGTCATTAACCGCTTGGCTCCACGGCTATAGCTGTTGTATCAGGCTGATAAAGATGGCCCCAGTTCATAACATCCAACTCATCCCACAGGAACGTGTCAAAACTCCAAGTAGACATGACATACTCATTCGCCTCATCCGGCCCCGGCAGCCTATTTGGCACTGCTGTGTCGTGTCCGGCCTGCATGAACGGGGCAGGGTGGGCAAAAGACTCATCACCTCCAGAATGTGAGCTTTCCACGGTGGGATGGCCAGAGATGGTCGAATACCCGGGAGTCTGCAACGGATTCGTTCCCGCCAGGGCCGGGCCTGGAGGATGTTGTTCTGGGTTGAGACCCGAATCCTCCACTCTTCCCAAGATCCGCCGGGCGACGTCGACGCTGTTTTGCACGATGCCGAGCTGCGGCGACAGCTCAGCCTCCCTAAAGTGGCGACCCGTGTTGCTGTCCTCGGCATGCCGCACGAGCAGCTCGAGAAGCCCTGCCGCGCTGCCGCCTTCATCCCATTCATCCCACGAGAGACTTCGCAAAACGGAACATATCTGCAGCACCTCTTGAATGACTGTCGTCTTCACGTCTGCAGAGACTAGCTTTGTGTCGAGGTTGTCCACAGCGATGGTGTTGACAAGACATAGCGCTGCCGCAACGACATCGCGCAATTGATGCTTGGGATACAGCTCCATGGCCTCACTGACTTCTCTTGTCGCATGGCTTTGGATTTCAATTCGTCCCGACGTGTTATTTGACAACGTGACGACGAGGTCGACGATTCGCGAGGCAGCCTCAAAGCTCTGGTATCGCGCTGTTCGCAGGTCCGCGGCCTGCAGTTTGGCCTCGCGCTGGATATTACTCGACACGGCAGTGGTGCAGAGATGTAGGCCCGTTGCTGCAAATCCCATACTGAGCCACAGCGAGATATTTGCCGGCCAACTTCGCTTTATTTCGTCGAGTTCCATAACCAACAGGTTTATCAGGGAATGATGCGGCTTGCCAGAGCTAGAGCCCTCGATGATCGTGGTCGCCCTGATCCAGAACTCTTGGAGCTCAGCCAGCCTCAAAAAATCCTGCGGTACGTGGCCTTCGAGACTCTGCCTAATGGACAGCGCACGGTTGGCAACCATACTCATGGGCGGCGGTAGACCAAACGTCGCAGCCAGACTGTGAAGGATGAAGCACCACATGTCAGCAAGGACTGCTTCAGATCTGATCTCAGGATCGACTCCTGATCACATAAGGGCCACACTTACGACGTGCTGACGACAAAACAGCCCAGCCAGGTCTTTTTGCGCAGGACGGCATCCCCCGTCCAACCTTTTGGGACGTCAAATTTGGCATGTGGACCGGATCGAGGTAGATCTGCCCGACCTAAACAAATCTGTATCGCAGCCGAGACGGCAATATTGCAATACGTCCAGGATACGTCTTGTGTCTGCCGCTGGACAGGGAATGGCCAGAAAGAAAGGATCAACAAGCCCTGGATGGCGTGTATCGACCGTATCGAGGTGACGATCTGGGCCATCAAGAGGCGCTTAACCGGCTCGAGGAGCTTCTCGAACAGAGGATTGCGAGATCCACGCGCGGCAGTCAATATCACGGCCCAAAAGAGAAGGGGGCTGTCCTCAAAGACAAGATCGATGCTCCTCCGCACATGCAGGATAGGGAGCTGCTCGAAATGATGGTCCAAAAAGCTGTCATGGCCCTCGCGTGGTCAGCAGACTGTGGTCCCTATCCGCGGGAGGATCATCGGCGCGGCAGTACACCCACTGAGGTTACAGGACGTACTATTGAAAAAGCCCTTCTGCTGAATGTCGATCGACATAGACGCCGTGAAGATGGAATGTCGACACGCTGTCCATGACCGTCGCGTTCGAATTCGGCGTCAGTGCCATCGAGGGCCGCAAGGGCGATGCGCCGGGCAGGCTGGAACTTTCTGGACGGGGCAATATGTTTTGAGGAGTGCTTGTCATGCTGATTCTGTATTGCGGAGACTCGGAGCTGAGGCCACGGCTGCGTTGCTCGGAGGGGACCACCAGAGCACCGTCCATCGCACTCTCGCCGCGAAGAGAGTGCACGAGATGTTGCAACTCCTCCTTCTCCTGTGTGACTTTTTCCAAGGCCCTAACAAACCAATGTTAGACAAAAAACACCATCAATTGGGTCTCCTTGCACGTGCGGTTTGGTTGGGCGGTGTCTGGAACCCCGACGTACCCTCGGACGACACTTCTCTTGAAACCGGGGTCACACAGACATGGTCTCTTCATCCTCTCGCACCTCGTACACGGATTTGGGGACCGTTTGAGAGCATCACACTTGAGCTACATTGGCGCTCGAGGTCATGTTAGACTGATTTGTTCAACTATCGTCCTCCTCTTCCTTCTTCTTTCTGTTGCTCGCGCGAGACACCACGCACCTTCACCTGACGGCATGTCGTACATGCCATTGACGACCGCTTGACGACGCCTGATCGCTTCGGAACTCGGTCTGTGGGGGATGCAGACATTGTTGAAACAAGAATGCTTCTCCTTCTCCTGTCTTTGTCTCTCTCTTTCTTGATGACACTTCTTCAGGCTTGAGAGGTGACGTGACATCAACAGCAAGTTGCGGCGCCGTGTCAGGTGTTGCACGTGTGTACATATATTCCGAGGTTGTCTTCTTCTCGGGCCTCTTCTTTCACACGACGATTGATGACGGCGCAGCTTAGCTATATCCCTGACACGCATCCCCAAAGGAACAACAAGGCTTGCAGGAGGCTTAGACCATTTAGTGCTTATTCCCGAGGGGTGGGAAGCGCTCAATACGCAAAAAAACGAGAACCAGAAGAACGCCAGAGGAATGTCTCGGCATTCGTTTGCGCCTGGGCGGGTCGGCAGATCTCAACCGTAAAGAGTCTCGCAGGAAGTGCATCCCAGAACAAGCCCTTAGGAGGGACATGACTTTGTCAGCATGTCATGTTTGATGTACAAAGCATCAACACAGGGAGGGAGACGGAGAAGGAGAACCATACCAAGAGAGACAGATCAGTCACTATGTACTGCGGCACAGCCAGGGGGAGGGTGGGTCGGTTATGCCGGGATCATACCAGTTCCTGAAGCGAAATTCGCTTAGGACCTCAAGGCATTTTCACAAGCGTAAGTTGAGCAATGAGGAGATGGATATGTGTTGTTTGAAGACCAAGAATTCTTTGCACAAATCATACTCATCCCTTTAAGACTATCTTTAGACAAGCAGAGCCACACGCTCGCAGCTCGGCCCAAGGAAGCCTGCAGAGATCATGGCATTCTGGGCCAGGACTTAGCAGGGCGTGGCAGGTAGCCGACGTTTTGGTCTCCTTGCTTTGATCCTTGCAGGTTAAAACGACCTGTTTTCCTCGTCCAAGAAACTCGTCACTGATGTGACTTGAGTGGTGAATACCGACCCAGGACACGGTAATTATACCACGAAACATGAGACTATTGCGACGAACCAGCCAGTGAACAAGAGTCTACTAAAGTCAAACAATGACGGGAGTGCTTGGTTTGTTGGCCATGAACGTGGACAATTCTTGGCCAAAGGGTAAGTATGCATGCAGAAAGTCATGGAACAATTCATAGTCAACGTTCGGCAAACTCTTGATTTCAAGTCTATAAACAGTATCGACCTGCTCTAAAAGATATCCGTCACGAACCTCTCATTCTTCATCCCCCTCACAAAGGTATTGACCTGCTCCTCAGTAACCTCTTTCCCCTCCGCCTTGGCCGCCTCCAGAAACAACTTCCTCGCCACAGACCCAACACCCTGCGCGAGCTCCTTACTGCCGCAGATATAAAACCTGGCCCCGCGCTCCCACAGCCTCCCGACATCCTCATGGTCCCTGAGCATGCGATCCTGCACATACCTGCAGCCGTCCTCGGCGCGAGGCACCGCCCTGCTAAACACCCACCGCACGTCCACCGCACCCAGCCTCGCCCACTCGGCAAACTCGTCCGCGTACAGCTGGTCCTTGCCCTCGCGCCGGCAGCCCGCAAACAGGACCGCCGGCGCCAGCGTCTTGCCGCCCTCGCGGACCAGCGTCGCCCGCTCCTGCACGAACCCTCGGAACGGCGCCACCCCGCTGCCGTTGGCGAGCATCACGATGGGCGTCTGCTCCTGGTCCACAGGCAGGCGGAAGTACTTGTTTGTGCTGCGCACCGAGACCAGCACGCGGTCGCCCGCCGCCAGGGACCGCATGTAGCTGCCTGCCACGCCCAGGAACCGCTGCCGGACCTCCTCCTGGCTTGAGGCAGGGGCCTGGATGGGGGGCTGGTACCAGGCGGGCGCGTCCAGGACGCTGTAGGTCAGCGTGACGGAGTGTGGCGAGGCGAGTGGGGAGGAGGAGATGGAGTAGTGCCGCGTGCGCATGGGAGGGAGGAGGGCGAGGTAGGTGCTAAAGGGGAGAGGGAGCGCCGTCTTGTGCTGTGTGAGGAGGTCGAGAATCGTGATGCGCTTTTGGATGATCTCGGAAGCGAAGACAGTCGTGTCGAGGTACGAGGTCAGGGTCTTTCTGACGCCGTTGTCCTCACTAGTGTCGTCAGCGCTGCAGACGGGCAACAGGACCTTGATGTCCTGCTTTGTTGCTGGCTGAGAGATTTCGACATAGCCCTGAAGGAGGTCGAAGATGCCTACCGGCGTTCCCGTAGGGAGGGTCGTTGCGGTCCCGGCCTTGATGGTGATTACTCCATCCCACGGCAGGTTGAAGTGGTTTATCACCCTCCTGACATACTCCTTTGGGTTCAGGGGCAGCACAGCGAGGTAGTCACCGGCGCTATAGGTCACGTTGGAAGGGAGCTCGATCTCGATGTGGCGCTTCTCGGGCTCCCCTGGCGCCGTCAAGACCTTGGTGCTCATGACATTGGCCCACTGGACGTTCTGCTGGAGGTGTGCCGCTCTCTCCTGCGTGGTGAGCTCGACCTCCAGCATGGGCACTGCTGCCGCGCTGCCGTTCGAAGCCGAGCCATCATCTCCTGGTGATGACGAGCCGAGATGGGCACCAAGTGCCGGCCACAGGTGACCGTTCGTCCACGCCTCGAAATCGCCAAAGGTATCCTGCTTACTGACGTCCGAGCACCCACGCTCTGCGATCCTCTCCGCCCCAGCCTTCACGAGCAGCTCGTCGAGCAGCTTAGGGATGCGCTGGTACGTCGACACCCAATCGCTGTGGCCGCATCCAAAACAAGCAAATCGTGCGCCCTCGAGCGGCATTGTCGTCCTGTCCTTGTTCTCGTCCAAGCTCTCTACCCACGCCACGAACCGCGCGGCGTCATCGGTAGGGAGACCTTCGTACGAGGCTGTGATGATCACTGTGGGCTTCCTCTTGGGCACCCGGCCCATCACCTGGTCTAGTGTCTTGACTTCGGCCTTGAAGCCTCTCTGTGCACACTGTGCAGCCAGTTTCTGTGCCAGGGCCTGACACGTTCCGGTATTTGAGCCATACAGGATGGACAGCTCGTGGCTCGAATCGACGGTTTCCTCCGCCTCCTCCTTCTTCTTTGCAGCGGCAGCAGCAGTACCAGTCCCATTCTGTCCACTTCCTCTATAGGCGGCTTCATCGTGGTCGCCCGCCAGTCTCTGCATCAACACCGTCGGCGTAATGCCTTCCCTGAGGTTCGCCCTCATAAAGAAATCCTTGGGCTTGATGGTGAGGTTCTGCATAATCTTCATCTCATAATTGGGATCGTCCAGTGTCATGTCGAAGTTCTGCAGGATCAGCGCAACAGCCAGGACCGCCTCCTGCCACGCAAACGCGCGCCCAATGCACGCCCTCATGCCCGTGCCAAAGGGCTTCCACGCGTTCTTGGGCAGCTTCTCAAAGTTCTCGTCCAGCATCCGCTCCGGGCGGAACTCGTCGGCATCGTCCCCCCAGACCTTGGGGTCCTTGTGGATCTTGCCCAGCAGGCAGATGATCGGCTTGCCGCGGGGGATGGCGTACTTCTTGGTGCTCTCCGGGTTCTTGGCGCCAATGTACACGGTCTCCTCGTGGTTCTCGGGCCGGACGGCGCGGCTGAAGGCCGGTGCTGTGGGCGTGAGCCGCAGCGTCTCCCTCAGGACGGCGTTGATGTACTTGAGCTCGTTGACGTGTTTGGGCTCGATGCGGACACTGCCCACGACACGGTCTACTTCTGCCTGTGCGGTGAGGTAGGCCTTGGGGTTCTTGAGGAGCTGCAGGAAGGCGAACGACAGAAGTCCCGAGGTCGTCTCGTGGCCTTTGTGGGAGAGGGTAAGGACGAATTTTGTCAGTTTTATGTGAAGAGGAACCAAAGGAGGTGAGGACAACAAGGAAGACGACGATGATCACAGAACTTTCTCTCTCTCTCCTACTCACCTGCGACCAAGAATGTCTGCATATTCGCAGCAATAAGCTCATCCCTCATCGTCTTCCCCGTCCTGGGGTCCTTTCCGAAAATCAACGAGTTCAGCAGGTCCTTCTTGTCCGTCGGGTGCTCTCGCCTGTGCTGCACCAGCGCCCGCGACGTCTTCTCCATCAGCTCCGCGCTCTGCTTGACCTGCTCGTTGTACGACGGCATCAGCCTCGACAGCAGCCCGGCCAGCTGCCCGGAGCTGTTCGCCGCGCCCAGGCTGACGTTCATGGCCTTGATGAACGGGTGCATCTCGTCCTGGTAGAACGAGTTGAAGCGAAAGTCCATGGCGCAGAGCGCGATCGAGTCGAGCGTCAGGCGCGAGAAGTCCTCCGAGGCCGGGATCCTGTGCTGCGGGCCTTGTCGTGCCCACTTTAGGACGAGCTGGCTTGCTATGTCGTGCATTTCTGTGTAGAAACAAAAGGGCGGACAGGATTTCTCCATGTTAGAAAGAAGAACATCGCAAGGTCTGTTTTTTTTTTTTTTTTTCTGGATCGTCCTGCATTTCTATGCTGGCTAGGAAAACCTCCCTTCCCACTCACTCACCTGGGAACATATCCGCAATAGCCAGAGGTCCAAAGGCCGGCATCAGAATTCGATGCGCCTGGCCCCAGTCTTCCTCTTTCTCACTGAGCCTGTTCACGATATATCCGTCAGCAAAAAATAAATGCCATTACGTCTTCATAAGAGTGGGAAGAGAAACTTTGGTAAGAGTGTATCAAAAAGACATACGAGGTAAACAACCCTTGCGCCTTGTCCCCCTCACTCAGTCTAGCCAACTTGCCACCGACGAGTTTATAGAATCGCGTCTCGTCGCACAGCTCGTCAAACAGCTCGAAGCCGCTTACGACGATGATGTCCCTCGTGGGCATGCGTAGCTTGAAGATGGGGCCGTGGATGTCTGCTATGCGCTCGATTGCGCGGATGGGGACTTCATCTTGGAGGTCGAGAATGTTGCCGAGGAAAGGAAGGCCCTTTGGGCCCGAGATCTCTGTGGCCACGGCCATAATCACTTTATCTTGTGTAAATTGCTTGGACTGGGTGTTATTGGCGGTAGGAGTTGAGTGAGAAGTTTTGTAGGTTGCGACGGTTCAGATTGGGTATTTGGGACTTTTCTGTCCAGGCTGCGTGTTGGAATTGGATAGCGATGAAGTGCTTTATGATGAGACACAAGAAAACAAGTAGAAATTGGTGTGGTTTTTATAATGTGGAGCACATTTGTTCAAGTCGTGATCCTAGGAAGCATCCATCACGGACAGTAAATAGACACCGAGACTGCCATGGAGTTATACATTCATTTAGTAGAAGGATTCAAAATATAATTGTTACGGTGTCGTGCTCGTCCGGCTGTCTTAGTAGCATAAAATAGGCTTGGGAGGCTGTGCCCGGGTCGGTTCCATGCAGCAAGGGGGCACACTATAACGAAAGCGATAACGATGCGAGGGTGATTGGCTGTCAGATCCTCTCCCGTTTGAGCGTCAGATGCTGCCAGAACCTGGTGTTGGTCGGTCGATCTCGCATCGCTTACAACTTGAGTGCACCTTGCCCCTCGAGGGTTGTGCATACATCCTCGCCCTCGTGTCCTTCGCTTGTCTAATCTCAAAAGTGAGGACCACTCTCTTAAATCACATGAAGGGACTCCTCAGGAAGGGTTATCTCGACGGGCCTACTTAAGCACACGGATGGAGATCCTCGTGCTGCTGCATCAGCTTCTCGAATGGGTTTCTGCATTGGACCGTGAGATCCGCCGCGGAAGCTATTCGCGATCGGTTTCGGCACCGTTCCACAGCCCCGTTCCTGACGAGTCCGGTGTTCGGAAAATGGTTGAAATCCTTACCAAACATTTTGGGTGCTGACCTGCCTTTGTTCTGTGCTAAGGATCATATTGAATCCCGGTTGTCCGAGGCGCCGGTGCCGCGATTCCGTGCAGGCAAGAAGAAGAACAAGGAGTTGAGAGGTTGAACTCATGTAGATGGACGAAACTCACCACAAGTAGATGTGTCTGGTACATGATTCTTCCCGTTTGTACTTTGCGTATTCATTGCTCTTCAAGAACATCTCATGAAATAAGTGTTTGCTGGACAAGTCAGACCGGCATCAGGCCGAAATCCGTAGAACCCACAGCAAGAGTGTAAGATACATTTGACAGAGTAAGACCCACAGAAGATGACTATCTACCGTTGCTTCAACCATGGAGTGATCAACAGCCCGGCATGCTACCTCGGTACTACCAGTCATGTGAAGCATAAGCCAGTGATCCAAAGACACCAAGAAATCATGGTAGAACCAAGCCACTGAGTATTACTCCAGAGCCAAAGCCCACAACAAACGTGAAAACACCAATAGTAACGATTCAAACGTGTCAAGGTGTGAGGACAACACGTGTGTAATACATATACTCGTACGCTATCTTTCGAAGGAATGTCATGCAGTCCCCTCATCCTCTCCTTCTCCTCCCCTCTTTTCCTCTTTGTTTCCTATTGTTATTCTTCGAAAATGATCAACAGATGAAAACACCAAGTTATATATACGAAGTACTATTTGTCCGTGTCGAGGTGATATCAAGCTAGTCCTTGAAGTCATCACTTGTAGACAGTATACTTCAATTGGAGACGATTACAGAGTCAATATGAAGTATTCCTTCGTCTTTAATGAATATACCAAAGAGGGATCTCAATGGAAATGGATTCCAGCATGAGGTTTGTAGATGTCTCGATTTACTCAAGACTTGCTTCTCAGTGTATAAATATATAGCGCCTTATGCAGAATTGATAAATCTTGAATATTATTGTAATAATGTTTATTCTGAATCATAACTGTACAGACCTGAATACAACATGAAAAGCCTTTTAATACTTGCAACAGCCAAGCAAAGTCGACGACGCAAACATGCGCGTATGTAAATCATGGAACCAAAATATATATCGTGAAGAAAAACAATCCAAATGAACCGCATAATGACAAAGATTGTCCTCCACTCAATCTACGCCGCCGCCGCCGTCGCTGCCTTCCTCCTCGTCACCTTCATCCTCAGCCCAACCGGCCGAATATTAAACCACCCATCCTGCTTCCAAGTCCAGCCCTCCTCATCCACCATCTCGAAATCACACCGCCGCACCAGCACAGCCAGGACCGTCACCATGAACATCCAGGCCCAGTTCTTCCCGATACACTCGCGCCGCCCGTTGCCGAACCACTTCTTGACCCCGGCGGGGAGAGCCTCCAGCGCCTCGCGCATCATCCTCTCCGGGCGAAAGGACAGAGGGTCGTCAAACACAGACGGGTCGGTGTTGACGCCTGCGAGGACGATGATCATGGCTTGGTCGTGGGTGACGGCGTATTTGCCACCCCCGAGGAGGACGGGCGCCGTGTCGACGTCGCCTGCGGCAGTGGTCCGCGGGATGGGCTCGATGTTGAAGCCAGGCGCTGCGGCAGAGAGGCGCAGGGTCTCGCGCACGACGCCCTCGATGTAACTGAGCCGGCCCAGCTGCTCGGCGGTCATTTGAACATCTTCCTCTTCCTCTTCCTCTTCATCATCTTCTTCATCATCATCCGTATTCTCCTCTCCCCCACCAGCACCACCAACCCACGGCCCCAGCACCTCATCCACCTCCTTCCTCGCCTTCACAAAACACTCCCGGTTCTTGCACAAAAAGTACAAGGCACTAGCCAGTGCACAGGGCGCCGTGCTGCTCCCGATAGGCATGGTGACCACCTCGTCCACAATCTGGCTCTCGCGCAGGGCCTCGCCCGTGTCCGGGTCTCGCCCCTTGAGCAGGGCCCCGAGCAGATCGCGGCGCGACGTCGGGTTCCGCCGGCGGTGTGTGATGACGGGCGCGGCATACCCTTCGCGCATGGCCGTCTTGGACTCGCGCCACCGCCGGGAGTGGAACAGCCAGTTCACGAGGCCTGGTCGCGTGGGCCGCCGCATCGCCTCCGAGGTGGCGTCTTCCATGGCGGCGAGCATCGGGTCGTCGTGGGCTGCGGCGATGCAGCCCAGCTTGCGCCCAAAGAGCGTCGCGGTGGTCGCCTCCAGAGAGAGGCGGTTTAGTCCTGTCATGAGCAGGACGCCGTCCTCTTGCTGTTGCTGTTGTTGCTGCTGCTGTGTCTTTGTCGAGTCAGGGTGATGTTGATGCTGATGATCATCACCTCCTCCTTCCCCTTCTCCCTCTCCTTGCTCATCCACCTTCTTCCCATCCCTCTCCTCCTTGCTCCTGTTCTTCTTCTTCTTCTTCTTCTTCTTCTTCATCATCTTCTTCTTCTTCCCCCCTTCCTCTTCCTCACACCACCACCTAACCAACTCCCCCGTCAGCACCGCCACCTCCCCCGTCCACCCCTCCACCGCCTCCCGCCGCAAAAGAGGCGCACAGATCCGATGCGCCACCCCCCAGCTCGCCTCGTCGTCATACGCCGTGAACAGCGCGTCATGCACGGCATGCCGGATCTCGACGACGGGCCCGCCTACGTACTTGCGAAAACGACGCTGGTCGCATAGCTCTTCTGCAAGAGAGGCACCCGCCACAAACACCACCGTCTTGCCGAGGACGGTGAGCTGGAAGATCTCGCCGTACTTGGCGGCGAGGGAGGCCAGGGACGTCCAGGTGTTGGAGGTGTTTACTATAAGTTGTCATTTTCGGGTGGTCAGTTTCCCTTTTTTTCTTTCTTTCTTTTCTTCTTCCTTTTGTCTTTCTTTTTTCTTTCGGGGTTGGTGATTCTCTCCGTAATACAAATACAGATAAGAGGGAGAAGAAGGAAGAACAGAACAATGAATGCTTGTGCGTGTACTCACCGTCAAAGACATTCCCCAGAAGTGGAATACCTGGAGGTCGAGGAATAGGCAGGGACATGATGTGCTCGTTGTCGATATCCTCAGATTGGTTGATTCTCAGGCGTTATTGCTGCCGCTGCTGCCACCGCCGAATCTCTTCGTAACGGCGAGAAAGGTGTTGCTTATAATTCAAGAACAGAAAAAAAAAAATGAAAAAAAAAAATAACAACAACAATAAAAAGGATCAACCTTTTGGAACACAATTGCCCCGTAGTCATGGGCACACAACATCAATCCACGGGTGAAACCTTTGCGAGAACATCTCTCCCTCCCTCCCTCCCTTTCATTTATTTCTTTAGTTTGGAGGAAAGGTGGGGGGACCACTTGCGTCCAGCTTGGTATGACCACCACCTCTTCTCCATGTCTGACAATCTTTTTCCTGTCTGGTCAATTCAATGTGTACACACACACACACACACACACACACACCTTTGATCAAAAGAAACACAACGAAGCAATCATGCCCACGTATTCCCCCCGCCGCCGCCGTGTACGTCAGAACCACCCGTGGTCATGTCTCACAGCAGGGCGTCCTATTCCCAACCAGGCACGGAAGTAATGAGCTGAAAACCACGCCCCCACCAAAACAGAGGAAAAGATAAGACGTGTGAGAGGCGTCAGTGGCGCACACCGCGTGTGTCAAGGATTGGTTCAGCTGTGCAATCGACACTATGCTGAACCGTCAGATTTCCCACTCCACCACACCGAAAACCCCCCCCCCCCCCGCTTCTTGTGCGAGGCTTTCGTTGGCAAGGTTTGGCCGAGAAAAAGAAAGGCAACTGGAAGAGGAAGAAGGTTTTGGGGGGGGGAGGGGAGTGTGAGACAGGACAATCCATTCGTGCTCCGAGACACACGGAATACAAAATCATGTCTTACCTTCTTAGGTTTCTGCTTTTTCTTCCGCTGTCGTTCGCTCCTCGTTGTTGCCAGCCAACCACCAGGACTTCTTTTTCCGAGAGGCGAAAAGTAAAGCCAAGCAAAAAAGCAAAGCCTGCAGACAAAACACAAACAAGCAAGGATCATTTCCTCCTCAGTTTCGGAAGCGTTCTCTTTTTCATTCTCATTAAAGTATATGCAAATACTCTCACACACTCACACACACATCTCCTCTCCTCTCCTCTTTGTCTCACCAGAAACCCCTCACACCCATTTTTTCTTTTTCTTTTCTTCTTTCATCTCCGTTCCCATTCCGAAGCCAAGCCCATCTAGCCCATGCATGGCCATGTACCCAGCAACTCCTAACGCTTGACATTAGACATAATAAAGTAATGTAAAGTTACAGGGTCGTTTATATAAATACAATCCGAAATATGAAAAAAAAAAAAAAAAAAAAAAGGGAAAAAGGGAAAAAAGAGAACTACAAAATAAAACCCCAACTTCTTCTGCAACCCCAACTCAACCCGTCATCAACAATGCCCAACAAAAAAGGAGCTGCTGCCTGGTAGCGAGCAGGCACCGGTGGGGTATCAAGAATGGCAATGGAAAGAAGAAAAGAGAAAGAAAGAAGAAAACTTGTAGCTTGGCAGGCATGAACAAGTCACCGCTCATCACTGCTCAGTAGAAGAAACAGCCCTCCTAAGCAGAAATATAAACAAGATACAAGGTGGCCACACAGTATCGGAATTAATCATTGTTTCCCATCAAGAAGTGCGAGGGCTACCACCATAGCACCAATGTTGAGCATCCATCCGTTGATTGATTGCCGTTAGGGCAAAGTGAGTGGTAAGGGCAGGGAGGGAGGGAGTGAGTGAGTGGGAACTCATGTGCAGCAGCACAAGACAGGACGAAGAAACGTCTCACGCCCGCAGCGTCGTGTCCCCATCCTCCTCCTCCTCCTCCTCCTCATACCCTCCACGGCTCACCCTCCGTCCCCTTTCGTATTCGGCACCGTCCTCACCTCCAAACTCGTAGGAACCGACGCCCTCACCCATGTCGGAACTGAGCCTGTCCACGTCGAGACTGCCCCTCGCCGCACGCCTGGCCACCTCACGTTCCCTGTAGATCTCCGTCCTGCGTGTGTCTGCAAGCTGCAGGATATCCACGTACGTGCGGAACTTGACAATCTCGCGCAGCAGGTAAGAGCTCTTGCGCTCCCAGTTGGCCATGGCCTTTTGGGCATTGGAACCCCTGGGCGTGAACGCCAGGAGCATGGGGCTGCGCAGTGCGTTGTGCTGCTGCAGCTCCTCCTCGATCGATTTGACGTAGTTGAGGAGCGCATCCAGCTGATCCTTCTCGGAGGCATTGGATGGCCGCATCGACTGCGTCGGCGGCGTCCACTCGGCGATATTGACAATGTCGCCGGGCAGCTTGTTGGACGCGGCCACACCGCCGGCGCGCGGGTTCGAGCTGCCAAAGTCAAAAGATCCGACGGACCGGAAGCTGCTCCCACGAGAGTGCATGCTGGAGCGCGCCGCGGCATTGCTACTGCTGCGTTGTCGCCCGGCAGGCCCTGTTGTCTCGTTGATGGCCGAGACCAGGGCGTTGTTGATGATTGCATCGCTCCAGCCGAACTCCATGTTCGAAACACCACCAATCAGCGGATGCGTGCTGAGCCTGGCGCTCCAGTAGTTTGCCGTCGTAACAAACTCGTTGCAGATCTCCGGCGTGCCGACATGGAAGAGGTGCACAGCGCCCGTGGGCAGGGACAGGGCCCAGACGTGCGGCCGCTGCTTCGAGTAGCCGGGTGGCGGTAGTGCAGAGGCCAGCGTAAGGCGCAGGCTCCAGGTGCCAAGCGTCGTCGCGTTCTCCTGCCAGTTGCCACCGCCGACAACAGCACCCTTCTTGGGGGCGTTGCGGCTGCGACGGCCCATGGATTTGTTGGGCGTGAAGGAAAAGATGCTGATGTTGCCCTTCTGGATGACGGCAAAGACCTCGGTCCAGTTACGATCCTTTGCCTTCTTGTCGACGCCGTCGAGGTGGTGTTTGTGGATGACAATGCCCTCCTTGACCCACGGCGGCCCGGCCAGCTCGAGAGACTCGTCGTCGAGCAGCTGGGTCGTCTTCAGGTCGTCACTGACCAGCGACGGGACGCTGCTCCGCGGGTCCTCGCGGATGATGGCCTGGCTCAGAGCATTGGCGAACCCAATCGACTGCTGGTAGTCGCCGCGAGGGAAGCGCGAGCCGAACGAGTCCATGGACATCGAGGTGTGCGTTCTACCCAGGGACGCCCGACTCCAGGTGGCGACCGAGTCGACGGGACTCCACAGCGATTGACCGTCGTCGAAACTCGTCCTGCTCGACGCGAAGCCGGCGCTACCGAACCCACGAGGCCGAGACCGACTCTTGGATGACCATCGTCCATTGCCTGCCCGTATGGATTCCGGTCCAACCCGTCCACGAGCAGAGGGATTCTCTGAAGGCGCCTTGCTGAGCACACTGGGCGAGCGCTTCAGCATGCCCATGACGGACAGGCCACCGGCCGAGGGCAGCTCCTGCACAGGCTCCGCACCATACAGAGGCAGACGCTCGTCGCGGATGGAGGCATAGATGTCCTTCAACACAACCTCCATCTGGCTCTCCCAGGCCTTCAGAGACCCCTCGAATGGGGACTTCACCAGAGGCCCGCAGTCGTCCAGCTCGGTGGGCGCGTCGCCCAGTGCAGACCCGGCCCTTCCAGGGAGCTTGATGAACGAGTTTCGGAAGCTGGTCCTCTCATTGATATTGGTATTCTCCAGAGACTGGCGTCGATCGTCGAGTGTAGAGCCCTTGCCTGGGAGGATGCTGGGTCTATCGTATGCGTTGGGTATGGACTCGGCCACAGCCTGTCTGACTGTGGTCATGGTGTTCTTGATGAACTGGCTGCGGGTCATCTTGGACTCGATGTCGGCCATGTGCAGGTCTGTGTTGAGCAGCATGATCGAGTAGCAGATGGTGTGGATGACATCTAGTTAGAGAAGGAGAAGAAGGAAGACGGTGTCAGTATCATGTTTGATCCATACAAAATATACACAGCGCGACTCCAGAGAGGGGCATTACTTACCCACGGACTTGAATCCGTGATGGGGATTGCAATCACACCAGCGCTTCGAAAAGGTGACGAGAATGCGGTCCACCTGCTGCGTCTCTGCCCTGAGGATAAGCCTGTTGCAGACATCCCGTAGCGATGTGACAATGTTCTTGTTTGTAAAGTCGTACAGGTCCATGTAGGCCCGAAGCGTTCGCTGTCTGATGGGCCCTTCTTCGCCCATCCACGAGGCGGCTTTCTCTTTGGGTATAAAGTCCTCGCTGCCATCGAAGATCTTCTGCGCCTTCGCCTTGTCGTCTTGGGTGGGATCGCCGACGATGAAGTGGGGCTCGTCAAGAGGATGCTCGGCCTTGGGAAGGTTGGTCGTGGCATTGAGGTCTGCCCCTTCGATCTTCAGATCTGGGATGCTGGCCGCAGAAGCACGTGTCTTTAGTTCAGGTTCGGGTTCGGGCTCGGTCTTGAAGCCCTCGATGGGCAGCGTCAGGCTTCCCGGGCGGTCGCTCTTTTCGGAGGCCATGCTGTCCTGTGTCAGCCTGTCCAGCTTCTTGTCCTTGATCGTGGCGTACGAAGACGGGGACGACAACGGCAAATCCGTCTGGATCGGAGCCAGCGTCATGCGGCCAACAGGAATGGGCGACCTGGAGCGGCTGGCCATGGCAGATTGTGAGGCCTGCTTCCTGACTTGTTGTGGGCTACCATCGCTTTCGCTATTGTCGTGCAAGAAGGAACTGCTGCGCTCGTAATCGTAAAGTGGCTTCGAGACATGTCGTGTTGGCGTCCCGGGCCTTTGTGCTCCGGGGGCGGTGGGGCTTCTGTCCACCCTGGGTCTCGAATCGGACGGCACTGAACGTATTGTGGCTCTCGGGTCTGGCTCGTAGTCGGGAGAGAAGCTTCGAAGCTGTCGGTCGGGAGGAAACTCTTCCACTGCCGAGTGATAGACGGACTGCGCTTGGTCGTCCCGGGGACTGGTCCGGCCGGAAGACGGGGCTGATGACTCCGAGGCCTTGAGAAAAGGGTCCATGGCCTTGCGCAGGCTTGTGACAGGGCTGGGCTCGGGCTTCGGGGTCATAACCTCGAGCCGCTTCTGGGGAGGAGGCAGCAGCTCTGCCGATGGTATGATGGACGGTGGTAAGGTGGGCGGAAGAGGGGGTGGTTCTACATTGTTCACCGACACAGACTTCTTGCGGCGCCGGAAGAACCCTGATGGTTTCTTCTGTATCCCGTGGGACGAGCTCGTCTGCCTCGAGGACGGGGTGCTGGTGGCGGCTTTGTTGGCTTCCGAGAATGCCGCATTTGCAGTCGTGGGCGATTGCTGGGATGAGGATGCATGGTTGCTGCTCATGATTTTGGCAGAGGCTGCAGGAGAGCCGATGGCCGGGGCAAGAGATGTAGCAGACGAGGGCAGGCTGGCGGACTGGTCTAGAGCTGCAACAAGGCTGTTCTTGGAGCCGCCACCGAACATGCGCCTGAAGAAACCGGGTTGTTTTTCCTTGTGCTGCGCGACGGTCGATGTGGGAGCAGCAGCCGGGCTGGCGTGCACGGGCTCCTTGGCCTTCTCGTAACCAACATGGGGGGCCGGGGCCGAGTCTTCTAACAAATCTGCGACGGTACCAGGAGCAGTACCAGGAAGAGGAAGAGGGGGAACAGGTTCATGGTCACGCTCGCGGGCGGCATCACGTCTTGAGGAGGACGACGGGTGGTGCTTGGCAGTGCTGGTGCTCCGTGAAGATTTGTTGCTGCGCTTGCGCTCCAGGCGGAGGTTGACAGAGCGCACGGGTGACAGGGGCTCGCCCATGGGCTCGTGCCGGGCAATGGACGGCATAGACGGCATGGTGGCGAGCCGACGCGGACCGACTGGTACTGTCGGGGTGGGTGCAGCATCGTCCAGATCGTAAGAGTAGTCGTAGTCGAGGTTGGAGCTGGCGTGGTCGAAGAAGGAGTTGGGCAGCTCTATATGCCACGACGGCTGCTGCCCCTGTTGCTGCTGCTGTTGTAGGTGTTTCTGTGGGTGTTGGGTAGTGGTCGGGCGCGACGAGTGCAGCTGCTGCTGGTCCGGCGGCTGTGTGCCGTAGGAGCGGCGGCGTGCCGGTTCTAGACTGGAGGATCGTTTGGGCACACCAATACTTTGCGCCCATTTCTGGCTGCCCAACACGTGTGCATAGCCTGCTGCGTCAACGCTGTTTGTACTACTGCTCTTGCTCCCGCGTCCTCCCCTCGAGTGTAGCACCCGTGAGCCCAAAGAGGAGCCACCAGGGACGGGGCGCTGCTGATTGGTGGCAATATCGCGCAGGCCACCTGGATTGGCCGAGAGGCTGTTACTCCTGCGCCCTCGCGACATGTTGGTCGACACACGGCTCAGGTCATCGTCGGCGCCTTCGTAGTCGGAACTGTACGAGTACCCGTGGCCGCCTCGGCCCCCGGCCACAGCTCCGGCGTGGATAGTATTTCTTGCCTTTGAGTTTGTTGTGCTCGTCATCGTCCTACTGCCGCCCCCACCTCCTGCTGTGCCCGCCCTCGGGCCTGCTGCTGCTGGGTCCTCGTAGCGATACGAAGGATGAGGGCCGGCAAAACCAGACATGGTCCTGGTCTCGCCGCTGGTCTGCATGTTGTTCACCTGGCTCATGTGGTTGAATTGGTCGAGGGAGAGGAGCATGTTCCCCAGAAGGGAGTCGCGGGTCACATTTCGAGGGGAGAGGGAGAGGTCGTGGGAATCTCGGAGGGAGGAGTCTCGCAAGTCGCGATGCTGCAGGGCGGACGGCGGCGGGGTGCGGGAGTGCCGTCGCCGCAGGGGGGAGTCGTTCCCTTGGTTGGACATCACGTCGGCGTCGGAGAAGGTATCAGAGAAGGCGTCGAAGAAGGTCTGGTTGTCGTCAGGGCCGTCGGCTCGGTCGTCGTGGTGGCCGCCTCCTAGGTCGCGGCCTCTGTTGGGATCAGTAGTACCAGGTCTTGTGCGCGCATCCCTCTCCTCCTGGCCAGCCCTGTAGCCCTGGCTAGACAACTTGAAGTGGAGACGTGGGCTGTCGCGATCGTAGTCGTCGTCGTAGTAGTCGTCGTCGGCTGCAGCAGGCCTGCCTCTGGACAACGAGAGGGGCGGAGGGCGCCTGTCGTATGTGCCGGCGGCGCCAGCGGCGGAGGAGGAGGAGGGGGAGTTCAGACTGCGCTGAGACGACTTGTAGGGGATGTCGGGAGGCTTAGGGAATGCGAGGTGACTGGGCGGCGGGGGCGACAGTGGTGTAGAGAGCTCGTTGTCCTCGTAGTCGGGAGAGTAGGAGTAGGCGTTGGCGTCGAAAGTGTCTATGTTGAGGTCAGGCTTGTTGTTGCGACGGTGATTGCGCACCCTCCTAGGCTGGGGCTGTTGGTCCTCAGAGAAAGGCATGTTCAAAATTTCGGACCCGGATCTTTGAGCCCTGGCTGACACGGGTTTATGCCTGCTGGGTGACACCCTCCTCCCAAGGTATGGTACGGTACCGCACTGCCGTTCGTCTGGTCGGGAGGGAAATGAATAATTAGCCCTGCAACTAGTCTCACAAGCCCCACCACCCTTGCAGGCAGGCGCCAACGTTTGTAGTGGTGGTGGTGTTCGTCTTCCTCCTCCTTGTCGTCGTAATGGCGGTGATTCAACGTCAATGTCGTCGGCGTCACCCACAGGGGAAGCCTAGAGATCTGCTGGGGTGGAGGGGGGGTCGAGAGAAATGACAGGCGAAACAGAAGGAAGGGCAGGTGTGCTGTTGTGTGGACGCCATGCAGATGCAGACGCAGATGCAGGTGCAGGAGGGAGAGACATGCGCCTGTGTGTCTGTGTGTATCGTTACCTCGTCCCGTGGTTGCTGAATGGTCGAAACAAGGACTAGCCGAGGAGCAATGGGCAGTGCAGTGCAGTGCAGTTGTGTCCAGATGACCCTCTCGTGTGTGTGTGTGTGTGTGGGCGTGTGTGTATGTGGTATTGTTTCGTCTCGTCCCTCGACAATGCAGTGGTTAGGGGCCTTTCTGGATTGCCAGGCCAGGCGCTTGGCCTCGGTCACTGCCACGCACGAACCTGCGAACCACCACGAAATCTTGCGAGGTGGCAATGGACGATGTACACATGCAGAACGGCACAGAAGAGGCTTGAGCGCTTATGTTGGGTGAGTGGACAGCCAGGAAAGGAGATCTGACTGGACCCCCCTGGCACAAGAGCGATCTTGACGGTGCGACGGTGGGGGAAAAGGAACTGAGGCTTGACCTCGACGAGGCTAGCTTGCAGCAGCCGCCGAGGTGGTAGCCCTGACAGGTCGTTTCGTGTGTCCAGATGGCGCAATATGATTATACTGTACTTAAGTTAGGATACCGAGTCAAGCAATCACACACACACACACACACACACACACACACACACACACACGCACATGTGTGTGTAGCCGTGCTTTGTTGTATGTAGTGTGTCTTTGTCGTGTCCAATGCAGCGTTGTCATGTGTTACCCTCCAAAGCCACACATGCTTCTACACATACAAACACACACGCACAACACTTCAGGCCTCAAATCGAGGCCAACCAGAGTCAAGAAGAGGGAGGGCCAGGGCCAGGGCTAGGACTCGAGCTATTCGTCAAAATAGGCCGGTAGCAAGGGCGTGTCGCGCGGCACCCCGTCGCTGCCGTCTCGTCTCTGCTTTGTAGCTGCGGACGTAACCCAACGTCTGAGACGTATGAACAAGGGCAGGGGGCGAGAAGAGAATCAGCACAGAGAGAGAGAGAGAGAGAGAGAAAGTTTGGGGGACAGGACACAACCCTAAACAACCAAAGAGAGGGTATAATTGGTGGCGTGCGAGAGAGGAAAGGGGGGAGAGGGCATTTGCTGCCAGAATGAAGCTTGATTGTTCAAAGCTCGAGTCTTGAAATTTGCAATTGAATCGAATTGGGATGGAATTGGATCAAACCGGGAAGGAGATCCCATCCCACATGGCCCAAAACCAACCCCGACCCCTGGCCTTAGTCGTTCTTGCCCCTGGACCCTTAACCATGGATGCACATATACGCCCGATACGTACTTTTAGTCTTCAAAGTACCTCTTAAGCGATGCCTTCCCTTCCTTGAACTGTCCGCCGGCCCCTCCCCTGCCCCGCACCTTCCTTCTCTTGCAACTCAACGGAGATACCATAGTACATACAATGCTCTTCCCCCCCCCCCCAAAAAAAATACATGAGTATAACAGATAGACTCTTGGAGATAGTTCAGAGCCATTGATTGCGCTACGAAATAGTGCCCGGTGCTAGTTCGCTCTTTTCTTCCTCCCCCCTCCTTATACCAGCACATATTTTGTATTGTACTTGGTCGATGTACTACAATCTCGGCCCCGCATGAACACAAGATTGATTGCAAGATTGTCAGAGGAAACGCGAGTGGGTGCGCAAACCGTCTTCTAGCGCTATCAGTTTAGGAAATTTCAGGGGGTCATTCGGTGCTCAGATTTACCTGTCCTGTACTACTTACCCTGTCCGTACCTTGGCAGTTAAAGAACGGAGGTATGGGGCAAGGGTCCTTTAAGTAAACTAATTTTAGTCCCCGCCAAGGTACCCCACCACTGCCCACCTTCACCCCACACTGCACTACTATGTACCTCTGGCAAGCGCAAGTGCTGGGTAGTGTTGCTCCTGCTGCTATTTAGGTGTCATGCTGCCATGCTGTCTAACCCTAGGATCACTAATTGATTCAGCAATGAGACTACTGGGGCCTTCCCTTCCCCCTTTACGCAGTAACTTGCTGGAACTGCATCAATTCATTGAACTTCCCCCCACTTACGCGCTTCATCGTCAATCACGATCCATTCGTATTTTTCTTTCATTCTTATTTTTGTCACTTTGGCCAGGTTTTTTGACCCACGCAAATCTACAAAACTCAATCTAGCTCTTTGCTCGTGTCCTCTACTGCAGATCCCTAAAGTGAGAAGAGGAGGGCCATGATACGGTCTGAGGGATCCTTCTCAATTGGTGAAACGCACCAGTACCTATCTATGACAATTTAGTTTCCCCCCTCTCCCCTTTCCACCTTTTCGTCCCCCCACGATACTGACACCCTGGTACCCATCTCGTGTCGTCTATGATCAGCCGACTGATTTACTACAAGGGCTTATATAATACCGGAATGATCAAATGTTTTCCTGGGGTACTCGACACGGACAGGAGCCGGCCCAAACCCCACCCATCCACCACCACACCCCCCCCCCCAAAAAAGTCCGACACTATGAAGCGACGTCCTCTTCTCTGGCCACGTCTTTGCCCACAGACACACACCAACACACAACACACAGCACATGCAAGCGCCATCTCTATGCTATTACAACGACTGCATGCATTCATGTATCTGTGCGCCAAAAGGGGCCAAGCACACAAGGGGGTGGCGTCGGACCGCCTGCTCTGCTTTCTTAGCGCCGGCACTGCGACGTTTTGAGGTCACCGACGCGCGTGCACACACACACACACCTTCTCGTACATATACCATTTGAATTGTTCTGGTTGCACCGCTGCCACGGTATGGCGCAACATACTGGGTGTTCTATGGCGCCAGCTGGACCTGCATGACCAGTACTTGATGCACTTATACCCCTCCACCCATTTCCACAGGTACATACATATGATATGCCTTGGCCTGCGACATGCAGCAATGCAGCGATGCAGCTCTGAGTTCGATCATCTGTCCACAGCGCTACCAAGACCTTGGAAGGACCCCCTCCCTCCTTTGCAGCCCCTGAAAGCTGCATGGCCAATGCAGGTTTATGGCTCCCGTTTGCGATCCATCCTGCTTCAGAAACGTGGCCGGCAGCTATCAGAGGTCAAGGATGAAAGAGAGGGGGAGAGCGAGAGCGAAAGGAAGAGGGGTCACCACCGGGGAAGAACGCTCTGCATGGCCACCAACTCATCCATCCAGCTGCCCTGCAGCAATCCCACATCCAACCCCCAGGTTCTGAATCCTGATGGCACGGGCTGCGACCCCCCTCCACTTCCCTCGTAAGCGCCTCTGTGGACACTTTCTCAACAACATGATGAGCACTGCGCACAAAACATGCCCTATCTGCAGGAACAGACAGGGGCTGTCCAAGGGGGGTTTCGACCGCTGGACGACAACCACGTGCGCTCCCGAGAAGCCGTTGACAGTTGGCACCACACCATTACCAGCAGAGTATCTTCCTTCCCCAGCTCCCCTAACGGCCCAGCAGCCTTCTTGCAGGCATGAGAAACACATATCCACATTATATGATTGTCTGCTTCTCCGTCGCACAGAAGCAAAGATGATACGGTAGATTACCTAGAAATCACTGTACGGGCGTATTTCCATAAGTGGTTTGTCCATGCTCCAAGAGGGAGAAAAGGAAACCCGGCAAGTACTGAAGATCGTTTTCAAATCTGGCTGGATCGTCCAGTCAATTTTCACCCTCGTTTTCTTCCTTCTGGCCCTGTAAGGTCAGCTACAATGCCTGCGATACAACTGAACGCACTTCATGAATTGTGACCTCAGATCCATTGCACAATACGAGGATGCCTTAGCCTGCATGTTTCTTCTCCAGCGAAGATACTTGCAAGATTCGGCCAGAAGAAAGTTGACGCTCCTTGTAAACCAAGAGCTGCAGGCGTGATAGGCATTCCCAGCCCTAGGTCCAGGTCCCCAGAGAACAGAACCCGAACAAGACACGAGCGTGGCTTGCCGATCCGTTTCCCTGTTATTACAGCTCTTTTTTTTTTCGCTCGTACGCGTGATCGAGATTCCGACCATCCATGAGCTGAGACCCGCGTACCGTACGTGCCACGAAGTAGTGCCGCCCCCGTCAGCCACTGCTGATGGGCTGAAGATGAGGATGGTCAGGATGGTCAGGACCCCATCTCCCCTCCTTTTCCCTCCTCTTCTCCCCTCAGGGAGCAGTCAGTTCGGAGAAATAAGAGATCGTACCGTCTCACACCGATCGGATCTCATTCGCATCCTTCCCGGTCGCTAATCAGCCTTGTCGAGGCCCAAGTGCGCGCTCAAGTCTCACTCGTGTGCTCGCCTCTCCCCTTCGGTGTCTCAACATGCTAGGTGGGCTCGGGCCTGGTCATCTCGAGGAGCCCAACTGGTAGAGCTGATGCCAGCAGCTGTCCAGGTGGGTGCTGACTACTGTGGTTATTGACTAGGCGCATTGGAAGTGCCGTTGCCTGGCGTAGGGGACTGGACACTGACTTCAGCTGAACACCCACCTCGGGAGTAATCAAAACGAGTCACGATGGAATATTAAGTCAGATAGTAATACTAACTAATATGACTAGACTGTACGACGCCTGTTCATTCTACCTAAGAGGAGCAATGTACCTGGTCGTAGAGAGAAGATCTACAGAATCATGAACAACGTAGACTTGGTGAAATGCACGTGAATCAAGAGAAAAGTCAACGAAAAGAAAGAGAGAAACATCCCTCATTACGCGACACTTTCGTTATATTATTCCCCCTTCCTGGCTGCCTCTAAACAAAATCAAGTCCAACAGAGGTGATCAAGTAGGATATCACTACACGGCCTAGGGATGATTCCTCTACGCCAACACGACGCAGGTCTGTGCAAGCACCTATGTGGGCGAGTATCTCCAAAACACCTCCCATATAGCAACATCCCTTATCAAAATTCCTCGTGCCAAAAATAACGAGGCTGACTGTTTGTGTCTGGACGTCCCGTCTCAACGCGTACGTATCCGCGGATGATGTGAGGATCGAAAAGTAATTGTCAGGCGCTGCACATGTGTGCACGTAGCCCCAAAACTTGTCTATGGCATAAAAACTCTCAAGGGAGTCAAGAGAAGCTATGTTATACTATTCCAGCAGGATTACTGGAATATGATCATAAACAAGGCCATGCTTATAGTATTTAGAGCGACAAGGCGGCCGTGGCATGATAGAGGTAAGGGCAGGAGAACGGGCAGAACAGCGGGCAGGTTGAGCGTCTGGTCCCTCTTAACGTGAACGTTCAGTATGCGTGACAGAAAGATTCATATTGCTAGACACTAAGGAAGAGAAAGAAAAGGAAGGAAAAACTACATGACGCCTTTCCCTCTCTTTCAGAGGGTGATTATGCGCTTTTATTTTCCCGACCCTCCTCCTTTTCATATATAGCATACTTACCATGGACTGCATTCGTAATTACTGGCCGAAACCTCCGAAGGTATCTATAGGCCTGGCTGTTGGCCGGCTGGATGGCCGATCACGGCCCTGGACCAGTGAGTCACTGGCCCTCGCACATTCAAAGCCACACGATTTGGAAGCAATCCACGCCTGTTCACTTTCACTTCTCTGACAGTAAATTTAACGAGAAGCGGGAATCGAGCCCTTTCAAGCCATACTACTCTTAAGAACAAAGAGTTCAAGGAGCTCGTACGGACTCCCAAGTCAAGGAGGAAGTTGTTCTCAGCAGCTGCACAGTCACCATTTGCCATGGACATTGTATTTTACATCTCGAAGATGGTCCCTCTAGTATTCGCTGGCTCCTCATGATCCAGGCAAGCTCTCTTCTGCTTGCATATTTATTGTGAACACATTAGGTGATGGTCTCTAATTGCAGTAGTAGAGAATTGGTATGAGCTAGATCTTCTATAATTCATGAATGATAACTCCATACCGTTGCCATCCACTTATTTCACCAGTTATCCTCAAATGCTATACCAAAGAACACTTGTAGACATTTTGATTTTTTAGTGAGGTAATGGTTTTCTTTTTTTAGCTGGAGGGCTCTCACACACACTCTCTCTCTTCTCATCCCTTCCTTCCTTCCATTTTTTTTGGGGGGGGGGGGGGGGGTTGGTTCTTTTTTTTGCTTCACCGCTATTAAAGAAAGTGCTTCACGACTGATGATTTGTCTTCCGGACTGTTGCGAAACGCTGTCCTCACCGCGGTAAAAGCAAAAACATCATAGTCTGATAAAATTATTGTCACTTTTTAATCAACCCTCCGACCCGATCCCCTGGCCCGGGCTTCAGTCCATTATTTACTTGGTAGTCAGCAAAGCCCTCAAACCTGTCTTTTAAGCTCAGAAGTACTAGAGATTTTGAGTATATCCTAACTAAACCAACCGGCTAGGGCGTCAACCTTCATAGCATGATTTTACGCCAAAAAGTGCGTTTGAAACGACAAGTAGATCAGCATTGTCTTTTGGGCACCAAGATCTTGCCAAACAGTTCAAGAAGATATTCGCAGACCAGATACCAATCCGTTGCATCGCAAACCCACCCAGAAAGCAAGCAGCGAACTCAGTCTCACCACAAGGCCTGCTGCACATCCAAAACCGGCCCCGCGTTCACATGGGCGTTTCATCACGAGGCTTCTTCGCGCCTACTTGCCACCTGGACTATTCCGAGTTGTGCTACTGCCAGATCACCAACTCGATGTGAATCAATAGTCGGCCGCCACAATGTAACACAAAGTGGTCCTAGAACCATGTCTGGCCAAGCCTATCTTGCAACGTTCTGGCCCGCCGGGCACGCCGGGGCCCCAGCCATGACGCTAAGTATTATCAATACCCAACAATAATAGACAAACTCGCCATCGTAGTGAGATGGCCGAGCAACCCCCCCCCCCTTTTTTTTTTTTTTTTAAAAAAAAAGGTCTCTAAAAAAGCCAAACAAGTACGATAGAGGGATCCACCATTATCAACACAAGCAATGCCGGAACGGACTTCGGCACTCATCGGCTGGCTTCGGAGGCCAAGGAGTTGGCACCTTGGCAAGGAAGCTTATCTCGACATCGAGTGCTGGAATCTGGCTGGAAACATGTTGGTTCTTTGTCTCTGTACTAAAGATGGAATGTGATTTCTGCGCGTACCGAGATCTCCTGTTTGGGAGTTGGTAATCGTGTGTGACTCGCTGGCCATATGGACGGATTTAGCAATTACAGGCTGACATTGTTCCACCCAGTGCCGGTCATGACAGTCTTGTGCTGGCACTATGACATTAAGAGTGCCTCTCGCTTTGTCAAACCCTTGGACAGGAGAAAGGTGACTCCCAAGGTCCTCAGCAGGAGAGCCTTGTCACCTTTTGCAAATCTTTCTTCCAGCAAGGAACCTTGATGAAATATGCATGGCGACAAATCCTTTCGGGCCCACGTTGTTCGGCATTCTTGAACAGCTTTATGGCTTCATAGGGCTGACCGCTCGCATCCACCAGCACGTGCGCCATCTGCGTTTTCCCAGGGGAGGATCCTTCGCCAGGTGCCACGTCAGGACAAGCATCGTACTATCCACCTGTATCTTGGGCCTTTGGTGTGTTGGGTCTTGTTTGAGGCCGTCGAGGTGTCATATTGTTGTCGCACTATTAAAAGAAGCGGTTTCTTTCACGAGTGTGGTTGTAAAGGCCAGGCTCCTCCGCAAGGTCTTGTCAGCAGTCCTGGTCAGGGGGAAATACCGCACACGTGAAGAATGAACAGCCCCATGCCCCGTGATCTGCGTTCGAGGTACACATCCTTGTCTAGTCAAACTGACAGGCCATTACAGACTCGGAAGGCCTGGAAGGGTCAACCTCGGGATACATCTGCCGAACAGTAAGCACCGACCTCTTTGGTTAAGACTATAAGATTATTAGGAATCGATCCTTACTGTGCTTGTAGTAGACCACTGTCAAGGATTCGGCAGATCCAGCGACGGGAACGAAACCGAACGATCCTAGAAAAGGAAAAAAGAAAATAGGCAAGAGAAGCGAGCCCATAAGGTATCGGCCAGTTGAGTCTTGTAATTAGTATGTCAAGTAGACTGCAACAGTAAGACGGGCAGCAGTTGACCCGCGCGTGCTAAAATTTAGGACTACAAAGAGCCTCAAGTTTCAATTTCAACGTCACTTCTTTTGCAAGGCTCAGGCCAGCGAAGAAGCAGGAGAGGGTGCAAAAAGAAGAACCTAGGCTACCTCAGGCTGTCAGTGGGTGTAATTTTGGACGAGGCTAGGACTGTCGAAAGGATCTCGAGGTTATACTGCATCTTATATTTTCTGTCAGCGAACGGATGTGACCTTATTTCTACAGCTCCCACCTGGGTTATTGGATCGCGTACATAGTACAAGCCATGCGCGTTCATCCTGGAAAGAAGGTCGGGGGTGCTGTCCCATCCGATAAAATTTTCGTAATCATGAGCCAAAAGGCAAAGCACGTTGAATTGTGTGAAGCGAGGAGAAGATACAGTACTTTGGTACTGAGGCGCGCAGGAGAGCTGCGGAGAAGGCCGCCGATACATCACGTCACCTCATTGGTTGTGGTTCTGCTTGTACTATGTGCATATGTGGCTAATATAGCAAGCGGCACGCAACGGCTCGACCCTACTCCATGCACAGCGCCGATCTTTTCTTGTCCTTTCCTTGGCCATAAGTCGCACATTATGTACTTACTTTTTACCATAGACTCAAGCTCAAGGTAATGTGGAGTCAAGTAATGCGAGGATGCAGGCCATAGTAGTTTGTTTACACTGCAGATGAATCAATTTCTAATATCAATGCGTATTTAGTATCCAGACCCCAGCATATCCGGGTACGCCCGGCACGATTTAAGCCGGTCCCGCATGCAACAAGTCGCTGGGGCAGAAACAATGAACCCCACACACTGAAGAGAGGAGACAGATAGGCTTTCGCTTGACACGGAGCTGGACTATAGAACAAGACCAACGAGCCCCGTGCCCTGCTCCTCTCTTTCTCTTGCTCTCTCTCCCCTCGCCTTTCTCGTGTGCAGGCTCCGTCCGGGTTCAGCCGGCTCGCACCATTGCGACGCATTGCTGCTACGGTAAGGTAACATTCGTCTCGGCAGACCACATCCAATGTAGCCCCCTTCCCTCTCTCTCTCCTTTTCCTCTTTTCCTCTTCCGAAGAGACACAACCATGTACATTCCCCATCGGATGCAACACACGGACGTTGGGCGGGCCAACCCCCACCCTTCTTCTCGAAGGAAACGATTGGGTTGGCTCTCGGACTTGTATATAGTATCCGGATTGCATCATTGCAAGGGCGTGCAGGGTGTTTATTTTCTGGCCTTATTTACATGCATGTGTCTGTGGTTCTTTCTTTTCTTATCGTTTCAATCAATTTTCTCGACGATCAAACTTGATTTCCATGGGTCTTCTGAACTTGAATCCAGCTCGGGCCTTGTGCGTGCATCAACCAATACGAGCTGTGTTCTTCTTCTTTTCTTTCCTGCCCGATTAGCAAAAAGGAAGAGGGGAGTATCTTCTTTTAGTTTGACATAATACGGTCCCAAGCACGGAAATCCTTCAAAAGATAACATACATGAATACGAAATCTGAGAAATTGTGATAGAGTGACATGGGCAACTGATCATGCGCAATGCTGTGTTACACGCACACGACGGCCTTCGTTATCCGGAGTACACCAACCCCCCCCCCCCCCTTCTCCATCTCTCCATCCTTCCAGCCTCTAGTATTCTTCCCCAATCCTCTTCCTTCCCACGCAAGCTGACTTGGAAAAGCTTGCGGGGCCATATTATCTACAAATGGATTCTGGTTACGCAGGCCCTTGCAATTATCGGGCCGAGGTTTACCGTTGGGTTGATCGAAAGAGGATGCTCGGCAGCTGTGGAGTCTGCGCACTGGCGCACACTTGGCGCAAATGGTGAGCGAAACTTCCCCCATGGTTGGTGGTCTGTTCTGGTGGATTGATGCTACTATAGCAAGTAGCGGTTCCAACCTGCGCAGTGTGTGGGTGTGGGTGTGTCTGTTGGGCGCGCACAATCCCTACGCAGGGTGGCAAAAGTCACAATCTGGGGCAAAACTGCTTAGACATTGGATAGTATTCCGTACTTGATGTGTATTGTTCGTCTGGCCTCGTGTCTGCCTTATCTAGGCGGGGAGATCCCTTCGGCGATATTATTCCAGATTAAGCCAAGTGTTCCGCCCGGTCGGGAGAGGAAAAGAGAGCCCTGGCATGTGTGAGGACAAAAGGTAAGCTGGGTGAGTGGTGGTGTGGGGTATGGTGTGGTATCGTAGGCACGATAATGGCCCTTCTAGATGATGTTATTTTCTCTGAGCGGCCGCGCGTGACTGTCTCCGTTTCGAGTAAGTGGTTGATTGGACCTTTGTGGCGCCTCGGGCGTGGAGTCTCTGGTTCTAGATTAGGAAGGTCAATGTCCTTTTTGCTCTCTCTCTCACGCTCGCGGCACAACCGAGCCGATCGAGGAGGTGGGGGAAGGTGGCGTTGGGTGCTCATAGTATGTGGTTTGGAGAGAGTGTGTGAAAGAGAGTCCATAAAGAAGGCTCTGTTGGTTCGGGTTGCTTATCATTCATATTCCCACCCCTGGTGGGTCACGCATGAAAGTGTGCATACTGCAAATGATAGTCTCGAATCCGGCACTGAATTCCAGGCTGTATGCAGGGTAATGTAGCTGTGACCCAAGAAATTTGCCCTGTGAGGCTGATAGACGGGCTGTATGCAGACCGTTCGTTGGATGACTCGTAATTTGCATATACTATGGTACAATAACCAGAACAGGTAGTTTATCAAGGCGTTGCATAGACTCGATGGTGGCATATAAATGCAGACACATATACATACCATAATATATATAAAATAAAAAGGTCCCTGGCCTGCGGCAAATAGGAGCGGTAGAGAAAAGGGTGGAGGGCTAATGCTTGTAGACATTTAATTTGCTAGCGCTGCAATCGAGGCGGCCTGGGGGTGGATCGTACACATGCGTAAGCCCACCAGTGACAGTGGGCCCCTCGTAGACCGAGACCTGTACTAAGCCTCTTTGGGTAGCCGAGATGCCATTTCCCCAGAGGTACGTACTACAATACAAGGACAAGGTAGTAAAGAACAGTATGGTACGTCGTGAATCGAAGGCAATGATGTGTGCGCCATGGTGCAACTGCGCAACAACAGAGATATGACTATTGTATCCGAGAGCCTCCTCATTGGTCAGTCTCTTTCATGTCCCCTCTCGCCCATCCTGGAGACGGGTGCAGCCCATCTTTGGTCCTCCTGCGGCTGTGGCTGCTGCTCTGCTGCTTGTTGGTGGAGTTCAATTGATGGAAGAAAAAGGACGAAAGCAAAGGAGAAAAGAAAAGAGGGAAGAAGGAAGGGGACGGAATCCAAGCCAACAAAAAGTCACGTCTTGCCTCTCGTGGCAAGTCTGCATGCGAGCCAAATGCATCTAGAAGCATTCTGTTGGATCTCTAGTGGATCTCGTCTGTCTATCAGGACATGTCTAGTCTTGTACCCATTCTATCTATTTTCTGTGTTTCTTCTAGTTTTCTTTATCTCTCTCTATTTACCTTCTGAGGCTAGAACCAACCTGCAGGTGGTTCTTTCCAGGTCCCTGGGCCGAGCAAGGAACCTTGTCACAAAAGTTGTGAACGAAGACGGGAAGTTGCAATGGTCGCAGTGCCCCCCCCCCCCCGGGCCGCGGCCTCAGCTCTCTGCCCATAATATATGAACCCTTCAACGTAACGCAAGGTGCAGCCTCGGGCTCTTGCCCTGACCTCTCTTTTTCTTTCGCGACACACCTTCGTCCCTATTTCTCTTCCTCCCACCCCCTCTCTTGTCTCTCCTACCACCTCCTTCCCCAGACCATCGGTATCTCAAGGCCAACCCTTTCTTCCTGGGGGTAGCCTTGTGACACCTGGTTTTGCCCCTCCAAACCCACCAGCACCGCCACCATCAACCAAAAACATGGCTGAGAAGCAGGACGTCTACGTCCAGGGCGTCACCCCTGGGCCCAGGTCGGACGAGGAAAAGGTGGACAGCTCGTCGCTGCCCCCCTCGCTGGAGGGTGACGAGACGGTAGAGGACGTGTTTGCTCAGCTGCGCGAGCTGTACGCCGAGCACCAGCTCGACTACAACTTCCCGCACGAGCTCCTCCTGCGGGCCAAGGATGCCCTCGACAACGAGGATTCCGACCCCAACCAGGAGACCACTCGCCAGCTGGTCGCCGAGTTCCACTACCAGAAGCAGCTGTCCGAGAATGACTCCCCCTACCCAGAGGTCAGGGCCGTCGTCGACCCGACTGATGACCCAAGCACCCCCGTCAACACCTTTCGCGTCTGGGTCCTGGGTACCATCTTCGCCATCCTCGGCACGGGTATCGATCAGTTCTTCTCCCTGCGCTACCCTGGTATCAGCATCTACTCGTACCTGATCCAGTTCCTGGCCTACCCGTGCGGCCTGCTCATGGCCAAGGTCCTGCCCACCTACAGGTTTCCCCTAGGCCCACTCTCTTTCACCCTCAACCCGGGCCCTTTCAACCAGAAGGAGCACATGCTCATCACCATCATGGCCAACGTCGCCTTTGGTGGTTTCAACGGTACCGCCTATGTCACCTACATCCTGCAGGTCCTGCGCCTGCCCGAGTACTACAATGACCAGAGTCTGGTCAACAGCGCTGGTTGGCAGATCACCATCGTCTTGGCCACCCAACTCATCGGCTACGGCACTGCTGGTCTTGCCAGACGCTTCCTCGTATAGTGCGTTGAGGTCCCCGATCGGTCTCAATTTCTTTTCTTATTACAAGAAGCAGCAGATTTACTGACTTTTGAACCCCTTGTTGCTTATAGCCCACAATCCATGATCTGGCCTCGCGCCCTCGCCCAGATGGCCATCAACAAGTCTCTACACAACGAGAACGGCCGTGCTGATGAGGGTGAGACTGCTGGCTGGAAGATTAGCCGTCTCAGGTTTTTCCTGTACTGCTTTGGTGGCATGTTCCTGTACTACGTGGGTTTCTCTCGATCCAGATGCGCGACTTCTCAGGGGGTTTACTGACATTTGAATGCATTAGTGGTTCCCCGGCTACATCTTCGAGGCCCTGTCGTACTTCAACTGGATGACTTGGATTGCGCCCCAGAACGTGGTGCTGGCTGTCGTCACTGGAAGCATCTGCGGCATGGGCATCAACCCTATTCCCTCATTTGATGTAAGTCAAGCATGATCGGCCTCCGGGAGTTTACTGTTCATTGCTGACACCGACGCATCCAGTGGAACATGATGAGCTATCTTTACGACCCCATCATCACCCCATTTTTCTCGTACATGAACCTCACCCTTGGCATGCTATTTGCCTCAGTGGCTATCATCATCCCGATATTCTTCTCTAATACTTTCTCTTCGGCCTACTTTCCCATCAACTCATCTCACCCTTTCGATAACACTGCAACCACTTATAGTATGTATCGTCTTTCCAGCTCCGGGAAATTTAATTTACAATGCTGACACCGGAATTCTCAAAAATCAAGACATCAGCAGGGTGCTCACTCCTGAGTTCACGCTCGATGAGGAGGCATATGCGGCGTACAGCCCACCATACCTGTCGGCTTCGTACGCCGTCCTTTACATGTTCTTCTTCGCGGCATACACTTCGTCCATCAGCCACACGCTCCTGTACAACTGGAGGGACCTGGTCATCGGCTACAACAACGTCAAGGACAGCTTCAAGAAAGGCCACTACTTCAAGAGGTCGCGCGACTCTTTCACGGATGTGCACAACCGCCTGATGTCGGCCTATGATGACTGCCCCGAGTCATGGTACATGGCTCTCCTGGCGGTGGCCTTCCTCTTTTCCTGCATTTCGACCCTCTACTACGACACGGGGTTCCCCGTCTGGGGCATCTTCCTGGCAATCGCCTTCTCCCTGACGCTGCAGATCCCACTGGGCATGATCATGGCTATGACCAACAACGAGATCACGCTCAACGTGGTGGCGGAGCTGATTGCTGGGTACACGCTGGCCGGCAAGCCTATCGCCAACATGATCTTCAAGATGTTCGGCTACATCGCGACAGCCCAGTCCATCCAGTTCCTGGCGGACCTCAAGCTGGCCCACTACGCCAAGATCCCCCCCAAGCTGGTCTTTATGGCCCAGCTGTACGCCACCATCTGGGGTGCACTCACTTCCATTGCTGTCAATGACTGGCAGCTCAGCAACATCGAGAACGTCTGCACCTCGGCTGCTGCCGACTCCATGACCTGCCCTGGTACGTAGTATCGCCCCTGATTTCTTTCCCACCTTTTCCGTCATTCACTGGTGGTGATGATGACCCACAGCCGCTTGCGGTGCTAACCCAGTCCAAGGTACCTCTGTCTTTTTCACTGCCTCCGTGATCTGGGGTGTCGTGGGCCCCAAGCGAATGTTCTCCGACGGCATCTACGGACCCACGCTGTACGGCTTCCTGTGGGGTGTGCTGCTGCCGGTGCCCTTTTACTTCTTGGCCAAGCGTTTCCCTACCAGCTGGGTGCGCAACATCCACATCCCTGTGTTCCTGAGCGGGCCTCTCAACTTGGCGCCGTACAACAACTCATACCTGCTCGCGGGTTTGTACCCGGCCTTCTTCTTCAACTATTGGGTCAAGAGACGCTACCAGGGTTGGTGGCAGCGGTACGCGCTCGCCCTCACCACGGCGTTCCAGGTCGCCATCGCCCTGGGCGCCCTCATTATCTTCTTTGCGGTTGAGTACAAGACCGTCACCCTCAGCTGGTGGGGCAACAACGTTCCCTTTGCGGGCGTGGACGGCAGCGGCTCGTGCCCGATCAAGACGCCGCCGCCAAGCGGATCTTTTTAAAGTAATGACTTGGACGTACATATGTGACTCTGTGTATGGGATAGAGGAAGAGAGGAAAGGCAGGAGAAGCGAATTCGATTTCAAACTTTTCTACAATTTTTTCCCCCTCCGTGGCGACTCATTTCCAGTACTTCTTTGTTGTCCCTTGTTTCCTTTTCCTCTCTTTCATTCTCTCCATCTTCCACTGCAGTCGTGGAATACCTGACCGTTTTGAGAGGTATCGGTCAGATCGACCACAAGATTTCCGCAGTGGGAAGAGAGAAAGTAGAGCAGGGGAGGAGACAAGTGTTGAAAGGATATTGTAATGAGAGGTGCTCATGTCGATAGGAGGCAGATGATGATGAATATACCCGATCTTTACTGTGTTCATATAGTGTTCTTTTGAGATGATGACTTTGGCTGTGCCTGACCTGACGCGTGATTGACTTGGTGAGGAAGATACTTCACTTGGGGTCCAGAGCTGACTAAGTATTTTATGTCCTGGATGTTTCCAACCAATTTGATATTGTCGCCGCAGTCTACTTTGAATGTCCTCCCTCCTTTAGGTTAGCCCACCCAGCCACACCACCGAGACCGCTGCTTACCTAAGCGATCCTTCTTACCTCGATGCTCAACTGCGCATAGAAATGCAGGTGACGATGTAGGCAAGAACATCAGTACATATTCGCGCAAAGCCTGCCTGCACTTTCAAGTTCCCTTCCATATCTCCCTCTGGAAGCTTCTCATATCTCCAGCCTGCTCCTCCTCCTCCTCCTCCTCCTCTCCATGCTGCCCGTCGGCATCAGAGCAGCAGCCATGGCGTCAACAGCAACAGCAGCGCGGACATTTCTCGCCTTCCACCACGACGCAAAGCTCTACAAGCTCCCGACCCTCGTGACGGCCGTGCACGCATTCTCGGCCCTGGAAGAGGCCAACAGACTGCTGTTCAAGAAGAAGAATGACGATGGTGATGCGGACGATCACGCCCACCACGTTGTCGTCACGGAGAAGACCATCTTCCACCCGCAGGGCGGCGGACAGCCCTCGGACGTGGGCTCGATGACGGGCCCGTCCGGTGCCGTGTTTGACGTGCTGGCCGTGCGCATGGATGCCGTGCGGGACGGGCAGGTGTTGCACTTTGGCCGCTTCACCGGCACCGGCGCATCTCCCACCACCACCACCACCACCCCTCCTTCCCCTTTCCAGCCCGGCGAGGAAGTCACCCAGTCCATAGACCAAGAAAAGCGCCTCCTGTACTCCCGCCTGCACACAGCAGGCCACGTCCTGGGCGCCGCCGTCCGCCACCTCTGCGAGGCCTCGATCCCAGGCTTTGACGAGCTCAAGGCCTCGCACTTTCCTGGCTCGGCGGCCTGCGAGTTTGCGGGGCTGCTGGAGGGGAAATGGAAGCCCGCCATCCAGGAGAAAGTGGACGCTTACATCGCCGCCGCCTTGCCTGTGGAGATTGAGTGGTGGGATGAGGACGAGTTTCGCCGGCGGGGGCTGGAGAGGTTGATCCCCGGCGGAGATGGGCTGGGGCTGGCGCCGGGCGACAAGTTTCGCGTGGTGAATATTGTTGGGGCTGAGGTGTATCCTTGTGGGGGCACGCATGTGGACACGACGGACCAGTGTGGGGAGACTAAGGTGACCAAGATTTCGAGGAGTAAAGGGCAGTCGAGGGTGAGCTATACAGTCGTGTGAGGCAGAGAGTGTACATTTGACTGTACGTAGACTTTGGTCAAAGTGACACGGGCTGTTTGGGGTATGAAGGATCTCTGGCCTATGCATCTGGTACGGTACATGTCCTGGGCACATATTATACATCATATAGAACAAGAGGAAGTCGGTTCATAGCAGACATCCATGTTGGACAACCCACCCAACCCACAGAGTTATGGGCCTGGCGAGGACAGACTCATTTATAGGAGAAGGAAAGAGAGAACAGAAATATCACTGACCCTCAGCCTGCCATGAAGACATCCCCCATTGGACTCCTAGTTGATGCGATATCATTCATCATCGTCGTCGTCAGCGTTTTTTACGGCTGATATCCCAAATGCCAATGCCAGTCATGACTGCCATGAGTTGCCACCGCTCTCCGAGGATCCCCTGCGCACCGCTGCCCTGGAACCTGAATTTTGCCGCTTTATTCCAAGGAGAATGCCCCGAGTGCGTCGTCAGGACTGCAACCACCTCGCCACCCCCCGTGGCCAGCTCTCCGCCCGCACTGCCCGCATCCGTCGCCAGCCTCACAAGCTTATACCCCGAGCGACGACCAAGCGTCCGCACCGCTAGGCCCCTGCTATATCTCCACTCAAACTTCTCAGGACGCGTGCTCTCCCTAATTTTACCGGGGCCGGTGCCATTGGTATCACCAGCGCCAGGGCGGGGCACATCAACCGTGAAGCCGTACCTCTCGTGAAGGTGAAAGACCCGGCCACCATCGCGTGCAAGGGTCACATGTCCACTGCTCGACGACTTGATGCACTTATGCCGCAGCGCAGCAACGACAGGCTCATGGGCCTCCAGTCCGCTCCGCAGGCGGACTTCGGCGCGGCTGGAGGAGATGCGGTAGAGCGGGTCTTTCCTGGTGCCGAGGAAGAGGCGTTCGTGCCAAGGCATGCGGGCGCGGTTATAGAGACTGAACGAGGTAGGGACGGCGATGGTGTGGGGTGGCAGGTGGGCAGGAGGAGGAATGTGGCCGACCGTTGTGGTCTGCCTGGGCTGGTTGGCTACAGCGGTTTGCTTATAGGGCACGGAGCTGGTCCCTCGTCGAGAACGAGATGACTTTTCATGCTTCTTCTTGTGTTTGTCGGAGTCGCCTACCAGGTAACTGGGGATAGGCTGTCCTGCTGGTTTGTGTTGACAGGGAGTGGAGGCGGTGTGCAATGGACGCCCGCCTGGGTCGGCAAAGATGGCGGGTGGAGAGTACATTCTGACTGAACAGTCTTTGTAGGAAAGAAAAGACGGTCTGTTTGGAGAGAATGAAGGTTTCGAGAGAGCTGTAATCAGATGTGTGATGCTGTGACGGGTAATCAAGTATTGCTAAACGGGATGGAATTGTCTAATAGGTTGAGATTAGAGTTATATGGAGAAGTCCATGAAGGGAGAAGCCAGTTCTTGCTTGGAAAAACATCACATGCGAGAGGTTGACGAGCCTCAAAAATCTGCTTCCATGATTGAGAGCAGTTATCTGAGGCGCTCCTACCGTTTTGCATCGTTCTGTCCTGCCCTCCATAACGACATATGACCACATCGTTGTCAGGGCTCTTGCATACATTGCCTGCATAAGGACAGACAAGAGGGAGGCACGATAACTCTTCTGGCTTGTGCACTAATACTCCATACACAAACCATTGAGATGTAATGAGATTGATCGGACTTTTGATCATTCAAATAAAGCAAGCAACTTGTGCTGATCTGTGAGTGTTTGAGTTGAACTTCTCTGCCAAAAGACATTTGTGAGGCTCTGGTTTTCAAATATATATGAGGCAAACCTGAAAGGCTCCGATTTGCTCAGTGCCTATCTCTGCCATGTGCATCAGTCGACCTCGTCTAGGAACATGGTGAATGTCGCTGTGTTGTCCAAGTCTTCCCAACTCCAGCCCAGGCTGTTCAAGCGAGAGTCCATATCAGCTGCTTCTCCTATACTTTGCTCAATGCCCGAGGGATCCGTCATATCGAAAGGATGGTTGAGGCTGGGCAAGTTGGCGTCCAGGTCTGCAAAAACATCTGGGTGGGTCTGATCTGTCATAGCAAGAATTCCTCCCTGCGTCCCCAATTCCTGGCCAAAGCTCGCATCTTGATAGCCATCGACACCAGCTTCCGCGGCATTGGTATCCTGATATCCGACTGAGGCTTCGTCCACTCCAGATTGAGTTGGCAGTAAAAGTATGTCGATGTCGTTAAAGAACTCCTGGTTGAAACCTGGTTCATCCGCCTCTCGACCGCTCGATCCGATTCCGCGTAGCCAGTCCTCAGTATCACTGGCGAGACCTGCCGTAATCTCAAAAACAGCTGGAGACTGATGCGCGAGACCGGGCTCTGGCAACGTGTCGTACCAGTTCGAGCTGCCATCGCCGGCATCCAATTCCAGATACCGAGGCACACCCAGGCCTGGCTGAGTTTGACCCTCTGTCTGAACCTCTTGGCTGCCACGGCTAGTACTAACCTCGCCAGCCCGACTTGATTCTGCAAACACTGCAAGGCTTGGTAGGTGCAGACGGAGTCGACGCAGGGCAACATCGAGGTAGTGGTCAAACTCCTGGTTGTTCTCCAGAGTTGCAGCCAGCCCGGGGAATCTGTGTAGCTCTCGATGGAACATCTCTCGAATTTCGGGATGCGTGATGTCCTCCTTCCATGGATTGCTTGGCCTCTGTTCTCGGAGTTCAGGGAACAGCTTGTCCCAGACTAGATACCAGCGCTCCTCTTCTTTAGTCCCGGTCGGCAGTTTCCTACCCAGCCAGTCCCTCTGACCCTCCGTGATGCCGTCCAGCTGTCGGGTCGAGTTAGGTCGACACGCCTGGAGACGGAGGTGCTGTGATCTGGCTTCCTCGGTTCGGAAGTACAGCTTGCAAACAGCACAGTGCCAATAATGGCTCTTGTAGATGTGGTCTTTGACATAGCTGATCTTGGTGCCTCCGAACTTGCGGCATTCGCCATGTCTTTCTCTGTCTTTCTTGAAGAAAGGGCAGGCCAAGAGCCTCTCGTCCGTCTTGGATGGACCATCACTTCGTCGGGGCCCTCGGCGCTTCTTGAGTTTCTGGTCCGCTCCATCGTCCCCTTCACGACTGTTCCTTTTCCTCTTCGTAGCTTGGCCACGTGTATTCTGTTCACCCGTCTGGGATGAAATCGACCTTGAGCCTGCTCCAGAACCAGGGTTATTGTTGTCATGCGTCCCAACATGAGTAAACCCTTCTTCCGGACTCTGGAAATTTTCAGCCAAGATTGTGGTGAATATCTCCACAAGGCTTTCATCATCACCAGATTGGCTGAGGCCGTGTTCGACGAGTACCCAATCGGCTGATGAAAGGATGGAGTGGGGAGTGGAACTGGCTGAGCAGCTCGAATCGGAGCGAACACCTGTCATTTGAACCTCGTGGTCATCACCGCCCAGAGAGCGTTCGGCCGCCATTCCTTGCCGAGACGAAGCTGGTGTGGCTATATTCAAAGATGCGTCGCTGTTTGTATCAAGTACTTCTAGCGAGTCCTTCGCAATGGCGGCAGCTAGACTGGAGGTGTTCGCTGAATCTTTTGATACCCGTAGACTAGGAGTCTGTTGATTCTCATCATCAACAGTCAATGTCAGGTGCTTCAGATGAACTAGCTGCTCTTCCTCATTGAGAAGGTTGGTTGGCCGGTTCTTCTCTCCCGGAAGTCCCTCTGTGAATGATGTCTTCTGGTCCGAAGCAGACGAACTTTCTGCAAGAATTGGCTGTTCTTCAGGCTGAGGGGCATACGCTACGAGAGGTACAGAAGACGAATATTCTGAACTCCGGTAGCCAGTACGCTCAAGATGGCACATGCTACAGCGCACGTGCTGACAACCCCGTTCAAGACATTGGGGAGTTGTTTCCACGTTGTTGGGGCCGCTATGGCATTGGCACTGGTAACATACTACTTAGCACATGGACGAAAGACATCAGCCGGGACGATACTCATGTACTTACACATAGCCATATATAAGCTCCCCGTTTATGGTAGGGCATTTTGATTGTGATAGTATCCTTGTTGCTCGTTTTCCAAGTTTATTAAAGTTGATTTGTATCACCGAGTCAAAACAATGGAAAAGAAAAAAAGTTAAGAAGAGTGCTTTTGAGAAGGCGGAGAACGAGGACTTTTGCTATGGTTGGCAAGCAATTGTTCAAGGATGAGTACGCCTGACCTTTAGTTTCCTAGCACACACAGCAACTTGAGCAAACGGTTGCCCACGGATAAGATTCGTTCCTACCTGAGATGGTGTGCAGTGAACAGTAGGGATTGGTTGAATGCACATGCAGGTCCCGTTTAGCCCAGTCAGCAGTCTCCTCGGCCTGATGCAGGGCCGGCTTGACGTAATTATGTACCCGTTGACGTTCATGCATAAATTTGAGCGTGCAGAACCGTCACTGCATGGGTTCCACAGAGAAGACTGACCAGGAATAGCCAGTTTCTGGTGGTGTATGTAGCATCATATATCGATTCGATTCGAGTAATTCTGTAACATAGTCATTATCAAGTACTCATTCTGGAGTGAACCTTTGATATACCCACTTGCTATGCACACTTTTCATATCGTCATTACAGAAAGACTTCAAACTCTGTTCTTCCTCCGGACAACCAATCTCACAATGTCCAACCCGATGAGCCTATTAGGATCAGTTTCCTGCGGCACTTTAGCAATGAGGATGCCACTCCATGTGCGACGTTCCGGCTGAGCCTATAGCATATATGCGTGGACGTTCCGGCCTTGCAGTTCTTCGAGGTTGTCTTTGCAACGCTCGCTCTTCAAGGTCCAGCACTGACCTAGGGCGACAAACATCGTCTCGTATTAGATCTTGAAAAGAATATAGGATGGCTCTGCTCCAAGAGCCACGTGCGTCGTAGTCGAATGGTATATAGCACCTGTCATCCCAGCCTACCCAGGACCATGATGGGAACTGATTGCATCGCCTCGTGAAAGGACGGTACCCCTTCGCTTCGACATCGCGCCAAGGCTGCCAGCTAAGGCATTCGCTGAAGTAAGATTTGTCACTGGAAAGGGGCTCGCATTTAATTAGGATGCTAGAATATGAGGTAGGTTTGTTGTTAATGATGCTTGGTCGAGCAGATCAAGCACTACAGGCCACAATGGAAATCCATCAAATACGGACTGTAGGGGTGGCCCCTTCCAACCCCGCTACAGGAGCGATTGTACGGTATATGGTGTCTAGGTAGAAGTTGCACACACGTCATCGCGCTGGCACAGGTGCAGACCACCCAAAGGGGGTTTTGCAATGTCCTTTCCCTACGGGTTTCCCCTACGGCTTTCTCGCCACATTCTAGTAACAGTCTTTGATTCATTATCAAATGTGTGAGGACAGGAAATATCGAAACCAAACACTGAGAGAAGAATTCACGGGAAGTCAGTTACTGAATTGTACTTGGTCAAGTACCTTTAGTACTTACCATGGTACTTCAGTTGCAGCGGTGACTGCTCGCACCCCAATTCGGCTTCCCTTGACCTGTCCAATCCGCTGACATAATCACCATGTCCAGGGGTACAAAACCATTGCAGATACACAAATGACTACGAGCACTCGATGGACCACCGATCAACAGGATGAAAAAAAATAAAATGACAAGAGTGAGATTCGAACTCACGCCTCTTGCGAGACCACGAAGAGATATTCAAGTTTTGAGAACCTGAACGTGGCGCCTTAGACCGCTCGGCCATCTTGCCTTGTTGAAAATTTGGCCGGAACAGATGTATTATGACTCAAAGCAAATGGTGAGAGTGGGTCTCGAGACGGATGTGACCCGAGTTGGTGGGTGAACGGAGTAGGTATGGTTCATGGGCGGGCCGAGACACCTGAACCGGCATCTTGGTTAGAGTATACAGGCGATAATGAGGGCTCCATGGCAAATTCGGTCGCAAGAGAAGAGAACATGAGCGAGTACATTGAAAGCAGTTAGGGGGACGTGTGTAAATGGTTCAAATATCTGGACCTCAAGTCTCGGCGATTTTGCTCCCAGAAACCGCGGGTCGGACAGACAGAAGAGACGGCTAGCTGTCGGAGATGTCGGTGTATGCCCCTTCTCCGAACTACACCTTCTCAACAGCCGTGGGAAAGACCTCATGTTCTCTCACATCCAGAACAATCATATGGCCTGGGCTATGGGCCATGATAGTGCCCTGAAGCCCAGCCATCTCAACCGCATTCTGCGGAGTCACCCCACAGCCCCAGAAGACGGGCACAAAGCCCTGCTCACTCTCGTCAAAGGGCTGTCCGCTTCCATCTAGTCGCAGACTCTGGTCACCCCATTGAACCCGCGTGATATCCTCAATGCCTAGTTTTTTTGCTCCGTCCCAGCCCCATGCGATAGGCTCGCCATGGGTGGCCACGTACGGGCGAGTGATGTCGCGGACTTTCTCGACATCTTGCAGCTTGTATGGGCGCATGGAGACCACGTATGTTGCGCCCGTGAACACGCCTGCCGGGCACAGAGGGATGTTGGTCCTGTACATGGGCACATTGCGCCCTTGGACCTGGTGTCGAGGTGTCAAGCCAGCAGCACTGAGGGCTGACTCGAAGCTGTAGGAGCACCCAATCACGAACCCGACATGATCATCCGTCCACACAGACGCAATGTCAAGCACGTCACCACCATCAGCCTGTCCATTCCTATAGAGCCTGTATTTGGGAAAGTCGTGGCGCAGGTCAATATCCTCGGCAACTTCAAGCACCACCTCGTCTACATGCGTTCTGTCATCCCCCTTTTCCCCGCCCATGGTTGTTGCGTGAATAGGCGCTTTGAGGTGTGACCGCAACAAGGTCGCATCGCCTGGCGTCAAAGACTCAGCGACAAGAGGGCAAGGAACAGGATTGCGGGCACACAACAGACGAAAGTCGTCCGCATATCGGGAGGGCAGAACGATAAGATTTGCTTGAAGGTAAGATGGGGCAACGCCGGCCGTCACGCTCGTAAACGTCTTGTTACGTGCCGCCAGACGGGCAGAGAGTCCTGTAGGATATTTCTTGTCGGGGGTTTGATCGATCGCCATGGTGGATGTCGATGTAGTCGACGGGCAACGAGCTGCTAATCAGTTGTTGACTCGCTATGAATGGGGAAGAGCACTCTATAGTATTACATTTCGATGTCGGATTTGGTTGGAGACGGAAGCCACCTTCATATTAAATAACACAAGTCGTATGAAATTGATTGTGATCGATAGCATGGGCTGATCGGAGGTCAGCTCATGAGGGGTGTAGTGGTTCTCGGTCAGATCGGCAGGGCTACCGGCCATGGATGCCGACGCGAGGCGTTATCAGCTGGTACAAACTCGTTGTTAGCTGCATGGCGGACCCCAGCTCTCAACAGCCCGTGGTGAAGAGTACATACTCATGATCATTGAGTTTGTTGGTACATATTTATTGCAATGCGCGCATGCGGCTGCATCAGTACAGCAAGGTCAGAAAAACCTCGAGAAGAGCTGGCTCGCATACTAAGCGACGCCCCTCCTGGTTGTTCGTCGACTGCCTCGAGCATCATGATCGTCACCAGCCTTGGGCTTGCTGTCTTGGGCGCGAGACAGGTCTCGGCCTTGCTCGGCAGGGCTGCCGACCTGTTTCTTAAGGTCCTCGATCTCCCCCTTCTGCGTCAGCACCAGCTTCTCCAGTTTCTTGATCTTTCTCGAGAGGCCAGAACGGGCGGTCCAAGGCTGGTGTATGGCTGCCCGGACGGCGGCCAGCTGTGCCTTGGCGAGAGTCTGCTCGGGGTCTCTGGTCACCTCTTCGAGAGCGGCGAGGGCTTGCTGTCGCTTCTTGCTTCTATAGCGGGCCTTGCGCTTCTGGGAGGGCTTCTGAACGCCATTGTGGCTCTCGATGGACCGGAGCGGGATGTTTGCTTTCTTTGGGTTGGGCGCGTCTGCCTTGCTCGGCGCAGGCGCAGGCGCAGGTGTGAGCTTGGGCTTGGAGGCTCGCGTTACAGGGGCCATAGTGGCTCTGAAACCAAAGATTGTTTTAAGCATGTAGTGGCATTCGAAGTAGGCAGTGCACATAATCAAAGGATGATTGCTGACGCCTTCGTGGACGCGTTCTGATGCCAATGTGCGAAGAGTCTCCAGTCACTTCGAGGATCAATCAACAAATGGCATGTGGGGAGATAGACCTTAGTGGCGGAGGTGTGGGGGTACGTACCGTTTTCGAGGACGCTGCTAGGGGCCCCTGCTCCGTTGCCCTGCCTGGATCTTGCTGCCGGCTGTGGACAGCCGGCGGGCAGGCACGGCAGATAGCCTTAGCGCGACAGGGCTAGGAATTCCACTCCGATCAAGACCCACCAGATCGTCCCCAAGTCGTCGCCGGATTTCCACTCCGTTAGAACCACCACTGACGTCTCACCCCTCACTTCACACCCTCCTTGCAGGGATCTAACATTGTCTCAGTCATTTGTACTATGGTGTTATGGTACCAAATCCCAAGAGGACTTCGATAATTGCATGTGAATCAAGAAGGACCACGAGCAGGATGAGGAGGAGGCAAGGAATGAAGGAGCCCCAGTGCGACGTCTCTGGATGTACGTTGGTAATGCATTTCTGCTATACTCGCCGCTTTTTTGTCTAATGATTTTCGTTACTAATGAGTTTGGCTTGAAAATCGACTTGATGTCGAGTCCATGACAAATTGGGAATGCTTGTATGTCCTCTTCGCTCGGAGCCTCACTCCAAACCATCTCTACCTCAGAAGAGGTGGCGAGTCTTTCTCTCTAATTTCAAATCTCATCGAGACCATCTAAATACAACACGAATTCCCCTTACATTCCTGATACCATCAAGAACAAGCCACTTCTCTCGCCCTGTCCATATCGTGCACCAAGAACATGCAGTAAGCACATAATCAAGCTCGGACTCGGAAGCCAAGACCGCCATACACACGCCCCCAACCTCCTCCATCAGCTCAACCCTTCTCAGCCTTGTCAGGATGGGCTCTGTTCCCGAGGCCGTGTCTCTCGGCATCCGCATATCTATCGATCGCGGCGGCACGTTTACAGACGTCCACGCCTCCATACCAGGCCGGGACGACATCATCCTCAAGCTTCTCTCTGTCGACCCAGCGAACTATCAAGATGCCCCCACTGAGGGCATCCGCCGCATACTGGAGCTGGCCACTGGCGAGCCACACCCCAGAGGCCGATTGCTCGACCTGCGTCATATTGAGTCCATACGCATGGGCACGACTGTTGCGACCAACGCCCTGTTGGAGAGGAAGGGTGCCCGCTCAGCACTCCTGATCACGAAAGGATTCAAGGATCTGCTTTTCATCGGTAATCAGTCGCGCCCTGACATCTTCGACCTGACCGTGGCAAGACCAGAGGTGCTGTATGAGCAGGTGGTCGAGGTTGACGAGCGCGTGACTATGGAAGACTACACCGAGGATCCCAGATCTGTCAAGACCGCCGTCACATCTGAAGATGCAGATCTCGTCACTGCCGTCACAGGCGAGACCATCCGGGTTATGCAGAGACCAGACCTTGATGCCGTCAAGCCATCCCTGCAGTCCCTGTGGGACCAGGGCTTCAGATCCATCGCGATTGTATTCGTCCATTCCTATGCCTACCCTGCACACGAGCTCCAGGTGGGCCAGCTGGCGACAGACATGGGATTCAGTGTGACGTTGTCGTCTGCTGTCCAGCCCATGATCAACGTGGTTCCGCGTGGCATGTCGGCCATGGCCGATGCATACCTGACTCCAGTGATCAGAGACTACATTTCGTCCATCGAGGCGAATTTCGCTGGCGGTTTCAACAGCGACGGCACCCGCATTGAGTTCATGCAGTCTGATGGCGGCCTGGTGGACTATCGCAAGTTCAGCGGCCTGAAGGCTATCTTGTCTGGTCCTGCTGGTGGCGTGGTCGGTTATGCTCAAACCTCGTGGGACGTGGAAGAGAGGAAGCCCATCATCGGGTTCGACATGGGAGGTACCTCCACAGACGTATCTCGGTATGCAGGCGTGTATGACCACGTTTTTGAGACGACGACAGCGGGTATCAGTGTGCAGAGCCCCCAGCTCGACATCCACACTGTCGCTGCCGGCGGCGGCTCGATATTGACCTGGAAAAATGGCCTCTTCAACGTTGGCCCTGAATCTGCAAGTGCCCATCCAGGGCCTGCTTGTTACAGGAAAGGTGGCCCGCTCACAGTCACAGACGCCAACCTCTTCCTGGGCCGTCTTCTGCCTGAGTACTTCCCCAGGGTCTTTGGCCCACATGAAAATGAACCCCTGAACAGAGATATCACCGCCGAGAAATTTGCAGCCATGACGGACGACATCAATGCAGACCGCAAGCGCGCAGGTCTTTCTCCTTTCTCGGCCGAGGAGGTCGCTATAGGTTTCCTTGAGGTTGCGAACGAGGGCATGGCACGTCCTATACGCGCACTGACCGAAGCTCGTGGCTACGAGACATCTGCCCACCATCTGGCCTGTTTCGGTGGTGCTGGAGGGCAGCATGCGTGCTCCGTCGCCTCAGTTCTCGGCATCTCAAGAATCATCATCCACAAATACTCGTCCATCCTCTCGGCCTATGGCATGTCTCTGGCAGACGTCGTGCATGAAGTACAGAGACCGGCCGCTGTGACATACACACCTGACACGGCGCCATCCATTCACAGGCAGCTGGGCGACCTGGCGACACAGGCGTCCGACGAGCTGAGGAGCCAAGGATTTGCCGATCAGCGCATTTCCCATGACTATTATCTCAACATGAGATACACCGGTTCCAGTAGCTCTCTTATGATTTTGAAGGGCGAAGGATGGGATTTCAAGACCGAATTTGAGATTGCTCACAAGCGTGAGTTTGGGTTTCACTTCCCTGACAAGGCTATCATCGTCGACGATGTTCGCGTCCGTGCTACGGGAGCGGCGCATGCCAAGGTCGAAAAGAGCCCATATGCTCAGCTTAAGGCGGCTGAAGGTATCGCCGCAAAGACACCAGCCGCAAGCAGCAGCAGCCGGGTGTATTTTGCCGAGGGCGCCTGGGTCGATACTCCCACCTTTGAGCTCCAAACGCTTCCTGTCGGGTCTAAAATAACCGGCCCGGCACTCATCATCGACAAGACTCAGACTATCGTCGTGACACCAAGCTCAATTGCCACGATCCTCGACAGCTACGTCGTCATCGACCGCCAGTCCCGTCCGACTGTCACCTCCTCCAGCTCTGAGTTCTCCCCGATTCAGCTGTCCATCTTTGGCCATCGCTTCATGTCCATCGCGGAGCAGATGGGGCGCACACTCCAGAAGACATCCGTGTCGACCAATATCAAAGAACGCCTTGATTTTTCATGTGCTATTTTCTCTCCTGACGGTGGCCTCGTCGCTAACGCGCCCCACGTGCCTGTTCATCTTGGCTCGATGCAATTTGCGGTTCGCTATCAGCACCAGCTTTGGGACGGAAAGCTGAAAGACGGCGATGTGCTCGTGTCGAACCACCCTGCCTGCGGTGGAACCCATCTCCCCGATATCACAGTCATCACACCCGTCTTTGATGACACGGGCAAGCTAGCCTTTTACGTCGCCAGCAGAGGACACCACGCTGACATTGGCGGCATCCTGCCCGGGTCCATGCCTCCCAACTCGGCAGCCCTCTGGCAGGAAGGCGCATCTATCGAATCTACCAAACTCGTATCTGAAGGTGTCTTCGACGAGGAAGAAATCACCCGTCTCCTGCTTGACGAACCCGCGAAACACCCCAGCTGCTCCGGCACGCGCAAGCTTGCAGACAACATCTCGGACCTCAAGGCCCAGATTGCCGCCAATCAAAAGGGCATCACGTTGATCAGATCGCTCATCGCTGAATTCGGCCTGGATGTTGTTCACAGGTACATGTATGCGATCCAGACAACAGCAGAGATCGCCGTGCGAGAGCTCCTCAAGCGCACGCTGGCCAGCAACGGCCCTACACTGACGGCTGTTGACTACATGGACGACGGAACTCCGATCGCGCTTAGCATCACACTGCGCGAGGATGGCTCCGCGACATTTGACTTCACTGGCACTGGGCCCCAGGTGCTGGGAAACACCAACGCGCCCATCGCCATCACCCACTCCGCCATCATCTACTGCCTGCGCAGCCTTGTCAACTCATCCGTGCCGCTGAACCAGGGATGCCTGAATCCGATCGATATCGTCGTGCCGCCCGAGAGCATTCTCAGCCCTGCCAAGGGCCTCGGCGTGGTCGGCGGAAACGTGCTCACTTCGCAGCGCGTGACGGATGTCGTGCTCAAGGCCTTCCGTGCATGTGCCGCTAGCCAGGGCTGCTGTAACAACCTGACCTTCGGCACAGGCGGCAAGGATCCGGTAACGGGCGAGCACGTGGAAGGGTTCGGCTGCTACGAGACGATCGCTGGTGGCGCCGGAGCCGGGCCGGGCTGGGCAGGGGCCAGCGGCGTGCATGTCCACATGACCAACACCCGTATCACGGACCCAGAGGTGTTTGAGAAGCGGTATCCGTGCCTGCTGCGCCGTTTTGAGCTGCGAAAGGGGAGCGGCGGGAAGGGCAAGTGGGATGGTGGCGAGGGCACGGTGCGAGAGATCGAATTTCGGGTTCCTGTGACGTGCAGCATCCTCAGCGAGAGGAGGAGTAGGAGGCCCTTTGGTATGGAGGGCGGCGGAGAGGGCGAGATGGGGCGGAACTTGATTGTGAGGAAGACGGCGAGCGGGTGCGAGGAGGTTGTGAGCATGGGCGGGAAATCGAGCGTCCAGCTGGAGAAGGGCGAGAGGGTGGTTGTGATGACGCCTGGAGGTGGAGCCTGGGGAACAGCTGTGTAACATGATTAAATGATATGTTTTCCTTACTTAATGATACATGATTTAACTTTTATGAAGTAGTTTCTGGGGATTGATACAGTACTTCTTTTTGGGCCCGGGGGGCCCGGGGGGGCGGGGGGCCCGGGGGGGCGGGTGGGGGGGTCCAGGTCTCGATGATTTTGTGTGAGATTGTATTGCAGCACTGCTTTCAGAATTTAGATGACTAGGAGTCTGTGACTTGCTGGCTAGCAGGTGAGAATGAGCCTGTTGTCTCTTTTGGCGAAGATGGCAAGATTGAAGAAGACTTGAACACTCTAATACAGGCCGTCTTTTTTTCTTCTTCTTTCTTCCTTCTTCCCATTACTGTACATTGTTGCTGAGTGCAGAGAAAATAAACTAATCACAAGACAACATTAGAAACGTAAGGGTTCTGCTACATGACTGACATACTTTCTACAAAATTCCCAAGGAAATGAAAGCCTTTAAGAGACAATTGATGATTGCAAGAGTCTCCAGCTTGAGCGGCAAGTCGCCCTGACCCACACCACGGTGACGGTGCAAGGAACCCCTGCACTCGCGTCCCTGAGATCCTTACAGTAGATTGCCTGCCGGTCAGTCGTATGGTTGCTTTGAATCTGACTACCTTTTTGAACGCGACGTGAGCCAAACTATCAACTTTACATCACGTTTCCCTCAACATCAATCTTCTTCTTCTTCTTCCTTATTTTATTCCTGCCACAGCCCAGCCACCATCACAATATGCCTAGTGATGCTGGTCCCCAGCGACTTCAGAACCAATAATAAACAATAGCAATGGTGGTCTGTAAGTTTTACGAGCAGGGAAACTGCAGATATGGTGGTAAGTGTTTATGGTTCTTTTCACTGCGTGCCCCTCCTCCTTCCATCTTGCTCCTTGCCCTTCCACTGCTGGCAAAATGGCTGGTTCTCTCGACGCGTGTCTATTGTGTGCCCCTCGCGTGGTGCATAAACGATATCTCGACTCTGGTCCTCCGTCTAGCCACCAAGTTTCCCTTTGCGACAATGAACTGCGAACCCGCACGACTTCCACCTTGAACACCATCAACACTACACAACTACGCAACACGATGACGACGATAACGACTACTACGACGATAACGAGATGGTCTCGCTTGCCGAGCGCCGCCACAGGGGCGCGATAAGCCTGAACATGCTCAGCCAGGTCCCGTCTCCCAAGATCAATTCTCCCAAGGGCCAGGGCAAGGAAGTTGCAGCGTCCGAGGCTGGACCCTGCAACTCGAAGCCGCCTGCGACCGCCAACTCAGCTTCCACCACCATTTCCACACCACGTTCTTCTTCCTACTCGGGCGGGCAGAAAACCCAGGTCTCCAAGACCCCCGAGGCACAGGATGCTGCTGCTGCTGCCGCCGCGGAGGCCTCGAGCAGTGCTCGCACTGCACAGCCTACCAACGTCAACAAGCCAGTCGCCCCTCCGGTCAGGAGAGGCCCGACCCTGTTCGTCATGATGTCTCCTGCGGCACCGGCGGCCCAGGTGACACCCATTCCCACGGTGACGGCTCCCTTGGTGGTGACGGCTCCGGCAGTCGCGCAGCCTACAGAAGCCCAGAAGACCAACATGTCCGATGCTCCCCGCCCAGCCGAGCCAACTCCGATGATACCTTATCTACCTTCTGTGGAGGACGAGGACGGCATGGATCTCTACTCGTCTATGAACACCTCGCCAGATTTGGGATCTCCAGTCTTCAAAGCCCGTAACTTGGACTCCCCAACCTTGCCATCTCCAGATTTTGCAGACCACGACGTGACGGTCTACACGCCCCGCACCACCCAGCATATCATTCTCGAATGGGTTCTGACCCAGTGGCATCAGGGCATGAGCCAGAGCATAGCTAACCTCGCGTCTGTACTAGCCAATTGCAGGTTCGAGCATCTCAACACCAATAGACAAAATCAAAACCCTTTCAGCGCCCTGTCCAACACTCGAGGCGGATCTGATGGCAACACCTACAACCTCAACCGTGACACCATAGTCAGGGATCTCACTGAGGAGCGGCCATCATGGCTTCTGTCCGCATACTCACCCAGCCGGGACCTCCCGGAGCAGCTTTGGGGAGGGCAGCTCGAGCAGAGTTTCGAGGAGATGCGACTACACTTCATGACGGGAGCCGCAGCAGGCAATCCCCAGGGAGCTGTGAGTCCTGTGTGAATACCGGACGAGCCCGCCATACATCGAAACGCTGACAAATATACAACCAGTTGAACGACATCCAACAACTCGAAGCCCAAGCGCAGCAGAAGATACAGGCTGCGGTTAGCAACCCAGACGCAGCCATCGGCTACATCCAACAAGCTGGGAACAACCACCCAAACCGCCAAGATCTGTGCCGGAATGACCCGTCTCGAAGCACCGGAGAATTCGCCGTTGGCAAGCGTCCTGTTGGTATCGCGTCTCCCCAGGCACCCAATGCTTTTTCACAGCCAGCCCCGACCAGCAATCCGTTTGGTCAGCCGTCTGCTCTTGGTCAGAGACCCAACCCATTCAGTACTGGGACGTCAGGATTTGGGCAACAGTCGGGTCCTAGCCAGTCCTCACCTTTCGGTCAACCCTCAGCTCTTGGTCAGACCTCTGCGCTCGGTGGTGGCGGGTTTGGTCAGACCTCATCACTCGGCCAGAACTCCACACTCGGCGGCGGCGGCTTTGGCCAGGCATCTGCCCTGGGCCAGAAGCCCAATCCTTTTGGCCAGCCCTCTTCCCTTGGTCAAGCTGCAGGCACTGGATTCGGCCAGACGCCTTCTCTGGGACAAAAGCCCAATCCCTTTGGAAATACTGGTTTCGGCCAAGCATCACAGCTCGGAGCTAAACCCAATCCTTTCGGATCTGGGGGTTCTGCTTCGTCGGCATCTCCATTCAGTGCCTTTGCGGCAAACAACAGCAACAACACCTCGACTGCCAGTCCTTTTTCTGCCCTCTCCGGCGCAAATAACAACTCCGGCACATCTGGTCTGAGCGGCCAGCCACCTACTGGTGGTGGTTTTGGTCAGCCACAGCAACCGGCCAGCACTGAGGTCTCTATGGATGGCAACCCCACTCCTATCACCGGCGGTTTTGGCGGCCCAGCGAATAATGCTGCTGCGCCAGCAAACCCTTTTGGCCAGCCCGCACAGTCGACTACCTCTGCATTTGGCCAACCAGCTCAGCCTGCTGCAAATCCTTTTGCTGCTGCGGCTCCTCAGCCCTCCACAACTACTACGAGTGCTGCAGTGACTGGTCCATATGCGCCCAACGCCTCGCGGCAGCACCCACCCTTTGAGAGCTATGCGACTAAGGCACCCAATGGCCAATTGCAGATGTGGAAAGGTCAGCAGGTGGCGCCGAAGGAAATCGATGATGCCTTGGCCATCGGCACACAAAACTTTGGTCAAGGCTGGTCCAAGATCTGGTTTCCTGACGGCCCGCCCCCTTACTACAAGGAGACAGAGCCCGAAGGCGAGTATACGGAGGCGGACAAGGCCAAGTGGAAGAACTTCATGGCGACGGGCAAGTTTGACCTCGCTACTTCAGGCGGCGGCGGCGGCATGCCTGAGGCACCTCCTCTGAGAGAGTTCGTCCAGTGGGATTTCTAAAGTCGATGAAGATACCACCTCAACCCGTCTCATCAGGAAATTTGTTGCAACAATCGACGAGTTGTTTGCCGCACCTACTGCGACGTGATCTTAAGGAGGCCGAGATAGAATATGTACTCTTGAGCACTGAGCAGCAGGCCGTGCAGCATCACAAGCACAATCGACAGGCGATTCTTCGTCGACTGCATAACACTTGTTCACTGTTCGACAAGCGTATCTACGCAAGACGAACAACTTACCCGTCTAGTCAATATACATACCTCTCGGAAGCGAAGTGCCGGCGTGTACATGAGGCACGGCTATATGGGAGTAAGATACAACGGGAAGAGGGGATTTCAAAGGAAAAGCTACAATGGATTGGGCAGGAAGGCACTTGAGATAAACCAAAGAAAAAACCAGCAGCATAGATGCGGAAACGGGTTACAGCTGCATCGAGGCACCGACGGCGGGGGCGTTTCTGAAGCCAGGATGTGATTTGCGTTTGCTGTTCTTACATTACGATACCATACCATACCATACCCCAATGAGGAGAGGTGATCTATGTGAACACCAAGCTAGTCTTTGTATCATTGATAATGGCTGTGACAATTCTAGGTATTTGGACAATGGGATTGAATCCCAAACAGGCGTCACGACTCGATTGACTAGGTTTGGTCCAAGATGTTTGATATATCACCTCAATACCACCAAAGAATCACACAAGGAATATGGGATGTCAGTTCAGAATGGTCTCTTTGTAATTTCTATCCGCGCTACACTGCTCGACACAGACAATACTGCCCGTGTCGAAGATGATATTGACCAGCAACACGAAAGATCTCGCATCTCCCTTGCGACCACTGCTCGCCCCAGTAGCACACACACAGACGTGCAAGGCTGGAAATAGTCCAGCGGTGTGTAAGCGCCATTCGGTGTCGTGCCGGTGCGGAGTAGTGATCGCTGCGGGAGTGCGCAGACCGGGGTTTGGGCGAACCGCCGCGTGCACTTAAGCAGCGATGGTAACCTCAACCTCGACGCCGGCCTCGATGTTGACGATGATCTGCTTGACGACCTCGGTGGGGGCGGTGAGGCTGTTTGCACAAGTTCACTGATTAGCACGCACACACACACACACACACACACACACATGCGTACAGCCATCCGTCTCTGGGCGTTCTGGCCAGGAGGAGACTGAAGCAAAAAAAAAAAGAAGAAGAAAAAAAAAAGACGTGGGAGGAAGCCAACGTACTCGATCAGGCGCTTGTGGATTCTCATCTCGTACAGATCCCAGGTCTTGGAACCCTCACCGCAAGGGGTCTTGCGGGTGGTGATCTTGAGGTTCTTGGTGGGCAGGCGGACGGGGCCCTTGACGGGCAGGTCCTTGCCCTTGGCGCGCTCGATGAGCTCGGTGCAGACCTTCTCGAGGGACTGGACCTTGCGGGAGGTGAGGGTGATGCGGATCTTGTGGGTCTTCTGTTTGCGTGGGGGAAGAAGAGGTCGGTGTCTTGGTTAGTTTATCGTGATCTGCTTCCTTGGATAATCTTGTGGTGGTGGGGTTGGAGGGTTTTGGATGTAGGAGGAGGGGGGGGGGGGGGGGGAGAAGGGAACATACGGGAGCCTCAAAGTCACCCTTGTCGCCCTTCTGGTAAGACATCTTGACTGTTTGTTGTAGGTGATACGGCCTTCACGACTCGAACGTTTGGGTGCGTTGCGGCAAAGTGATGAAGGCTGGCGAAGAGATGTTTGTTCTGGTTTTTTGACAAAGGTCGTATTGAGAAAGCAAATGCGATAAAAAGTTCGCTAGGATAGGTTTTGATGCGACGGGGCAAAGGTGTGGGATACGCTAGAGCAAGGATGGCTTAGCGCCTCTAGTCAACGCTGATGACCTGATTGGGCAGGCGCAGCTGTGAGAAAACAGTGATGAGTCAGCCGGCGAGGATGGTGTCACGACTTGCTGTAATGACATCGATGAAAAGGAAGTGCTTGGGCAGGCCAAGATATTGGGGGGGATCTACCTCGCTCGATCACCGTACATACTTGGTGAATCCTACCTCTCTCTCTCCATCTTCTCTTGGGTGCTGTTCAGCCAGATGAACAGCGTATGCAACACAAAGCTACAACACAAAAACAATGGCCTCAGTGCTTCTACCTCCATTTGCGCCTTTTCCTTCAGCTGCATGGAAGGACTTGCTATCCATTGACGAGTGGAATACCAGTCTGGCAGCATGGATTTCTCTAGCCGAGACTCACATCCACCTGGCCGACCCCGACTTCTCGAAGCAGACCCTGCATGACGAGTCCGTACAGGCTTTCCTCGACTCCTTCATGAGAGAAGTCGCAGCTCATGGCCCAGCTCTCGTTGGCACCTCGATCTGGAGCAAATTGCTCTTGAAGAACTGCTTTCTCTTGAGCTCCAGGTTATTGGCTTTTCCTTCATCACTGCTGCTGAAATGGGAGTTCCTATCCGATTTCAGTCATGTTTATGGCAAGAAGAGAGTTGGACATGTGTTGTCTCAACTACCCGAGCCGTGCCAGGCCACGGTGGAGGTTTCTCTGACCGCAGTCAAGAAATTTCTCATCAAGAACCTAGATGAGGGTATCAAGGGCGATCTGAAGTCAGTTGAGGAGCGTCTTGAGCGGCTGAACCACCTAATACACGCATCCCCTTCCGCTGCGTCCTTCTTGCTAGCTGGAAGCGAATTTCTTGACGGCCTCATCAGTTGCTACAAGATCATGAACCCACCCTTGAGGAAGGTTCTCGTCACCACCACTTACCTCAGCCTCATGGGCTTGATGGAGAGTGATCCACCCAAGCTGTCCATGCTCACTGATCAGATGTACTCACTGAAAACAGCCGCCGAGGCTCACAAGGCCGGGCCGACCAGCGCAAATGACTCGCTCGTCCCCGAGCTGGTGAGCACAACCCCGCTGCTGCTGCAGATCGAGCACAAGCTGGAGGCATCCGGTACCGAGAATGCACGGGCAAGGAATGTTCTGAGAGACCTGTCTGCTTGGAAGAAGCCAGGGCCGGGAATGAAGCCCAAGAGGCTGGTCAGGCGCCGGGTCGACAAGGGTAAAGGGGCTGCGCTGCATGACCATGAAGCCATGGCTGGCGAGGTGCACGTCCACCGCATGAGCCAGATCACGCAGATACAAGATCTGTTTCCTGAGCTTGGGTCAGGCTTCGTGTCCAAGTTGTTGGATGAGTATGGTGACGATTCGGAGCAAGTCATCGCCCACCTCCTGGAGGATTCGCTGCCGTCACATCTCAAGGAAGCAAATCGCAGCGAGCAGTTGTACGTAGATCCTGGCTACTTGCCCTGCGTGGAGTGTTTTGCTCACTATTGTCACAGATCCAACAGACCCAAGACAAGGAGAAGATCCAGCCTGATGCCTCGCTCAACACCTCCCCAGCTTCCCCAGAGACACAACGCCTATGATGATGACGAACTGGTTGGCCTAACGATTGGTACCTCGAATCTGCACATCGGCAAGCGGGATGCCGAGAAAACTGCAGACGACGTCCTCGCAGACCGAGCAGCAGCACCCAATAAAGCAGCCATCCTCTCCGCCCTGGCTACCTTTGATCTGGATGATGATGAGCGCGATGACACGTACGACGCAGCCGACGTAGGTGGCACGGTCGACAACGCAGAGCCGGAAGCCGCCACAGACGACAATGAGGAGGTTTTGTGGAAGGCCTACCAGGCTGATCCGAGAACATTCAACAGAGACCAGGCGACTCGAGGAAGCGCACCAAGAAGCAAGCTGAAGGCTGGAACGGGAATGACTGATGAGGCTATCGAGGGCTGGGCCATCATTCTCTCACGCAATGCGAACAATAAACGCCGCCTCGAGATGAAGTACAGTGCTGTCAACGCGTTCACGGGACAGCAGAACGATCTGGCCTCGACAGCTTGGCGGGCGAGTCCTGCGGGGTCCGGCACAGAGATGTCAGATACGGATGGGCCAGGCGGTAGAGGTGGACGAGGCGGCGCGAGAGGACGTGGCAGGGGCCGAGGAAGGGGAGGCGGCACCGGTCGCGGCGGGGGCAATGTTGCTGGCCCGAGCGGGGAGCACGAGACGGAGCAGGCCAGACGAAGGAAAGAGGCTCATAAGGGCCAACGAGCGAATCACAGCCGCCGTGACCAGCGGGCGAGAAAGATGGCTAGGGGTGGATTTCCCAGCGCAGGATAATGTTCTCTCCTCTCGGCATCGTTGGTTACATCACGGGTGCGGACATGAGGATCGAGACGGTTCACCGCTCATGCCACCTCGCCATCATGAAGACTGCGTTACACCACAGCAGCTCTGGGTGGATGGATCGCAAATTTATGGGCTATCTCGTCTATACCATCCTGGACTCTCGCCCTGTCCTTCATACAAAGTTCTGGCTGACGGCTGCGCATGTGTTCCGTCGTTGCCGACTGACATCCGTGTCAAGAAATCCACGAACCCCCATTTTCACGGATCGTCATGAACACTGAGATACTCTACCAAGGAGTCTTCATTCGCTCTTTCTCCCCTATATCTTCCTCTTCCTCAAACTTTCCACAGACTGGACCCTTTCTTTCGCCTCCTTTCATGCTTTCTTGTCCATCTCTCCTTCACTCCTCACTCTTGTCTAATCGATCAGTGAACCCTGACGTGCATCTCGAGCTGTTTTTTAGTAGGGAACCTCTCATTACAGCATCCCGGCTTGGGGCACCGCATCAGATGTTCCGCCCTGATGTGCCACATGAGCGCATTCTCGGACGTGAACCCTGTCGAGTTGCATGGCATCCAGTTGCAGGCGTGATTTTGTCTGGCACAGTCGTTCGGGTTGAGCTGGATTTCGGTAGGAAAGGACGTGGAGCAGTAATGGGAGGTGAGACACTGGTGTGGGTCTTGTTGCTGCTCAGGACGATACTGTCGTGGAGGAGGAGGCGGCGGCGGCGGCGACGGAGAAGCGTACTGAGGGAGCGGATACTGAGGGAGCGAGACTTGATGCTGCGGCTGCATAATATTGCCCTGGAATGGCATCGTCTGTGGCTCTACCATGGGGGGTTGGGCAACTGAAAAGTCGGTCATGGGCGCCATGCAGACTTGGGCCGGTAGCGACGGGTAGCTTGTCTGCTGGGCATCTGATGCGCTCGGGCTGGAGCCTGCACTGGCTCCGAACTCATCGGTCCTTGCTCCAATTCGATGACGAAAGCCTCTTTCCTCGGGGATTTGTGGGTGCTGCAGTGGCTCGACAGAAGGCTGCTGGCTCGACGCCTGCCTGGTGTGTGATCTCAACACACGCGATGGTGTGGACGGTGACATATGGGGCGTGCAACTTTGTGCCGTGTCTGTTATCTGCTGCGGCCTCGTGGGAAAGGTATTCAACATCTTGCGATATGGTAAGGGGTCCGGCTCTACACGGTCAACAATGCGCTTGTCTGCGCTCCTTGAAACTGCTGCCGCAAGAGGAGCGATGCTCTGGGCATCCTTTTCGCCGCTCTTCCGACTGCGCTGACGGGACTTTCCTTTGGCGGAGGTTGGCAGTGGACGCGAGTGTCTCTGGGAGACAGGACGACCTTCATCTCCACAAGCAGCAAAGTCACATTGTTTCCGACTCTTATCCTCGACAGAGTCATCGCCTATGGCCCAGCTGATGGCCGCCAATGGGTTGAAGCTGATAGGGTCATTCTGTACCAGCCGGTGCTGCTCGAATGCGTCTATGTCCCTGGCTACTATTTCTTGTGGCTTCTGGGTCGGTACCGACGGAGGAGAGGGTTGTGTCTCAGCCTCCTCTGCGTCTGCTCGTCCACTGTTGACGTTATTGTTGCGAAGCAGCAAGTGCCCCAAGCCGGTCGTTGCACGGCTGGGGTTGGAGGCAGAGCCGCGGGCGCCGCCCGTGAAGGCACGATACTCGGTCAGACCCTGTTCGGGTCTGACGTCCGGGGCTGCGACGGGCCCAGACTCGGTGGCGCTGGTGACAAGACGTTGACGAGCTGCCGTCACCCGTGGTATGTGGGTCTCTCGTAGACTGTGGATGCGGTGCTGCTTCATGTTGTGCTTGCTGCCGGACACATGCGGGGGTCCACCGTTACTGGTGTTGCTAAGACAGCGGCTCCAGGTACCGCCATGGGCCATCATCTTTTGGCCTGGTGCGAGGATAGAGCTGGCGCCGTGTATATGGGGTCAATCCTGGCCAACAAGACTTGCTGTATGTGGAACTGACGACAAGCTAATAGTGAAGAAGGACAAACCACCATCGACTGGCTAACCATGGTTCCGGTCTCATCGGCTACGAAAAGGCGGCTAGCCCAGATATATTAAAAACAAAAGGAAAGCCAAAGGATCGACCCAGATTAGATTCCATGTTCGTCCGCATCATGGACATGTTCTGCAACGCCTCTCAAATTTAGGGCCCCCCCCCTTCGTCTTGCAGACAGGACACCCACTCATCGATGTCCACACCATCTTAATCAACTTGATGTTCTCCATCTTCATCTGACACAGAGCTGCAGATGCTCAACGCTGGTTGTACATAGCTTTCCTACATTGGCCTAGCAGGAGTCTAAGCTAAGAGCCCCCCCCCCCCCCGGGACACCCTTTCACATCAACAGGCTCGTAATCGATTTTCGATGGCTGAACCTGCAGGTCCACAGGATACAACAGTGTGGGCCAATCGCAACGTGGTGTGGGGAGTGAGGCCGCTCCCGCTGTATGATCTTTTGGTTCAGCTGCGGGCCGTGGCGATCGGCGTCCGTCTTTCGCCGTGCCAAGGTAAGGCTATGGGTGCCTTTGGGCGTGGATCATCTGAAGAAAAAAGGACACGGGGGCCTCTCGGGACGGGGGAGGGCCTGCGCGCCCTGAAGAACCCAATCTAGAAGGATGTGCCTTTGCCGAGATCTAAGAGTGCACAGGCAGAATAAGGCATGCTGCCCGAGGTAGACCGCCGCTCGGACGGACGGGTGGACGTGACAACGGGGGTGGGCCCGCAGTGCTGGGCCGTGCTGCATCTTCATAGTACGTACGTAGTAACTTTATGCATGTGAGCAATCAATCAATGGCTCGAAATTTGCCCAGTATGGGACTGCACCAGTGGAACTCCCGCATCGCTTACCCCAGTTGTACGTCCGCAAATCCGCAAATCCCGATGTCCAGGGCTTGGGATATGCTCACCCGGAGAATTTGTGCCCTCTCTGCAGTTCTGCACTAGACAGCCACCCTCCCTACCTCGTCTATCGTGTGTGCTTGCGCTCATCTTGAAGAACGGTGGCTGCTCAACGTCCTGAGCTGATTTGTCCGACCAGATTCCTGGCACAAGACTGCTTGCGCCCGTCAGACTGAGGAGGATGGGGAGGGAGGGAGGGAGGGAGGGAGGGAGGGAGGAAGGTGAGGGGGCGGCTAGAGCAGTGGGCGACAGGCTTGCCTTTGGACAAACAAAAAAACGTACTGATAGCACCCTGCCGCCCAGGTTCTTTACTGGCTGGGGAGCAGAAGCCGTCTCCATGTGGCGCCTGCTGTGTAACACCCCTTTGTAATTCAGAGAACCGGCAACAGCGACCATTTGCTTACAGATCAGGGAGGCGTGCAAGATTGGGGCCATGATCGACACTGTGCACGCATCTACTTACACGAAGAGCGGGATTTGCAGGGCGCGAGGGAAATCGATCAATGATACGGCGATGCGGTGTGTAGGTTGCGTGGTTGGGGACGGCACAGTTTAATCTATTTTTTTTTTATTTTTTATTTTTTTATTTTTTTGCCCTGGGCCCTCACCTGGTCTCATCTTGACACCTTGTCAAAATCATGCATGCTTTGGCCGCCTGCAACTCGCGGTAGCTGAAAAAGACATGGCTCCAAAGACAACACATCTTTTGACCCAGGCAACGCGATTCAGTTGGTGGTGTTGTAAAGATCCGCCTTGGCTCGACCCTCCCCCTCCCAATAGGACATTTGTTTCCTTCTCGCTTACCCCCACATATTCCCGTCTCACCCACACCTCCTTGCTGTGTGCTCCATTGTTGTGTGCTGGTCTATATTATCCGATCCAGTTTTTTCGATGGCAGCCGACGCCTCTGGAGCCAATGTTCGGAAGCCTCTTTTGGAGGGGGGGAAGAAGACTGGACGAAGCCACGTCTGGATTTTGTACCACGTCGTACTCGATTCGGAGAGCTGTCATAATGCGCATCAAGCGAGGGTGGACGGTCCGTTGCGTCTCAAATTATCGAGGCCGGTGAAGGAAGAAAAATAGAATTAAAAATAGATTAGAAATTTAAATTGCTTTGGGAATAAGTAGGTTACAATGCCCGACCGTTGGCATTTCGTCAGTCGGCTCGTCCCTGTCCTCTTCCGCCCCCCCTCCCACGATACTACCAAAAAGAAAAGCTTTCGCGCCAAGGCTTCCACAACCTCATCTGTCTTTACAACATTCAAGCGAAAGTTTAAAAGAAAAGTGAGACAACCTTGCTGATGCCGGGTACGCATTCCGGGCGCCACGCAACCGAAGAAAGACAAAAAACGGAAACGGAACGAAAAGAAAGAGGAAGAAGAAGAAGGGGGAATAAAAATACACGACGTCAGAATCAGGCCAGGTGAGAATGTAGTATCCGAAGACTCGCAGCTGAAAAAGAAAAAAAATTTGCGCCATGGTGAATTTAGCATGGGCATGCAAGCGGAGAATAGAGTCCCCCCATCCCTCGCCTCGCCTCCTCATCCTTTCCAGCCCCATCAACAAGCGTGATGATTACACTGCTGCAGTGGCTCTTGTTCAAAGGCTCGGCCAAATTATTGCTTTTCCCCCCTCCCCTCCCGCGCCCTCTCGTCAGCAGAGCTTTTGAGTAGCGTCGCGAAGCAGCAGAAGCAATGAAAAGAAAAGAAAAAAAAAAAAAAAAAAAGAAAAAAAGCACGCTAAAAGTCTCAAGGTGTGTAGACGAGCGACGAAAGAAACAAAGATGGAGCACCGCCTGCACGATCTTGGTACGAGGGGGTTTCACGGCGATCGTGCCTTGGAACAACGATCTGTGGACAACGGCCGGGGGGGAGGACGTCTCTGAAAGTGTTGAGATCGGGCTGCGTATGGCATGATGTTGCTGACTAGCTACAGGCCGCCACACGCCAGTCATGGCACCTTGTGACATGATCCTATGCAACAAAGAAAAAGCAGATTTGGGGGGGAAAAGGGGGGGGGGGGCGGGCAAAGGCAAGCAAGCTTGCATTCGATGGCACGGCTGGGAAGAAGGGTGTGCAGTCCTGCATCGTTCTTGGCGAGCTCAGATTCTGCATGTTGAAGGTACCGTCATAACTATGTCATTGCTGTCGACTGCTTGTCCCGAGAATGTTCGGGGTAATCGTCACTGAACACAATAGTGTCGATCCTCGGGTTGCGAGGAGATACAGGAGCTACGATGAATAGGAAGGCCATTTTGCCTGGCTAGTCATGGAAGGGCCCCCTGGACACCTCGAGAGGACTTGTCGTGCTCGCGTTGTCGTCGGTCCATGACCCTTCGCAACTGATTGTAAGTTGCGCTGGAGGAGGTTTGAACTGCAACAAGCACAACGGAGCAGAGTCTGGAGAGATTGTTGGATGTCCTCCAGGCCACGTAATATTTTCACAGTATCTTTGCAAAGCAGCTGGCATTCACCAGGTTATGTGTCGTGGGTGGCCACTTCAGGAAACAGTTCCATCCGATTCTTTTCCAAGTTCAGGTCGTCGAGGTGATACTCCTTCAAATCGTGCTGTTCTCTGCTGCGTCTGTAGTCTGACAACCACAAGGATGTCGACATGGCCCCTTCCCACGAGCCAGTGCTCAACTTACTCGTCTCTCAGTTGTTCTGGGAAGGTCTTTCTACTTGACTGTAGATCGTCTGTGTGAGGGCAAAAAGGCTTGCATTGCTGTGCGCTGAAGAGAAAAGACAAAGGAAGAGAAACGCCACGAGGGCAGCTAACTGAGGCTATCAACAGGTCTGGCTGATGGCTGGCTGGAGGGGTCGTGCACGGCCCTGGGCCAGTGACTCACGGCGACTCACTGGCCCTCGCACATCGTCTCCTAAATACTGTCTTTTCGCTGATGTTACGGGTGCGAGAGGTCCTACAGGTGTCCAGTGACCTACAGGGCTTCTCAGCCTTCCTGAATCCCCAGTGAGACTTTACTAGGTTTAGCAGCGAATCGAGGACCTCTTATCTCTCACTTGTGACAGCTCATATTCAGGAAGTCGGACGGAATGATACTTGATCTTTGTATGTATAAGAGAATCGTTCTGTTATTAAATCCGAGGGAGACGTATACGCAATACTGTCGGAAATGTGGCCCTGCTGCCTTATCATAATGTGCAGAAGTTGCCCAATTAGCAGACCTGATTTGATCCTGTCATGATTTTCTACTTCGAGACACATTTACTACATGTAATCACGAGGACAAATTTGATGCTCAATGCAATACTAAAGTGTATTCTTTCACATGATCGTTTCATGAATTTTGAACTAATTTCACGGCATTGAACATCAACAGAACTATATGCGGTCTCCAGTGCTATGGAGCCGGTCGTCGAAATCGTAATAACGTGAGTAGTAGCTGCCATAACTTGGAGCCATATACGCAAATACAGAAACATCCAATAGGCCTTATTTTCCCCCTCAAATCCCTGCTTCCCTTCCTTTTCCAATGCTTAATAGGGATACGTCTATGAACACTGGGTATATGAATGGTCTACGGTGCGTGGGGTAAGAGGAATTACAGCCTTGCAGGATTGAAAGCCTCAACATGATCTGTATGACACGGGATGATGATGGAGACAAATGAAGTAATCTCTAAAAGTACATTTCTCTATTGCAAAGTCTCCTTTTTCAAGATAGAGTGCAATGCTGATAACAGCTCAAGATTTTCAGGGAGAGCAATCAAATGATTTTTTAGCGAACACCACAAACGGCTTAGGTGAATCTCGGAACCTGTTTCACTTTTTCTTTGCTTACACTAACGCAGATAGGCTCTCGATTGCCGGTCGATTGTTAAGGCTGAAAGCGGATCAGTAGCATGGTCTTTTTTTTCTTCTTCTTTGTCTTCATTCTCAGCATGGTCCGTCCTATCAATTGACTGTTCCTGAGACAGTGAGGGGGGGGGGAGAGGAGTCTGTAAGCTCGTAAGCAGTCGCGTGATTAAAGAACCGAGTGATCTGATTACCGACTTCTTCGAGTCGCACAAAGACTTGGACAGTTGACCAAGAAACCCGGCAGAGTTCAACGAAACCGTTACAGTTGCAAAGACTCATGTGTTTCTCTGCCTATTTAAGCTTCGCTTTTGAGGACAAACCCCCCTTACACCGTCTCCTGCGACTCTCGCTAGAACGCGGCATGTTTTCCGTGATATGAGCCCATTGATGGTTGAGCCCGCTTAAACGCACGGTCTAGCAAACACTGCATGATTGGACAACAACAACACACAACACAGAACCGCGATTCGACCTCATCTGAACTAGGGCGAGATTATTATTATGGGTCTATCCTGACGCGTGGACGGACCACCAAAGGACATGGTTACATGGACCCCTAAAACACCTCACCAGGAGATCCACTAAATTTTCTCAAAGCCTGGAACTCCTTTGAACACAGTCTCAACTTCTGCTTCTGGAGAAGAGAAAAAAAAGATATGACAAGGTTCCCAAAAACAACATAATCTAGTCACCAAAGACAACATCTCGACGATTCAGGTCTTGCAGGCAGACCACACCCTCCGCCCGTTCATCCGGCCTCCAAAGTCCCTATCATACCTGCAACTTGCCTCATTTCTGTGGATCTGCAAAGCACTCAGGGGTTCGCCACCAAGAAAGAAAATAAAATAGTGGCATGTGCTCGACGCAGAGCTTCAAGAGTCCTCGAAACTAGTCGAGAGCTCCAGAAGGGCGTTCAACGCCACCTCCGCATTGACGAGATGGACAAATATATCGTCTACAGCAAGGACTTGACCAAAGCCGACACCCTCATCCTGAAGAACCTCCAGGCCGATATCCTTGATGTCACCGCCAGAGCTCAGTCAGACGGTGGCGTGACCAATGGTAAGCATAGCAAACCAGTTGGTTTTATCTCTCCAGCAGCCTTTATGTCAAGTTACATGTCACTAAGAATGTTTCCCCACATAGATAACCCTGACAATGCAGCCGTCAGCGAGGAGGAGGCTGTCCGCGATGAGGCGGCGCTCCAGACGATGATGTCTCTGAACGACCCGAAGCATCCCAACTTCGAGCCCGCCGTGTTCAACGGATGGGACCTGAGCAGTCTCGGGAAGCTCGAGCCTGCGCTGGACCGCCTCCTCAAGTCCTACGTCCGCCTGGGCAAGTCTGTTGTACGCGTCGAGACAGATGTGGTCTTCCTCACCCACCTCATCCTCTACTTCACCACCTCCGTCCCCTCCGCCCTGCTTCTCTTCCACCACTTCACGTGGTTCCACGGCATCCTGCACCTCGTCATGCAGGTCTCGTACACGGGGACCTACACGCTCATGATGCACCAGCACATCCACGGCCGCGGCGTGCTGAAGCGGCAGTACGCCTGGTTCGACCTGACCTTTCCCTACCTCCTGGACCCGCTGATGGGCCACACGTGGAACAGCTACTTTTACCACCACGTCAAGCACCACCACGTGGAGGGCAACGGGCCCGAGGACCTCAGCTCCACCCTCCGCTACCAGCGAGACAACGTCTGGCATTTTTTGCAGTACGTGGGGCGCTTCTACCTGTTCATCTGCTTCGAGCTCGCGGCCTACTTTGTGCGCAAGAACAGGCTGGCCTTTGCGGCGAAGCAGACCTTCTGGGAGCTGAGCTCCTATGCGTTCCAGTACGCCATGTTCAGGCTGAACCCCAGGGCGTCAGTCTTTGTGTTCCTGCTGCCGCTCGCCATCATGCGGTTTGGGTTGATGGTGGGCAACTGGGGACAGCACGCGCTGGTGGACCGCGATGAGCCGGATAGTGATTACCGGTCGAGCATCACCCTTATTGATGTCCCTGTGAGTACCTGCTCTCGTTTTACGTTTTATGCCCCCTCTTTTTTTTTTTTGGAAGAAATAATCTGTCTTTCAGGACCAAGGTCATTAGCTAATGCTGGTCTAGAGCAACCGCCACTGCTTCAACGACGGATACCATACTTCGCACCATCTCAACCCTCTGCGACACTGGCGTGAGCACCCGGTGGCGTTTCTGAAGGCCAAGCACACGTATGCCTCGAACGAGGCCTTGGTCTTCCACGACATCGACTACCTTATGATGACGGTGAAGCTCCTCACCAAGGACTATGCACACCTCGCCAGATGCATGGTCCCTATTGGAGAGAGACAGATTCGCATGACCATGGACGAGCGCATTGCCATGTTGAAGAGGCACACGATACCGTTTACTGAGGAGGAAATTGCGGCCAAGTATGCGAAAAAGGAGGAGTAAAGGAAAGAAAGAGGGAGGGTCGTATCTCTGGGCACAACTTTGGACAACTAACTTTCGGCGGTGAATAGACTGCGTGGGTATTAGAAAGTGATGCATAGATCGGCTTTGATAGACATAAAAAGGGGAAAGAAAAAGAAAGAAAAAAGGAAAAGGGAAAAGGCAGTGGGTTGGTGGTAACAATGTGCATAGCAGCGGAGCTTGGGTTATTCGCTTGATCATAGAAAGACTAGAAAGACTGTTGAGTACTTTAAGTACACAGAAGGAAGGGCAAGGGAGTAGCCAGCTCTGTCTAGGTCGGATGGTCATCTGAGCAGTCAGTTTGCTCTCTCACACTCTCTCAGCGTCTATACCTTTTGGAAATTTCCTCCTAATCGAACTGCATGATCAAACCTCGCAATTCCACGTGTGTGTGTCGTCGTTGAACTCACCTGAAGGTCCAACTGTCTCCTAAGTTGGTAGTGAGCCGCAAGTGCAACCAGGGCATTGGAGGCACCTGGGCAACCAGAAGTTAGAGACCCAGCCTTATTTGTATCATTGGCCAACCCAAGCAGTACCACGATACCATATTCCCTTTTTGCTTTGTATTCTCAACTGTTCCTGGCATGCTTGCAGTAGCGTTACTAATTTATCGTTACATGGTGTCTTCCAACATGCACTTATGCAAGGGTGCAGCCTAGGTATTTCACCACGACCTGCACGTGGAATGATGAAGGAAGAGCCGCGTATCAACGATTTTTACAAGTTATGGGACATGAACACTGAGGCTGAATACTTAAGTAAACTATGAACAGTCTATTGAAGCTTTGAATAGCACAACCCGCCAAGATGGCCCACGGTAGATGCATAGCCCGCACCAAGGACTGCCTTAAAGGAATATATTCGGTCCGATTCCGTGCCGTATGCCATGAGTAAATGGTATCCTAGCTAGCTTCGAGGTACTACGGAGAGGCCACAAACAAGGGCTCGGCGAGGTTGGCACGCACAAGGTTGCAAGACGGGGGGCCCAGCCTTGTCTCGTTGGTTCAGGGGGAGATGAATCTACAACTCTGCGTCTCCATGCAGCCCGATGGCGTACGGCCGCAACATCTAGGGTCTGTATGGCGCATCATGAATCATGTAAGTTGTTGGCTGGGCTGCCGGAATGGGAGGACCGGAGGCCGGAGTGTTACTTGCCTTAGCCGTTAGGAATCGCATTAAGGCTTACGAATGATGGTCTTATAGGGGGTGCATAGAATATCCCCAAGGTGTTATCAACAGAGGGCTTGGCACCAATCGCATCGACTACCATGTCTTTTAGCTCAGAAGCTTAAACGATGGGAGCTTGCCGTCGTGACGGTCGGGGGGCCGAGGAATAACGATATGTAATCGTTAATAGAGTCAAGGATCGAATCCACCAGCAGGGACAATGTCAAGCAAGGCTAGACCACTTTGGTAGGAGACAAAATCCGGGGGAACGGTCGAGGAACGTGGCAAGCTGAGAGGCGACCCCGCATAATGGACCCCAGCCATGGTTGCATTCCCCCCCTTGTCTAAGTACTTAGTATCCGAGGTCTAAAGCATTCCTACGGTATGGACTGGATAGCGTCGTCGCCGACATGGGCACCAACACACATCAGCCGGGACTTGTTGCCTTTTTTTTTCCTTCACCCTCCCGAGTACTACACTAAGGATGTAAAATCACCCGCTGAGTCGGCTTCTTCTTCCCCCGTGGTAGCTTTGCTGCCACCTCATTTCAGGTTTCCCACACCCTGCGGTTGTTGGTACGGCAAATACACTTTCGAGAACAGGCCCCCTTTTTCGTTTGTGCTCTCACCACCACATCAAGAATAGTGCATAGAGAAAGAAGGGTCTCCTAAGCCAGGGTTGGGGGAATATACTAACTGTATGTGTCCAATGACCTGAGCATGCACGCCGCCGGTCTCCATGCTTACGGATCTACACCTCCTATTCTGGGTTACTGGCCGATGTCCCCAAGTCTCCAGGACCGCATTTGAGTTTTCCTTGTGACCCGAAGAGTGCCAAAGAGGTCAAGTCACACCGACGCCTGAAGCCAGGGGTGTGAGGTGGAAAACAATAGAAGCAAAGGAAACAGAGCAGCACCTCGAAGGCGGTGTGTGAAGTAATTACTGAGTAAGTAGTTGATGTTGGAGAAGCCACGAGCACTGTTTTACTTAGCACGCCTGAAACTCATGCCAATACATACATAATTTCTCCCTCAGATGGTCTTTGCAGGGGTTTAGGCAAATGTATTTCTTGGCCCACAAACTCTATGACTGGACTATTGCCTAACCCCCCCTTCTTCCCTTGCAACCTTTGATATCGTCGGATAATCCGCAGTAGACCAGGAATGCTAGCGGCTACCGGGGTTCTCGTTTTATCTATGGGTTGACTTAAAAGGATCTTAAGATGGTGCTGATCGCGAGGAGCTCTGTCATTGTTTTCTTTTTCTTTTTCTTTTTTTAACCTCCCTACAGCTTGACTCCTCGTCCCAGCCTAAGTAATCTCCTGGCGCTTCGACATATCAACATCGTATCTGTGGCGGCCATCTTCTGTCTCTGTCCCCCTCGCGACTTGCTTTGTCATTTGCAATACCAACGAGTCGTGTTCCTCTTTTGAACCCAGTGCACAAAATGGCAACTGGAGAGAAGACAGATGTCGAGTCCCAGGCTCCATCCGTGAGAGACCTGGAGAATGCAGATGCGCCAGGAGCTGGCAGAGGCCTGAACAAGACTGGCACCAACGGTCTCCACGAGTTCCGCGAGGATGAAGGCTACATCATCGATGACTCCGAGGGTGGAGGAGCAGGCATCAAGCTAGCGGAGGATGGGCACACCCGACTCATCCCACAGCCGAGCGACGACCCCCGCGACCCGCTGAACTGGAGCTGGAAGAAGAAGCATGCCATCTTGTTTGTGATCGCTGCAGCGGCTTTCCTGCCAGACTACGGCAGTGCCACGGGTGCTGTTACTTTGGAACTGCAGGCTGCGTATGTTGAACCCCGTCTCGACATGATAATGATATTGCTAGTTGGCTTGCAAGATTGATGAAGAGTCGACCGAGAGGCTAATCAACAGTGAACAGGCAATGGGGCATGACTGCTGATGAAGTGAACCATTCGCAAGCTGGAAATGTCTTCATGCTGGGTGCTGGTGGCGTCTTTGGTAAGCCAAACCAAACCATCAACATTGTGTCCATATACACACCAGACGTGGACATCAGGAAGGACTGATACTAACGTCTTGTTCTTTTCACAGCTGTCATGTTTGCCGCCTTTTTTGGACGCTTGCCTGTGCTTTTCTGGTTTCTCGTGATCGCCACAGGAACAGCTGCGTGGTGTGCGGCTGCCACATCTTTCAACTCGTTCTGCGCCGCTCGCATCCTCAACGGATTCTTCTCGACAGTGGCTCAAGGCGGTGGAATGATGTTCATCCAGGACATGTTCTTTTTCCATCAAAGGCCAAGAAAAATCAATATCTGGGCGTAAGTGCAGCCACTCCATCTGTTTCTACTTTCAAGATTCTGTTCAACAAGACTCCCAGGCTCCCAAACTGACAACAATGCTATCCAGTTCCTTCTTCATCATGTCACCTTATATGGGTCCACTTCTCGCGGCTTTTATGATCGCCTACAAGCCCTGGCCCACTCCCTTCTGGGTCTACACTGCAGAAACCGCCCTCGTACTGATCCTCGCCGCCCTCGTCGTCGACGAGACCTACTACGATCGTCGCATTCCAGCCTCGGCCCAACCGCCTCGTGGATCTCGCATCTCTCGTATTGTTGGTATATCGCAGTTCCGCTCGCGCCATCTCCGCAACTCGTTTGGCGCCGCCTGTATGCGAGTGGTCAAAGTGCTGACGAAGCCAACCGTCTTGCTCTCCGCCACGTACTACTTGCTCACGTTCGCCTGGGTCGTCGGCATCAACACGACCCTGTCCATCTTCCTGACGCCGCTCTACAACTTTGGCCCTCTGCAGATCGGGTATTTCTATTTCACTCCCGTCGTTGCCGTCCTCCTCGGCGAGATCACAGGCCACTGGCTCCACGACCTGCTCGCCAAACACTACATCCGCACCCACAAGGGCCACTTCGAGCCCGAGGTCCGGCTGCGCGCCATCTTCTTCTCCATCCCGCTCATGGCTGTCGGGCTTGTGCTGGTGGGGCAGGCCCTGCAGAACGCCTGGCACTTCATGGCCCTGTCCGTGTCCTGGGGCCTGTACGTCTACGGCATCATGATTACCACCGTCGCCGTCTCCTCGTACGCGCTCGACTGCTACCCGGAGGCCAGCGGCGAGGTGTCGGCCCATCTCAACAACGCGCGCACGCTGGGCGGGTTTATCATCTCGTATTTCCAGGTCACATGGGCCGAGGCGTCTGGGCCCAAGGTGAGCTTTGGGATCCAGGCGGCCATCTGCACGGCTGCGTTTGGGATTGTGATTGTGTTGATTGTGTTTGGCAAGAGGATGAGGGTTTGGGCTGGCCCACTTGGGTTCACGACTGCGTAAATGGCCAGAGTTGTATTTGTGTTCTTACAGCCGAATGTAGACTTGATGTGATTATGGAAAAGACTAATATGACTTTGCTTGTAATACTGACACACTCTTCATCCGTCCTGGTTCGTGTTCAAGATAACACGAATCCACTTGGATCCATCGATCGACACAAAGTAAGGACTCACAAAGGAGACAAGACCGTCAAGAACCCTGAAATACCAATCATCTTACATCAACCGTGTGTGTTTGCTTCTCGCCCTAGCCTGACTTGATCCCGACCTGACAATCACCCCATTCGTCTCTTGTACCAAGCAACAGCAACGACACCAACTTGAACACAATACTTGCCTTCTTATCCATAGTATTCAAGCAACCATGCGCGCAGATCACCGACGGTCGGATACTCGAGGAACAAGCTTCCGCTGACAGTGACGCTGAGCTGCTCACGCATCTTCTCGGCGATAACCAGACTCATCAGACTGTCGACGCCCAGGTTGGCGAAGCTCTCGTCGTCCTGCAGATCAGCCAGCTGGAGACCTGCCTCTGTAGCCACGAGAGCCATGGCCTTGGTGGTGATGCTGTCATCTGGGGCGGCGGCGGCGGCAGCAGCAGCAGCAGCAGCAGCAGGAGGGGCAGCTGGCTTCTCAACCTCCTTCTTGGGCCGAGGAGGCTCTTCCTTTGCCACAACAACAGGTGCTGCTGGCGTAGGCTGTGCTGTCGTGACAGCAGCTGGTGCAACAGGGGAAGACGACGCAGCAGCCAACACAGCTTGTGCACCAGCAGGTCTGGCCGTCTGAGTAACGGTCGCGCTGCTTGCAAGAGCCACACTGCCCGTCGCAGCATTCTTGACATCCACAGCCGAGAAGAAACGGTTCAGCAGCACCCGAGGATACCGCCTAAACTTCATGGCCTGCATGACACCGATGATCTCGTCGCCCTGCAGCACATACACGTCTCCAAAATAAATGGCAGGATCCTCAGCCGTCGGGATCATCTTGACGTACGACCTGTACCGGCCGCCAGGGACCAGTGGGCGCGCCATGCGGAGCGAGCTCCAGCCGGGGGTCACGCAGAAGTTGTTCCTGGTGTCGACGGCGTCCGAGACGTTCATGACGAGTCCTGCGAGATGGCACACGCTGTCCACGAAGAACGGCGGCACCGTCCACACGCCGCCTGTGTCGCCAGACTTGAGCGTCACGTCGGCGTACGCCTCGAGCCCGTGCATGACGACGGACTGCATGCCGCGGTACTTGTCGGCGTAGTCGACGAGGTTGTTGGCGAAGAGGAGGTAGGCCATGCTGTGCGACAGACGGTTGGCCACGCCCTGTTCTGCGAGCTGGGTGAGGGCCTCGATGCGGCCCTGGATGAGGTGGTGCGTCGGGATCCAGCTCGACAGCCAGTCTGCCGCGCTGCCGTAGATGAGCTCAGCCGTCACGACGGGCTCCTCTTCGATGAGAGAGAGGCCGTCGTTGGCGACGTTGTGCCACTCGAGGTGCGCCCTGCCCGAGGCAATGTCTGTCGTGGTGATGGTGATCTGGATCAGCTGGGGCACGGTGGTGTTCTTTTGCGCGACCAAACCCTCACGGACGCTGAGGTTGTTGATGTTCATGCTCTGGACGTCGGCCTTGGTTTTGGGCTGGAGTTTCTCGGCAAGGTATTTTCCGAGCGTCCAGCATATATCCGCATGAATAGACTGGAGGTGGAAATGTTGGTTAGTATAAAAGGACTGAAACAAAATAGAGAAGAAAACGAAGACAAAAAAGGAAAAGCAAAACACCACAACCTTCGGAGCAGCAAGAATGTCACTTACAGATGTCACCACGCCAGCATTATTCATCTTGTGACCCCATGCAGCTGCCAGAAAATCGGCCTGCACCATGTTCGACTGCACAACAACCCTCCCTGCCGAGCCAGAGAAGGTTTCTTCCACAACACGGTGGACAAGCGAAGTCCGCAGGCCCGAGACAGGCGCTGCCGCCAGACCCAGAGCAGAAGAAGGAGAGTTTACACCGGCCGCAGCAGCAGCAGTAGCAGCAGCAGCCTTCTTCTCCTCGTCATAAAAGGTGTTGCCCTTGGTCAGTGCCCAGTCGCCATTGTACTGGAGCCAATGCGTCTTATCGTTCCACGCATACGTGGGCAGGTCCAACAGCCTGAGGCCACCCTCGAAAGGCCTGTGGAACTCGTTCCAGCCGACCTGGACGCCAACAGCGTGCAGAGTCACGAGGCTCTGGGAGATGGTCTGCCAGTTGTTCTCGCCACGGCGCAGAGAAGGCACAGCAGCATTGACAGACGAGAGGATCGACTTGGTGAACCCGACGCACACCGGGTGAGGACCAATCTCGATCCACGCCATGCTCTCGTCGATTGTCGAGATCCTCTGGGCTGTCTCGACGGCGCCCAGGAAGTTGACAGTCTCCCTGGTCCCGCGGCGGATGTACTTTGCATTGACGGTCTTCTCGTCAAAGATCACCTTGCCCAGGAGCGGCGAGATGATCGGGAGCCGGGGCGGCTGGAAAAGAACCCCTGTCCGCGCCACATCTTCCAGCTCGTCCAGGATGGGATCTGTCTGGGACGAGTGGAAGGCAAACGCCACATCGAGAGGGACACACTTGAGGCCAGACTTCTCGAGCTTCTCAGCCAGGGCATCGATATCCTGGGCTGCACCGCTCAGCACCGTATCCTTGGGCCCATTGATACAAGCCACCTCGTACGGCTTTCCAGTGGCATCCGCCCGCGCCCGCACCTCGTCCACAGCGGCACGCACAGCCAGCATCTTGTGGCTCCCAATCTTGCACTTCTTCTCGAGCATAGTGGCGCGCTGGCCCACCAGGAAGATCGTGTCTGCCGCCGAGAGGACACCAGCAACGTGGAGGGCGGCATACTCGCCCAGGCTGTGGCCGACGACAACGTCTGGCCTTACGCCGAGCGAGTCCCAGTACTTGGCCAGGGCGATCTCGGTGCAGACTAGGGCGAGCTGTGTGACGACAGGGGAGTGGTTGTGGTCCTGAGGATAGGTGCCGTCGAGGGCTGGCATGATAGAGGGGAAGCCTTGCGACTGGCAGAGGGCATCGAGGTGGAGCAGCTGGGACTTGAAGGCAGGGGACTCGAGGAGCTCCAGGTTCATGGATCTGTGTGACGCTCCCTGGCCTGTGAAGGCGAAGGCCACCGAGGGGGCGCCAGTGGCTGGGATGGGCTTGTGTGTGTCTGCATTATCGAGGTAGGAGTTGAGCTGTCGTTTCAGATGGTTGACATCTGAGGTGGCCACCGCCAGGCGATGGTTGTGGTGATACTTCCTTGCTGTTGTTGTGTAAGCCAGGTTTGGCAGTGACACATTTGGGTTTGCCTCCAGGTATGCAATGAGCCGTCGAAGATTGCCCTTCAGGGAAACTTTGCTCTTAGCCGACACGGCCACAACGTGGTTGGGACGAGAATCCGCAGCCATCAGCTCCTGATCATCAATGACTCTTCGAGCTGGCGCTTCCTCAATGACAATACTCGTATTGCCTCCCGCAGCACTGAAGTTGTTCACAACAGCAATCCGCTTCTTGTCAGCAACACGAGGCCATGGCGTCTTCTCGTATGGAATGTGCAGGTTTCTCTTCTCAAGGTCCTTGGGGAATCCTGGGTTGATGGAGTTCTTGATGCCCACGTGCGGTGGAATCGTCTCCTTCTCCAGCATGAGCAGGACTTTGAGGAGCGCTGTGGTACCTGCGACGGCCTCACCATGGCCCACATTCGCCTTGACAGCCCCAATGTGAAGAGGCTGTTTGGGGCTCCGGCGTTTGGTGCCCGTGATGGGCGCGAACACATCTGTCACAGACTGGATCTCCTGTGCATCGCCTGCTTGGGTGCCAGTGCCGTGCATCTCCACATAGCTTACGTTCAGGGGGTCGACAGCAGCCTGGTCGAGGATCTGTCTGGTCAGGTCTCCCTGGTGGCCTGCATGAGGGTGCGTAATAGATACAGCCTCGGCCGAGTGGTTTGTACCAGCGGCCAGAATGACGCCCAGGATGTTGTCGTTGTCGGCTTCTGCGTCCTCGAGGCGTTTGAGGATGACCGAGGCCACACCGTCTGCGCGACAGTAACCATCGGCCTCACAGTCCCATGTCTTGCAAGCATTGGGTGTTTTGGACAGGAAGTGGCCGTTGCTAAGACCGGCAAAGGCGTCAGAGTTGGTCAGGACGTTCATGCCTCCAGCTACTGCCATGTCGGTATCACCGTTCCAGAGCGAGTTGCAGGCAATCTAGAATTATGTAAATCGTTGTTAGCCAGCTTTTCGATATCATGATGGTAGTCTTGTTGAGTCAGGGTAACTTACGTGAATAGTCGCCAGTCCAGAGGAACAAGCCGTGTCGATGCTGTAGCTAGGACCAGAAAACTTGAAAAAGTAGTTGATCCTCCCCGGCCCAAAGGCTCGACACCCACCGGTGATGAAGTAGGTGCCAATTTCCTGGGCTGTGTTGACCTCGCGGTAGTCATCAGATGCTTGGCCGTAGAATGTACCAATACGGTGCAAATCCGTAGATGCCGTGCGGTTGGCCACATATCCAGACCGTTCCAGAGCTTCATACGCTGTCACGAGTGCGAGCCTCTGCATAGGGTCTGTCTGAAGGGCTTCACGAGGGGACATGTTGAAGAACGGAGCATCAAACAGGCCTGGCTCGTCGATGAAGCACCCGTAGGGCGTGATACTCGTGTTCATCCGTTTCCCAGTCGGATCAAAATGAGAGTCCACGTCAAACCGATCGGCCGGAATCTTCTGGTGAATATCCAAACCTTGGTCCAGAATGTCCCAGAACTTTTCGGTATCAGTTGCGCCGCCGGGCATTCTGCAGGCCATGCCTACGATGGCAATCTTGGCCTGCTGCGTGCCGCTCGGGCCGCGTGGCACAGCATCTGGCTTTGAGATCCACTGCATGACATCTTTGGTCCTAATCTTGAACTGCTGGGACTCGGCGGTGGCGGCCGAGATGAGGTCGCGCGCAGGCAGCGAGGTGCGGAACATGTACAACCAGAACTCAGACACGGCGCTGCCCTTGGCTTGGCCCAGCACACCCTGGATGACGCTATCCCACTTGATGTCGTGCAGGAGAATCTCTTCGATCATGTTGTGGAACAGGCCGCTGGCCGTCTTGGCTGGAAAGGGTCTTCCTGTGCTGACCGAGTAGACGGGCACACGCGGAACGAATTTTGGGTCCATGGTGTCGATGGCGTGGACGTGGACAACACGGTCTACGTGGTTCTTGTTGTAGACATGAGGGGCGTGGCACAGGCCGCCATATACAGGGAGCGCAACAGATTTGCGGTCACGGAAGAAGTCAGACGCGAGAAAGACGTGCTTCAGTCGCGCTGGGGGGCCACTGATTGTGACTGATGTACGGCTGAGAGCGCTGATGAAAAGCTTGCTGGGCCCTGGGGTGGACTAAAATGATTGTCAAGTCAGTCTTCAGTGATCATTGATTACAATCATTCATGCCAATTTCAAGGGAGCAGGAGACCAGACTCACATCTGCTTTGTGTATGGCGTCAAGTTCACGTTGGACTTCCTCAGCCGTGGTATCTGGCACCACGTAGGCCCAGCTGTCGCCCTGGCCGCCATCGATGGGGCTTGGTTGCAAGTTCTGCGACACCTCGTTGACCACAATGCCGACCCTGAAGGCCACACGAATGACCTCGGCGCCAGCAGCTGGCACATCAGCCAATGTTGGAGACAGAGACACAGCAGCCGTGGAGAGAATGCCGGTTCCTATTCCTGCCAGACAAGCATCCCCGCCGTGAAAGTCGAACTTGTCGTCCACATTGTTCTCATAGTATCTGATGGGGGTCAAAAGAATATCAGTAGTGACCTTTTCATTTATCTGATATATAAAAAGGAGGGAAATAGAAAGGTGAAAGGAAAAGGAGAAGAGTCAAGAAGACATCTTGTGTCATATAATAAATGAATTCATCAGACAAACATACCCGACGAATGTGGCCAGTTGCACAGCACAGAGCAACATGCCATCAATGGAACCACCCAGGGGCCCGGTCCTCAGCCCAGTCTGGTCGACGAGGTTGAAGACGGTCTCGAAAGGCTGAAACAAGGCTCGCAGCGTGGCTGGTAGCAGGCGAACCTCTTCCTGCACGGCCAAGGTGGCCTCCTGAATGAATCTCGCCAGCAGAGGGTGCCGTCTGTCTTTGCTGTGCTCATAAAGACGGCGGAAGGTGTCTTTCAGATCGTCATGAGGAAACTCGTTGCCAAAGTAAGCCAGCTTCATCTTGCCGGGCTCAACCAGAGACTCGCTGGTCGAAGGTGTTGCCGAGGTGGACAGCTCATCCACCGCGTTGCGATCCCCGTCCCACTCCATATTGATGGTGATATGGAGCAACGTCAAGGTGAACAGGAAGAATAATAGAATATTGACACCTGTGCAGGACGGTGAGAGCAGGAGGTAAACTACTGCATGAGCACGGAAAACACTGAGACTTTCAATGAACCTTATTAGCATGAACGCGTGTGATAATAATGTTTCGTCTCAACAGAACCACAAGCCTAGTGCCTTGGCTGCTATCTTTGTTACTTCTCCCGCCTCTTCGAACCTATTCAGACACAATAGCTCTTACACAACCCACGGAAGATTGACTGCCTCCTTGACACCTTGACTTCCTCCGAGGGCTGAAATCGGATATTGTTATCTTGTCAGGATCACGTTGCATCAAAACCTGTTCTAGAACTTCTCCAATAACCCGAGGTTCTGGTTTCTTCCTTTTCCCTTGTCCATGGCAGTTACAACAAACGGTATGTCTATCTCGGAGTACGTCGGCGTCAGCCCCGAGTGAGATGATGGGATTATGCCAACAAGATCCCGGCCGCCTAGACTAGACCGACATTTTGAGAAAGAAATGGTAATCCAAGCACTAATCCAGATCCAGCCATGTCCTCTCCATGATTCATCCGGATTGTTAATGGACGACCGCCGTGTGTACAACACGGAAGAAAGCTTATCTCGTCCTTGTCAGGCTAGAAAAGCTGAGCCTCGGGGCTGGAAATCGATAATACGGGGACTGCAGTATCCACATAGTCAGCCATACCGTGACAATATCCCGTGGGCGGGAATAGACTCGGGACGGGGTGCATGCAGGTTCTCAGCTTCGGATCATGATGAGGCACGGCTTGCGAGACCTGCGCGTTGACTGTTTTGAGTCTTAGACCCGCAGGACGCCTTTGTTTAACGGGGGTAACTCGAAGCGACAAGCCAAGTCAGGAAATCTAGGACGTCTAGGATGCCTGTGAGCTTTATCTCCAGGTGCGAGAGTTTTCGTCCTCCTGGTCTTCTTCGAGAGGTTGTGGCCCTCCTCCCTTACCAGACAAGCTCGGTCATTCACTTTCAGGTCTCCAACATCGTGTCAGAATGGCTCCAGGCAAAGGAGGCTATCGCCAGATCAACAAAGCTCTGAACATCTGCGCTTTCGAAGACTACCTAGAGAGCCAGACAACTCTTCTGCCCCCACTTGAAGATGTAGAGCACATCAGTCCGCGCGTCATTCGGGTTCTTGGCCAGAATCCTGGAAAGGTAGGCCTTGAGATTCTGTTTATCATTTGACTGCGTCGAGGGGAGGTGAGAGGGGCTACGGTCTGTTTCTAAAACTCAACATGCTGACTGAAAATTATCACATCTACCTCAGTTCACTCTCCAAGGCACCAATACATACATCATTGGCACAGGCACAGAACGACTCATCGTGGACACAGGTCAGGGAATTCCAGACTGGGCAGACTTGATCTCAGCAGCAGTGTCCAAGGGCAACTTCACAATCTCGTCTGTGCTCCTTACCCACTGGCATGGCGACCACACAGGCGGTGTGCCTGACCTGATTCGCATGTATCCGCACCTCGCAGGATCCATCTACAAGCATACGCCGAGCAAGACCCAGAAACCCATCGTCAACGGGCAGGTCTTCAAAGTGGAGGGGGCTACCGTGCGGGCAGTGCACGCACCGGGCCACTCGCACGACCATATGTGCTTCATCTTGGACGAGGACCAGGCCATGTTCACGGGCGACAATGTCTTGGGTCACGGCACGGCAGCCGTGGAGCACCTCAGCATCTGGATGGCGACTCTCCGCCAGATGCAGACCCACGGCTGCAAGCAAGGTTACCCGGCCCACGGGGCGGTGATCCCAGACCTCACCGCCAAAATAAATGGTGAGCTGGCGGGAAAGGTGCGTCGAGAGCGGCAGGTCCTGCAGGCGTTGCAGAAACAGGCCAATGAGGGCGGCGTGAAGAACAGCAGGCTCACGACCAAGGAGATTGTGACGGCTGTGTACGGCCCTCAGATCACTGAGGATGTGAGGAAGATGGCCTTGGAGCCCTTTATCGATGAGGTTCTACGGAAACTGGCCGAGGACGGCATGGTTGGGTTTCAACTGCGTGACGGGGTAAAGAAGTGGTTTTCAATCTGTTGAGCTTCCAACAACAAAGTCATTGGATGTTTATGTACCCCTATCTTTTTTTTTTTCTTTCTCTTTCTTTATCTTTCTTGGGACGAGCAAAACCTTCTTGCTTTACAGCTGTTTTTTTTCGCCCCTATTTTCTTCTCATGTTTGAATCTAGTAGAGTGGTAAATGCAACAGTTTCAGCCCAATGTCACTATGATATGCTCGTCTGTCAGTGAGGAAAAAGTAAACCTGCCGGCTATCTACGTACAAATGAGTAAGCATGAATCATCATAGGTATGCTACCATACTGACGATCTGTTACGGAATGTATGTGCATAGAAACCGGGCGATTGACATGTCGTCAATAGCGATGAAATCAGCTGACAATGACCCTAAGACATTCGTTACCTACTTAGCCAGCTAGCCCTCGGCATATTCAGCTCTGTGTGTGCGCCTCCATGGAACAGTGCATGCTCCTTCACCTTAGGCACCATCGTCTCTTTTTCCACCGGCTGAGGCGACTATGCCCATACAATACAGGCCAAGAATCTGTCCACTACCCTTTCTACCTTGCCCCAACCACACATATTCATGTCGTGTTCCTGTAAGACATTCTCGGGATATATGAGACACTGTCGTTCAAAGCCTCTCCCAAGACAATAAATCACACCATCCTTATCTCCGGCCACAAATTGCACCGAGCAATCAACCCCCCGTCTAAGACATCCACCGGGGGCCCTTACATGCGGATCTCGCGTAGGAGCGTCGTGAAACCCAGAACAGCTCCGAAGAGAGGAGAGAAAGATCGGGTAATATGCAACCACGCCCATTTCACAATCAACGCCTGGATAACCCCCGAGCTCTCCACAGATACGCCACCGGCCCGCAGCCCAAACAGGGTGTCGTTGGTGGGTGAGATCACCAGCCAGGTGAATGGGACCATCGATATGGTCAACACAGCAGCCTGCGCGTACCGGTGCCAATGGGGATTGTGCATGGTCCTCTTGCTCGCAGCCGCGTAGCCGTACAGGCCGCACGTTGCAACACAGATGGCTGGCATGTAGATATGACCGTAGTGGTAGAGGCGGGCCCATTGATCGAGAAGATGCTGGGGATCGTCGTTTGTCTCGAGAAATACCGGGATTGCGAAAGCTGAGAGGGCCATCATTGCGCCTATTGAAGGGGTTTACTTGATTAGTTTCACTTGGGGCTTTTATATTGCCGAGGAAAAAGTTGACGCATAGAAGAGTGAGATTCGCTTGGACTTTCCTGAGAGAAAGGATCCTGAGACCACAGCAGCAGCCGGCACACCGATTTTGCGGCCAGACTCCGCAGAGCCACCCAGATGTGTTTTGTTGCCCATTACGTACTCGTGCAAGCGGGGCTCGTCGTGTTGGCGAGAGGAGAGATGGTGAGTCAATTCGTAGCCCCGAAGAATAGAGCTTAGAGGAAAATTATAGTCTGTCATTCGGCCGTCTTTCGGGTGATTGAGATCAGCAGGGCGCTGGCTGTTTTATGTTGTTTCTGGCGCGTGTCTTGGGGCTGAGGGGGGGTTTTCGGGTTAATAAAGCAAGGAGTATCAATCGAATGATTGTTTGTCTCGTTATTTTTTGTATCAAAGCGCTCTCCGCCATTTCTGTTGATTTTTTTTTTTTTTTAATTTTCCCGACGGTCCATTCATTCGTATCAATCTCAGCCTTTCGGATTTCCTTGACGTCCAGAACCCAAAGTGACCATCATGGCTGCCGAGCTGGAAATACCTGAGCTGACGGGTTCGCCCAACAACAAATACCTCTGCCTCACAATTTGCGGCTATCGCAAGCCAGGTATGAGTGAAGAGGATTACCGTAACCACATGGTCAATACCTCTGCGCCCATGACCAAAGGCTTGATGGTCAAATACGGCATCAAGCGATGGACTCAGGTAGGCTCGAGTTCCTCGACCCGTTTGTCTGATGTTGTTCAGCAACTCCATGTTTGCATGCTTGATGATTAGCTGCCTTTCCTTCGGTTAGTTGCAGGGCTAACTGCAACGGGTATGCTTAGATCCACAACCAGAGCAGCGCTCGTGCGTTGATGTCTCAACTTTTCGACCCACAGATGGCGAATGTTGCAGACTTTGACTGCTTCAGTCAGGTCGTCTTCAAGAGTATTGAGGATTACAAACGGATGAAGCAGGATCCCTGGTACAAAGAACATCTAGTAGGGGATCACGAGAATTTTGCTGACACCAAAAGAAGCATGTAAGTACAAGTCGGGCACCTTTTATCTCTATAGATCGTGAGAGCTGAATGTGGGGCAGGATGACCATAGGGTGGGTTGAGGAATTCGTTAGGGACGGCGAGGAAGTGGATGGCTTCAAAGATTGTTGATAGATCATAGCCAGGATTCTCAATCAGTAAATAATCATTGATCTCCAACGAGTTGCCAAGTTCTGAATGGTATTCGAAATTTTGATAGTGGATATATTATGCAACATAAAAAACCCGTCCGTGAAGACTCTTTTCAATTTAACAAAATCCGTGTTCTTAGAAAATTCATCATCTTCATAACATTGGCCGTCTAGCCCCGCTGAAGGCCATCAATAATTCCCGAGGATAGTGAAGTCAGACTTTTCCGCACGTCTCGTTCCATCTGGACCAATGTATCAGGCGAGAATGCCGTCGTCGTCGTCACATCATAGATACTTCCGGCCACTGCCTGCTGTGGGGGCCAGAGGTCCAGCTCTGCGTCCATCGCCCGACCGTCCCTGTCTGCTGGCTGTTGGAGTCTCGTCGACAGCTGGTTGATAAGACGCTGCACACGGTGGAGTTCGCTGAGCACCAGCTGGGCAGCCGTTCTGCCTCGGATCTTGTCGTTCGAAGACTCTTGTCCATCGTCGACAAATTTCCTCCTCTGGTCTTTGCCGCTGAGGCTCGTCCTGCAGCCGGCCAGAACTGTCGTCTTCTTCATGTGACTCTCTGTGCTCATTCCTCCCGATGCAGTTTGCATTCGCGCGGCAGACGCGTATCGTTCCAGGATCTCGAGCACAGTCATGAAGAGAATGGTAAGCAGAGAACTGTCACTAGCACACGAGGCACATCCCAATCGGTTGCTCACGGCCCTGATGGTGTTTTTGTTCTCATTCAGCAGAGCCTGAACGGAGGAAACACTGGCCTCTGACGAAGTGACGTGGACTGTCGAAGACGAAGACTTGGTCACGCATACCGAGTGCAATGTGTCTAACGCCTGAGTGAGGCAGCCACAAGACTTGCTGTCATGTGTCACACTGGACTGTGCAGCAGACAGCACCGTGACCCTTGAGGCAAGTGAAGATGCGCCAGAGGATGGGCTTAGTAGATCGCCAGACGATGATGTCTCTGACGGCATCAAGTCAGAGTTGTTGATCTTGGCTGGTATGAGGAGCGAACCGATGTCGTTCTGCGTTTGCATGATGCTCTCGGTATCCAAGGCTGGCATCTCGAAGGAGTAGTCGATGATTGGCATGGCTGAGTCTATGGCTGAGTCCATGCCCGGGACTTTGGGCCCGAAGTCCGTAAGACTAGACATCATTCCGGGATCCTCCAGCATGGAGAAGACATCAGAGGACCCGTTCATGAAGACATTGTCTCCTGGAGGGGATGGCGGCATGTCCAGGCTCAGAGGTGATCCGAAGTAGCTGGCGCGCCGAGAAAAACTGTCTGGAGGCGTCGTGGTCTCTGGCAGGAAGCAAGCCAGAGGGGGCGACTGCTCGACCACGATCGTGCTGAAGTTGGCAGGGAATTCTGGGGCCGTAGCATCCGTTGGGTTACCGAAAGCCGAATCCACATGATGATTACTACTGCCCCCACCATTGTTGCTGCTGCCGCTGCTGCTGCTGGTTATACAACGGCTCTTGGTGCTGTCGACTCGGCGGCCTGGACGTCTGGCGAGGAAGTATTGACAGGCGATGCCACGACTCTCGCATTTGGAACATGTTGGCTTCTCCTTGGGGCACTTGACTTTCGAAACAGCGCATGAGTGGCAGCTGTTCCGCAGCTTGGAGCTTGTGCTACTCAGATTGCTGCGTGTCATTGTATGCGTTTGGGTGTACGGCGATTGTCTAGATTGCGTGTCGTTGAAGCCTAGCATGGCATGATTGGATCTGGAACGCATCAGAGGTAACAACAATCGAGGGACTTGCGAGACAAAGATACGCTTGCAACGCAACAGAGGGAGTTTTTATTTTTTTTTTGTTTTAATTTCTGTGTTTGGTTTCATTAAGATCTGGTGTGTCTTTATGTCTAGTAAACTTAGATCACGCTGAGAGTGCACTTGTCCCTCGAAGACGAGCTCATGCGGTCTGGCAGGACGAACACTCCAGCCTGCGCTGAAAAGCTCCACCACATTGCAGATCTCTGACCTATTGCATTCCAAATTCCTACGTGAGGATATCACAAAACCCACCTTCCAGCTGCCCTCTCAGCCAGCCGTTCCACGGCGTGCCAGCCAGGTGAGCTTAGTCCAAGCCTCTCGCGCCAGACCTTCTCAGGAGCTGCAAGCCCAGGCGTAACGTATCAGCCCCAAAAAGCTTAACGCCAAAAGCAATCTCACCCAACCCGCCCTGGTCCGCCGCCACGGTCCGATATCGTTACCCGCCCCCCTGGGAACCCAGATCGTGCTGGTGGACGAGAGACGGGATATCAACCCTTGAACGTTGTCAAAAACCGGCAATAAGGCCAGCCTCGACCGGTGAATTTGCTAGAGAAATACAAGTTCATTATTACGTCGTAGAAGGTGGGGAAAAGGCTTCTGCAAGGAGAATTTTATTTCAGGGGTTCTGCTTAGCTTTCTTACGGAGAGTTAGTATCCGAAAAGTGGCGACTGGCAACCCTGAAGTGGCTTCTTGTTGAGAGTCTGATGTGCATATATGCCGTCTTTTCTAAGGCGAGCTAAGCCATCTTGTGTCTCCATCTCCGAACCACTCATGCCAGAATCATCAGAAGGGCAGGGTTTCGCTTACTCCAGAGATCTTTTCCCATGTGTGACCCCAGGACTGAGCGAAAGACAACGCACGGCTTGAAGTTGGTGGGTGGGACGAAGATGCTGAGCTGATGGCAAGAACTATGGTACAACACGGTAGCAGAGACGGTGCTTCCGAAGACTTGCAGTGCCCAGTAATCCGATTTGCACGCAGTAGGAGAAGGACATAGGGCGTACATTTGGGTGAGACTTTCAGTGTGACCCGCCTACCCGCCCTTCCGGCCAACCCTGGAGAACGAGGTGGAGCTATAAGGTTCCTTGTGTGAGCATTTGATAGGACCTAGACCCCTACATATTTCCTTATATACATGGTTTCTTCGTTTCTTCCTTTGGCCAGTTCTCTGATGACATCGTTTATTTTTATTTTTTTATCTTCTGCTTCCCCCATTATATAAGCTGCATCAGCTCCGAATTTAAGTTTGCTTTAACCCTAAAAGGATATATGCTGGCCTTCCCTTGTGTCTTCGTCGTAAGCTTAGTAGATTGCGCGACTGACAATCATCAACTGATTGCAGACCCTGTCCACAAATGTATGCTCGTTACAGGGTCACCGGCAAAGAGGACATGAACGTTATCAGAAGCAACTAGGTCCAGGCAATGCGAGGTCAGCAAGCAGCCACGCCTTGACGCGAAGAGAGGTTCCCCACTAGGTATGTCCAGACGCTGGACAAGCCAATAGTAGACCCGCCCGTATACCGATTCTTGTTTGTCTCTGCTACTTTCTCTAGACCGCGAGCTTGTCGATACTGAGATCAGCACGTAGAAGATTTATTGGCAACACAACATTCTGCAGATAAGCCCACTGTCACTATTGAAAACCTACATGATCTATTGGTCATACAACAGGCCGGTGACTGCTAGTACAGCCTCTGTTGTCATTGCCCAGAGTTTACTAGACCAATTTGATACACGTAAAGGAGGAAACAACGTATGATACCCAACAAGTGTACCTGTTGGGCTTCAGGTTTGTGCCGTGTTCAGCAACCGTCTCTGGCACCATGCCGACTTTCCTAGTTTGGACAGGGTGCGCTGCAAACGAAGGGGTAATATCCAAGCTGGCTGATCATGATTCATTAATTTCTGGCGGGAAGCTCAGCCGTTGCAAGGCATGGGCTGACAAGTTAAAGATGATGATATGCAAGTCCAGGGGAACGCGATGATTATCAAGCGAGAGTAAACACGGTATTGCATTATCAAGATGCACTGGTTCCTGTAAAGATTTTTTTCAACGAGCCGGGCTCACCGCCCAGAAATCCTAACACTCAGAATCTCGTTTAGAGGACGAGTGAAGAAGGGAGAAGAAGAAAAAAAGAACATTTATATAGATATAGAAATTCCCAAATTCTTTCTGAAAAATATCTGCATTTGTTTTCCACCATTGCTTCCAAGTCGAACTGATCAATCAAAGACGTTAAGCCCTAGAAGGTCTCGGATTGTTCTGTAACCTCACTAAATACAGGCTTGCTGCTAGCGATTGTCGGTACAAATCCCGGGGCTCTGTTGGACTTCTTTTCTCTGTCATTATTATTGTACTGTTTCATCTCTGAGCTTTCTATCTAAATACATCCCATGCCTTCGGTGGGGAGCACGGAGAAAAGGATTTCTTTCTTTTAAAGGGGAAAAAAAATAAAAAAAATAATGGATGGGTTAGCGGACCTGCAAGCCTACAGCGATCAGCTGTCGACATCGATCAAGAGCTTGGTTGAATCTGGCCGACCTTTGAACCCTTCTTCGCTGCCCCCGGCCAAATCGAATGAGGGGGACGAGCTGCAGCGTGCTAGGAACAGCATTCTCACCAGTATCGCTGGAATCAAGAGGCTGGTCTGCGGGCCAACCGAACTACTCCATGACCTCGCACGACAGGTTTGTATTTCCCGATCTCTGTGTTATCTAGTTGCATGTTCGTTCACACACGCTTGGTCCGATACGTTCTTTGCTAGGCAGTGTTGACGTGATTGATACCCTGCCTAGATCGAGATTCTCGGCTGCTGCCAGTGGCTGGCGGAGCTACAGATCCTTGCATGCGTCCCGCAGGAAACGAGTATTCCCATCAGAGACTTGGCCGACTTGGCAGGCGTTCCTGAGACTCAGCTTCGTCGTGTGGTCCGGCTGACAGCCACATACGGATTCCTCCGGGAGCCGATGGCGAACTCCGTATCGCACACGCCTCTGTCGTCACGATTGCTCGAGGACCATGCCCTGCAGGACGCCACACATTTCATAGTCAAGGTCGCCGCCCCTGCGGCCTTTCATATGTCTTCAGTTACGCCACGATTTGGCGCCCCCCGCGCCGGACCCGATACGGCCTACAATCTGGCCCTGAACACGTCCCAATCGTTCCGTGCCACCCTCCAGGAGCATCCGAGATTCGCTCGTCAGTGGTCGGCATATCTGCACCACGGTGCAGGCCTGCAGCATGAAGATCAGATCCTTGACGTGATACTGCGGCTCAACTGGACGAACCTGGGTGGCGCTTGTATAGTCGAGGTGAGCAAATCGCCACAGAGGAGGGGCAGAGACCTCTTCACGCCTACATGTTACCGTGCGAGGAAATGTGGAGCTGAGTATATTTACTTTGTTATTAATTCTTTGCAGGTTGGCGCGCGCTCGATATCCACCGCCCGAAGCCTCGCGGAAAACTTTTCTAGCCTTCGCCTGGTCGTGCAGATTGATGATTCACGACATTCGTTCTCCGAACTGCATGAAGTCGACGCCTGCGAGTCCAGCGGCTCCCTGTCCAATTCTACTCCTGCGTCTCCTGGTAGTCGGATTTTGGTAACTCCTCACCTCGCTGGCCAACCGCAACCCATATCAGATGGGGCTGTTTACATCCTGCATCTTGACGCCATTCTCAGATCTACTTCACGTAAATCAAGTGAGTTTGCGATTCAAGAGACTATGCGAGATTATTCTACTATCCTGCGAGCAACCGGCGCCATATTGCTCATCGTGACGGCCTGTCTACTTCCGGAACCAGGGAGCATCCCCAACAGCGAGGTGGAGGCCACGGCGAGGACGCGTGACCTTAATCTGCTGCAGCTAGCTGATGAGGGTGAGATGGAGATGAGCGAGCTTCTAAGCATTATCGAGACGATGAGGGACGCGACTGGGAAGTTGGTGGTGACAACGCAGCTTCGTGCACAAAACGGCTTGGTGGTAGCATTGGTTGTGAAACATGAAGCATATTGAAACTGAGACTCATCACGCATGATGCTTCATCACAGGCTCGAGATCCAATCAAAAATATATTTGTCTTGAAAGAGATGGATCTTCAATGTCTCAGTCGATCTCTAATTAAACAAGACCAACCTTATCATATAGTATATCATTTCTCCTTTCCTTCGAGGTGTTTCCCCTCAGATATCTCAGAAGTCGGGTTTGTCGACGCATCTTGGTCGCTCCCTTGAGTCGGAACACCGTTGGACTTGTTGCTCGTGATAGATGGAGCCACCCTGGAGCCACCACCGTCGTCAACACTTCTATCAGCGGCAACTTCATCCTCACCTTCAGCCAACTCAACCGTACTGCCATTGGTAGGCTTCTCGGCTGGTAAGTTCTTCCTGACACTCCTCCACTCCATCGTAAGCGCACCAAGAATGGCCAAACAAGCCATGATCAGCCCCACCTGAAAGCAAACACACAACGATTCGTTGTAAGCCTGCAGTACCATGTCGTGGTACTGTGTAGGGACGATATTAAGCAGATTTGTAGCGCCCGTCTGCACAATGATCTGACGAGTGATGCCGGGAACCCCGGCGAGGCGGTTCGCCAGCTGATTGTCTAGAACATTTTGGCCCACAGAGGTGAAGACGGAGCCCAAGAGCATCTGGGCGAAGAACATGAGCGATACGCCGATGGCAACCTTCTCACGGGCCAGCACCGTCTGCGCGGCCATGTTGGGCACCTGCATGGACGAGCCAAACCCAAAACCGTAGAGAATCTGATACCCGATCCACTGGCCCGTAGTCGTGTTTACTTTCAATGTTGTAAGCAGGCCGCTGCCAATTGCCGTCAAACAGATACCAAAGATCAGGAACGGGTTGTAATAGCCAATGCGAGAGATGAGGATGCCGCTGACAACAGTGGCAATAACGGTGGGTAACAGCATTGCGAGGAGCCGAATACCACTTCCCACAGCTGAGACACCCTGAATGGCTTGGAACCAAATGGGGAGATAGTAAACTGCGAATGAAAACGTCAGCATATAGATAGGATACTGAATGGACCGGTTTCAGTGGACAACTCTTACCAAACAGGTTCTGATGTGCACCTGCACAACAGGCTATCCAGAACCCAGAGGCAATACTGCGTTGAGCAAAGATTTTTGGCGGCACAGTTGCCTGATCTGGTTTCCAGATTTGTATCAAGACAAATACGATCAAGAGTACGATTCCGAGAACAAGTAACAAAATAATTCGCCATTGATTCCACTATTTGTCAAGCATTAGCAGATGGAACTAAACAGCTGCGGGTGAAAATTCAAAAGAACAAGAACTTGCCTCGTATGTGGTGCCACCCCACTGCAAGGCCAAGCACAGGCAAACAATTCCAGGCAGCAAAGCGAGGAGCCCCGGGGCATTGAGCTGTACGAGTTTGCTGCGGAAGGGCATATGCGTACTAGGCCGGTCTGGAATATGCAGTAGAAAGAGGACGAGGACGCAGACCACGGCGCCAAGAGGAAGATTAATGTAGAAGCACCACCTCCAAGTGACATTCGATGTGAAAGCGCCGCCAATCAGTGGTCCTGCAATTGACGAAATACCAAAAACACCGCCAAAGGAGCCTTGGTAGACTGGCCGTTTATGCAATGGAACTGCAAAAACGATGACGACCATCTACAGAGACGTCAGCACATGACAAGGTAACTGAGTGATCAAAGTGCGCATAGACACGGTGACGATGAGGGTCAAAACACAATCTCGGGTACCTACAACACCAGCAAAGACGCCTGCAGACCCGAGACCAGCAATGGATCTGCCCAGAATGAAAGCAATCGAGTTCGGCGCGGCGCCGCATATTGCAGAACCAGCTTCAAACAGGATGATTGAGGTCAAAAAGGTGGCTTTGATGCTGAAGACGGTGTAAATCTTGCCAAAGACAAGCTGGAAGGCACAGCTCGTCAGAAGATATGCCGTGCCATACCAGCCAATGTCGCCGGCCGAGTTGAAGTCGTTAGTAATTTGGGGAATTGCAGTTGAGATAATTAACCTGTCCTGTAGCAAGTGACTGTTAGTCCAACTCATTGGGATGATATGAACATGGTTGTGCATGAAATTTTTCGACATACCAGCGACACCAGGAACATGCTCACGAAGAGAGATACCGTGATCAAGGCGAGCTTTACCCCCGTTGGATACTCGATATCATCTTCATCTGAGCCACGCTCTTCGAGGTCACCAGACTGAGCTGCGGGCTCAAGAGTAGCAGTGGTGTTCTCATTGTTGCTAGGACTTGGCTTTCTACCATTTGCAATCGATGTGCTATTTTCCTCCAACTCATATGCTCTGTTAACTTCCTTCTTGGAAAACATGTCAACTGCGCATGTAGCAAGGCGATTCACTAGCCCCAACAGCCGAGATCGAAGGCGTGAAGGGTGCTCTTTAAAGGCTCAAAATCGTAAAATGATTTCTTGTGAAAAGCGACATGCTCTGGTGAGTGAAGTGCAGCACATGTAAGGGAGTTCAATAGGGAGCATAATGATTCGTCGCCAAAAGTACAGCAGCATCGCTCCCAAGACAAGTGTAACGCCACTTACGTTGACTTCCTGGCTGGATGCATGATGCATTTCGGCCTTTTCGCAGCGGAGTAACTCGCAGTCCTGGGCGACAAAAGGTCCGTCTCCAGCTCGAAAATACTGGCCATTGTCGTACAACATCGCACCAAATTAGGTATGTCTCAGGTTCCCACCACCTTTTCCCCCGCCACATCAGCTACTACAGTACATGGCAACGTGCGAGATCGGACCAAGGAGCGCGAACTTGATAGCCTATTTTCTTGGTCTGGCTATGCTCAGCGCCTGCTGTGGGCACGAGAGTTGCCAAGATGACAATTAAATGCTCTCGGAAAACAAGAACATTCAGGCCATCAAACCTGAACGACGGAAAGCACTTCACGCGGGGTACTGTACGAAGTATGTCCATGACGCTCTTTCCATGCCTATTACCCGTATATCGGAACAATATAATCCATTTGAGCCGAATTGCGCCGAGATACGACTTTGTCTCAAATCATTGGTCTCGTTTACACGCGTGGTGGGCGTCTTGTATTGCCGGAGCTGAAATTCTTCGGAAGCCCAGAGACAGCCCTGGCTGGACTTGCACGGGAAGATGGGGTCCTGCGAATGCGCAGGTGGTATATGCACACATACATATATACAAACATTTAAACCAAATTTGGTACAAGCCAAGCAGTGCGAACAGATTGTAATCATTAGGAAATAGCAGAAACATGGGCTCCAATAGAACATTGTTTGCCTCAGGCCGAGGCGAGAGTGCTGCTTCGCCTGACGATTTCCAGTGGATCATCACCGCTGGACTGTCGAGTATTACGGCCATTCTGGTAACCTTTCTTGCCTACCTGTCTTACACTCCCAAAGTCGACAAGAATTCGCCCGCGTTCACGACAGATACGCTTCCATTTGTAGGATCATGGCGATTCTTAACCCAGAAGATGTGAGTCAAGCACTTTATTAATCACAATCTTGATACATAGTAATACTAAGACGATGTCTTTTCCACAGGGATTTTTGGCGAGACTCGGTCCAGAAATCCAAGACCGGACATTTCAGCTTCTGGCTGGGTAAAAATCATGTCGTTGCTGTGTCAGGAGAAGCTGCTCGCAAATGGTACCTGGACGATCGCAGGCTCTGCTCTGTCCGAGGAGTTCAGCTTATAGGTCACGGACCGGACATTGGGCCCCCGTTCAAGGATATCCATAACGCAAAAACTCCTGCTGGTTCAACATATTTCCAACGCCGCCTACTCGAGCTACAGAAAACGGAGCAGCTCACCAAGCGTCTCCCAGCTGTGACTCGAGATGCTCATACCGCTTTTGCAGGTCTAGCCCGCAGGCCAACAAACATCATTAACCCGGCCGCAGAATGCTATCGGATCGTGATCCAGCAAAGCACTCGTGTCTTTTGCGCTGATGAGCTCTCAGACGACCCCAGCATAGTGGATACTATCTTTGGCTACCTGATGATACTTCGCTCCACCAGCAGTCTTCACCTCATGGCAGTCCCCTGGTTGCGGCTTACATCCCTCGCCTACTGGAAGCGCGTTTACGGACGCTGGGGCTTACATAGCATTGTGGCACCCATGATCAAGCAGCGAATGAGTCCAGGGGCATCTCGGGCCAATGACGCGGTTCAGACTCTGATCGATCTTGGCGACAGCCAGGAGCACATCATCGACTTCAGCATCAGCGGCATATTCGTCGCCGGTGCAAATGCAGGCTACCTGACGGGCGCGATGCTGAACGTGTGTGCCCATTTCCAGGACTGGCAGGAGAAAATGTACCAGGAGCTCAAGAGCGTCGCGGCGTCTTACGCCAAGAACAAAGACGTGCCTCTCGTAGAGCAGCTCGACTCGATTCCGCTGGCAGCGTGGGAGGAGTCTTTTCCCGCCATGGACATGTGCTACAAGGAGGCGATCCGTCTGTGGGTCGCATTCCCCATGGGACGATTCAATGTCTCGCCCAATGCCATCCCCATCCCGGGCAGCAGTGAGGTTCTTCCTTCCGGCAGCTTTGCGTCTTACAACACCATGGATGTGCACTACAACGAGAAGTTGTACCCCAACCCCAAGAAGTTCGACCCGGAGCGTTTCATGGAGGGTCGAGAGGAGTTCAAGAAGGAGACCTACGGTTGTAAGTATCCAAGACTCTTTCAGTCCTTTTTTTCGGTGGTAATCATGAACTGACCGATCTTGGTACAGTCATTGGATGGGGCCAGGGGCGCCACCCGTGTCTTGGAATGCGATGGGCAAAGATGCAGCAAAATATCATTCTTGGCTATGCGCTGGCGATGTACAGATGGATTGCCTGCGATGAGAATGGGAACCCAAATGTCGAGTTCGACCGCAAGACTGATGTGAATGCGCCGGCCCCGAATCTAGCTCGGGGTCTGCAATGCATGTTTGTTCCTAGGAACCAGAATTAAGGTTTGTGGATTCGTCAAATAATGTGCAAGTATGCAGTGGAATATGGTGTGGCTAGGTACATGGCATCACGTGTCATCCTCGATCACCATGTGTTTCCACGTGCAAAATAGGGATCAGGGCGGGAGGTTGATGAGAAATTTCATTCAAGTTGCTACATGTACGCTTTAGAACCCAGAAGAAACTCAACTCAGTGTGTATACATGCCTGAGCATCTCAAAAGTCATTGAATGAGGAATTCTTGAGGAGTCCCTGGCTATCAAGTACTGACTTAGAAGTAAGCGGTCATCTCATGTGTTCGTAGTAAGTAACCATCTTATGACCGTGATGCTATGGTGAGCAAACTTCTAGATGCGAGGCTGGGCCGCATAGCCGCATATAGACTGGCAAGGAAACCAACGTCCATCAAAGCTGTAACTCACAAAATGCCGCACGAGACCATTGATTTCATCATTGTCACTCACCAAGTGGTGATCAATAACGTCAACATGCAACCTGCCGTTGTTGTACAAACAGTCACAACCATGCTCGTAAACGTTGTCTCCGTCATCCAACATAGCTATATTGATCACGTACTCTGTCAATGTTTCTTTCAAGTTTCATACAACGTTGTGGATATTATGTGTTGGATGTTCAGGTGACGAGCAATTAACATGCTCGGGGTTTTTAAGCGCTATCTTTAGCAAGCTTGAGAACGAATTTTTCCTTGAGTTTCAGAAAATGATAGGAGATTTCACCAGATGCCTGACAAGCACAGTAATCACTTTATGAGCGGTACAAGTAACAGCATGTCTTGATAGAGTGGCGAGATCAAACGTTTCCATTTGTCAGTACCGCAGTGGCCGCCTGAGCTCTTACCGTATTGATGCACATACTTATATCTTGACCTTTTCAAGTTAAATTTAACTAACAGTGGCCTGGAATCGGATTATAAGCAAATCACAAAGGTCAACAATCTTGGAGGCCTCTTTCAAATAGGGTCGTCACGTCCAACATCGGCCTCAGTCGCGTGTTTGCGTGTGACACTTTTTGTGATCATGCAGTGACGTATTATTGCGTCACGAATGCTTCATGAAGCTCGAAAAACACTATCGTGTGAGAGTGAACTACACAAGTATACATGCCACATCAAACTGTGCTGTGTTTGCGAATGGGTCCTCTGTTTGACTCGCTAAACGTACTTTTTATCATGAGCATATACATATGATGCGGCGGAACGTTCAAGTCTGACAAAACATTTTCCTCGAGTTGCAAGTTGAAGGCAGTCAACGAAACGTAGAGCATAAATTGATTGCAGTTCCAATATTCTGCTCAGGTGATCCGCTTCGATTGCAGTTCTCACATCAACATCAAAACCCATTGTCTGCAATATTGACCAGCTATTTGCATCCCTCAAATTCCAATATCAAATCTTGCACATACTCCATTCAGCATGAAGCACAGGCAGGATCTTCGCAGGCTTGATATGGAGGGCATGAGACCACAAGATGAGATAATGATTCGACTCAGACATCAGCTAATCCCCGAAACATCTGAAGACGACAAGTTCATCGAGGCCGTCTTTCAATATGCCGACGATCGCAGATATCGCCAGGAGTCACACAACCAGCTGAGAGCCCCAGCAAGCGCCGAGATCCCTATGAGCACACTCCAGCGGACTAGGGCTCCAGACTACTGCTACAATAACATTCACGAACGTGTTGCTCTACCTCGTCCGGCTGAAAACTCAAGGGACAATGAAAATCTTGCACTATTCTCAAATAACTCTGAGGCTTCCCATGGATCTCCCAACGAGGATTCGGGTTCGATCTGGTCCTCAGAAATCGGTCACCAGCCCATCAACCAAAATCAACTAGGCTTCTATTCCCGAGTCGGTGACAGAATACGGAATAAGCACTCTTCAACGAGTCACCAAAGCTCCATATATTTTCCACACGTTCCGCACTCGTCTCCTTCCGATCAGGACTTAGAATCTAATCGGCACAATTATGGGAACCTGAATCCTGCTGCCCAGCTAGTATCCCAAAATTACTCAATGAACGAAATGATACGAAGCACTCCGCCGAGTCATACTTTACCAGCAGCTCAGGCCGGCCCTCATCATTTTTACCAGTCGGGACGGCCTGTGGTCAGAAAAGCTGTTTCTCGAGGCTATGACAACGGACATCGTGACCATCGACGAACTTGCAACGTGTCTGAAGGCTCGGCGACCTTGTCACCTCAGTACATCTCGGAAGAATGCAGGATCAAACGCTATGAGGTGACGGAAGAAAACGTTCGCAGGTTCAATGAGCTCAATGGGTCTATGTATAGAAAGAAGCGCTCTAAATCCTCGTCTTCGATGGTTGCTGCATAGTCGGCACATCGCTACGATATTATTATTCGAAGGTTACAGTGGGATACAGGGCAGCGACTGTAGCTATGCTCATAATAGCTGGTGGTGATTACCTATGATTTTGTAGTCTAAATTCATGACTATAACAGAGCTTGATGATCGTCTTGGGGTGTCATTTTCTTCTTATCATTTTGAAGTAACCTGAACATGTTTTTATTAAAAGTCATGTCATGTGTGGTTCACATGAGGCACATGCGACTACCGGCCAGTGCAGCTCTCTACCGAAGAACAAGGAAGTAATCATATTAGGCTGCATAAGGTTAGTTACTTTTTTTGTTGCAAGTTGGACTGATGGATCGAATATCAGGCTTGATTACTACCCATATAGAAACTTCCACGACGAGCTATCGGAATCCTGAATCTCCGAATCTTTTTGCCCATTTCCTGACCTTGGAGTCCATGTCTTGCCTGACAAAGACCAGAACGAGCAGTGCAAGACATCCTAGGAACCAGTCGAGGAGCCCTTTCAAGAAGCCACCCCTGACGCTGGCACCCAATGTCCCACACATGACAAATCTCGTCATCAAGTCCGTCGTCACCAGCTCGTGCCCGCTCTCCAGCCCCTTGATGGCCTTCGCTGCCACCACAGCAGATGGCAGTCCTTCATCTGACTCCTCCAGCATCTTTGTGAGATCTGACTTGATTCTGTTCTCGCTGTCCAATGCCTCACCAAGAATTGAGGCAGGAAGGACGAGGTGAACTCCCACTGAGCAGGCAGTGTAAAGTTTGGTCTCCTGCGACAGAGTGTCGAACAGAGATCGAAGAGCCGCCTTGCTTGGGCTATATGGAGAGTATCCCGCAATAGGGTAAAGAGCCAGAAACGACGAAGTGAAGACGAGTTGCCTCGAGGGAGCAGCTGATGTAGAATCCTCCTTCATTCCCAGATTCTCGGGTTTCAACCATGCTCTGAGCGCGGCGTGGGCTATATACAGGGTCGAGAAATAATTTGAGTCCATCTGCGACCGGAATTGAACCGGTTCTGTATCAAGGAAGATTGTCGGGTGGGAGCTCCCAGCACAGCACCACACAATGTCAGGCGGACCCGAGTTCCATGCCGTCACTTCGGCTATGACAGTGCTTGCCGCCTCATCTTGTGTCAGGTCGGCACTGATCTGGTGGAACCGCTGGGTAGTTGGCGAAGCAGCTCCGGCTCTGATATATTCGATGCTTCTCTTAAGCCGTCCTGTGTCTCTCGCAACGATGACAATGTTGGCCCCCTTTGCGGCCAGCTGTCGACTGACTTCAAGGCCGAGACCCCGCGACCCGCCTGTCACCAGGACGGTCTGCATGAGATTGATTAGTCTACGAGTCTCTATGACACAAACACGGCACATTTACCTTTGCATGCACAGGGAATGCATTCTTCGAGAGATGTGCACCCATGGCTGACAATGCTAATCAATCGACGCTCGCTCACGCGGTTTTCAACAACAGCCCACTCTTGTGCAGCAGAAAGTTCGAGGAGAAGTGCTTTCAAAGGGCAAAATAAGCTGATATAGAAGCCAAGTTATCTTAATTATGCAGTCAAAATGCGACAGTTCAGGCTGCTGCATGAGTCAAACATAGCCAAATGAAACCCATCGGCCGGAGGAGGATAGCTGCCCTGAAAGCTGAGCGAAGATAAAGAGCTGAAAATATATTGGTTCTTCCGGGCTATACTGGCGCCAATCAATATGCATCTCAATGCGACATGTCAGCTTTTGGTGATCCCGAAGCCCACAGCTTACTGTGGCGTCAGATATTCGGTCGGTCCCGGGATGATTAGTCTGCTTATGAAGAGACAATGTCGCTGTCGAAGGCGCAAAGCCCAGCAAATAAGAAGTCTGGATTCGAGGGATCTGCACTCCACCATTTTAAGTGTGCGAAAACCACCAACCACCGTCACGCCTTGGTGGCGCGTCGTGTGATGGCTGGCATAAACTCGAGCAGCATGCGTGTGAAGACACTATTAAATTGGTGCATGGTGGGTAACCTCCTCCACACCATCTTCACCATCGCTTGACCACGCTATGAGCTGGCAGACCCCCCCAAACCGGGAGTTGGCTGTGCTTGGCAGCAATCAGGCTACAATCAGATTTCTTTACTTTTTTCCAGTACGAGCAAGAAAATCCCCGACGCTGCTGTGTGGGTCCCAAGAAACCGAGGTCATTAATAACGAGTGAGACGCAGCGAGCGATGATAAGCGGGCGAGAGAATGCAAACCCGACAATGAAGCACCCACGGCAGGTCTTCGTCTTTTTCTTCTTACGTTTCTGTGCATTGCTGCCCTTCGGTGCAGCCAGTGGCCCACAATGTCTGCCAACGAGGCAGAGGATTATGCCGAGGGTAATGTTGAGACTGGCGTTGGAGCCGCTATGATAGCTCTGTCTATCATAGTTGTTGGGATGCGTTTCTACGCCCGCACGCACTTTAAGGCTGGCCTGGGTTGGGACGACTGGCTTGCAATGGTAGCGCTTGTTGGTAATGTGAGCGCTGCGCTTCTTGTTCTATCCGGTAAGTCGGCCCTCCTTCTAACTTGGATACTCTGTGCACCCTGATCTATGCTGGGGCTGCTCGACTGCTGTTTTGTAATGTCCTGAGAGGTGCTTACAGTGGCATAGCTTCCGTCATCGACCCGAATTCCGACTGGATAGAAGACAACACGGATCCAAACTATCATTACACGTCTGCCAACAAGACCCATCTTCTGTTGGCATGGATAGCATCGGTGATCTACTTCACTTGTGTCAGCGCGGCCAAGTTATCCATCTTGCTGCTGTACAAGCGCATCTTCTCCACGTCCCGCGCGTTCCAACTCCAGGTGAATGTGCTCAGCGCAGCCATCATCCTCTTCTGGATCGCGACCACATTCGCAACAATCTTCACGTGCTGGCCCATAAAATGGAGTTATATCAGCAGCCTCAGTCCCGAGCCTTACTGTTTCAACTTCAATATCTACTGGTTCGCGACAGGTATCATCGAGGCTGTCTTCGACATCTGCATTATATTGCTGCCTGTTAAGATGGTCATGAAGCTCCAGATGAGCATGAAGAAAAGGATGAGCTTGGTGGCCGTCTTCTCGCTGGGCGCATTGTGAGTGTCTTCAAGTCCAACTCATCATATGTCTGCGTTGACTCTTGGACTGACTTCGACGTATCAATACTCCGCTCCAGTGCCATCATTACTGGTATTGTCAAAGTGTACCAAGGCTACGCTCCAGGCAAACGATCTCCGAATTGGAATCAGACAGAGACTTGGTCTGCTGTTCATGGTCAGTACACCAAGAGTCAAAGAATGCTCCAATAAAATCTTGTACAGCTAGGAAAATCACTGATAATTGGTATTACCAGGTGGCATGGGAATTATATGTTCCTGTCTTCCGGTATGCTGGCCCATCATACTGCGAATCTCGTCCAAAGTTGCCTCGACCGCATCGCTCCCCCGATCTGGAAGGTCTACCGGAACCGGCTCAGTTCGAAGCTGGTGGCGCCATCACAAACCAACGTACAGCTGGGCATCATCAGGAACCAAGAGAACGAGCCATATTTCGAGAGAGGAAAGGGGAGAATATCTCAGGCAACCCTCCCACGACACCCTGCAACAGTCCGACACCGAATTAATTATCCTACCTGCACGACCTCCTACTGCCCACGAATCAGACTCCAGCCAATGGGATATACCCCGCCTGACCGTCTGGAGAGATGAGAGTGATACAGGCTACGGCTCTGATGGCAGAGGGAAACACGGCAGCTCCGTGAACATACATCACAGCAACAGCTTTCACTGAACATACATGACGGGCAAGCGAAGAACGACGACTGCATACAGCTGGTGCTGAATGGGGAACAAAAGTCTGCCGCTTCATAGATCACAAATGTGTACAGAACAATTTTGAATCATCACATGTCGCTCCATATTTGGTGAAGAACAAGTTCCGCGGGGTAATTAGTCCACGGGGGGCATGGTCCACACCTTGACACCGTTGATCTTACCCTCCCACACTTCCTTCGAGAGCACTAAAGGAGTGGACCATCCCCAACGCTGACAAGTCGATTTGCTAATGATCAAATTAACTTTCACAGAAGTGCAGTCTCTCACACCATCACATGGGGAAAGACCGACGCCATTATAGTTCAACCGTTTGATCGTTACTCCCTTGGCAGCCAGTCCGGCAGTCAGGATCCCCTCAAAACAATGCCCACTCGTACAATGCTTGCTAGCCCGAATCCAGCATATCAATAAAACAGGTGCATATTTTGAGACCAGATTTTGTCAACGTCTTAAACTAACAAATCTTGATAAAACCCCAAAATAAGGGACTGAAGATACAATGATCTTACTACAAAAAGTGTATATAGTTTCTATTTACTTTTTACTGCATTCCCATTCGCAGTGTAATGTGGTAGAAGTCTGTTCTTTGGGTGAGTGCGCACCTCAGTGCTTTCTGAGATGACCCTGGCAGTCTTCCGAAATGCTATTCTCCCTAGCTAGGTCGATCCACATCTCATACAGTAATTTCCTTGCTGATCGAAATGACAATGTTCGCATTCCTCGTCTGTGCTTCCACGTGCATCATTAGTCTTTTGTTGAAGACTGAATCGTCAAAGCGAAGAGAATGCTACGGCCTGAATTGTTCATAAGGTGTAGAGTGGAAGCACGTACATTTATACAAATAGTATGTCCAGGAAATCGATTGCTGTCCCTGCACCTGAGCTTCTGATGATTCATCCCTCAGGACTAAGGCTTCAGTGAGAGTTCCCCAGAATGACTCCTCCTAGTCGTTTCTTTTGGGCTTACAGCCTCTTAGCCCTGATTTGTCTGCTCGAAGTATCTTCTTGCAGCCCACAGCGACGACATATTCCTTTCATCTCGAGGATGGCGTCTCTCAACGCAACAGTTTACGATTATGTTGTGGTCGGATCAGGACCGGGAGGTGGGCCTACGGCAGCAAACCTCGCCGTCGCAGGATACAAGGTTCTTCTCATCGATGCCGGAGGTGACGAGGGCGACAACCTGTTCGAGACAGTACCGGTGCTATTCCCCCGCGCTACCGATGATTTTCCAGCGACGCAGTGGAACTATTTCGTCACGCGCAGTTCCGATCCAGTCACGCAGGCCAAGGACGCCATCACATCCTACCTGCTCTCCAATGGCAGCCTATATACCGGTCTTGACCCGCCAGAAAATGCTACTGCTATCGGCACGCTCTATCCACGTGCCGGAACCCTAGGTGGCTGCTCTCGACACAATGCCCTCATTACCATCCGGGCATTTGATAGCGACTGGGAAGCCGTGGCGGATCTGACCGGCGACACGAGCTGGAACGGGAGCACGTTCGAGAGGCTTTTCGAGGAAATAGAGCACTGCAATTACCTTCCCAACAGTGTTGTCGGTCACGGATTTGCTGGATGGCTTTGGACGGAGCTGACGTCGCTCGTGACGGCGGTTCAGGACCTGAAGGTTGTGAGCATCATCGTCTCGGCTGCCTCAGCTATGGGCGAGAGCCTCACCGGCATCCTTGTTGAGACAGTGGCTGGACTTGCAGAAATCCTGGCAAAGGATATCAACGCGCCGGGGCCAACGATCACCACGGGCCCCTATCAGATCCCGCTATCCATGAAGGACTCGACTCGCAATGGTGCTAGGGATTGGATCTTGCAGGTCGCAAATGCAGTGGATGACAATGGTGCAAGGACATACCATTTGTAAGTTGACTTTCCTTGAATTCAGCGGCAGTTTACTGTCAAGTATCGCCTGGTGCCAAAGCAAGCGGCTAACCCTCATAATTATCATGATCTGACAGGGACATCAAGCTCAATACCCTCGTGACCAAGATCAACTTTGACAACTCAACAGGTGACCTGCGTGCCACCGGTGTTGAGTATCTTGAGGGTCAATCGCTGTATCGTGCCGACCCACGCTGGCAAGACGCGACAGTCGAGGGCTCAGGAGTCGTCAATGTGGCCAGAGAAGTCATTATCGCCGCAGGCGCCTTTAACACGCCGCAAATCTTGAAGCTCAGCGGCATAGGCCCTGCCGACGAGCTTGCCGAGTTCGGTATCGAGCAGCTTGTCGATCTTCCGGTTGGTAACAACTTGCGTGACCATATCGAGGTTTCTGTCATCTCCGAATCGACATCCAACTTCACCCTGGAGGATGGCTGCACTTTCATGTATGGCTACCCCGAGGTCCCTGACCCGTGTCTGGAAAGATACCTCCAAGGCGTCGACGCAACGGCAAAAGGCGTGTACGCTACCAGCGGCGAGGCAGTGGGGGTTGTCATAAAGTCCTCGGCAGCGTCAGGCGACGACGCTGATATCATGGTGTACGGCGCGCCTGCTGGCTTTCCTGGTTTCTTCCCCGGCTGGGCCAAGCATGCCCTCGACTCGGACCACATGCGCTGGACGTGGATCAGCCTGAAGGCTTCCACGCAGAACACAGCCGGGACGGTCAAGCTGCGTTCCTCTGACCCACGAGACGTGCCCGTGATCGCGTTCAACACCTTCGATGGCTCCAGTGACGCCGCCGTGCAGGACCTCCAGGCTTCGTACGAGGGCATCGCGTTTGCCAGGCGCGCCATGGACGACCTGATCCCACTCGATGGCTCCTTCACGGAGACGCAGCCAGGGAGGGCTAATGTCAGCACAGAGGATGAGATCAAGGAGTACGTCTCAACTAACTCTTTCGGTCATCATGCATGCTGCACAGCTCCAATTGGGACAGTGCTGGATTCCAGATTCGGAGTGAAAGGGACGCAGGGTCTTCGCGTGGTGGATGCCAGTGCCTTTCCAGTCATCCCTGGGTTCTTCATCCAGCTGCCGACATATCTACTGTCGTCAAAGGCAAGCGAGGCCATCCTCGAGGACGCCTCGAAATTGAGCAGTTAAAGAAGGCATAGTCACGTCCAAGGGGCTCTGGCAGATTTCTCTTCTTCAGGAAGATTGCACGAGAGGGAGTCGCGACGTGTACATAAGTCGAAGCACCCCCTTGTGGACACCCCTGGCCAGCCACACCGCCATTTCCACCACCTTTACTTTTATAACCTTTTCTCAACCAATTCTTATCCGAATAACTTCATCTTTTTACAGGGCCTTCATACGACAATAATGAAGTCATATACCGAGTTTGAGGTAGCCCAGGCCGTCGAGGCTGTTAAAAAAGGCTGGTCTCAGAAACGAGCCGCACGCGAATACGGGATCCCGAGGACTACTCTTCTTCATCGCCTGGCAGGAAGAGAATCGCATCAAACAGCTCATCAACATCAGCAAAAGCTCTCCTTTCCTCAGGAAAAGAAGTTGGCTGAATGGATTCTTGTTCAGGAAAGCCTAGGGCTTGCACCAAGCCACTCAGAGCTTAAGCACTTTGCTCAGAGGATCCTGGAGGTCCAGAAAGATACTCGAGGGCTAGGGAAGAGATGGACTGAGGGCTTTTTGAAGAGAAATCCAGAGATAAGGGTACGAAAGCATAAACGGATTGCCTCTGAACGAATCAATGGAGCTACAACAGAGGTAATAAGGCCTTGGTTTCGTCTTTTCAACCTTCCTCAAATCCAAGCTATCAAACCAGCTAATAGATGGAATATGAATAAAGCTGGAATAGCTGAGAGCCAAGGAGAGAACGGATTGGTCCTTGGGGGCTCTTCTTCACATTCAATTCATCAAAAAGAGCCTGGATCGAGATCCTGGACTTCGATCCTCGAGTATATCTCTGCTACAAGCACCTATCTTTCCCCTCTAGTAATCTTCAAGAGCCAAACAGTATAACAGCAGTAGTTTCCTCTCTTCTTGGAGTCATTTGAGGGCTGGCAGTTCACAGCTACGAGCAATGGATGGACTGATAATGCTGTAGCCCTCGAATAGCTAAAAAAGATCTTTATCCCAGGCAGCAAGCCAGCAGACCCCTCAGAGGCTCGACTATTAGTCCTGGATAGCCACAGCAGCCATACAACTGACGAGTTTATGTAGCAATGCTATCAAAACAACATCCTGTTGATTTACTTGCCTCCTCATACCTCTCACGTACTTCAGCCCCTCGATCTAGGAGTCTTCTCGTCTCTCAAGAGAGCGTACAGGCGAAAAGTCAGTTCTATAAGCCAGTGGGGGGATTCAACAGTCTTTAGCAAGCAAATATTCCTCGAGACCTATCGTCAGGCTCGCTTGGAAGGCCTTTCGAGCCAGAATATCAAGTCTGGATGGAATGCTTCAGGCTTATGGCCTGTTAGACCTTCCAAGCCACTCCTCAGCCCTCTTCTCCTCGAGAACACCTCTCAGTTCATCCAGACTCAGGCAAATTCAAAGTCAACAGCATCAAAAGCAGCCCAGAATACCCTGAAAGCCTCCTCAGGCCAGGCAGTTATCTTTTCAACGCCTCGCGAAGCTCGAAATATATACCATCAACTACAGCAGAATCAGCACCAGCTTTCATCTTTGCCAGTACAACGTATACTTTTCAGAAAGATATGCAAAGCATTCAGTAAGAGGGATGTCGAACTAGCTAGAGCCCTGGAAAAGAATGAGGTACTGGAAAAGCAGGCTGAGGCCAGAAGGCCAACTAAAAGAAGGAAGGTAGATACAAGCCCAAATTCGAGGTTTGCAGATATTGAGGCTATACAGAAAGCTCAAAATGCAGTCAACAGGAATGACGATAGTCTAAATGAAGAGAGCGATGCCGAATTACCTACTGATGAGGAGGACTGTATCGTGGTAGCTAATTAGGAAGAGAAATGTATATAAATCAATGTATATATATATATGCGATGTGGCTGGCCAGGGGTGTCCACAAGGGGGGGGTGCCCACAAGGGGGTGCTTCGACTTAGTGTTTTGAAAACCGTGGTAGATAATCTAAGATAATCTAAGCTTACCTAAGCAAATGACCAGACAGTGTACTATGGTACTCATTTCCGATCCGGGTCCGAAGGCGCGACCGAAAAGTGCCCCGCGATATACGTAGTGTACTTACTGTTGCCAAGCTCAAGCTCAAACAGCTCCAGCCCACCACCTCCGAGCCGGCGTCACCGTGTCGCGGTCATTTCGCCCGTCATTCAGCAGCGACAGCACGCAAGACGCACGCGACGCCACGCAATGCCAGCCCACCTCATCACCAACCAACGGCCCCTTACATGAATTGTTTCTCTACTTGCTCACCCAGTATCTTTTTCACTGACCCAAAAGGCGTCACTGGTTAGCGCTGTCTAGAATTCTTCAACCAAACCTAACAAAAAATGGCAACCCAACAGTTCGCAACGATACTACAACGATGATTTCGCGATCCCTCTGTCTTGGGCGTGCCGGCGCGGGCGGTGCATGGCACCAGTCATACTGCCTCTCTTCGCGCTCTCCTCAGCAATGGCACCGGCCATGGCTACCACAGAAGACTGCTGTCAGTCCAATGACACGAATATTAACCACGACATCCTCATTGCGCGAGCCTGCACACCCCCCGAACGCAGCGTCCTCTTCTTCCTCTCCTTCCAACAAATCCGCAACGGCGACGACTCAGTCTCCTACTGAAACTCCCCGCCAACACGACCTTTCAAAGGAGAGCAAGGCTTCCATGACACCGAAGCCGGCAGCTGATCCTCTAGCTCCAATAGACAAGACCGCACAGGAGCAGCGCAAGGCAGATTGGGCCATCATAAAGGAGATGTCACAATACCTCTGGCCTAGGGACAGCATAGGCACCAAGATGCGTGTGGGACTGGCCGTCTCGCTTCTCGTCGGTGCAAAGGTGCTCAATGTCCAAGTGCCATTCTACTTCAAGAGCATAGTGGATGCCATGAATATCGACATTGCCTCTGTCGGAGGGACAGCGACGACGGTCGCAGGCACCATGATACTGGCATACGGCGCGACAAGGATAGGCGCCACCGTCTTCCAGGAACTGCGCAATGCTGTGTTCGCGTCAGTGGCCCAGAAGGCAATCCGCAAGGTCGCTCGGGATGTCTTTGATCACCTGCTTCGCCTGGACCTGGGCTTCCACCTCTCCAAGCAGACAGGAGGCCTGACCCGCGCCATTGACCGAGGAACCAAGGGCATCAGCTTCCTCCTGACCAGCATGGTCTTTCACGTCATCCCTACTGCCCTCGAGATCACCATGGTGTGCGGCATCCTGACTTACCAATACGGCGGGTCTTTTGCAGCAATCACCGCCCTGACTATGGCTACATATACCGCGTTCACCATCTGGACGACGGCGTGGCGCACAAAGTTCCGCCGACAGACCAATGCCGCTGACAACAAGGCTTCTACGGTGGCTGTGGACTCGCTCATCAACTACGAGGCCGTCAAATACTTCAACAATGAGAAGTTCGAGATCGCCCGTTACGACAAGGCTTTGGAGCAGTACGAGAAGGCCTCCATTAAGGTTGCCACGAGTCTGGCGTATCTCAACAGTGGCCAGAATATCATCTTCTCTAGTGCCCTGACCGCCATGATGTATCTTGGCGCCAATGGGGTCGCGTCGGGGAACCTGACGGTCGGTGATCTGGTCATGATCAACCAGCTCGTTTTTCAGCTCTCTGTGCCCCTCAACTTCCTAGGCTCTGTATACCGCGAGCTGCGCCAGAGTCTACTGGATATGGAAACCCTCTTCAACCTGCAGAAGGTTAATGTGACCATCACTGAACCACCTAACGCGAAGCCTCTAGCTCTTACCAAAGGAGGCGAGATCCGTTTTGAAAATGTCACTTTCCGATACCACACTGACAGGCCGATCCTGCGCAATCTGAATCTGGTCATTCCTGCCGGCAAAAAGGTTGCCATCGTCGGCCCCTCAGGCTGCGGCAAATCAACCCTGTTACGACTGCTGTTCAGGTACTACGACATCCAGCAAGGCCGGGTCCTGATCGACGATCAAGACATCCGTCAGGTGCAGGTTGACAGCCTGAGACGCGCCATTGGCGTTGTTCCACAGGATACGCCGCTGTTCAACGACACCGTGGGGCACAATATCCGCTATGGTGATGTTACTGCGCCGCACGAGCGTGTAGTGGCCGCTGCCAAGCGCGCCCGAATTCACGACACGATCGTCTCCTGGAAGGAAGGTTATGAGACAAAAGTCGGTGAACGCGGCTTGATGATTTCGGGCGGAGAGAAGCAGAGACTGGCCGTGTCGCGTTTACTGCTCAAAGATCCTCCCCTCTTGTTCTTTGACGAGGCCACCAGCGCACTGGATACACATACGGAACAGGGATTAATGCAGAATATCAACTCTATCTTGAAGGAGAAGGGTCGTACGAGCGTGTTTGTGGCTCACCGGCTGAGGACGATCCATGATGCCGACCTGATTGTTGTGTTGCGGGGCGGTAGTGTTGTGGAGCAAGGCACGCACAAGGAGCTGGTGGACCGGGGCGGGGTGTACTCCGAGCTCTGGAGTGGTAAGCCATCTCTTATGAGCATCATTTCTGAAGCCTAAGACACTAACTAACTCCTTGCAGTACAAGAGACGCTGTTCCACGAGAATGGAGAAGAGGGAAAGGACACAGAGGCTGACGAGTCGGAAGACGAGCCTCGAAAGTGAAGGTGATAGCCACCCTGGAGCTCTTGGCAATGCTTCAAGAGGATTACCCAATAGTGCGTGTGATAACCAGCCTCCTAGATAGCATCCGTCACACTCCTGACTCGTCAGGTTGTGCAAGAATTGTATATCTCTCTTGCGACTGGATTCAAGAAGCATCGGTGGCTCGACCTGCAAGTGCACGCATGCCCTGGAAGCAGGCTTTCTCACTGCAGGGAATGCTGTGCTTGCAACAAAGGCGGGAGCGATAAATTTCATGCCTGGAATGAGACTTATCATGGGGAGGCCCGGGAGATGCTGCTGACCTTGGATGGGAATGATGCAGGCAAACTGCAACCTCGCCAAAAAAAAACACAAAAAAAAAAACACAAAAAAAAACCCCCCATTAATAGTAGCAGGGCACGATCTACTACCATCAATGACAGTGTCTGAAACTCGAAGGATTCCTCCATCTTCATCCCAGCTTGCTGGACGCTTTTCTTCCTCTTTCTGCCAAAATTGCCTACATGAAGGACAATAATTGCGGTATTGGATACCGGACAAGCCTCGCCCAGTGATCATGTCCCAAACAACCAACACCCAAATGAAGATAGCAATGGCTACTAGGGAGGCTTGCAAACAATAGACCAATGTAACAGCATAAGCAATGAGAAGATACATCGTCCACATTTCAAGGTTGCTTATGCGGCATCTCAAGTTTACATCACGAATACTTGATCATCCTTCCCATATGACAGAATCCTTTTGCATGTAGAGGCTTTTGTGGAGAAATGGGTATATATTTGAATAAACATTTGATTAACCAATATGACTTTTCCTTAAATTTTGTCCAAACGACTTAGTTCATATTCTTCCTCGCGCCGGGAGCTATACTCGATCATCACCTCGGCGGTCCGCATGATTCCTGTCTCTGCTCCGTTGTGGAGAATCATCCTGTCGCTGTCTGCATCGCTCGACACTTGAATCTGCGTCGTCTTCCGAGTACTGTGGCCTCCAATCGTTCCACGTCTTGACATGTTTGCTGTGACCCTGGTCGAGGTGCCCACTTCGTCTTTGGACTTGGCGTATCTCGAGTGCTTGTAATCCGATAGCAGCGCTCGTAGGATGGGAATGGAGCAGCCCACTATAGTGACTGCGATTTCCACAGTGCCCCAAATCACTAAAGGTGCTCCGAAGACTAGTAGAGGACAGTAAGTCAGTTTATTTGCCAGAATACGTCCACACTGTTCTGCAAGCAATAAAGGGAGGTAGAGACATACAAGTGAAGTCGCCAGTTGCCAGTTCCGTAATTGCAGCACTTTTGGCGAAGGCGGCACCGCCAGCTCTGCAGCATGTAGTCAGTATCGATACACATAGCAAATGGGTAAAAACTCGGCGATGATCTTGCGCAACTTACAAGACTCCCATGCTCATAGCAACTCCGACGCCGGCTTTCTCCCTGGTATGCATCTGCAGTTTCGGCAGGATTGTCCAAGGCAGGGCTGCGAGACAGAGATCCATGATGCCAGCATATACTTTTCATGATGACAAGTGATCAGCAGGCGGCCAAGATGGAACCTCTGTGACGTGGCACTGGATAAGATCTCTTACCTCCAGAGAATATGTTGTAGTCAGATCTGATACTGCGAGGCAGACATGTTCCCGCTATCTCATCGTCCCACAGCTTGTCCGGGGGTGAGCACTGCGCCCAGCCCAATATCACCCCAGCCAACATCAGGACATTCATCGAGATGGCTATGAACCAAACGCACTTCTTGGCCCACCCTTCCAGTATGCGCAGCAGCGTCACTGCAAAGGCTGTTTTGCTCCAGGCAGCAGCGAAGATCGTGAGCGTCGCAGTGACTTCGTCGAGCAGGCCCAGTATGGGCTTGTTGGCTGGGTCAACATTGGCGATGTGTTTCCCAAATCCCAGTGGGATCTCGATCGTTTGGACGATATTGGCGGCGAGAAGTAATATCTGGGAGGCTTTGACATCAGCAAAATAAATTTTGGAGAAGGGAAAAAGTCTCTAGATCATCTCGCCCGAAGCTGCTGCTGGACTGGGATACATACCCATGAGATCGATATCACCGCATCATCCCACCACAAGCCTCGTTGTCGCACATGCTTACAGTAGATTCTGAGAAGCAGTATAAGCCCCGAAATGGCAGTGGGGACCCAAACGCCGATCAGTATTTCTTGGCCGCCTGAAGAGATAGCGCCCATCTCAGTGTATTATGAGACTCCAGAGAATCCAGTCCCTTATAGCCTCGACGGTGGTTTCTTTTTTCTCCTTCCTGAGAATCGTAGGCTTGGAAGATCTTTGAGATCTGGATACGGATCGAGCCGATGGGTCTAGAAGCCAAGACGAGAAAGAAGAAAAGAGGGATAACAGACCACAAGATATCGCGATGAGCGGATCTTGAGTGTCTTTATTCTCCACGGTCGTATTCATCCGAGGAGCGTGTTCCTGCATTGCGTCGACCTCTGCAGCTCACTCGTTCTTTAGCAATGCCATTTCCACAAGTGAGATCAACGCAAACTACCCGAACCTTGTTTATGGCCCTAGTGATACATCGCTGAGCAGGGGACATAGGAAAGTCTGATGTACCTTGACAGGCATGTTTGTGCGCCCGCAGGGGCTGGAAACTGGGGATCGACGCGGGGGTCCTATACGGATTGGAGATGTGATCAACCAGCCATGCAGGTTCGCACCCATTCATCCACTTCATACTGTAGGTTACAATATCTTCACATGATGAATGATGGCTTTCGACACGGCGAGGAGGGGAGGAGGGATGAATAATCAGGAGCTGGTGTGTCCTGAATACTTGACTTCCACCCACGTTGGAGACCTGCGACCATCGCTCCCAAGATCTCGAACCCTCCTTTTGCGGCACACAAAACTTCGAACAGTCCTGCTCCCGGTGTTTGCTTCCAGGCGCATCAGAAGTCGATCAAACTCCCAATTTTGTTCTTGCACGAGATGGGGTCCCCATGCCTGCGCCCAATTTGCTTTCCAATTTCTTCCATCAATTGTTCGATAGCCGGGATCATCTTTGCTCATCTCTCTTGTCCATCCTCACAGGTTCTCTCAGGGTGACTTAGCTGTACCCCAGGCGGAGCATGGGACTAGGTGAAGAAGGCTCCTCCGTCACTCCTATAGCACATAGTTTAGGGGAGCCGTCTCGTCACTGCTCTGCGTGTGGCTGCGGCTTGGCAAAATTAAGCAATTAAGTTTTGGCTTCCCCCTGCGCCACCAGCAGATCCCTCGCAAGCATTTCTCTGCACGCAACGCGCGTCTGGGGAAGCCTCCGCGGTCATTGGCCGGCGTACTCAGGTTGACCCTCGTTCCCCTGGCAGGCCTCGCGTCCCCGGGGGTTTTTCTTGGACGTCAAGTAAATCCAACGAGCCGTGGGGCAGTAATGGATCCTTCGTGCCTGGGGGACGACACCGGCACGGTGGTACGGGGTCGCCCCGGTGTGTGTTTGGAGTCTAGGCTGAGTATTTCTGCTACATGAAAGGTAGAGTTTCGACGCAGGATGTTCCAACACCCCTAGAGATTCTACTTTAGTAGCATGCTCCGCTCCTGTCGAACCTTGCTTCCGGGCTTTCCCCCTGTCTGGTTCCGAGCTGGCTTGGAATCCTGCTCGGCCGGCACAGTTTCCCTCCTAGGCATGGACCCATGCGCCAAGCTTCGAGGGCCGACTTCGTAACCGGAAGACACTGGCAGATGGGGTTTGCAGGGCGTGACAGGTTTTGAGGAGTGAGGTCCGCCTTTAGCCACGAGTTAAAATTCAAATGCCTTTGATGATGACGAGGGCTTTCGCGAAGGGAGGGAGGGAGTGGGTGGGGGACCTAAAACTTTTATGCGACGAATATCTCCGCTGCGATACTGGATGATAATTAGATTATTATCTTGACGGCCCTTGATCATATTGTGCCTTGAGCACGCAATGAGTAGATTGTTCCTTCGGAGCCCCCGTTGTTCATGGATCAAAAACTCATCTCAAAAAAAGAAAGAAAAAAAAAAGTTGCTTCAGCAGCGCCTCCTCCTTGTTGTGCCACCGGTTCTCGCCACGGTTCTCGTACTGAATAATTACGTGAATAGTCGTTCAGAATAGGTGACGATCAGGGACTGTATCCACAAGCAAGCCGACTCCCCACTCGAAACTGTCTCATGACTCGCAATTTAAGCTTATCCTAATATAGTATACAGCAAGCTTCTTCAAGTTTCAATGTTGACAGCCAGTACCACGGATACGTACCGGAGCTGGCCCGAGATTCCTCTCCTTTACCGTGGCTCGCTAGAACTCATCGCCAAAACCTCGAGACGTGCTGCAGACAGCGCTGGAAGATGCCAATGGGGCCAAAGCTGAGGAGATATTTGTCTCTTGACGGTGTGGGCAAAAATTGGGGTCTGGCGTGAAACAGCATTCAACCTTCCCATGACTGCCTATGCCACTTACAGTACCGAATGGACCGCACGCTAAATCGAATCTACAGCCCAGCAATCTGACAGCAGAGTGGAAGGGCATGCCAAAGACTCCTGTAACTATCGAATCTCTGAGGTGAATGTGATTACCTGAGTATATTCGGCAAGACCTTTCGAGCGATGTGCTTCGCTTTGCAGCAAACAGCAAATACTACTACGACCCCTGGACGACTCCATTAACACTACACCCCCTCGGCAGTCCCCTAGCCACCACTGCTTGTTTAGAGTGTGTGTACCTGTCCAACATTGCCGGATACCACACTGAGAGTAAACTGACTTGATTTGGCTTTTGCATCGACAAATATGCTTCATCTGCAGGTCAACCTTGTTTCACTCGATTTGTTGGTCATTCAATCTGAAGCATGTTTGAGAGAATCTTGAAAGGTAAGTTTAAATTCAGGCACCGTAGTAGAGAGCAGAGAGGTATGGTAACATCGGAAGCACTCCGTTTCTTATGCAGTCCGCACACTGAAACGCTGCAAGACGCCCCCCGCACATGTGCTGACTGTTCACAGCCACCAACAGTCTGATGAGAGATGAACCGTTGGTTTACGTATACATCAGCTTACATCAGATAAGCCGTTGGGATGTTCTCCATCTGTTGACGACGCCGCATTCTCTGTATACACTTGATTCGTCTCTGCGAATCGCGAAGAAATATTAGGGCTGAAGGATTGATTTTTGATTTTCGGTCCACTGAATGGCCACACGTCGACTGCAATGAGGTTGTGGATCCTCGAGTGGATCCTGTCACGCGGATGGTTCACCGGCACTTGGGCACTGCCGTAGCTGTGATCGTCAGCAGATCAACATTATTTCGTGCATGGTCTTTTCTCTGGGGCTTCTCTTCCTTTCTTAATGATCGCTTGCCTCTCTTATCGTCTCAAATTCCTTTCTGCACTCAACATGCTGCAATAATCCGGGCTTTATGCTTGACCATCCGACCCAGCAGACTTCTGAACCATACCGCAGGCGGCACAGCCCTGGATCAGTCTGCTGCAAATGATGGTTCAGTAGGCACACAGATGAGATGTCAGCAGCTCGACCGAGTTGCCAGGAGATGCGACGCCCGGCGGCCCACCTGAAAGCCATCAGATTCCAGCACAATGGGCGAGCCAGTATTGATAGTCTTTATCGTCAATAAGCAAGTCCACGCCTCCCAAACCTTTCCATCGGCCTTTTCAGCCTAACCTGGCATGCACGATTATTAACGCCCTACATGCATCTGTCATCGTACGGCCACGGGTCTCATCACCCGCGAGCTGCAGGGAACGCGGCCAGATACTGGGCCCGTTTCGACCCTTCTCGCTCATTGGATTGATCTGCCCATCCACCACGAGCATCTCTCAGCCGGGGCTCACCCAAGTGGCCGTTTATGTGTCTCGGCCTCCTCGAACGGTTTTCCTGGTGTCAAGCGGTCGTGTCTCCGCTGACGCGGTGGTCTTGAAGCCCGCCGAAGTTTCGACATGATGATTTTTCTTCCTCATCGTAGCCTCCACCGGGCCAGGTCTTGAGAGAGCCTCACATTTATTACGCGTCATGAAATGTCTATAAGTATAATGATGTCGTCGGTCATTGAAGCCTCCTTCTCTTCTTTGTATCATCATCGTAAACCAGCTCCAAAGCAACATTTATACACTATTACTTCACAGTCCACTTCAATCCAAGAATATCTGCTCTGAGAACAGTTGATAATCAGTTGTAACGCCACTCATCTGTACCACCAAACAAATCAGAAACACTCAAGATGCTGTTCAATAAGGCTGCACTAGCTTTCTTCGCCGGTTCGGCGCTCGCCACCGTCTCAGCTTCCTCCGAGAGTCTCGATGCCAGATTCGACACCGGCGCTAGTGCCGTCGGCACTGTTCCCGTTATAAGCCTCAGCCCGGAGCAGAAAGAAGCCCTCAATGCGCTTCAACAGCGCGCCATCGAGGCCAACCTGCTTGACCACGTGGAGAGGCGCAGCACGGTGAAGACCACGGGCAAGACCACCAGCAGCAGCAGCAGTGCCGCCGCTGCAGCAGAAGAGGCAGAGGAGGCAGAGGAGGCAGAGCAGAAACAGGCTGCTGCTGCTGCGGCTGCGGCTGCGAAAGCCAAGGCGGCAAAGACTGCCCAGACAGAAGCCGAGGAGTCTGAAGCCGCGGCGGCCAAGGCCAAGACGGGGACAACGACTGGCGCTGACACGGAGGAGAGCGCATCTGTCAAGAAGGTTTCGAGCACGCTGGCTCCGGCTTCTAGCTCCTCTGCGGCTGCAGTCCCGACGTCGAGCTTGACATCCTCTGTGGCCCCGGCAGAGGCAACACCGGCCACCTCCTCGAGCCAGACCACGAGCTCAGAGGATCCAGACACCTCGTCGGGCTCTTCCACCTCGGACAGTGATGAGCCGGAGCATACCGCTGGCATCCTCAAGCAGACGGCCCAGGACACTGCCCAGCAGATCAGCCAGGGTGTCAGCTCGTCGGTTGGCCAAGTTGTCACCGACAAGCTGGACAGCAAAATCAACAAGCTGGAGAACTTGAACTACACCCAAGAGTGGGAGAAGGCCAAGGATAAGGTCAAGAGCATCCTCAAGGAGCGCGACGTTAAGCCTGTCGAGCTGCCGACTACTCTCCTGAGGGTTGTCAGGTCTGAGGTTCCTTCTTCGTCCTTCACTGAGATCCCCAACCTCTAGTCAGTTCTCTGTGAGAAGAAAGCAGTCTGTGAGAGGGCAATCACCAACGGATGTGCAGGAACGACACGATTATGGAGCTGCTTACTCAATCACTGGATGCATTGGTGTGTCAGGCGTTATTGTTTTCATCTGACTTATTGGGTCTGCTAGGCGCTGGGACTGGAATGGATGGAAGTTGGAGCCTGGCGAAGAATTGGGTTTTGTGTTTTTTTGTTTTCCCTTGTCCTGCTTATTTTAGAACTTTGCTTTGATACATGGCCCCGTCCTCATGGACTTCTCGACGCTGTACTGTTCTACTTGTTTGCTACTGCAATTTATTACCTTTTGCGATCCACATCATCGTTTCTTAACCTGTCTTTAATCTCGACATCACCACTTTGCAGTTTCAGAACTGTATCGCCATAGTCTTTCAGGCTTCAACCACCATAGCCCATCTCATGAAGTCTGTTGTGTGAGCCTGATTCAGAACAAATCAATCGAAGTTCTTATAGCTGGCAGCTGGTTTGACCGTTGAAATTCTCATGTCCTCGGCTCTTCTTGTCAGAGGATAAGATCAGCTACCACAACATCAGGATATATATGAGCACCTGAGCGACTATTGGCCATTTTAGACTGGGAACTATACAGTCTAACAGAATGGTCTAACTCGCACAGGAGTTTTGCCAAATGGACATACTTGTCAAGCCTTGCAAGATGAAGAGGTTGAATACACCGTGAGTCTTTAACAACTCACTGACACAGGGTATTGTTTATCGCTTTCTTGCATTGTAGAAAAGGGAATGGGCTGCATAGTCAACATTAGGAAGACAGGATGATTTTGACCCAATCACAACAACATTTGTTAATATATAACCTAGCCGGATAATGCGAGCGATTCGAAAATACAATCAGCCTATGAGTGCAGCAGCTCTTGTCTGAAGTGTTTGTCACTATGGCCTCATGAACGATTTGTTATCATCCACTGGCTCATGCTGACCTGGACACATCTCCTGTAGATCTAGCCATCCTTGCAATCGAATCGCACTTCAAGGGGACGAGATTCACGTGTCAATCCCATACGGAAAAGAGAGACATCACCACCACGTTGAGAGCCTGGAGAGAGCTAGCTATCAACCTAATTTGTAAGAAGCTTTCTTCCTTTTTCCCCAGTCTAATCCAGACAGTCAGTGAGAAGTCAAACGTAAAGTACTCGTCACATGCCAAAAGGTGAAAAGTCAAGTTCTCTGTCTTTTTTTATTTTCCCTCTCAAGTGCAAAAAGCTCATACGAAGGCCTACCCACAGATTTCCCGTTCTGGGCATATCGGACTTGCCCATAGGGCTTCCAGTATCTTTCGCCCTTCATGTTCTGGATGCAGCTTGTAATGATGCAACTCTCGGAGGTATGGATGTGCATCTCGCTTTCAGGGCTTTCTTCCCTAAGGATAGGTGCGTTCCATCCTGCGAGAAGATGCTGATTAGCGCAAGTAAGATGCAAGAACTAGACATAATCAAGCATAGGTTCGGTCTGAGCGGTGAAGACACTATTCAACATGAGCTATCATTGTCGCCGGTGCACTGATTGCGATTAAGCTGCTGTCCGGAATGAGCGATTTCCGCAGAGCCTAAATACTAGTAACCGCTCCAGGCGTACACCATCCGTTTAGCCACATTCTTCTTGCGCTTCAGACTCGTATCTCAGTTGGCGTCGATGGACCGGACTTCATTAGCACTGTTTCTTTACTTTACATGTTCGCTCTAAGGATTAGTTTGAGGCCTACGAGAAACGGTTACACCTTGAGAATGAGATATTAAAATCTTATAAACTTATATGAGCTCTGTCGTTCCACCTCCTTTCCTTTTGTATTCCTGCATTGTTGTCTCCATTTTCTGATCAACCAAGTGCCAATCACTTCTATAGCCTCAACGCACATTCTTTCACAACATGCAATACTCACGCCTCCTCGCAATCCTGAGCCTCGCGACGGCCAGCACCGGCCAGGTCACACTGCAGCCAGTGAATCAAATCTCTGACGGACAAGTTCAAGCTCAGACGCCTGCCGTTCAAACAGCAGCCCCAACCTCACAGACTCAATCACAGGCTCCTCCACAAGGAGCACCTGTATCTCAGATCTCCGACGGTCAAGTGCAGGCTCCTACTGGCGCGCCCGTCCCTCCCATTTCAAGCGGACCACCAAAGGCTTCGGCCAGCGCAGCAGTACCGAGTGGGGTAGTCTCACAGATCTCGGACGGCCAGGTGCAGGCTCCTTCTGCGGCCAGCACCGTGCCAGTAGCCAGTCCATCGGCTGCTTCCCCGTCTGCAGTCCTGACACAAGGTTCAAGTGCTGCTGGAGGCACGACTACCGCCTCTGCGTCACCTACGTTCGTCACGGCTGGAAGCTTCAAGTTGCAGCCAGATCATGGTGCTTCTCAATATGCTGCGGCTGTGGCTCTCGTTGCGTTAGTTTTCGGCGTTTAAGAAGGGGGCGACGAGGATTAGAAAAGTTTGGGCTCCAAGGTTGCTGGAATTATAGTACGAAACTGGGTGGGTGAGCATGTTGTGTTCCACTTACACATGCTGGACAAGAAGAAAATTAGACAAATGCATTAATATTAAGTTTTGAGTATCATAAGAAAATATTCGAAAAGTCCACCACCACGTCTTTTTTGGGTGCAAAATAATCATGACGTGTGCCATCCTCCTCGAGCGATACCATAGTTACTCTTGCGCGAAGCCCTAAAAATACTCAAGTAGCCACGCTATGGTATCATGTAATAATCACTAAGAGTCTTTCGTATATAATCTCTCGCGAGGATGAGATGATTCACGTAGTCGACCATCGTCTTCGGTAAATATGAGGTGCCCCGATTATTAGTAATCCCCAAGCTCGCCTCCGAGACGACTCGCTCCGAGACGACATCTCATCCCACAATTCGCCTCCCCTACCAGGGGCACCGCCGTCTACACTTGCCTTCCCCGCATTCTTGTTTGTTTGTGCAGCCGGTCACGATCTTCGGTACACTGTTCTGCAAGAAAAAGTTTCTCCAAAGGCACTTGGCAATGACGCTGTGGTCCTCTTTGACCTCAAGCGGGCCGACTCCTGCAGCTGCACTTCATCGTTTCCAGGAAAATGTCCCCTGCTCATGTGACGGTTTCTCCACCATGAGCATCCACTAGGTCAACTTTTGAGGTCCATTGTGGTGTTATTTCCAGGCTGTTCAATATGGGCAGCGGGGTTTCGAAGGCATTTTAGTTTCTGATAGTCTGCCGACTGGTCCCGTTGGCCTCGATCAAGAAGACATGAGTTTGCTGGGTAATTACTAAATAATGTATGTGTGTATATATACAGCATCCCCTCACCGTAGGGTTTGTTTTGGGAATGAAGTCGTGGGTACATGCATATGTGTGTGCGTATGTGTCTGCCGTATTGGACTATCAATCAACCTTGGCCATCATGAGGGGCTTACTCTGTATCGTACTGTCTTGTGCTTTACCTCTAGCACGAGGATATCAATATGAGGACGTGCTCAATGTCGCGTCGTCAAATCTCACCGTCACAACTCGAACGGGCACCTTTGTCGGCGACCTGAACGACACGTTTCCTGATGTCAGACAGTTCAAATACATCCCATATGCAAAGGTGAATAAGACAAGTCTCTATCCTTGTTGCGATTCAACCTTGGCTAAAACTGTTTGAACACATGAATACAGCCACCCACTGGCAGTCGTCGGTGGGCACCCCCGTCGCCGTTGGACTCATCGTCCGAGATCATCGATTCGACCGTCTTCGGTCCAGCATGTGCGCAGTATGTCTCTGCCATTCCGACTGCATGGGCCCTCAACATTACGGGCAATCTTGTCGTCAACTACGGAGAGTCTCTCCTCGCCGGACAACTGGCCCAGAACTCAGCCGAGGACTGCCTTTCGCTCGCCATATGGACGCCCGCCAATGCAACGGCCGAGTCGAGATTACCTGTCCTGCACTTCCTGACCGGTGGAGGCGACGTAACGGGCGGCGTGAACATTCCCACGCAGCTCCCGCCGAGCCTAGTCAGCCGCTCTCAGGAGGCAGGCGGCATGATCGTCGTCACGACCAACTATCGCGTCAATGTCTTCTCGTTTCCTAATGCCAAAGGACTCGAAAACTCGACCAACTTTGGGCTGCAGGACCAGCGTCTGGCCGTAGAGTGGGTGTACGAAAATATTGGCGCTTTCGGTGGTGACCCGAGCAAGATCACCCTTTGGGGCCAGTCAGCTGGTGCGAGTGCGGCTGATATGTATCTCTTTGCCTATCCTGACAACCCGCTTGTGAGGGCATCTATCTCCAGCTCAGGCTTTACCATCGGCCACGCGCTCAATTCGGATTACTCGGGCTCCAACTTCTCCTTTGTAGCCAAAAATTTGGGCTGCGACTTTGACGACGCGCAAACAGAGCTGGAGTGTATGAGGCATGTCCCCTATCCACGGATCGAGAACTTTATTGGCAACTATCAGGACAATTCGACACTGGTGAACACCTCTCAGCCAGCCATATCCTTCACTCGCCGCCGTAAGTTCAAAGAAAAACCTTCTTTCCGATAGTCACAGCGAATGGCTGACCTCTTCTTGTTCTTCTTTCAAGCCGATGACAAATTTGTTCTGAGTGACTACCCAGCAGCATACGCTGCCAACCGTATCGCTCCGCTTCCCAAACTCATAGGCACTACGGCACGCGAGGCCTCCGCCCTCGTAGCATATCCCATCCACAATTACACAGCCGGCCCCTCAGAGCAGGCCATCACCACCGCGACGCTGTCCACCGTTTGTGGCGCGCACAACACCTCCGTGTTTCGCAACAATCTTTACCAGAATGGGACAGGACTGAGTCCCAACCTCAAAACGTGGCGGTACCAGTGGGCTGGCAACTTCTCCAATATTGACGGTGGAGTGCCCTGGCTGGGCGCATATCATTATAGTGATCTTTACATGCTCTTCGGCACGTGGCCCATCGCGCCAGGGGAGGTAAGCCAGTTCGAGGTGGAGACCTGTCAGAAGATGCAGGATTTGCTTGTGGCGTTCGTCAAGGACCCAGACAACGGCCTGAGCGACTTGGGTTGGCCGACGTATGAGACGAGTGACGAGGATGGGGGTACTGCTGCGAGGTTTGGCGCAGATGGACAGGTGCTGCAGTATGTGAGTGGCAATAATGCTAGTCTCGAGGGCGCGTGTTATGAGTCTGGTGTGACTTTGATCACAACTCCATGAGCAAGATTGGCAGCCGAGTTTGGGCACTTGTGAGAAGCCTGGGATCGCATTATGCTCTCACTCAAGGAATAACGCTCAATTTCCTGCTATCGATAAATAATAGGAGCCACCAAAAGGGCCATTATCACAATACATACAGCATGCGTAACACTCCAGCTGCAGAACTCCGCACGGGTAGCATGGTTTTTATGATGGCTGTTCCAATAATACCACGGTGTCTTAACGATTACAATTCGATTATATAGCCTCGCAATCTCTGTCAGCTCATTGTAATCCATTTCTTGACCTGTCTCCTGAAGCACCTGGCTCACTGATCGCACGCTTTGTGAGGCAATATAGTACCTTGCCACCACAAGAGCGATCCGCTATTCTGGAAGATTGTACGGAATTCGAAGAGATATACAACAAAATGGCTCTTCAAGGAGATTTAAGCCCGCCAGTATCTGCTAAAGATGAGGCTGATTACCATTACAAATGCTTCGTCAGGTCTCACAAAACTGGGTATTCGTTTGAATTGGATGGACGCAGGCTTGCTGCTTGATGGTCATGACGATGTATGGTCTCCAGAGAGTCTGAGTCTCAATCGAGATGATATGAAAGGAGATGGAGAAAATGAGAACTTTGGCATCCTGGCGCTACTCTCACAGACATCAGACTAGCTTGTTTTCTGATCGGTACAATTAGCTATCACATTGAACGTCGACCCTGTCACTCATATTTTTTCAAAGTCATTTCCGTCTTGCCGCGCTAACAGATCCCCCTTCATGCTCTCTATATCTTCGACTTGAGCGTCATTCATGATGATCAATGATAGCCAACGAAGTGTATATACAGTTTGCAAAACTTCAATATGAATAGAGGTGAATTAGCAAGGAAGTGACTCGGACTGTGACGCGGAGCATGTGACTGAGAGAGCGTGGACCTTCACCTCCAACAAATTCACTGCAAGGGCCAAAGAGACTATGTACATCAAGTCGTTTTGCGGTGAGAGCTGGTTTGGAGTTTTTCCCTTCTTCCAGTCTGGTTTCTATCGAACCTCTCAACATACACACACCGTCCACAAGTCAACAAAACCAAAAAGACACGTTAGCAGCCGACAACATGAGACTTTATCTCCTCCTCACTTACCTCAGCATGGTTTGGGCGCTGCCTGGTACTCTTGCCAATCCCACTCACACGGTTGGCCTTGAACCTCGCACGGGTCCCACGACGAGCTGCGGTATCTGGGTCACCGGCTCCCGATCTTCAGCCCAGAACCTCCAGAGCCAGCTCGCCGAATGCTCCAGTAACCTATGGGGCACATCCTTCACTGTTCCTGGCAAGAGGGTCGATGCGAGCTCCTCTCCATGCATAGGACTGGCATGTGATCCCAAGACCCAGACTCAATTCATGGTTAGTACAATATCTGTTCGTGGCTGGCAGAAGGGTTCGTACTGATCAAGTGCAATCTGCAGCTTTGTAATGTATGCTGAGTATATCTATTTCACCTTCAAGAATGCCCTAATCAAACAAAATGTTTTCGATGTTAATACTGTACAGGACAATATTGGGCAGCTCGTGACAAAGAACTGCACCGACATCGCCCACTCGGCTCAACAGCTTCTCGATGACTGTTGCACTGACCACTCTAGCGATGGTATTTCGGGGCAATACGCTTTTGGCGACGGTACCAACATCAATGTGGTCTACTCGTGGTCGTGTCATACGGATGAGACACCGAGCGACCCTTGCCCAACAGCGGGCACACACTGCCCCACCAACCTGCCCCAGTGTAAAGACTGAAGCTGAACAGGGAGGGGCTCGAGGGGTTTTCCAACAGGGCCGCATCCCTACAAATTGCGGCTGTCACCATAACAATTGATCAAGAAGGTCATCGGGTCGGCGGCATCTTCATTTTGGAACAGGGTCGCAGCAAGGCTGTGTTAAATCACATGGGTGGCTGGATAAAGCAAGCAAATCGGCACCTGAACAGCAGACAATTACCAGTAATTCATGCGAGTTCAACCTCAATATATCAATAGTACCATTTGAAAGTCTTCATGTCTTAAGACTGGAAATAAAACTGAGTGTTCGGCGCAGTAACCTCTACCAAGACTGCATCAGCCAGCCTTTCCAGATAGGGCAGGTCGATGCCTTTGGAGTGGAAGGGCCAGTATCTGCGTAGAACGTAGCGCGGGAGACCTTCTGGAAGCAATGTAATACTTCGGATACCGATGCTTAGAGAATCTCACCTTGCAGGGGGCACAGACAATATCGATTGCGGGCGTTTATTATAGGACGGGGTATCGGCAGTATGCTGCCGCTCACCTACTTGGCTTGGCAGGGCTGACGACGATCAACGCATCACTAATGCCGAGCAGAAACGGTCTTTTTTTGTTTGCATAGCTTCCAAGAAGATCACTCAATCGTACCTGTTGATCTCGGTAGATCTTCAGCACAAGAGTAGCTTGGCTAAGTTGAAACGTTTCAATCTTGCTTGCATGCCTGGACCATGATGTCGTTGACCAGCCATGACCTTGCAAGCAACATGTCTTGTAAGGAGCCGAGAAAACAAAGAAATAAACAAGTATGAATAATGTTGAATTGAACCAAGAACATGACTTTTTGGACCAAGAGCATGACTTTTCAACAATCTGCCTATCTTTTGATCACTCCACTGAACATGACACCTTTTGGGATTGTTACCAGGGCAGTATTCTCACGACGACGTGGAGCCAGTTCCACATGAGGAAGGCCATGTAGACTACATACATGATAATCCACTTTGACTGTGCTGGATCACAATACGCAGCAATTCAAGAACGGTAGGTCGGTGAGGCGCAGGAAACTGCCAGCGCTCGAGGAATCACATAAGTGAGGACTGTCTCCTTCATTTGGAACTCATGATTAGGCTGGGCTCCAACAACCAGACTCTTGCACTCTCTCCCGTCCTTCGTTACAAAATTGATTGCCATGCGGTCTCATTCTTTCTTAGCCCTGGCCTCGCTGGTCGTTTTGGCCGCTGCCTCTCCTCTGGCATCATCTAGCCATGTTGTGCACGAGAAGCGAGACAACCTTCCCTCCGGGTGGCAGGCCCGTGACAGGGTCGAGGGCCACATCAAGATGCCACTCCGGGTCGGACTGAAGCAGAGGAATCTTGATATGGGGCCTGCTTACCTTGACGAAGTCTCTCATCCCCACAGCAGCAAGTATGGGCAGCACTGGAGCGCCGACGAGATCATTGAGATGTTTGCTCCAAGGTGAGTAATTATGACCGCCCTTGAACTAGCAATGAAAAGAAGAACTCGTGTGATCTAACCTTGACCAGCCAGGAGAGTGTTGACTCGGTCACGGCCTGGTTGACGGACGCCGGAATCGCCCCGGAGCGCATCAACCATCACTTCAACAAGGGCTGGGTTGAGGTTGACGACACAACAGTCGAGGAGCTCGAGGAGCTCCTCCAGACCGAGTACTACTACTTCGACCACAAGCACGGCCAGTCGCACGTGGCCTGCCACGAGTACAGCGTGCCCTCTGATCTGAGCGAGAAGCACATTGACATGATCATGCCCACGCTTCACTTCGACGTTCCCATCAGGCCCAGCCAGGACGAACTCCTCCGCAAGAGGCGCAAGCGAGACCTCGCCAGCCTCGCGGCCAACAACACCGCCTCTCTGCCCAAGCCAGGTGCCAAGATTGACATGACCACCCTCGCCACGGATCTCACCACCTGCGACACTTCCATCACAATCGACTGCCTGCGGGCACTGTACAACTTCACCAGCGGCACGTACAACCTCAGCTCCTATGGAATTGTCGAGTACGGCTTCCAGTCCTATCTGCCCGATGATCTGGATCTGTTCTTTGCGAACTTCTCCAGCGACCTCGTCGGCCTGCGCCCAACTCTCGACTCTGTCGATGGTGGAGAGCCACAGGATCTGATCCAGATCTTTGACTTTAACGGCGAGTCTGACCTCGACCTCGAGTACGCCATGGTATGTCTCTTCCTTTTGATTCTGCCCCATCTTGTTTTATTCCATCACCTGCATAATACATGACGACATTCAATGCTGATTGTGAATAATTAGACTCTGAGCTACCCTCAACAAATCACTCTTTTCCAAGTCGGTGACGATGAGGAGAGCGCATCGTTCAACAACTTCCTTGACGCTATTGACGGATCTTACTGCTCCTATGATGGGGGTGATGTTCCCGGTGTTGATGGAACCTACCCTGATGAGAAGATAGGTGGTTACAAGTACCAGGACTGTGGCAACTACACAGCCCCCAGCGTCATTTCCACCTCATACGGAACGACTGAGGCCAGCTTCACCGTCGCCTACGCCCAGCGCCAGTGCTATGAGTACATGAAGCTGGGTCTGGCTGGTGTCACCGTTCTCTACTCATCTGGTGATGATGGTAAGTGAGAACCTGCTCATGACTTACACATGATCACTCCAAGATCAAAAGCTCACCAGTGCTTACCCTTTCTCTTCTCCTTCTTCTCAGGTGTTGCTGGAAACGGCGAGTGTCTTGACGACGGCATCCGCTTCAACCCGACCTTCCCAGGCACATGCCCGTACGTGACATCCGTCGGTGCAACCCAGGTCCCCACTGGCACCGACATCACCACCGACCTTGCCTCTGGCACGCAGCCTGAGACCGCCTGCGAGACCGTCATCTACTCCGGCGGTGGCTTCTCCAACTACTTCGACATCCCGTCCTACCAGGCCGACGCGGTCAACACGTTCCTCACGGACTACCCACCCCCTTACACCTCGGTGCGCTACAACAACACCGGCACCAGCCGCGCATTCCCTGACGTGAGCGCCAACGGGGCCAACTACGTCCTCGCCATCGACGGCGAGTGGGAGTACGTCTACGGCACCAGCGCCAGCAGCCCCGTGTTTGGCAGCATCATCACCCTGATCAACAACGAGCTGGCCGCCGCGGGCAAGAGCCCTGTTGGGTTTATCAACCCAACCCTGTATGCTTATCCTGACGTCCTGAACGATGTCACCGAAGGAGGCAACCAGGGCTGCGATACGGATGGCTTCTCCAGCGCGCCCGGTTGGGATCCGGTGACTGGGTTGGGCACACCGAACTACCCGGCCATGCTGGAGCTCTTCTTGAGCCTGTAGTATTGTTTGCTGCCATGTGTGCTTGTGATAGATTTTAGGCTATATAAACTATTAGAAGGGGATATTTGCAAGTTATTATGTCAATTTGAACCGGGTATTGAACCCAGCTGGGCTACAACATGTCATTGGTGAATCGCGAGTGAAAACTTGTTACGACTGATCAAACCAGAAGCTGGTAACAATTGCAATTTTCTCTGAATTACCTAGTAAATAGTTGTCCGTATTCCCTTGCCCATGCTGAAAGGTCCTGCCCATCTTGCCATCTTGGGATCAAAATTAACCATGCCAACGCCACGCATCAATCAAACATAAGCTCTCAAGTCGTCATCAATTATCATGAGAATTGCTTCAAGTTGCTCATCACTCGCACTTCAGTAACCCGAAGTCAGACCGAACGAGCCTGCCATGCAAGTAGGGGCTGACTGGTCGGCCATGACCATTGCTGTGACTCGCGACAGCTCATCACCTGCGCAGATGCGAGCCTGACTCATAGGCTCTGCGGCGCACTTATATGTGCTGGGCCCGAAGAACGGAGTAAGATCACAGCTATTTGTGACCTCAATCTCAGACGACTTTGTGTTGTTGGGTGAGCTGGCCGTTTGGTTATAGCTGAAGACCATTGTCGATTGTGCTGTTCCAAGCAGGAGGGCTTGAAGGAGTACTGGGAAGCTGATGCTGGTAAACTTCATTTTGGAGATGTTAATCTGAATGTTTCGGGTGAACGAAGAAAAGGTAGGTGAGGATGAGTTTATGAGTGGATGTTTCAAGTTGGAGATAATTAGACTCTAGGAGTAGAATGTTGCACAACTTGGCTTGGTTGTCAAGATGCGGTGTTTGTGCTGCAATGGATGGAAGAAAGTGCGAGAATCAAAAAGGTCTACATGGCATTTTAACTTCCTTTGACTTGTCATTACAAGGTCGTCTGCATAGTCTTGAACAATAGGCAGCCTAGCAGGCTCCAAAGCGCAGGGGACGAGGCCGCGCCTGGTCATACACAACTGATATTTTGTTTCATGCCTCCCCAGGCAATGAACAATGAATTACATTGTCGGGCCAGGAATGGCCGCTATCAAGAAATACAGTGAGTCAACCGCAATGAACGAAAAAATCAGAGATTCGGGTGATACGAGACAATCGTAAGCTTATGCACGAGCTTCAGTAACACGAATGAAACGTTGTCGGCCGGTTACATAGGCCTATCCTCAAGCGATGCCCTGTAGCTCTGGCGTAAGCAGCAGTGAACCCTTGGCCCATGAGAATCTGCTGACTAGCACTCTAGTGAAGGGCCAAGCCGTTGATTGTTACCTGTCATGCGAGGCTTCGCTCCAATAACTCTAAATGCTCCTTTGCTTCAACAAAATTGTGTCGTCGAATCTGCCTTTTTTCTTTCTTTCATTTCCCCTGTCCCCTTGTCTTTATGTTTCTCTTCTATATCTTTGATATTGATGAGCGCCAAAGAAATCAAAGCAAGAATGGATGAGTGAATTGTAGAAGGAGAATTTGAAGTATTGAATCGCTCTCATTAATGATTATGCACCGTTGTATGTCTATGCTTTTGATTACCCAATTATCATGCCTTGATCTTTGTAACTCGCCATGCCACAAGCACCACAAGGGAAATGCAAGACATCATCAACAGTCCAGTGTGCAGGCTCCCAAGGCCATGATGGTGCCCCAGACACTTTGCTGTAGCTGCAGCTAATATTCCCATCCAGACGATGAAGAATCCCATATCGTTCTTCGGTTGCGCTGCACCACTCGGTTTTGGTGCCGTCTCTCCCTCGGCGCGCATAGCCGTGCCCCAGCCGTCCGCAGTCAGCGTCAGCATGCTCCAGACATGGACCGCCGGTAATGGGATGTAATAGAACAGAATGCCTGGCAGGACCCACTTTCGTGCTGCCCACCCGCTGGTACCAAGGCGGTCAGGATTGCGCAGGACATTGTAGACGATTCCAAATAGAAGCCGCATCCCAATGTCACGAGACGAGAAGGGGACGAGGCTTCGCGATGTGATGAGGTAATGGACCACGGCAACAGCAGCGAGCACTGGGCCTACCTCGCGTTTTGCCATGCCAAAGAACAGCAGAGGGTTCGTCTTCAGATACACCTTCGGCATCAGGAGACTCTCAATGTGCGTTGCCCTCGCCCACCGAAGCTGCTGCTTCAGCCATTTATTCATGGTCGTGGGCGTGTCAGTGGCAGTCAGGACGTCACTCGCGTAGACCACGCCCCAGCCCCGCAACAGCAGGTTGGTCGTCAGATGCCTGTCCTCGTTGATGATCATTCTCTTGCCCATGATGGTCTGCAGATACCACGGGACCAGGATGTTCGGCAGCGCAGACAGCCTGAAGACAGTGCTCGGCCCGCTCTGACAATCACTCGTGGCCGTCGCCGCAGTTGTGGAGCGGGTCAGGTACAGCTCACCCCAGTAGACAGTGGCAGCCAGTCTCGTAATCCGCGTCTCGTCGCCATTGTGCACCACCAGGCCGGACGATGCGCCACCGATGTTGGGGTCGGCCGCAATCGTGTCGATGGTTCGCGACAGCGAGTCTGGAAAGACAATCGTATCGCTATCGGAAGACCAGAGAAACTCGATGCCAAGAATGTCGGCGATGACGAGCGAAAATACAAATGTGGAGAACATGATACCCTTCTTGTGCATGTGTCGTTGCCGGATGCAAAGGTGGCGAATACCATCGTAGGACCCGCCACCGATGGTCAGACGATGTTGGTCAAGGATGTTGCGCGCAAGCTGGATCAGGTGCTGCATGACCATCTTGTCGATATCGGCGTCATCCATAGGCTGCTCATCTTGTTGGCGGATGGCAACGAGCTTAGCTCTGGTCCGTTCCGCAATCTCTCCCAAAGGCTCATCGAGGTGGATGACGGCTGAGTTATCAGGATACGTCTAATCGTTTGAGGTTAGCAAGATTGTTTTCTCGGTTGAGGGGTTACTTATTATTTATTTTTTTTGACATGCTTGGTTCAGGAACTTGCCTTGTTGAAAACATCGACCATGTCCTGGTCTTCGATTTCATCACCATCGATCCCAACCAAGATGAATGTGCATCCCTGAGCCACCTTGTAGCTTTCCAGTGCACGGTGGAAAAGATCCGGATGTTCTCTCCACCCGACGACAGCTGCCATGCAGTCCAACCTCGGAGCAGTCTTTTCAACGTTCAGCTCCCACCTAAGCCAGTCCTCTTTTTCTCGTATCGGGCTTGCATCCAGGTTGTCGAACTTGTAGGACTTCTGCCTCCTTCTCTCGTTGACAAAGCGGTTGAGCTCCGTCAGGATGATGGTCATGAGCAGGTCAAGGGTAATTGGGAATTGACTCGAGACTGTCATGAGAAAGTAGAGTGGTAACGAAACCAGGCAGCAGAACACATGGAGACATTGCTTCCACACTGGCACGTGGCGAGGACTCGCCGTGTTGAGGACAAAAGTCCCATCTTCTTGTTCTAGGAGCATGGAGGGAGAAGGAATTGTAAAGACAATGCACAACTAGGAGGGGGGGAAAAAATAGAAGCGAAAGACGAGGAGCCCAGAAAGGTCCAAAGAACGAATGAAAAACGCGTTGCAAACCACACAAAGCCTCAACGGAAACGCCGGGAATAGCCTCCCTCACGACAGGCCTCATTTGCGGCATGGGAGCCTAGGGGCTTTTATATCAACAACGAAAAACTAGAACATGAAAAATCTGACCCGAGGCTCACTACGTGAACGCAGTGCTCACAATCTCTCCTTGCACAGCTCCAATCTCGGACTTCACCCGTACGTTGAATCCTTCAGAACACCATAGCAAATGGCACCGATAGCTCGCCCCACCCAGCGAGCACGTCGGCCCCCCACGCTGACATCGGGGACAGCGTCAAGCCCGCTACCAGGGATCGTTTTGTTATGCAAGCCTAGTACAACGTTGTAGCCAAGGTTTCGCCCCTCCTGGCGCTTGACTAGCAGCACTGTCCCAAGAGATTAGTGCGGCTCAGTCCCTAGAAGTGCCAGGCAGATGAGCTCCAAAAGGGCAAAGTATCATGACTATTGTGGAAGAAAAGGGGGGCGTTAATAAGCTCATGGGTCATTCCGAGATGGCGGTTGGTCAAGTGGACCTCATTAGCCTTTTAAGCTTACCATGCACGCCCTGCTATACGGGCTGACAGTTGCTGCAGTCATCCTATAAATGCATTGCAAATATTTCACTAAGTTTGCTCGACTCATCGGAGCAATTCGTGTTCCTTTGCACAGCCATCGAGCGCCTAGAAAAGGCCCACGGAGTTTTATTGCGTGCCTAGCATGCCAAGGAATTTGGCCCAGGAAGGATTTTCATGTTCCATCAAACTAAGAGAGCATCAACCAGATGAAAACCCTAGCCGTTATGGCCCCCTTTTTAAGGGTGCTTCTGAATAAAATGTAAACCATGCTCGGAGCAAACGACAGCCGGCAGCAGCAATCCTCTCCAAAGTTATTGTCTGTATGGGCTTCATCATGAGTATCATATACAGAAATAACCGGCTGGTGCCAGCCATCATTATCACAGCCTGTTTATGGTTGTTTATTCTCTTTCTAGATCCCGTCAACATCAGGTTTCATGAGCGCGAGACTGAGGAGGCGACAAGGGTGGTCCAGATTATACACGATGCGCCACAGAAAGATGTAGCGAGTTTGTCGGCAGAAATACCACCACCACCACCAGCAGCAGAAGATGGTGGTGAAACGCACGTCTCTACATCTTCGAACTCAATTGCTGAGGACGATGACGAGGATGAACAAGACAGCTCTTCTTGGACGCCGCCAAAACAACCCATTGACGGACAGCTCTCACCTGAAGACGTTCTCCTCATCGTCAAGACCGGCGGCACGTCCATGTGGAAGCGCCTCCTGATCCACCTGACGACCACACTCGCCCCAGAACGCATCCCGCTCAAAAACACCGTCATCTACTCCGACAGCCCAGACACTATCGGCGCCTACCAGGTCATCGACATCCTCGCCAACACGTCAAGCACCACTCTCAGCTCGTCCGCGTTTGAGGTCTACCACTCCCAGCGCGAGTACGGCGCCAACAACGTCTACGTAGAGGCCGCGGGTGTCGATGGCGACGACTGGGGCCCGCAGGGCGGCTGGGTCATCGACAAGTACAAATTCGTGCCGCTTGTCCAGCACGCAGGCGAGAACTGGCCCGACGCCAAGTGGTACATTTACACAGAGGACGACACGTACATGTTCCTGCCCAACTTGCTGGGCTATCTCTCGCAGTTCGACCACACCAAGGCGCATTGGCTGGGAAGCTACGCCGCCAAGTCGGACGTGGTCTTCGCCCAGGGCGGGGCCGGCTTCGCTCTCAGCAGAGGCGCGTGGGAGAAGAGCTTCGGACGGAACCCGAGCATCTCTAGAGAGTATGAACAGTACACGGCGGATCACTGTTGTGGCGACCAGGTGCTGGGCCACGCACTGAACCGGTACGGCGTGCACCTTGGTGAGAACGGCGGCGACGAGACGTTTCGGTACGGCTTCAACCCCTTGGTGCACTGGACTTTCTCATTTGAGAAATGGAGCTGGTGTTTGCCTGTCTACTCATGGCACAAGGTGCATGCGAGGGACGTGGCCAGATATTACGAGCTCGAGCAGGCCTGGGACTTTACTGTAAGTTGCATCCTTGGTCAAAGAGAGATGTATTTTTTTAGTTTTTTTTTCCCCACAAAACGGCTCATAAAATCATGCTAACTCGTCTTAATAACAGAAACCATTGACTCATGGGGATTTCTTTATGCACATGATCGCGCCCGACCTGGAGAGGAGAAGGGAATGGTGGGACAACATGTCAAGCAAGTTCAGCGTCACCTCGGCGAACAAGGACGACCCGCCCATGCCTGAGTCAGTGAAGGATGTCAAGACCTGGAAGGCTGCCTGGAATGACGTCGATTCGTGTGAGGCTGCTTGTCAAGCGTGGGACGAATGCACTCAGTGGAGTTTTGTGGAGGATCTCTGCAAAATGGACGACAAGGCTGTGATGGGCAAGGGATACGCACCCGAGATGTCCCAGAGGAAGACTGCACTCATGACCACGAGCGGATGGGTAAAAGAAAGGATTGCCCAATGGAGCTCTCACTGCACCACAAGCGTATAATAATTAAATTAGAAGATAGAATTGAATCAACTTTACACCAATGTCACCAACGATGACAAACTCCATTTACCAAACATCTCAAAGTTAAATCATAAAAGGCAAAAGTTGATTTTCATTCATAATCTTCTGGAAAGCCTGCACACATTTCATGATATGATAGATAGTGTTACCACCGCAAGCCTGAGTGCTAATAGTAAGTATTATACATGACCACGCTTTCCTCTTCTTACATGCATCATGATCTGATGTGTGATAATGGTCTGATGATTCCTCCTTTTCGGCACCATGATGTTAAGTTCAGACCAGGATAATGTTGTGTAGAGCTGTTCATTACCTCGGGGAGGATCTTGGATTTATTGATAGGGATTGTCATATGCGGGCGATGCATCACCTCCGCCTCGGGTCCCGCGCGAGCATTCCATTTGTTGCTCCCACACTCACCCTTGCCCTCTGGATCGCGACCAAACGAAGTATTGTCGCTAAAGTCCACCCAGCCTCCGCTGGCAGCGCCACACTGCGCATCCACCTTGGCGTTCATCTGGTCTGCTTTGTACTTGAATTCGCTGCTGCAGTCACCCAGCGTAATCTTGCCGTTCTCGGCCGTGTCACAGATCCAGTACTTGACGTTAGCACCGCTGGCCTCTTCGTGGTCGCCGCTGGTCGCACCATCGCCCCATTCACCCTTCCATGTGTCCCCCTGGCCTATAGTCGTCGACGGTCTCGATGCCGCACACCAGTCGAGCATGTTGGCCTCGGCCGTGTCTAGGTCGCCCTTGCTAATGGAGCTCGAGCTGTAGGATACGGCTAAGCAGTGGCAACGGTTATTAGCATTGTGCCCTCCAAAATATTCTTTAAGGAAAAAAAAAAATTAAAATGCCGGGATGTAAAAACCCACTAGATACTATAGGGTCATCCCGACGATGAAATTCTGGATTGCGTCTGGCAGCAAGAGGAGTGAAAGCCACTGCGTAACTGATAGCTGAGAGAAGGGTGAGAGTGGCTGTAGGGGAGGGCATGGTCATTGATTTGAATTGATCTGTTCTGCCAAATCAGAAAAGAAACGCCTTGTCCGAATACGACCAATTCTTTTCTTGAAGGAAATTAACAAGTGTGGTGATTTGAAAAGTGACAATGAAGATGTTCTTGTTTGATATTTATCCAAATTTCTCTGCAGACAGCTGCTGGAGGCAGAAAAGTTCAAAAGAAGCGAAAGCCATGGAAGTGGTGGAAGAACAAAGAGCCAGGGACCTGCTCAATTCGCGAGACCCAAGACTTTATAATGCTCATCATTCAGTCAATACAGCAAGTACTTTTTGTTCATGATGAGTGGTTCAAAGGCTACCACAGAAGGCGACCACTGGGCCGAAATGATGTCGTTGGTGCGCTGGTATGAGCAACTTGATTCTCTTCAAAGGAGGTCACTTCAAAAACGATCAACACAAGAGTCTACCAACAGACACAGTTAATGTCCAGACTGAATACTGACTTACATTCGCTGAGCCCTCTCCCACCATTATCTGCAACATTAGTCAGCCCAACATGATAGGAAGCAGCACAGTTGATAAGCACAACGTTGTAAGAAATGGTTTCGGATCTGGCCAACCTGCTCAGCCCCCAGCGAGACAGCCAACAGGCAACTGATGTCTCATTCATAGCACAGCATTGGGGTAGAACAGGGTGCTGAAAGCGCTGCGATAATATGAGCATTGTCCAGCATTGCTTCAATGCTTCCAGTCAAGGTGAGGTACCCAAGTATCTTGAGAATCAAGCAAGCTAGAACACTCGATGGCCATTGTTCAACCAACATGCTAGAAATATGGAGAAGAAAAGGTGCAGTGTGTTCATTGCCCAGGAGCATCTTCCCTGTGTATGGATGCTCATCCCACATGCGATAACCTACCCTGCCCAGCCCTGTTTCCTGTTATGATATGATGCATGATGATACACTGTCTCTTTTCTTTTTCTATTTGTTTTTTTCTCTTACCGTCCTTCATCCCATATGCATACGTGACAGCCTCTGTACGCCGCCGCCTGGCTTTGTGTGCCACATGCAGGCCATAATCGCATGCGCTATTATGCTATAATACAATAATAGGTGATGACTCGTGTTCCGCAAAGTGTCCACTGGCGTCTCGTCGTCTTGCTGACAGCCGCCGGTTGAGAAAAACGTCTCGTCTCGTCGATGGACCTCTTTACTTCTTCCTCCTGATGGTCTTGACGGCCATCTCCACCAAGCCGTCCTTCGCCTCGCTGTCAGGGAAGCCACTGATACACTCAATCGCTTTTTGTGCATAGTCTTCGGCCAGGGCGCGAGTCTCCTCAATGCCTTCCGTCTCAAGGACAAGTTCACGAGCCTAGCCAAGTCACATCAGGTCAGCTCAGTTTTACTTTCTCAAAAAGGAGAATAAAATTTGCGTCCTCTGCCAACATCAAGGACAGTCGGAACAGTCAACTCACCCTTCTCACGTCACCCTCTCCGGCAAACTTCCTCCCCACCAGCTCGCCCAGCTCCGGCCTATCTCTCCACGCGAACAGCAGCGGCGCCGTAGCCAGTCCCAACTCCAGATCCGCGCCCGCCGGCTTTCCCAGCTCGCGCTCGGAGCGCGTGTAGTCCAACATGTCGTCCACAAGCTGGAACGCCAGGCCCAGGTTCTTACCGTACCCGTAGGCGGCCTCGACGGTCTCGGCGCTCGCGCCGCCCAGTAGCGCGGCAGCACGACAGCTCTTGGAGATGAGACTGGCGGTCTTCAGGTAGGTCTTGTTCAGGTAGTAGCCCAGCGCGTCCTCGCTCCAGACCGGGCGGGTCTCGTCGGCGGCCGTGTTCTTGAGCTGCATGAACTCGCCCTCGACCAGGTTGGCGATGACGGTGGCCAGCAGCTCGACGACCTCTGCATTGCGCAGGCGCGCGAGGGCGACGGAGGCGCGGCCCAGCAGAAAGTCGCCCGCCAGCACGGCCATCTTGTTGCCAAACTCGAGGTTGGCAGAGGGGGACCCGCGGCGGGAAACGGAGTGGTCGATGACATCGTCATGGAGGAGGGAGGCGGTGTGAATCAGCTCTGTGATCTCAGCGAGACGGCGCTGGGAGGGGAGGATGTCGGTCTCTACAGAGGGCGTGTCGGCTTCGGGGGTGAGAGGCGTAGGGACGGAGGTTGGGTTGGCGATGGAGGGGTTGAAGTCGCGGAGGATGGAGAGTGGGGTCATGGACGTGTCGACCGGTATTGACTGTATGGGCGAGGGTTCGCGCTGATTCTGTGGCAGTTCCGGCGCCTTTGGGCATAGATGTGTAGCTCGCGACATGAGCAGCACAATCAGTGGTCGCATGTGCTTCCCCTCTGCTTCTGTATAGTACTTTGCGACGCGATCCAGCGAGGGGTGTCCCGAACCGAGGAGCTTCCGTATGTTGCCTGTGAGGAACTTCATCTCCTTAGCGACGGCACGGAGGGGGTCGACCGTCATGAGGTCACTGTTTAGCTTGGAGGTGCGTGAAGATATCGCGTTGGACACGACATTTTTGGCCACGGCGACTGCTGCGCCTAGGGCTGAAGATTGCCGAGGGGTTCCGTGATAGCCAGCGCGTGGCTGCCATCGTATCCTCACGTCAAGAGCCTCCCGCCATAGACATTGTGAGCAGACTAAAGAGCGTAATCTTGACGTTGTGGTGGTGCGCGCTGCCCGGATGACCGGAGCGCCCGGCCGCAGCTGGAGGTGCATTTTCTGGATGGCCCTTCTCTTCCGTGGCCCAATTGAGTCCCTGTACTATTCTCTATGAATTCGTATGCATGAGGCGAGCGAGCATACCGGCCGTCAACGAGGTGGGTTATGCAGGGAGGGATTTATGGAGGTGGTGTATTTAGGCCGGGGATTGAGTCTGAATTATGGGTTCATGATGCTCTCTAATCTTTTTTTCTCTTTGCTGTAGCTTAGCTGCAGCGTAGCTTGCGCTAGAAACTTTTCTGGTGTACGGCGATCCTCGGCATGACAGGGGGTGAAGGGGGGTCGGACCTTCCCGGGTCGCATCCCTGCATCTGCAGCTGCCGTCAGCTGGCTGACGCTATCACTGTTCCGCTGGCAGCTGTCCATACGAAAGATCTATTGGCGAGCTGACTGCGACACGTCCTCTTCTTGATTACTCCGACGTCCAATATTTCTGATGTCACGTTCTGGACGGCACAGGACGATGCGCTCATACACGCGACGACAGCCACCATGGTGCTCCTCACAATGACACCCTCCATTGTGGAGGCGATACGGAAGAGGGACGGTGGAACACCTCAAAACAAGCCAGCCGTCGAGGGCGACGGGCCACCGCTTGATGAACCAGCAGCTGGCAAGCCCATCTCTCATGGACAGATTGTCGAGCTGTGGAAGGATCTGAGGGATGCCGATGGGCTCAGGTTCAGCCTCGAGCTTCTTCTACGGGGCTCGAGGGTGTATAACCCACCACCGCCTCCCAAGCCAGAACCGGTCAGTCCCTTCTGTCCCTTCTGCCACTTGTCTTCGTATCGTCGTCCAGCTGACCTTGTTCCATAACAGACTCCCGAGTACAAAGCCCTTATGGCCCGCCTCCGCCGCGAAGAAGAAGAGCGCAAATACCAGCGCATGGTCAATAACCCCTACACGGGCATGCCCTCGTTCAACCCCAATCCGTCCTACACCTCTTCCCTCGCCCAGTCCTTCGCCGAGGTCAACCGGCCCCTGAACAAAGCCGACGAGGGCGATGACGACGTTACCTTCAACGAGGTCCACCGACAGGTTGTGCTGGTGATCAACTTCCTGGTGACCATCTTTGGCTGCGCCGCGACGCTGTGGGTCCTGGGACGTTGGTGGAGTACGCCGGCCAGACTATTTCTGACCCTAGGCGGGAGTATTGTTGTGGCGATCGCGGAGGTTGGTGTATATTATGGATATATATGGCATCTAGGCGAGGCCAAGAAGAAGGAGGGGAAGGTGAAGGAAGTGAAAGAAGTGTTGGAGACTTGGGTGGTCGGAAAGGAGGAAGAACCCAAAGATGTCGGGCTCAAGGCGGAAGGCGAGGCAGATCAAGATGCAGAGGGGGCCAAGGTGAGATTGCGCAAGGGGAGACGGCGTGAAGAGACTTGAGGCAGTTGTACGGACAATACGCGTCCTCTACAGCGAGACAAACTTCTACTGCGTGATCCCACTCTTTGCACCTAAATGCCATGAATGTAAACTTACAAGAAGGTCGATGCCTTCTGTGGAGCACCAAAAAGACACCTTGTGCATCGTGTATGAAAGCCAAGGAATCAATACTGATACATGCAGCACATTTACTATACGCGCTGGTGACAATCATTACCATAACACAACATCCCAACACTGCCGCTGATTTTGTGATGACGTAATCTTGCAGGTGAGCCCGGCTGTATGCGGGTGACTTCGGTTCAAACGCGCTTGGAATTGCGACGCGTCTCCCCCAGCTTTTTCTGCCGCGTCTGTTTACTCATTTACTTATCAGTTCCCATCCCACTTCTAGGGTTCAAGCCACTGTAACCACAGCACAAGTCAAAATTGCATGTATTAGTTACACTCTGACAAAGACGATTTCCAGAACTCTATACATAAGTCAGTACTCTTTGCAGCACGCCGTGTTTCTCGATCTCCACCCAAGCTTTTGGGCCATGCCTACAACCTCTCCATCGTCCGGACATACAAACACGTCAGTCTCAGCATGGAGCAGGCTCGTCGAAATCACACAGAATGCCGCCAAGAGACCGCGACACGATGAGAGCAGCATACGGAATCACTCAACCCCTGCTTCCGTATCAGCATCTCAACCACCGACTGCGGCCAGACCAGCTAAGATGCGGCGGTTGACAGAGCCTTCCTCTCGACTTTTCTCGACCCGATCGCCCTCAACATTCTCATCACGGTCAAGAGACTTCATACCACCAGCACAAACAACCATGAGACGCGAACATACACCATGCGATTTGGGACAACATCATGCACTACCAGCAGAACCTGCTGCCGCGGAGACAGAGTGCATAGAAGTTTGTCCCTGTCTCGAGGGCGATCCCCCTCTCCCGGGGGCGAAGTGTAGCTATCAGCGACCTTACGGACACAGAAAGATGCCCAAGGCCTCAGAGTCGTCGTCACCGGTGCATGGTGGCATACAAGGCTCCCAGTCTCCACACATACAGTTCCAAGATCAGGCGCAAGCCGAGCAGCCAGGCACCAACAACACGACAAGACCCAAAATAAGTGAGGGTCGAGCAGAGGAGCATAGTTCTGCCAAGCCTCGCGACCATTTCTCAGTGACCGCCATCGGATTGGGGCATCGCGAGGATAAGGGCGACGTGGTGGACAACAATCTAAGAGCGGCGGATGCTGGAGCGAAACACGATGGCAACGGAGATCGACAAGACGCAGACCTTGGGCGAGGGACCAGTGTTGATGCAAGGGTCAAGTCTACGATGGAGGACACATTCGACACAACGCATCCAACGAAAGTTGGTCTGCAAAAAAGCAGCCAAGATACACTCAACCGGACGATGAGCCTACAGTCATCAGTCTCAGGACCGCCAAACGAGGAAGAAGTGATCCGGCCCAGCCCACCCTCGTCTTCACAAGATCCGACGCCCTACCGCCGCCTACCCTCCGCAAGAGACGAGAACGCAGTGCTGTCCACACGCAGGGTCAAACGGCGCCTGACCCTTCATAGTAGCAGCCACGACGGGCTGGCCTCGCAGAAGAGACGCAAAGCATCACCCAGAACGAGATCGACGGTGCAGACAACACTGAACCTGGCTATCGGCGGTAGTGCAGGCATGAGAGAATGCAAGGTCTGTGATACAGTGTACAACCCATTTCACCCAGAGGATGTAAAGGTTCATGCAAAGATACACGCCGGGGTAGTGAGGAAGAGAACTGCCGCATAAGGAGAAGAGCGACAACGGGATGTCAGGTTTCGAACTTGAATAAGTGGGCAGAACTGGATGTGGGTTGGACTAGGGCTTGGAGATGTTGGTATACAGCATGGGACATGGCATATGGTCTCTTTATTAAGGTGCAAACAGTGATGAGTGGAACATGATTGAGTATGAGATGGCGTTACACAGATTGGAGATACCCTCTGGCGTTCGACAATGACATTGTTGGTTTTGTTCAATAAGAAATACATGAAATTCTTGTGGGAAAACCATGTCATGATGACTGGCGAAAATCACCTCTGGATGGGCTTAATTCATTTCGAAGGCTCAGAAAACCTTCCCCGACGGGCATCTACCGTCTTAGACAGATGCGTATAATGGGTGATGATGCACAGTCACGCGAGCAGAAATGTGATCATGATTTGGTTCAATCTCGTCATAACATGAATAAATCAATACGAGGCTTCTCCCCTGATTACAACGGCGGCTTAGGCACAGAACCATCACACAACGCCTCTCGAGACGCAATGCTCCAGTCCTGCGCAGCAACCCCATCCTTCCCAAAGGCCCTCACTTCATCAGACCCCAGCGCCGCATACTCGTTCCACGCCTGCGCCTCCAGCCCAGCAACCCCCTCCCGCGCAAAGGCCACATAGGCGTCCTGGAACGCCTCGCTGGTCGCATACTCCTGCGGCGTGCTCGGCCCGCGGAAGTCTGGGTGCGTGCCCATGAGCATGGGCAGCTCGGAGGAGTGGTAGGCGCCCATCCAGGGCCGCGGGGAGATGTTGGTCCAGTTGCCAAAGTAGACGTAGCGGAAGGTCGGGGTCAGATCCGGGGTCTGCTGGCGCAGCCGAATGGACTCGGTGGCCGGGCAGAAGAAGATGGCGAGCTTCTCCTCGAGGGCGACGGTGCGGTTGGGGCCGGCTGGGTTGTAGGGTGCGAAGGCGACGCCGTCTTGGGCGTTGGTGCCGATTATGGCGGGCTGGAGAGACACTGCCGCGTCAGAAAGCCAGAGACATAAGAGAGAGAGAAGGGCTATCAAGAGGAACTCACGATCTGGGCCTGTAAACCCGCCTCAGCACGCTCTGTATAATTAGCAAAGACGATCTTGTCGTCGACCACAGGCACAAATGAGATGGACGGCGACGCTCCGCTCTCGTCATAGGCCGCAACAAAGTCCTCGAGGGTGGCAGCGTCGACACCTCGCATGCACGCCAGCTGCTGGCCGTAGTCGCCCGTCAGGTTTGCACATCCAACGTGCTCTGCCACAAACGAGAAGTTGGCGTGTGTCTGGTCCTCCGTGGCGATCGGGCTGAGGGCGGTGCCCGAGTCCATGATGAGCCCCTTGACGACGGCGTCCGAGTGGTACGCAAAGTTGTAATAGTCTACCGAGATGGACCCGGCGGACTGGCCCCAGATGACCATGCGCTCTGGATCACCTCCAAAGGCGGCGATGTTGGCCCTGCACCACTCGACGGCGGCGCGCTGGTCCAGCAGCCCGAGGTTCTGCTGGTCGAGGCCGCCGGCGTTGGGGAAGCCAAAGATGTTGACGCGGTAATTGAAGCTGACGACGATGTGGTCTGGCGTCCTGTTCACCCACTGCGCCGGAATCTGGTATGGCACGTCCTGTCCACCCGTTGAGAACCCGCCGCCATAGAAAAAGATGAGCACAGGCACCGGTTGGTCTGAACGAGTAGACGAGGCGTTGCTGCTGCTGCTGCTGCTGCTGCTGGGCGCCCACACGCTGAGGGTGAGGCAGTCCTCGGTGATGGCGCCTGTCGTGTTGAGACCTTGCAGATTGAACTGCAGTACATCGCGCACATAGAGCGAGTCGCCCAGGTCGGTGAGGTACTGCATGCAGCTGGGCGGGAGCGAAGTAGCCTCCACATCGACGTCGGGCTGGCTGAGGAGTTCTGGGGCTGTCCAGCGACGGTCACCCACCGGCGGCACAGCATAGGGGATGCCGAGGTACTGGTTGACGTTGGGCAAAGAGGGGTCGATTTTGCCGTGGATCCTGCCTGAGGTCGTCGACACCGTGGGCGGCGAGGGGCCACAGCCGGCGTGGTTCTGCTGTGGAAGTGCAGCAACGACGCCTGCCACCAAGAGGAGGGACCACAAGGAGGACAAGGAGTACTTGGTCAGCATTGTCATTATGATCGTGATGATTATGACTACATCACCTGCGGAGTGCAATATGGTATTTGAAGCTCACCCTCCGACCTGGTGAGTATGATTTAATAGACTCAAGACGTGCAAGCCAGCTTAGCTACCCTATCTTATAATTATTCACCCGCAAGATCTTGGAAGCGGGCGTACTAAAGGAAAGGAGCTTTTACTGCACCCCGACAACGGAGCAATGGTGCCTATAGCAGCGGTTAAAGTCTCGATCTGCACCCGCACGATGGTTCAACCTCTACCCCTGAAGCGAACAGGCAAAGTCGATAGTGACTTGGTGTACCCCAAGATCCATCGTATGTACCATGATCTCGTGATGAGCCTTCTCCGCAGCATGGCTCCACATACTTGCAGAAGTTTAATGGCTCCAGAGGGGAAGATCTACAGGAGAGCATACTAAGTAGTAATTAGTTTGTGGGTGCAAATGAATTGAATTCTCCCGGTTCAGTCACTTAAGTTCTACCGATATAATACTCCTGGTCCGCAAGCCATCTTCTCGCTCAAGAGTGCAATTTTCACGATAATTGATCTTTGACGAGTCGACCAGTTCTGTTTCAATTAGTCATTAACAATTTTGAAAGTGATATGAGATATGGTTCTAATTAAAGTTGATTTGAATCTTGATTTATAGTCGCACTGATAAATGCGAACAATTGTCTCTTCTCAAGCAACTGGATATCATATGAATTCGACACGCAATAACTCGTGGCTAATGAAAAAGGCGGGCATTGTTTCCTTGTCTGTATGCATGTTTGTGAGCGTATACCTAAGTACTTACTTGTATGTCCGGTACTGCAAGATAAATCAATTGATGGTAGGTAACCTTGACTAAATCATGAACCTGAGCCCCAATCGCTGATCTTCACTTTACACAATACATCAAATTTACCATTCCATCAACTCCTAAGAAGAAGAGAAAAGATGTGCCGGGCTTGGTTCTGTAGTCCAACGTCCGAGTTTCCTCGGCTCATTCCGAGCAGCTTGTTGTGGTCGGGAGTCGGATGCGCCGCTGTGCCGGTGTGCCGGTGTGCCGGCGTGCCGCTGTGCCGGGACACCCACTCATTCCGCGCCCTCCCCGCGCCCTCTATCGCCCCCACGTCGCGTCGCAGGGCTCTTCTTGGGTGCAATGCCTCAACGATTGGGCGACACGAAAGCACGTAGCATGTACGAGACTTGAAATATTACGCTCTAATCCCTGGATCTCGAGTTTCAGTGACTAAGAATTTGGTCTTGATGCCTGGATCAATAAACAAGTATTAAAGCGGCACAAGCCAACAGAAACAGACAGCTCTCAAGCCATCCAGGCAGATGACGTCGGGCCTGATGTCATGTATACGCTCATAGGCCCCTCCAATTCCACAAGGTACGACACACTCTGTCAGGAACAGGGACGGACTGCGGTACAGTACGCCAGCGCAACTAACTCCACAATGCCATCGTCACTCACTTTTCACACACTCTATCTTACTCAGGCCAGGCTAGATCAAGCTCCCCTTGCTGATCAATTTTGGGTAGATCTATTTAAGGGACCTGTCCAAGGTCTTGGCGTAGAAGTCTAGAACCATTCTTGATCAATATCCCACCATCTTCTCTCATCTACCACACCTTCACCTCCATCCCCATCCTCAAGAGAATAGCATTGGAGACAGGAAAATAAAGCTGTCACACCACACAAAGCTCAAGACCCAGACCATTATTCATTCTTCCATACTGCCACCATGGTTCAGCAGCACGGAGACCACCATGACATCCCAGCCGAGCACAAGGTTCACAAGTAAGCAATAACGTACCTCTGCCCCCTCCTCCTCTCACTTCATAACATATGTAACGTCTTATATGTCTCATTACTAACCATGGTCCCTTCAGGCCCGGTGCTTGGCTCCCGACCGACACGCGTATCCACAAGGCATGGCTGAAGAAGCAGGTCGACCATGTGGACAACAACCCCAAGACACTCATCCCGGTGCTGCAGGAGTTCAAGGACTTCATCGAAACCAACCCCAGGATCAGGATGCTTTTCACCCAGATGTGGGAGGAGGTTCCCAACAAGGAGCCCTACAACAAGGACCCAACTGGCCATAAGCAGATCCGTGACTACGGTCACATGCTTGCTGTGCTCAACCATATCTTCTCTCGAGCCCCCGAGTGGACTGACGCTGCTGAGCATGTCGGTATGGTGGGTGTGCCCATGTGTGCCGTCTTTGACTATCCCATGGCCACACCCAGTGGCCACGCTGCCTTCCTGGATCCAGATGTGAACAGGATGCTGAAGAAGGTCCTGAACGAGTGGGGCAGGTTTCTGCAGGTAAGTGTTTTGGACAGGACCCTTTCTCTTTCTTCTTCTTTTTACTAGTGCCCTTTTTTCTTCTTTTCTTCAAGTGCTTCAAATAAATTCTAATTTGTTTCTCTCTTCACCATCAGACACCGGAGTCAGCCGAGGTCCTCAACGACAGCCACACAGGCTGGTTCGGCAAGACGGGTGTCCAGGACGTCATGGCCGTTGCCAACGCACCGCTGCAGACCAGCCACAAGTTCGAGGAGCACTACAAGTGCGACGCTACGAAGCCCAAGTACGGCTTCAAGTCGTGGGACGACTTCTTCACGCGCGAGCTGCAGGAGTCGGCCCGCCCCGTCGCCGACCCAGAGGACGACAATGTCATCGTCAGCGCCTGCGAGTCGCGCCCCTATGCCGTGCAGCGCGACGTCAAGTTCCGCGACACATTCTGGATCAAGGGCCAGCCCTATTCCATCGTCGACATGCTCAACGCCGATCCCCTAGCCGAGCAGTTCCGCGGCGGCACCGCCTACCAGGCCTTCCTGTCGGCGCTGTCGTACCACAGGTGGCACGCCCCCGTCAGCGGCACCGTCAAGAAGGCCTTCCTTGTCGACGGAACCTACTTTAGCGAGCCGCTGTACGACGCCGGCGACCTCAACAGCGCGTCAGAGCAGGAGGAGATCAAGCAGGGTATCTCGGCTGCCCAGGGCTACCTCTCGTGTCTGGCCGCCCGCGCCGTCATCTTCATCGAGGCCGATAACCCTGCCATCGGCCTGATGGCCTTTATCGGCATTGGTATGGACGAGGTGAGCACCTGTGAGATCACCGTCAAGGAGGGCCAGCACATCAAGAAGGGCGACCAGACCGGCATGTTCCACTTTGGTGGGTCTACCCATGTCCTGCTCTTCAGGAAGGGTGTCCAGGTGGATGGGTTCCCTGAGCCAGGGCAGACGAACAACGTGGCTGTCAGGAGCAAGGTGGCCGTCGTGCAGGGTTAGCTATGAATCATGAGTAATGAATCAAAATAGTACTTTTATAGCAATTATGACCTTTTCTTCTCTGGATATGTTCCCTAAGCTGTGTCCACTGTAGTCACTTCCTCTCTGAGAAGTCCCTTCTGATCGAACCGATGTCTGGACCTATATGGAGCATATCACCTGCCGCTGCCCAATAATCCTGTGGAAGTGACTTATGAGCTGAGGCAAAGATGAAGTTTGGTTTATCGTACACGTTCCGTATCGCAATTAATTACCGTCTTGATTATCACTCTCGATTGAGAACCTCAATCCACGACGCATGGGATGCAATCATTATTACGCACTTCAAAGCATGTTTCAAGTGAGAGCCCCCTCTCAAGACCGCTTCTCCCCACAATTGGGCAATCCATGAATGCTCGAATTTGTTCTACATTGTAAGCAATGTGCTCATATTGGATTTAAGATATAATACCTACTGTAAAGGGGACTTATGCAAAAAGTATCACTGTGCAAACAAAATGATAGCAGTTCGAGATCGGGGAGGGAGAGGGAGCGGCAGATTGATTCATAAACCACCACCTATTGGGACTTCTGCACCCTCTAGTAGCCGATCCTTCAAGTCTGAACCAAACATGGCCCCCACGGCGTAAACTTGATACTAGCCTAAGCTGACACTTTGAAACGCTGTCTCGGAAATAAGGCTGCAAGCTGAAAGCTCGGGTGTTTTGGCGAAATAACGTCGGCGCAGCGCTAGGCAAAAGCAGAGCGCTTTTATACGCCGTCTTTGCAGTAGATGTTATCGTGTTTTTACTCTCCCGCCTCTCGCCTCCCGCCCCCAAAGGGCATAGGCAGCTTATAATCACGAGCCCTTGGCCATCACTTTGGGCTGGTGCCATCCAGGTTTGTTCTTGACCTTTCCGTTCCATTGTGTCATCACTGCTCCTAATTTCTCACGCCGATCAAAGTATGGATAGATCACCAGCCACATCCAATGCGCCTTGGCCCAATCGACCCAATGGCATGGAAAGCCTAAGCCCTATGGATGCTTCTTCATCTCAACACCCTAGCTTGAGCTCGACGTCAGCTGTCTATTCCCCAGGGCCAACCTCGACATCTCAGCCTATCGTTATGCCTGCAAGCTCTGGTGTCGAAGGATCAAACGAAGACCAGACCAGCTCTTTGATATCGAAGACCAGCACATTTCAAGTCACGCCACAGCCACATCAACATATACAGCCAAGGCGATTAGCATCAAAATGGACGCTATGGTCATGGGTGGGGGAACTGTGCAGTGCTCTCTTGCTCCTTGTTGCAGTAGCTGCCATACCGGCGACTCTGTATCCGCACGAGGGTCAGCCGCTACCTCGATGGCCTTTCTCCATCACGATCAACGCCCTGTTATCTGTGTACTCGATGGTCCTCAAGACATGCATAGCGCTTCTGGTCACATCATGCATCAGCCAGCTTCAGTGGAGCTGGTATCTCGAGACACGACCACTTCGAGATCTTGTTGCATTCCATGACGCGGCGACTGGGGCCATAGGGTGCGTCTCGTGGCTGTGGAATTACCACCTGCGGCAGCCCTTGGCTGCGCTCGGAGCTATAATCACAATCATTGCTATAGCTATTGACCCATTCATTCAACAACTCGTCCAATCAATTGACTGCAGTCAAATTCTCTCCGGCTATACTCCAGCCTCCGTACCGCGCACAAACTTCATGGGGTATAAGGACTGGACCGAAAGCCTCGAGGAGTCTATTTTGGATGGTCTCTATGCGATGCAGAACCTGACGGATTTCAACTGCCCGACGGGCAACTGCACGTTCAGCGAGACCTACAGCAGCCTCTCGTTCTGCAGCCAGTGTGTGGACAGGTCGGCTGAGGCGACAATTGATGAACAATGCTTCATTAGTCAGTGGGATGGCGGGAGAAATGCCACGCGTGAGGCTGTTCCGTGCAACGTGGACAGTCCCAGCGCGGTCACACAGACATGGAATCTCACCACTAGCCTGCCGCCATCAGAACTCAACTTCTACTTTGAGGACGGGCCATTCCAGAATATCTCAGGAAATCCTCTCTCGGAACCACACGTCTTCTCTCTCCAGCAGTTGGACATCCTGTCAGCGCTCTATCAGGGTCAGGCTTTCGGGGCCGTTCTGGGCTACTCGGACTCAGCTATTTTCAGAACAGACCCGACATGGACGGTGAGCCCCTTGTCCGGCTGCGATAACCCTACCTCGAATGATACCTGGCGCTGCAGAGGTTATGGTATTGCGGAGTGTACGTTGCATCCCTGCGTGCGGACTTTCTCGTGCTCCATCGAGGGGGGTCGGGTCAACGAGATCACTGTCGACCACTCGAGCAGAGATCAGGTTTGGGGGGCTCAGGATCCAGTACTTCCCTCACTCTACGGTCTGCTTGATATGCAGTGCATCACTGACGACGACCGAGGTAATCTTGCAGAAGCTGGATATGATCTTGTTGAAGAAGCTTCGGGCCGCTGGCTCCCCTATAACATTACCTTTGACCCGACCACCACCCCTGTGAACGCATCGTCCCCGTTCCCGCAGTCGCTCCTGGGACGGGGTTGCCTCTATCTTATAGATGAATCCTTCCTTATACCCCTCTGGGATGAATACATTTCCCCGCTTCTCGTCGGCACCGTAACTCGCGAGATTATCGCAGAAGTGACCGCGACCAACAACTCGTTGCCATACTCGTATCAGTATGACTTCAACGGGACACAGCAGCTGCTCAACCTATACGACGCGGGCAATGTCTCGATGGACTCGATCAGCGCCACATTCGACAATCTTGCGCAGGCACTGACGCTTTGGGTGCGGGAGAATGGCGCGGCCAACTACAGCCGGCGTGCAGAAGGCGATGTGCTCCACTACGCCGTCTGTGTGCGGGTGAAGTGGGCGTGGGTGGCACTGCCGGCGGCCCTGGCTGGGCTCACGCTTGTTCTCTTCATCCTGACCGTCCTCACCACGGCGGGGCGGGCAGTGCCCCTATGGAAAATGTTTCCTCTCGCCGTGCTGTTCTCTGGGCCGGCTGGGAGGGACTGGGTGAGCGAGAACAGGCTGATGAGGAGGGGCACTGCTGATACGAACACGGGCGAGGCGACTCGTCTTCCTGATGATACTGATCATGATTACGACGAGACGGTTCAGGGAATGCTGCGAATTTCTGATAGGATTTCTGTGAAACTACTGCAGAAACAGGACGGTCGTTATCAGCTCCGCCAAGTGGAACCTCCGTCGAAGTGAGCAGTAACCAGCAAGAGATGATAGATGAAATGAAGGAGGAATTTAGTTTTTCGTGATTCTATCAGATGCGCCCAAGGAGGTGAGCCGAAACAAAGGATCTAAGGAGCTTAATCGTAGCATAGACAGTGCTGAAAGAAACTCTGAAGAGCAAAAGGAAGAGCGTCCGTTTATGTGGCCATTTGCGCCTGTAGGTGGTATGGCAAACAAACATGAGGGTTAGGGGCAGCTTGACCTACTTCACCTTTCGATAGAAAGGCACACTCAAGGGCTCCCTGCCAGAGATTTGCCTCGAAAAAAGTTCGATCGAATATGTACTATGTAGCTGCTCCATTGATTGCAGTGATCAGTGAGGTGACACTGCGAAGAGACAACATTGGGGGCCGTTGTAATGATTAATCATATCGTACTGTACTAAGGTAAAACATGGCTTCTCGCAGGCTCTCCGCCGGGAGGGCCGGGGGGGGGGAGGGGGGCAAGGCATGAATGAGAGAGGAATAGAAAGAGGAGGAACAACAGAGCAACAATAAGAAGGAGCGTTCCTCAATCGGCAGGATCACTTCCACTCCTCCGAGGCCATAGCGCTCCACGTGAGTTGGCGAGGCCCGAGAACCTAAACCTTGCCCAGATGGGATCGTGTCCGAACCCGAATACCCCAACCAGCTCCTTCTTTATCAGTTGAGTGGGTTTGCATTTCTTTAGTGTAGGGATAGCGCAGTTTCCAGCGACGAGGAAACCCGTCTGGGCTTGGGGCCTGGGCCTGGCTGAACTGCACTGTTTTGATTTTTTTTCTCTCGCATTTTATTACCCTTTTGCCATTTTCTTTGACTCTTGTTCTTTAGCCCCACCACTTGGGTCCACTTGTGGGACAAGCCGCGGCTGCGGATTTCGATAAGACGACTACTTTGTACTATGGTACATACTCTTTCTCCTCCTCCTTTTCTTCCTCCTTCTCCACCACAGTTTCCAGATCTTGGCTGTCTGTGGTGATTGTGATGATGCTGATTATTCTCTTGGCCTGGGTGCGGTTATGACATGGAAATACGCAAGCTGATTAACGAACCGGGGGACTCGGATCAGGGGCAGGGCCAGGGGCGTGCCCATGATCCTGCAGGTCAGGCAGGTACATCGGCGGCGGCGACGGGCACAAGGGTGGCATCATCAACATCACCATCACCGCATACTGTTGCTGTTGAGGAGAAGGAGGTGGAGGAGGAGGGAAAAAAGGAAAAAGAGGAGAGACCAGCGCCGACCACCAATGCCGAGAATCAAGAGGCTCTTGAGAGAAGAAGGAGTGCAACATCAAATGCAGCAGCGGACCAGCGAGGCGACGAAGCCTCAATAGACAACCAGCCAAGAGCAGCACAAGTTGAGGGCGACCTCACCTCGACAAGACATCTCAGCTCAGACCCTGGCCCATCCGAAGCCGATGAGGTGGTGGCAGCAGAAGCAGCAGCATCGACGGCCAGCCTCGGCCCCCACGAAGCAGTTGCCAGCAGCGTGCAGGTCGACTTCGATGCTTCCAGCCTGAGCACGCCCAGCACCTTCTCGGTGGGGCTGAGTATCGACACGGACAGCAGCGACACCGACTCGGCGCTGGGCTCGTTCCGTGCACAGTCGTCCAGCATGTCGGCCTCGTCTAGCGTCTTTGACTTTGTCGAGGAGCACGGCCGCACCTGGCACCGGTATCACGAGGGCAAGTACATGCTTCCCAACGACATCCCTGAGCAGGAGAGGCTGGATCTGCAGCACAGCATCAGCGTGCGCCTCTTGGGCGGCCTGTACCTGGCGCCCATCGACGGGCCTGGTCGCGTCCTCGATGTCGGCACTGGCACCGGCATCTGGGCCATCGACTTCGCTAGCGAGCACCCCGAGAGCGACGTCCTCGGTACCGACCTCAGCCCTATCCAGCCCGAGTACGTCCCGCCCAACTGCAGGTTCGAGATCGACGACGCCGAGGATGACTGGGTCTTCAGTCACAAGTTCGACTACATTCACGCCAGGTACATGACAGGCGCCTTTCATGTCTCCAAGTTCCCAGACATCTTCCGCATGTGCTACGAGAACACCAACCCCGGCGGCTGGGTCGAGTTTCAGGATTACTATGCCAAGTTCCAGTGCGTCGACAACTCACTGGCCGGCACTGCCCTCGAGATGTGGAACAACTGCCTTCTCGAGGGCGTAAAGAGGATGGGCAAAAGCGGCGTCTCGTGCGCAAAGTACAAGAGCCAGATGATCGACGCTGGCTTTGTCGATGTCGTCGAGAAAAAGTTCGCCCTGCCCGGCAACCCCTGGGCGAAAGGAGAGGACCAGAAGATGCTTGGGAGCATGCAGATGGAGAACATCCTGGATGGTATCCACGGCATGTCCATAGGCCTGTTTACGAAAGTGCTGGGGATGTCGGTCGAGGAGGTCGAGCTGATGCTCGTCGACGTGAGGAAGGATCTACGGAATACCAAGATTCACTTCTACTACATCGTGTAAGTGCTGCTGCTCTTCTTCTTCTCGCCTGTCCTTCTTCTCGTGTGTGGTTCCTACCGACCGCTAACTGCCAATAAATGCAGATATGCTGTTTACGGCCGTAAGCCCATATAGCCAAGGTGCTTGTATCTGCGCTCTCTCTTAAGAGTCGGCTGTCATGTACAAAAACGAAACACGTACAATGAACCGTCCACCAAAGACTTCCATCAATCTGGGTTTTAGGCCCAAGGGTCCACTCGCGCGCAAAGACTTTAGCCCCCATCTCTCCTCCTCGGTCTACCAGAATGAAAAGTTCTGGATCGGGGTATCTCCCAATGCCCACTCCAACATGTTTTGATCATCAGGGATGAAGGTGGCGTCAAGCATCTACACATGTCATTTGTCAGCCGCTTCGTCGCTGTTCTGTCTGTCATCAAAATACTCACAGTGAGGTCGTCCCAGTCCGCCACCAGTGCTGGCGCTGTGACTACCCCGGCTCCTCGACCCAAAACCTGGTCTGTCATACTCGTCATCCCCTGTGTCCCAGCCTTTGTTGCCTGCGCTTCTATAATCGGCAGACATATCTCCACAGCCTCATCTGCAGCCCTGACTAAGAAGCGGCCGAGATCCTCCTTGGGCACTCCTCTCTTCAACCCCTCAATGTGCGCGGCAAGTAAACTACTGATCAAATGGCCCTTGATGTTCGTCTCTCCTGTGTCGATGCACTGCAGGCACCAAGCTTTGGTCTCACCCACGATGGCAAACAGATCCGTGCGCGTGTTTAGGGAGCCGAGGCCCAGGCCCAGGCCGAGATTGTCGTCCTCCTGGAGCTGGGCTCGCAACTCAGCGGTGGTGATAAAACCGGCTCGGAACCCACCGCTGCGGAAGAAGCCCGCACCGCAAGTCACGAAGCGAGAGAACCAGTCGCCTCCTTCCTGGGGAGTGACATCATCCTCGCGAGAGGATAACGATGTCGCGGTGATCGCTGAGGATGGGCAGACCGCACACCACATCCTGAGAGAGAGGTCGACCATGACCTTCCTGGAGAAGGCATACGAGGTCTCGTGCAGCGACGCGGCAAAGTACGGCGCGTGGAGCGAGGACAGGTACCACAGCACCAGGAAGTCGACGACCTTGGCAGCAAAGTCCGGCCTCGGTTCACGCGACGTGCGCTGCTGTAGGGCTTGGCTCATTGTCTTGAATGCCTTTCGGAGCTCCGCGTCAAGACGCAATGTCTCCTCGTAGCTGCTGGGCTCGGAGCTGAGATCGTTGAGGGACTTGGCCACCGCCAGCCTCGCTGGGTATGTCTGCCGCAGCGCCCTTGCAACAGATGTGTCTGTGGGCTCATCGCCCCGCTTCGGCGCAGCGTCCTCCACGAGCAGCACTTCATCGTCGTAGTTGCACGGCGGGCCCGTGTCAAAATCGTTTGTCGATATGAGGGGCGGTCCGCCCGTCTGCATGCTCGCCTGCAAGGAGAGCTCCAGGATTGTGTTCCACAGCCTTCGCCTCATCTCAGCCTGGAATGTGGACATCTCGGGGAGCTGTGACGGGTCTCTGTGCAGGCCCATGATGATTGCTGTGCGCATGATCACCCCAACAGAAACCCAGGTAGCATCCCCACCGACGTCGACAAACTCTTGCGCGAGGACGAGGAGGATCCTGGTCTGTAGAGTTTGAATCCCCAGGCGGGACTTGAAGATCGGTTCAGACAAGTAGGTCTGTGCCTCGTATATCCATTGAATGGCCAAGGTTCGCAGGGTGAACCGGTCATCGTAAATTAGGGCGCCGAGAGCGAAGACAAGCTTGAGCTGCACGATGAAAGCAATGTTCGGCTGTGATGTGTCGTCAGATACCCAGAGAGACTCGTAGTCTCTTTTGAAGGTCGGCACGTGTAGAACCCGGTAGACAGTCTCGAAGGTCTGGAGGTAGTGCTCGAGCAGCTCGTCGGCAAGATGCTTGGGAGGCAGGCCAGGTCTGGGCGGACATGGCCACTGCGGAGCTCGCTGAGCCTTGATAACACGGGCTATGCACTTGCATTTTTGGATTCCAGAGAGTATATTGCTGTTTTCTGTGCCTAGGTATGGGTCGACAAGGGTGATGAGGTCTTGTGCCTTGGAAGTGAGAAAATCACCGTTCTTAGCAATCCTTTGTAAAGAACAATAGCAGGAGTGATTGGCTCCGAGACGTAGGGGTCGAAGTTGACAAGGTCACTCACAATGGCAGCAACAGTGTTCACCCAATGGCTTTGTCCAAACAGCCGGGTCTTGTGCGAGATGCTCCGGGAGATCCCATGTGCCTGTTCGATTGTACTTTTATGTGCGGGTTCCCGAGAAGTCGGGTGATGAATGTGAAACGTCCCGCCGATCTTGGACTCGAAGGTATGCGACGAAGGAGTCCCGACGTGGGAGACAGGCGTCGTCGCAGTAGTAGCGCAAGCTACAGGCGGCGCTGTGCGTGAATTGTTGATCCTGCCAAGTTCCTCTTCCAGATGTCTGATCCGCGTCTTCAGGGCATCGACGTCGGGCCCCCCTGACTTGGGGTTTGCACCGACGATGCTCGGCGTTTTTATAGACGATGAAGGCACTGGTCTCGCAACGAAATCAACGGCTGTCGTCGTCGTGCTCATTATCGACGATCCGTCTTGTGATGCAGGCGATGGCCCCTCGGGCGCACTGCGTTGTGGCGTTTCGTCTTCGTAGACACAGGCTTCCTTCTTCCTCGCCCTTGAGCAGTTGCTGCAGGGGTGCTCGCCATTACATCTCGTCTTTCGCCTCCGGCAGACCACACAGGCTCTTCCATTTTTGTTCTTGCTGTCAGCAAACTTGTTGAGCTGAGACGGTGGATGGAGAATAATTAAGAATCAATCAATCACATGGTTTACGCTTACGTGGTCGGCCTACGTCGCCGTCGTTCCATGTCGATTACTTAGCGAGACAGACTTCAATGGGAGGTCATCTCCTTGAGTTCATTTCGTGTTATGACTTTAAATGAGAAGATAGTCTTCAAAGATGTTGCCTGACTAGTGGCCTCATGAACAACACAAGAAAAGGAAAGAAAGAAAGAAATATTCGGCTGAGGAATGATTATTATCCCTAAAGGCAACCTCGGAATTTTCCGATCCCGATCCCGACTCCGAGGTTAAGCCCCGAGAATTCCTCGAGCCGTTTTCATTTCAGACCACCCTGATTTTTTGGGCCATTCTACCCATCACATTTCCTTGCTCCTGAACCGCGTGATTACCTGCACCCGTTTAGTGCTAACCATTTTTTCGAACAGTAGAGTCGAATTTTACATTGACAAGGGGAAGGGAGACTTGTCCTGGCGGGAAGAAGAATATTGACTGCTCTCCGACCAGACTCTATTCAAAGTTGCCCGGCTTGAAAGCACGACTCGGCATACTTCCATGTCACGCTTTTCAGAAAATGATGGAATAGAATCAGACGCTTATAGCTGGCAGCAACTCTCCTGGCCCTGTGATTTGCCTGCCGTGATGTATCGAGCCACCTACGAGCCTGAAATAGACATCCTCAAATGCAATGTTATCTCAGCGGTGTTCCTGTCCTTCTGCGCTCAAAATGAGCTCGCTCTGTCATTTCAGTATTAGCTCTTGTACGTTGTCATCAAATGATAGGCTGCATGGCTTTGGTTAGTTCTTATACTTGTAAGACGTGTTGGCTTACTACTGCACTTCCTTATCTACACTTTGGAGCCTTATGCTCGCCCAATATCTGTGGCAAGGGCTCTCGCTGTCCAAGAACTGCTAATTTTTACATCTTAAGAGGTCTGGCCCACGTCCTCGTTTCGTTTTCGTCGAGGCCAGCGTCTCAGCGCGGATGTGCGCAGGTCGCCCAACATGAGGCTATCTGCAGTATACACGCCCCTTGATCGATCAAGTAGGACCACCAGGCTCCTCCAATTTACTGACACCTCCACAACTCAAGACATTCGCTGTGTTCTGGAAACTTATGACGTTGCTGATGCCCTGAGCCTCGACTTTGTGGCCCTTTCTTACGTCTGGGGCCAAGACCGGCCACGCAGAAAGATAAATCTCAACGGCGTCATAATCATCATTCGCGAGAACCTTTATCAAGCACTTCGCATCCTGCAGGCGTCCAACTTCGAGTTTCCAGACGGCGAGCACCCCAATTTTGAGTTCTCCACGACGAGAGCCAGCCATACCTATTTCTGGATCGATGCGATTTGCATCAATCAAGACGACCCGCTTGAGAGAGGGCATCAAGTCGGGTTGATGAAGGAGATCTTTTCTGGTGCAGCATGCGTCGTCTCCTGGCTCGGTGCCGACTTCCAGAACTCGTCTTGGGCAATGGAGAGAGTGCACAGCGATGCCATGGACTACGACACTCGAAATATTCTGACACCTTTTGAAGTTCTCGATCATCTAGACTACTGGCGAAGGATGTGGATCATTCAGGAGTTTGCCCTCGCGAGATATGTGCTGCTTGTCTCCAGCAGCATGGCGACATGGTGGACGCCAGCGTCACGACCCCATGGTCGAAACTCCATGGAGCGGCTCTACCGCCTGAGGAAGCAGCTGTGGGAACTCAACAACACCCGCTTCCCAGTGCCTTTCGGTGTTGCGTCCGAGACGGTGACAAGGTTCTCCCTCATGGAACTGCTGCAGACATTCTCGTACCCACATTGCACAGACGCTCGAGACCGCGTCTATGCCTTGTTATCGCTTGTCCAGGAGACACAAGGAGAGGATCGCGGCCCAGCGCTGCATGCCGACTACACCATCACTGCCGAACATCTGTATTATCAAGTTCTGCGCTACTGCAGGAGGGATCCGAACTTCACTCTGCAAGACTTTAGGGCGGACCTTGCCAACGCGTTAGGTGTGCGTCGAGACGGGAAGTTTTGGCGTCGTGACATCGTCTATGCAGCCACCGAGGGTTCCGGCCTCCCTGAGGACCTCGAGAACGGCCTTGTCTACAACACCGCACTCCGCAAGGCGTGGACTGACTCGTTTCTGGAATTCCTTTCTGTACCAGATCATATAGGGAAGAGAATTTCTCACATTCGGGGTACAGATGAGAAGAGGCGAGCTGCCGGGCACAAGATCACACTCATGGCGACCACGGGCAGCACAGAAGAGAGGCACAGGATGTGTCATACGGTCTTGCAGGACTATCATGATTTCCCAGAGCGAGAAGATCCAACTACGTGGAGCTGCTTCGAGACTCTCCTCAGAGCATTACTGGGTCTTCTCGGCACGGATTATAACGTCCTACCTAAGACCACAGGGCCCATTATTGCGAGGCCAGCGTCGGCTGCCGTGTACGTACGCAACGTGTTGCAGGACTTGAAATCCCAGCGCTCTCTCTGGTCTTTGTAGGGCACTATAGCTCATGTCGTGAAAGCTTTAGGAGAGTGTGGGCAAATTTGAGGCATTTGAGACATTATATTGTCAGTGTTGCGGCCTATACTTGAATCGTGAAACTGCCCTTCTGATAGACCGGATACAAGAAATAAAGCTTCATAGTCATTTTTTCGACACTTTCTTGTAATCGTCTCAATGTCCGTTGCTCGTTCGACATGAGGTAGTTGATCTATCTTTTATGCTGTTCGTATTTATTGATGGAACGTATTCAGTGCGGACAGTCCATTAGAAAGTTCGTGGACTCATCACATGGTATGGTATATATTTGAATCTGACGTTCAGGGCCTTTGATCATTTATTTATTATGACGTTGTTCACGATCAAGCAATTCATAGGCTGCGTCAGAGAGATCTGCCTGAACTTCTTGCTTGTAATTATGCAACAAGGATAAAGACTGAGCTGAGCTGATCGCAACTAATGGGGGCCAGGGTTGCGTTAGGCTTGCATCAAACTGCATGTTTTAGCACAGACTGTACAGCATTTTTAGAATTCCCAAGCTGCAGGACAGGCAGACAAAAATTTTGCTCCGTTACGGAACAATATCCTGCACTTTCAAGCCTGCCCCTTTATGTACTTAAGTACCTCAGTAACCATATTCATTATCAAAGTCAATTTTTGCCAAGTCATCCTGCCCTGTGGAGTTTTCAATGAATGAACCAATTCGTCACCAGCAATGAATACAGACGGACGCGTGCCCTTTGCGGTGGAGAATCAGCTGAACCGCGATTCTCTAGCTGACTTGGCCGTTCGCCATGGCATCGAAGACAGCCCAGAGGATTGGAATATCTGTATTGCGAGTGATCTAGAGACGGAGTTGTTGGATGAAATCTATACTTACCTATACCTGGTAGCGCGGAAGTCGGGGGCTCACATTGATCCCCTCCACAAGCACTTACTGAGAAGGCGTACCGTCGTGGTCACTGAGAACCCAAAGCTCCACCTTGTGCGTCACTACAGAACCATCTACGTCAAACCTCTTCCCGACTATCTCCTCAACCACCAAGTCTGGCAGGACCATGGTTCCCGCCTACAAGTGACACATAAAAGGTACGACAAGCGTCGGGCTTCTCTTGGATTTTTGCGCAGCTACAGCCTTCTTATACGCCACGAGTCCGACTTCATCATCGCACACAAGTCCAACCTCTTGCCAAGACATGTCTCATTCTACCGTTTCCAGAAGTTCATCAGACCATTCCGCTCGATCCTAGACGAAGATGTCTCCCACCGGTATCATTTTGGCCAATCTCGGCTGACCAGGTTGAACTGGGCGGTCCGAATCATTCGCGTGGTCCAGGTTGTCTTCCCGTTTACGTTCAACAACTACCGGTTTCCTGTCTCTCACAAGGATGAAAACTGGCAGATTGCGGAGTACATCCAGAAATACGCTGCACCACTGGTATTTGTCTTTGGGACCCTGTCTCTGATCTTGTCCTCTATGCATCAGAGCTCTGGAGGCGTGGGGATATTATGATCATCATCGTGTTGTAAATGTGGTCTACCCTTGTCTATCCAGCATTGATATTGCATCCAAGTAAGCAGTGAGCTGCAAGCTGTCGTGGCATGCCGGTTTTCCTTTGCTCTTCAGCTGTGACGTTTCAACACCTTGTAATCCATCGATAAGCTGCGCTATAGGCGGATACACGCCTACCTCCAGTGCACCATCTCCATTTATTTTCCCGTATCAGTGTCGAGTCAACTGAAGCAAACAAGCTCCAGGCACGCGGAAGGCACAATATCCTGGTCGAGCGGGGTCGACTCACTCGGGGAACAGCTACCATTTACGACCATTGATTACCATCAAATCACCCTTGCTTCACCTTGGCATGACTGGCCATGGACCCCTACGTGTATTCTTTTCTCCTCCTGATCCCCATCACCGCAACAATCTTTCATCTGAACACAAAAGAAATACCGACGCGGCGCAACCCTGCCCAGGCGCCCAAATCAAGATTTGGACTCGTCCAGGTATACAGCGGCAGCTCGCCGACCCTGGCAAATGGAAATGAGTACGTCCACAGGCAAGAAACAACCCATCGCTTACTGGCTACAACGCAAGGAAGATGCTGATTTTCGTAGTATTATTTTCATCCATGGACTCGGATCAAATCCCGACACGACATGGCAAGCAAGCAGAACCGCAACGACAGCACGTGCATCTGAATCCACCCTGCCGAGTGAGCGATACGTGAACCTTAGCGACTTTCTTCTTACGATTTTCTCTCTCGAGACGCACAAAGCTGTTCGCATCTTTCCTTACAATTACGACTCATATTGGAAGAGAGATGCGGTTCACACACGTCTTACCAGATGCCATCCGAGAAATTCCGCGGTCCGCGCAGGTGAGGTTCAGAAATGGATACAACTTTGGAGCAAAATTAATGACCTCGGTTTCAGGAACAAAGCAGAAGCCTGGTCTTTGTGGGATACAGCTATGGGGGCCTCGTGGTCAAGCAGGTACGTAGAAATAAGATTCTCTCGAATAGGGTGAAGCTAACAGTAGTAGGCACTTGTTCGAGCACATCTGCGTCAAGGCCTTAGCTACATTGCCGAAAGTACCATGGCAATCATTTTCTTAGGTACGCCACATCGCGGGTCAAGCTACAGTGCGTGGGGCCGACTGGCGGCGCAAGCTCTCTGACCACTCGGTTCCCATCCGTCAATCTTTGCTGAAGTGAAATATGATTCAACTGGGCTCCTAAACCTACACAGCGAGTTCTCAGAGATTCATCATGAGAAGCTACGCGTCTTCAACTTTTTCGAGCAGCGTCCAACGCAGATCCTCCGATTGTGGTTCATACAATGGGAACAATTCGTACGTGGATCTCTTGTACCAGGGCGGAAAGGGCTGACAGCGATTCCAGTGTGTTCGTGAGGATCTGCAACATATGACAGGCCAGGGGTCGTAAATGTCCCCCTGGTCGGTGAAAACTTCCTGCTCAAGTTTGGGTCAAGAGACGAGAGTTATCGGAAGGTGCTCTCAAAGCTCGTTGAGATCACGGACCCTTTGTCCAGGCCCACGAAGCATCACTATGTCGTCCCGTTCGAGACTGTTCAAATCTATACACAGCGCGATGAGCTGTGGAAAGAAATTGAAGAGAAACTGCGGAAGCCGCGGAAGCAACGCAATGATACAAGTGTTGCACATGCAGTTGCCATCTGCGGAGTGGGCGGTGCTGGCAAATCTCAGCTAGCGCTGAGGTACGCTGAGCTGAAAAGCTGGGGATGCAGGTGATGGAGATTAGAAGGGTAAAATTCGGGGCAGACCACCCTGAAACGATGAGAAGCATTGCTAGTCTGGCATCAATATACAGGTGGCAGGGCCGGTGGGACGAGGCTGAAAGATTGGGGGTGAATGTAGTAGAAATGAGAAAGTTGACGCTTGGGGCAGACCACCTGGAAACGCTGAGAAGCATGGCCAGTGTGGCATCAACATACAGGAGACAGGGCCAGTGTGATGAGGCTGAGAAATTGGGGGTGCAGGTGATGGAAACGAGGAGAATGAAATTTGGGGTAGACCACCCTGAAACATTGAGAAGTATTGCCAGTCTGGTATCAACTTACAAGAGACAAGGCCGGTGGGACGAGGCTGAGAAGTTGGGGGTGAATGTAATGGGAATAAGAAAGGTGAAACTTGGGGCAGACCACCCTGAGACCCTGTTGAGCATGAGCAACCTAGCGGAGATATATGAGAGCCAAGGCCGGTTGGAGGAGGCTGAGACGTTGAAGGCGCAGGAAAAGGAACTCTTAGTACGAAGGTCGGGGCGCAAGCAATTGGAGGACTCGAAATGTGAATACCCTCTCTTTTGTAGTCATCTGAATTTCAACTGGTTTATCAGACGACAGATGATCAGTCGCTCTTTACACTGTTCGTACCTGCTGCGTGCATGGAAATTGTTTGGGCCACGCCTATGCAGACAAAGGCCAGGTTCATTGGTTCAACATGGGATTTGATTACACTCTTTCCAACTTAGACATACAGACATACAGGCGGCTGGGTTTCCCATGGGTTTCTTCTTTTCATGCGACCGTGGCGCTCACCATCGGGATGAAACTCTCATTTACATACGTCGGGTTGCGCCACTCGCTCCAGTCGTGCGTCAAGAGCCCCCAGGTCTCGTCATAGTCCTGTGTCCCGCTCCGGATATAGTAGCTGCCGGCGAGGACCCAGATCATCCAGCCGGCGCTGTTGGTGGGCAGCCACTCGGCCAGGCACTGGGTGTAGGGCTCCTCCCAGGTGGTTTCGTCCATGAGGAAGCCCCACTCGGTCAGCACGACGGGGAAGTGGTTGTAGGCCGAGTCACTCGTGTCCATGGCCTCGAAGCCGTCGGTGAGCAGGGCGCTCTCGAGAGAGGAGCAGTCGGTAGCGCTGTTATCGTAGTTGTGGATCTCGAGGACTATCTTGTCGGCTGGGAAGTCGGAGAAGGAGAAGGTGCCGGTGCCGGGGGTTAGGGCCGTCTTCTCTACGATGGGCGTGAGGTACGTGTCGTAACTCAGGCCCGAGAGGAAGATGAGGGGGTCGGGATTCGCGTCGTTGATGGCTGCTGCGCCCTCCTTCACGTAGGTATACCAGTACTCCCAGTTGTAAGTATCATCGTCCAGCGTGGTGTTGTCGAGAGGCTCGCGCGGCTCGTTGCGGAGTGACATGGACGTGAGAGCGGTCCATGATTGTCCCTGGGCGAGAGAAACAGGGGGGCGTTAGCCAATCATTCAGGAGGTTAGGCAAGATGAAGAACAGAAGAAGAAGAAAAAAAGGGGGGAGACGGGATGTGGGAAGTGCATACGTGATCAGCCATATATGCGATACCGCGTGTCCAGTTCGCAATGGAAAAGTATGTGTCCCCCCACCAGGCATTCCCATCGGTCTCGCTGCAGCACCACTCGCCCTTTGACATGTGATTGTCGAGGTGGACATAAATCTCGTTGGCAGCACACTCCTCAGCGATGGCGTCGAAGATCTATAGAGTCATAAACAGATTTTTACATGTTAGCCACTGACGCCCTACATCGAGATGCAAATGTCTTTGTTCTTCCGCCGTGCCTCAATCGCTTTGTTCGAATGATATGGTTTGACTATCACTGACCTCCAGGCGGGTAATGTCCGCCGAAAATGAAGGGTTGGCCGCCAGCACCTCCTCATACACAGCTGTGCCGTTTGTTTCGCCCAGGGCCTCGACGAAAGCCGTCGAGATTGGCACATCCACGCCGCCGTTCTCGTAGATCTGGTCGATGAGCTCGATCGCGTACGTCAGGCGGATGACGTTCATGCCAGCCTCCTTAAGCTTCGCAACAATGCTGGCAACAGACTGGTATTGCAAGCCCTCTGGGATCATGACGTCCGCAGCTCCGGGCCAGTTCGCGCCGGCATACTTGACAGTATTACCGGAGGCGTCGAGAATGGAAGCGCCAGATGTAGTGAAGGGGCCATTGGGCCAGGACGCGGCCGAGGCCAGGCCGAGGAGGCCGAACATGGAGATGATGATCCTCATGATGTATTGCCCGGCTCCTGAGAACTCAAAATCGAACGTTCTGAAAGAGGGGTTGGGGAACAAAAATGAGCCAAGCTGGAGGTTGCCTTGCAGGAGAAAACCCATTGACCTGCGAAAGGGTTTTCGCCTCTTCTTAAGGCCGCGGGAGGAGGCATGGAATTCATATTGCTGTTACATTCTGACCATGCCTCAAAGCGCCATCGAGATGGAGCCAAGCAACCTCTCGAAAAGAAAGCTATCGCCACCACCAAGCTGCCCTCCGTGCTCGATGCTACCACAGACGTGTACGTGACGGTTGACTAGTCGAGCAGGGTCGGATTGGACCGAGCTGATCGACACATGCCGCCGGGGACCTGACCCAAATTGACGGGATTCTTCCTGCAATGAGCTGCATGCGCTTCAATGAAAGGTTTCCTAGCAGGATGTCACGATCCGGAATTGGTGCCGGCTTTGGTGGTGGAGCGGAGGCGAGGACTGGGAGGGACCGAGAAGCATGAGGGTGAATATATCCGCCGGCTCCAGCATCCCCGAGGTAATTATGGAGTCATCAGGATATGCCTTTCAAGGCTATGGTTTAGCTCGACTTTGACCCCAACATAATGGCATGAGGGTTCAAGAAGGCCGTGCCAACAAACCAAGTAACCTGGGTCAAGTGACTTCGTAATCGTCGTCGTCGTCGGGAATTTACGATGGTACTATAGTACGTTGCGTTCGCTTGCAAGTCAGGGATTCCCCACAGTGTTCATGGGGTAGGGGCTAACCATTTGAGTACTTGGTGACAAGCAGGGATTCCACATATGGCTGTCCTCGTGACGCAGATGGTGGATATCCTCGGCATTGATTTCCCCCTCCCAATGCGAACGCCGAACGAAGCAGCTCTGGCACGGCTATGATGCTCAATCTGACTGGAGCGCCAAGTGGTGGTTCGCAGGGGTAAGGTGAACTTGAAAGAACCTACTATGTTTGTCTGTCACTCTACCAAGTGGTAGGAACGAGTAATGGTCGTTGCATCGTCTCATCCGTTCAAAGTTTGTGGGCAGGAAGGAACGATCAACAGGGGACTCTTGCCAAAGCCAACTTGCCCCGGAGGTCTTTTCTTCTCTTGTCTTTGTTTGCTTACCGACAACTTCATTTCTTTTATCAACAACAATTTATTTCATTCTTTGGCTGGAGGTAGTGATGCTACCTTCATATCCTGACCAGAATCTGCTCAACAGGCTGAGCTTATACATTGAACGCCCTTTCAGGTCTCCTCTTCTTCCCTCCTCCTGAAGTCGACCATCACGCCCTCCTTCCAGCTAGTGAAAGTATCAACAAGCTGCATTTCATCCCTCCTGTCGCGTCCCCATTCAGCGCCACTCTTACCGCCCTCAGCCGGGTCAATAATGCCCTCGGCCCGTCTCACATCGTAGAGCCACAGCGTACGCGCCAGCGTCATTGTCATCTCGACATACGCGAGCCCCTTGCCGATGCATCCCCTGGGCCCGATGCTGAACGGGCAGAAAGCTCCCTGCGCAGTCGCCACGTCCGTCTCGCCCACCATCACACCTCCTGATGACAATGTCGATGATGGCAGTTTGGACCCAGCAATCCATCTTTCTGGAACATACCTGAACGGCTCAGGAAAGTAGTCTGCATTGTGGTGGATTGCGTAGTGGGGGACGCCCACGACCGTGCCCTCGGGCACATGCACGCCGTCGATGGTCATGCCGCCCGCGAGGACCTCGCGCGGGACGATGCCGCCCACGGAGGGTGACATGCGCATCGCCTCGTCGATGCAGGCGCGCAGGTACGTGCAGCTGTTGAGCGCCGCCCCCTGCCTGATCTCCTCGACATCGGTAAACCTCTGCCTAATCTCAGCCACGACCTTGCGTAGCGCATCCGGGCTGCGCACGAGATAGAACAGCGTCGCCGCCAGCGCCGTCGACGTTGTGTCGCTGCCCGCGATGATGAGCAGGTTCGACTCGCCCCACAGCTCCGGCGTCGAAAACCCGAGCCCCGTCTCCGGGTCGCGCGCCTTGAGGAGGTGGTAGAAGAAGTCGCGGCGATCTGTCTCGTCACCCAGCTTTGTGCGCTCTGTCAGCTGTGCGCGGCTGTAGGCCATGTACCGCGCACGCCCGGCCGCGATGTTAGGAAACAAGAGCCGGTCCAGAGAGAGGGTGTTGAGGATAGGCATTGTTCCGCACTGAACATGAGCACGCATGGTTAGCCCTGTTGGCAGTCGATGACGATGATGATGAAGATGATAACACAAGGGGGACAAAAGATAAGAATAAGAGCTCGACTCACAATCAGGTGCCTGTGCGCCGCGGTGCTGACCAGGTCGATGGCGAAGCGGTTGTCCTCCTTCTCCAGCATGTGGAACGCCTTGCCAAAGCACAGGTCGCCGAGGATGTCCATACTCAACCAGCTGAACCAGTCGCTCATACACTTGGGGCTCGTCCAGCCCTTGTTATCCCCCACACGCGACCCAGCGCCGATGCCCTCACAAAAGGTCCTGATATTGGCCAGTATATACCTCTCCATCTCCTTGATTGCGCCGTCACTGAACGCATGTGCCATGACCCGTCTCTTGCGCGCGTGCAGCTGCCTGTCGCGGCAGTTGTGCGTGTTGGGTGCCGGGTGGACAAAGGCATCGTAAAACTGGGCCTTGCGCACGTTGGACTTGAAACCATAGATCTCCTTGAGCGACGACGACGTGTTGAAGGAGAGGCTGTCAGGCCCGATCCGCACCACGGGTCCATACCTCTGGTGCAGACGCCAGAGCTCAAGGTGCCGGTCTCCTCGATAAGAATGCCAGAGCTGGTACAGATCGGTGCTCCTTGCGAGGAGAGGGCCCGGATGGGACGATAGCGGGTGCAGGAAGAGCCGGTACAGGACCACGGCGGTAGACTATATAAAAAGGAGAACAAGAGGTCATTAGTGTTGATTCCCCCCCCTTTCTAATTCCCCAGGAGGGAGAACTCACATAGAGCACACCGGCACTGACGAACAGGCCCAGCCATGAGAGAACGGAAATTCGTAAAAGGTTGGTATCAGCCATGATGAATCGTCTACCCGACTCTTTGAACCTCCAACTATGGGTGTCTGTGAATCCCTGTTAGAGGTGTTGACTGTTGACAAGAGAGAATACCAAGCCACTGAAACCCGAGCCAATGAAGCCCGAGAGGTAAAGAGAAGACGACATCACAATCGTAACCCCGGGGTGCCGTCCCCTTTTTGCTCTGACAATCGACTTCTTAACCTAACACACAAGTTGCGAGCGGCTCGGTTGGACGCGGGACAAGAGCATGAGCACGCGCCAGCCATGCATCAATGCCATCTCACTGTACCTAATACTGTGATAACTCCCACTGCAGAACAAATATGATTACCGATCACCGCCGGGGTTTCTAAACCCGCCTTGCTGCGCTCGGCCTTTCCTCCAGAGCACTGTGCCCCATGGGGGTCTCGTCATCCCTCCTGTCATCCCCACGCTGAAGCCAATTCCGACATAGTGGTGGGGGGAGGGAGGGGGAGGGGGGCATTCTTGTTGGGGTAAGGTGCGATTGAAACTGGAAAGGGTTTAGTAAGTACTGACTTCTGACTGCTTTGTTAGGAAAATATAAACTCACGCTCCCTGCAGACTCGAGATGCAGGTGCCGTGAGAGACAAGGTGGCGGCGGTCAGGACAAAGTGAAGGCCCATCAGCAGCATTTGCTACAAGCTGAGAATGCTGAGGGGGATTTCACAGTACGTTGACATACATTCGGGGTCCTTTTTTTTCTTTTTTTTTTCTCTCCTTTTCTTCAGAGACGGTTGCCATAGTTCCTCAGCACGTCGAAAACCTCCAAGCAGCCCTTCGCCAGCAATTTTGGTTCGGCAAGCCTCACGTGCTAAGAGTGCCAGGCTCGAGAGTTCGAATTGTTCTTCCCAGTGCAATGGTTGGGCTGTTGACGGATTTCAGCAGCGTGACTAGCAGTCTGGTCCAAGTCATGTGTACACGGAGTCATCTAAAAGCACTGAAAGGCATTAACAAACAGCTTGCTGTGGAGTGTTGACGATGCATTTATAAGTCAGAGCAGAGACACAGGGCTGTGACCACTGGATGGGCTTGTTAATCGGCTTAATGGCTCGGTCAAAACAATTTTGCAAACATCATCATGTGCTACAAAGTACAAAGAGGAAATCATCATTATAATCTTTACAGATTTTTCTCACTTGTCGTGAAATCAAGTCATTATGCATAATGCATCTCAACATGCATACAAAGTAACCAGGAAACAATTGAAGGCCTTTCTGTGCGAGGCCCAATGACTCACTAGGCCTGTGCGTCCTCCTTCTTGCTGTAGCGCACCTCATTACAGTTCAGCCCCATACTTACCATTCTCTCCTCACTTCATTAACCACCTACTTCTCCTATTACCTCTGCCCGCCAAAATACCTCGGCCCATTGAAAACATGGTATCGATGGCCCCTTACACCTTCGCCCTTGAATAGGGCAGGGAATCTTGCGCCTTCTGGCACCTCCGCCTCTCCCACCCTCTTATCCCGCACAACCTCGTCCTGCTGTTGAGCCCTCACCAGCTCCTCCTCCGAGCGCGGCACCACGAATTTACCGACTTGAAGCTCGGTATCGGTAATGGTGCTCCGGCTTACACGCGCGTACCCAACGCGATGAAGGCCCTTGTATAAGATATATTCGCACCACCTGTCCCAGTCTGTCGGATCGATGTCGTGCATACCTGAAATCTCCGAGACGTATGTCTTGTAGTTACCCTCGCCGGGCTTTGTCACAAGGTATGACAGCAGGATGGCAGGTCGGTTCGTCACAGTCCCCATCAGGTTGGACAGATATTCTGTCTGCAGCCTTCTGTCTTCGGGGTCCTCTTCCTGGCCCGAGTGGAACACGAAGACGTCGACCAGCTGACCGTACGCTTCAATGGTCGCATGAATAGCGGGCGCAAGCTCGCCCACAGGACTGGGCAGGAGGTGGTGCGTCGAGTTGACGATTGGAAATTTGGAGAGGAGCGCAGAGCCCCAAGTGTGCTTGTTAGGACCAGGGCCGTAATCGACGTACATGCCGAGATCCTCGGCAAGATATTGAGTAGTGTCGCGGTTGCCCATAATAATGCGCTGGTTGTCACTCTCCAGCAGACCGACGACGTCCAGCTCCATCTCCTTGATGAGGTCACGCATCCGAATCTCAGACGACCACATGTCGTTGTCCAGCGAGAAGTGGATCGTCCAGATGCCTGCCGTAATGAGGTTCTCGTCAGGGTGATAAGGCTTATAATCGTTGGTAGGGAAGCGCAGGAATGCCGCGCCCAGGAAGAGCAGGTTGAGCACGCCAAGAGAAGCCAAGTGGTAGGTCCTGTGCGGCTTGGGAGCGGAGGTCGTGACGGGCCGCTTTCCTGCGCGCCGGCTATTCTTGATGTTGTTGATGTCGAGCACGCCAGCACCGATGAGCAGCCACGTGGTCATCATCACCCAGTCAGTGTGTTCACGGACGAGCGGCCCGCCGGGGACGAAAGCGTATGCAACGACCCAGACGTGAAAGAGCAGCATGATGTTATAGATGAAGAAGCCCGTTCCGAACGTCGAAGCGGGACTTTTCTTGGAGGCATTGCTGATGATAGGAAATGATACCGCCATGAGAAAGGTGGCTGCTGTGAGAGCCCCGAAGTAGCCGAACCAGTGGTGGAAGTAGGTCAGGACCGCAGCACCCACGCAGCCGATACCATAGAAGCCGTAAGAGCTGACAAGCTGCGGCCGAAAGAGTCCAAGGAGGATTCCTCCTGTCATGGCAAAGATAGTGTACCAGGCTGACGTATTTGCAGTCGGGCCACGGATGGGATAGCCGTCCCAAACCCATAAAATCATGGTGCTGGTGTCGGAGAGCAGGGAGTGCAGACCAAACATTAGCCCACCAATGCTACAGGCGGCCAGCAGCACGGAGCCGTCCCTCAACGATTCGGCGTTGCCCGTATTAAGGGCTCCGCGGCGCGTGAATCTCAAAGCGGCAGGAATGGCCAGTGCGAAACCGGTGAAGTTCCACCCTCCGTTGGCAGCATGCATGATAGGCCAGATAGGGTTATTGGTCCACCACATGAACTTGACGATGGTGGACATGAGCAAACCCACGAGGAATGCGAGGATCTTGGACTCGAGTCGCCCTTCGTGGACAGATTCAGAGTAGAAAGTGGCCGACCAACCCAGACACTGCATAGTGACGGCAAAAGTGACGGTACCAAGACGGGCAACAGGATCAGTAACGAGGAAGGCGAGCAGACCGGAAAGGGATAGCAGGTGGACTGTCCGCAGGTTCCGTATGATCAGCGTCCTCAACGGCGAGATGCCCAGGAGGAAGGGCGAGATAGTGCCCATGATGGCAGCCTCGAATCCCGAGATACCCATATACCATAATGGGAAGACTGTAGCGATACCAGGTCAGCGGCTCTGATCCATGCAGCCCATGTGGACGGTGGGTGAGTAGTGGAACTTACACCAGACCAACACACCCAGGCTAGTGAGGATGGACCAGAAAACGAACTGTGGGCTGTCAGTGGGGACTCCCGGTGGACCTGGGGAAGACTGGAATGCGCCCAACTCACGCCATGGTAGATGTCCGCCACAATATCGATGGCCTCGTTCGTGCCAAACGGTCGTCCGAAGACGCCTGCTGTTGCTTTCTCCTTCCTGCCCAAGCAATTAGCCTATGTGATGACTGCTTGCGAAGTGTCGTGTCGCTGAGCTTACTCTTTCTCAAGTTCAGCGGAGGAGACGGAGGAGAAAGTGGCACTAGATGACAGAACACTCTTAGAACCAACATCATCAAGTAGTTTTCTTTTGCTTTTATTGTTGCTTGTCTTGCTCATACACATGTGCCCGCATTGACAAGGTTTCTTCTTCTTCTCTTTTTCTTCATGTTTACTTCGTGGGAGGTCTATTTCGGAAGCCATTTGACATACCCCTTGCTGATGCCCTTTACATCCCTTATGACCACCTCGAATGAGTCAAAATCAAGGGCGGTGACGGCGTCAAAAGCGACGTCGAGAAGGACGAGGGACCATTCGAAGAAGGCGTACGTGGTGTAAGCTAGGGAGGGGCTCTCGTCAGCACCTGTTAGCCACTCGGGGGTGGGGGGTTTGGAGGGTTCTCTCCCTTGCTCCATGGGGACAACTCACCTCCGGGGACGCGGTGGACCTTGTGCTGTATAAAGAAGTAGATCAGAGGGATGATGCTGCCGTAGAAGGCGCCAGAGACATATTTTCGGTACTTGATTGCCTGCGGGTTGGGTGGGCTCAGAGCAATGCAGCCAAAGGTCCAGGGAATGGTGGCGAGCAGATAGGAGATCATGAAGATATCGTGCCAGTCGTGGTCATCAGTGGAGGTGACATATGTCCAGCCCCCGCACGTGAAGGTCCGAAACAGGCCCCAGAACGCGACAAAGCCGGGCAGCTTGGTACCCGGCTTACGCGACAGGAGATACCAGAACGCGACGAGGGCGAACCTGGGGCCTGAGGTTATGGCGATGAAGAGCTGAAAGAAGGACCGCTCGGGATACCGGTCGCCTATGGTCGCAGAGACGGAAGGGAACCATTCTTGTGGGTAGCCGAACCACTCGTTCTGGACGATCTTGTGGTAGTGGAGGGAGACGCCGACGACGAGGGCGCTGAAGAAGGCGGCTAGAGATAGAAGCAGGCTGACAGTCAGAAACCGAGGCGCGCACAATTGAGAGCGCATGAGGATGGTAAGACATACTGTACGCGACGATGGTGTGTAACCAGCTAATCCAGACGCCGTTGAAGCTCAGCAAGACGCCGCCGTCCTTATCCTTGTACTTTGACGCGGCCATCGAGATGGGCCAACTATGGCGGAGACATTCAAGTGAGGGGTGCTATTCTTGAAGGAGCGGCAGAGACAGACGAGCTGCTCTTGTGTGAGGCGCTGTCGATGTCGAAAGTAACAGGAGAGGGGAAGGGACGGAGGGAGCAAGACGAGGTGGGGTGATGATGGTCTGCAGTTGTAGTCAAGGTCAAGACGAGGGAGGGGAGAAGGGGAAAGAAGAAGAAAAAAAAGAGAGGACGGAAGTCAGCTCCAGGATCGGCGTGGATTAGGTTGGATCTGCCTAGTCGCTCCGTAGCTGCCGGGCATCCCAGAGCAGAGCAAATCCAATTTGTTCCTGCAGATGTTTGTTTTGGTTGGTGAGGTGAGATGAGCCAAGGGCAGCTACAGTGCCTTAGACAGTACAAAAGCGCGATGTTCTAGCGCATCGTAGTATATTCATACCAAGATACAGCACGCGGGTGCTGCAGTACCATAGTACATAGTATGGCGCAGGTGCTCTCTTCGCGTCTCGGCAGATCGGGCAGAGCCTTAAACCGTCCCGCCGCAGGGGTTGGTCCCAGTATGACGTCCTTTTTTAGTGGGTTGTCAGTCGTTACGTGCAGTACTGCGTACAGTAGTCGCCCCCAGCCCGACCATTTCATGCTGACACACGCACTGTAAAAGAGACCGCCATACCGTGCTCCCAACCACCTCGTACCCCAAGCCTTGTTGTTATGATGCTTCAGATACATTTACTTTCTCCGTAGAAATCTTCATGAAACAGGCAGACAAATCTCTCGCACGAATTAGAATTTGATCTTGATGTGGAGACATACCGTAACCACAGGTCCCGCTCCAGCACAGTACTTCTATGTGTATCCTACTATGTATGATACTGTGTGGCAGCATGACCATATCGCAGGGATCTCCCATCCACTAAAGAGGCCCCACTAAAAAGTCTCAAAGATAGACTTGGATTTTTCTACCTTTGACAATTCGATTTTTTACGACTGACTGCCTTCAAGCTATAATAGTCAATACCTACATAATTTGCAACGACTCCGACCTGCCTTCCAAGCCAACTACAACTGTACCTAGGCTAATCATTCATCGACCATGGCCAACGTCGCGGAGAAGGCTCGTTTCCACCTCGAGCGAGCGGTCCCACAGCTGCGCGAGTTCGAGGAGAAGGAGATCTTCTCGAAGGTGAGCACATCTCTCCTCCAAGGGACGACCATCACAAAATGTGTGCTAACTGAATCCCTTCCTTCCGTGTCATAGGAAGAAATACGCACGATAGTCTCTAAACGCACGGCCCATGAGCATCTCGTCCTCGGTCCCCGCTGCAACCCCTCCCACTTCCAAGACTACGCCGCCTGGGAGCTCTCCCTGGACCGCCTCCGACAGAAACGCTGTGTCCGCAAGAAGATCAAGCACTCTACATCCCACGCCTCCAACGCCCGCGTCTTCAATATCTACGAGCGTGGCGTGTTCCGGCATCCGGGCTCCCTCGCCCTATGGAAAGAATACCTTGACTACGCTGCCCGTGTGAAAGCTACAAAGAGGTGGCGCAAGATCGTCACGCGTGCCCTGAGGTTACACCCCATGGATGTGAGCCTGTGGATTATGGCAGGACGGAGAGCTGCCGCGGATGGGGATGTCGACGGCGCGCGGGGGCTGTTCATGAGGGGCTGTCGGTTCTGTACTGCGGGAGAAGAGCTGTGGGTGGAGTATGCGAGAGTAGAGATGGAGTGGCTGGCCAGGATGGACAAAAAGAGCAAGGGAGCCGGCAAGAAGGGACATGAGGGCTCGATGGCCGCGCACGCAGTACAAGAGGGGGATGTAATGATGTTTGATGAGGATGAGGACGAGGATGAGTTTGGTGACGGTGAAGACAGGAACGTGTTCCTCCCGGACCCGCTGTCGGGCGGACAGAACACGAAGCCGAAAGAGGCAGGCAAGGTCTTTGAGGAGGAGGCGATCAAGAAGCTCGAAAAGAGCCCCGCGCTCGAGGGTGCCATACCAAAGGCCATCTTTGATGTCGCCAGAAAACAGCCTTTCTGGAGCGCTGAGGCGGCCGAAGGCTTCTTCGACATGTTTTCCGAGTTTACAACGGTCTCAGCACAGCCCGTGATCATCAACCACGTACTGGATACGATGAGGGAGGATTATCCCGTGCATCCTTCGACCTGCAGCTGTCTGATTCGGCAGCCACTTGTCGGAGTGGACGCTGCGACGGCCGACTTCCCAAAAGCGTTGCGCGAGGTGCTAGCGAGGATTAAGACACAGATGGAGGCGAGTGAGGACAAGACGAAACTGGCTGCCAAGGTGGCAGCATGGATCGATCCCGTCCTCGCAAGGGAGGATCTGGACGACGGCCTGCGGACGGTGCTGGAACACACAAGGCGGAAGCTCGAGCGTACATGAGACGGCTTGGACAGCCTTCTCGATATCTAATACACTACACCTCAAGAGAGGTGCCGCCATATTTCATCCGAGACGGCAAGGTCAGCTTGAGCTAGTAGCCTTGCCTCTCTCCTCGGCCAGAGCCACAAGGAAGTTCCACTCCTCCTCGCTCACTCTGCTCACACTCAGCCGTGACTGCTTGAGCATCTGCATATTCTCCAGCGGCCCACCCGGCTTACCCAGCTCGCGCATCTCCTTCAATTTGATGGGCTCGCGGAATTTAGCGCCGAACTTAACGTGCACTACGCTCCACCTCGGGTCGGAGGGTGAAGACTTGGGATCGTAGTAGGGGTTCTTGGGGTTTTGTGCAGATACTGAGGATGTCATCAGCAAGGATCAAGTCGGGGGAGGGGGGCGGCGTAGGAGAATGGAGCAAGCAAGAGAGGAGGAAGAAAGCAGGTATATTTCATTTGTCTGGTCTCTAGGACGGTGCGAGAAAACGTACGGTCTGGGGAATGCTCCTGCACGATCTCCATGGTCCCAACGATACCCGGCTCTTTGCAGTTAGAATGTGAAAAGAAAGCAAGGTCGCCCTTCTTCATCGCTCTCAGGTTGTTGCGCGCTGTCCAATCATTAGCCAATGTCCACCCTTTCCAAAACAGCCTCACTCATTCTGAAGATCTTGGATGAACCTACCCACGTAATTTCTGATGCCTACAACGTCATCTGTTCGCACTATTACACACATCACCACCAGCACATGCTTGTGGCCTCGGGAGAAGGAGGGACGCACCATCCCAAGGTTCAGGCTCCGTCCTAGCCGCGAGGTCATCAATGGAGAATGAGATATCCTTGCCCTTCTCGTACCGCGTCTCGGGTTCGGCCTTCATGAGCCAGTACTGCCGACAACCAGCTGCCGACCCCTCCGCCGAGCCCTCGTCTGCCTGCCCTTCGCCATCGCCTTCAGTCGCGGCCTTGGACTGACGCACGGCAGACTTCTTGGCCGTCTTGATCGTGCTTGCTCCCTTCGAGTCCTCCCCTTTCTCCTTCTGCTTCTCCCCCTCCGCCACAGCTGGCGCCGGTTTGCTTGACGTCTTCGCCTTCGGAGCCTTCGCCTTTGCCTTTGGCGCAGCAGGTAATGGCACAGCCACCTCCCCGTCTTTCTTCACAGTCGACGCTGAGGTCTTCTGACGCGTCGAGCGTCGCGGCGGCGGCGCGTTCCCTGCAGCGTCATCGGCCTGTGTCGACAGCTTGCGCTTTGGCATCTTGACCAGACTTGCCCTGTCCCTGTGGGTCAATTGATTACGATGACGAAGGTCTCGCGTGCAGATCCCTCGTGGCCGTACTAGTAGCTCGCCTTTTGTGTGGGCCTTCAAGTGAGTGGTTGAAGATATGGGATGGTTAGTCGCGTCCGGGTGAGGTGGGTTGAGTACTTCTTAGGTGTGTGTTTGTTGTGACGGGTTGAGCTTGGGCCATGGACCGTTGCAATACAGGGGGCAGGGGGAGAAGACACTACAGCCATGACCAGGCGAGCTAGAGGTTGTAGAAATGGAACTCAAGGGAATTGAACACGGAATGAAAGAATGAAAACTCCATACTCCATTTCCCCATATTGACAGGTTTTGGCAATAAGAGGGTGGTTTTCCTACCCAAGGTCTTTTATACGTGCTTTATCCAATGTGTGCAGGACTTGAGCAGTTGACTGATCTACGGAAATGCCCAGGTTAGTAAAGATAGCGGACGCAACCACTGGAAACGATCTTGTCATCCCAGTAACTTTCCAACCAACTCCACGCTCAACTACCAAGTACTAAAGGCTGACTGGACAGTCTTTATCTTACAAACAAACTTCAATTGCTGTGTACGTGAATCCATATTCAATGCCACTCAGCATTACTAATACAAGATCACAAATACGCCCACTTGCGGGAATCTGAGCGACATCCGGCGCCGACCTGCGATTGAGGCGGCATTGCGCCATCGCGCGATGTCCCTGCATATCACGCAACCACTCGAGACCACCGCCGCAGCCTGCTTCACCTCTCCGGCCATTGGCAGCTTGCTGGATGTGATGGGTCCCGCCTCTCCGCTTCGGGGAGCTGTGAGACCGTCGCCATGGCAATTGTTCGCATGAGCGACGAGCCACGACACTGAACAAGCCGTGGGGGCAGATGACGCCAACGGATAATGTGATCAAGAGCCCGGATGATGGAAGCTTTGATCAAGTTCTCGACTCAGTCATGGAAAAAAGATCAAGTATATTAAGAAGTGAGACGGCCCTCTCGTAACGAACTTACTTGACTGATTTACAGCTAGCCCAGCCACACATAGACCTGACCTAAAGTTGACCTGACCTTACCTTACACACATATCTATCTGTCTTGTCTCATCCCTCGGCAAATAATCCCCTCGCCCAGCATGTCCGTCTACGACACCGTCGCTCCACTCTTCCTCAGCGGCCTGCAGACCTACGACCACATCCTCGCACAGGCAGAGGCATATGCAAAGGAGAAGGGTGTTGATGTCGACGCCACCTTCTTCGAGGCCCGCCTCGTCGACGACATGCTGCCCCTCAAGTTCCAGGTCCAGAACACCACCAGCCTCGCCCAGATCAACATCGGTCGGCTCATCGGCGAGGACATCACACCCTTCGAGAAGGACGAGAAGACGGTGGCAGACCTGCGCAAGAGGGTTCAGAAGACCCTGGAGTTGCTGAAAAACATCGACGCTGCCAAGGCTGCCGGCAAGGAGGAGGCTACGGTTGACCTGCAAGTTCTCCCCCACCCCTGGACGAGACCTTCGAGGTGATGCAAAGTTCGTAGTCTGATCTGGAGTCGTGGGGGAATTTCTAGGCCTGCTCTGGGCAACACACACAAGGTTTCGGCCAAGGTTGCGGTCCTGCACCACGGTCTGCCTAATTTCTTCTTCCACCTGAATACTGGCTACGCAATCCTGCGGGCCAAGGGCGTGTCCATTGGCAAGAAGGACTACCTCGTCCCATTCCTGCCATTCTGAGCTGGGATCTGGTCCACGAGGTTCTTTGGCATAGACTAGGAGCAAAGTGATGGATAGAAAAATTGACAAGAGGGCGTTAAAAGATCCCAATGCACTACAACTCTCAACGATTCCCTTTTAGTGCGATGCGTTCTGCAATAATATTGAGTGCCCAGGTGTTCTAGTCAGCAAGACTGTGCTTGCATGGCAAATTGATTCTTTCCAGCCCCGCCCCCGCCTTTCAGGAGCAGGACACAGCTGAATGACTCAAGGTGAGACTTGACAGAAAACCGGCTGCCCAACGTCATCTAGGGCGCTGCCGGGAGAACAGGTGGGATCTGATCTGAGCTGGCCTTTCATCTCTGGCATCTAGGACCCTCTTGGTGACACCTCGAGACCTCCTTCGATCACGGAACGGAGTTAGCCCTTCGACTCCTCATTAAGGGGGCAATAATAAGACTGCAGGACTTTCGGAGAATATAATTTTCTGTCGGCGTCGCAGTTTGCACGCAGGTCAATGACTCGCCGCCTTGTAGACTCTAATTGGCCAACTACACACAGCAACCAACAGGTATGAGGAGGGATCAGAACACTCTGTTTACGACTGTTATACAAAGATGGTCGACACACTACTTACATGATCAAGTCTAGAGATGATACATATTATGTATATGTATGTGTATATATATATACATATATATATATATACCATCGAAGGGCTGTCAAGTGCAGATTTCGATGAAGCCCCGCCCCCTCGCCCCTCCAAGCGCCCTTCGCAAGGCTGCCCTGGTCCCGCTGATGTTGCACGCGATACTAAGGACCTACTGTACGTACTACTTACTCGAGCACAAGTTGGTTGAGTGCGCGCCGGGAAGGCTAGAAATCATGTCAGAAAGGGGTGGGTAGTGATGTGAAGAAGGTTTCGCTAATCGGCACGCACCGCTGCTGAAGATGCTCCTGACGAGTCAGTCACCACGTTTGAGCAACTTCGCTTCCCTGAATTTCCAGCCCCTGAGGCATAATGAAGGCATCGCTACGATATCTATCTTCAGTCACACCCGCTTATTTGGGTCCAGAGGATTTGCACTATCCTTGTCGCATAGATGTCTCGTTGCCGTCTTGCGGAAAGTGACAAGCCCTATACAGCACAGCCCCAGGTCCACTAATACTTACCCCAGGCCTCACTTTATCATCGTCTCTATATGTTCTTTTTGTTTTTTTCATTCCCTTCTTCTCGTTGTGCTTCTTCTTCTTCTTCCTCTTCTTCTTTTCTTGAGAGCAATCGGAAAGTCCATCTGATACCATTTCGGTTTGCCTTTCTATTTATGCAATGTCTACTTCGAGTTGAAGAACAACAACGGCTTGCATCCAGGTCTTGAGCCTCGGGATATCAAAATTTCTGCAGTCGCGACAACTTCTCCTCCTCCTCCTCCTCCTCCTCTTCCTCCCGTCTGTCTCTTCTTCGCCTGGACATTCATCTTTCATTTCGGACACGACAAGACACGACTTCAACATGTATCAGGCCTGGGTTGCAGTTCCGACTCTCATCTGCAGCACGCTGTCGGCAGTTGCAACGGGGACGGTGATCATGCTATGGATCCTGTCACGGCATAATGATAAATGGTCTCTGAGATACATGTTGATCATGAATCTCAATGTTGCCGGTAAGACATCATTTGATGATCACTACCCAAGGAAGCTCAAGCTGCCCTGCTAACCACAGGATCATCACTCCTGCAGAATTCATCAACTCCTGGAACAACACCATCTCAGGATTCAACGTCGTGTCGTCGCAAAAATCACTCCCAATCGGATTCTCATGCGACTTGAACGGTTGGGTTGGTCAAGTGTCGGTCCAGGCAGCCGACTTTTCCGTCCTGGCCATTGCCATCATCACGTACATGACAGTGACCTTCAACCCTCTCGTCATGAACAACACGGTCGAGCAGCAGTTCTTCATCTGCGGTCTGGTCTGGGTGATTCCATGCATCACCGCGACGGTTGCCCTGGCCACCGGCCACATGGAGCCAGTCACAGGAAACTGGTGCTGGATCTCGCGCGAGCCGCTCTACCTCCGCTACGTCCTGGGCCACGGATGGCGCTTCCTCATCTTCCTGATCGCCATCGCCCTCTACATATGCGTTTTCCTCAAGGTACGACGCCGCCTCTCCAAGCGCGACAGGAGCCCGTCGCTTCGGCGCGAGTACTCGTTCAGCATGTACACAACCTCGGCACCCAGCATCAACGCGACGATGCTGAACAACGCGCTGGTACGCGGGACGCACACGGCACCAATCACAGTGCGGGAGGCCGTCACACACACCCACTCGCAGCGGAACAAGGAGACGGGGATCGAGGCCGCGCAGGAGGCCAAGCAGGCCGCTTACGTGCGGCTGGGCGTGAAGCCGCGGATCATGGTCCGGGCGAGCAGCAGCCTGGACCACGACACCAAGCACTGGCTGCTCTTGTCGCTCTTCCCGCTGGCGTACATTGTCGTCTGGATCCCCGGCCTCTGTAACCGCTTTGCAGAGCTGACGGGCACGCAGTCGGCCACCCTGGACGCCCTGCAGGCCACGACGCAGCTGACAGGCCTGGTGAATGCGCTCATATATGGGTTCCGGGAACACTCTGAGGCGCACCAGAGGCGGACGCGGGCGCGGAGGAGACAGCCTAGGAGGTTAGACTTGCAGGCGTGATTGACGCGCTCGAGGCCTTTCTTAATAACTATTAGATGTGCTAACGCCTTGCCTAGACGGCAAAATCGGCAGACTGTGACCAAGGAAGTTTATTGAGTAATGAAAATAATAATTGCACATGATCTCATCTGGTCTAGCTGTCACAAAGCTTTTCTCTGGGAGGTAAAATCAGCCTTGACCAAGTCCATGTTAATAATTACAATCTGGTTGCGTGCCGTTGGCGACAGATTTCCATTCGAAAGAGGCCACTCCGCAGCTAAGGCTGACGGAGTCCGCCGCACCGCCGTGGAAGCCATGCAAGATGTGGTTAGCAGCCACCGCATCCTCCGCTGTGGATCAGTCCGCTCTGCAGTTTTGACACATCCGCATCCCGTGTCGACTTGCGCGGAGGATGACAAATTCTCAAGACATTGCAGCCCAAGTGACAGTCGCCTTCCCAAGTAGCTGATCGAGAGACGGCCCTTTGAGAGTAATTTATGGCGGCCCCATCAGCGGCGTCCGCATTCCATCCGCACCACCGCCACCAGACCGCAGCAACAAATTATCCTATTTAAGGGCGTCTGTGTCCAGCTGAGAGTGAGCACCTGGACAGAAAATGTCATTCAACAAGCGACTCATCTCAGTCTTCATCTGACGACGCCTCTCTCTCTCTCTAATCCCTTCTTTGATATAGTAATTATCTCACACGAACATGGCAGACACCAAGCGCAAGGTCCTCATCACGGGCTGTTCGGACGGCAGCTTAGGCGCTGGCCTGGCCGTCGCCTTTCACAAGGCAGGGCTGCACGTCTACGCGACAGCTCGCAATCCCGCCAAGATGACCAACCTCGCCGCCCTCGGCATCGAGACCCTTCAGCTCGACCCGACCTCCGCGTCCTCCATCGCCACCTGCCTCGGCAAGATCCCCGCCCTGGACATTCTTGTCAACAACGCCGGGGGCATGTACAAGATGTCCATCGCGGACATGAACATTGCGGACGCAAAGGCCTGCTTTGATCTCAACGTATGGTCATATCTCGCAATGGTGCAGGCCTTCTTGCCCCTCTTGCTCAAATCCCCGCACGGTGCCTTGATTGCGAACCAGACATCTGCGGCGTCTGTTTTGACGATCCCGTTTCAGTCCACGTATAACGCGTCCAAGGCAGCCATCGCGTCCTTCTCAGACTGTCTCCGTCTCGAGCTCGAGGCCTTCGACATCAAGGTCGTCGAGCTGAAGACGTCGCTTGTTAAGAGTAACTTCGTCACCGATAAGGTTCCCACCACAGGGCCCGAGCTGCCCAAGGGCTCAATCTACGAGCCTGCTAGAGAGGTGGTGGAGTCAGCTCTGCGCGGCGGCAATTTTACTGGCCAGCCCATGGAGCAGGAGATCTATGCCAGGGAGACTGTGGAGATTCTGCTGAAGGATAACCCGCCGTTCGTGGTCTACCTTGGGGAGGGTTCCGAGCAAGTTCCGTCGCTGCATGCAAAGGTCGGGTCGATGGATGAGATGGTGAAGCATTGGACACAGCTTAACGAAGTCGAGGCCGTTATTAAAGCATACAGGCAATCAAAGGCAGAGGGAAAGTAATGCCGCAGAACTACAGGACTTAAGAAACTCGATTCTAAATGATCCACATCAAAACGATACTTGCTAAGTACTTAAGAACTCAGTTTCATACATGCACTCACCTTGACAGAAGACAAATACAAATACACACTACATATATATGTGGGTCCTAGAGGTTGTTGTGACTATTTTATTATTACTAGCAGAAACATATTCGAGGAAACTGAGTATACTTTTTGTATCTACGGGAACGTCATTGTGTTTTTCATGCCCGTGCTTGTCGATGTAATCAGGTATCAAAGTGATGAGACTAACCGTTTCTTGACTGCCTGGACCTACAAATGAAGAGCATTGTATTGGATCCGTCTAATGGGAAGACAATGATTGGCTGGCGCCAAAGTGATCACCAGTAGTGTGGTTACATCGGATGTAGTTCGACGACTTTGCCACCACATATGCAGAGCAATTGGCTCCCTTAGCCCCCATTCACTAGCATACATAAGGTTTCAATCGTCTGACATGCATGGTGCGGCTGAAAATGATGAGTTGTCGCTCCATAAGGCTGCTCTGATCTTTCCCAACTCCCTCTTCCTGGAAGCCCAATCCTGCTCTCTTCTGAAATCCGCACTCTTGTATTCTTGCAAGCTACTCTTCACAACCTTGCTATACGAAGCATAACTCAAGCTAGTTGTACACCTTTGCTTCCTAGATCGAACATGCCGAATCCCGAGCTCTACACAGTTGGCTGGATCTGCGCCCTCGATACCGAGCTCGTCGCCGCTCTAGCATTCCTCGACGAGGAGCACGACGCGCCAGACCATATGCCCATCAACGATAATAACAGCTATACCCTGGGCCGCATTGGAAAGCATAATGTTGTCATTACCGTACTGCCGCACCGGCAATACGGGCTTGTCAATGCTGCGACTGCCGCCAAAGACCTGGCGCGCAGCTTTCCCAATGTGCGGATCGGCCTGATGGTGGGCATCGGTGGCGGCGCACCGAGTGCAAAGCATGATATCCGCCTCGGCGATATCGTGGTGAGCTCCACAGGCCATGCTAGTGGAGGTGTGTTCCAGTATGATTACGGGAAAACCCTGCAAGACGAAGAATTCATCACTACTGGACACCTCAACCAGCCACCCCAATTCATACTAGCGACAATCACTACGCTCAAAGCCAGATATGAAAGCAATGGTCATGGCATTGAAGAAACCATCAACAACATCCTCAAAAAAAAACCAAGATTGCGAGCGAAATACCAGCGGCCAGCTATCAGCACCGACAAACTGTACATATCGTCATTCAAGCACAGAGGGAGTGACGACGAGAGCTGCGCAGCAACATGCGGGGATGATCATTCCAACTTGGTCTTCAGAGCCGAACGAACGGAAGAGGAGGACAATCCCGCAATCCACTACGGTCTGATTGCGTCTGCGAACCAGGTGATGAAGAACGCCTCGATTCGCGATAAGTTGTCAGCGGAGAAGGATGTTTTGTGCTTCGAGATGGAGGCCGCTGGTTTGATGAACCACTTCCCTTGCATTGTGATCCGGGGCATCTGCGATTACTCGGACACACACAAGAACGGGCAGTGGCAAGGCTACGCGGCGATGGCAGCAGCTGCTTACGCGAAGGATCTCCTGAATCGGATTGCACCGAATAAGATTGAAGCTGCGAAGAAGCTGAGCGAGGTTCTCCCCGAGGGTTTGTGATCCCGAAACCACCCAACTCGATTGATAAGTTCTTAGCATGTTCTAGATTTACTGATACATAGATAGTCAATGAGAAATTGAAGGATATTCACTCCACAGCAACCAATGCAAACACGATCGTTGTAGGCCTGAAGGAAGATAGCCATTCTGAGCGGGTGAGAAAATGGCTCTCGCCCCCTGATCCATCCACCAATTTCAATAAAGCTCTCGAGCAGCGCCACCACGGTTCGGGTCAGTGGTTTGTTGGAAGCGAAGAATATTCAACTTGGAAGGCCGAGCGAAACTCGTTTTTGTGGCTCCACGGGATCCCTGGGTGCGGCAAAACCATCCTCAGCTCTACCATCGTCGAGGACTTGCAAACGACCGAGCTTTGCTCCTCGAAGCTGCTCTACTTTTATTTCGACTTCAACGAGACCCAGAAACAGTCTGTCGAGAATGCAATTCGGTCACTCATAAGTCAGCTATACGAGAAGAGGCAAGAGGCTCGACATCACTTGGACACCCTCTACTCCTCCTGCGGAAATGGCCAGCGACAGCCAAGCAATGATTCGCTGCAGTCCACCTTCCAAGATATGGTTCAACAAGCTGATGAGGTCTGGGTTGTACTGGATGCCCTTGACGAATGTCATGCGCGGAGGGTAGACCCGAATAGAGGGCTGCTGCCGTGGATACAGGCTCTTCGGGGCACTCAAATGAACATCCATCTCCTCGTGACCAGCCGTCCGGAGCAAGACATCAAGTCGACTGTGGAAAGTTGGGCCCGCAATGAAGAAATCATTCCCATCCAGAGCGATGGGATAGCAGACGACATACGCGCATATGTCCGGGCACGCGTGAGACAGCACGCTGGACTCAGCAGATGGAAGTCAAGGCCGGACGTTCGGGGCGAGATTGAAGATGCTCTACTTAACAAGGCTGACGGCATGTAAGCTTTATCGATATGACATATTCTTGAGCTGGTCGCTAAAATCAAATAGGTTCCGATGGGTATCGTGCCAACTAGATGTTCTCGAAGATTGTCTTGACCAACGGGCTGTACGGAACGCGCTTGCATCGCTGCCGAAGACACTTGACGAAACATACGCACGGATCCTAGCAAAGATACCGGATGATCACAAGCCACATACAAAACGAATCTTGCAGTTCTTAACCTACTCCGCACGGCCTCTGAAGATCGACGAGGCTGTTGATGCTCTTGCCGTGGACATTGATGCAAAGCCTCGCTTCGACCCAAAAAATCGAATGCCAGATCCGGAGGAGATGATGAAATACTGCTCCAGTCTAGTAGTGGTTGTCCGAAGACAGGATACCAACAATGAGAAGGCAGTGCCAGAAATACAGCTTGCTCACTTCTCTGTCAAAGAATATCTGGTGTCAACAAAACCTCAAGACCAAATTGCCACAGATCTTGATAAGAGATCTGCCAGAGCTTCCATTGCACAAGTCTGTTTGTCATATCTGCTGGAGATCAACTCAAGGCTCTCAGCAGCACAGGTCCGACAATCCTACACACTAGCACAATATGCAGCACAATTTTGGGTGAGCCATGCTGCATCTGTGGAGGATTGCGATGAAAGAACCTGCACAATAATCAGAGAATTCTTTGCACATAAATCTGCATACATGAACTGTTATCAGCTGCATAACCCTGATGAGCCATGGAGAGAAAAAGCACTTGGATATACAAGTCTAGCACAGCCTTTGTATTATGCTTCAATAGGGGGTCTTATATCCCCTATCAAGATGCTGCTTGAAAAAGGAGCTGATGTGAATGCTCAGGGCGGAAAACATGGCAATGCTCTCCAGGCTGCCTCATCAGAAGGGCATGAACAGATTGTTCAAATGCTTCTCCAACAAGGAGCTGATGTGAATGCTCAGGGCGGATATTATGGCAATGCTCTCCAGGCTGCCTTATTACAAGGGCATGAACAGATTGTTCAAATGCTTCTCCAACAAGGAGCTGATGTAAATGCTCAGGGCGGAAACTATGGCAATGCTCTCCATGCTGCCTCATCAGGAGGGCATGAACAGATTGTTCAAATGCTTCTCCAACAAGGAGCTGATGTGAATGCTCAGGGCGGATATTATGGCAATGCTCTCCAGGCTGCCTCATCAAGAGGGCATGAACAGATTGTTCAAATGCTTCTCCAACAAGGAGCTGATGTGAATGCTCAGGGCGGAAACTATGGCAATGCTCTTCAGGCTGCCTTATTAAGAGGGCATAAACAGATTGTTCATAGCAATGCTCTCTATGCTGCCTCATCAGGAGGGCATGAACAGATTGTTCAAATGCTTCTTCAACAAGGAGCTGATGTGAATGCTCAGGGCGGATTTTATGGCAATGCTCTCCAGGCTGCCTCATCAAGAGGGCATGAACAGATTGTTCAAATGCTTCTCCAACAAGGAGCTGATGTGAATGCTCAGGGCGGAGAATATAGCAATGCTCTCTATGCTGCCTCATCAGGAGGGCATGAACAGATTGTTCAAATGCTTCTCCAACAAGGAGCTGATGTGAATGCTCAGGGCGGAGAATATAGCAATGCTCTCTATGCTGCCTCATCAGGAGGGCATGAACAGATTGTTCAAATGCTTCTCCAACAAGGAGCTGATGTGAATGCTCAGGGCGGATTTTATGGCAATGCTCTCCATGCTGCCTCATCAGGAGGGCATGAACAGATTGTTCAAATGCTTCTTCAACAAGGAGCTGATATAAATGCTCAGAACGGAAAACATGGCAATGCTCTCTATGCTGCCTCATCAAGAGGGCATGAACAGATTGTTCAAATGCTTCTCCAACAAGGAGCTGATGTGAATGCTCAGGGCGGATATTATGGCAATGCTCTCCAGGCTGCCTTATTACAAGGGCATGAACAGATTGTTCAAATGCTTCTCCAACAAGGAGCTGATGTAAATGCTCAGGGCGGAAACTATGGCAATGCTCTCCATGCTGCCTCATCAGGAGGGCATGAACAGATTGTTCAAATGCTTCTCCAACAAGGAGCTGATGTGAATGCTCAGGGCGGATATTATGGCAATGCTCTCCATGCTGCCTCATCAGAAGGGCATGAACAGATTGTTCAAATGCTTCTCCAACAAGGAGCTGATGTGAATGCTCAGGGCAGAGAGTATGGCAATGCTCTCCAGGCTGCCTTATCAAGAGGGCATAAACAGATTGTTCATAGCAATGCTCTCTATGCTGCCTCATCAGAAGGGCATGAACAGATTGTTCAAATGCTTCTCCAACAAGGAGCTGATGTGAATGCTCAGGGCGGAAAACATAGCAATGCTCTCCAGGCTGCCTCATCAGGAGGGCATGAACAGATTGTTCAAATGCTTCTCCAACAAGGAGCTGATGTAAATGCTCAGGGCGGATACTATGGCAATGCTCTCCAGGCTGCCTCATCAGGAGAGCATGAACAGATTGTTCAAATGCTTCTCCAACAAGGAGCTGATGTGAATGCTCAGGGCGGATTTTATGGCAATGCTCTCCAGGCTGCCTCATCAAGAGGGCATGAACAGATTGTTCAAATGCTTCTCCAACAAGGAGCTGATGTGAATGCTCAGGGCGGATATTATGGCAATGCTCTCCATGCTGCCTCATCAGGAGGGCATGAACAGATTGTTCAAATGCTTCTCCAACAAGGAGCTGATGTGAATGCTCAGGGCGGAGAATATAGCAATGCTCTCTATGCTGCCTCATCAGGAGGGCATGAACAGATTGTTCAAATGCTTCTCCAACAAGGAGCTGATGTAAATGCTCAGGGCGGATACTATGGCAATGCTCTCCAGGCTGCCTCATCAGGAGAGCATGAACAGATTGTTCAAATGCTTCTCCAACAAGGAGCTGATGTGAATGCTCAGGGCGGATTTTATGGCAATGCTCTCCAGGCTGCCTCATCAAGAGGGCATGAACAGATTGTTCAAATGCTTTTCCAACAAGGAGCTGATGTGAATGCTCAGGGCGGAAACTATGGCAATGCTCTCCATGCTGCCTCATCAGGAGGGCATGAACAGATTGTTCAAATGCTTCTCCAACAAGGAGCTGATGTGAATGCTCAGGGCGGAAACTATGGCAATGCTCTCCATGCTGCCTCATCAGGAGGGCATGAACAGATTGTTCAAATGCTTCTCCAACAAGGAGCTGATGTGAATGCTCAGGGCGGATATTATGGCAATGCTCTCCATGCTGCCTCATCAAGAGGGCATGAACAGATTGTTCAAATGCTTCTCCAACAAGGAGCTGATGTGAATGCTCAGGGCGGAAAGTATGGCAATGCTCTCCAGGCTGCCTCATCAGGAGGGCATGAACAGATTGTTCAAATGCTTCTTCAACAAGGAGCTGATGTGACTGCTTAGAGCAGTGAGAGCAGTGACTTAGAGTTAAGCGTAGATGCATAAGTGCTCATTTTTGTGAGAGAATAATAATAATAGAAGTGAATTAATAAAGCATATAATTAGAGTGAAGAGCTTGCTTGAACTTTGTTTAGAGAACTCAATTCAAAAGAAGTAAGCTTTATTAATTGCTGTATTGTTTAAAACAATATCCTAGGAATCAATTCTCTTGTGGTTGTATAGTGACTCAAAACTTGTTAACATTCTAAGTCTTGGAGATCGATTACTGACTGCACTGCATATTGCAACAATACATTAACTTTATTTAAGGATTAGCAAGAGGCTATTGTAGATATTTCCAATGCTTCTTATTTATGAAACAAAGCATCTAAGCACTCTATTTTGTTCTATAAATATAGCTCGCATGTTTTGCGCTATGCAATATTGTAGAAAGCACTTTATAGTGTACTATAAATGGTGTAGGAGATGATGGTTCTTCAATCAATCTATCTTAAAGCACGCTGCTAATTGCTCTATGTAGAAGAGCAATTAGTACTAGTCCTAATCAGGTTAGCATACTTTCTAATGCACTGCTGTTCCATTGAATCAGCCAAGCTTCACATTCACTGAGGCTATATAGCCACTGCTACAAATATATTTCTCCAAGTTTCCCAAAACAGTAATTAACAGTCTAACTCCGACAACAAAAGTTAATTTGCTTTAGCCTTGAATCGTTTCCAGCATAAGTACGGAACGCAAAATTTTACGAATCGAATCGAGCTGAGAATTGCATTAGCACCAAGTCTAGAACATAGACCTTGGAGACTTAGCAAAGTTTTTGCTGCTCAGCCGTAGCGGGTCTTTGTACAATCCAAGTCAGATACGGCTAGCATCTCCGCATAATCAGCAGCCGCTGCGGTCTAGTCCGCGCCTCGTCTCAGATACTAAACTGAGCTACAGTTAGGACATGGCCGAGATCTTTTCACGATACGAAAGTGCGGCGGACTCAGCCGTAAACGATGTAGTGTTCTGTCCTCTCAGACGCTGTAGTCTCTCGAGATGCTTATTATATAACATGTTGCCGAGAACCCGGGACTCCTTTTTGATCTCGTAGCCAACTTCAGAAGCAGAGAGCCCTGTCAGAGGAGTCCGAGTATGTCAGAAGCAATTGAGGGCCAGGGGTCCATTATCACCGAAAAGGAGACGGCGGAAGCGACCACAACTGTCCTCAACGATGATCCAGCGGCCCTGGAAGACAACGTGAACCGACCCAACCGAGATCTCGTTGCGGCCATCTGGGCTATTGTATGCGGCGTCGCCCTGCCATGCATTCCCATTCTTGTGGTTTCTGGAGTCCTTCTCGGTGTCATTTTCCGTTACCAGGTCGTGCCTCAGGTCGGTCGGCCAGAATTCATCATCGCATCCCACACAGTTGGGTCAGAGAACCTCACGAGCCACATTCACGACATCAAACATGATGGGGGCAGTGCGGCGTACTATGTCGATTACTCTCCTACAAGCATTACGACTATTGCGGCGTGGACCGGACGCATCATCCCTTATCTTTCGAGTTCCATCATGGCCCTCGTTGCGTTCTTCGCCGCTCGGCACATCGTGGTCAAGTCCAGAGATGGAACACACGACGACTTACCGACGCCCAAGCAGTTGACAATCCTCATCAACCTCTTGGGAGGAAGCGGGATTAAACCTTTAAGAGATGCCGCTGTGTATAGGTGGAGGAACAAGGAGGCATTCGTTGCCCCACTGCCAGCTGTCTTTACAGCTCTGTCTTTGATCACACTAATAGGGTGAGTCTGTCTGTCCGTTCTAGTTGGAGCTTCTGTAGGTTAGACTGGGTGCTGACTGCCCGAGTCAAGACTGCTTATCCCTCTCGTCGATACGTGGTTTGGTATAAGTGTGCACAGCGCAACGATCGTACAGCTGTATAACATCTCCGCAGGCGCATACCATACCTATGGTCGGCAACTGGATCCCAGCGAGGCGAGTTATCCAGGCTGTTCAACAGGTCCCATGATCCCGGCTTTGCACGGGTATAATAACCAGAACTTTTCGTGGCCATGCAACATCGAGTTGCCCATCCCACACCCCCAGAACCTGTTCCTCGTGGGTGGCCAAGCAGCGGCTGCTGTGCAGCTGGGCCTGGCCTCGAACAACACCATGCGCAACTATACCGGTCCGGCCAATGCATCAAGCTCGGACACACCATCTCCAAACCACCCGATCTTTTTCATCGGTGACCAACAGAGCACCACTGCTGAAGACTTTAGCAGCCGCACTATGGGCATGGCAACGCAGTGCGAAATCATCACGTCCAAATGCTACGACGCGAGCAACGGCAGCGCCTTCAGCTGCCCTGGTGGCTTCAAAGGCGATTTCACCATGTGCGAGCCCAACGCATGGCCTGAAGGTGGGAGTATGAGCGGCTCAGGAAGCTGTCAAACAGGCATCGGCTTTGCTGCCGACCCCCAGCTGTCTCGCTCTGCAGGAAACATCGACATGATGGGCATCTCTGGCTCCAGCGTAGGGGAGATCGCGGATCTGCTTCAGCAGAACCCGATGTACTTTGGCACATGGGCCACTGGCTTCCCTGCGTATGGTGATACCAACACTGCACTGACAAACGACACCACGGAGGTCTTTTCCAACGGTTCCACAAACGCCATGTGGCTCTTGAACTGCAGTGCAACCGTCTACGACGTCAATTATACCTGGGTCAATGGCGCTTTGCACAGCTTCCAGGCCCAAGCGGCCGACCCAGAGTGGGGTGCCTTCTTCTCCGCGCCGTTCGCCTGGAGCTACCTCTCGCTGGGCCTGAACGCCGCGACAATGAACCTCCAGCTGGCGGCCTGGGACTCGTCGTACTCTGCGCAGAACGGAAGCGACCTGGCCAATCTTTGGGCCCGCGAGTTCTCCTACTACGCACTATCGACCTCCCTCGGGGTGTTCGTCCCGCAGGTCAACATGCTGGAGCAGGCCCGCAACAACACCGTCACGGTAGCCAGGGTGCCGCTCATCCCGCTGTACCTGCTTCTCGGCTTCAAATGGCTGTACGTTGTCGTCGTGCTCTGCATGGCGATCGGTGTCTACTGCTTCACCCACCCAGCCGAGACGGAGGTCGTCAAGGCCCAGCTCAGTGTCAAGGGTCTCGTTACGGCGCACTTCAACCAGCCGGATCTGCTCCGCAACAATGTCGTCCAGGAGGTGCAGTCACGGCTGGACCGTGCCAAGGGGGGCGACGCCAGTGACGGCAGCCCCGAGACCGAGAAGACCGTGGCAAAAGAGGTGGTGGCAGAAGTGGCATCTCCGGAGCAGGGCCAGCCTCCGGCTCACAAGCCAAAGATCGGTCTCGTACCCACGCGTGAGGGGACATGGAAGTTTGCGCTCCTTGTCAATGGGGCATGGCAGAGTGTGAAGCCGATTGTGCAGGATCTTGTTCTGCAGGAGGCCAAGGCCGGGCAGCTTGGAACTGTCGGGAATGAGTATGCCGCTTGGAAGTCGTAAAGTTTCCTATCCATTGTTTTATCACGGTGCAAGACAGACGACACGTCCCTTATTTGTTGTTGTCATGGCCGATGAGAGGCAAGGAACACTGGGAGGAGGGTCTTATTATTCTCTACACATAGTCCGCGTTCACGAGCATCAGCCATGTTATGTATTATGACAATCGAGCCTTGATTTCTTTTCCTACTTCTGGTTTTGAGTCCGGAGGTGTAGTTACCCTAGACCTCTAGATCGAAACTATCCTAGATGTGCAGAGCGTACGTGCTTAGGTACCTTGGATGTTGTCAAGCTAAGCGTGGAAGTGCGGGTTCTGAAAAGGTTGAGAGTACATGGTCAATTACCCTAGACCGCGCAAAAAGTATAGTTACCCTTGACTTTTAATTCAGAGTTGAACCAAAGACAAAAAAATATGTGGCACGGTGAGCAGGTTTTTTTGTTTTCCTCTTTTTTTTTCTTGGGGGGGGGGGGGGGAGGGGGTTTGGGGAGGGGCTCTATTCAACGCCGGCCCACTTTAAAGGCGGGGGCCAATCGACTGGAGGGCAGATCCTTTCGGGGCATGGGACGCGTTGAGCTAGCTGAGGCTGTTCACACACGCACACACACGCGCACACACACAGGAGTCTCCAGGGGGTCTACATAGGCTCTTGGACCGACACATTATTCGGTGAATGAGCCAGCTGAATAGTCGCTTCTAGGCCTCGCTAGGCTCAGCCCCTGTGTCCAAACACCGCTAGTGAGGGATGCAGCGAGCCCACGCCTTGTCGAGCTGCTGCTCCGCTCAAGCCCCTGTACACAGTACATCTGTACCCAACCCCTTGAGAGCTTTCGGATCCGTCTGTGGATACTGCGATAACCTCGGAGTCTATGCGTCTAGAACTTGAGAGCCTGTGCACGGACCATCCATAGTGCGCACTCCCTCACTGCCACCCTGTCGTAGCACGAGGCACAATATAATTGCCACGCTCTGCAGCGAGAGCCCCTTTTTTTTTTTTGAAAGCCGGAGCCGCAGGCCTGCTTCATGCCAATGGGTGATCGCCTAGGGAGACTTGTTTGATTCTATCTCTTGCGGCTCTCTCTCTCACCGGGCCAGCTCAGGCGTCCATTGACTCTTTTGGGTGTTGCTGGACAGTTTACATGCGCAGCTGGGAAGGGCCATGGCAGTTGATGCAGCGGGGCCACACCCTAACAAAGCCCTGATTCATGACAGTCTATGCGCTCACTGCAATGACCACACCGAGCGACTCGACGGCATTTCAAGCCCGTGCAATATCCCTGACAGCCTGGGTTCTGAATTCGATCCGGGGCCTCTTTTCCACTCTCCGGGCCCAGTCGCTCATGCTGAAGAGCCTAAACGGCCACACTTGTTGTACAAAGCAACAGGGTAAGTTCCCCGCCCTGTAGCTGGTTTCAGCCCGTGCTTCGAGCGCCAGAACGAACCGGCTTGGCTCCTGTCTGAACCTCAGCCTCAGCTTCGAGCATATCATCCGCAATCCTCCGTCCGTTCGCCCAGGATACCCTGGAGAGAGGAAGCGACGTTAGGGACTGCCTCAGTATGCCATGTTGTAGGAATCGTAACCTGCCGAGCCCCACCCAGTCGAGCAACTTCAGTTTTGTTCTCGAGAAGCTTGTGTTGAATCGCTCGGTTCGAGAGGTGCAAAGCGTATCCTGTCTTCGTATGAGTGACGTTCGGAAAGTCTCGCAACGAGAGGCTGAAGGCGTCGCAGAGTGAGAGTCTGAGCCGAAATGGGTCTAGGCGTGGAGGAGGGAGAGTGCCTTGGCCGTCCGAGCTGGGTTGTATGACCTCAGTCACCAAGACGCATATATCCTCGCGTTTGGGAACTGGTAGCGCGTTTTTGGCGCTACAAAGAGCGGCTCGGGACCGCGAGCTGGAGAATCTGGACACATCTGCCCAGGAGGGGGTGCCCGAGGCATCGTATTTGTTGAAAGAGGACGGGGGTACCACAGAGGCGATGTCTGATCTAACCGCTGCTGGTGGCGGAGAGAGGCCAGAGGAAGTAGGTTGGGAGCTATGGACTCGAAGAGGCGCCACGACCTCGCCATCTGTCAAAGGTGAAGGTCAGCGAGCTGTGGTGTCTCAGGATAGAGTCCACGAAGGCTCTAGCTTCCTATATATGCTCAGTCTTGCCCTCTCCCTTCCAGGAGGCGACGAGGTCGTCAAGAATCGCCGATAGAGCGGTACCCGCCTCTTTATTGATCATCACAGAGCGTATCAAAATGCCCAAGTATTCTGTGAGATTGCTGTTGGCAGCGCCGTTCCCCTGGATGGCCATAAGTGGGGTGGCTATGATCCCAGCGACGAGCCTCTGCCGCTTCGTTTGATGCAAGTTCTGAGGGCTCAGAAATTCTATAGAAACGTACGTTCCCTCTCGCCCGAGTCATAAGGCCCTGGAGGACTCATGGGCGTTGCTGAAAAGTTAATAGCCATCTTTATGTTTGTGAGGATAGCGGGTTGCTCGTTGAAGTTTCCCGTTTATGTGGCAGAGTCTTGAGGTCCTATATACGAGTTGGCACTCACACAAATAAGCGGAGAAGCCAACACAAGTTCGTCGGCGACAGCATAGCGAGCGCGGCATGGCAAGAACTGTAGTTACCCTGGACCCATGGCTGCAAGTTGTAGTGATTAACTTACCCTAGACGTGAGCCGCAACAAAAGGAAAGGGTTCTTCTGAATGTAAAGCGTAGTGACCCTAGACTTATAGAGAGTGTAGTAGCCCTAGACTTCCGACCGATTGGTGGTGTCTGGTGTGGTGGTCCTGGGGACATGGAGCAAAGTGGTTCCTCAAACCTCACGCAACTATAACGGCATCAACGCATTCCGAACTTTCCAGATAGGTAGGGTAGCAAAACTCAAATATCTCCCCTTCTTGTCTCAATCTCGAACCCCCTGCATACGATTCAAGCAGATTTTTAGCCCAGCTCCTGTGCTCTCATGGCGTTCATATCCTGTTGTTGCTTCCATAGGCAAGCTTGGGTCGTGAAAGCCCTTACCCATTGCTTTAGCAGCCTTTCCTTTCATGTGACAAGGCTCGAGTTCTGGTTCATATAGGTAACGGACTCTCGCTAGCACGCACTCTATATATAGAGTCACATACCCTCAGATTAGTTTCTCAGTGAGATAATTTCTATTGCTTATGGCTCCTGCTAAGGACGCCTGACAATGTGCCATTTCCTTTCTCAACATATCATGAGCATGTAAAGGTAAGGTCACCCTAGACGCGTATTTTCGAAACGTATCGGCCTTGGATTTTCAACAAAAAAAGAATACTTACCCTATACTTCACTCCGGGTGTGCTTACCCTAGACTTCCTGCTCTCCCCCCCCCCCCACCCCGCCAATAGAGTTGTCGTCTTGCCCTTCCTCCTCTCTCTTCTTTTCACACACACAAAAAAAAAAAAAAGAAATCCCCTCAGTGTGGCAGTGGCCATACGGGACTCATGTGAATGTGACAAATGGTATGAGGGAAGATAGTTCTTCAGTTAATCTATCTCAAGGCACGCTTTGCCAATTGCCTTGCTATATAGAGCGCAATTGGTGTGGCAGAGGCCATAAGAGCCTCGAGTGAATGAGGCCTGACTGGCCACCCTGACTCACTAGCCTGAGCCATTCCATGGGAAAAACAGTGAGTCACCAGGTACGCTAGCCTAGTTGGGACTAGTACCAATTGCCTTTCTATATAGAAAGCAATTGGCAAGTGTGCTTTGAGATAGATTAATTGAAGAACTATCTTCCCTCATACCATTTGTAGTACACCATAGACTGCCTTCTACAATTGGCGCTAGTTCAAATTAGGCTAGCGTACCTATTGACTTACTGCTATTCCCTTGAATGCTCAAGGCCTCAGTGAGTCACTATGGTCTGCTAGGCCTCACATTCACATCAGGTCCCTGTGGCCACTGCTACACACCAGAAGATCAGTCGTAATTATCTTGCATATCAGCTCTCCGGAGCGGAGATCTTCTCAAATCTCGGCTAAGTATGTACTAGATAATTGCATCCTCTTCGGCAGTAGTCATTAAATCCAGCTTGTGGTTGGCCTTGTCGGGTTTTAAATGCTTGCTAGCACATTCTTCGTCAAGTAGTAGTTGTGGGGACATCGCAGAAGTTCACAGCGCGACGCATACTAATCCGCAGAGAAGATCGAACCGCATTGAACGCCAGTACTCGGCAGTGGCGGAAATAGTGCGCTGCGGGGTGGTGATCTATGTTAGACCTTTTTGTAACAAAGTTTGCAACTACACAATTTTTAGTTAGTTAGGTTAAATAATCACAGTATTGCTTTCATTTTTTCTCCATAAGCCTAATTGGCTCTCATGGCTCTGAAGCTATCAACACATTTAGAGACACTAGCTCAGAATCTAAAGCATAAAGTCCGCCTGATAGTCCCGCTCCGCTCTCGCACGTCATCTCGAAGATTGTAGAACCTTCCACACATACATTGGAAGAAAATAAATAGCAACTAGCCCCTAAGACCCTTTTTACTTGAGACAAATCAGATACAAAAAAAGAGGATGCGTTAATGAGAGTAATGAAATACTGGAGCAAATTAATCTAATCAAACCTGATTTTCCAAATCAAACCTGATATTCCAAACTCGACCTGATGAACATCCAACACATATAGTCCTTTGCAACACATCAAAAGCAGTCGGCCGAAAGTCCTTTGGCAGCCAAAGTAATTTGCAACCTTCTAATACAATCCATGAGCGGTCAGAATTCATACCATAACCACATTGCTTTAGCTGCCGAAAAGTAATTGCGGGTTGCGATATAGCTATATCCGATTCCAAAGCGATCATTCCAATATCTGTGTGGAGATTAGAACCGGTGGAGTCAAATCTCAACTGGCAAACTGCGCTGCCAATCTCGAGCGTCGAGATGCAGGCGCCGCTCTCTGCATTCCAGATCTTGATAGTCCCATCATCTGACCCTGAAGCGATATGCTGGCCGTCAGGCGAGAAGGCGATAGAACTAACCGGAGCGCTATGGCCCTCGAGCGTCGAGATGCAGGCGCCGCTCTCTGCATTCCAGATCTTGATAGTCCCATCACTTGACCCTGAAGCGATATGCTGGCCGTCAGGCGAGAAGGCGATACATCTAACCCAAGCGCTATGGCCCTCGAGCGTCGAGATGCAGGCGCCGCTCTCTGCATTCCAGATCTTGATAGTCCCATCATCTGACCCTGAAGCGATATGCTGGCCGTCAGGCGAGAAGGCGATACATCTAACCCAATCGCTATGGCCCTCGAGCGTCGAGATGCAGGCGCCGCTCTCTGCATTCCAGATCTTGATAGTCCTATCATCTGACCCTGAAGCGATATGCTGGCCGTCAGGCGAGAAGGCGATAGAACTAACCGGAGCGCTATGGCCCTCGAGCGTCGAGATGCAGGCGCCGCTCTCTGCATTCCAGATCTTGATAGTCCCATCACTTGACCCTGAAGCGATATGCTGGCCGTCAGGCGAGAAGGCGATACATCTAACCCAAGCGCTATGGCCCTCGAGCGTCGAGATGCAGGCGCCGCTCTCTGCATTCCAGATCTTGATAGTCCCATCATCTGACCCTGAAGCGATATGCTGGCCGTCAGGCGAGAAGGCGATACATCTAACCCAATCGCTATGGCCCTCGAGCGTCGAGATGCAGGCGCCGCTCTCTGCATTCCAGATCTTGATAGTCCCATCATCTGACCCTGAAGCGATATGCTGGCCGTCAGGCGAGAAGGCGATACATCTAACCCAAGCGCTATGGCCCTCGAGCGTCGAGATGCAGGCGCCGCTCTCTGCATTCCAGATCTTGATAGTCCCATCATCTGACCCTGAAGCGATATGCTGGCCGTCAGGCGAGAAGGCGATACATCTAACCCAATCGCTATGGCCCTCGAGCGTCGAGATGCAGGCGCCGCTCTCTGCATTCCAGATCTTGATAGTCCTATCATCTGACCCTGAAGCGATATGCTGGCCGTCAGGCGAGAAGGCGATAGAACTAACCCGAGCGCTATGGCCCTCGAGCGTCGAGATGCAAGCGCTCCAGTTCTCTTCTATAGAGGGTTTTTGAGTAATCCAATCCGGCTCTTTGCTTTTGAAATGATCTCGGGTCAGACAGTGAGCCGGGCTGAAAATAAGTGCGGATGAATATATCTGAAGAGGAGCCTGCTCAATGATTCCACTAAAAGACCGAGCAAAGCGATACATATCGCGAGCGAGGTGGAGGAGCTGAGGCTGGGATGCAACTCGCTACTTACTTAAATCAGTTTCTATTCTTCCTCTAAGGTATAATTATTAGTACTGACCTCTAACAAATTAACGAGCTTATGCAATGCAAGCACCCCTTTCGAAGTACTCTTGATAAGGCTCAGAGCCTCGAACCAGTGCAGAAAATGGTCTTTCATAAAGACATCGATCGCAGCCACATCCCCAATTTCCTGGATTTCGCAGAGATGGTCGACCCAGTAGACACAAGCGTATCGAATTGGATTCAGTGGATCGGGAATGGGATTTTCGACATCTGTAATAGGAAAACCAGGGTGCTGCAGTGCATAGACATCCTTTTTCAGAATTGTGGACATGGCCTCGAGCGACCGCGACACAATCGTACGATGTCCTTCAGCATACCCTAGAGGGAAGATCTTGAGGAGGTCTGAACTTGGATCTTGGGTGAGGTAGTCTTTCGCCGACTGGTGGACGAAGTAGACAGTTTCATCGTCCTCTTTGATAGTAAGGAGGCCACAATGTCTCACAATGTCTTCATGGATGGCTAGATCTGATAATCCGGCAAGCGTCGCCAATTCTGACGAGTGAAGTGGACGGTAGGCGTTGACGACGGCCAAGAGCACCTTTTTGCAGTCTGCAGCATCGTCTCGGATGTCTACCTGGCGCATCATCTGAGTGTACATGCTGTGTAAGTCAGAGGGCATCTGCTTCACGCGTTCAAGGACCTTGTCTGCTCCGCAGCCTTCAATTTGCTTGAATACCAGGGCGACCCAGAGGAAGGTACCGTCAGCCTTCTGGCGAAGTTCTTTGGCAACGCTACCTTGGACTCTTTGGCGTTTCTCGCGAATCTTGGGGTTGTTCCTGGCCGCATAGGCCTTTTGGTACCTTTCAGCGAGTTGAGACATCTTATAGTCGATGTAGACGTTGACAGCGCCGGCCACAGACGCGGCATTTAACTCGAGAGAAAGCCTTGCTCTCGTCGGATCCTCCTCCAGAACTGCTTCTATTTCACGCTCGTTCCGGCTAGACACAAGCCACTTCACCTTGTTGTTCTTTGCTGACATCTCGGAAATCAGCTCCAAGAGCTGCTGCTGACCCGGCTCCTCCTTCTTGCACTCATCTAGAGCATCAATGACAAGATATGCTCTTTCCAAGGCTGGGTCCTCGAGCATACATTGAAGAATTTTCTTCAAGTTGTAGAAGGCTGTACGGGCCTCGAAGAGCGTCAATCCGAGGTCTTTGAATATGTCTAGATGATGCATAAGCGACTTTTGCTGGCGTAGGAGCATCCATATCAGCCCTCGCAGAATTGCAGTGGCTGTGTTAAGCCTGTTGTCTGTTCCCTGGCAAAAGAAATATGACAGATGGGACTTGTCAAAGAGCGTATCCAGTTGGGTCGTAAGTTCGTCGACAATACCGATGAGAAGCATTGTCTTTCCCTTGCCTGCATCGCCCTTGATCCAAAGAAGCGTCTTCGTGTCGCCTGACTGCCACTCTGTGAATTCTTGGTATTGTTGGTTGCCAAGAATCCACTTGTACGAGTCTGCAAGTAAACTATCCTTTCGCTGTTGTAGTGACTTGATCTCTGCTGCCATATCTGTCACGCACAGCTTCTGCATAATCTCGTCCTGTGCCTGGGAGATTTGCATATGGACTAGGAGTCCGAGGTAGGAATTGGCTTGTCGGACACCGAAGTCGCTGGCGGCTGTTATGACAGACTTCTCGGCCTTATTCACTTCGTCTAAGCTTCCGCTCCAGTCTTCAAGCTTGACAAGGTTCCGCAGATGTTGGAGAACAGGATTTCGGTAGTACGCGCAGATGCTTTTGATGATGTACTTGAGAAGCGCTTTGTATAGGTCAAGGATCCGCTTTTCTAAGGCGATGCGCAGTTCTGCAAAAAGATCGGCGTTCTGTGATACCTCGTCGAAGAAGAGTTTCGAAAGGCTAGAGTACCACTTCATATTCGAGACGACCTGGGCGATTCCGTCCCGATTCGCTGTCATCTCATTGATTGGATTTTGCAAAACCTGAAATCGTTAGAGTAAGTAATTGAATCTTGGATAGTAGACTTGCCTCTAGTACGACGCAGATGCCGGTCCATGCGAGCGCGGCGATCGGCACAGCCTGTAGGCCACTGCCTATTGCTTCCTTGACTGAGAGAACGACCTTGATCGCATCACCAATTTTTTTTTCATTCCTAGCTAGCTTTGCTGTCTTATCCATGCCGGCATCGAGCAGATGGTCCATCTGAGAAAACCTCTTCTCTCGGTCCTGCTCGATGATATTTCCCTTTGTTCCCTTCGAGCTGTCAAGCTCCTGGGAAAGGATCGCCTCGTAGAAGTCGAGCAACTTGGTCTCGTCGCGTTTGAGGTCATCGTAGGCTTGGTCCCAGAGTTGCTCGGGTTGAATGCCAGCTTTTTTCTGTGCTACCTCCCGAGCAGGAGAATGTTCAGCGGAAGGCGTCGTCGCCAGATTCTGTATAGGGGATGTAATTGGGTTCGAGGATAATGCAGCGATAGGCTGAGACTGCAGCTGCTGAATCGAAGGAGGTTCGGGCTCGGCTGTCTGGGAAGAGCTTGCATCCGTCGATAAGCTTCCAGCAGCGCCTTCGGAGAGTGTTGCAGGCGCGGCGGGCGGTGTGCCCAAGCCCTCTTGTCGGTTGCTATCACCCTTTCCCTTCGACCTCGGGAGGAGACGATGTGCTTTCCGCAACCAGCGACAATGTTTTCCAGGCATAGCGGTTGAGAGGTGATCGATGACAGCTACTAAGGTTGCGGTTGGAACAGAGATGATGTTGTCGTCAGCCCAAAATGCACAGGATGAGCTATGGCGGGGTCGAAGAGCCTCACAGCCAGCCAGCGCTTATGGCGGCGGCTAATGAGATATCCTCAAGCCAATAGGGGGTGGCCCACAACATAGCTGGTCGGCTGCGCTGCGCCTGTTGCTATAAATCTCTCGGCTGGCATATCGATGGTAAGCTGATCCTGCAGCTTCATTGTCTGTAATTCGCGAGAGAAAAAAATCATACGGGCTTATTATGCTCATAAATAATGAAATATTCTTGGCTGAATGCATCCATCATAGAGAGAGTCCAGGAAGGCTTTAAAGTTTGGACTGTTGGATCCTTTTCCATTTTAGCTTAAAGAAGCAATCGAAATATTACATCTGATTACCACGTAAACTCCAGCACATCGATCCTGTAGAAGACACTCTAGGGCGTACTACAAATGGGATAAGGGAACATGATTCTTCCATCAACTATCTCAAGGCGCGCTGCCAATTGCCTTACTATATATCGAAGGCAATCAGCGCTAGTCCCAGTTGGGCTAGCGTATCTGTCGACTCACTGCCTTTCTATTGAATGGCTCAGGCCAGTGAGTCAGGCCTCACCTCCACTGCCACAGATCCCCCTTTTTTTTTTTTCTTAATTAGTTATCCTCCATTCTGTTTTTAGGTGCATATAGTGAAAGGTGTAACGGGTTTCGCCAAACTTTCTAGTCAACATCTTTAGTGTTGGTGGTGTGGAGCCGTGGCCGATATGGGTTGGCGGATTACGCTTGTAGTGAGCAAGTAATTACTGAGGGAATTGGAGGCAATTCGTGTGTAGGAGGCATTCTAGGTGGTCTACAAATGGTAAAAGGGAAGATGCTCCTTCAATTAACTATCTCAAGGCACAGTACGTCCCAACTAGGCTAGCATACTCGCTAACTCATTACTATTTCCTTGAATAATCAAGGCCTCAGTGAGTCACTATAGCTAGCCAGGCCTCATTCACTTGAGGCTCTCATAGCCACTGCCACAATTAAAAAGATCTAAAAAATTCCTTCGAATCCGCATAGTTACTAGGTAGTTTGACCCTAAAATTTAACACTTTGAGCTCTAATATCTACCAATGCATCTGCTCTGCCTCCTTATACTTCCCTTGCTTATGAAGCACAACAGCTAGATTGTTCATACTATCTAGTTTTGAAGGGTGTTCTGGACCTAGCACTAATCTTTTCAGCTCCAGTCCTTGTCGATGCATTTGCTCTGCCTTTCTGTATTTGCCAACTTTATCGTAACTATTTGCGACAAGGAACAAAAGATTAGCAATTGCCTCTTGATCCATACATTGTTCTTGTTCTTTCAGAACTGTTTCGGCATGTGGCATGTACCGCATCCAAATGTGTCGTTTCTCATGCTTCGGAAATGGATACTGCTCGGCGAGGTGTTGTATGGACTTCGTGCAGCAGGCGTTCCACTCAACCTTCACCCAGTTTCGTGTAACCAATCGTACCAAGCGATGGATGTCGAACGAGTCTGCGTGCTCCCGCAGGGTAACAAACGCATAGCCCTCTAGAATTCCGAGCGCTTCGACCCCGGCTTTCTCGTCTTTCCCGGGTGGCAATAGTGACACTGGAATGTCTTTTTCCGCTAGGAAACATATGAACTTCAAGTACTCCACTGCCAACGGGTACGATCGTGCTAGGTGTTGGAACGAGATGAGCCACGTCGTGGTGATGGGATTTGTGTTGTTGGAATACCTCCACCGGTCTTCGAACTCGGCATTCAGGAGCTCCATCTGAGTCTCGTCGGACGTAAGACAGTATCGGAGATATGCTGCTGTCGTCTCGCCCGTTCTCGCCATGTATGCGGATGCTTGCTTGATGGCGAGGGGCAGATAGGTCAAGTGCCGCAGAAGATCTCTTGTGGCTTGAGCGTCTCGGACTTGCCGGTCTTTTAGGCCGCTCTGCAGCAGTTCTGACCCTTCGACTTCGTTCATTTCCTCGATCGCAAATATGTTCTTCGGTGAGACACCGAGCTGTATCGCAACTTCATGATTGCGCGTCGTGAACAGGATCGAGCCCTGTCGATTGAAAGGGAGGCAGCCTTGCACAGCCCCGTCATTGAACAAGCCGATATCGTCAAGATTATCGATGATCAAGAGCCACTTAGCAGTACTCTTGTCGAGATCTTCTTTGACAAGCGCTTTGACGTCCACTTTGTCGTCCGCGATGCCGGGCGTGCCAAGCGCTTGACCGATCTCTCTGTAGGCATTTTCGAGGGTCGCCAAGGTGACGGCTGGGACCCAGAACACAGAGCAATCCGAGTCCTGATCATGAACACGATAAGCAGCCTCGAGGGCGACCTGGGTTTTGCCGATGCCCCCGAGACCCTCGAGCACCGTCCTCTGGCAATCATTTTTTTTCTTGCGGTTGGCAGGATCTTTCCGACTAGCTGTGCGAGAATAGTTTCTCTTCCAACAAAGTCCTCATTCTGTCCGAGAGGGACCACAAGATGAGAAGTTTGCGTTGCTTTTGAGAACAAGTGGTAAGTAAGTATCGAGTAAGAAGTTCGAGGACTAGATTGGGGCTACTTACCTTGGTAGGGTGTGCTACGCGAGACACTCGGGCTGCTTGCCTTCTCTTCGACAGCCTTTAGCAGCCGACTCATGGCGTTTCCCCTACCCTCCCCATAGATCATGGGTAGGAACACGTCGAATATCCCAAGCAGACAATACGCGGCATCCTCTTCTTTTGTAGTTTGACGACCATGGAACCAGGCCATTCGCTCGTGGGTTGGAAACTGGCTCAGTGGAGTTCCGCGAAGTGCAGCAATCTTGATCTTGGTGATGCTGTGTATTTCCATCTCCAGAGATACCTTGTCACCTAGACAATCTCCTTCGGCCGAGAAGAAGCTGACCGACAAGGGTGCAAGAAGCTCTTGGAGCGTCCATCCACGGGTGAACCACCTACTCCGGTGGAACTGAGGTAACCAGGGGCTTGATGGTTGAGTAGCGTCCGTCGACACATCTGATAAGTACACATAACATATCTTGGCATATCTATACCATCGGAACATAGAGTTGATGGCTTCCGTCAGCTCTGCGGAGCTCGTCTTGTCGATGCAGCAGGTGTCTACCCAGAAGTGCTGGAGACCGTCGCGCCTGGCCTGCTGCCCACAGAACAAGATCTTTTTGTAACCAGTTTTGTGTTCCCCTCTCTTGTCTGACAGGTCCTGAAAGGTGACCTCCTCACTATCAGCGCCCCAGGTGTGCGACAAGATTGCATAGGGCGGAAGATCGTGGGTCAGGTCGTTGGTGAGAGTCACTTGGTCATCGTGGAGCTGGAGAAGGCGCATTGTGCGTGCGCGGGACTCTGCTTCCGGCAAACGAGCAAGGTGCGATTATAGGGACGGTGTTGAGTTCATAGAAATGGGCGCGATGCGGCTTGAACTTTGGGCTCGAATCTTGGTGGGCTGTCGTCGAAAACATGGCACTACCGAGAAGCTGTGCCACCTCTAACGGAGCGATTTCCCAATGCTAACATGGACCGTCGTGCGTTTGTGAACCCCGCACTCAGCTATACTGTTGACCAATGAGAGCGAGCAACAGCATCCTGTCAGACGGAACGAGAACAACCAATCCATGGGTGTCGGCACCGCCCATGGGCCTCTTCGCCTGCCTCAGACGTGATATGTGCCACCAGTGCCGCGGCCTCGGGCTTGTCAGTGCCGGAGCACGACACAACTGAAAAGTGGCGAGCGCCACGGTCCATCATCCAGCGCGTCAGACTGCGCCCAAATCCACTTTTGTCTATCCTTGTCTTCAGCACCGATCCCAAACTGCCCCCGCGCCAGCGCCCATACGCACCAGCTCTGTCACTCCATCAGCACCGATCAGCAGCACTTTGTCCCCAACATGAACAGCTGTCCCCCACCTCCCTGGCCTACTCGATGTCATCGTCATCGTTGTCCTCATCGTCCATCCGGCTCGCAACCTGCCTCGCTACTAGCCCCCGGATGCGCCGCCCCATCTCGAGCTCAATCGGCCGGTACCGTTGTCTCTCAACCCGTATGCCAGTGCCTGCTTGCATAACCCGCGCCAAGTTTCTGCTCAGGTGGTCAGTATCCCCGTGTCCGTGAGTTGCCGTCTCGTCCCATACACTCGGACTGCTCTTCCCGCGGCTTGGCCAACCTGCATCTCCTCCGCAGCACCCGCCCGGGTGTTCCGCCGGGAGCTGCCACAGTATATATGCCATGCCACAGCCACTCGGCCGACTGGCTCGGACATGGACCGTGCCACCTTGCGGCCGTTGTCGCGGTCCGTCACCACACCATCACCTCCTCGTTCATGACAAAGATGTTGCGTATAAGCTACCCACGAGTCGCAATACCGCAACGTTGTCAGCTCCAGACCTCAGCCTGGCAATCTTTCGCCCTTCCCCCCCCCCCCCAAAAAGAACCACGCATACAAGTGTCCATCCCAGCGTACTGACAGCTGTCCGCCGATCTTCTTGTGCCAGCCTTTCCCGTACGCCCACAACCCGATGAATGAGGTGCTGAGAATAGTATGGGTGCCAACACACATCCACACAAGCGGGCCTGCCTGAGCCGCAGCAGCACCAAGTCCTCCTCTCGGATCGCCTGCTCCTTTTGTTCCTGGCTTCGCCTCGCTGTTGCTGTCTTCTTCTCGGCCCGCGCCTAGGTGGCTGCTTCGATGATGCCAAGCAGATCTCGCGAGCCAAATGTGAATCACCCAAGCCACCCTCCTCACCCGTGACGAGTCCCGGCCGTTATCCTCCTCCAGATCAACCTTCCGGAGACGCGTGGCGTCCCCTGCCCTGAGACTCTGTCCCAGCTCTCAGCAATCAATCGTCCTTCTCCATAGCGCTATCCTCAGTTGCGCCAGCTGCATGTGGCCTGTGCTGGGTATCATCATCGCTGGCCCGGACAATCCAGGACCGCGCATGCTTTTGGTTGCCTATCGACGTCTGCATCTGCCCTTGGGTCCAGCGGGTCTCTGCAGGGCTGTGGCCTGCCTCTCTCCAGCGGCGCGTAATAGCATCTCTTGCTCTCGTGAGATCCCAGCATGCAGTGCAGCCCTACCCGCCTAGTATCTCGAGCAGTATGACGCCTGTACTATCGTCTGCCTGGAGCTGGTGGACCTTGGGATCGCCCAGCGGCACGTTGCCGTAGGAAGCTCAGATGTCCTTGAGCAGCTGGCCCTGCAGCTGATGTTTGTGCCACAAGTGTGACTAGGTTCTGCTGCCTGCCCGGGACTGCAGTCCTGCATAAGCGGTAGATGAGCACCCGGTGCTTCTCGTCCAGCTGGACAAAGTTGTCCATAGCAGCTAGGCTGGCCAGCTGGACTCTTCTACTTTTTCCATGCCGAGGAGGTCACCGTCATCTGTGAAAATAAAAGGCGGGCTTTCACTAGAAGCCCCGTGCGTAGGATGAAGCCTCGTAAAAATGAGTCCAGAAAGGAATAGGAGCTGGCATTGTACCGGTGCCTGTTTTTTCCTCTGCAGCATGAGCCAAAGCAGACGGATGCGACTATCTGGCAACGGAGAAGAATACTAGGTATGCAGACACGGGCGAGGGATACTAGGGGTGCAGAAGATGTCCGCTTGCCGGTGCACCCTGTCGGACCACTTGTATCCGGCCCGGCCCGGCCCGGTCGGTAGTCGTCTGGAACTCAGCATCGCGCGCTGGAGTGGCCAGGATTGTTGGGCCGCCTCGCGCGCACAGACGACTTGCGCTCCCCTAGCCAGACTCCCTGGGAAATGGTCTCGCTGCAAGTCTCCTGGAGCCATCGCTTCGATCGATGCTAAAGTGGCAATAGCATCAAGGTGATATTTTTTTGGCGGTGATGCCACTCGCAGCTGAACATAAATAGAGTCTCCGTAAAGAACCGCGTCTTCACTGACCAGGAGTTTTTCTGTTCCTGAGTTCCAGATGCTAACCTGAAATGGTCTATATTCTCATTGCGTAGAGCCAGGCGATGCGTCAGCCACGCAACGCCACGACATGTTTCTGTTTGCAAATAGAAGAAATTTCTTTCCCACCACTCTTCCTTGGACAATTTTGAATGTTGTTGTGTTCGAACTGTCGGAATAAAGGCACTGGTCTCATGGGTGTGGGAGGGCCATTCAGGCCCCTTGTCACATGGGTTGCGGGCCTGCCGGCCCTTTGTTGTACTTTGCCTATAGAGACGGGTGCACTAGTACCTTTGGGCTCAGGATAGATGAAGATAGAAGAAGAAGGAAAAAAGCACAAGTAACTATGACCTGAATTTTCACCTAACCTTGAGTTCACTGCCCCATAAATAACAACCAGTAATGAGTGAGCGAGTGGAGCAGTCCGCTCGGAACCCGGGCCTACCCTTGGTTATGTCATCCTTTCGTGAGTTCGATAGGAACCCCGCACTCCGCCTTTTATCGCATCCATGAGCACATCAGACGCTCCTTTTCATATAAAAGCTGCCGTACGATTCAAAGCTCACGAAGCATCCTCCACCCCGAGAGCAGCACAGGCCCTTTCCAGGTCTGCTTATCAGACTTGTATTCGCATAAGAAACAATCCTAGATTGCCGAACACTCACCTAAAGCCTCGCCATTGCAGCATCGATCTAAGCTATGGCTTCGGAAGACTTGAAGCACCATCCTAGGCAGTGCGAGCAGGAGTCAGAGCTCGGTCTCCAAGAGAATAGAAGTCTGTGTGCGCAAGACAACCTCGAAATCCTAGCAACTCCACTGTGTGATACTGGTTTCCAGACGACTACCAACCGGCCCTGCACGATGTTTGCATACCGGCCGTTGCCGGATGGCTGCATCCGGCTGCTTCGACTCATGCCGCATCGAGAAAAACATGCTCCGATACAATGCCAGCTCTTCGACTATCACCTTCTAGACTCGTGGAGAGCCACTCATCTTTACGAGGCTTTATCCTACGTATGGGGATCTCCGAACAAATGTCGGTCTATTTTTACAGACGACGGGGATCTCCGTGTCACAGAAAACCTTCATGCTGCGCTATCTTGGCTTCGGGATCGCTCCTTGCCACGAGTCATTTGGGTTGATGCTATTTGCATTAATCAGAGTGACACGGAAGAGCGAAACCGCCAAGTTCAGCTCATGGCAAAGATCTATGCGAAAGCAAATCGTGTGATCGTTTGGCTTGAAGAGGCGACGCCGGGTCATGGTCAAGCAGCTGGACAGGCCACAACTGATAGCGATCAAGCGCTCAAAAGTATAGAAATCGCTGCCGAAGAGCGGTCTACGTCTTCAAATAGGGAGGCGAACCAGCAAGCCGTACAAAAGCTACTTCAACAGGGGTGGTTCCGGCGCATCTGGGTAAGGTCCGGGACGAGCAACAGAATCGATAGACATTTCTAACGAGGTGATTTCAGGTCCTTCAGGAAGTTGCTGCAGCTCGACATATTGTGATCGCATGCCATTCCATGGAGATTGATGGATACGCTTTTTGCGAAGGTTTAAAGGCGCTGAACAACACTTGCGGAGATCTTGACCTACTGAGTCGGACTCGTTCGGCGATTTATCTTATAAAGGGCGCAGGACTCCGGTCTAAATACGCAACTAGTCGCTCGAACAGGTTTTCTCTTTATATACGCCCCCTCGGAGAACTGCTAGATATGTACCACAACCGTGAGGCTACGGAGCGTTTAGACAAGGTTTACGCCTTGCTCGGCATGAGCTCTGACGATGATATCCCAGCTGATTTGTTGCCTGACTACAACATCCAATGGAAGGACCTCTTTCATCGACTTGTCAAATTTCTTGTCGGCACCCAAGCATCTGTGGAAACATGGAAGGATGAGGAGATTGCAGTGATTCGGTGCAAGGGCTCGATCCTAGGAGAAGTTTCCCGGGTAGAAAGTGGCGGTGCCTGGATTGATTCGCAGGATGTCAGCATTGCCTTTAAGAACGCATCTGGGCATTTGGGCCAGGAGATGAAACGGAGTAGTCACTGGACTCTCCATCCCACCGCGAAATCCATCCGAGAGGGGGATCTTGTCTGCTTACTGCAGGACGCATCAAAGCCCGCAATCATCAGACTACATGAAGACTATTGCACTATTATTGCAATTTCCGTCACTCTCACAGACGACGAACGATGGCGAGAGCCTCCGCTGCTCATGAAAATCCATGATTTTCTGCTCGTATGGGACTGGAAAAAGTTCCAGAACATGCCAGGAGACGAAGAAGACTACGACCGCTTCATGAACAGCCGGCTACCAGAACATGCGAAAGTGGAGTTGAAAAGCTACCCGGGCAGAATAACTCGATTAGGGAATCAGGGACTGATTCTGGCCGATAAGGGAAAGTTTGATGAAGCATCCTGGAATCTCCGAAAGGCGATAAGTACCCATCAAAGCCCACCAGGAAGGGAGCTCCCCCACACACTTATGGCTGCTGAAACCATATTATCAGAATATAAAGATCGAGATGATACAGAGTGGTTTAAGCTAAGAAAGATGGCTAATTTACTTGGGAGAAGGGGAAGCGACACGCATATTACTGAAAGAAAGACAATACGCCTCACAGGAGCTTTTGATCAAGAAGTGATAGCACTACTCCTCCATCAGCGCAGTGATGAAGTCAAGATCACTGCTGAAGTGGTTCAAGCAGCAGCTGGAAACTTGAAGAGCAGCAGAGAAGTGATGGCATTGCTTCTGGATCAGCGCAGCGATGAAGTCAAGATTACTGCTGAAGTGGTCCAAGCAGCAGCTGGAAATGAGAGGAGCGGCAGAGAAGTGATGGCATTGCTTCTGGATCAGCGCAGCGATGAAGTCAAGATTACTGCTGAAGTGGTCCAAGCAGCAGCTGGAAATGAGGGAAGCGGCAGAGAAGTGATAGCATTGCTTCTGGATCAGCGCAGCGATGAAGTTAAGATTACTGCTGAAGTGGTTCAAGCAGCAGCTGGAAATTGGAGGAGCAGCAGAGAAGTGATGGCATTGCTTCTGGATCAGCGCAGCGATGAAGTTAAGATTACTGCTGAAGTGGTTCAAGCAGCAGCTGGAAATGGGGGGAGCGGCGAAGAAGTGATGGCATTGCTCTTGGATCAGCACAGAGACAGAAGTGAAATCACTTCTCGATTGGTTGAATTGCTTGCAGCATCATTTGATGAGCATGCTATGGAAAAGCTTCTTATACATTATGGCGATGAGGTTAAGATTACTGCTGAAGTAGTCCAAGCAGCAGCTGGAAATTGGAGGAGCAGCAGAGAAGTGATGGCATTGCTTCTGGATCAGCGCAGCGATGAGGTTAAGATTACTGCTGAAGTGGTTCAAGCAGCAGCTGGAAATGAGGGAAGCGGCAGAGAAGTGATGGCATTGCTTCTGGATCAGCGCAGCGATGAAGTCAAGATTACTGCTGAAGTGGTTCAAGCAGCAGCTGGAAATGAGGGAAGCGGCAGAGAAGTGATGGCATTGCTTCTGGATCAGCGCAGCGATGAGGTTAAGATTACTGCTGAAGTGGTTCAAGCAGCAGCTGGAAATTGGAGGAGCAGCAGAGAAGTGATGGCATTGCTTCTGGATCAGCGCAGCGATGAGGTCAAGATTACTGCTGAAGTGGTCCAAGCAGCAGCTGGAAATTGGAGGAGCGGCAGAGAAGTGATGGCATTGCTTCTGGATCAGCGCAGCGATGAGGTTAAGATTACTGCTGAAGTGGTTCAAGCAGCAGCTGGAAATTGGAGGAGCAGCAGAGAAGTGATGGCATTGCTTCTGGATCAGCGCAGCGATGAGGTCAAGATTACTGCTGAAGTGGTCCAAGCAGCAGCTGGAAATTGGAGGAGCGGCAGAGAAGTGATGGCATTGCTTCTGGATCAGCGCAGCGATGAGGTCAAGATTACTGCTGAAGTGGTCCAAGCAGCAGCTGGAAATTGGAGGAGCGGCAGAGAAGTGATGGCATTGCTTCTGGATCAGCGCAGCGATGAGGTTAAGATTACTGCTGAAGTGGTTCAAGCAGCAGCTGGAAATTGGGGGAGCGGCAGAGAAGTGATGGCATTGCTTCTGGATCAGCGCAGCGATGAAGTCAAGATTACTGCTGAAGTGGTCCAAGCAGCAGCTGGAAATGAGGGAAGCAGCAGAGAAGTGATGGCATTGCTTCTGGATCAGCGCAGCGATGAGGTCAAGATTACTGCTGAAGTGGTTCAAGCAGCAGCTGGAAATGAGGGAAGCGGCAGAGAAGTGATGGCATTGCTTCTGGATCAGCGCAGCGATGAAGTCAAGATTACTGCTGAAGTGGTTCAAGCAGCAGCTGGAAATGAGGGAAGCGGCAGAGAAGTGATGGCATTGCTCCAGGATTAGCATAGAGATGAGAATAGATGTAGACCACCGAGTGGCTCTAGTTTCTCTCGAGCATGGAGCTTGACCACGTTCTATCAAAGGTCCAAATCTCTATTGTCTGGACTATCGAGCGTACAGGTCTCTAATGTCCGGTAAACTGACCCTGTTGAACAAGTGAAACGGTTGATGTAGGAAACGAACCGGCACTAGGACGTTTTCCGCGCTTTGTATACATAAAGCTATGTTCCTTTGGGATAGAGCTCTTGATGAAGATAATCTCAATTTTCAAGCTTTTCTCTCCACAAGAACACTCGCGTTCCCCAGTTCAACAAGACCCGTCTGATCAGCATTGGTCAAAGTTATCTATTCCGCGCGGGGAGGCTATGTAGCCGCTGCTTCATCGGCTGCCGAGGTCGACATACTGGAGCTATACTAGCGTGCTCAAGAAGCTGCTATGCTTCGCATACAGCCTTGCTGAGGAGCGGCAGCCTCCAAAACTTTACTTCCAGTTCATGGAGTTCCAGGAGACAGGACTGGCCGACGTGGTACGTATCACCAAGGAAATGGGCGCGGCAGCGCGTGATGAGGCGGAGGGCGACTTCCTCCAGGACCTGCGGAGGTGGCTCAACAGCGGCTGCCTCGTCTTCTGTATTTCTCTGCTCGACTATCCGCTGCTTGACGATGTCTATTATATCAGCATTACTCCTGACGGATTGTACTACAATCCCCCATACAAACGGGTCAGGGTGATCCGAGCTTTGGAGTAGGATCGGTTGCGCTTGGGCCGGCTCGCTAATTGGCTCACACTCTAGACTTTATGGGCCGGCTCAGATCTAGAGTAGCATGCTAGATATAGGGTCACGCGTATTCAAGCTAGGATACGCGTGCAAGAGAGGAGGAAAAGGGGCTATATTTCTGCCGCAAGTCTATTTTTTACTATAAGTATAGGTACTATCTTTAGCTTCTCGCCATTGGAGTATAGGATACCAGTCAGGCCTTCAAGCACAGAGCTCTTGCCACTGGATTGTGAGCTAATCACAACAAGTTGCGGGAGGTCAAATAATTTGTCAATGTTTTCGAGTCAGACTTTTGGCACCCCACTGTAGCTGCTAGCCTGCGGGCTTTTTGAGATCGAGAAACTCCAGTCCCTGAGGTTAGAAGCTGCTGTATAGCAGCTCTGGGGTTGGTCGACTGTGAGGAAGCAGGCTCTTTGCGGCGCTTGGAGAGCGGATAGGAGTCTTCTTCACCCTCCTCGCCCTTGCCGCTCTCTATTGCTATAGCATCGTGGTTCTGAAACCCTGAGAGGGGTCGAGAGCTGCTCTGATCACGGGGGTAGTGTGAAGCTTGTCCTTCGATCTCTGCAATGGCGCGAGGACTATACAAGGCGGGAGCGGGAGTATCAGGGGCCCCAGGCGTACGCACCCCTTCGGCTGTTTCTAGTCTGGCTAGAGCCGGGCAAGCTCTGTCATCGCTATCCCCTCCGCTCGGCGGAAGAGAGGGTGGCATGCTCGCTTGGACTTCGGCAATCATTCGTCGCTCGAGATGAGCTAGATGGCGGCTCGGGCTAGGCAATAGCGGCGTCTTATTGTCTGCACTGGTCAAGTCATGCAAATCATGGTCGTCACAACCTTGAATCGCAGGATTAAAGGTATTGTCTGCCAAGTACAGCCCGCCCTCTGCTTGCATGGATGTGGGCAATACGGGTGAAAGCGGCGTAAGGGGCGAGAGAGCTCGAGGAGGCTGGAGTCCCTCCAGGCCTAGACTCTTCTCTGTGCGGCTATTCGCTATACAACCCGACCATGTTGTATTGCTGTCCCTAGCAGGGGCAGATGCAGCGCCGATAGGCATGCCTGCTTTTTTTCATTATTACAGTTGCCTTTAGAGGTAGGAGTTCATGTACGTACCAACAACAACACTGCGAGATCCGGCTTTTTTCGCTTTAGCAGGTGAGCCCAGCTCCTTGACTGGCGGCAAGAAAATATCAGACAGGTTCTCATCGAGATCGCCGCAGACAGACGACTCAGCACTTGAGATCGAGATCGCTTCATCGCGAGAGGACCCAAGCCCAGCCATTATATCACAGATACTGTAGTGATAAGCTGCAGAAAAAGCTGAAGAATTCGAGAATGCAGTCATAAGAGTTTGGCGTGGATACTGCGCATCTTCGTTCCAATACAGGGAAGGAGGAGGCCTTTATATCTTCGTATATAGAGAAGGCCGAGCTCAGCTATAGCATGGGGCAGAGCCCTCCTCTCCTCTCCTCTCGCGCCCGTCCCTTCTTTAGCCCCCATTTCACCCCCAGCAGCTGGATGATCTATGAGACAGGCTCGATCACAGCCGGCTACCCTATCTCCTCCGAATCAGCAGGACAAGCTAGCGCAGAGACCTCGTATCTCGACTAACCACGCAACTGCCGAAACGGAAAGAGAGGCCGCCTGCCCGAACAGAACACCGAGGGATGCCGCTCCTGCCGCCGATCAGGTCGCTTGCATGATATGAGCGCAGAAAGCAGGGCGCCTCCGGCCTCCGAACCCTGCACAGGGTGGCTTAGCTCATGTGACGCCAGGGAAGTATCATCTGACCCCCTCTTCCCACCCTCTGCAGGAATCCAACTCTTGTCCTGCTGCCGCCCTGTTGCTTCCCTGCTCGACAGCACTAATGACAAGACGATAGCCAGCCCGGTGACCTCACCTGTACCGCTGCATTCGCTCACCGGTTGGGACCTCAACCTCGTATCATTCCTGCGGCACCTTGAGCTTAAGGATCATCGGTCACAACAGAAGTCCCGTGCGATGTCGCAGAGGCCACGTCGTCGTCTCTGGAACCAGCCGATCATCCTACCGACCCTTACCAGGCGGACCCCCTTTCTCTGGTAGAATCCTGAGCCTGATCACGCGGGATGCCTATTCTTCTCGATGCGGCATGAGCCGAAGCAGACGGATGCGACTATCTGGCAACGGAGAAGAATACTAGGTATGCAGACACGGGCGAGGGATACTAGGGGTGCAGAAGATGTCCGCTTGCCGGCACCCTGTCGGACCACTTGTATCCGGCCCGGCCCGGCCCGGGCGGTATTCGTCTGGAACTCAGCATCGCGCGCTGGAGTGGCCAGGATTGTGGGGCCGCCTCGCGCGCACAGACGACTTGCGCTCCCCTAGCCAGACTCCCTGAGAAATGGTCTCGCTGCAAATCTCCTGGAGCCATTGCTTCGATCGATGCTAAAGTGGCAGTAGCATCAAGGTGATGTTTTGTGGCGGTGATGGCACTCGCAGCTGAATACAAATGGAGTCTCCGCAAAGGACCGCGTCTTCACTGACCAGGCTTTTTCTATACGCGAGTCCCAGCCCTAGATGCTGACCTGAAATGGTCTATATTCTCATTGCATTGGGCCAGACGATGCATCAGCCACGCAACGCCACGACATGTTTCTGTTTGAAAATAAAAGAAATTTCTTTCCCACCACTCTTCCTTGGACAATTTTGAATGTTGTTGTGTTCGAAACTGTCGGAATAAAGGCCCTGGTCTCATGGGTGTGGGAGGGCCATCCCAGGCCTTGTCACAGGGGTCCTATCAGTAGGTTGCGGACCTGCCGGCACTTTGTTATACTTTGCCTATAGAGACGGGTGCACCAGTACCTCTGGCCCCAGGATAAATAGAGAGAGAAAAGAAGAAAAAAAACACAAATAACTATGATCTGAATTTTTACCCAACCTTCACACTAATGAGGGCAAAACTGCCCATGACCAACAACCAGTAATGAATGAGCGAGTAGAGCAGTCCGCCGGGATCCCGGGCCTACCTCGGTTGCTAATGCCAGCCCGATCTTGTGTCCAATCAGAATTGGAAGACAACTGCTACGTACGCACCCCTACTTTGTTTTTCTTTTCCCTAACCGCTATGATCAGCTGCACATTGGCTAACCCCGAACAGTAGCATGTGCTTATTCAGTTCTGCGGCGCAGCATAGTATTTACCCCGCTTTGGTGGTGGCGATGCTGCTGCTGCCTTTGTGCTTTTACCATGTATCCGCGGTCTTGAGCATCACCAGCTGATCAACGTCCTTCATAACGGAGAACATGATGCCAGTGTGATTTCGATGAAGAAAATCTCTCTGATTGAACAACCTTCAGATACTGACAACGCGCCAAAGTTGTTCTAAAGTCTGACGATGCGGCTATTACGATACGACGACGCTGGCAACTACAGCCTCACCCCGGACCTTGCCGCCGACGATGTTCATCCCTATGCGATCCTTTCTCATACATGGGGACCAGACGAGGTGGTTATTGGCAGACCTGGAAAGCCCAAGAGATGATTGGAAGCGCAAGACAGGCTTTGACAAGATCAGGTTCTGTGCCGAGCAAGCGAAACAGCATAGGCTCCAGTATTTCTGGGTTGATACTTGCTGTATTGACAAGTCTGATGTCATCGAACTGCAAACTGCGATAAATAGCATGTACCGGTGGTATCTCAATGCGAAAATCTGCTTTGTCTACTTGACAGACGTCTCAGCTCCTACAGCGCTGGGCGAGCAGCCTGCCGTGCTCTGGGAAGGGGCCTTCCGAGAGAGCAGATGGTTCACTCGCGGCTGTACCCTCCAAGAGCTCATCGCTCCGGCATCAGTGGAGTTCTACTCAAGTGAAGAGACGTTCCTAGGTGATAAGAGGTGTTTAGAGCCTCAAATACGCGATGTCACAGGCATCCCTGCAAGTGCTCTCCGCGGCACGCCTATGTCCACCTTCCCTGTTACAGAACGAAAGAGATGGATTGGCAAGCGTCAGACGAAATACGAGGAGGATTTGGTGTATTCGCTGCTGGGTATATTTGATGTGCACATGCCTCTGATATATGGCGAAGGTCGAGAAAAGGCATGGAAAAGACTGGAAGAAGAGATTCGGAGAGAGATGAAAGGTAATCTTTGCTAGAGTCTAATAATCGAATGATCTCGAAGGCTGACTAAACTAGGTTTCCAACACAATGATTTCTCGGTGTCTTTTAGCCTCTTCAATGTTCCCGAGACACAACATTTCGTGGCAAGGGAGAAGGAACTTGCAGAGATGCGCGAGAAACTCGTGTCGGACGGAAGCCGTCGCGTCGTCGTTCTCCACGGACTTGGTGGCATCGGCAAAACGCAAACCGCTGTTACGTACGCGAAATGATACAAAGACGAGTATTCCGCCATATTCTGGTTGAACATCAAGGACGAAGTTTCCATCCAGCAGAGCTTCACCAAAGTTGCGAGGCAGATATTAAGACAACATCACAATGCCAGCCGCCTGAGCGCTATCGATCTGCAGCAGGATCATAAACAAGTCACCGAAGCAGTGAAATCCTGGCTTAGCCTGCCAGGGAACACTAGGTGGCTCATGATCTTCGACAACCTTGACAACCCGAAAGCTACCTATAGCAACGCCGACACCGGAATCGATATCAACTGCTTTCTTCCTGAGGCATACCAAGGGTCAGTCATTATCACGACACGATTATCGCTGATTGACTTGGGGTGGTCAATCCGGATGAGAAAACTCGAGTTAGCGGATGACAGTCTCGAAATTCTGTCAAATACCTCAGGTCGAGGCAGCTTGAAAGATAGTAAGATTCCCACACTAGTCCTATACTACATACTCTTCTAATCTCTCACATAGATGTCGATGCTAGAAAGCTTGCAATGGAACTAGATGGACTTCTTCTCGCTCTTGCCACTGCTGGAGCATACTTGAAGCATGTTTCTGTCAGTTTCGATGACTACTTTCGCCTGTATCAAGAATCGTGGGCCAGGCTTCACGCGAGCACTCCGGCTTTAGGCTCATACCAAGATCGCACATTATGTTCAACGTGGCAGCTATCATACGAGCAGATCCAGAGGGAAAATACACTTGCAGCTCGTCTCCTCACATGGTGGGCATATTTCGATAACGATGACATCTGGTTCGAACTTCTCCTATGCCCCGACACAGACCGCCCGGCTTGGATGGACGAGTTTAATGATGAATTGAGCTTTAATGGAGCCATGGGCATGCTGCATAACTACGGCTTTGTCGAACCGCATGACTTGATGAATAGCGCGGCGAAAGCAAGGGGATTCAGTATCCACGCATGCGTACATGCCTGGGTGATCAACACCCTGAATCAAGACTGGAACCCCGAGTTGGCCAGGCTTGCAGTAGACTGCATTGCATCGCAGGTACCGTCTCAAAATGCGAATCAATTCTGGGTGATTCAGAGACGGCTTCTGCCTCATGCTATGAGATCCTACACTATAATCAAGAATGGGCTCTACAACAGAGTGTCAGCGTTTAACAACCTAGGACTCCTTTATGCTGATCAAGGCAAGCTGCAACAAGCTGAGGACATGTACCAGCGAGCGCTTCGAGGATATGAGAAGGCATGGGGATCTCAACATATGATGAGGCATCGATCAGCAATTAATACTACGCAGAATCTCGGGGCTTTACTATCGCTTCAGGGCAAGCTAGCTGAAGCTCAGATGCTCTATATTCAAGCTCATGCTAGTCTTGAGGCACTGGTAGGACCTTCGCATAAAGATGTTCAAGCAATTCAAATTGTGTTAATGCATCTGAATAAGTCAATACAAGGTTAAGTCTATTCTTTTTCATCTTTATGCATCAACAATTAATCGTTAAATGTCAGACGCAACGGTAGCAACGGGCATGAAAGAAGGCCGCCGTAACACTGCTAAAAGAGCACTCTGTGCTTTCTTTAAACCTCGGCATCGTGAATAAAGAGGACCACACATATAGGCCGCAAGTCTATTTCTTTCTGGACGTTATAATGTGCTCTGCAGGGTTCTGCTGTGGATAGATGCAAGAGATAGCGCTAATAAAAAAGTCGTTGCTTGCTTGATAGGACACAGACGTATATTGTTAAATAGAAGAGAACGGTTCCGAATTTGTAGACTTTGGGGCTGCATGTAGCATCTTTTTGCGCGGCTTCTTGCTGATGTCGTGCTGCCACTGGTAGTAGAGTCTGAGCCGATCAATTACTACCATATACCTCACTCGATCTATCACATATAGCTGTTATTAAGCCATAGAAAAACAGCTGGATATAAACGGAGGCTCTCTGTCGCGAGCAGGGATCTCCTATTTGCCAGGGCAGGCCCACTTTGCCTGCTCTCTTCAGTATATATATCTAGACCTTTCTTTTGTGCTCTTCATTCTCCTCAAGAAAAGGAGCAAGAGACAATGCCTATTTTCTCTCAACCATTGCACCGCGCTGCTCGTCTCACTCTCGGAGTCCAATCAACCAATCCCAGCCAGCGGTATTGCAGATCAGATCATTAATGATAGAGCCAGGTCCGAAGGCATGCTCAGAATTTCCAATGCTCGAAATTTTCTAAGAGATACTTCTTATCGTAGGAAAAGGCGGGGTGATTTATAGTAACACGTTGACAGGCTAGTATTGACTGAATACAGAGCACACCTTCTATCGGCTTGAAACGGGCTCGCATAACGACATTTGATGCGTTGTTAATGCTAGCGACGCATCAATCATTCCAATAAGCACGATGCTTGAGAAGGTATAATGTGAGAATCAAAGATTGATAATATACCATATCTAAGAATTCGTATGCGTGGGCAAAAGGCTTGCATTGCAGTGCGCTGAAGAGAAAAGAGAAAGGAAGAGAAAGCCACGAGGACAGCTACCTGAGGCTATCAACAGGTCTGGCTGTTGGCTAGCTGGGGCCGCGCATGGCCCTCGCACAATTCATCTTCTAACCTATCATATTTTCATATATTATTCTAGTAGCACAGTCTTCCTCTTTTTAATTTCACCCTAGTCTTAACACGTAATGTCTCAGCCATCTAGCAACCAAGCCGGATCAGGGCGCCTAGGTACTGCATAATCATATACGCGTCAAAGCGACGTGTTCCAGCCGTAACTCACTGTAAATGAATGCGAGAACTTTATTTTAAAAAGTCTGAGCTTTTCGAATAAGCGTGCACGAATTTATCGGAAACGTTGGGGGCAATTCGTGGGACGGCATGAATGGATTCAGTGCAGGAGGCGGGTCTTGAAGCCCTTGATACGCAGAGGAAGTCTGGTGGGACGCCGATTGGGAGTGATTGTAGGCGCTCAGCAATTTCTGGAAGGGCGGGGGTGTCTCTTGACAGCCTACCAGTAAGCCAGCTCTGGCTCTGTTAGCAACAGCTCCCTGAGTTCCTGCTTGCTGTGGGGAAAAAGCCCCTAGCCCTGGACGCTTCCACATAAGAACACTCCTTTTGAGCGTCTTCTTTTCTTCATCTTTTTAGTTTTAGAAAGCAATCCAATCCAATCTTTCAATGCTCACTAAAATTATTATTTCCCACATACCTACCACAAGCGTAATCCACCTACCCATATCGACCACGGCACTGCACCACCACTAAAGATGAATTTGGCGAAACCCGTAACGCCTTTTGCTGTATCATTACAATAATTATAAGCTTTTCACTTGGAAGCCCTTCACTCAAACCGGTGATCGATCACCGGAAGACTGAGTGATCCATGGCAATTTGACGCACACGTGGCTATGGCACGGTCGGAAGTCCTGGGCTCAGAAGTATAGACCGATCCAGAGATCAGGATGAGAGGATAGATTCTCAGATAGAATGAAAGCTAAGACTGAGACCCTGAATGTAGCGAGATCGAAACCAGCTACGGATGATGTCTCTGTCATAGACAGAGCTGTAGGTGCCCGGCCAATGTAAGCTCGGCCAACAGATCAATATGAGCTGAACACTTAGCTTCTTTCGTATTACAGAGCCCTGAACATTTAGCCGAGCACTTAGGAGATACAAGGTTCAGGATCCTGCTACTCAACCCAAACCTGCTATAGCCGGCAGGTATACCCTGGGCGATGCAGACACGCAAGGCGCATGATAGCAGGGTCCAGATTATAAAGTGACAGTCTATCAAACTCGAAGAAGCTAACCAAAGTTAATGACAAGCCTAATTATAGGAGAGAATAGCGCCAACAAGATTAGCATCAACTAACCCACTTTGAGGAAATCCAACTCCTTTCAGGGAGCATTGGCAGTTCAGCGATGTCACGATATTGTTTGCTAATGCATGTTGATGCTGGGTGCACAATCGATACAACCTCACATCAGGTCATATATAATCTCTTGGTGAGAATTTTAACTGAAAGATGTCCAATCAGACTTGGATCAATATATTCAAGTGACATTTTACGCTCAGACCTGAATCTCCCCAGAAGGCGAAGTCACCAGCCCTTTAGTTGCATCGGGCATACATCAGCGGATGGATTTGTTTTGTGCAGCACACCTTAATGCAAGCTGCTCCAATCACAGATTTGGCCAAAGCGCGGGGAGCTGCATTCAGCTTCAAGTGATGGCAGCATGCAAGCCACATCTGATGGGCACATACAACTCATTTCCTATCCCTGTCGATTTTCATCAGATTTGAAGTCTGATTGGTTTCAACACTAGTCTTTATGCATAAACCCTGCAATCAATGGCGCCTACTGCTATAGAACTTATCAAATAGTTGCGACAAAAATACATCCGAAGCTCAGCCGCACTAATTTATCTAATGTCCGTCACGTTGCAGAACAGGCAGAAGAGAGAAAATACGCAGCGTAGGCAGCATAGGCAGAACATATTTCTTATCCGGCTTAGAGAGAAGAATTCTCATTGATAGGCTCCCAGTGCTTTCAGAGTGAAAGACAGGTGATCTGTGTTTAGTTCCTGGCTTTGATCGCTACGAGATATATATCTCTCGTATCCCAAGAGTACTCCGGGTTCATTCTGCGCTCATTGTGGCGAGTTATCAGATCCCGCAGCAGTTTCAGAATAAGTATATCTCAGGACAATACTAACAATATCTGATGACAAATCACCAGCATCCATTCCATGGAAAGATCGGCGGACATCTCCAGCCACGGCTCAGATATGCAGACCGGGTTCGACACCGACATCGAGGCCATGCCTCTCGGCCACTACATGGTTGCCAAGGGAGATGTTCAGGATAAAGGAGTTGCCCACTCCACAACAAATCCAGTAGAAATACAAAGGACTTCGAACGACCACTCCAAACTTGGTAAGCAGCGCTACCATAAAGACAGTCTCAACCGATATATCGACCTCGACGAGGACCCGCAGAATACGCAGGACCACTACCTCCGACCCAAGGATGGCAAGCTAGGTGTCGTTGAGGTGCAGATTGCGCCGGGGTTCGTTGCGAGAGAGAATCCTGGGACGAGAACCTGGATTGCTTCCGACTTCACAGGCGATCATGGTCTCCGAGATGTTCCCATTAGTATCCTGAGGTGGGCGTACAGAGATATAGTGGAAGCGAAGCAGCCTGATACTAGTCAGCTCTGGTGGAAATATCCTATCGCTTCTATTGGTCTTACCTTCACGGTACGTCTACAGGACCATGTGTCGTCCCCACAGCCAAAGTCGAGAACGATCCTGAAAGAAAATTCTAATTGTCAATCCACATAGTCCTGGATGGGTAACTACAACCCAAAGTCCAACTACTTCGGCCGATATGCGCCGGTCCGATATAAATACTTCTGTTACGCAAAGCTCCCACGGAATAGGACGGAACTCAGACCTGACAGTGTAAGTACAGTGTTCCTATCCTAAAACCCAGAGCTTTACATGCTAAGTGTTGATGTACAAACAGCATTCCGCTGAACCCACCCGTCTCCAGCCTGGAGATGAGGTAGTACGCGGCGATGATGGAAGGAAGGAAGAGGATGGTGGCGTACTCGCACGACACCTCCGACCACGCATGCTATGCGTAATTACTTCTCACGACGACGCCAACATCAGCCTCGGACACTTCACTTTCGAGGTCCGGGATACCGACGAGTGGGATCGGGAGCGCCCTCAGAACCAGAGCGGCGAATACGTCTTTGTATCCTATACTCGAGAACAATTCCAGACATACTCGGCCGAGGACATTGCCTCATGGAGCCCTACCCAGGATCCAAATGAGACAGCGACCCGAAAAGGGATGCCTGGGCTCTACAAGAAGGACCTCGAGCAGCTATGCACTATCGGTGCAGTAGCTGCTCGAAAGGCAGGGTTATATGCTTTCTGGATTGACGTCTTGTGCATTTCCAAAGCCGGAAAGGGAACAGCAGGACTAAATGTTCACGACTCGCACCGAATCTGTGATGTAGCTCGAGGCGCAAATCGCATGGTAATCGCGGTCAAGGACCTGGTGTCTGATAGACTTCGTCTCCCTGGTTCTCCAGCGAAAATGCCATTACCCGAAATGGAGCTTCTGCAGCGATGGGCCACTCGGCTGTGGACTCTCCCGGAGATGCTACTGGCGCCTACAATCCACGATTTGGAGGTCTACCGCGCTGAGCAAGGCGCAAACGGAGGAGTACGGTCGTGGGCCACGATCCGCAAGCGTAACATGGCTGAGGTCGCCTATCCCGACGACGGCGACCGGGTGCGCGAGCTGGTCGACCACTTCGAGTCAAGCGTGCACCTTACGCAAATCGAGCTACTCACGCTGGGCCTCGAGTGTCTCGCGGAACGCAAGATGAACAAATACAGCAAGGCCGACATGGTGTACGCGCTCATGACGCTGGCGCGGCGGCGGCCAATCCCCTACAAAGGCCAGTCCCTCTTCGAGGCCTTTGCACAGTTGTCCCTTCTCAACGACTCCAACATGCTCCTGGAGCGACTCATATGTGTGCTTCCTCCGGGACGACACGGGGAGGTGCCATGGTATCGCATCCGTGATTCTTGGGGAGTTCGGCTATGGGATATCTTCCCCGCGTGCCAGATCTCTGGTATCGCTGGCGGAGATGCTGATCAGACCGTACTCATCGACGGAGCGTATGGAGCTTCTATCGAGTGGAGTAAGTCCCCTCTCCGCCAGAGCTTTCTGAGACGGAATCCTACCAAATTCTTTTCCCTTCCTTCGTTCTCTTTGGCTTCCGGGGATTATTTCTACAAGCTCTCAAACAAGTTTCTAACGTCTTGTAGAATCTCTTAAGAAGGTCGAGTTTCTCAAACGTCGCACAGCCTGGCGCATTGCCAGCGAGTTGGCCTCCCAGGCAGCCCCTTTGTACCTTCTCATCGCTATCGTGAGTGTCGCCACCATTCAACCAGAGTCTCAGTCACTGTATAGTTATGGAGCAAGCAATCCCATGATTGGACTGCCCGTCGTCTTCTTCATCCTTGCGTTCATCTCGATGGCCGTCCTACCGCACGCTATGCTTGCAAAATACCGCGGCAAGTTCTGGTCCACACAGGCGGTGTTGTATGGGCTTGAGGGGGTACCGGATATCGACTGGTTGGAACGCCAACTCTTCGGATTTAGTGAAGGCCGGCTCACCTGGAGCGCTCATGGCAGCACGCTTTCGCAACACAGAGCAAAGGAGGGTCCAGGCGAAAGGCTAGAGGAAGAGTGTGAGGCGCTGAAGCCGCTGCTTGAGGACGAGATATCACCAAACATGGCGGGAGAAGGTGAAATTCCGTCGTTGAACAACAGCAAGAGAAACAACGACATGAGGATATTCACATTGGTAGACACATACGCCATGACTGTCACCGTTTTCCGAGCTACTCATCCTCCAACAGTAGCACTCGTCTTGTAAGTCCTTCCCATACCACCAATTCTCTCCAAGCAGTCCGTGAAACATCCTATGAGACCCTTTATTCATCAAAATTTGCTAACGGGAAGTTGCTAGGGGCCACGAAGGTGGGATGCGCCGGGCGGCATTATGCTCGTACAATCACGGGACGCAAACTTTCCATCGCGAAACTGTAGTCCGAATGCCTACCAAAGTTCTCGACAGAATGGACAGGGTAGACAGATTTCGGTTTTCAATGGAAAATCAACCGCTTTGAGCGTTGCTGTACTGAATAAATTTTGCCCTATTTGATCGTCATAGTATCCCAAAATAGCACAGATAATTACACATTGCATTTTGAGTGGTATCATATAAACGTGCAAGCTCGACAACAGCATGCTTCATTCTAAGAAGTCCTTCAAGAACAGACTTTACAAAGCATCCAAATAGTAATTCCATTTCTCCCCTGCCTATTCTCCACTCATCCAAAATGAAGTTCCTCGCGGCGATTACAGCCTTTGGGCTCATTTCCACCGCCTGGGCTCAAACAGCCGTTGACACTATCTCAACTGTCGCCGCTAATCTTGAAGAGACCCTTCCAGAGTACAAAGCCGCTATCAGTATGCTCCCTCACATGTCTCACCTCTTGGGAGCTGGCGTACCATCTTCAGCCTTCGTCCTTACAAGGGTGCTCAAATACGACGAGTCCTCTCCCTTGCCTCATCTCCCTCCTCCTTCTATGCACGCATATACACACACATATTCGAATGAACATGTCATTCAAGTAGAAACGAGATAGAGAAAACAAGGCTGAATGATTGCGAATCTAGTCACAAGTGCCAACATGGTTAGCAGTCACTCCCACTGTTCCATTTGCAGACGAGGAAGCGCTCAAAGTCAATCTGACCGCAGTCGGCACAATCTTAACCACCGCCAAGACCCAGATCGAGATTGTGAACGGTCAACTCCACAGGTGGCCACGCTGGCGTCACTACCGACCTGACACAGGCCAGTATCAACACGCTCGCAGCGAATACCCAGACTATCGCCAGCGCCCTCCAAAGCATGATTGCGACTCTTGACGTTACCGACAGTCTGGGTGGCAACGCCTAGGCGACTGCCGCTGCCGAGCTTGCGCTATGCGAGGGCAAAGAGGCTCATATTGCGATGCGCTGAAGAGGAAAAGCCATGAGGCCGATCTACCTAAGGCTATCAACAGGTCTGGCTGTTGGCTGGCTGGCGGGCCCGTGCACGGTTCCCGCATATGCGCAGCTTGCCTCCACCTACGGCGGGGTGGTGACGCCCCTGGAGCCTCATATCTCTGATGCTGACACACTTGGGCTGATGGATGCTTAGACAGCTCTGGAAAGGGTTGACACCAGTCTTCTTGATCTTATCCGCTCCCAGTCGAATAGTATGAACGCTTGGACTGAGTTGGCTGAGCACTGGTGACGAGGGTGCTCTTTGGCTAGTGGTGATGCTCATGCACTTTCAAAATGGTCTACAAGAGAGAAGAAGACGATTTTGTCTGAAAACTCATTGTAGCAGCACTCTAGGGGCCGTACAAATGGTAGAAGGGAAGATGATTCTTCAATTAACTATCTCGAGGCACGCTGCCAATTGCTCTTCTATATCGAGAGCAATTAGCACTAGTTCTAATTAGGCTAGCGCATCTGCTGACTCACTACTTTCCATTGAATGCGCCAGGCCAGTGAATCAGACAGGCCTCACGTTTCACTGAGGCTCTACCATAAGTAACATCAGCAGGGAGGGTGGCAGCGTAATTAAGGCTCATCATCGTCCTCTTCTAGTCTAGTGCGCACATACATTGTTACCTAAGACCTGCTTACGTGGTCTTACGCCACCTTTGGCTATGTAGCGAGCGGGTTTCCAGCCCAATTCTGACACGACTCACTTCCTGCTGTCATCCAACCCCGCACAGCAAATTAAACCCACCTCCAATCCACAAGGACAACCATGACAAAAATCCATCGCATCGGATTTACGCCTTTATTAGGAGGCAGTACGGGCGTTAGGGACGTGTCGCCCCGGGTCAAGTATGTGCTCTCGGTTCGGTTATAGGTGGCATAACTGACGCAGCACAGCATCATCTTCGTGCACGGCCTCAGGGGACACCCGAGATCCACGTGGGAGGCGAGCCAGGCAGCGAGCAGCAACGTTGCCGAAATCGCGACGTCATACAAAAAGACAGCAAGCAGGCGACAAGCTTTCAAGTCCCTTTTCACAGGGAAGAAATCGCCATCAGCTGCCGACGAGAAGAGCGGGGAGCCATCTGCTAAGGTGTTCTGGCCCGAAGACTACCTTGTCGAGGACATACCCGAAGCGAGAGTATGGACGTACGGGTACAATGCGGATGTGATTGGAGGCTTGTTTCAAGCAAACAATCAGAACAGCGTATCGCAGCATGGACGGGATCTTGCGACAAGGCTTGAGAGGGACCTCGGGAACGAGGTGAGTCCAGGATGAGTGCTCTCATAATATTTGAGCTGACAATTGTACTAGTATCCGATCATATTCGTGGCGCACAGCCTTGGCGGGATTATTGTAAAGGATGTATGTCTGGTCGTAGCTCTTTGAAATCTTCTGTCAAATACTAGAGTTCATTCTAGGCCCTACACAGATCCGAGTCATGTCGCCTGCGAACGAGACTGATTATTTTCCTCGGTACGCCTCATCGTGGAAGCTTGTACGTGAAATGGGGCGAGATTGCATCGAACTTGGCTCGCCTAGCTCTTCAAGACACAAATACGAGAATCATCGAGACGCTCGAGGTGAACAGCGAGGTTCTGGATAACATCCACGAAGAATTTATAGCCATTATATGGGAGCTGAGCATTCAGGTCCATTCTTTCCAGGAGGCACGCGGCATAGCGGGCATGAGGGGACTGGACGGCAAAGTAAATCTGCTGTCACCTTTGATTTGTCTGCAAGCATTAATTAATCGATTGATATGATTAGGTTGTTGACGACTTCTCTTCCAAGCTTGACCTTCCACGGCAATTCGAAAAGGTTGAAAGCATTGATGCGGACCACATGCAAATGGCAAGATGTGATGATAGAAGCGATGTACGATATCGTACTTTTCGCGGTGTTCTCCAGCAGTGCATTCTCAGCGATATGCTGAACAAAAATGAAGCTCAAGCCGAAACAGGAGCTGCAGGCAGACTGGGTGGCAGTCTTGGTGGTTAGCCTAAAATACCTGTATTGTGTCGTGTAATAGTTGCTAATCATATCGCAGCTAATACTGCCTCACCGTGCTATTCCATCCCACTTCGCGAGAATACAAAGTTCGTCGGACGAGATAGATTACTTGACTCGCTTAAACAAAAGTTCTTTCACCAGAACTTTCAAAGGCTTGCGCTTGTAGGTCTAGGCGGCATTGGCAAGACGCAAATTGCTCTCAAATTTGCGTACTGGGTTCGGCAAGCAAAGCCAGAGTACTCCATCTTCTGGGTGCCGGCGTTGAGTGATGCGACTTTTGAGCAAGCATGCGACGCTATTGCAAGAAAGCTCCCTGCACAAGTGATGGACAAGAACGACGACCTGAAAAGAGTGGTCCAGCGATACCTGAGCTCAGGAATAAGCGGACCATGGCTTCTCGTCGTGGACAATGCGGATGATGAGGACATATTTTTCGGCCCGTCAAACTCACCAGGCGGTCTATGGGATTATCTTCCGGATAGCGAAGGCGGCCTCACCTTGTTCACGACACGTTCCCGGAAGCTGGCGGTAGAGACCGAGGCCGACATCATTGATATACACGAGATGGACTCCGATGAAGCGATGGGTCTTCTGGGGAAGTGGCTATCCCAGAATCAATTGGTGGATGCTGCAGCAGTGCGGAAGCTGCTGAAAGAGCTCACATACCTTCCGCTAGCAATCACGCAAGCAGCAGCGTACCTGAATTCGACCCAGGTTTCAATTGCAGACTATCTACAGCTACTGCGCAGCACAGAGAAAGATATAATCAAGCTGTTGAGCCGTGAGTTCCGCGATGGCAATCGATATCCAGGGTCGCAAAATGCCGTGGCAACGACCTGGCTTGTGTCCTTCGAGCAGATTCGCAAGTCCAATCGTACTGCTGCTGATCTGCTTGCATTCATATCCTGCATCGAGCCGAAAGCAATACCGCGTTCTCTCCTTCCTAATCCTGAGTCAGAAGAGACGTTCTACGCTATTGGGACGCTACGTGGATATGCCTTTTTGGTTAGTCGGGAGGATTCAGTCTTCGACATGCATAATCTAGTGCACCTAGCAACACGAGCATGGGTGGCAAAGCAAGGCTTCACAGCGCAAGTAAAAGAGACAGCAATGCGTCATTTGGAGAGGATTTTCCCATCTGATGATTTTGCGAACCGAAATCTATGGAGAGACTACCTGCCACATGCTCTGAAACTATTCGAAGAAAGTAAAGACTTGGATATAAAAGAAGCAGCAGACTTATATGAACAGGTTGGCCGATGTCTGAGAGTGGATGGGCGGGTTAAGGAAGCTGTGGCATGTTTGAGAAAATGCTGCTTGTGGAAGGAAAGCAACTTCTCTGACGAAACCCACCCTTCTCGACTCGCATCACAGCATGTGCTTGCAGGAGCTTATCAAGAAAACGGACAGGTGAAGGAGGCTGTTGAGCTGCTGGAGCATGTGGTGAAAATTCGGGAAACAACACTTGATGAAACCCACCCTTCTCGACTCGCATCACAGCATGAGCTTGCACGAGCTTATCAAGCAAACGGACAGGTGAAGGAGGCTGTTGAGCATGTGGTGAAAATTCAGGAAACAACACTTGATGAAACCCACCCTTCTCGACTCGCATCACAGCATGAGCTTGCACGAGCTTATCAAGCAAACGGACAGGTGAAGGAGGCTGTTGAGCATGTGGTGAAAATTCAGGAAACAACACTTGATGAAACCCACCCTTCTCGACTCGCATCACAGCATGAGCTTGCACGAGCTTATCAAGCAAACGGACAGGTGAAGGAGGCTGTTGAGCTGCTGGAGCATGTGGTGAAAATTCAGGAAACAACACTTGATGAAACTCACCCTTCTCAACTCACATCACAGCATGAGCTTGCACGAGCTTATCAAGCAAACGGACAGGTGAAGGAGGCTGTTGAGCATGTGGTGAAAATTCAGGAAACAACACTTGATGAAACCCACCCTTCTCGACTTGCATCACAGCATGAGCTTGCACGAGCTTATCAAGAAATTGAATAAGTAAAAGAGGCTAGATGTGGCAGTGGCCATAGGGGCCTCAAGTGAATGTGAGGCCTGGCTAGCCACAGTGACTCACAATGAGTTAGCAGGTACACTAGCTTAATTAGGACTAGTGCCAAATGCTCCCGATATATAGAAGAGCAATTAGCAGCGTGCTTCAAGATAGTTAATTGAAGAAGTATCTTCCCTTCTACCATTTGTATAGCCTCTAGAGTGCTTCTACACGGCTTCTCAAAGTGGTATAAAGGGTGGCGCTTTCAACTGGGGACCTCATGTCCACCTGAACTCAGCCTTGAACGGCGCACTCTACACCGCTTCCTGGCTATTCGGACGGGGCACGGCGATTTCAAGTGGTATCACGAGACTGTCGGCCATGAGAACGCTGAGCTTTTCTGCAAATGCGGCGCAGCTCGAACGCAGGACCACCTGGTCCACTGCAGGCGTAACTGGCGCACCTTTTCTAGGTGGCCCTGGCCAGGGCACCGTCCGCGTCGTTTTCCAGACACCCCAGCGGAGAAAAGACAATATCTCGAGGATCTAATGACTAATTCTGATACCTTCAAGCGGTTCACGGAGTTCACGGGTTTCTACGAGAAGAGCTGCCCTCCCTGGGGCGTAGCTGCCCCGAGATCGGGCACTAATGCGGAGGCGGTGACGGGGGCGAAGACAGGCCGGCTTACGGACTCGAGGCGGTGAGAGAGGAGGTCCGGACGGAAGGGGAAACAGGAGTCCAGTCAGACGAGGAAGAGGAGGAGGAACTAGCAGGGACAATAGCAGAAAGTGAGGAGGATGAGGGCAACGGACTGGCGAGGGCCCCGTGGGCCTGGGGAGAGGAGGTACCGGACAGCGAGGAGGATGGTGAGGATAGCGATGATCCGGGAGGGAGAGGGTGAGGATAGCGATGGATGCGAGGAATGGCGACGGAAGAGGAAAGAGAAGGAAGGGAAGGAAAAAGGAAAGAAAGAAAAAAACTACTATCTGCCGCCACGCGGCTTGCGCACTCGCCTACAGGCGATACGACACTCGGCCCAGGCCTTTCGACACTCGAGAGTACTCTCTTTTTCTTTTCTACCCGGATTCTGCTTGCATATGGAGGCGAGGGAGGGACCGACCAGACGGCTTGCCGTCGCTTTCTTCGGACATCGAGTCGCTGGATAGGTGAAGGGTCGCGTGTATGTATTCATGGATATATGTGCGAGGCCAGGTGGGTCACTGGCCCCACTATCGCCAGCCAACCTATCTATAGCCCCAGTTAGCCAGCTTTTTTCTTCCCTCCCTTTCTTTTCCTCCCTTTTTTCCTTCCCTAAGCGCAGTCCAATACAGTTCATTTCCCATAATATGTGTTGAGAAACGAAACGGTTGACAAGGAATGAGCCCGCGCTAGCACGCACTCTATCTGTACATAAAAGATTACTATCCCCTCTTCAGGTCCTTATACTAGAAATTCAATGCTTAAGGCTTCGAGCCAATACACACCTAACACTGTGCCATTTCCTTGCTCAACAATATGTTACCTTAGCCTAGCTCAGCGCGCCCCATACCCTCGGGAGGTTTTCGGGCGATTAGCACCGCTTTTCGTTCTTCTGGGCGTTAAATACAACAAACAAACAAAACATAGAGCAACTATACTTTACGATTTACGACCCGCTCCCCCCCCCCCTTGCGACTCACGGTCTCGAGTAACTTAACCACTTGCAGCTACAGGTCTAGGGCAACTACACTTCTGGATCCTTCCTGACACAAATTTCTTGGCATTTCCACTTGTTAGTGCAGGCGCCTTTCTACTATACAAAACCTTAACAGTACCCAACTTTAACGGCAAACCTCAACAAACCCGCCATCCTCGCAGACGTGAGGATGGCTGGCGACCCTCCTGTAACGCCTGTCAGGCCCTCGAGGCCGCAGGATATGGACGAGGGAGGCCATACACGGCCTCTGTATCCCCTCACCCCCGGGAATGTACACCACGCGAAGCGCTACAGGGCCGTTGCTCTCCAAAGGGAAGGGCGTGGCTAAGGCAAAGACGAAGGAGACAGCGCACGCTGCTTTAACCAACCACCTGGCAGGACAGCTGGACAAGATATTGCGCTTATCGATGGTCAAGGAAGAGGTGGTAACGGCTCTAGGGGACGATCTGAATGACTTCGTGGATTCCTGGCAGGGAGACACCAAAACAGAGCATCGACAGAAGGCCAGGGACATCGTGGGAGCTCTGCTAACGCACCTGAGCTCCCTGGTCTTCGCAACTACGAATGGACAGGCTGTAGCCCCTCAACGGGTACACAGCTCCCAGCCTGCATCCTCTGGACTAGTCCAGCCTACAGGCGTGGCGAAAGCAGCGTCAGCAGCGCCCTTACAGGAGAAACAAGTCTCCTGCATTCCGTACTCCCAAATGCGAGAACATACGCATCCTGGTAGCGATGGATATGCAATCCCATCCAGATAGTCTGGGTTCTCTCAGCTCCCCTCGCCTTGAATCCTTCCAACTTAGAACTCTGCTATGCGATACGCTGAACCTTGAGCTTGATGATATTCCGAACATTACATTTACCAAGACTGGCTATGCGTTGCATCCCTCTAGTAAGAGCATTTGCAAAAAGCTTCTTGAGAACAAGACTGAGATTATACGAGTTTGCAGAGCTGAGCAAATTACAATCCATATAATGTAGCATATATATGCAGTGCTCAACGTTCTATATACCTTCAGAAACATTTATAGCGCTAGCTTTAAGAATACTGATAATATGCTGAAAGCTGAGGCTAAAGCTTAGATAGGAGTAAAGTGTTATGACCCATTCAACATGCAGGTCACAAGAACGGCCCCGCCAACAAAGGACCAGTTGTCACGACCCAACACCGGACAAATAACAGGGATTACGTAACCAAGGGTTAGGGTTAGAGAGCTCAGGAACCAATCAGAAGGGGACCGCAACAATCGCACAGCGGTCCTCGCGGTCCAGGAATGAAGAGCTGAATACATAACCTCGCGTTCATTACTAAGTAGATAGATTATTGTACATAGCTCTCAGTTGTCAATCTAAGTATCAGATTACACCTGCACTCTGGTAGCCCCAAAGGCAGTGAACACTTGCATTCAGACTTCAGTTTTGTTCCGGTATTCAAGGCCTGTACTTGGCACCGCTCTTGTTAGCATAAACCCCCTCAGTAGGAATCTTTGGATTACTGCAGTGCTCATTACAATATGTCAAATGTGGGGCAGTGAACTCATTGGGGTGAAGGATGGGTGAAAAGCCAGGTCATCGGTTCACTTGCACTAATCCTTCTAACTATCCTGGGGCCAGAGGTACTGGTGCACCCGTTTGAAAGGGCCCTGGTGTCAGGGGCCTGAAAGGCCCTTTCACCCACATGAGACCAATGCCTTTATTCCGACAGCTATGAATATGCGATTTATAAGAGGACGCAGATGCGACCTCTCCAACAAGGCTCGGGCGCCTTGCACGCCACAGCAGCAGTCTACGATGCTGAAGCAGTGGGGCGCTTAGAGAGAACTTGAGGCAGCGGTAAGGGTTGCTAGAGTTCGGAATCCTATCACAGTTTGCCTGAACAATACGTTAGTAATCAAGAGCCTCCGAGGCAGCCCGGGGAATTCATCACATTGAGCTTTCCGTTCTTTCCAGCATAGGATGGATACGAGGCTCGCCCCTGTTACTGTCAAGTGATCCCCAGGCCACATGAGCATTCCGGGCAACGAGCTAGCGAACTAACTAGCCAAAGCAGCTCAGACCGGGCCGATGGACAAACAGGCCGGACCGACGATCTCGGAGCTGAAAAGTCACTCCTGCACGGAGCTCGGAGCTTTCCGGAACAAGGACTGGGCTCGCATGCAGGAAGGTCTGTCTAAGTGATATAAAGCGTAGCAACTCGAGCCGAAGAACGCCTGCTCAGCCGAGCTGAAGCTGGGTTAACGAACCTTGCACCGTTTCCTAGCTACTAGAACGGAGCACGGAGACTACAAATGGTACCACGAGGCCTTTCATCATGATAGCGCGGAGCTGCACTGCAAGTGCGGACGTGCACGCACACAGGACCACCTAGTACACTGTCGACTTGCAAGGAGATCCTTTTCGAGATGGCCCTAGCCCGGCGATCGGCCGCGTCGTTACCCTGAGACTCCGGGCGAGAGACAGCGCTATCTGGAAGACCTTATGCGAGCCCCGGAGGCATTCCAGCATTTTACGGAGGTTACGAAGTTCTTTGAGAAGTGCTATCCTTTTGGACTCGCGATGGTGGTTGGCTAGGCTCCGGGCCGGGCGTCGGCATCCGGCGCTCGGCGCGGAAGGCCGGTGGAGGTTTGATATGGAGCCTCGGAGTCCGATCCCGGCTCCGATGAGGAGGTCTTCTGGAGAGGCAGTGAGGAAAGCGATAAGGACGGGAGCGATAACGAGGAGGAAGGAGACGAGAGCTTATAAGAAAGAGGCTGGAAACGTGGATGCGGAGGAGAGGGAGGAGGAGAACGAGAACGAGGAAGTTGAATGCAGAGAGAGCGATAACGAGGGAGCGAGGAGCGAGGAGAAGGGTAGCCGAGAGAGTGGAAGGGAAGGAGGAAAGGACTGGGTGGGGATAAGGATAAGGGGAGGAGGAGGAAAGCGCCGAAAAAAATAAAAAAATGTGGCAGAGGCCATAGGGGCCTCGAGTGAATGAGGCCTGGCTGGCCACCCTGACTCACTGGCCTGAGCCATTCAATAGAAAGGCAGTGAGTCGCTAGGTACGCTAGCCCAGTTGGGACTAGTGCCAATTGCCCTTCTATATAGAAGGCAATTGGCAAGCGTGCCTTGAGATAGATTAATTGAAGAACCATCTTCCCTTCTACCATTTGTACAGCCCCTAGAGTGCCTTCTACAAAAAATAAAAAAATAAAAAAAAAAAAGAAACTGCCGTCCGGCAGTCCCAACGAACGCTCACCGGCATTACGACACTCATCCCAGGCTTAGGACACTCGAGGCTCAGCCTCTATGGAATTTTTCCTTGTTACTGATCGC